ACGTGACTAGCTATCATTTAAAATATCCTGACTCACCTATACGGGATATTTTAAATAACTCAATTTAGGATTTCTACAATATTCTCTCAGCTATTTGTTTGCAACCAACAGATTACATAATTGTGTCATATACGATCCTGCATGTTTCTGACACAATACTTCAACACCTTATTTATAGCCCGTAGACTATTTGCTTGCAACCAACAGATTACATATCTGTGACATACACGATCCCACATTCTTCTGACACAATACTTGAACAATAATCTCGTGCCCATTTTCATGGTGATTCATTCAAGAAGGGGTAAAATGTTCGAATGAAAGCGACTCAGATGCAACAACTTTACTTACTTATAATTATTTCAGATGAATGTAATGGATATTTACTTTTAATTTCATTATATATGCGTTCTCACCCACAATTATAACAGATAAACTCGATCGATATTTGTTTTGATTTCATTATATGTGCTTTGTATATAGCTCTTTTTGTAAACTGCGCTAATTGAGCACATAGAATATGATCCAAAAATTTCTTTCTTTTTATATATATAGACCTTGATTCTCTTAAATTATAGATCTTGATACCATGAAATTATGTGCCTTATTCTTCAGTAGCTTGATACTTAAAACTACAACCTAAGAAATCAAGTCATATATTTTAGTCGTTCGAGTTAGATAGTTTAATATTTCATAAATACAACCATTTGGGGAGGTGTATAAGTTAAACAGCATATGATAGTAGAAATCTCATAATTAAGTGAAATACTCCACAAACATGTGCGTTCTACATTTTACAAGTTTATGCTCTTTTGAAGTTCTATCCTACATCGACCATAAACCGTCTCCCAAAAAAATGTGAAGTAAAAATAAGATAGTTGGAGTTTCTTCCTAATGCATTTTTAGGTCAATATATAGGCTGAATTAGATTCACTAGTTGCTGGGAGACACATAAAATAACTCTCCTTTCTTATAAACAGAGGTGAGTTGAAAATACAATACTCCTAGTAGAGGTATTACTCTTGTTAGGTCTATAAGTATACGAAAACATTTCATAAATTTCTTAGCATTGATAGCTATTGCTGTTGAAGTGTTGTGTCCAACGAATGCGAAATAACACAAAAACCTAAGTTGAACTTTACAAACAAGAATTAACCGGCAAAAGATATATTTGAGTATTTCCATATAAGGAAAGTTGAGGTAATGAAAATATAGCCAGACAATCTGAAATAGTGCTATCGTCAAGCATATTAAGCCAGCCATTACCATAATTACATAGTAAGACTTCAATCACATGGTTTAAGACTAAACAAACCATGTGATAAACAAAATGCTATAAATATAGCTACATTCGTCCTACTCTGTTTATATGGATGGTGTCTAATATACTATAATATTATCCCACTTATTTAGAACTGACAAGATGGTTTGTTACGAGGATTATAGACGTGAATTTTAACAATTATATGGTCCATCAAAATCGATGCATTTTTTAAGTACGATTCCAACTGTGTTATAGTGATAATAAATTTAACAAGTAGCACATAATTTTTCAGATAAATATAATTTGAAATTTTCCACAGCAGTGGTTAGGTTTGCGATTACTCTGCATTTTTTGCTCTTAGTTTAGTTTTTTCTATTTTTAACCACTGTCGTAGTAATTGCGGCTTCTCGCCCTAGTAGATTTTACGTTTCTCAATCCTTACTGGTTTGGGTTTCAATTTCATAAAAGACCATATCCTTCTAATGCAACTTCTACATTTTGGTCTCTTAGTATCTTAGGCTTTCTATTTGCATTGCTCAAACTTGAAACTACGTTAGAAAATGATCCACAATTATTAATGTGCATTGTGAGTGGGCTAGAGAAAGCAATTTCAGGTTTTGAGTCTAATGCACAATGTTTCTAGAGAAAACGCCTAATTTATGCAATAAACTTTAACTTATTACTTCCATTTTTAACCTTTCCAGAGCTAATTGTTAGCTGATGAGAAATCAGCGAAAGTTTATCTTGAGAGTAAATGTTAGTTTTGAGTTACTCTTTATTTTGGCAATTTGTCATTTTTTTAGAATTACCCCGAACGTGATATCATCTTACCTAGTTCTAATTTTCAAGCGAGATGAAGGGAAGAATTATTCCATGAATCTACAGTATATTTCAAAAAGAAACTCATCACATCTGAGTTAACTAAAGGTTGTGATTTTGGCGGTTATAATAATAAGAAGCAGTGCATTGCTCAAATAATTGTACTCGGTTGAGCTTCCTTTTGGCTATCGGTAAATGTTACTAGAAACTAAGCAATGCATTTTTATTTACGTGTAATGTTACTAGGTAAAAATATTTATTACTCAACTTACTTTCTGTGAATTGACTTTAGCAAATCTAGGATTTTCTCCCTCTATTTATGTTCCACTTTCTACCCCACTTTCTCCAACTTTCTTCACTATTCTTTACCACTTCCTGGGGTCAAGCCCTCATCATCAGGGTTTCAACGAATATCCCAGGCTCTGAGGGGTCATCTTCGGCAGTTCTCACCTTCTCGTTACTTCGTCATGGATATTTTTAGTCCTGGTTGCTCGAAATCAACTTCGTTGATCCGATCATCCTCATCACCAAATTGCTCTTCTATCTTAATCCATCGCTTACCTAATTTTGTTGTGTAGAATGGCGATATATATCAACAGATCAGCACATGGTTCTTATCTGTGATATTCGATGCTGAGGAGCTTGCAGTGCGCATTTATTTCTGCGTAAACAATTTCATGTCAAAGCTGGGAACCAAAGTTAAGTGGTAACGTCATTTCAAGAAATCGCTAAAATTAATGATCAGTGAGCTCAAACGCCATCTATACTTGAGTATTTGCAATGCCAGGTATGCTTAACAGTGACAAATTTTTACTAAGCCTCTAGATCACGAATTCGGTATGCTCATACATTTGCTTATGTAAGAATCATACAGGGACAGATACTTCTATATAATAACTTTTGAAGCTTGATACGATTTTGGTATGCAACACTTTGAAATGCCTAAATTGTCTTAATTTGGAATCCCTTCAATTGAGGAACATTTAGTATATAGAAAAATACCTCTAAGTGACCACTATTCAAAATAAAAGAATGTTCTGCTACATAATTGAGATTTTGGAATGCTGTCAGCTTAACATTGTCACGGATAGCCAAATGAAAGATCTTTTTATATATGTTATAGTGTTTCCAAAATGATATAAAATAACGCCCATCCTCATTATTAAACATCTAAATATTTTTATAGATATTATTCAATTCAATGCTCTTTGTTATAATACCTGCATTTTTTTTGGCAGTTGCCTCTGCATTTGCAGGCTCGATTCCTTACGATAGGCTCAACACAAATTTCACTTTGACAACTGTAATTGATTTAGACCACTATAGTGAAAGCAATTTTGAAAAGTTAGGTTATAATGCTGGTGAAGATAAGACAAGTGGAAAGATATACCAGGTTTCTGAGGGAAATCTTAAACGAATGAACCTTGCTTCTATTTTTGAATCGACTGATAACACTCTCGTAGTGAAACACACTAACAAAGTAATTGCTTACAACGAAGAAGAGAACCTGTGGGAAGAATTCGAATCAGGAGAGATGGAAGAAAGAGAAGTATCTGGATACTATCCAGTTTCTCCTGTATTAGATGCAGCTCAAGCAAGCGGAAGCCTTAGTAACAAGTATTCAGCCAAGTTTGTTATAGGCCACCTTGTAGCCGCAGCACTACAAATTATTACCTTCATAACAACAAACACGTCAGTGGTAATCAATGGTTCGGTTGTTGCACATTTTACCTCAACATTTACATGTAACGTTCCTGAAAACCACTATGGACAGCTTCTCATGAAACCAAAATACTGGTCTATTCAAAATAGTCGTTGTAGAGAGGTAAAGTACAAGATGGGCAAAGGAATTGTTCCTCAGCTGAAACAGTGGAAAGTAATTAAAGAAGTCAAACTTTTATCACTTAACATGCCTACCTACAAGTGCAAAGTGGAGCCCAATGCCTTTACAGACACCAGCAGGCAAATAGTTGAACTTGACATGAACGAATTATATTAGCACAATCTGGATCATATATCTTTGAAAGCATATATAATTTTCTTTATCTTAATACAAATGATACCTACTTTAGTTTACCTTACCTATAATTTATCACCTTTAATTCCTATCGTCCTCAATATTGCAAAGCATTTCGTATGTATCATTAAATAAAAATGTGGCCGCCAGCGGGTTATTGCTATCAACAATTGCTTTACCTGTTAATAGGCTAAAGCAGTTGATCATGTTCCTCACTAAGGGCATATTAGATTTGAGGGACTTGCGTTCTTCGTCATGGAAGTTATGGAAGTTGCTCAATCTCTGAACCAAAAATGGTGTCAACATATTGTCCTTGAAGGAGGCAAAAAGAATTCGGTCGATTTTGATGGTAGAGAAATCCTTTAGATACTTTTGCAATGGTTGAAATATCAACATCAAGTAGAACCTAATTTTTTCTTTAAATATCGTCCACTGAAACTCCAATTTTGTCCAGCAGCTCATCAAAATATCGATTCCTAATTGACCATTGTGTGGACTGAGGTTTTGGGGCATACTAGAATCAATCTTTAATGCACTCAAGCACTGAGAGTAAAATAGCGTTAAATCCAAAGTGACTTCCCTAATGTGAAAATCATCAATGTCAGGTACTTGGGGGAAATGCTGGACATAACCTTCTTTGACAAAATGAGTAACCTTTTCTACTGTTAAACCTAAAAAGGGAAACAGAAACCCGTTAGGTTGTTTGCGATACTGGGAAGGACAACAAAGCAGTTTGACCAAAGTGAACAACTTGATATAGAATTTATAATTCTTACTACTATACTCTTCTGCTCGTGGTAGGGTGTCATTTGCAATACTCAAACCTATTTCGCTGAATGAAGTATTTATGGAATTATCTGGAGATCCAATAATGCTGAGGCCACTATTAGATAAATGAATGCCTGAGTTATTGCTTGCTGATATTTGTGGACTAATTCCGAAACCGGCTGTACCTAATTTAGTAGTTGAATTACATCTAACTTTTCCCAGTAAATATTGATCTGTCGGAGTTAATAATTTTCTTTGCAATTCCTGAATCGAGGAACTTGTTGAGATATCGACGTCTTCTGAAGTGAAATCAGGATTTGCAAAGTTATAAGTAGACGCAAGTACCTGGTCAATAACATTGGAGTTTGAGCTGTTGGATGAAAGACTTATAGGAATTCTGTTTGAAGTTGTACTTAATTCTTCATTCTCATTGATTCTGGTATCATTTAACGGTTGTGCTGAGGTCGAAGTTCGGTGAAATAAATTGTGAAATGTGGATGCCGGAGAACTGACTTGTGCCTTTTTACCTCCGTTATACCCCGGATCTTCTAACAGAATCAGACTCCCAATACGTTTAGGAATTGTAAGGGACAGATGTCCTGTTGTTTGGATTGTTAATTCTGGCCTAGTATCTAACTTTCCATATGTTAACGTATCGGAGCTATTTCCAACCATGTTTGTGGAATCGAGTCTTTCTATTGTATCGTTGGAATTCCCATTATCGCCCTTGTTGCCCCTAAATTTGAGTCTAAACTTTGACTCTCTTCCACTGCCATAAAACTTTGAACTCTTGTCACTTTTAGTGGTTGCTTTAGAGATCATTGATGCATTGCTATTACCGGATCCCGTGATACCAGTCCTTATATCAGTATTGTCATCAAAGGCGAACCCATCTAGATTCAGAACATTATTGGAAGATTTGTTACTGGTAAATAATCGAGTTAATGGATTTGAAGTGGTAGCAGTGGTTGCGGTGCTTGTGGTAGAGATTGTTGAAGTGTTTGTGTTCACTTTCCTTAGTTTTGTAAATCCAACACTAGAAATATTAGGTAGAATCGACGATGCCAGATTATTGCTATGTCGGTAAATAGAGCCCGCAGCTCTCGTATCACTATCCATAATAGTTTAACATTAGTGTATTTGTGTGTGTGTGTGTGAATTTACTTACCTTAGTTTGACATCAAACATTTAATCCTTTATATCGCGCTACCATTTCAAACCAATACAGATTTATTCAGACAAACACTTTATTACGTAATGAAATATAATAACCAATTTCGGTTAAATGATTATACTCAAAATGGATGTTTATGAATTGCCAAATTAGACCATAACAAAAACACAAATAGGAACTTTAGCCATCCAGGCCAACTGGAATTCTTAGTTCGGAAGAACAGACAATGTGAGAATACATTGATGTTGAAATACACAGTTAGTAGAGACTAAAGCTGAGTTTTCTTCTACGGGATATTCTTTCCAAACATTGATAGCTACAGCTAATTGGTAGAAAGCTCAGAATGTCTGATCCTTTTAACGACAACAGTCCGTTCAGAGATGAACCCTCTGTTCCCAATGCTGCTTTTACAAGTGATAGAAGCTCTCCAAGAAGATATCGACCATCAGTTTCTGATGAAGATAGTGAGGAATTCATGGCTTTTCCTAATTCTACCCAATCACCACCACCAAGACAATCACCAAATATCTTTGCAAGAAGTGCTCATATTCAAAGGAGTAGATTGGGGACCACTCCTAATCTTCTGTACATGAATAACACTACCAACAACCATGTGATATCGTCCGTGTCTACTTCGCCTGTCAGTTCTCCTCTTCGGTCACCAACGGCCTTTGATAGTCCCACTGCAAGAGCTCATTTTGCTTCAAGGGAGTCACCAACTCGCCAAAGGGCTACAGAAGTTATAATCAGTGATGACGATGATGACGAAGAAGAGTTTGGGAGAAGCCATGGTTCTCCAAGAAGATCTCTTTTCAACAATTCTTCTTCAACTAAGAGTGAACGATTTTTGGAGCCTCCAGAACCAATATTCTCTCCTGAAAGCTTTGCTGAAGCAAATAGTGAAGTTGAGCAAGCAACAATTGTTAGCGAAAGTTGTCCTGAAAAGTATGATTACGACTCTTATCAAAGGGAGTTTGAAGAACAATCACTTTGTTCTGAAAATACTGCTTACAGCGGTTCGTCCTACGTTTCCAACCCAACTAGTGGGGAGGAGAAGGATTTCTTCAATGCTTCCATAGATAGAAATGTGATGGAGCATATTAACAATGGGTATGTTCCAAAGAGAGAAAAGACTATCACCAGAAGAAAGGTCAGGCTTGTAGGTGGGAAAACGGGCAATCTTGTACTTGAAAATCCAATTCCAGAAGATTTGAAGAAAGTTTTGACCAGAACAGAATCACCTTTTGGTGAATTCACAAGCATGTCTTACACAGCTTGTACTTCTACACCGGATGCATTTGCCGAAGAAGGATTCACACTTAGAGCTTCTAAATTTGGAAGAGAAACAGAAATTGTCATTTGCATTACCATGTACAATGAAGATGTCTTTTCGTTTGCAAGGACAATGCATGGTGTTATGAAGAATGTTGCACATTTATGTTCCAGAAATAAATCTAGTGTTTGGGGTAAAGATTCTTGGAAGAAAATCCAAGTTATTATTGTTGCAGATGGTAGAAATAAAGTCAACGATCAAGTCTTGCAATATTTGACAGCAACTGGTTGCTATCAACACAATTTGGCAAGGCCATATGTCAATAACAAGCAAGTTACTACTCATTTGTTTGAATATACAACACAGATTTCTATTGATGAGAATTTGAAGTTTAAAGGTGACGAAAAAAGTTTGGCTCCTGTTCAAGTATTATTTTGTTTGAAGGAAAGAAATCAAAAGAAGATCAATTCACATAGATGGCTCTTCAACGCCTTTTGTCCTGTATTGGATCCAAATGTTATCATATTGTTAGATGTAGGTACAAAACCTGATAATCATGCAATTTACAACTTGTGGAAGGCATTTGATAGAGATTCTAACGTGGGAGGTGCAGCAGGTGAAATTAAAGCGATGAAGGGTAAAGGCTGGGTTAATTTGACAAACCCTTTGGTAGCCTCTCAAAACTTTGAATATAAAATGTCAAACATTTTGGACAAACCTCTTGAATCGTTATTTGGATACATTTCAGTTTTACCTGGTGCCTTATCAGCATATAGATGGATTGCATTGAAGAACCATCCTGATGGATCTGGTCCATTGGCAGCATATTTCAAAGGTGAAGACCTTTTAAGTGATCACCATAGTACAAATTCAAAGAGAAATTTCTTTGAGGCAAACATGTACCTTGCAGAAGATCGTATTCTTTGTTGGGAATTGATTGCAAAGAGAAATGAAAATTGGGTTTTGAAATTTGTTAAGCTGGCTACTGGAGAAACCGATGTTCCTGAAACCGTTTCTGAATTTATTTCTCAACGTCGGCGGTGGATTAATGGTGCATTTTTTGCTGCATTGTATTCCCTTAGTAACTTCAGAAAAGTTTGGAGTACCAGACATTCTTCTATGAGGAAGTTTTGGTTACATTTTGAATTCGTTTACCAATTTGTGACTATGGTATTCTCATTCTTTTCATTAGCCAATTTCTACCTTATTTTCTACTTCTTGACAGGATCTTTGACGGATTCTCCCAACATCGACCACAGGGCTGGGTTTTGGATTTTCACCCTATTCAATTATTTGGTAATAGCTTGTTTGACTTCATTATTTGTTGTTTCTATTGGGAATCGTCCTCAAGCTTCAAAGAATATTTTCAAAACTTTGATCATTCTCCTTACAATATGTGCATTATACTCATTCATTGTTGGTATTTTCTTTGTGTGTAACACCATTCGTGAATTCGGAATGGGAAATACCTCCACATATGTATTTGTGAGTATTGTGGTGTCAATGCTTTCAACATATGGTCTCTATGTTCTTTGTTCAATCTTATACTTGGACCCCTGGCACATGATTACGTGCTCGCTCCAGTACTTCCTTATGATTCCATCTTACACTTGCACACTACAAATATTTGCCTTCTGTAACACACACGATGTTTCATGGGGTACTAAAGGTGATAACAAACCTAAGGAAGACAAGTCCAATCAATACATTATTGAAAAGAACAAAGACGGTGAGTTTGAAGCTGTTGTGGTCGACACAAATATTGATGAGGATTATCTTGACACTTTATACAGTATTCGGGCCAAGAGATCAAATATGAAGGTGCCTACTCCCAAAGAGACGACCCTGGAACTTGCTGGAGAAGACTACGCTAAAGATGTTAGAACAAAAGTCGTCCTTTTCTGGATGCTTGCAAATCTTATTTTTATTATGACAATGCTTCAGGTATACAGTGCTGGAGATACCAGTTCCAACTATTATTTGGGTTTTATTTTATGGTCAGTTGCAGCTCTTGCATTAATCCGTGCTATAGGATCAATTGGATACCTTCTTCATCAAAGTGCCCGGTTATTTGTGGAGACCAGAAGTAAATGGAACCACAAGAGAGCTGGCTACGCAAGACCCAATGTTAATGCATTAAACTAATAATATAGATATATCCCTTGTTATATATACACAGTCTAGTTTAAAAAGGAAGATCTACAACCAATATACCGTGACCAGTCACATGTTTAATTTACACGTGACATAAATCACGCGACTAGGACTGTATTTGGTGATGAGATGGGATTTGAAAATCAACGCTGGTTAATAAGCGACAACATCAAGAGTCCTATTACATTACAATATGGTGGCTTTAGACAGGAAGAGAAAGGCAGCCACGGCCAATGGACTGGCCAAGAGACAAAAATCGACTTCTTCACGTGTTTTACATTCGAAGAACAAGCTTCCGGATGTGGTGGAGATCGTAGCTGGTAAAACAGAACCATTGGACATATTTGTTTGGGGTACAGGTTCTATGTGTGAACTTGGATTAGGACCCAGTGCTAAGACCAAGGAAGTCAAGAGACCCCGGTTGAATCCGTTTTTAACCGAAGAAAAGTTGGGTAAAGGTATTAAAATAGTTGATTTTGCTGCTGGAGGTATGCATTCCTTGGCTTTAGACAGTGCTAATAGATTATGGTCATGGGGAGGAAATGATAGTGGTGTTTTGGGTAGAGATACATCCAAAGCCAAAGAGGTTTTAAAGTCAATGGATGCTGGTGACGAAGACTCTGATGATGAAGATGGTGATTTGAATGAAGCTGAATCTACACCTGGTTTGGTTGAGAACCTTCCTAACACCGAAGATGGAGGAGCTAAAATTGTTCAAGTGGTAGCCACAGATAATTTGAGTGCAGTCTTATATGATAATGGAGAAGTTTACGCTTGGGGATGTTTCAGATGCAATGAAGGGTTATTGGGCTTTTTAAGACAGGAAATCTCATTACAGAAAACACCATACAAAGTGAAGGAGCTTAGTAACATTGCACAATTAGCGGGCGGTAAGGACCATTTATTAGCCTTGGATAAGAAGGGAATTTTATATGCTTGGGGTAATGGGCAGCAATTCCAATTGGGCCGTCGAGTATTGGAAAGACACAGATACAGAACACTTGAACCTCAACAATTTGGGTTATATAATATCAAGTATATTGCCAGTGGAGATTTCCATTGTTTTGCTATTGACGTCGAAGGCAAGGTATTTGCCTGGGGGTTGAACCAATTTGGACAATGTGCCTTGACTGATATCAATGGAGAACTAGAAGATGGATCTTTGATTACCAAACCTACAGAGATCCCAGCGTTATCGGAGTTAAGTATCACCGAAATCAGTGCCGGTGAACATCATACATTAGCCTTAACATCCGAAGGGGATGTCTATTCTTGGGGTAGATATGATATGAAGGAGATTGGGATCCCAAAGGAGAACCTCCCTCCATCTACTTTTAAAGACGCTCATGGAGTTGCCAGATCTGTTCCTACACCTACTAAGCTTCAATTCGGTGCTAAGGCCGATAATGGAGTTAAGATCAAAACGATTGCTGCTGGTTCGCATCATTCATTTGCAGTTACAGATGATGGGTTTGTATATGCTTGGGGGTTTGCCGATACGTATGCTCCAGGGTTAGGACCCTTGGACGAAGATGTAGAAAAGCCTACTAGAATCGTGAACACTGCCACTAAGAACCACACCATCCAATTAATTGGGGCTGGAGGTCAATTCTCAATTTCGGGAGGTATCAAAATTGAAGACGAAGATGTCGCAGAAGACAGAATCGATAAATATGACGACATTGATGGACAATAAAAATATAACATATATATGTATATATGTAAAAAATAACAGTATAAATCAGATTTGAGACTCAAAGTACTTAACCAATTCATCAATTGACCATCCACTTTCAATATTAGTAGTGATACCATTGATGGAAATGGTTGGGGTCACATGAACACCCACACCTCTCAAATATTTGGTGAAATACTTAACATCACCGATTACTCCATTACCGGAATTGGAAGGTGTATCCGAAGGCTTAATATCCAAAAGCTCCAACACTTGACTTTCGGTGAAGGGCAATTGAGGCAACTTCTCATTGACAACTTTTGCAATATAAGCATAAGTTTGGTTTCTAGTCAAGGAAACCGTTGCTTCATCATAGAATTTCTCTTTATTCTCATAAAGGATCTTAGACACATTCCAAAAAATAGAACTAGCATCAACATCAGAACGGGGGCCCTCTCTTAAGAATTTGGCAACAGCTAACCCGTACTCATTCAACATGTTAGAATTGGGATGCCATGGTTGAATGACATTGACATATACAAATTGAAATTTGTTTGGGTGTTTAACTTGTAACTGAGGAATCACTTCATCCACAAGCTTAACGTACAACTTTGCACTGAATGGACAGTTGTAATCGACATAAATGTTCACTATGTTGGGAATCGAGGTCGCAAGTGTCTTAGCACCGTAATAGTAGTGAGTTAAAGCGTATTTGGGGGAGATCATGATTATTGGTAGCTAAAGGAGTAGTGGTGAGTAGTCGTAACTGAATCAATCCCCGAAAATAGCTCGGAGTATGTGAAAGTGTGACCCCTGGTGTTAGGGGGTCGCATCTGTATACAAGAGAACCATTGCAACTAAAACATACAGTCAAACTTGAGAGAACATACCTGGCCATTTGGGTTCTTCAGACTCAGAGAGTGATACAATGTCGTCTGAGGTGATATTATATTTGTTTGTATCAGATGTGGGTGTCATTGGATCGGAGTTAGGGATGGTTGTATTTCGTAGTTTTCTCCATGAATCATCATCAGCACCATCTACTTCTTCAGATGAGCTATAATCTGAAGAAGACGAGTTGGCTAACCTGATGATCCGTTTTTGCTTCACTAGATACTTGTGTTTCCGTAGTGACTGTGTTCTTCTGTGCACAAGTTTCCTCTGACGCAACTTATCACCATCACCAACACTATCACCCACAATTGATTGATTGGAAATAGCAGAAATGGGAGTAGGAAGTGATGAAGGCACAATACTATCTGAAGTCGTTTCAGTTGTTTGATGAGCCCGGCTCCAGAATATCCTCTTAATATATTTGAAGAATGTGGACGGAGAAGGTTTCGCTTCTTGTTCCATGCTAATAGGATTGGTGATGGGTTGTAGTATGGGTTTTATAGGAATCAGATACGAGGAATTGAATACTCTTACAGGTGAAGGTTTGACCTTTTCACACTCATCACCCTTCTGCTTACCTCCACCTTCATCATCAACAGCACCAGCAACAGAGACCAGCAAGATTGAAGGATCCCCATTCGACGGTGTTAATGTTTCAGGTATGGTAGAGGTGAGTAGGAAATCAATAGGGATCTTTCTAAGGTGGTTTATAGTTTCAGGGCAAGGAGCACCACTAATAAGATCAATATCATCATCTTCATCACTTAGATCCAGGACGGAGATTAGTTCCCTGTCGTCCTCTTCTTCGGCCGAGTCAGATACTTCACTACCCCAAATATAATCAGTCACAACCAGGCTCCTACTTCCATGCAGCGTTACATTGATACCCATTTATGGAAGTAAGTGACAGGTATTATTCAGTCATTGTAAATTACAAAGTGATTGTATATTATAGCGCGCACTTTACTACTATATACACCCACATATATTCAACCGTATAAACACCATATAGACTCTATGAAGATCACTAGCATTAACGTCATTAAGCAACTAATATTACAACTTTACACTTATCCATCAAGATATCACCAAACTTTTCATCGGTATTAATTTCATGGTTTTCAAGTGCTACTACTTGGGCTTTGATATCGAGTGTTTCTTCCACTAAACCGTCATAGTCCTTCTTGAGGTACATGTGGATATTGTTGTGGGTTTGCGTCTCTTCGTCCAAGTTCAATCGTTTAAATAACTTGGCGTGGAGATCTTGGAGTCGCAATGTGACTGGTAATAAAAGTACAAATATGTCTTCATCGTAATAGAATTTGACCTTAACTTTCGCCATCTCAGTGGATGTGGCTGTGGCTTGTTGTTGTTGTGTCTGTTGTGTTTGTTGGGAATTGGCAAGTACAATGGAAGACGATCTTGACTGATTAAGTGATTCCTGAGAGTTGGGTGTATTAACATCTGCTGCAGTAATATGATAAGCTGAATATTGTGATAATCGTTCTTGCTGGTAGTTAGATTGATAACTGATAGGTTTCAGTGACCTTCTTCTTTGGGATATAACATTGTTATTATTGTTTGTAGGATAATATGAATTAACAGCATTACTATTGGTAGTTGATTCGTTACTCAGAATCTCACGATCAAAGCCATTCTCTACCAATTCAAATAGTTGTAACACTTCTTCAGATTTGGAAATATTATCCGGTAATGCTATCAAGTTCTTCAAATAGTAATCCAACTTTTCACGACGTAGTTTGGAAATATGATCATTGACATTTATCAACGGACCAGGAATAGATGGGATGATCCGTTTCAGATTCTCCATCTTCCCGGCTTCAAAGGGGAACAACTCAAGCAATTTCACTTGTAAATCATAAAAGTCTTGATAATATCTGTAAAGATACCTTACTTTCCCATTGGACAATTTCGCACATATAAGATATTGGTATCTGCCATGATCAAGTTGGTAGGAGTCAACACTGGCCTCCACAACAGATGCCATCGACAGTTCAGACGAAATGCTGCTATTAGGAATGGCACCCGGTATACCACCTGCTTTATTATGATTATCGTTGTCATTATGATCTTGTTGTAGTGGGTTCTCAAAGTATTGAGAGTTGGCAGAATGTGGAGCTTGTTGGCTAGTATTGGAAATTGATCCAAGTGGGATAGTAGAAGCTTGATATTTGGCAGTTTGGACTTTCCATTGCTCAACTGTGGGGATCTTGAAATTATCAATAAGCTTTCGTATGTCTTCGTCAGAATTAGAGGAGGTAGAAGATGTAGCCAAAGGATTAGTTAAATCTATAATCTTCACATATGAAACAGGTACAAGTCCAGGACCACCCAATCGGTTAATGGGTTTTGCAATGAACCATTCGTATTCATGATGAGCACAAATGACCAAATTTTCACCAGGATCAACATCCAATTCATCATCTCTCTCTGCCCTAAATGGGTATAGAGTGAGAGCATAAAGTGCTTGGTTAGAGTTTCGCAGTTTGACTCCAGAGGATGAATTACTCGAATTGGAACTACTATGACGATCCATTGGAGACGTTCTATCACCATTATTATTGTTGTTCTTGTTGTCTGTGACGATTGAGGGTCTTGATCTGTTGAATACTTCAAAATACACCATTGGTACCATTCCTGTGGTTTGGGTCATGGGATTTGTTGCTTCACACCAGCCATTTTGATTGGCTATGGTGTCTTCGTCATCATTGAGTACATGAAAGAAATCACCCTTTTTAAACCGCAATTCACGAGGTCCTTGAGGTTCATAGTCATAAAGAGCCCTGATAACTTTCTTTGGACTTTGTAATAGTAAGGAGGCCCCCCCATTCTGATCAAATGCTGAAGCCAACGGAACAGACACCGACCCGGAACCTGACCCTGACCCACTGCTGAGTCTACCTGTAGGACTTGAGTTGGAAGATATGCGCGTGATGGAATGTTTGGGTGAATTATCACCAGAATGTCTCTTCTTACGCAATGACTTAATCATGATGGTGTACTCTCAACTCAATTGAGTATATTTTAACACAGTATTGTTTCTTTCTTTCTTTTATCAGGGGTAATGTTCCTTGCTATATGTAAGACATCCACTACTGCTCTCCCCCGTTAACGGTGATAGGTCCGATGGAAAAGATGTTGATGGTGGTTGTTGTTTGGTGTGATGTGGTGTGCCTCAACTGCTGTTTTTTTTTTGTTAGTGAAATTGCTCTACTTGTGATCGCACAAACATTCCATCGCCATACAGAATGTATATAGTGAGCAGAGCAGATATAGCAAATGTGCAGCCAGTACTGCAGTGAATACTCCGGTACTACCTACAGAGTGTACTTCGGTGCATAGTACAGTGTATACCACAGTGTGACTACAGTGTGTACCACAGTGTCCACCACAGTGTGTACTACAATGTGACTACAATGTGACTACAATGTGACAACAGGCTCGTTACCACAGTTGTCCCCAGAGTGTTCCTCACAGTATGTGTGTTGTGTATGTGTTTTATACTTCTATATTAACTACCGCAGGCATTTTTGTAAGCGATATCAAGGCTTATGCTTGTTTGAAGATCTCCTGGCAACTTGAAACGGCACCATATTTGAAACACAATTCATTAACAATAGAAAAAATAATAATTCAACCAGCATACCATACCAGAAGTTAAATTGAGAACAATAACACGCATCGAATAATTTTATTTTCTTTTTGGCTCAATATTATTAAACATGTTTTATTCTCCGACTCAGGGTCAGGGGGTTCGGTCCGTAAATTTTCACTAACCAGGGTTGCAGATGATCTTGCCGTATTTTCGCATAGCTCATGGTGCTTGAACTAGGCGCACATGCATCATGGCTCCAACCTCTTTCTAGTGACATTGACATTAAAATCGAGTAAGAGTTTCAGTGGGCAACAGTAACAATTGTAACAGCAACTGTTGCAACAGTTGTAACAGAGGTAATAGCCATCTGTTGATGGTGATAACCCCATTGTAACATCGATTTTAGTCTGTTGGAAAATCTTTGGTTGTTTGCTGTATTTGGACAACTTTAAAACAAACCTGTGTGCAGAATGATTTGCGAAATCATGAAACTCACAGGATGTCCCGATCGGGTAGTCCTAGTAGATACTACTTTAGTCTCAACCCTCTCATAAAGAAGCTAAACAGGCCCGCATATATTCAATGTAAATGGTGCAATCACGACTCTCTTCTTGCCAATATTCAAATACAACAATCAGATGCTCCAAAAAGTTAACCACAGAATCCTTGGAAATGATCCCAGACATCATCGACATCAAATCAACTCCAGTAGGTAACTCTAACGGAGGAGGTGCCGTGGGAGTACTGGTAGATCCAGTTGCTGATGATGGTGGTGTCACCAACTCAGGTCCCTCGGTTGTATCTTCAAACTCCTTCCTCTGTTGATATTGTTGTTGCATCTGTACATGCCTCATCTGCATATATGTGGTCAACATATCGGTCATCTTTTTATACAAAAGATAATTGAGTATGCTTCCCACAAACAAGTTCCGTAAATAATACCAACTTCCAGCATGACGATGGCCAGAAATCTTGGGAATTGTCATCTTGGGAATCGTAAGTAAATGCATTATAAACACCCGCAAGATCCTAAATCTTGCCATGGGTAAATTCTTTAACACTATCTCATCTCCTTGTTTCAGTTCAATCACAGAACTAAAGTCTTCTTCAATGAAATGTTTTTGATATTCGTGAGGTGCCTCATCTAAATAATCCATATTCAACATAAACTCCAGTTGCAGCGAGTTTGAATCCGGTGAAAACGAAACCGAAGAGGCCAGTCCAGGAGCGTTGGTTGAAGAAGGGTGCGATGACAGATAACCAGCCAGACCTGGTTGTGGTTGCTGTTGATGTTTCTTTGCCTCTGGTGGATGAAGAACAGAAATAGCACTATCAACCAACTCTTTGAGCGAGATTCTATCTTGTAGAATCATGTAAATAATTGGTCTGAATAATGTCATCTTGGAAACCACAAACCGAGTTTTAATGAAAATAATTGCTTCCGATTGGGCGTTCAAAATAATATCTTCATCTATTAAAAACTCATCCAAATAAAGTTCATCATCAAATTGATTAGATAACTTTTTGTTCCGTCTTCTTTTGATATTACTGTGAATTTGATGGACATCCACTTCTTGCATCAAGAACCCTCGGATTCGTGAAGGTAAGCAATTTATTATACCGTTATATTGGTTCAAATATTTTATAACAACTGACCATAGCTTTTCCTCGTAAAACTCTGGCTGATCCCACAACTGCTGTTTATTTGCAACCTCATAAGTGTAAATTTCATCATATAACTTATTATCCACTTTACGAACGGCAATTTCGGTAAGAAAGAAATACCATGAATATTTATCTTCATATTTCGCAGCTATCAGCCGTGACTTATGTATGAATTGACGTATTAAAACATGTTCAGTGTCGTCACTGTTAACCATTCGGTTCTTATTCAGATCATCGTTATCTCCGTTCCAGTCGCCAGAAGGATGCTTGGGAGATCCCTCATGGGAAATATCATCCGACGTTTGAATGTTGGTTCCAAGAAATATAGGATCACTATCACTATCGTAACCGTCTTCTTGATTAGATTGAGGGATTTTGGGGAACACAGCTGTCTTGGCCGATTGAGTGATACCTGAAATATAAACATATGGTGAAAGCTCAACACGCATTTCACATTCAATTTTCAAACATGACCAAAATAACCGATCTATGAAATCATGAGCTCTGGGTGTATCCTCTTTCTTCTTAACTTCCAAATAATACATGAGCTGATGGCAAGCCCTCAATATTTCCGAATATGCTTTCATTGGCAGGGCAACAAGCAAAAAGTAGCCACTTCGTATTAAATGCAATTCCGCTTTGATACACGGGAACTTATCCATGATATGAAAGGTATTGTCTATCATCTCAGAGTATCTTAATAAATAAAGTGAAACAAGACCTCTATCCTTAGGTAGTCCCAACTCTTCCAAGACTCTTTCATTGATGCAACCCAAGGAAACAGATTTTCTTTCCTCCAAAGAGCTTCCAAATTTGGAAAAGTTCTCCAATTGGACATTAGTCGATAGGAATCCCACGGCACACACAACAACAAATAATGGAAGCTGTTGGCACATTTCTTCGAAGTGAACCTTATTGATAGGATACTTGGATTCATCCCCTGCTGCTAATAACTCGACACATTTCAAAATGGTTAACTTTGGGTTTTTCTTGGTTAAATAGGAAAGAAGCTCAAATGTCAAAATTAATGAACCAATGTCTAATACTGGCAATTTGGGTTGGAAATTGGTCAAATACGAATTTAAAAGTGAAGAGGCACACTTGGAAATTAACCGGTCGACCCTTTCACCCATGGTAACTTGTTCTTGAAACGAGCCAACCTTTTGCGAGATCAGTAATCCACCATATTTCTTTAGTAAACTATTAGTCTTTTGATCTGCAAAGTCCAAATTGGTATTACTGGCTTTCATAAAGTAATCCCATTTCAACATAGATGTTAAGGACATATCCCAATTACAACGATCAAAATTATATCTCTTGCTCTCACCCCCTCCTTCTCCATTGAAATAATTTGTATTTGCACCTATTGAAGATTTTGCATCGTTTGCTGCTATGCGTGTACTCTTGAGTATAGCAAGGTCGTTCAAAATCATATCTAACTTGCTTAGTATTGTTCCTGAAGCAACATTTGACGTCAGAAAGTCCGAAACATCGTCAGCTCTATAATGACAGTCGACAATCCCATTCTTGACACAGCTACCACACCGAGGTCTGACATTGTCACACTTGATCTTCTTCGTACGACAGGTATCACAAGCTGTAGGAGCTCGTCTTCGGGTAGACCCTAATTGGTGCTGCTGTTGCTGCTGCTGTTGTGGTTGTTGTACCATATTTGGTTTTGTCTTTTGTCTCTTCTTTCCTTGCACGTCATCTTGAGTAGTTGATGACGGCGGTGGAGGCTGTTGTAATGGTTGAGACTCTATCTGAGTAGGAGGAAATTGTTGAGATTGAGAAATCTGCTGCATTTGTGCTGTTGGAGGAGGTGGTTGCTGATGCTGATGTTGATGCTGATGCTGATGGGGTTGCTGGGGTTGTTGTTGTTGCTGTTGTTGTTGATACGAGTGCACAGCCGCACCTGGTATCATTCCCCCATATGGTGGAACCTGATGCAGAGGAATCAACCTATCTTGTGGTGGTGGGGCTGCTAATTGGGATATGTGGGGTTGATGTGCCTGATGATTCGGCCTTAGTTGTGATTGATGCGAACTACGATGATTATGTTGCGGCGAGGACACTTGTTGATGTGGACCAGGTCCAGATGGAGGAGGAGTTGAACCATGAAGCTGTGCTGGTACATATTGTATTGGAACTTGTTGGGAATAGTATAACACTTGTTGATATGGACCTTGGACGTTATACATTGGAGGGGCAGGAGTTGCCGGTACTAGAAACTCACCATTGGGACCAGGTATCGAATCCTTTTTGATGTAAACCAGAGGTCTGCCGGAGACTGTAGTACCCCCAACTTGGCCACTAGGTATTGGGCCATTGGAAGATTGGTTATCGCTTTTGGCTGGAGAGCCGGAATTAGTTGAGCTCATACAATATTGGAACTCGAATGGAATAAATTAAAATCAAACTCGATAACGATGGTAGTATAATGGTTTTTGTTATCACTTAATGGAAAAAAATGAATACATAAAGGGGGGGCTTGATAAAATGAGAGAGCTTTTAAACGATTAAAAAATGCCTTTTGACTGATATTATACCAATCTCATAGTTGAGATGAACTTTTTGCTTATAGTTTGTAATTTAGTTGTTTTGTGGAAGAAGTGTGTTCACAATAGAATTGTTATCGTGCCTGTCCGAACTGTGTTTGTTTTTTTATCACGACTAAATTGCCTGGATTTGAGAGCTAGTAGTGGCGGGAAATCATTACCTAGTATGGTTCCAACGATTACTGGCACGATTAACAGAAAAAGAATAGTGGGGTAAGGTACAAATATATATATACGGGTAATAGCTGTTACTTATGTAGTTGTATTTTGCGTGCTGTAATTTACGCAATAAGTATAAATTTTACGTATACAACCTTATTTTTAAGCTGCATTACATTACAGATACACTAAGTTACAGCTGCACACTTACAGCTGCACACTTACAGCTGCACCTCACTTTACATAGCTACACTATACAACTGCTCTATATTGTAGTATTATAGCATACCTATGTTGTAGGGTACCTTTATTGGATGTTCATGCATCCTTTGTGTGCAATGTGACCTTAGGAATTGTTGAGCGTCTGTTCCCCCTTCATTGACCTCGGATTTTCTATCTTATCCTAATGTCATGTGGCTGACTACGCTCTATGTTCTTATTTACTAATATAATTTCTTCAATACATTATTCTTCATCGCAACGCGGTTTGGGGTACTAATCTATTACTAACATGGGTTAGGCAATTAACAATTAACCAGGAGGCAATTGTGAAGCATCAACAATATCAGCAGCATCAACAGCTTCTTCTTCTTCGACTACTACACCATCCAATGGAGTTCTGGGTAAAGCCATCATACCAGATCTGGCGATCTCTAAAATACCAAATGGATGCAACAATTGAATGAAGGCAGTAATTCTACTGGGTTTGGCACTCAATTCAACAATACAGTTCCGGTCAGAAATATCAACAACTTTACCACCAAACTTGTCGGTGATAGTGTTGATGTGATTCAAATGCTCATGTTTCATTCTTAAGGCTTCAGATGGAGCCAAGTTGTTTGGGTGGAAAATCAGTTCAGGGGCACTCAAATCAGGGATAAAAGCACCATCACTGGTATGGATCTTGTGCGAAGCAATCAATTCTTGAAAGTATTCAGGTCCCAATAAGGAAACTCTGGCCAATAACAACTCTCTCTTGATAATCTCAGAGTTGGAATAATCCAAAACAGCATAAACAGGAACCAAGTCTTCAAGCTGTCTTCTAGCTTGTTCAATCACACCATCTTGGCCAGCCAATACAATTGTCATTCTAGACAAATCCTTGACTTCAGTGTTACACACCACAAGGGAATCGATATTGAACCCACGAGCAGCCAATGTACCGGAAACAGACGACAACACACCGGGTTCATTCTGTACCAAACAGTTCAAAACGTGTTGTTTCTTTGAAGCATTCAGAACAACTGGTGTCTCGTATAATATTGAACTCACAGCAGCATCAGCAGACCAATTTGGAGTTTCTAAAGTAGGTAAAGGAGGTCTGGTTTGGTTACGGTGTAATTGCTTGTACGCAAGTGCAGATGTCGAAGAAGTGGTCTTCGATCTAGCAAGCTGTTTTCCAAGCTGCTTAATGCTGGGTCTAGCCAATCTAATACACGAGGACATCGGAACTGATTTAGTGCTTGTGGTTAATACCCCAGTGTTAAGTTTTAGGGTTGTGCTTTTTTTCTTTAGTTACACCTCCCAAAACAAATTTTTCACTGTCAACTTGACTCATTTTGCACGTGACATGGCCCGGTTCCGGGATTCATAGAGATTGTATATATACCGGTACCGGCACATAACCCCATACTTTTAAATCACAGGAGCTAATAATGTGTTTGATTTATGGGAAAGATCCATACCGTAATCCAATATAACCATCAGGTGCATCAGTTACGTTGTGCCAGGCGAGTTGCCCTTTTCGTCCTTCTATTCCTCGATCAGATATAGTGTTACCCCACCAATCTAAACTGAAACCGGTGATCAGGAAGATGAAAAACCCCAAAAGTGCACTAAACGCGACCCCAGCTGATAGTGCCAGTGTCAAAATGTAGTTATATCTTTCCCACCAAAGTAAGTAATGCCTCTTCACGTAGTACATGAAAAAATACAGGAAATATAACCCACCCGTGGCATAACTCAAATTATAAGGTGCATATCCGAGAAGACCACCAATAATAATTGTTGGTTGAAAATACTTTGCAAGATTAGTTGGACCATATTTCTTGAATAAAGCACAAGGAATAACTAGTATTGCCCCTAAAAGGAAACACCATTTCAAAACAGGATACAACCCTCCAAAAACTTTTGCTGGCCCAATCTCTCCGTATTGAATACTTGCATAAAAAAAGGTATTGGCCCCAGGACAACTTAACTTATCCGCCTGATTACTCTCACATAAATCAGGAATATTGTCAATCTGCCAATTAGCTATAAGTAAGGAAATGAATACACTTAAAAGGGTCGAAAGTAATTGGCCCTTGAAAATCGCTTTGGGGGGAAGTTTTGTGTAGTGGGCCAACTTTTGATCCGTAATGTAATTGCTAGCTTGGTTATCAATGTTATAACCATATGATTTCAATGTAATCAATGCGAGACCTGAATTAGGAATCGCGTACCCCACAATCAATTCTACCAAGACATTTAGACCAAACAGAAACCCAGTAACGGAACAAATAGCAGTAATTGGAATCAAAAACACTAGGTTAATACCAATTGTAAAAAAGACTCCCCATACGGGAGTTTCTGTGGGATATAAGGAAACACAAAGTACAGCAAACACGGTACTAACGATTAAAACTGCAAGAAACCATAAATCAGGAACTTCCTCATATTTGCTCATCATTTGACAATGGGGGTCCTCAGAAAACCTACCAAATCTAGCATCCCTGTTGCTGGAGTTCATTGGCCTTATGGAATCTCTAAAAGTATGGAAAATATTGATGAAGGCCAGCTTCATAGATTCCCATTCTGTGGCCATATGGTATAAGATTGCAAAGGGGTATAAGCAAAAATATGCCCCGTAAAGAACTAAGTTGGCAGCAGAGAAGTATGGTGGACCATATTGCTGATACTTTGTCTCATCGAATAAGTTATCATTCCCTAATATCTTCAGAATTTGATAGACTTTACCCTTATTATCAAAGAGGTGATTAGAATTGATTGGCAAATAGGATGTCCAGTTATTATCCGTATAGTATATCACTAGAATAACAATAAATCCTATTATTCTTCCAATGTACTTGTTTAAATAGGTGTAGAATGGAATGGTAAGACAACCATCGGAATCAATAATGTTCCAGTCAAAAGATGGAATCGGGTTAAGCCCTAAACCTTCATTAGATCCCGTAACATTAATCAAATGTATCAGGTTTGGACTGAACCATGTTGGCCAATTGAAATTAGATAATGCTGTGAAGAAATAACCTGGGATCCAATAATATAAAAAACTACCCACGAAAACAAGGTAGAAAACCGAGAATTGTGATAGTCTAAACTGTGAGTCACGTTCTGAAGATTCACTATATCTCATAAGGGCTCTATTTAATGCAATTGTGGGTAAGATTGTTGGCCAAAGTGCTCTTGCCGGATAAATACAAACTTTTTTCATCAAAAGTGCAAACCCAAACCCAAGAAACTGGGTTGACGATGCTAATAGAAATTGAAAAGTCCAAGTAACCCATTTTAGACCATAAAACTTATCCAATTTCATCACCACTATGTTATAAATTGCGTATGGAGTACCTGCTGAACAGGAATACATGATTGTAGCAAGCATCATCTCCTTATAAGTCCAAGGACCCGAATTGAGATCAAAAGAGAAACCAAATAATTTTATAGTTACTTCTGGAACGTATCTCTCCCATAACTTACCTGTTGGAAGAAGAAGAATTTGAATAGTGTGAGGCCCTAATGCTATTGATGGCATTCTATGAACGAAAAAGTTGTTAACAACAGACCCAATTAGAGTCCACACTAATCCTATGACATAAACTCTTAATGTTTCAACATGTGTATCATCATCATCACAAGGATCTGTAATTGAACGTATTTCAGGATAAATGGAGTGATATCTTATGAATGCAGCTTGGATTTTAACTTTAATGGCCCATTCTTCTTCATTTTTGATTTCCATTTCATCATACTCCGGATATTCATTGCCACTAGTCGTCTTATCCTCCTCAATTTCTCGTAAAGCAGCTTTTAGGTCCAGATTCAGATCTTTAGAAGGACTCTTTAAGTATCTTGAGGCGCCATTCATAAGTCGTGACACTAAGTCATACTCTGAAAAGTTAACATCTCCACTATGGTCAGCCAATGCGTTTCTTAAGATCCCAAGCGCTATCTCCACATCCAATTCTTCTATTCGATCTATCATATATTGGTTTGGATGCGGTATTCTTTCAAGCGGTGCGTCAGGTGCCAACCCTAAAGACTCAAGAACAATTCTTCGTTGAAAAGCGGTTAACTTCCCATTGCTTGGGTTTTGTTTTGGTGATTCCAGTTCCCCACCATTTGGCGGCACAAACTGCTGTAACTCAATATAGTTTGTATCTTTTGCCATGATGGGAGAACAACTTTGATGAATAGTTCGTTTTAAACGGATTGTAAAATATATACACCTTTGATTTAGGTCTTTCCAAATGCGGTAATCACCTTCACCTTACTCCAACACGTATCAGCTTTTTATGACGAGTATACTGATGATACACTCTGCGATAGATATGTCAATGACATAGAGAGAGCTTTCTATCTGTGTATCGGATAAGCCGCTAACATACAACTAATAACATTTCAAGTCAACTAGTACTAGGTTATACACATAAACTACCAAAAAAAATACCGACAACTGCAGGATTCGAACCTGCGCGGGCAAAGCCCAAAAGATTTCTAATCTTTCTCCTTAACCACTCGGACAAGTTGCCTTATTTGGTTACTCTTCGAGCTGATGTTTACTACTATGTAAAAGTTCTAATTCACCCTAACACCCAGCTACATATAGTATTGAAAAAATAATAAGCATATATTTGCAACTGAATTGAATACTTCACCATTAAATCTAATTTACACTTATATAATCAATGCTTTCTGAGTTTGGACAGCATTATTCGCAATTACACACCTTTTTAGGAATCTTTTACAAGCCTCCATTTCAACTGAATTGTCCACTTTTTTCCAAAAAGGGTATATATATATCTATAATAAACCAATTAAAAGGAAATAAATGCATTAATAATGAAACTGCAGTTCATCTGTCATACATAAACTAAAACTATAGAAAATAAAGTTCCTAAACTTTTGGTTGGTATTTTTTTGGTAGTAGAATTGAAAGCCTTTTCGTTAAACGCAAAAGAATAAAATAAAATAAAAGCAGAAACAACCTTAAAGAGTGTGAAGGTATCAGACAACCAAGCTAAGGGAAAATCACACTGTGATTATCGTCAGAAAGTAAAGGAAAGTGGGTAAAAATTATTAAGCCGATTTGCTTAAAGGGATCTCTTTCTTCTCTTGATTACAATACAGTTACCAGAGCTACCGGCTTGGGTAGTCAGAGAAGTAGCAGTTCCTGTATTTGTTGTTCCTGTACCTGTGGAGGAAGCCTTTGTAGTAGTAGCTGAAGCTGAAGTACTAGTTAAGGTGGCAGTGTTACCACCACACTTACCGAAGGCAGCAGCCAAAGCGTTAACAATCACAGTCTTGAAGGTACTAATGTTAAGGAAGGACTTGATAAGAGAAGGAACCAAACCAGATTGAATGATAGCATTGATCAAATCGCCAAAGTCAATGGCACCAGATTTAATGATATCAGTAACCAAGTTAATACCAAACTTCAAGTAAGCTGGGTTTGTAACAAGAGTCAACACAACTTGGTTAGCCAAACCCGAGTTCTTTAAGGATTCCATAAGGTTGGTAACGATTTCTTGAGTGTCTCTAGCATAAACCTGTGGGTAAGGTTCAAAGACAGCCAATTCAGTAGCTTCAGGCGTTCTCTTTTTAATATCAGAAGTAGTGATGGATCCACCAGATATGATTCTAAGAATCAATGAACCCAAGTTACCAATTTCACTCAATACCAAATCATAAATAGCCTTATAAAAATGACAATCTGAGATTACAGCCCTTATCACATCAACAGCCAAACCAGAGTCATTCAAAGAAGTCAACAATAAGGTGTAATCGATCTTTGTGTTTTCAATAGCATTCAAAATAACATCATGGGCAATTTTAGATAAGGTTGGATCGTCTAAAACGTATTGCAAAACAAGAGGAGCAACTTGGGTTTGGTTAATTAAAGTCAAAACTTGAGTAACAATTTGGTATTCTCTTGCCACGAGTTCTTCGCCAGAATAGTCTTCTCTTTTGGCAACGAAAAAGTCCAAATCCGCAATAAGATCGTTCATTTCTGAATGTCTTTTTACCATCAAGGCATTATCAAGAGTTTGAGCGGGAAAAGCCCAGACTGTGGACGAAAGGAATGCCAAACAGGCAACAACAATTGTATTAAAAGCTCTCATTGCAACAGACTTATCAACGATAGAAGAATGGTTGCGAAAAAAATTAACTAAAGTAAACGAATCTCAAACTATGGCAGCCTCGTCCAAATATGTGATGGTTATTAGTTGATAAGAACAGAAAGTCGAGTAGCCGCTGAAAAGAATGATTAAGAGGATACATTTATATACTTTTGGTTAGACTTGTGTTTGTCTATACTAAATTACCTAACGAGGGCATGAGTTGATATTGTATCACAATGTAGCTGGTGCACCAAAAATTTCTCAAATAGGAAATTTTTGCATCCTTTTCCTTTAAGGCTCCAATCTTTTACGATAAATGGTAAAGAGACAAACTAAATATACGGAGAAGAAAATAAGCAGATTTAAAGGCCATTGTTTTGTTACTGGAAAAGGTTACATTACCAGGACAACTTGTTCTTGGCTCCCTAAAACAGTTAGTAATTAGGATATTTGGTTTGTGCTAATTCTAAGAATAGAAAGAAAGCAGTCAGGTAATTAGATGGGTGTTTGTATGTTCCTATTCCCCCGCTATAAACTCTTCGTTTACAAAAAGATAATAGTAGTATCCACAATAAATCTCTTAGAACGGTAGCAAGGTAATCTCAAGTATACGTAATTACTGGAATTGGCCATTACACAAACCACCCCTACAAACAAATACAGTGCCACTTACATGAAAAAGTTTGGTGTAATTGATGCACTAGTGAATCTGCTTACTGCTAGTCGGTTCCATTTGCAAACCACCGTTGTTTCATCTGCAGCTACCGCTAAGTTCGGCTCTATTAAGCTCTGCTGCAACAAGGTCGGCTCCAACAAGGTCGGCTCTAGTAAGCTCCGCAACACAAAGTCCCGCGGCATAATCTTCATATTCAATCATAGCAATAATAATAATAATAATAATGATAAGTATCATCCATATATTAAGGCTTACTATAGTTAAGCCGCCAACAGTAAAACCGAGTAGTGTGAGTGGGAGACCATACACGAAATTCTCTGCGTACACTAACACTTAGGAAGCTTTCAAAGATTCTTTTGTGACTTTCTCTACCCCGGATTAATGTAGTGCACGGAAAGACCGGACTAACTTTACACAGTCGGCAAAAACAATCAGGACGGCTGAAAATACACTGCACTGTAGCCATAGTTTTCACCTCTTAGTATTACACGTAACATTACGGAACAAGCAACATTCAACTAATTCAATTCAGTCCAGTCACACGTGTATGAGCTGCCTGTAGGTCACTGGTAATAATATTGTTCTACTATGTTGGAGGCTAGAACTTTGCTATACTGGTTGGTGTTGACAGTTGTTGTTCCATACACTGTCACGCTAATTGTGGCGAACTTGGTTCCAGGAGTTAGGGTCGGGTCTATTGGATGGTTTACCGTGAGAGGAGTAGAGATCGCTAAGACGAACAAGAAGATCAAAATAGGTAAGTTGAAACTTCGGGTATCAACATTCTTTGGGAGATCCAAGGACCTGAAATCTCTAAAGATCCTCATAGAAGATCTAAGCATTGAATTGAGTCCCAGAGAGAGCACCAAGGCAACAGAAATAGTGCCACCGGTAGCATCATCACCACCAACTGCTAAGCTCAACTCTTCTGTTTCTCTACCAAAATGGGTGTTTGAGTCTTCTCTCATCCGTGGAATTGCATGCTACATTCAATTTGAAGTGGTAAATTGTACATTGATTCAACTTCAAAACAATTCTTCTACTGCTATTGATGCCTATGTCGAAAAGATGCATGCTTCTTTCAATATCGCCTCGTATTCCGAAGGAACTGTTCTGTTAGCATTCAGAGGTGCTGTACTTAAACATCTTTACCAACCATTGAAAGAGTGTCCCAAGATTAATGGTGGTTCATTGGTGTTTCGGTTCTTCTTATCATATTCGTGTCAAATGAAGAACCCTAACGTTATGGACTTGTCTATTGACCAGATTGAAATCAAATCATCTTTGAGCAATGCCATAATTAGCCTTGATGAAATATTACCTTCATTGAAGAAGGCAAAGGAATTGAAGACGATAACCAAAAGTAAAACCAAAGTGGAAAACTCGCTGGCTGCTGGTACCGATCTTACAGGGTTGAAACCTTTAATAACCAGCATTTCAGGGAAGATAAAGTCATTTGGTTTCCGGTTGGAGGATTTCCAATTGAAATATAAATCAATAGTGGCTCTGTTTGGTAATATCCAAACCCTTGTTGAAGGTGATGATTTTGGGACCATAATTGATAAAACTAAAGTTACACTTTTTGGAACTGCTTTTAGAGTGAAACACCTTGAATACACTTGTGTCGAGTTACCTTCAGTTACCTTCCAAGTGGCGTCATCTTTCTCCGATCTTGTTGATCTTGCACTTTCCCCTAAAAACTGCAAAGATTTGTGCATTAGTACAAGATTAAGTTTGACAACTCCTCAATTGAATATTTATTACGATCAAATTGAATTATTGGTCAATGAAAGAATTGCTTCATTTGCATCAATTTCTTCTTCTTCAAAGAAAGATAAAAAGCCTTCCAAATCGAAAACCATGGTTTTGGAATTTCTTCGTCAGTTCCAAAGAGTTACCTTTAAGTTAAATATATTGGAATTTGAAATTTCGGTGCACTTGCCTCGAACTAAAGATGCAACGAACTATTCCAGAACTAATCCTCAGAACCTCATTGTTAAGCATAGAGCTCTGACGATTTATCACAAGTTTTCAAGTTCAAACTTGAATAAAGATATCGAAAAGGCCATTGCTGAGAAACGGACCTTAAACTATCTTTTTAGAGCGAAACGTTGGAGAACAGATATCGAGGGGAATACCATTAATGTTTCCAAGTTAAACTTAATAGTTCATTATGATGTTGTTAAGAATTCCCTTTATATCAAAACCGTTGCCAAAACGATGCTTGTCAACTCAATTAATAATCTTATATTCTTTCTAATCCACGAGTCAAGAAATAGAAAAGTGAGAATCCAGAATAGGAAGTATGAACACTTACGGAGACTCGGACTCAAGAGCAGCACGAGTGAAGAGACCTTGGGAATCAAAGACTGTCATAATAATGATGTTAGTAATGATAACCTGAATATCTCAGATCAAGTCGAGCACTTGAAACTTTTTGAGATCTTACCTTCATTTGTTTCAAGAATAGGAATCCAAGTTTCAAGTATCAGCTTTGATATTTCTTTCAAAGACAATTTACCTTCATATTTAATGAACGATGACCTTTTAGGAGTTGAGGTTGATATGGGAGACTTTAGACGTGGAAGCTCATACAAATTAAATGACTTATCTCTCACTTACAACAAGAAAAGAAGCATATTTGATTTCTCCATTGGCTCCTTCAACAACTATACCCTTAGTGATTTTGCTACAGAATATGTGGCAGACTTTGACCAAATCGAAAAACGAAACGATCATCGAGACTACAGTGATGTTTCAACATTAGATTCAGCTTTCTCCACCGAATATGAAGAGAATGCAGAAGAAGGTGTGCTGATGTCTAATAAGATCAAGCGGGTACTTGTGATTCAAGACATATCTTTTAGAAACTCCCACGAAGATCCAGATAAACTTGTGGGTCGAATCCCTGAAATCGACGGGAGAGTCGATATGTTTCTCTGTTGGTGTGTGCTTTATGCAAAGTCAATGATTGAATACTTTGCTCCCACAGAGAAGAGCGTATGTTCCAAAGAGAAGTTGCAGAGAATGAGTGGGAAAAGACCCAAAAAGTTAAATCTTTCAGTTTCCGTAGATTCTACTGCCATCGTGGTGAGATTGCCTCATAAAGTTGACGTTATGATTGAACTTGATGATCTAAGGATGGAAGATATATTATTATCATCAACTTTAAACCTCAAGTTTTGTCGTTTATATGTTATTCATCCTGCTACTAAATTGTGGACCAGATTATTGGTGATTTCCGAACCCAGCTTCCATTTTGGGAAAGCGCAAAATGAATCTATTACTTATCCTAAGTTTGAAATTATTGCAAATTACATCAAGTTATCCATTCCCTACCAATTTGCACTTTACACAGTCATTGATAATTTCATTACTTTTTTCAAAGCTCAACGACAAGTACTTCATAACTTCCATGAGTTGAAAATTAAAGGAAATGATTTCTCCAAGCTTCTACCTACAGAAAAGCCTCCTGTTTTAATGCCACAGCTTAATATCAAATCGAAGATCTTGGGACTCAAAATTGAGAATGATCCTTTTGAAAATGAATTATCATACATCTTTGAGCTTGGGTTGGTTGAACAGAGAGAAAGAATCCAAAAGTATAAATATTTGGAAGAAAGAATTGAGGCTATCAACAGCAAAACAATGCCTACCATTGATGAACTGGCAGAATTGACTTATAGTGACGAGAAACAGGACCAATCTAACATTTTTGGACGGCTTGCCTCTCCTAAACCTTCAGCATCTGAAAAGTGCCAGATAAGGAGACTTTTCCTTAGCCATACAACTGTTCCTAATTGGAAGAACAAAACCTCTTCGACGACGACGAAGACCTCAAATGGTGCACATCTTGAGGAGGCTCCCGTTCTTTTAGATGAAGAGAACTATTATACCAAGGAAGAAGCCGACTCTCTCATAGATAAAGTAACTGACCAACTTAATAGAGAGTTATCCAGTTCTTGGGTTCTCAAATACAAGAAGTTCAGACAGGAGGCTATTAATAGATGGAACTTTAGAACTGAACAGAACTGGGGGTCGGATGACATTAATCACATTATAAAGAATAAATTTGATATTCTTGATTATGCAGAGGGTCCTCCATTATTTGGAGCTGGAACTCGAAATCTAGATTTGACAATTGATAGGGCCAAAGTTGATGTGGAAAAGTTTCTAGAGACCCATCAGAAGCAACCTAAACTTATTTATTCGATTTTGGTTCCCTTATATGTCAAGTTACGAAGTTCTGATTTTTATGTATTTTTAAAGGACTATCACTTGCCTGTGGTTGCATTTCCAGCTCATCTGAATCCCAATATCAAAGCTGTTAATGTGGAGGGTACCATAATTGTCAACGAAAGGTTAGTTAGTCGGAAGGAAGAAATGAGGTACATTTACGTACCATTTTCACCAGCTGCAAAGGTGCCTTCATCTGTTTTTGAAGATAGTTTTTATTCATGTTTTATTCCCAGAACATTGATGCCTGTTAAAATGGCATATGATTTAAAATGGAAATTAGATACTGATAAATCTTGTTTGATTGCTTGGAATAAATCTTATCTGCCAGCATTACTGGCAAGTATGACAGCGTTAGACAATTTCACCAAGCCTCCAATTGATGATAGTCCGCTTGGTTGGTGGGACAAACTTCCTTTGATTATGCACGGGAAAGTGGTGGTTGACGTGGCCAATGAGCTTTGTCTTCATATCAAGAGTTCTACCAGTCCATATGATTTGGTTGGTAAATCTACTGGGTTTGTGTTTTCTTGGAGAAGTAATGTCAAACTTGGAATTAATACCACTGGTAAAAGTGAAGAGCTTATTACTCTTGAAAGTGACGATTTCCTTTTAGCAGTTCCTAATTATTCCAACCAAGAAAGAAAAGCCTGGAGCTTCTTTTTTGAAGATGATGAACAACCAATGGACATTGAAGCGGAAGCAAGGAAATTTGCTAAAAGAGTAATCACTCTTACATCTGCTGAAAGAGTAGTTTGGAAACTTGGATTTACTTTTGAAAGAAATAAAGATAAATCAGACATGCTCTGTGATAACCAAGAAAGAACCTCCCAATTTAGACCTCATTATGATGTTACTGTTACTAATCCACTTTTTGAGTACCATCCTGATTCCTATGAAGGTTATCGATCAGACTACCTCCATCTTGCATTCACGGTTATTTCCAGGAGTCAAACGGGGAATAGTCACAATTCGGTATACTTTTCTCCGCTAGTATTTGAATACTTTTTCAATTGGTGGGATACTATGACTAAATGGACATCGTTACCGGTTAAAAAGGGGAAACTCTTTAGTGATATTCCTACCATGAAACATGTGAAGTTGGGTACTCATTTGTTCACTGTGAAATATCAAATCATCTTTGAACCATTGACTGTTTCCCACATGTACATGCATTCAGATCCAAAGAATAATACCATTGCCTTCACTGGTTTGAAGGGGAAGAGTTCAAAATGTGTCATTGATTTACACCAAAGGAAAGAACTTCTTACTTATGTTAACGAGAAACTCAACATCCATTCCAAGTCGATGCACTTGAAAATGAACCAAGGAGAATGCGAAGTGGACAATGCTGACATTCGTATTGTCAAGGCAACTTTCTCCGATAGATCTTTGGAAAGCAAAATGGTTTCGTATTTCATTAATGAATCAGACACCCCACTGTCCCATAATAATTCTGAACCAAACTCAAGAGTGTTTAACAACAGTCATGATTGGTTGAATTATTATTCGGCTTCGGAATTCTCATGGATTGATCCGGATGATTTCATTGAACTTGAAATGAATGAGGTGCTTTCTCCTTATCCCAAGATAAAAGTGTTACCATTTCTCAATGTTCCAAAGTTCAGTTATTTCAGAGACTTTAGCCTTCAAGAAGATGGACTTTACCCTTTTGGGAACGAGGCATCTCATGAATGTGCCATGGGAGTGGATGCTCCCGAAGTTGTACAACATGATATTTGGAGTGAACGACTCAAGGAAATAAAGTCAAATGTCGACAGAATCGAAAACCTGTTGCACAGAATGACTACTATTGAAAATGCTCCATATATTGCCAACCATGAATTGCATAATGAAAATGTTTCAGCCCTTAAAGTTGAATTGAACATTGAAAAGGAAAAGTACGATGTGGCTAATTATGTTATGGAGTACTTTGAGAAGAAAGACGAGGTTGTGGATTCCGATGGAACTGGAGGAGGTTGTCAATTATCTCGGGTGGGATCTAGTGCTTCAAGTAAAAAATCAATAGTTCTTTTGAAGGATTTGGCAAGCTTAAACACTTCTGGAAGGGAGTTCCATAATCGGTTTGTTATTCACAATCTTAGGTTGAAATTGGACAACAAAGTTAGAGATGAGTTCATGCTGTATTTGAAGCTACAAAAGGAAAAGAAAACCCGTGGTTGTATTTTAACATGGAAGGCTGCCGAATTGGTTAGCAAGGTTTTGTCTGAGCACGATGAACGTCTTGGCTTTATAAGTATCGAAGAAGAAGAAGAAAAGGGAAACGCCAACACCTTGCTTTTCAACAATAGCATTAATGGCGACTTGGATACCCAGGTTTATTCCCATGATAATGAACTGCAAGAGATTGAAAGGAAGTATCAAGTTAAGTTAGTGCACCCACAATTCCAGTTGATATCCGACAAATCTCCAGACAGTTGTATATTGGTGACAGCCACAGATTTGGAATACAATGGAGTTTCAGTAAATGCTAAGGGTACTAGGACTATCATTGGAAGTGATTTTTCAGGACTTGTTGAAAACAGAAGTATTGTTCGATTTAGTAATTCACATATTTTTGGCTTTGAACGGAAAGATGAGCAATTGGAAGCTTCTAATCCATTCACAGGTACCAAGACTTGGCCTCCATGGCTTGATGCTGAAGTATGTTACGATAGTTCCTGGCAGAAGAATGAATTATTAGCTGAAAGAAATACATTGGTGATACTTACCAAAGATCCTAATGATTTCTCCACTGATATGAGTAATCTGCAGAAGCAAATGTTAGTTGATTTATCCAAGATTGTTCTCAATGTTACTACTGAACAGTACACTGCTTTGTATTATATTACTTTGGATTTGTTACTTTCTTCTGAGGATAAGAAGGATAAAATGAGTAAGAAGTTGGAAAAGCTTGTATCGATGTCTGATATTAGTGACTTTGAAGGTTTGGATTCCCGAGTTCACAAATTACAACGAAGCATACGAGAATATAAACTACTCCTTTTGAAACTTATTCAGCGGATTACGCTGCCAACGAATGAAGATACACTAACACTTCTGAGATTGGAGATGGAAATTGAACGTCGAACATTAGAGCTTTCACTCATCTTACGAGGTCTTAGAACCAGGTTCACCTCAAGAAATAAAAGACAACAGATTGTCAATGTTCATGCTGATCAAGTTGTCTGGCATCTTTTGGATAGTCAAAGGGAACCAACTATTGATTTTGCATTGGCTAATAGTCAGTATACCGTGCTTGAAGATACCGATGGGTCCAAGACCAGTGAAGTATTCATTGAGATGGTTCAAGGATTCAATCTTGAGAAGAATGCCTTATTCCCGGAAATGTTGAGTCCCTTCCTTTGTGATTCCTGCGATAAAAGGAAACCCATTATCTATTCGAAATGGAGAGAATTGGAAGCCATTGGGGGGATCCCAATCATTGCCAATTGTAATATGGAAATCCAACCATTGAAAATACAAATTGATTATGTCACTGCCAAAAAGCTCTTTGCATATTTGTTCCCCCATGCTGAAACCAATGGCAATGAAACTAATGGCGACAATGAAGACGACTTTGTTGATTTATTTGATCAAGATTCAGGTAGTGGTGAAAGTCTGAGTATTCACAGTTCTAGCACTACTGACTCAACCAAGAGAAGTAGTAGTAGCAAGAACCCATTACGGAAGTTCATTAATAAGAGGCTATCAAACTCAACAGGGTCCCATTCTTCGTCTTCTACCTTAGTGGGTTCATCCACTCCTACCGCGGGCCTGACAGATTCGTTAACTTTAGGTCGTGGTTCGACTGGTGAAGCTAAAAGTGGTTTCAAAAGAGGAGGAAAGAAGACCATTGATATGGAAGATGATGTGAGTACCATTCTTGCTCGGTCTGCAAGGTTTACATCTATTCACAAGTTGGAACTTGCCAGTACTGTAATCCATATGAGCTTCAGCGCTCCCAAGCTGCTTTCAATCTTGGATGTGCATGGTCTTAGTCTCAAGATTCCAGTGTTAAGCTACAAGAATAAGCTTTGGGCTGGGGAAGACTTTGTGGTCCAACTTCGAAAGGATATCATTAAGATATTGCTTTCCCACACGGGACGGATTTTAGGAAACAAGTTTAAGAGAAAGAAGAAGCCTTCAAAGCATACCTCATCGTCTCCACTTAATCAAATAAAGAATTATGATTCATTTATGACGGTTGATGATTTACAGAAGGAGGGAAGATCAAGAGATACTTCCAAGAACGACAACTTTGCCACTGATGCTCATCGTTTGTCGTTGAAGCTTCAGAAACCCAGACCTCATCAACCTGCAGTCCATTCACTGAAGACGGTGGAGGCCTTTATGGACAATGTATGTGAAGGTGAAGAAAGCAAACAAGAAGAGTAATGTATAATACGTACGCTGTATTGATACAGTAGTAGTGCACGATCAAATAATGCGACCATTTCTATATACAGTACCGAAAAATTTGGAAGTACCGGAAAGTAATCCTTGGGCGAATTAAAAGGGTAATTGTAGACACAACAAACACCACACTATTATTCATCTACCGTTAACTATTAAAGATCAGAGTCAATTACAGTCAGGATCAGGGTCAATTAGAAATCAGAGTCCATTGGTTGACTAAATCATCCCTTAAATCAAAATGCTGTTCTTTGAGTCCATTCGTGACAGGGCAGTCAATACTTGGAACCAGGTGGTTGAAAAGAGTTCTGATGGGAAACTCACCAAGGACCAGAAGTTCTGTTTGAAATTCAGATTACCTGAAGGAGAAGTCGTAAGTAAAGAGATAGCCGCTGAAATTGATATAACATCGAAGCTTGTACCTGGAGTGCCCAAGAGATCTTCCAATATCCCTCAAGGGAAGCTTTATTTGACAGGTCACTTTTTAGTCTTCAAGGATGCCTTTGACAGCCGCACGTGTTCCTTCAACATACATCTACTGACGGTAAGGAAGGTTGAGAGATCCAATTCTGACATTTATGGTTTAGCATTGGAGATCACCACGTTTAGTTCCACTGTTATCACCATCTTCTTACTTGGAATGAGGTCTGAATGTGAACGGTTTGCGTTGGAGCTACGGCTTCAATTGAAGAAGAATCTCAAGGATGTTAAGAAGCTCGGCCCGTTCATTCACACGTGCTATTCGGAGTATCTCTTATCTAAAAATAAAGTTATCAAAGAGAAGTTTGATAGTGTTCCCTCAGGTGGGTTGGGGCTCGTGTTCAAGTTCCCTGGCGATGCTCGAGAGCTTAAGGACAAGTCCAAGATGAAATTATGGTTTGACTACTTTCAAAGTGACGGAAGAAACCTCAGTATAATCAAAACCCCGATGTTCTATAAGTTGGTAAGAGTTGGGTTACCCAATAGATTGAGAGGTGAACTATGGGAGGTTTGTAGTGGATCCATATATTTAAGATACGATAACGTTGGCGTGTATCATAAGTTATTGGACGATAACAAGGGGAGAACTTCGGTTGCCATTGAAGAGATTGAAAAGGATTTGAATAGATCTTTACCTGAGTATGCTGCCTATCAAAGTCCCGAAGGTATCAACAGATTAAGAAACGTCCTCAGTGCTTATTCCTGGAGAAATCCAGAATTAGGATACTGTCAGGCTATGAACATTGTGGTGGCTGCGTTATTAATTTATATGTCTGAAGAACAAGCATTCTGGACATTGAATTCCTTATGTGAGACCATTGTGCCTGGTTACTATTCCAAGACCATGTATGGAACATTATTGGATCAAAAAGTTTTTGAATCATTGGTACAACAGACTATTCCCATATTATGGGACCATATAGTGAAACACGACATACAACTTTCAGTGGTTTCACTCCCCTGGTTTCTTTCATTATATATCAGTTCAATGCCCTTGGTATTTGCCTTCCGAATCTTGGATATTTTCTTTCTACAAGGACCTAAGACGTTATTCCAAGTGGCCTTGGCCATATTGAAATTAAATGGAGAAAAACTCTTGAAATGTGAAGATGATGGAACTTTTATAATGGTTATCAAAAACTATTTCCAAACCTTACACTTATCAGCTCATGGAGAGTCTCCCCATCCCAAGTTTAGACAAATCACCAACTTCCAGGAATTGCTAGTAACAGCGTTCAAAGAGTTTTCCATTATTACGGATGATATGATTGATAAACATAGATCAAAGCATAGAGGGGGTATTTTCCAAAACATTTCAACGTTTGTTAAACGTACAGAAATCAGAAACTTACCAAAGACTCCTAATTTAAACAGTGGTACACTTGATATTATCTATGATAGATTTTATTCCGTTGTTGAATCATTAAGCCTCACCACAGGTGGTGGAAGTCTCATGGATTTCGAAGCATTTAAAACTTTCATGTCTGAAATTTGTGTTTGGGCCCAGTTTGATAATCCAACCAATAATAACGATGCATTCTTGAAACGGTTATTTATCAAATGGGATATCGATGCCAGACATGAACTTTCTTTATCTGATTTGGTCAGAGGGTTAAACACTTTAGTAGAACCAGATCTAATGACTGCCATTAGTAATTTCTTTGAGTTATATGACCCTAAGAAACGTGGGAAGTTGGATAGAGAAGGCATTTTGGAGATCTCAGAAGATTTACTATATTTGACTACTCCTTGGAAAGATGGTTATGTTCTTGATCACTTGACGAATGTGGCTATTGAGAATACCATTGCTGATGAAATCATCAAACATAAAACCATCAATGGCATTAATGATGTTGAAGATGAAGATATCAAGTTACCGGAAACCTTCAACATTGATAGACAAAAGTTGGAACAAGCTCAAATCGAACGGTATTTGGCAGGTGCTAGTAATTTCATTCAAAGAGCTTTTGAATATGCTCAACCTGCAGAAGACGATGAACATCCAGAAGAATTGTTGATCAAAGAACTTGCTATAGATTCAGCCTTTTCGCATAATAAGGCCTTAAATCCCAATTCTCCAGTTACCGTTAACCTTCCAACTTTTCGAATGGTTATTTTGGCCGATGAGACTTACGAATTGTTCTTTAGCAAAACTTTTAGAGAATCTGTCCAAGTATCCAAACCTTTGGACTCGAAATTCAATCCCATTAGGAACCTCAGAGATATGTTTGATGGTCTTATAGCTGATGGCAGAGAGGTAGCCAACAAGGTTCGAAGAAGAATGGATTCTGCTGCTTCTAATGCTCTTCTGCAAATAAATAATAATGGTGGCTATGAATCCAAGCCACCAAAGTCGAAACTTGGAGAAGGTGAAGATGATGATGAAGATGATGAAGATGAAGAAGAAAGAGATGATGATTTTGGGGTCATTTCCATTGATGATAAAGACAGGGCACTTCTTTTAGGAGCTGAAGCTCAAGATCTGCTGATTAAAGTATCAGAATCAAAATCTGGATCTTCAACGACTGCAAATTCAACTTCAACTTCTGCTTCAACTGATGCACCACCAACATCATCAACTTCAACTGATGCTCAAACAAAGAGAATGCTGTTCATTGCTACAAAGAGCGATACCAATTTAATTGATTTCGAGGTTTAATAAGAGTGTTTATATAATTAAAGTGATGAAGACGATGTTCATCATCATCAATGTTTGCCAAAGAGCTTTCTAAGCTTACCACCAAACTTCTTCTTTTCTTTGGTGTTCTTTGATGTCTTGGAGTCAAAGCTAACGTCTTGAATCTCGTTATAGTGATTATGGTAATTATTGTGATGATCTTGCTGTGGGGACGACAAAGGTAAATCATCATCTGAATCATGGAATCGAGAATTGAACCCAGGCTTGGAGGTAGAGGGCATATCTTCACCATCAGAATCATTAAACCGGGATCCATACTGAACAGGAAGTGGTCCGCCAACTTGTGCGGATGATGACCGAAGTGTGGTTCTATGTTGTCTTACTGGAGGTTTGGTTGCACGTTGAACAGTAGTGGCTTGTGAAGACACACGAGACAGTGGCTGAGCTTCATGATGATGAGGATGTGAGGAAGATTGTGCGGCCATGGACATTGGACGTTGCTTTTCAGGCAGCTTGGAGTATGAAGATTTACGCTCCAATGGTTGTTGAACACTAATAGGTCTCAGATTAGCCTTTTCATATAATTCAGCAGCACGGACCTTAGATGATGACTTGTAGTTAGGCATCAGTGCAGGGTGTGGAGGCATTGGTTGAACGTATGTAGGATGTGGATGTGGAGATTGCTTTCTTAACGTTCTACCAGAAGGTGGTGGATAAGGGCCATGACCATGTTCTGAAGCTTGAGGTCTTAAAGACTTGACCATTTGTTGTTGTTGTTGTTGTTGGGCACTCACTTGTGACTTTCTTAATGACAGAGGCATTCTCTTTGGTGTTGTGACTGGAGATCCTCCTCCTGCTGCTGCTGCTGCTGTTCCAGGTACCATTCCCTTTGTGGGAGATAATTGATTAGCCGAGAGTTTAGAATTCAACCTGGTGTTTTCAGCAGTAGTTAACGAAAGATATGCTTCATGTGCTGCAGTTTGTTTTGCCTTTGTAAACTCTTTATTACCTTTATTTAATGAGGATGATGATTTCATAGCTGATTTCATGGGTTTCTTAGTTCTATGAGGAGATTCATAAGATTCAGCACTGGTTAATGAATGAGCTGATGATGCATTTTCTTCTGCAACTAATTGAGGTGGAGCACCCAAATGATCAGGAAGAGTATCGTTACTAAATTGGGTAGATAATGGTTCTTCAATCACTTCTGGCGAATCTTGGAATTTGGGTTTCAAGTCTTCATCATCATCATCATCATCATGTTCGTGACCTTCGTAGTAACTATTATCAAAAGTGATATCTGGAACTTCTAGAACATTTTCTTCTTTGCTATCTTCAAATTGTTCAATTACCTTGATCTCATCAAGTTGGTCACGGGATGCAAAGGGACTTTCATGAATGTATAAATGGGCATCATTGGAAGTAGCTTGTAAAGTTTCATCAGTACCGCCTCCTGTATGATCACTACCATCTGGAATAATATGTATTGATTTGGGATCCATGGTTGGGTTAAGTGTATACTCCAGAGAAGTACTGGTAGTTGGAACAGTTTTATGATCAAGATATTGATCTTCTTTCATATTAATGACTGGATCTGTAAGAACTGGATCTGTTGAGTTGGGATTCAAATTAGGTTGATAATTATTGGCTTCAGGTGATGATGTTAATTCTTCACGTAAAACTTCTAAATCCTTTTGCATTTGTAACCGCAGAGCTTTAAAATGTTCATATTCCTTCTTCTTTTTAGCCAATTCATGAGCCAACTTCTTTTCATGATCAATCTGTTGTTGTAAATCATGATACTCCTTCTCTTGAGTTTCGGTAGACCCTTCAAGTCCACTTAATTCTGTCATTGGAGGTAAAGAAGTTGGTGCTTGTTTAACCAAACTGGAAACACGCGATGAGGGCGTATATGCACCAATTGAACCCATAGAACCAGATCTGGGGATTCGACTACCATTTAAGGATCCTTGAGAACTCTTTCTTAATGTGAGAGAACCAGCCCTCGAAACATTCAATCCACTTCTAATAGAATTACTTCTGGCCATTTCCTTCTTGAGCGTAGCTTCAGGAACTTCAATAACCTTGATCCCACTTGGAGTAGGAACATATTTTTTTACCATCTTAACTGTACCAGGAGGATCACCACCATTACTTGTATTATTGTTAATACCTGATGCTGAACCAAGTGAACCAGTTCTAATGGAACCGGCTCTAAGTGACCCCCCCACGGCCTTCTTCTTTTGTGACGTTTTTGTTGATGTTGTTGGCTTGTGAGCCAATCTCAAGTCATGGAGGTCTCTACGGTTGGCATCATTGACTTCTTCAAAGTAAGAATCGGTAAAGCTGTCGTCTACAGTATTGCTATCCAACAGAATAGGGCCTGAGGCACCTGTGTTCCCAGCAAAGTTGTGGAAATCATCAGACGACGACCCTGAAATGGTAGAACCCCGTTTAAGTAACGAACCAGATGATTGGTATTGTGTCACAGGAGGTGATAATGGATGATGCTGTTGCTGTTGCTGTTGACGATTCAGTAGGTGGTTCTTGGATGGAGCTTTGGTATGAGTCGAGTTTGTTCTGGGAACGATATTGTATTGCATGGAAGGACTTCTGGTGACACCCATCGGCTTAGTGGTGGCATTGTTGTTTCCTATGGCCAAGGCAGCGGCCCTAGCATGATTATTTGGAGCATTCGTTGGTGGAGGAGGATTGTTGACTCCGGTATAAGCCGGCTGGTGGGTTGTCCGATGTTTCCTTCTAAACATGGGCGGTTCTATATATATATATATTGTATATGTAAGAAGTCGGTGCTTGTCTGCGTGGTGTGTTTTTGTTGTCATTATTTGTTGCTCAACTCGCACGTCCGGGTAACGTTTTGGTTTATGCATGGCATGTGAACGCAATTAATGGCAGTAGGTTTACTGTACTGTATTGTGTAGTAAGCCATGATTGTATGACCTTAATTGCATAGTACAGTATGATATATACATTGTACAGTACAGGGTATATCATGTCGTACTATTTTATATATATAGTTAGTAATGGCACACACAGTCAATATATCGGCGATGCATTACGTAATAATGCGACAGGTGGAGAATGAAAAGTAGGAATCAACAGTTGCAAAAGGCATGGTTATAAAGAACTGTAGGTATTAAAGCAGCCAACTATTGTTTATCAGAAGAGTCTATAACATTCATTTAAACTTAATTAGGTCCGAGAAGACATTTCTAGAGTATGCCGTACAAGAGAAAACAGCTAGACTACAGGAATACTCTAAAGAATTGTACTTTTCCATATAACGTACAAGAACATTGCAATTGTCACTGGAGGAATAACCATAAAACATATTTCCTCCTTTTTCAAAATAATCATTCCATTCTCCATACCGTGGTCGGATCCGTTCTTCATTAGCGAGTTCATAATTATAATTTATAAACCATACGGCCTAAATATTCTGCTTCGTCAAAAAAATCTCCATCATCCTCCGAGGTCAACTGCGCTACTTCAATTGACTCGTTATCTAGTTGGTTCGTTCATGGCAAGAATAGTTATCCACTGGTGGTGGCTAATCACACAAGGGTCGTGTCCAGATCATTATTTGGGATGCATCTGACTTATGAGTTAGTGACCATTACTATTAAAGTACTTCATATTTATATTCATATTGACTCCTTTCGCTCATCCCCAGAACGCGACCACTCTTTAGTGGCGATGGCAGTGGCACAGATAATTCATGTCTAAAGCCTGTTCTGACTCATCTCCTCCTCATGCATCTGGGAAACAGCATGTCTAACTATTATGGCATCCAGCACACCTGCATACAACATAAGCCATTACATAAGCCATTACATAACGTACGTTCGTTGATGTAATCTATTAAGTCCAACCATATTTGCAACATAAGTTCCACTTTGTAATCCCCATAGAACAACTTGTCTAAGGAATGGACGTCCAACTATAAGAAGTCCTGTCCAAAGAAACCCCTGTAGTAAAGGCATCAATATTTGATCTTTAACAATAGCATACATTACAATTGAAGGTGTTATTTGACCAATAGGGCCCATATTTAAAGTATCATCAACTTCCAATTGTTCTTTCAAATCAATCTCTTCACCCAAAAGTTCCAATTCAATATCGGAAAGTCCTTTAACTTCTTCTTTCACTTCCTTCTTCCCACTATAGACTTGTAAGGACCGCATGAAAGATTGTTCAAACCTTAAGTCCGGGATCGAAACGTCTACTGGTTTGTTCATGATACTAATTTGATGTCAGTGTAGTGGAAGTAAATCGTGGTAAGGATGATGGTAGATGTGTGTTAGTATGATCAATTTACAAGATTGTATCTCGCATTTGAATGATGGTCCGAACCCGTTCTATCACGTGACAATCTCATTTTCCAAAAGTTGCAGTGAAAAACATCATACCGAGTGATATCTAATGATCAACATAGTACAGCCATCTGCTTCATCCTAACCCCCCCCCCCCCTTTATTATGGACGTGGATAGAGGAAGTGGTCCCAAAGTGACTATCAGAAATGCCGAGCGTGATCGCGTGGATTTCATGTTAAAAGATGTGGACTTGGCCATGGCCAATTCCTTAAGAAGAGTAATGCTCGCTGAAGTACCTACGTTGGCTATAGATCTTGTTGAAATCGAAGTCAACACTTCTGTATTGGCTGATGAGTTTATCTCGCATCGTTTAGGGTTGATCCCCTTGAATAGTGAGGGTATTGATGGGTTATCGTATTCTAGAGATTGTACCTGTGATCAATATTGTGCCAATTGTTCTGTCAAGTTAGAGTTGACAGCTAAATGCGACACTGAATCCACTATGAATGTATATGCCTCTGATTTGGCTAAACATCACAACGGTTCTGTTTTGGGAGACCCTGTTATCAGAGATCCTCATGGGAAGGGGCCATTGATTTGTAAGTTAAGAAAACATCAAGAGTTGAGAATATCATGCATTGCCAAAAAGGGTATAGCTAAAGAACATGCAAAATGGTCGCCATGTGCAGCTATTGGGTTTGAATATGATCCTTGGAATAAGTTGAAACATACAGATTATTGGTACGAGAACGATGCAGAATTGGAATGGCCCAAATCTGAAAACTGTGAATGGGAAGAAGCTCCTGATCCAGATGAACCCTTTGATTATAAGGCTATACCTTCAACATATTATATAGATGTTGAAACTGTGGGTAACTTGCCACCCAATGATGTGATCTTGAAGTCTATTGAAACGCTACAGTTGAAACTAGCAGGTATATCTATGGAGTTGAATAAAGATAGTGTTGAAGCCAGTAATGCTCAATCTGGTGGGTTCACGACTTATGGTAGAACTACTGGTGGTGGTAACTCCAATGGTGGTACTCCTTATAACGAAAACGGCTTTGGTAACTCAACATGGAGTTAACATATGTACACTATAAATATAACTATATAACTATATGTAACCATATTACTATATCTATGTATGTATATTTGTTTATTACTATACATATATCAGTGGCTCTTATTCCACTTGAGTACATCTTCAAACTTGACTAAATCTCCACCAAAAATGTCTAAGGAGCTTCCAAACGTCAAGTCCACTTTGCCATGACTCAACTCATTAACCAAGTCCAAGTCTGCAACCAGTTTCGCTCCCCCAGCATAGACGATTTTCCCTTCAAATCCAGCGGGACACCATTCACCCAATTGCTTTACTAATGCTTCATCGATGCCTTTACAAAGTCCTTCAACATCAGCTGCATGAATAAGAAACTCGTCACAATATTTCGATACCTCAGTTAAAAATTCCGCACTTAAACTGGCACTAGTTAATGTCTGCCATTTATTCATAGCCACAACCCATTGACTTTGGCTACTACTGTCACCAGTCACTACTGTACGACAACTCAAGTCAACAATAAGTCTGTTCCTTCCAACCAAGGCTGCTACTTTCTTCAATCGTTCCCAATTGAACTCTTGTAGATTGGTAAACTTGTTCTCCGTAAAGAGCCAACTAGTTAAAATGATGTGAGATGCTTTATAATTGTCTAACCATTCGAGTGCATTATCCAAATTGATTCCTCCACCAACTTGTAAACCATTGGGCCATACTTGTAATGCTTCCTGTGCTGCTTCATCGTTCCCAGGACCTAGCTTGATCACATGACATCCGTATACTTCGTTCTCTTTATAAAGTTCAGCATAATGTTTAGAGGGTAGACTCAGGACAAAGTTTTCCTTGGTATTAATATCGTCTTCTGTCAAAGTACCACCAACAATCTGTTTCACCTTACCAGAATGTAAATCAATACATCCTCTGAATCTTGTCATTTGGGCTATACTGAATGTGGACTAATGTATGTAATTTACTACGTATTGCATATTGAATATTTTGCACTAGACATTTTCATCATATACACGTGATGTTGCACGTGACTTTGAGTATAATGCGATGACTACAAAAGCTCATTATCAAACAAGTACAAGACATCGAATACGAAAGCACAATATAGTCAAGATGGGTGAACTGGATGACTATATGAAGCTTTTGGAGAAACATTTTGAATCTCAATTTGGGTCTCTTGAGACTTATGGGTATGAAAAGACCAACTCAGATGAAGAGAAAGAAGGGAATGTAGAAGCGAGTGATGATGAAGACAAGTTTACTGGATTCAGTAGCGGTGATGACGACAGCGATGCAGATGAATTTGAAATGGAGCAATATGATGATGATGATGATGATGATGATGAAGAGGACGACGAAGAAGAAGAAGAAGCACCAAAGGTGATTAAGTTTGAAGATAAATACTCTCAACAATCAAGAATCACACCTAAGAAAACAGACAAGCTGTTGCTTAAAGGAGGGAGAGCCCCAACGTTAGAGGAGATGAAGAGAAGAGAAGAACGTATACTTGAGCAGCAAAAACGAATGCAAAGGAAAGCAGGTATTGATGATCCTGAGAATTTAGAGAATGATTTAAAGTTGCAAAGGCTCTTGGAAGAATCACATATCTTAGCAAAGAAAGTGGAGTATTCAGGTGCTGATGTTACACTTCAGACTATTGATTATGAAGATCCAATTGGGAATGCCAGACTGAGAACCTTAGATCTGCGTATAAGGGCCCTTGCTGCCACCAATTCCAAAACCAAGGGCTTGCCAACCAGATTAGAGAAGATGCCTATGTCCATGCGTAAGGGTATGATACGGTCTCATCATGCTAAGACTGCTAAATTTGAGCAGGAGGCTAAAGATGCAGGGATTGTATTAGCTAAGAAGAAGAAAGGTGAGATCCGTATGCTTAATCATGGCAAGGGCTCAACACTCGTTTCCGATAGAATCGGCACTGGGAAAGCCAAGGTCACGAAGACTTCAAGAGATAAGGGTCTTAAGATTCATTCCATTGGTAGACTGACAAGAAATGGACTTGTTATATCACAAAGGGACATTGATAGAATAAATAACCAAGGTGGAAGAAACCGTAAGGGAGGACGTCGTTAATAATACATACATAGATATCTAGATACAATACTAATAATAACAACATAGCTCATGACTGAAAGATACGATGTTACACGTCAATTGTTGTTTCATGGTGTTGATTACTCCATCACATTTCTGCGTCACGTGACCAATGTTTATAGTAAACAAACACAAACAGTGGGAATCAGATCCAAGGTTTGTGAGCTCCCCGTCCTTACGCTTCTCTATAAATAAGCCGTCGTTTCTACTTATAAGCTCGTGATTATATGGACGGACATCGAATGCGAATACGGCAAGTCAGTGGTGCTCGGGGCCGGTTTACAGCTAGTAGAAGTGGTGATGGCGTAGGCGTAACAAGACTGGCTGAAGAACAAGGTGGTGTGAATAATGATAGAATGACCCCTAGAGGTAAACGTATAGTGCTGGGTGCTGGGTCTGGAGGAGGGGTTCATTTGAATCGCAATCGTATAGTATCGGGTCAAAGAGTTGTCAGTGGCCGGGGGGTCAGGCTAGGAACTCCTGGTAGACAAACAATGGAAGATGAATCAGGAGATGAAGACGATCTTGGTGAAGATGGGGATGATCATGATGATAGTGTTGTGAACATTGGATTCCATCAGAATAAGCGACAGATTCTTAGTAATTTTGAAGAATGGCTTAAACTTTCAAACAGTAACAAGATCAACTCCAAGAATTCGTGGAATGTTTCATTAATTGATTATTTTTATGATATGAACGTTATGAAGGGTCAAGATGGGATCAATTTTCAAGTAGCATCTGCCACATTAGATGGTTGTGTAAAAGTTTATCAAAGTAGAGTGGATTCTGCTGTAAGTGAGACAGGGAAATTGCTTAGCGGGTTATCACAGAAGAATGTTGCCAATAATGAATTAGAGGTTGATGATGAAGACAATGACGGAGAAGAAGGAGTAGATGGCTCCGGCGATCAAGCAGACGGTGAGAATGCCGAAGGAGAAGGTCGTAAACGTAGAAAGATAAATAAAGTTGTTGAGTCAACTTTGGTGGAGTTTGAAACTATAAGATTAAGGAAATTCGAACAAGAATTAGCGATTGACCCTTTATTTAAAAAAGCTTTAGCAGAATTCGATGAAGGAGGTGCTAAATCGTTACTCCTTAATTCTTTAAGCATAGATGCCACTGGTAGAGTGGTATTTGATGCCACCATGGCTCAAGAGGATTCAGAGGAAGATAAGGAAGACAAGGAAGACAAGGAAGGCGAACATGAAGATAAGGAAATGTCTGATTCTTTTACAAAATCGTCAAACGAGTTCTCTATGGAAAAGCTAGCCAATTTTGTTTACTGTCCCACTAGCAATGACGCAAATGATAATCTAGAAACCATGACAATTTGTCCCAGTATGGACGAACTCCAAGCTGTTCTTGAAGATATTTCTAGAGCGAAAACATTGATTGAGAACGTCAATCATCAAATACAGGCCGATACAGCAGCTGGGGCAAGTGCACTAGAGACCATTGGTACCAATGAATATCCAAGTTTCAATGACAATGATAACTTTGCTCCTGATTTTGGAAATGATAACTTTGACATGGATATAGAGGATGAAAACAACAACCATGATGATGATGATCATGATGATGAAGGAGATCCTATTGATAATTTAAACAAGAGCATTGTGCAGCAAGTTTTCAACGAGGACGAGCAATACACAGAACGGTCAGTTCCCGAAAGAGTGATGGATCGAGATCTTATGGCTTATTTTGATGAGAGATTGAAATCATCTTGGAGAGGGCCCGAAAATTGGCGTGTCACGGCATTCAAGAATGCAATGGCATCAAATAATCAGAATTCAAAGTCGACCACTACTACTTCAATAACATCAGGCTCAGTGGTAAAGACTGAGGATGGAGGAGAATCAATGACCAATGTAACAGCGAAGAAGAAGGCTACTACAATTGATTTTATGAGCACAGAGGACGATGAAGAATTAGAGCAGTTAATTTTTGCCAAAGCCAAAAAACTAGGTACTATAACTTATGATGAAGATCAAGAAATGCTTTTACCTGAAGATATTCAATTCCGTTCCTCAAAATTAACTCATTTGTTCACGAAGCCCAGTGTACCAATATATACCTTTAGAAAGGTTAAGAAGACTGCTGCCAATTATGAAATAAAGACCACAGAGGATGATGAGAATAAAATAACAGATGAGAATTACTTTGCAGAGCAATATAAAAACAGAGAGTTATTGGAATCATTTATTCAAGCAGAAGAAGAGGATTTTAATAATGATTATGGGGGTAATAATGATTTTGGAGGTATTGATTTCAACGATGCCTTTGAAGGGGATGCTGTTGCCAATTCCACACATAATCATATTATCGATGGAGAAGAAAAATCAGTTAATCCATTCCTCGAGTCACAAGATCGTCCAGATACTCAAGATTCTGCAATGACCAATGAATCACAATCACAATATAGAAGACGGAGGCCTGAATATGTTAACTTTTCAAGAGTTGCAAAGCGAGTGGATGTTAAACGACTTAAAGATAACATTTGGCTGAGTATACAACGCCAAGCACAAGCGTTGAATGTACTTGAAGCATCACCAAAGCCACAAGAAGAAGAGGAAGAGGAAGTGCCTAAGAATAATGAGAAGGTTGAGTCTTTCCGAAATATTGTTACTGATGTCAATAAATACTATGGAGCAGAAGAACGGAAAGATTTATCTACGAGTTTCCATTTCATTTGTCTTCTTCATTTGGCAAACGAACATGGGCTTTCTATCGTTGCAAATAGTGCCCACGATGATTTACGTATTACTGGGTTCTAGCCAGTCATAGATGTGTCTGACGTTAACAGAAGTGTATCACGTGACTAGTGTCAGAGATCAAACATACACTCCAATGCTGTATAACTTTATATCTATGAATCCCATATCAGAAATTATACAGGAACATCATAGTAATACTATAACAACATTATAATAACATCATTATAATAAAAATATCCCTATGGCTTTATAGATAGTTGTCGGTAAACTGGTACATTGTCATTACCCCAACGTTAAAGAGTAGAGTCTGGTGACAAAGAAGTTCACCGCGCTACCACAGAAACATTCACACGACCTTCGGTAAAATTTCACCCAACGGCAAAAAAAGGTATACCAGTAAATGATTCCTTTGCTTCTCCTATCTTCTCACCTACCAATTATATATATATATCATAGCCTGTGGTGTTGGTTATAAATGAGTAATGTTTTAAGGTTAGGGTGCCTGTTTATGGGCCGCTCCGGTGCTTTTGATACTCTCAAGATGGCACTGCAGATGGTGGTCAGAAGACACTTGTCATTGTCAAGACAAGAACTGATCCACAAGATATTGGGACAACATCAGCGTACGTTTATGAATGGGTATAGACAAGTTTCCACACTGACGTTGAATCTGCTACAGAAGCAAGAAGAGTTGGCCAACCGGGATTTGAATAACTTTTACCTTCAAGCAAGTTTCTATAAGACCCTTTTGTCTCATAACTATCCTCACATTGTGGTTCAACGGTACGAGACTCCTGGAATCGCTGCTAATGAGGAATGTATGCGGTTATATGTTGAAGCGTTGAATAGAATGGGTAAGAAAGGTAAAGCTGATCAAGTTGCATCTCAGATGGGTCAAGCTGCATCATCATCATCCTACAACCAACAACAACCTGGTACCGTGGGTTCTCAAGGTTTTGGAAGCGTATTAGGTGGTGCTGGTTTAAGTGGTGGTGTTGGAGGTGGTATTGGATCTAAATATGAACCAGTCCATGTTATAGTTAATGAGAACTTGCTTACAATAGTGTCCAGATGGTTGAAATGGTTAATCCCATTAGCATTAGCCATATATGGTATAACTGCAGCTTTTGAGTATGTTACCGAACATGGTACCATGTTTAAAACCAATGAAGTTTTAAATACTCTGATTGATGTTTCCCATTCTACCGTTAGATTTAAAGATGTTTGTGGATGTGATGAAGCCAGAGCTGAATTGGAAGAGATTGTGGAGTTTTTGAAAGATCCATCTAGATTTACAGCATTAGGTGGTAAATTACCTAAAGGTGTTTTACTTACTGGACCTCCAGGTACTGGTAAAACTCTTTTAGCAAGGGCTACGGCCGGTGAAGCTGGAGTGCCATTCTTTTTCATGAGTGGATCAGAATTTGATGAGTTATATGTTGGTGTTGGTGCCAAACGTATTCGTGAGTTGTTTGCACAAGCCAGAGAAAAATCTCCAGCTATTATTTTCATTGATGAATTGGATGCTATTGGAGGTAAACGGAATCCTAAGGACCAAGCGTACGCTAAACAAACATTAAATCAATTGTTGGTTGAATTGGATGGGTTTTCTCAAACCAGTGGGATCATTATTATTGGTGCTACTAACTTTCCAGAACTGTTGGATAAAGCATTGACCAGACCAGGTCGTTTTGATAAGGAAGTGATTGTTGATTTACCTGATGTTCGGGGTCGTATTGATATTTTGAAACACCATATGGAAAATGTGGAAACTTCAGAAGATGTTGACCCCAGTATAATTGCTCGTGGTACTCCTGGATTAAGTGGAGCAGAATTGATGAACTTGGTAAACCAAGCAGCAGTTCATGCATCTCAAATGAGAGCACCTTCTGTGAATATGCAACATTTTGAGTGGGCTAAAGATAAGATTTTAATGGGAGCAGCTAAAAAGAAAATGGTTATTACTGAAGAAAGTCGTCGTAATACTGCTTGGCATGAAGCTGGCCATGCTATTATGGCTATGTATCTGCTTGGAGCCACACCATTATATAAGGCCACTATTTTACCTCGTGGACGTGCTTTAGGGATCACGTTCCAGTTGCCTGAAATGGACAAGGTTGATATGTCCAAAACTGAATGTTTAGCACGTATGGATGTTTGTATGGGAGGTAAAATTGCTGAGGAGATTTTGAATGGAGCTGATAATGTTACTAGTGGATGTTCTAGTGATTTAGCTAATGCTACCAATGTTGCACGAGCAATGGTTACATCGTATGGGATGAGTGAAAAGATTGGCCCAGTTAAATTGAGTGATAACTGGGAGAGTTGGTCACCTAATATGAGAGATATGGCTGATCATGAAGTTCGAGACTTATTAATGGCCAGTGAAGGACGTAGTCGTGGGTTATTGTCCAATAGAAGAGTTGAATTACAACGATTGGCTGAAGGGTTATTAGAATATGAGACATTAACTAAGGAAGAGATGGAGAAGATTGTTGTTGGAGAAGCCATTAATAAGCCCAAAATGATCAGTAATACTGTTGTGCCTGGACCTAAAGCCAGCAACACCAATCAAGAGAGTCGTGGTAAGGGAACTGGGAGCAGTAATGGAGGTAGTGGAGAGGGAGCAGATGATAAGAAGAATTCACCCCCCACATCTCATACTCCACCCACCCCTATAAATCCTCGAGCCAGTAGTAGTGTGGCATGAAGTAATGATTATAAGACAAAACGATTGGTAATGTAAATAGCTAACTAGACAAATGCTTGTTAAAGCGTATATTTGATTACGATCCGGGTAACTTTCAGTACGTTACTCGGTGCACGTACAATTACCGAAAGCCTTCGACCCGACACAAACCCTGAGTACAGGATATACGGCAGTAATAAAGTACTGTGACATTATCTTAGGGATGCAGGGACGGTATTGTTTTTGCAGCCCCACGTGGGATATAAATTGTAGTTAGGAGGTAATAGTGAGGGAGGGAATGAAGAGTGGCATTAGAATAGTACTAGCAAGAGGCCTCGGGCAACACCGGATGAAAATGTCGCACAAGAGTTGAACGTCGTATAGAGTAGAGTTCAGGACTGTTATATACTGTAGTGAACTAATAGCCCTGTAGAGTACAGCGCATTACAGTACACTACAGTACATTACAGTACATTACAGTACATTACAGTACATTACAGTACATAGCAATACATTACAGTACAACAATATATCACATAGTATAGTACAATATAGTACAATATAATACAGAGTATTACAATATACTCATCACTGTAGAAATATATTATACTGAGTGTTGATGTATATACTGATCTATTTTCGCACAGGAAAAATAATTTACCTTATATACTTTTCTTATTCTTTATTGATCTATCCCCTACCTGCAATTACAATGATAGATGACGAGTCACTTTTGAGCCCGTCAGATCACCTTCTATTGGCTCAACTAGAAACCCTGAAAGGGTCTCCAGCACCTGTCTCTAGCGGAGACCCTACTCAAACTCAAGGTACTATCCAAGTTCATCATCATCATCATCACCATTATCACATGGACGATAGGTCCCATTCTCCTGATGTGACTACTCAGACCACCATAACAAGTACTACCAATAGTAACAGTAATAGTGCTAGCAATAGTACTGGTAATAGTACTACCACTGCCAATAAAAATAGTACAGATCACAATACAACCACTGATATCGAGAACAATAGTATTAATGATAATGCCTTGAAGTCTTCTTCCAATAATCCACTCACAACTATCCCAACAGAATTTGATCTAGACTTTATCCCCTCCTTGGGCGAATCAACAGCTTTCCCTCCTTCAGCATCTCATTTCCCTCCTCCAACTCCCTTACACAAGGCATTGAACTCGTCTTCATCATCAACTGCTGCAGACTCGAATCATCATCAACAACCATCAACTTATACTGAAGATGTTCTGAAGTTCATTTCCCCGATTCTACCTGGTCAAAACGAAAAATCGTTCAATGATCAGCATTTCTATCATCGTCAACAACAACAATTGTTGAACCTGTCGAAAATGTCACCAGTTAATCATCATCGACCTTCAGTGATTCATCAAGGTAGCAGTTCATCAGTAGCAGATTTATATCATCAACCTTCAAGTCAACATGTACGTCCTGATGTGATCTTCACTCCCTTAGTGTCACCAGCAGTTACTCCATTGGAAAATGTATCGAAAAGTAATCACAAGATTCCCTTAACTTCCTTTGAACCGTTGACGTCTCCTGCTTTGAATGCAATTTCCCATGAACAAGCTCAACAACAACAACTTAATCAAATCTCCAGCAAACGCAGAAGTTCTTCTTCATTTTATGCTCCTCAAAAGGATTCATCTCTTCTGCATCCAGTGACTAAAAGACGAACTCCTCATTCAACCCCAACCCTCGCTGCTCATAATACTAATTCGTCTACAACATTAATCAATTCTCCCAAAATTAAAGGTTTACCTTCAACATCACCTAATATCAAATTAGAGTCACAACAAGATTATCCACAATTTGATAGGCTTCCAGATTCATCTGTTGATGAAGATAAAGATGAAGCAGTTTCCGCTCAAAGTGGCTCCAGTACTCCACATCTTATGGGTTTTACTATGGGAAAATTAGCTCAAGATAAAGCAGCATCTTCTTCTAATGGATCTTGTGCACCTTACAATTCACTTTCAAGAACGTCTTCAGCAAGTTCAACAAGTACTGGAACTTCTCAATCACCCACATTTAAAGGTGGACGTCCAAAGAAACTGATACTGAAGACTTCACCTATAGTTAGTCCACATTTAGGAGACATTTCAAAATCAGAACTTGTTGGAGGAGGAGGAGGTGGTGCAACCAAGAAAACATCTCATAAATTGGCGGAACAAGTCCGTAGAAATAGAATGAACATGGCAGTACATGAATTAGGTCGACTTGTACCTCAATCGTATCATGATCAAGTTACCATTCCATCCAAGGCTACAACTGTTGAGTTAGGAAGCAAATATATTCGTGATTTGCTTGCTCAAATCGATCAATTACAACTGCAACTTGATTAAGACTACGATGATGATGATGATGATGATGATGATGATGATGATGATAATTACTATGTGCACTTATATATATTATTGAGGCCACCAATCAGGAGTAAAGACTTTAAAACCTTTGGGTCCTTGGTCAGTTTTCACTTGAAAGATGCCTTTACTCTTCTCTATAGCACCAATACTGACTAAAGCAAAGGCTAAGTTGTCTCGGGATGATAAGATTTTGCCTGGAGAAGCTTTTCGTTTACGAACCACTTTCGATATTCCACCAAATGGATTTGTTGAAGGTTGGAATCCTATTGCTTCTTCTGCTTCAACGGCTGCTGCTTGAGTTTCCAATTCGATGTCATTCATTGGTAAAAGGGAATCGTCAGCAACTGTTAATGATACATGAGATGGTGATAATTGGGAAGGAGGACCGTTTATAATATCAAAGAATTGACCGGGCATTATTCGTTTGCGGAAAAGTTGATTATTATAAGTTCTTATGGTAAGTTCCTGACCAATATAACAGCCTTTATCAAGGGACAACCCATTGATATAATCCAAGTTATACTCAAAGGGGAAAAGCGATACTGTTGGATTATCACCACATTCATAAAGTCCATTGATATATCTTCTTTGGGTTATATCCTGCTGATTGATTTTATTAGCTGGGAATATAAATGGTGAGGGTGACTCGGAGTCATCATCAGCAGTAACTGCTGCTTCCTTTGATCCGGTGGTGATGAATTTAAGTCCAAAATTTGGAATACGATTATCAACTGCAAATCCCAATAGATTACCATTATGAATTACATTAGGATTAAAGAGTTTGTCCTTCATTAATTGGGCATTCTTCCATGAATCACTGACAGTATAATTATAGCCATATGTTTCATCTAAAGCCGTTAAATAATCATCAAATCCATTTTCAATATCATCATTATAATAGTAATTGGAAATTACATTGTCGAGTTTCTTTATAGTGATTTTACTACCTAATTTGTGGATCTTCAAGTACGACATGAGTTTACTCTCAAAACATGGATCAACCTCAATAAGATATTGACTTTCATCAGTGTTGGTAACTGTAGACGTATAGGGAGTAGGGTATATAAAGCAGTCCCATAGTACTCTGCCTTTACTGTTAAGAAACATGGAATTAATCCCGTTCCGCGACATCCATACGTCCGAAGGCTCTTGATAAATGTCTTCATGAATGACTCCCCAATTGGAAGTGACATTAAATGTCTCTAATTGGGGAGAGTCTTTGGCAGTAGTAGAGGTTGAAACTGTGTATTCATTCTTTTTGGTGATTGCTGGTAGAAACCTGGAGGTCACGAGACCATTGAGTAGCTTGGTCGAATCGGGTCCACTGACCAGTACAATTGCTTTGGACAAGCTGGTCCAACCGGATTTAGGAATCATTGAGTAAGAAGAAAGGTTGGAAGGTTTTCAATTAGTAAGTAATGATTATTTTATGGTTCATACACAGAGACGGAAATAACATATCCTAATTGGGACATTTATCCGGAGATAACTTCTTCCCAGTATGGACGGACTAGTAAGCATAATAATAGATAATAATAAATAATAATAATAAATAATAATAAATAATAATAAATAATAATAATAAATAATAATAAATAATAATAAATAATAATAAATAATAATAACGTTCACAATACTACATTCAACTTAGTACCGATTTCATTCTTTGGTTTAGCTTCACGTTGTTGTTGATCTCCACTCAATTGATCTTTGATCCTATCGGTCATCAGCAAACGTATGTCAACCAAATTAGGACCCAGAGTTGATAGAGGACTGGAAGCCAATTGTCTCAAGTTTGTTTGAGAATGACGACGAGATCCAAGTCCGCTATGAATGTTTGAAACACTTCCAACATAAGATTGAGTTCTACTCAATTCATTGGAACGTATATCCAATTCACCAAAATCAAAGTACCCATAACCTCCTAAAAGATCGTAATCACCGGATGATCTCCGACGGTTTCTTCTGGGTTCAGTTTGTGACTTGGTAGTGATTCCTGTTGCTGTTGCTGTTGCTGCTGCTGCCGTTGTCGTTGGTTCATCATCTTCTGATAACTGATGGTTCAATGTAGATGTTTGCGACATCAGGGTTGCCATGTGCGACATTTTTTGGAATGCTTCAGCTGCAACACTGGCATAATCAGATGGATCAAAATGATCAACTGAGGGATCATAGTGTAGAAGAACTGGTGTTTCATTCCCACCAGTAGTAGCTCCTCCAGTACCTGCACCTCCAATAGTTAATTCAATAGGGTGTCTTGTAGAAGGGACATCTTTATCAATAAATTGTAGCTCTCTTTGAATGGCCAACTTCTTCAATTCGATCTTTCTGGATTCAGTATCATTAATGTCAATCATGAAATTGGATTTGGCTCTAACCAAATTGGTGAGTTCATGAATCACAGATTTAAAGGTTTGAGTAAACCTATGAGTTTGTCTATACTTGGAACATAAGGAAACAAACACTCTATCATTATGAATAATGTAACCTACTGCAAACCCATTATCAACAGCTGGAGGGAATCCGAATAATCTTAAGGCATTATTACCACAATTGGAAATCAACATCTCCGGACTAGTTAATTTATCTAAAATATAAGGATTGAATAAAAGCGGAACACTATAGTTTTCTTCCACATTGGTAGGTATTGGAGTTAAATGTGAATTCTTTTCATTTAAATATTTCATAGCCGCTTCCCGTCTAAGTAACGTTCTCAAAGCCATAAAATGTCTATGGAATCCTTTACCCATCATTGCATCATGATACTTTTGTGTGTGAGCAGCACAACATTCTTTAAACAATTCCCATTTAACTGAGCTATTGGAATTGGTTAAAAAAGTCTTGACTAAATTAGAAACTTGCTGTGATTGAACCCCAATCAATTCAGTTCTTGAATCTCTAAATCTTCTGGTGGTAATTGGTTCCAAAGTATTAACCAATTGTCCATATAAGGAATAATTCGCTATTTGAAATGCCAATTGTAATAAAGAATCAATGGTAATATTGAATTTCTTAATAATATGGGTTTGTAATTTTAAATCCAATGTTTCATACTCATGTTGATTAATTAAATCAGTTAATCTAGTCTCTGATAAATGAACCAATTGTAACAACGTAGGAGTCATGTTAAATATCATAGCCACTGGTTTGGGTTTTACTCCTCCTTTATCCGCATTAGCCAGAACAAATTCAATATTATCATCAAATAATGTATATTCGGAACCATTGATATTTTTAGCCAATTTCAATAAGGAATCCGTATAAATATCACTAATAAATCTCAAAATGGCCGTCAGATCCATAATAGAAGATTCCCAACTAATACCGGCCACGGAATTCTTGGTAACAACCAATTGTAATTTATCATACCATCTCAGAGTACAAGAACCACATTGAATATTACTAGATGTTAATTCAGATGATCCATGGGCTACAACACGAGTCTTTTCTGAATCATTTTTGGGGGTATTATGATCCAAAACAATTATGAAAAGGGCATCATCAATTGCTTTTAAATGTTCTGGATTGGATAATTTCAACTCTGATCTTGCTAATTTCCAATTGGAATAAGATTGAGTGGTTAATGCACCAAGAGATTTTTTAATGGCATCAATTGGTGAAATGTTTGAAGCTTCCAAAATGATTTGATCAATGATTTCTGCCAATTCAACATCCAGAAACCAAATTTTATGTTTTGATTTAGCATCTTCTTCTTTAGTCAATGGAGTAAGCACTTCCAACAGAAAGAATTGATTGTTACAAAGGAACACTATATGTCTTGAATCATCCATATTAGTATATTTCTTCATGGTAACATGTCTACCCAATGACGACGCATCCGGTGACTCATCTGGAATTCTACTAGTTCCAAACAAGTTATAATAACACTTCATAGATAAGGGAGTTTGATTTTTAGGAGTAACATCTGGCTTCAACGTCTTGTTTCTTAATGTAATAATGAATTTCAAAGTAGAATTAATCAAACTTGCAGACCGTTCAGCTTGACTTGGAGGATGTAAGGTTTTAGAATAAGGATCCTCTTCTAAAATCAAATAAGGATTCCTAGGTAAAATGTCATTTTTCAATTCACCATAAATACCTGGAGCTGTTTCACCATTAACAAAGTTCAAATAGTTGGTAAGTTCAGGGTCCAGTTTATAAATACTTTCTAAATGTTTTTGAGCAGTTAAAACCGTTTTATTGGACATAAATGATGTGGCTTCCCTAAACACTTCAGCATATTCTTCAGATGAAAGAAGTGGCTCTAATACTTCGAGTAATTGTTGAACCGTCAGGGTTAAAGTGGGGACTGGCAATTTAGGAACATTTTCTTCGTGTTCAAAAGTATCGTAGATCATATTAAAAATAATGAGTTAACAAAGTGATAGGTATTATATTATAAATTAGATCCGGGGAAGGGGGGAGGGATCATTGGCGGTATTTATACCCGGACGGATACGTGGTGAATCTACCCCATACTTTGGTATTGCCACGACCACATACCAATTTTTTGTGGGGTAAATTTTTGTACCAATCAACTGGATGGATACATGTAACATTATACAAAACATATCAAGTAGCTATTGTGATATCATAGTAGCTATTGCTACCATGTGGTAATGTGAAGTAGTGTAGTGTAAGTGGTCCTATACGAAGTAGCACTATATGGTGTTACGTGAAGTAATAACCGTAGGAGAATACTATAATCGTGACCAATACTACTTTGAACAACATATCCATTCAATTAGCAATATTATTAGTATATGATAGCGTAGCTATGAACAGATTCTCCTACGATATTGGATGGAGTTAAGACCACGATGGTAATGATGTGCACGACTGCCGCACCTCTAACTCCGGGAATACTTCTGAATTGAGTTGAATTGGACTAATCAAATTAAAATACATTAAAATCTACGTCATCAATATTTGTTTAAAACTTTTGGATGGTCTGGTAGAAAGACTCACCTTGAATCTTAGCAATTTCCAATTCCAAAGCAGATGGAGATCTGGAACCATCCGCACCAGCAAAAGTACCAGCACCCCATGGAGAACCACCGTGAACTTCTTCCAAGTTGGTAATCTTTGGGAAAGCCTTAGCATAACCCAATGGAACATAAATCATACCGTGGTGAGTCAAAGTAGACAAAGAATTCAAAACGGTAACTTCTTGTCCACCACCTGGAGTACCGGTAGAGACGAAAATACCAGCTGGCTTACCATGCAAAGCACCACTAGCCCATAAACCACCAGTAGTATCCCAGAAAACCTTCCATTGAGCTGGGAAGTTACCAAATCTGGTTGGAATACCAAACAAGAAAGCATCGTATTCAGTCAAGGTATCCTTGGTAGCAATTGGGTAATCTGGCTTAGCTGGAGCATGCATCAAGTCCAAAACATTTTGAGGTAAAGTTTCGGAAATTTGGTAGATCTTAGCTGATCCACCAGCAGCTTGAACACCTGCCTTAACCGATTCAGCCATGGTAGCAACATGACCGTACATGGAGTAAATGACAATAGCAACCTTTGGAGCCATGATGAAGAATTGAGTCCTTTTTTCTTTTTGGTTATGTATGTGAAACAGAAAAGTGTATTAAAACTACTTGCCTATAGTGAACATAAAAAATTAATTGTGGGTGTGTTATCGGTGGTAAGATCCTTTATATATGAACGAATATTTCGTTGATAAGTAATGCGGAAAAAATGGGTTAGTAATTTTTAGTCTTGAGTGTTTATTGTTTGTAAGGCCTTAGTAAAACACGGTAGCGCACACGGGAAACAAACGTCTGCACATCGACTGTCCCGGTAGAGGCACGTCTTTGCTTAGTGATTTTATCTTCACTTACTAACTTTGACATAATTGGAATTGATATAGTAATGGGGGAAGTAAGGGTTATAGTGGACCAATTGGATCAGAATATTTTATTTAATGTGTCGTTGTGTTGAGAGTCCCCCTTTCAGTAGTAAAGCGGGAGGTTACCAAAGCCTGTTCTGTACCGCCACATTGATACTCAGCCTACGCTCAAATTTGACATTCAACTGAAACTATATTACGTAAACATGCTTCACGTGACTCTACGTTACGTAAGTGCACGACATACCTGTGCACAATAGTTTACGTCAGATTGTACGTAAGTTTGGATTATGGGTGATGTGTGCATTAGTCGTGTCCCATCCAGTCATCGCCAGATAAAAACCTTATTGGATAGAACCTTCCCCATGTTTGTTGTTCATTTGCGGGGGTGGTATCCCAAATAAACCTTCGCCATCAGAACTCCGAGGTCACGTGCCATACTCTATGGAAACTCGGTGTCCCCTTCTCGAATCGAATCAATTTACCCCACTATCGAACTGTCATCTATAGGTTTCCATTCTTAGCCGTACTGTATAACAAAAACCAATATAGCTAACTTGTCATATATTACGTCTTTTTGTACTCCCCTCTCCTTATCACAGGATAACCGCCAAAATTATTTCAATCTCCAACTCAGATCAACTATAAATTAACTTTGATAACTCTTAATTTTTGTCACCCAACTTTTTTCTTCTTCTTATCATATACAACTCAATTTATTCAACTCAATTTATTCAACTCAATTTATTCAACTCAATTTATTCAATTTACTCATCTATTCATAATGCCTTTCAATTTCCTTTTCAACAAACACAACCAAGTTAAACAAAAGGAGAACGCAAATATATCACCATTAGATCCGGTATCGACTCAACATCCACCAATTAACTCTGTTCAAACTGGTCCCGGTCCTGGGCCAGGCCCAGATTCTTCCCAGTTGGGCAATATTAATCAAGTTCAAACGGGTATGACTGGAATGCTACCCAATAGAAGAGGATCCATTGCTTCTATGGTAGCAGCTGCTAGGAGGTCTTCTATTAGTTCTACTTCAGAAAGAAGAGAATCTGTTGCATCTCAAGGGTCTTACCACAAGTCATCCGACAACTTACTTGTGGGATTATGAAAATGAAATGAGAATAGTAGAAAAGTAATAACATAAAGATAAAAAATGCGGTATAGTTTTTCTCGGGGATATGTCTTTCTCTTTATAGGTGAATACAATGAAATGATAAACTTTCTTTGTAAATTTTGTTAGTAGAAGTCCAACTCTTGTTGAAGCAATTCAAGGTTATGTCTCTTTATTAATACCAGAACTCGTTTGCGGGCCACGTCATCTCCCATCAAATGCAAGATCTTAATTATGGAAATCATACGGTCATCACATGTTTTGGAAAGAGTTAAATTGTAACATCGAACATATAATTTATGTTTAAGTTCATCTTCTGGTAACAGCAGTAAAGATTTTATTAGTCCACTTTCCATCATTCTTAATATAACTCGAACTGCCAGAGAAACAATCTTGGTGTGTTTATTCCATTCAGATTTTGTCAAGTTGGGTTTATTTTTCACATCAAGTATCATCAAATCAATTATATCATCAATCACGTCTCCTCGGGTTCTAGAATCGGCTTTAATGTAAAACAAATAAAACTCATTAAAGCAACCATTGATAAGTATTCGTGATCCAACTGTAGATCCAAGGGTGGTCACTAAACCCTTCCAAAAATCTTTCCTCCAGCTATACCACAATTCACTATACCCATTAAAATACCATCGGAAATATGAACTATAATCGTTTAATTCTTCTATCAAATATCTTTCAGGCTCCTTCATTTTCAAGAAGGATATTGATAACTGCATGGCTTGCTTTCGAACTCCATCAATCCCTTCACCCATCATCCTCACTAGACGTGGTAATATCTCATGATCTGAATTATAAAACTCACTCAACTTGGATTCAATTAATTTCATACTGGCTCGTCTTAAATGTGATCCAACGTCTCCTTGGTTAGTCATTGTATAATCATCTAGCCATCTAATTGCACAGCCAACCTTCTTATAAGTATCCCACGGTCTCAGCACCTTATCCCACGTAGTGCTTACACCTTGGATCAATAATGTTCTAATAGTATAATGAACGCTTGCATCCTCTACCAATAGACAGACGTCCCAAGGGCATTGTGGATGCCATAAAATACATTGGGCCAATATCTTGTGATGTGGGATAAGTGAAAGAATATATGACCATTGCCAAAGTGGAGCCGTTTCCATGAATTGAATAAATACTCCAACATCATATTCTCTGATGTTTACAGCTTTGAAAATAGGTATAAGTGATGAAACGTCATGATCATGATCATGATCATGATCATGAATCTTCAATCTATTTTCACCTTTAAGAATGGAGTCTCTTGACGGATTAAACACAAATTCTTTTTTGAACTGTAGAACCAACGAATTTTCCCATTGTCCAATACCAACAAGTATCATTAACCTTGTATCTAAGTCCAATAAAGAGTTGTCAGAAGATAAACTACTGATGAGATGATTCTCATCAAATAAAATAGGATAATCAGCTAGTGCAGCAAGTGGTAGCTTATTTATATTGTTGGTGGTAGACTTGGTAGTAATATACCAATGCAAGACTTTCCTCCTTCTTTCAAGATTAGGACAACTAGGTTCAAGCATCTTTTCAATCAATATCAGCAAGAAGAACTTCACTGGAACTCCTAGTTTAACAAACTCTTCTATTGTTGATTGAATGAGTTCAAGATTCTGTCGTAATATTCCTTGAGTTGCCAATAACTCCATTGCTTTCAATTGGAATTCATTCGATTCGTCAAGAAGTAATCCAAGTCGTCCCAAGTATTCTTGCACCACTGCCAAAGCACACCTTCGGATGTATATCTCCGAATCAAACATCACAAGCTTCAATAGATTATAGAAAACTGAATTAATAATTGTAAGCTGGTCATCGTGATAAAGTAAGTCCTTCCGTTTCTTTCCACCAAGTTCACGAACAAATCCATAATAGCAGAATAAAGTTGCTTCTCTAATATTTGTTCCCAATTTATTATGACTATCATTTTCCGGATAAAGGTTAATTCCAACCAATGATATTAGTTTAAAGGTGATATCAAGACTATTTCTTCCAAGACCATTAAGAAATATGTACCCATAGAATAAAAGACCAATGTGATATTGACCCAAATCTTCTTTAGGATTAAGAAACATCTGATTCCACACATATTCAAGGTATTGGTCGGCGTAGTTGACTGCCACTTGAGATATCAGATTGTAAGCAATATACATTGTTTTAGCAATTGTATATTTGAGATCATAGTTAATAGTGCTTGGAGTCTCTGCAATATCGTGCAATGCATTAATGACATTGGTAATGTTTGTATAATCTTTCTGAGTTGAATAAAGTTGGACTAATTTACCCATAAGCTTAACTCTATAAGGTAGTAGAAAGCTCATATCATCGGATGTATTGTTAATTGTAACGTTCCATATGCAATTTGTAATCTCAACTAGCCCATTTTCCTCTGACCATCGAATTCGTTTAACCAACTTGTTTAAAGCCATAAGATAACCCAAATGATTAGATCTTCCCTTAAGATTAAGAAATTCAAATCTAAGCGTTATTTGATCCAGTCGACTAAGCAAACGAGACATGATGACCGTTGCAATGTCCAAATTCTTCGACATTGAGTCATAATGGTCCAAGACCCGGAGTATTACCTTGTATATGCGGACGGAGATCAGCAGCAGCAGCAATTCCATTTCAGCTGTGACAAGATCGAAGGGAAATGGAACAAGAACCAAGTTAGATATCCATAATAAACTCACAAACAATTCATCATCAACACCATTGATCAACTCATACCCTTCAAGCAATTCAACTATCTCTGGAACTTTATAGATATTTGTAGTGAATAGTTGACTAATATACTTGAATCCACGAACCTTAGCAAATGTGTACACTATCTTGGAGATTGATTGTAAGTATAAACCCGTGTTAGGAAGGCGGTGCCCGGAAGAGACACGCACCTTGTAAAAGGCGTTAAGAAGCTGATCGAAATGAACATGAAGATCTTCATCAAGAAGTTTAGGTGATGCTTCAAATTCATCTATGGTTTGCACCAATCTGTTTGTCAAGTTTTCCAACTGTTTTGATTCATGGGTCTCACCGGCTATAAGGACAAGAAGGGACTCAACTCCGAACTTGATCTGACTTCTGAGTTCATCACGTCGACTGGTTAGCTGACAATCAGGAAATCCCTGGTCATCCATGCCATCACAGGTATACAGTGAGTCCAAGTTTTCCTATCTGGATTGTGGTTTAGTATGTAAGAAACTTGTGGGGAAGACACGACATAGAGAATAGGATGTAGTACGAACAGTGCTCTATAATGAAAATTGAGATAATCTGCTAAACTCAGATAATTATGACTAAATACTATCAGATATGATATGACACTCAATATATCATGATATCGTCCACAATAATGTGTGCTTTCGTTTATTGTGCATAAACGTTTGCAACCACTGAAAGGTTATACTTGTTGCATGGCATTGCAACGGATTGTATTGTATTGTACTATTGATGTATGTATATACTGTTCAACTATTAATGTAGCAGACTCGTTCGTGCCCTGACATAGGCAGTAAAGGAAAGTATATACATATAATATAGTTAAGGATGATGGAATATCACCAGTCGAACTTACGTTATATGACTTGTACTCGCACTCGCACGACCTGTACTACAACATTTGGTAGTCGAAAATTTTTCTATGGTAAAAGGCATAGCGACACACAGTTATACTATAAGCACAAATATACTACAAGCATATATTAGAATATGTTTTATAAGGTTACTCAAATGAGATCCATCATTGGACTTGCACCAGTGGTGCGGAAGAATATGCAAGCTCTTGGGCTCCGCAAACGATTCCAAACTGTGTATCAAAAGATCAGTCCTTCCACAGCACACCGATTATTATACGTTAAAGAGTTGGTCAAGGTAGAGTTGGTTGAGTCTACTAAGAGTACCAAGCAGATGAGATTAGATAGAAAGTTTGAACCTGGGTTCTCTGTGATAAAGGATGGAGCAAAGAAGGTGTACCAATAGATGGTGAAGGGTTTTTGAGTTATAAGGTTTGTTATTCGTTTTCATGTACATACTTTTTATTACACGATTAATTGACTGGGTTAATAGATTTGGATACACATACCAAAAAGAGTGCTGTGATGCCATGAAGATGAGCAAATATCTTGAGCGAGCAAATTAGGCTACCCCTGTTATTTTGCTCATACCTCAGCAAAAGTATATATGTAATCGATGGTCCAGTAATCAGAGCATGTATGGTAGTAAAAGACATATCATTTATATGAGGCTGCAGCCATTGGTACAAGATGTAACTGTTATTAATTTGGAGGTAATGAGATCCACCAAACTGTTACCGATTGCTTCACGTGGCAGCTTTACTTCTATTTGATGTCAATTACCTGCACCAGATCTGCGTTGAAAGCATTACTATTTCTCGACCTGAATAAGATCTTAAATTCTAACATAGATACTCCTGCTGTGGCTGTCCCATAAGATAAGAAACAGTTCAGTATTAGGTCTAGCAAGCATCCTATAGGATTGAAGAAATGGTCGTGCAAAGCCCAATATAAGACACTCGGGGTTTGACCTATTTGAAAGTGGACTGATGGATGAGATTTCTTTAATGAAAGTTCTTGTTCTTGGTTATCATCAGTATTATAATTCTTTACACTGTATCGTATCATTTCTTGAAAGCATTCAAACAGGTGTTTTCTCGTATTATTTATTCCATTCCACATACCAGCTTCATTATGTTGTTCCACACTATCAAGGCATCTCAAAGAAATACATTGACCCATTCGTTATTTTCAACGACGTTTGCAGTTTGCTTCCTCATAGTAGGTGCCAATTCCTTAGTGCCTTGTCCCCTTGATAACGTTGGAAATAACGAATCTGTCCTCGATGATAAATTGACAAAGTTAGAGCCAAAGAACTAGAACTAGACTAGACTAACCTAATCAGACAATCGAGTTTTGATATTCCAGACCCATTCCCTTGCATTCCCTTCACATTATTACATTAATTTTATATTGATTTTTCGGCTGGTCCCGCCATATCCTGGGCGCTTGCATTAAGCACACTGAACACCTAGATTTACATGGCCATACATTTATATATATATATATTTATGCCTCTTGTTCATATTATGGATTTTACATGGGGGGGTAAATAAATCCTTCCCTTTGAATGTTCAGATAGCTTATCCGAGATATTATTTACTTGTATCTCATGTGTACATTAGTTTTATTTAATAACTTTTCACCAATACTATATCATCAATTATACTTCAATTGTACCACTAACAATGAGCCAATCACAATGCTCAGTTTGCAAACAGATTGTCGCATCGTGAAAATTAAGAGCTAAGTCGCGGGCTTACGTACTAGTTTACGTAATCAAATGTTTGGAAGTGTCGAATGATTACAAATAATATAAATTAAATATAAACGTCCCTTTTATCTCCACACTAACCCGATTTGGATTAGATGTAAATACTTGTGATGGGGTTAATTATAACAAGTTAAGGGAAAGAACCAAAGTACTATGGCATTGGATTGCTTGTTGTAAATTAAATACCTCTTCCTTTCTACTTCTATGGCAGTTTAAGTAAGCAATTACTCTTTTTTACACTATTACTATGAGCGGATACTCATACCCCAATGCCACTGACTTGGCCAACCTAACTAAGATAACGGCAGATCTGTTCAAAGAAACTAACATAGCCAAGTATCTCCAGTTAGACAAACTATCACCACCACAGAAACCACAATTAATTGAAATGAAACCAGCAACTTCCCCAACACCAGGCCCTATTGAGAATTTGTTGAATATTAGTCAAAAGCTTATAGGCCAATATAAGATGGAACTTCCCTATTCCAATAGTCAAAGCAAAATTGATCATAATAATGAACCCGATAAGGAGAATGATGATGTATGCTGTAGTAGTAATAAAATGACAACTACTAACATCAATATAACCCCACGCAAGAATACAACTCACAACTCGGTCTCTGTTTCAGCTAGAGGTACCAAAAGATCATGGCCAACTGATCAACAAGATGACGCCCAAGACCATGAATCTGAAGTCCTGCAAAACTATAGTCTTGTGCTTAATTCAAGACCTGTTTCATCTGGTACCCCTCTCGAAAATAAGTCTAGCTTCTTCTCTCCTGCTGGTAAGGTTCCTGGTTTACAGAAGAAGCTGTCACTGGTGTCGCTTTTACAATCCACGCCGGTAAATAAAACGTATACCCCACTGAACAAGATGTTGAAGGCAAACATGGCAGTTGTAGTCAATACCGACAAGAAGCCAATCCAAATATATGCTGATAAGCCACAACAACATCAGCTACAATTACAAGCTGTTAAGAAGGAGATACGGATCTTGTCAGAAGATGCGAACAAACCCGAAGAAAGCACTAAGGATAAAAATGAATATGAAGATGGCGATGGTGATGAAGATGAAGATGAAGATGAAGATGAGGAAGACAAATTAGCTTGTCATGCAAATAACATCATGAGAATGGCCGTTGACTCCACGATGCTTGGATCCACATTTAATGCTTCACTTTCATCACACTATGATGACTCCATTGTCAATATACTCCAACAGCTGCTGATGCTGCTGCCTCATGATGGGTTTGCGTTTGTCCCGGAGACAGAAGATGCAGACAAGTCATTGATTGAGACCATGAAGTTGAAATGGGGTAAGAAGGGAAGATATAATTTGGATTCGAACCGTGCCTCGAGAGTTGAAATCAACGAGGATGATTTAAAGGCTGCTGTTGGAATATAGTGTAATACAATATAATATGATCTATGTACAAGTTATGACAATATCCTTTCTAATCTTTTAGCATCACGTAAATCGATATCTCTCATATGAAGGTTTGCTTGATTTAGTTCTTGGTTGACCATCGAGTTGATCGATTGTAGTTGGTCCAGAAGCCCCTCGTTGTGCCAATGATCATTAACGTGGTTGATGTCTACCTTTTCAAGATCAAGTACATATTCGATAGTTTGTCGCAACGAAGACTCCAGCTCTATCATACTCAATAGGTTCTCCAATATGTCGCGCACATACATGTCGACATGTTCACCGTCAACATGACTTAAGTATTGGTAGAAAAAGAACTGAAGGTTAGTCATTGATATCCACGACAACGGTTGCCCATAAGTCAGTCGAATGGACGACAGGATAAAGTCTTTCATATGCGATGGTAGTAATAGGTCATTCTGTACCAAATGCTTATAGAGAACTGCACTAGAATATTTACTAGTGGATGACTTGCCCAAGGCATGAACTATGATCAGATACAGATCGGGGTCTAGAATAGAAGACTGCTTAATCTTGGTTTGATGTAAGGACGAAAGCACTTTGATCACTCCTGTCAAGTTCTGGTGTGTACTAACATGATTGAGAACACAGTTGACAAACAAAGTCAAAGTCGTTGATTCAAAGTTATTATCAATCATACGTTGAACGTGAGTGGTGATGAACTTTTCCAAGACTAAGAGATTGGCAAAGGGGTTACCTCTTAAATGACCATCCAAATGCTTATTCGGGTTCAATTGAGTTTGTTCCAGCTCAAGTCCCAGGCAATAGTGGAAGAAGCGACTTGAGAGCAGATCACCAATATCCTTATACGATAGCTTAATATTTATCTTGCCGAATCGAACAACAAACTTGTTGATGACATCAAGGATTGGGAACATGTTATCATCTTCACTGTTAGGATCATGAAATGTACAATACGCACGGATGATATCAATGCTCAGATCCTTTGTCAATCCTCTTTCTCCTCGCATGTTCTTATGAAGATAAAAGGTTTCAATGACAGAAATGGTCGACATAACATCACCGTTCCGGGAGAGAACTTGAAGGATCAGCATCACTAGACCATCACATAGTTCACTTAAATTGCTACCAAATAGATCATCATCATTGTTGTTGCCGTATTTCTTCATGATATAATGATCAGTCAATAACTTACATAGACCATAATGATTGCCAGTCACTGCGCCTTGAAGAAACTGTACCCAACTATCATCTATATCTAGTTGACCAGCACACCCTTTATGTTCGTAGATCTCTTCAAGCAATGAACATAGTTCATCCCAAGCTTTGTTGTGCACTAAGAAATGAACCAATCGTTTGGTAGGAAGGTTCAGGACTACCTCCGTGAAACTAACACCATCATTTAAAAGGGTGTCAACAATATCATGGAACGTGTCCAAGGCTTCAAATATCTGATTGCAGTTGATAAATGTGTTGATATAAGCAGAATGATAGGCATAGGTATATTTCCTACCGATTCTACGGTTCACAAGTTGTAGTGGTTCTAATTCCGATTCCTTAAGTATCTTAAGAGCAGTTAAGTCCGTACTGGTACGACAATATTCAAACAGTCGTAGAAGACAATACCAAAGCTCTCTTCTTTGGGAAACACTAACAGGTAGCACTACCTGCAGAGCGTATTTATATTGGTTAACAGCTTCTATGTATAGATTTAAGGCTGTCTTAGAGTCTTTACTATGGATGGTGTGGAGTGCCTTTAGTAGGATTACGTAGTACTCCACCGGGATGGACAGAGGATGTTTCAATTTGATGCCCGAAACAACGTTCCATATTTTATTAGGATTAAGGGACTTTGTAGCTGTATTAATCTCTTTAGCAAATTGGTCAATGGATGGAAGACTAGGAGCTGTGGTTAGTAGTCTTGATGGTGGAACTATTCTTCGTCGTAAACTGTAAGATGCTTGTTGAAACGATGTGCGCTTCATACTAGCAGCATTAAGGGCTGTAGCAGTGAGCAAGAACAGTGATCAGTAGCTGTAGTGTAATGGTAACGTAAATTATTTAATGTATTTGGCTCATCATTGGTATTGACCAGTGGTAGTGAAAAACTCAAGCTTGACCGCACTTGGTGATAAAGACATAGAGAGCAAAGGAAGACACGCAGTAGTCCTCTTATTACTATTGTCATTGCTTACCATGGTCCGATCTATGTTGATAGCAAGAAGGTGGGCGTCCAGTTCCGCGTCCAGTTTTAAACCTGGAACTAAGTTCAACACGTTTGATAGAAAGGCTAAGTTGGCTCAAAGAACAAGAGCAGCAAGTCTCACACCTGAACTCTCCAAAAAGACAGAATATCTTCGTGATGAAGTGGCCACGAGAACTATAGAAAGATTGGCGTTTATAACTAGGGATTTCACCAAATTGCTTGATCTCGGAGCTCATCTGGGCAATTTACTCAAGAGCTTGTGTATGGAAAGTGAGATACCTGCTGAAGCGGATGCGGAACAAAAGGCTATGATCAAAGAGTTGAATGAGGATAGGCTCAAGGTTCGTAACAAGATAAAGGAATATGTTATGGTTGACTCTTCTAAGGAAATGCTTGAACGAGATGCAGAGGAACCGTTTAATACATTGTTCCCAGGTAAAATCGTCCGTGTGGTAGCAGATGAAGAAACGTTCAATAATGAAGAATATCTCCAGAAGGAAAACCAATATGATATTGTTGTTTCTAACTTATCAATGCATTGGATCAATGATTTACCTTCAGCTTTTGCCAAGATTAATAAGCTTTTGGCTCCAGATGGAGTATTTGTATGTACCGTTTTCGGTGAAGATACCATCTATGAATTGCGTACTTCATTGCAATTGGCTGAGATGGAAAGAAGAGGAGGGATCTCTCCTCGTGTATCACCATTGATCAAACTTGATGATGTTAACAGCTTGCTTTCACGTGCTGGCTTCAAGATGCTTACCATTGATTCAGAGGAGATCGTTGTAGGTGGGTTCCCAGATATTGTAGCTGTTTGTGAAGATATACAAGGTATGGGAGAACTGAATGCCGTTTTATCCCGTCCAGGGTTCATGCCTCGAGACCTTCTTTTGGCTGCAAATGAAATCTATAAAACATTACATGGAGAAGAAGGTCCTGATGGGAAGGTTACATTACCTGTGACATTCAATGTCATATTTATGATTGGTTGGAAACATTCAGATGCTCAACCCCAACCTCTTGAAAGAGGAACAGGTCAAATAGATTTGAAACAAGTGTTGTAACTATGTATATAAAACAATAATAAGGATAAGTTAAAAGAAAGAACTATGCTTATTCTGAATAACAATTTTATATATTGGTAGAGTAAGATATGATGTATTATAACTTGTAATACTTTACCTTTATAGATTAAAAAATGGTTTCTTTAGTACTCCTCTACTTTTCCAAAGTATATACTTTTAACTGTATCCTTTTAAATCACCCTGAAATTCCTTACGGTCAGTATACATTACTTTTCATAGGTTCTAACTAAATTTTTTTTATCTTTTGTTACGATTATATAGTGACGAAACCCCTCATGAGTTTCCTCCAATGCGGTCTCTTTCTCCTTAGTGGGTACCTCTTTTTACACTCACCAAGTCTGAATTTCCTTACTAGAAACATTGTCCGTATCGATATACAATGTTAGTCTTTCGTCATCGCCGTCCTCGTCGTCGTAGAGATCAAACCCTCCATGAACTTCACATGAATATATAAAACCCCATACTTCAGGTAGAACGGACGTTTTGTAGCTAAGTTTCATAGATTTCGCTCGTAATTGATCATTAGTCATTATGAGATAATACAGAACTACACTATTGATTAAATCCAACTTTAAGTCTTCATGGCTTTTCCATCTTCTTCGAAAAGAGGCATATCTCCCGCTACTTCTCCGCCTGGCTCGTCTCTGTCTGTTAAGTAAGGTATCATACCCACTACTTATTCAAACTTTATAGCACTATTATAGGGCATAGTTATTGTTCGGGTAACCGCATTCTCGGCATACTTTCATGAACTCGCGCTACCAAGTCGGAGAGCCCGAGGATTCAAGTGTGAGTATTTGCCTAATTAGGAATCTCAAGCCGAGCACACAGACATCCTGGTGATAATTCCAACATGGTATTACTCCACATTTCATTCAGTAAACTATAACCGTCAGTTTTCTTTCTTCTTTTTATTTTGTTTTGTTCTTTTCATTATGGCAAGGTATCCCAAAATGGTAGCTGATAAGTCAGTGTTGCCCACCTACAAGCTCGACTCCAATTTGGTCCTCTTGCCTGGTATTGTGTATAACTTGACGTTCACCCGGTTCAAAGCAGCAGCACTTTTATCACGATTCAAAGACCAAGTGACTAATGTTCCGATAATTACCGATCTACTCAAGGAATATGATTTCATTAATGAGGATGATGATGCTGGGCTAAGCAAATCTGAAGGTGATGGTTCATCTGTTGGTTCTCCAGTGGCGATTTCTGAGGAGGCTATTGAAGGGATCAGGAGATTTGTTGAAGTAGAGAAGACAGCCATTAAAAGAGATGGCGATGTGGTTGCTTCGTCCGATGCAATAGTTGTATCATCACCAGCCAATAGTCAGCAGCTTGAACAGCTAGTTCTTGCGGTGGTTCCCAATTTGTCCAAGATCAATGATCCCAAGGGCCCTCAACCAGACCAAGATAAGGTGGTTACTGTGTGTAGAATTGTGGGGATCGTGGATGACACGACAAGCATCAAGTTATCACTCCAATCTTTGGTTAGAGGCTTTAAAGTAGACAACTTCAAGCCTAGAAACACCAATGAAAGACTCATTGAATATGAATGGAATTATAAAGTCTCCCAAGTGGACAAGAAGTATCTGGTATTGGATTCACGTATACAAACGCTATTCAAAGCTGTTGATAAGTTTGTTATCGGGTACCAGAATGCTGTGACAACCGCAAAGGATAATAAAAATGGTGTCAATGGTAAACGGTCAGGTCCTAATGATTTGTTGATGCTACATCCGTTAGCAAATGCCTTGTATTTACAACTTGCCGGTTCAAGTGAATTTAACAAGGCGTACGGAGCTTTACGGAAACTATTGGATAGTTATAATAATGGGCTTACCAAAATTAACCCTAGATCTTATACTAGATTAATTGATTTGATTGCTGCTGTGGTTCCATTTCCCAATTACTCCAAGTTATCTGTTTTAAAAAAGGTGAATCCTGAAGATCGTAGTGAAGAGGTGATCCGCTTGATTGAAGATATCACCTCAGTTTTTGGTATGATCAAAGACAACAATCAAAGACTTAACCATTGGTTTTTCAACGAAGCAAGCAATATGCAAATGGCCAACATTGTTGCTACTCAATTAAAGTCAATCAGATTGGTATTAGAGGGTATGACAAACTCCCGCAATGATTTACGTCTTGCCAACCAACATAAGTCAAACATTACTTCCAAAGGCGGTACTCGTGATCCTAAATCTGGTTCAGGTACTGGTAATACCAGTCCTGATAGTGCTAATAAAGATGATTTAGATGAAGTTGATGATGATTTACAACCCATTACCGAGTTTATTACTAAGAGATTGCCTCAAATTAGTTCCATTACTTCTGATTCCAAACGTTTGTTGGTAAAGGATTATAAGAGAATTAAAAATTCACCACCTGGAAACTCTGATTATCATGTCCTTCGGAATTATTTGGAAGTGGTGGTCGATATGCCTTGGGACAAGTTCATTACGAAATTCAAGCTGAACAAGGATATAGACATTCATTTGGCTCAAAAACAATTGGATGAAGACCATTATGGATTGACACAAGTGAAAAGACGTTTGATTCAATATCTTGTGGTATTGAAATTGTTAGGAATCAACGCAGACAAGGAAATAGCCGAGAAGGCAGAAGCAAAAAGAAAGTCTATCACATCAACTAGCACTTCTTCTTCTTCATCTGCTACTTCAGATAATCCGATTATTTTGGGTAGTAGTGGTAAAGAAGTTAATCCCTTAAATTCATCAGCATCATCATCCCCTGATTGCACAGAAGATGAATCTGCAGCGACAGTGGTTTCCAAACATAATAAATCACCAATAATCATGCTTGCTGGGCCTCCAGGTACTGGTAAGACATCACTTGCCAAGTCTATTGCTAAATCATTGGGACGTAGTTTCCAACGTATATCTCTTGGAGGTATCAATAATGAGAGCGAGATTCGTGGTCACAGAAGAACTTATATTGGTGCTATGCCTGGTATGATAATCCAGGCTCTTAGGAAAGCTCGATCGATGAATCCTGTGATTCTTTTGGATGAAGTGGATAAAATAATTGGTGGTAGTCCTCAACTGGGTCGTTTGAATGGAGATCCAGCTGCTGCACTTTTAGAAGTACTTGATCCTGAACAAAATACTCTGTTCACCGATCATTACTTAGGATTCCCTGTTGATCTTTCTCAAGTGATGTTTATTTGTACGGCCAACGAACCATATAATTTGTCTGCTCCCTTATTGGACAGATTGGAAATGATTGAAGTTGATGCTTATGATCTGGAAGCCAAAGTGATTATTGGAGAGAACTATTTATTACCTCGACAAATCGGTCGTAATGGGTTCCCCTATAAGGAATTGGTTACTATAGATAAAGCTACCATGAAGGTTATTATTGATAAATATACTAGGGAAGCTGGTGTTCGTAATTTGGAAAGAAGATTGGGAACCATATGTCGGTTTAAGGCTGTTGAATATGCTCAACTGATTGGAGAGACTGGAAATGTTAGTCGTAATCTTCATACACCATCCAAAGCCCTTGTGGTTAAATATGATCCTGTTGTTCATGTCATGCATTTGACTAAATATTTGGGATCACCTCATCCTGAGGACACTAGTACAATTATGGCCGAAGTTGATCTAGACCGTTCTTATGGTGTTGTCAATGGATTATCGTACAATTCGGACGGTACAGGGTCAGTTCTTGTATTTGAGTCACTTGGAATTGAGGGTAACTCATCCCTCCACATGACAGGACGTTTGGGAGAAGTGTTGATGGAATCTGCACAGATTGGATTGACATATGTTAAGTCATTGATATATGGATTAAGGGCCGATTCTAGGGAAACCTCCATTGATAAAGACAAGGAAGAACAAGAACAAGAAGTTCACCCGGATATTGAACGAATGAAGAACTTGGAAATACATTTACATGTACCTCTGGGGGCCATTAGTAAAGATGGACCATCTGCTGGAATTGCCATGGCATTACTGTTCCTTTCACTTATATTGAAGAAGCCAGTGCCCATGGATATAGCCATGACGGGAGAGATTAGTTTACGAGGGATGGTTTTACCTATTGGCGGAGTTAAGGAGAAGTTGATGGGATGCTGTATGAGCAAAGGGATGATCAAGAGAGTGATATTACCCCGTTCCAATCGTCGTGATGTTATTCTTGAATACATTAGACAGAAACGAGGAGAAGATGATGATGATGACGGAGATGCGGAGTTAGGAGAACTACTTGACGATGATTCTCGTTACCGTTACGAACGAGATGAACCCGAGCGGTTCTTCCAACAGAAACATGGACTTTCGGTTGGATATGCTCGGGAGTTCAAAGACGTTGTGGGGATTGTTTGGGGAACTGAAGCTTTGGTGGGGGCTGAACCTCACCATCAGAAACTCTTGGAGTATCACTTATGAGCTGAAGCGTGTTTTGCGCCTCGGTATGCAGACGACTGCAAACGCGTATGACCACAAACGGAGCGCTACGCGGTAAACCACAATGTCGTTTCGCGGAGAATGTCGTGCGAATGTAATCACGTGGCTTTACCCACTGAGGACGACAATAACCAGAGGCAGCAAGCAATACATAAACCAACATTAATTAACATTAACTAACAGTACCACTCTCACTCTCACTAACACTAACACTAGCAATACCACCACTGCTAACCACTAACAGTACCATCGCTGCTAACCACTAACAGTACCACCACTGTTAACCAATCATAAACTCCACTTATCTTCCATTGCACGACACTCTATATTAATAGCCACCTATTACGTAATTGATCTGTCCAAAGCCACGCACCTCCTTCGCTTCCTATACACAGGCTTTTTTTTTCATACCATCAGTCCCAAATATATCACACACTCAAAGTCTTTTGGTGATACTATAGTAGCCGCTTAGCTCAAGCACTTATTGTGACTATTTAACAACATCAGTTGCCTCACGGTCGTTCCCGTCCCACCCACCTACCCACCGTCGCTACTACTATTCTTATTCCTTGGTGGTGTTAAGTCGTATTGTCTTGGTGTTAGTATACCTTGTTTTCTTAGTCGGTTTCTGTTTTCTTATCATCGCCTTAACTGAGTTATTGTCGTTCTAAGTCCGCTAGAGGCCTAGTAACATTGACATCCTCTGCTGCCGCCTCAAGTCCGCTCCCATAATCATGAAGCTGTTCAACTCTTTATGGATCATAGGGTTAACCCTAGTCACATTCTTGTCATCCCCTGTGACCGCAAGAAGAGCTCTATCCTCCCGTTCGTTGGTGACTTGCATGGATAACTCCAAAATATCCCCCACATACTTTAACGTTACGTTTAACCCCGATGACGGATCCTTACATTACCAAGTGGACTTAACCACAGAATTGTCTTCTTATGTCCGAGCAAGTGCCCAAGTTTATGCTTACGGGTTCCTTATTATCTCCAAAGACTTGAACTTGTGTGACATGGGTTGGAAGCAGTTTTGTCCCATGTATCCTGGTTCTATGCAAATCGAATCCATTGAATATGTCTCCAAGAAATACATTGATATGATTCCCGGAATAGCCTTCACCGTGCCCGACATCGATGCCGTATTGAAGTTGCTGGTCTATGACATTAGCAGTGGTGAAAAGTTGGCTTGTGTCCAAGCAAGTTTCTCTAACGGTAAAACTGTGTCTCAAACCGGTGCCAAATGGGCTACGGCCGTTATCGCCGGATTGGGACTCCTTATTAGTGCTTTATTATCAACTTTTGGTAACTCTAATGCAGCTTCTCATATTTCTGCTAATGCCGTGTCGCTCTTCCTTTACTTCCAAAGTGTGGTCGTAGTGTCTATGCAACATGTGGAAAGAGTCCCTCCCATTGCTTCTGCTTGGGCCGAAAACTTGGCTTGGTCAATGGGGTTAATTCAAGTTCTGTTTATGCAAAAGATCTTTAGATGGTACGTACAAGCCACGGGGGGGAATCCAACCACTTATTTTCTTGGAACCTCAAAGCAAATCTTGGTGCAAAGATCTTTGGACTATTTGGATTCATTGCATGAGTTAGTTAGAAATAACTATGTGATGCCTGCTAAAAGAGCTTTGGATTTCTCTTTGAAATCAAATTCAAATTTAATTGTTTTAAGAGGTATTAAACGGATTGGTTTCAATTCTCATATCGAGCCTACTTCGATAGTGGTCACGGGGTTCACCTTCTTTGTCTTGTGTGGATTTGTGTTGACGATTATCATTGTCCTAATCAAGAATGCGGTCACATTGTTGATCAGAATGGGTAAACTTCAACCAACAAGACTCTCACACTTTAGAACCCTGTTCACCAATATCTTAAAGGGTACCTTATTAAGGTACATTTACATTGGGTTCACCCAATTGGTTATCTTATCACTTTGGGAATTCGTACAACAAGATTCTCCTGCGGTAATTGTTTTGGCAGTTCTTTTCCTTATTCTTTCCCTTGGAATGATTCTGTATGCACTTTATAAAACCTGGCACTATGGGAAACTCTCTATTCAACTTTATAAGAATCCAGCAGCTATTCTTTATGGTGACTCCGGAGTTCTTTCCAAATTCGGTTTCTGTTATACCATGTTCCATGCCCTGAAATACTGGTTTGGAATCGTTCTTGTGGTGTATACGTTGGCTAAGGGGATTTTCGTTGGGTTATTCCAATTCTCCGGTAAGGCATCATCTTTGGCGTTATTCATTATAGATTTGGCTTACACCATCTATTTGTTTATGAGTGCTCCTTATTTGAACAAGGCCACCAATATTATTAACTATACCATGTCCATTGTGATTACGTTAAATTCATTTCTTTTTATCTTCTTCTCCGATGTGTTTGGTCAACCAGCACCTGTGGCTTCAATTATGGGGTGGGTATTTTTCATTCTTAATGCCGCCTTTTCCTTCTGTCTTTTGGTATTGATTGTGGTGTTCATTGTGTATTCAATCATCTCCAAAAACCCAGATGCCAGATTTGCACCTGCAAAAGATGATAGAGCATCGTTCCAAAGAATGTCGTCCATGAGAAACCCAAGAAAGAGAGCGTCGACTTATGCTAGTGGCACTCCAAAGGGTGCTTCCCTGGAAGATGTTGCTAATGATGAACTAGCTGCCTTGGGGATCGCTGCGCAAGACCATACCAAGGATTGGGAAGGTCAAATGTATAAGTTGAACAATATTTCCGAACAGTTTATGAATAATGTTGATAATGAGGACCCTCTTCGGAACAGGAGTTACTCCAATCTTGATAATGATAGTGTGGCCAAATTAACACCCTCAACCGAACAACAACGGGTGTTTATGAATGAAGACATGAATACATCATCATCATCTGGTGAAGAAAAGGATGGAAGTTCCCATGAAGTTGAAAAGGATTTGACCAGCAATAAACAGAGATTATCCATGTTGAAATCCAGATGGTTAAAGTTCGGAGGAAAGGAAAATAGCGGTATTAACTCCGAACGTATAGAGGAGAACACTGCTCTCACTGCTGGCAATGAAGAAGATCATCCATTAGAGGCAAACAAATATAATGACACTGCTAAGGATAGTTTTCCAGAAATGACCACTTCCCCTCATAAAGCATTTGAAGAACATAAGCGTGACATGAGCTACAGTTCCAACATTTCAAACATGAGCCAGCAACCAATGGGAACCAGGAACATCATCTAAAGTGGGGGACACCCACTAATCTGTACAATATTTTATCCGTTCAATTTTGCGACATTGTTATGAGTATATTATTATCTTTTTTTAGTCTTTGTCTTGTAGTTGGTCCCAAGGCCTTTGAAGATGGTGTAATGTCGCCGTTGAAGTCGTACGGTTCCATCCACCTAATAGAACCGCACCTTTCTGGAAAAGCGACATTCTTCCAGCCATTTCAATGATCATGTCTTTCTTCAAGTGAAGCTTTGCAATCTGTGCCTTATTGTTGGCTATGAGTTTTTCCATTTCAAGCGGGTTGGTGATTTGGTGGAACCAATTGGCCGAAGCACTTAGTGCCAGGGCGACGATATTGGCGTCGGCTTCGGAAAAACTATACTCTTCAAACACATCAATTAATGCGGCCCACTTCCGCTTGTAAACGTCTGGAGTATCCGATAACCTGAACCGTAAGTCCCATGGTGTGGCAGTGGCAAGATACGGAACTCTGTGGGTCAACGCAATGGGTCCAACAAAAGGGTTGATGTTATATGTGACCGACTGCGACGTAATGTCTTGTGCGATGACTGGACCTATGGGGACGAGCAAACTTTTGTCTGTAAGCGGAATATCTAAGGGCATGGCCAAGGACTTTATGTCTGGAATGAAAGCGTTATTATCTACGTGGTTCTTTAGACTTTTATCCGGAACGGAATATTGGTACATTCCTCCAACAAACGTGGAGGGAATATAAAATTGTAGATCTCGTTCGGCGTATCTCTTCCTTCGGGCAAACTTATAACAAGCCAAATCTCTTAAAGCCCAAGCCAACGAAGCTTCAGGCGTGGAGGAAAGAATATCTTCAAAATGATCCGACAGCTTCTTACCGGAATAATTGATGAACCCCAGTTGAAACGTTTTCTCCAATACTCCATCCACCTTTTTCCGTAAGAGATTGCCAACTTTGACCAACAACGAAGTCTCTTGTTTGTATTCAATGTTGGAGGCACTTATTTTCCCACTGAGTTCGATGTTCTTAACCGTGTCGGCTGTTCGGTAGTTTAAGGGATCTTTTGGTGGTGCTTGTAGTACACAGAATGCTTGCCTCCAGAAATGGTTACCTTCCTCGTCGTCTATGGGGAAATACTTCTCGTAGTCCACCTTCCCTTCCACACAATGAGTGATAGATATAAAGGCACTATTGGTTGGCGGGAAAAGACCCGTCCATTTATATACTCGGTCTATTTTGAACCCGGTAAAGGGGAATATTATGGAGCGCTTATATCCATCGCTGCATGCATTCTTCTTGTTGTCTTGGAAGACCCAGCCACCTTCGCAACAGGAGGATAACAGTAGTATGAAAAGAAAGGGAATAATGTACATATAAAGCAGTAAATATATAAATGTGTGTGTGTTACTGTTAGCGCCAATTGCTGCAAAATAAAATAGTTCCTTATAACAATTGCACAAAGCTGAAGATTACCCTCGGTGTCCCCCGGACTCGCCTCGGATTATATAGTGTTCCGGTGCGATGAGCATCTTATGGAAAAAAATTAGCAGCCTATACTAAGCATTGTTATAACACACATTCCTAGTACATTCCTAGTACATTGCTGGGTGGATTAATTGCAATGGAACAAGCCAATAAGCCCCACAGAGGGGAGCCCAAAAAGAATAGTGCCAAAAAGAGGTTGCATCAGAATGGACAAAACGTTAAAGCATTTGCAGTGAATGCCCCAAGGAAATTGGAACGGATGGCAAGAAGATCTCATGATGTTAAGGAGAAGAAGTTACATGTTCCTATGGTAGACAGAACGCCCGATGATGATCCTCCTCCCGTCATTGTGTGTGTAGTGGGACCCCCCGGTACCGGTAAGACGACATTAATCCGGTCACTTGTTAGAAGATTAACCAAGACCACCTTGACGGAGATCAAAGGACCAATCACTGTTGTCAGTGGGAAGCGGAGAAGATTGACGTTTATGGAAGTGAGCAATGATCTCAATTCCATGGTAGATGCTGCCAAAATCGCCGACTTGGTGTTATTACTTGTTGATGGTAACTTTGGGTTGGAAATGGAGACCATGGAGTTCCTTAACATAGCCCAACATCATGGGATGCCTAGAGTTTTGGGTGTCGCCACGCATTTGGACTTGTTTAAGTCTCAATCTACATTAAGAACGTCTAAGAAGAGATTGAAACATAGATTCTGGACCGAGGTGTACCAGGGAGCCAAGTTGTTTTATTTATCCGGGGTTATCAACGGTAGATATCCCGACCGGGAAATCTTAAACTTGACGAGATTCATGTCTGTTATGAAGTTCCGTCCTTTGAAATGGAGAAACGAACATCCGTATTTATTGGCCGACAGAGTAACGGATTTAACCCATCCTAACGATATAGTGGAGAATCCCAAGTGTGACAGACAAGTTGCTATCTATGGGTATTTGCATGGTACCCCCTTGGCTGCAGCCAATGCACATATGCACATAGCCGGGATGGGAGACTTCTATGTTCATTCCGTGGAGAAGTTACCGGACCCGTGTCCTACACCTTATTTTGAACAACGGTTAGAAGACATTGAAAGAGAACGGGCCAAGGCTGCAGCTGCGGCCGGAGAAACAGTTGCACCGGTGACCAGAAGACGGAAAAGATTGGAAGACAAGCAGAAGATCATATATGCCCCTATGTCCGATGTCGGGGGTGTTTTGGTTGATAAGGATGCCGTCTACATTGATGTGGGGGAGAAGGAGTATTTTGTCAAGAGCGAAGACATGGGTGAGGGAGAGAAGTTGGTTACTGATTTACAGGAGGTAACCAAGACGGTTCAAGAACGGTTTGAAGAAGGACCAGGGTTGAAGTTGTTCAGTGAGTCCAAAGAGATTAAGGGTAGAGGTGGAGTTGATGATGATGAAGATGAAGAGCATGGTTTATTGTCTGATCTTGAAGAAGGGGATGAGGAAGACTTGAAGCAGGAACAAGGAAGGAAGCACATGAGAAACCCAAGATTATATGGGAAGTCTATACGTGAAGATGATGAATTTGACAGTGAAGAAGACGATGATGATGATGATGATGATGATGATGATGATGGACTAGAATACAATGAACATGAGCCCAAGTTGATTGAAGTTGACTTCGATGATAATAAGTACAAGGAGAACGACTTGGAGTTTGCGGAAGATTCATCGTTATCTTCTGATGAAGAAGAGGAGAACGGATATAGGAAGACTGCAGCCAAGTTGAAGATTCTGGTTCAACGGAGATGGGACATCAATAAGTTGATTTACTTGGACAATATTGAGCCTTCTGAGGTCATTCGTAGATGGAAACAGCATGAAGAAGAGGATGAGGAAGAAGAAGATATTGAAGACGATGATGATGACTTTTTCAAGAAGAAGCAGACAGCTTCAACCACCGAAGATTTGGACAATTTTATTCCTTCCTTTCCTCCGCTTGAAGACTTAAAGAGGAAGTTCAATCCTGATGGTGGTGATGATGACGATAATGATGATAAAGAGTACGAAAATGGGTATCAAATCTTGAAGACCAGATTATTGGTTGCACCTAAGGTAACTGACGAGAGCTCTGAAGGAAAGGAGGACGTTGGTGACGATGATGAAGAGGTTTATGGAGACTTTGAGGATCTTGAAACTGGTGAAAAGCATGAGGAAGTAGAAGAAGATAAGAAGGACGACTTTGCTGATTTTGAAGAGGAAGAAAAGAAGGATGAAATGGGAGTCGAGGACGAGAATTTATCCGTTGAAGAGAGAAGACAGTTGAATGCTTCTAAAAAAGCTCAATTGAAGATGCAATTTGAAGAAGAAGAAGACAGAGAGTTCGGAGCAGACGATCCAGAAGGTGACACTGAAGCCGACACTTGGTATGAATTCCAAAAGAATAAGATGGCCAAGCAATTGGAAATCAATAAGGAAGAGTTTGATCAAATGGACGACACCACCAGAGTCAACATTGAAGGGTATAGAGCCGGCTCGTATGTGAAGTTGGTGTTTAAAGACCTCCCCTGTGAGTTTATCAACAACTTACAACCGGAATATCCCATCGTATTAGGAGGTTTGTTAGCCACTGAATCCAGATTCGGGATCATGAATGTCAGAATTAGAAAACATAGATGGCACAAGAAGATCTTGAAATCACAAGACCCGTTGATTTTATCTTTAGGTTGGAGAAGATTCCAGACGTTACCCATTTATACCACATCAGATTCCCGGACCAGAAACAGAATGTTGAAGTATACTCCGGACCATGCATATTGTTTTGCGTCATTCTATGGGCCATTGGTTGCACCTAACACAACATTTGTCGGGTTTAACATTATCGACAACAAGTCCACCACCGGGGCATTTAGAATTGCAGCCACGGGGATAGTGGAAGAGCTTAACTCTACCGTCGAAATTGTTAAGAAGTTGAAATTGGTCGGGTATCCTTATAAGATCTTCCGGAACACAGCTTTTGTCAAGGATATGTTTTCCAACAGTTTAGAAGTGGCCAAGTTTGAAGGGGCAGCTTTAAGAACTGTTAGTGGGATCCGAGGTGAAATCAAAAGAGCATTATCGAAACCTGATGGACATTTCAGAGCGACATTTGAAGATAAAGTCTTAATGTCGGATACCATTTTCTTGAAGACATGGTATCCTGTTAAAATCAAACGGTTCTATAATCCCGTGACATCATTGTTGATGTCTGAACATGGAGAATGGAAGGGGATGAGATTAACCGGACAAGTTAGAGCCGAGAGGGGTGTAGAAACACCTTTATTGGCTGATAGTGCTTATAAGAAAATTGAACGAGTTGAACGTAAGTTTAACCCATTAAGAGTCCCTAAATCACTTAAAGCCAATTTACCTTTCAAATCCCAAATTCATGAAATGAAACCTCAGAAGAAGTCGACTTATATGGCTAAAAGAGCCGTGGTGTTAGGGGGCGAGGAGAAGAAGGCACGTGACTTAATGCAAAAGATAGCCACTATCAAGAAGGACAAAGAAGTTAAACGTCAAACTAAGAATCAAGACAAGTTCAAGGAGAAACTCAAGAAGATCGCAAAGAAGGAAGAGATCCGGAAGGAGAAAGAAAGAGAAAGAAAGAAGGAATATTTTTCCAGAGAGGGGAAGAAGAGATCTCTGGGTTCATCCGATGGTGATTCTCATAAGAAGAGAAGAGCATAGAATAGCATTTATATGTACACAATATATGTTCATGTATTTATACCAACACAATGTAAGGTGTCTATTTTAACCTATCTGGTTGGTGCACGACTCTACGCAATTTATTTGTAAATGATCCGTTAGTTTTTGCGATGTAGAAAGCAAAAACCTCAAACGATTATACACACACACACTTGCATACTTTTAGAGTTTATCCGTTATTTGATATTGAAAGCTAGAATTATTAACCCGAGTGGCAAGCATAAACTATCCTATTGAAGAGATATAGACAGAAATAGATAGACAGAGAGTGTTCGTGTATATATATATTTATATGTGTATGTGAGTGTAAGTGAGAAGGATTATACGAGCTAAAGCACGACATAACTAAAACTAAAGTATGCTGGATATTCTCTTGAAGCCAACACAACAAACGTTTGTTGATGATCCTGAATCATTGGACGAGACATCGGCAGACGAGTTGGTATTTGATTTCAAACATGATATCAAAGACATCAATAAGCTTCATGCTTATCATGCTGTTCGAGTTCTTAGTACAACGGTCAATGAGATTATCCGACTTCAAAGTCGACCGGACTTACTCCTGGAGTTCCGCAGGATGCAGCTAGCCAAATACAACATAGGTGTGGATGAATACACTCCTCCTTCGCCCTGTGCCAGTAACCCGACACTTTATCAGCCTGAACCCAAGATCGCATCGTGCAAACCTACGAGACCCACTACAACGGTAGAACGGATTTTCCCTGAAGACGTTAGTCATAGAAATGGAGAGGAGAAACGGAAGATCTCCGAGGTCATGAGGTCTCAAACTCCTCCGTTATCTCCGCCGTTGAAGTTCTCCAAGTTGAGAGACAACTTTAATGACCCTCCTCCGCCTCAGTTATCTTCTGGGGCGGTTACTCCCACAGAAGAGGATCCCTTTTACGATCGCATTATCAACTATGGTCACGATGACAGTGGGTTGCAAAGCACCAGCACCACCAGTTTGGATGGTGATGATGACGATGACGATGACGACGAACATGATGAATGTGGTCCGTATATCCCAATTGAAGAGTTGACAACCACAGCTGACTTGGACCCTCATAATGTTCTTGATAGGACCGACGAATGGCTCCGGAAGGAGTTGAACTACAACATGACTTCTAAAATCACCCAACAAAATGGCCACTTGCTAAAGTTGTTTGATTTGATTAAGAAACCTCCGTTGTCTATCGAAGACTTTCTAAACCGGATAAAAACGTATTCTCCCTCGGTCTCAGTTAGTTGTTACATCCATAGTGCATTTTTATTGTTCAAAATGACCATTTTGTTGGACGTTATTCCGTTAACAGATTACAACGCTTATAGGTTTATCCTTGGAGTCATTAGATGTTCTACCAAGAAGTTAGAAGATGTCTACCAGAAACAATCGGCTTTTGCAACCGTTGGTGGTGTAAGTCAAAAGGACTTGTTTAAGATCGAGGTGGGGTTCTTATATTTAAGCAACTTCAAGTTGGTTGTTACTGAAGAGAACTTGAACTTTTATTTAAAGGAACATTTTACTGATTTGGTTGATTTCTGTAACCAGAAGTTGTCTGATTAAATTATTCATTGCATTTATTAAATTGGATTTATTGTAGAGTGTTTGTTATGTTTGCATTATTCGTATTCAAGATACGAGTTATATAGTTATTAGTATTTTTCAATGCATATCGTACTTATTATGGACCGTGATTTAGCTTTTAGGTTTCCAGTGCGTAGCTCGTATTTCCCTATATTCAGTTTCGGTATACGAGTCAACTATGAAATAAAAAATGGGTCCTTGAAAAGTAGTATAAGAATAAAAAATTATGCGAATTCTGTGGATCGAACACAGGACCTTCAGATTAACTGTGACTGGAGTTTCAACTTCAGTCTGACGCTCTCCCAACTGAGCTAAATCCGCATTTGAAGAAGAACCCACGGCGGGAGTCGAACCCGCAATCTTTTGATTAGAAGTCAAACGCGTTAACCATTACGCTACGCAGGCCACTTGCTGAATGAAAGGCGTATGCAACTTTTGTATGGACAGGATAGAAGTCTTATATGTGATTGGTAGCGCTTCACTTCTTACTTGACTACAGTCAGTTCTCTTTGAAGTATATCAAAATCATTGGTATGTGAGTCATTAGTCATTCAGTAAAAGGTAAATGCTTCAATTGTGAAAGGTTGCTAACACAAAACATGTCAAAGTAGAACTAGTACCTTATTTGAATCGTAGAAAGCTGTAAATGTTATACCTTCCAAATCAGTTAAGTAGGGTGCAGATGTAGTAGCATTTTAAGTCACTCTAAGAGGTTTAAAACTAGTGCTTTTTTGTTTTAATAGTTGTCTATTTGTGAATGTATTTGATAACTTTTGTTTTGTAAACCAAAAAGCCACACTATATTTAGATTACTTACACAATTGCTGTAAGTTTACAATGTTACAGTCATAGTGTCCAACAGGTATGATTTTGCCACCAAATGACCCATTTTTCTTTAAATAAGTACATAATCAGAGACGTGACGTAATACTTAGAATCTCCTCATTTTAACTGTCTAATTGATAGAGACATTTTATCGTTAAATCCCCCTTTAAGTGACTCATACAAAAGGATAACAAAAGGATAAGAATCTGTTCTTAACGTAGTAAACGACAGTATGCAGGTACACGAAAGCTTCGATGCATTGGAACTGCACGTTGCCCCAGTTCAGGTATATCTATTAAGGGAGATAACCATACCCCGTTCATTTTGACACTGAATACCCCTTGATTCCTTTGGCAGTGGTTTCAATTACATATGAATAATCCTTCCTTTTAGATGACCAATTGGAGCATATGAGTCAGGGAATTTCAGTTGCTTTTAGGAACCTTTGGGGTCAAGATACGAGGAGCAGCTCACTTGTTGTATTCACATCAGATTCCGTATATATACGAGCATTATTGTTAAAGATGAGGAAACATCATACAAAAGCTAGACATTATAGTTCACCAGGTTTCCGAAGACCAACAACCATGTCAGACAATGATAATGTTATTAACTCCAATGCTCCAATACCGAATACTATTGTACCATCATTGATCCCAGCTAAACTAGATGATCTTTTACGATCTAATTTTTCTAGAAACCACTTGTTTAATCTAGGTACAGATTTGATAAAGTTGGATTTGTATCAGAAGTTTGGTCATATGACATCTGTTACCGGAGGTGGCTTTATCAAGACTTTAGTCCATAGCCTCTCGACGTTTGTTAAGGAAGAGTTTGAACCAGATCGAACTTCTGAAGCCGGTAACCGTCTTAGAGAATTGGTGTATCTAACTTCGAACTTGGACCTCTATAATGAGGACCTCCGTAGGGGGGAAGAAACGGGAATCTTGAATACTCATAATATTTCTGATTTTAAATGGTTTTTCATTGCCGCAGGGTATATGTTGGTTACGAGTTCCAAGGCCAAGATCGTACAATTCACGGAGTCATTAGCCGAGATTTACGCCAAAGCCCGGAAATACGAGAATTTGTTGACAAATCCCGAGAACCAACTTCAGAATGAGCAACAGGAACTCTTGGATATCTTAAATGATTACTATGAAACTGTTGAAGTCGATGAATCACTCATTCATAATGGCCCAAAACATATTACTATGTACTATGATGGCGATTATAAGGTGAAGTTGCCAGAGTTACCAACTATCAGGAACAAACAATTGTTAGTAAAGGCATTAATTCATAAAGAATTATACCGAGCATTTTTGACACCTAACCATCCCATAGCCACCAAATTGAAACATATAGGGTATACCGATTTGAACTATAGAAATTATATGGTGTTCCGCTATGATTTATCTTTCTTGGACGGATTGGGGGATTTCTTCTTGGAAAGAGAAGCCACCAACCTAATGTATAAGTTTAAGAACATGGCTCCATATAATAATGATGTTTCATTTGGGAATAGAACTTATAATATGTTGAAACGAATATTGGCAACTAATACTTTATTGTCAAGATTAGCTGCTGCTTATAACTTGCCATTTGCTTTAAAAGATACCGTTGTGCATACATTTCTCCAAACTTATATCGAGAAATATGATCATTGGTCCACAACTGCCACTCAGATTGACGAAGGTGGAATCCCAGATGATATAAGATACGAACAGGAATTCATAGCCGATTATTTTGAGGCATACGTTGGTGCAGTGTTTTTGGAAGATCCAGATAAAGCCCAGCTGTACGTAAATGAATTGTATATGAATATCTTGTTGCTGATTGGAGATAAATATAAGGAACGGGATCCTTGTTTATACAAGTATGGGAATTGGTGCACGGATATCATTGGAAGGAAGATTTAATTATAGGGCCAGGTAGTAAATCTTTATCTCATTTACGTGAGAATAAGCTCGAAAGTCGATTCTTCAGTTTAGGTGTCTTATACCGACTAACCTTCTTTGTAGTAATGAACTTTGCCGAAACATCGTTCTCATCTTCATCATTGGAGGATGAAGAATAACTACTCTCGTTATCGGAAGTAACTTCACTCTCAGAATCCAGCTCACCGCTAGAAACCGGAACAACCTTTTTGGGAATACTAGCAGGATTGGGTGAGGCACCATCATGCACGTCTGGAGTTCCTTTCTTCTGCAAATCTTGCAAAGATGTTAATGAAGCCAACGTTGGCTTCTTGATTGAACTTAGTAACCCAGGAGTATTCAAAATTGAAGTTGACTTTGTTATTGAACCCCCACCATTACTCAAGTTTGCACTTGGTGTCCGAAGGTTGGTTTCAAGTCTCTCATTAACTTTAGTTCTATTGGGTATTGGTGTTTTCTCCGTTGGAGAAGCTTGCTTGATCTTATTGACTGCAGGTGTAAAAGCCTTTTGTTTGACCCCGGTATGATCCAGTCTATTAGGCTGTGACATAACAAGACGTGGCTTTTTGTTCGAACGTGTCTCTGCTAAGTCATCTGACTCACTGCCAGAACTTTCAGATCTGTCTGACTCTGAAGATGATGACTCATGCAAATTCTTGGGATTTTTTGAATCCAAGTTAGGGGTGGACTTCATTGGCTGTTGAGTATTACTCGCTTTATTTTTTGTTCTCCTTTTCCTCTTATTAGTAGAAACTTCAGTGGGCCCAATGTTTGTCACTTTTGGTGATGCATGCAACAGAATGGCCGGAATGAATTCACGACCATCCTGTTTGATTTCAGTGGGTTTGAAGTTCTCTGGATCAGCTTCCAATTTAGAATAACCTTGAAGAACATTAAACAATGATTTGGTAGTTTCTGAAGTAGATTCTTGTACCTCTTGTTCAATACGGGATAACCTCGAATCATTAATTTTTCTAGGTCTTCCCGGTTTGGGATTCACCAGCGGAATTGAAGAAGTTGCTTGGTCTACATTAGTATCCTTACTACCGGAGATACTCATGGAATTTGGTACCAAAGCACTATTACCAGTGGTTTTGTTCTGCAGGTCAGATGATTCAACCTTTACTACTACGGTAGGAGCCGGAGCCGGAGCTGGAACTTGTGGCTTATGGGTATCCTTTAACATCGAGGAAGCTTTCTTTGCTGCTGCACGAGGAGCTCTGGTACCATCAAATTTTGGCGGATTGACCATATCAATTTGTAAATTTCTTTTCAATCGTTGCAAATTCCTACCCTCATTCCTAAAAAGATTTAGAACATCTTCTTTATCCATGGTTTCACCATCAACATTTGAAGGATCAACTTTCGCTGTTGCTTTCTCAATTTCATCAGAACTTTGGTCTTCATAAAATTCTTGTTCAACTTTTAACTCTTCCAAGCTGGAGTCTTCTTCAAACAGATCTTCCGAAGAGATGATCACCTTCTGTTGAGTCACACTTTTAGGAGATGATCCTTGAATGATTTCCGAATGAATCTGTGTATGCAATGGAACATTAAGCATTCCTGATGTTACTCTTTTACCTGAATTAGGAGTGGTGGAGGAGGAGGTTCCACTAAGATCAAATGATGGTTTGGTGACCCTTTTTTTAGGAATGATTCGAGATTGCAGTACATCATTTTTTTGAGGAGGAAGAGGAGGAGGCAACGAAACGTTACTATCGTTGTGATCTCCTCCTTGAGTGGAATTAGGATCAACTATAGTAACACTAGCATCTTTGGCCGTAGCAGATTTAAAGCCTTTTGGTTTTGTTACTTGAACTGTCTTAATCTTGACCCCATTCGAGGCAGTTGCAACAGGAGTATTAACCTTGGTAGTGCCTGTTTTCTTAGTTGGAAGTTTATGATTTGTAGTATGGAAATATTCGTCTGCAATATCATTTTGAGGTACTTCAACAAGTTCAGTTAACACGGGTGCTGGATTCGGCAATGGAGTACTTTGAATAACCGTACCAGATGATGATGCTGAAGATGATTTAGTTCGAGAAGATGGAGTTTCCAACACATTAAAAGTATTGGCATTAGTAGTAGGACTATAAGACATACGACGAGGTTTATAGACTTCATTTGCACATATCACTTGTATAACATCTCCGGAATCAAAAACATCACCGACGGTGAAATCTGGATCCAAGTCACATTTAGATTGATCTTGAAGACCAACTATCTCAAGTTGATCTTCATCAGGATACAACTTTGTAAATCGAGTGACGATTTCCTCCATCAATACCTTCAAGACTGTTTCTTCCAGTGTAAGATGAAGAAACCGTCGCAGCACCCCAGCACCAAGCACATCGGATGACGTCTTTACATGTGAAATGGGCACAACCACAACCTGGAGTTTTATCCTTGCCATTTAATGCAATGCTAATAACAGTAAGACAAGACTATGACAATGAAAACAGTAACAATAAGCACAGTAAGAAATACACTTTGTATTTGTGAGTATTTCTTTTTTCCTATGATAAATACAGTCACGTCTTCTTAACGCACTACTATGTGATTGGACGGTGGCTGAAATCTCTTCTAGTACTGTACTTCGTACGTCCTTTAGAAGTATACCAGTCGTATTCCTCATCGCATATTTACACTTAGAGTTTATTTGGTTTTGAAATATGGTTCTCCGACTTTGAGCAGAACACGACTTCGTTCTTATTTGGCTGCGAAATGTTGTCTCGTCTTCAACCTGATTAACAATGAAGACGTACAGGCAGTTGAATGTTTTATGGAGAAGTTTGGATTTCTCTTAGTGTCACTCAGTCGTCGTAAAAGAACCCTTTCATCTGGTGATTGTCTCTTCATCGTGACCGTTTCGCCCTTCTTCACTCATCCGAGCTCTATTCCCTTTCTCTTTGCTTCCTGGCGGAGACAGAGCCGTTTCTGTTCTGCTTCTACAGTAGAAATCAGTTCATACTCTTCATCATCATCATGGACCAAATCTCCAAACACTTGAGTAGCAGTAGGCAGATCAAACATGGGAGCCCACATTACAAGTGCACCATTAGCCGTGCCATGGATATATTTCGACAGGAACGGAGAACCACGGACCATGGCAGTGGTTCGATCCTGCTGTGCAGTGAATTTAGTGGACGAAGATCTATGTAACCGACATATCAATTTCCCATCGGCAGCTCGAAATCCGTAAACATCTCCATTGTCAGATGGGAAAAAGAGCATTGGGGAATTGGATTCATGACGATGGTTAAGTAGTAGAGGAATTGTTTGAGGATATTTGTTTCGGGTCAATGGACCAAAGTTTATAAGTAAATTTGTTGGAGGAGGTGAAGGCAGAGTCATATCCCACACCCTTACCTTATCATCGTTTCCTGCTGAATAAAGTAATGTGCCACTAGAATCCCAAGTCAAACCATTAACAGGTCCCAGATGTGCTTTAACTGAAGGTATTCGAATATGTTTGACATAATTGAATTCCGTTATATCATCGCCATCAGCCGTCTTCAACATATCCAAACGACAAAGACAACTTTTACTTCTTCGAATATCCCATATACGGACTTCCCCATCATATCCACCAGATGCAAGAACATTAGTATGTAGAGGGTGCCATTTTACTGACAAAGTCTTCCCCTTGTGACCCGAAAGTGTATGAGCGCTTGCAGCAGATCTGAGATCCAATAATCTGATAAACAGTTGATCCAGTCCTACAGCTACTGTTGCACTTTCCAGGACATCAATAGAATATACTCTTTGATCAACATTGAATTCATGTACTGGAGAGAATTCATTGGTGTCCCATACCTTTACCGTATGATCAAAAGAAGACGTTACAAACATCCCTGTGTCTCTTGGATACCATTGTATGCACAGTACGCCGTACGTATGAGCTGATTTACGAGGCACATGAATCAAGCGAGTGATTTTCTCTCCTTCATTGATCCCTTCACCTGAGTTTGTATCCCAAAGGTCAATTGACGAATCAGCATTAGCACTGAGAAGATACCGCCATTCTTGCTCTTCAAGTGATAACCAATTGATAGCCGCTCGGGTATTATTCTTTAAGGGGAACGCTCCTTTGACTTCTTTTAAGTTACTCTGACACACTTCTGTTATTGTAGCTGCATATTCATAGGGAGTAATGATTCCAACTCTTTGATCATGTAGTAAAGATTGCATTGAAAAAGCAGCATGAAGGAACTATAATATATATAAACACGCTTAATGTCATGAAAGTTAATTTAGCTTTAAGTTAACGATTTGCCTTGAGGATTCTTATAGTTGTCTGCTTCGAGATTCGAAACAGGGCGTTTCGGTGCACACACGACATCGAAAAATTTTAATGTATCTGGAAAACACGCTATAGGATTGATAGTCATCACCACTACAGTTCAAAGTATTATCAGTCATGTTAGATATCAACGCCTTCTTAGTCGAAAAGGGAGGTCAACCCGATAAGATTAGAGAGTCCCAAAAGAAAAGAGGGGCCTCTGTAGAGCTTGTGGATGAGATCATCAATGACTACAAGGAATGGACCAAGATTCGTTTTGAGTTGGATGAAATCAACAAGAAGGCCAATGCTGTTCAAAAGCTGATTGGTCAAAAGTTCAAGGCCAAGGAAGATGCCAGTGAATTATTGAAGGAGAAGGACGTTTTGGCCGAAAGTAAGAAGGCCTTACTTGAAAAGGAACAAGCAGCTGACAACCAATTACGTTTCAAGGTTAACCAAATTGGTAACCTTGTTCACGAATCAGTTGTTGATTCTATGGATGAAGAAAACAATGAATTGGTTAGAACTTGGGTCCCAGAAGGATTTGGAGAAGTTGGAGCCGTTGCCACTGCTACTGGAGCACCAGCCAAGTTATCTCATCATGAAGTCTTATTGAGATTGGATGGTTATGACCCTGAAAGAGGTGTTAGAATTGTTGGTCACAGAGGTTACTTTTTAAGAAACTATGGTGTATTTTTGAACCAAGCATTGATTAACTATGGGTTGAACTTTTTAGCTCAAAACGATTACACCCCTTTACAAGCCCCAGTTATGATGAATAAAGATGTTATGGCCAAGACTGCTCAATTATCTCAATTTGATGAGGAATTGTATAAGGTTATTGATGGTGATGATGAAAAGTATTTGATTGCTACTTCAGAACAACCAATCTCTGCTTATCATGCTGGTGAATGGTTTGAATCTCCAGCAGAACAATTGCCTGTTAGATATGCTGGCTATTCTTCATGTTTCCGTAGAGAAGCTGGTTCCCATGGTAAGGATGCCTGGGGTATTTTCAGAGTTCATGCCTTTGAAAAGATTGAACAATTTGTATTGACTGAACCTGAAAAGTCATGGCAAGAATTTGATAGAATGATTGACATTTCTGAAAGATTCTATCAATCATTGGGTTTACCCTATAGAGTTGTTGGTATTGTTTCTGGAGAATTGAACAATGCTGCTGCTAAGAAGTATGATTTGGAAGCCTGGTTCCCTTTCCAAAAGGAATATAAGGAATTGGTTTCATGTTCCAACTGTACTGATTATCAATCTAGAAACTTGGAAATTAGATGTGGTATCAAGCAACAGAACCAAACTGAAAAGAAGTATGTTCATTGTTTGAATTCTACCTTGACTGCTACTGAAAGAGCCTTATGCTGTATTTTGGAGAATTATCAAACTGAAGATGGTTTAGTTATCCCCGAAGTATTAAGAAAGTATATCCCTGGTGAACCTGAGTTTATTCCTTTTGTCAAGGAGTTACCCAAGAACTCGACCTCCCTCAAGAAGAACAAGAAGTGATATATACATTTTACTACAAGCATACTAGTATAAGCATGTATAATATACGCATGTACTAAACGCATGGAATATGTATAAGATAAGCATGAACTAATATATGCATGGAATATGCATCCAATATGCATGTACGAATAATATACGCACTAATAATTTATTAAACTGTATGATCTACTTTGAAGGCTCAACAGCAGCTACTTGAACCTCTTCCTTTTCCGGCTTTGTTGAAGAACGGAATTTTACATATCGGAACCCTTGAGCCAACTGGGCCAACTCATTAACAAAATGACACCCAAATAACAAATAATTCTGAGGTGTTACCGCTAACGAGTATCTCATAAACACTAAAGAATATACTATCAATGAACCAGTCATTGGGCCGGAAATCAATTCTGGATCCTTCTTTAAATCAAGAACAGCAGCAACAGGAATCCCGAAATTCGATACCGGTCCCCAGAAATGAGTTGTGAACACATATCTTAATGTCTTCTTAGAAAAGAGATTGTCTGTGAACTTCTTGAAGGCCAGCATATTATAGGATGGACGGATAAACTATGGGATGGAGAAATTATGAAGGATCTGATTAATAATCTATGACTATTTGATGGAATAAACAGGGATAAACGCTGACGTATATTCTAGTTAAAGGTTTTTCCGTAACTTGTCTAATTGAGTTAGTGTGATTGGGCTCGGACTTTCTCTGTACAGAAAATTTTGGTATAATTTTCATTACGGAACACTGAGTCCCCCGCGAAATAGCAACTTCACCAACTGAGTGGGGAACGACATTCTCTGCCCTCGGAATTCAAGATTCCTAGGGTACTCCGAGGGCAGACTTAAGTGTATACCAATTCATATAATTAACATATATAATAAACATATTGGTTGTTGTAATGCATAATTAAAAATTTCACTAAGTTCAAAATCATTTCAGACGGTTTTGGACTCAGGCCTTATCTTAAAGGAGGTGAGAATATATCAGTGTCTATTTGTTCACTCACACTTGAAACCGAGGCTTCTAGATCAACAGTAGGTGGTCCTCCTACTCTTCCATAAGTTGATGGAGGGACTTCCAAGTTTTGCATTTGGGATAGTCCTTCAACGTTAACTGGTTGAATATGACCTCCTTGAGACTGCTGTTGTTCAATCATTGGATTCAAATCAAACTTATCGATATCAATACTGAAAAAGTCTTGACTATCATTCAAATATAACGTTTCATCAGGTCTGGAGATATTGAATGGGTCCTTAACATTCCAATTGGTAAACGATGGGAATAAGCCTGGACGTTCTGGAGTGGGCGATGTTTGAACCAGAGTTTCTTGATATTGAATATTCATAATGGGCGTAGGGTTTGCTGAGATCATATTAGCTCTGAGGATTTGAATGAAATCCAAAATCTTATCAAATCCAGAAGCTAGGTTTTGAGGCCATATTAATGACCATTTCACAGCTAAGATTCGTCTTTCAATGGTCGTAAGAAAATCATTGGAAAGTAAAGGGTCTCCATTAATGAAATATTGAGATTTAACATTCATCAACGCAAGAATACAAACTATTCCCTGGAGAATAAACACCGAAAGAAATGGATAAATGAGTTGGAAACATCTAACGGGATCATACGTTGATTCCAAGTTTTTAAAGTATTCCACCACCAAGAGTTCTAGCGTTGCAAGGTAATCAGTAATGCTAAGCATCATCAACGAAACAATCACCTTATGTTCAAACTTTTCAAGGAAAGGTACCCTGGTCTTAGCCTTTGTTATTGACAACATAAATATGGTAATGTATGCACTTTCACGAGAAACATAAGTGGGCAAATAAACTTGATTAGGAGCTTGATCAACAGGCTTAATCTCTGTTTTAGTAAGGTACGAGTTCCGGAAGAGTTCAATCTCCGCGTCGATTCTCTTATCAAGGTCAAATAATGAATCAATATCAATATCTCGATTCATATTGTCTATCATAAGGGCATTGGCCATTTGTAGACATTCGCTGACCCCCACCCTCAAGGCACAGTTGACCTTTTGATGTTTAATGATCTCCGTGCTTTCATTTTCCACAGCTACGTTCAACGACAATGAAAGTGGTGATGGTCTGCCCAAAATGGAACAGATTATGGATGTAAGTTCCTTAAGAGCAAACCATGTTTCAACTCGGTTTAATTCAGCAATGTTATCATCCACCTTCATATGAAGTCCTATAGCAAATGCTATGGCACAGGTGTGGAACATCATTGACCAACACTCTTCATATCTTTTCTCTTTGAAATGCCATTCGGAACATAATATATAGCTTTGAATGGATGTGAATGTCTCACAAACTAAGCTATGTCTTATGCATTGGAAAGTATGGAATAATTTATTGCTAACCACATACTTCTTTGCAGCTTCACATTTGTCAATGTCTATTGGAGCCACGATCTTGTAGGTGACACAGTCAGTCGGCGTCAACATTTGCAAGGATATAATAAGAATAGTACAAAGGAGAAGTAAATCGTCGTCATTCTCCCAATCTTCTGGTGCTTGTTTCGGATAATTTTCAAGGAACATAAGCATGGGGACTCTTGAATAGAAATTATAGTATCGGAATCGAGGATGGAAAAAAAATTTAACTAACGATACAATAGCATGATAGTTAACGTTTGAATTTGCTTCATTGGGAACCAAATAAACAATCCATGGTAACTTTTTCTTCTGTGCTGCTCTTGCAAGTAAATCCTGTTCCATAGTATTATCTCTTCTGAATTCAGGCCTACTCAACTTCAAGGTATTGGGTACGGGGCCATTGGACGACGATTTGTTGGCTACATCCACCATATAATCCACTGATTGAGGCCCATAATACTTACTACCAAGTTCACTGGTCTCACCGTTAATAACTATTGGTTTCCTCACAGTCTTTTTACCCCCGGAAATGAAGTTGAATTCATTCGACAGTTGTGGACTCAGATATATTGATTGCAGACCAGTTGAGGATCTAGATACCCTTGGCTGAGATGCAGTAGCCAAAGAATCCAGGGCCGATGTTCCAGCTCCAGAATCAAGAGACAGATGGTAACTATTTGGAGAATTATCTATAGAGGGGTCTCCTCCTACCCGTGTATCTTTTTGTAAGCGTCGGATTCTTTCCTTTAGCTTTTCATTTTCCCGTTGTAACTTGGAAAACTCTGCAAGTATGTTGTCCTTATCTCCGTCAGGTACATCCACCTCATTAATATCTATGTTCCTGAATGTCTTGGGGAAGTGACATGGGATATTTCGTTTCACACATTGATGACAGGGATTGGTTTTGTTACAGCGAATCTTCCGATGCCGACATGGTATACAGCTTATAGGATATGTAGAAAGTTTCTTTGCTGTTGTCCTGTTTGATTTACCTGACCCTTCAACCAGGCCACCCATTATTGATACTACTATTGTACCGCGTGTGTTCAGAACAATATATCTATATCTATATATATATAGATATGTATATGTTGATTCACACCGAGCTCGATGCTGTATGGAAAGAATTAGTTTGTATAGTGTTTCTGTATGGAACAGAAGGAAGTATATCCTCTTACTCCCTTAATAAAATCTTTGATTGAATTTTATTTTTTTGTTTTGTGGGAACTTTTACAGAATACCAAGGGGCGCTACCAAATTGGGGCAACTGGACAAGGAGAGGCTTGCAATGATGGATAAAAGTGAAATGTTTTCCGTTCGGCATTCAACAGCAATGAATTGAAATATAAGCGCCAAACATATAATTCTGAAAAAAATTAATAGGTGATGACAAACTGAGAAGAGGAATGGCATATATTAATCTTAAATTTAAGGCTGACCTTAAGCGCATTCACTTTGTACCTAGGATTTTTCTGTACCTGCGTCATGTTAAAATATGCTTTTTCACTTACATGAATACTAAAAACTCTGATGTTAACCAAACAAATAAGAACTACTTTTGACCGGTGACGTGAACACAATCAGCTTTGTGTTCATCCAACGGGTTTTCGTAGTCCACATTTGTATTGGATTATACAACAGGCAAAATGTCTACTTGTGGCGGTTATAGTTTACATAGCACATACATAAACATAAACACCGCCTTACCATTTACTGTTACCTACCGTACAGGACATATCTCAATTCATTATGTTTATTTCGATTTCCAAAACATACTTGGAAAAGCAACTTCTAGATAATTCCCAAAGGTGTTAATAGCAGAAGAAAAGAGTTCCTCAATCAGAACCATCATTCAGAAACAATAGGTGCGGTACTATTCGTGACCATTCTCAAATATATGTTAACTTTTCCCTCTGTCCTCTTTACACACCCGCACACCACATGCCATCGAACACACACTATATGCAGTCGACATTAAATAGCCCACGATATTTTGTTCGGGAAGTCTTATCCCCAAAACTGCATATAGCTTATCTCTAGTAATCAATAGAGCCCATCCACTTTACTGCCTTATTAAAAGATCCTTATCTCTTTTCCTTTAACCTTCATATCATACCATATCTGAGTGTGTGTGTTTGTATACGTATAATGGCCATAGTTAAGGAACCCTACTATGGCGAGAAGTTGACTACTGTTAAGACCCCACTGGGACAGCTAACGAACTCGACTCCCGAAGGTGTGTTTATGAGACCTGTCACATTTGGTCCCAATGTGTTTGCTGCACCACTGTTTCATTTGAGTGCTGATTTTGTCAAGAGGGGGGCCAAGTCAGCTGTATGCTTGCGACTGATGGACTCTGAAGATGTTTTTGCCCATGAACGTACGCCAAAGAGAAGGAGCGTTGAGCCATATTACGGAACCAAGTACAAAACTGATAAGCCAATTACAGTTAGTGATAAGTTTAGGTATTTCTTGACCAATGAACTGGCTGTTGTGAGTGACAATGACGACGATGACGTTGACGCTGACGGTGATGATAGTGACATGTCAGATTATATGGACTCATTTACCGTTGATCTGAGTGACTTAGAAGACTACCAAGTACAACGATACCATATGCGGAAGAATGGTAACATGAAGATCCGGCCACCTCGGAACTCGTTTTCATCAACTGCAGTTAGCGATAACTATGAATCTGTAGATGATGATGATAGAGATTTAGATGCAGAATTAGAAGATAAAGAGAATCAAGAGATGAAATTAATCCGGATTCAAAGTATGGGGAGATTAAACTTTTCAAAGCCAGATTATTTAGAAAACGTTGAAGAGTGTTCGGAAAAACTGTTTGTGAAATCATTAAATCCAAATAACTTACTTAATCCCAAATCAAGGAAATCATCCATAGTGACTAAATCCCCCAGCTTTATTGGCGGTGATAATAATATTAATAATCATGTAGTGGACATTTTCAGTCTTGAAGTCAAGTCCTTATCCATTAGAGACGACTATGAGAGTTATCCACTATCAGATTTCTTGATTTGAACAGACAGGAACTAAAAGCCAATGTTCATAAGATGTAAAACAATACTCATGAAAATAGGAAGCAATAAGTTATCATTCAATTCACATACCCCTTCAAATACACCTCCCACCAAAAAGGTAATAAGGACATTCTCCCAATTGGTGACCTTATTTATGAAGTAAAAATCATCCAAGAGCTTAAACACAAGCAATCCTGTAGATGTAAAGGCAAGAGTACCTTGAATGGATTTATCTGAACCCTTCCATTTAACAGTACCACATAATTGGCCAACTATAGATGCCACAGAGTCACAGATCCCCAAACTGATGAAACCAATAAACGACGAAGGTTCGACTGTACCGGTTTTCCAGTAAGTAATCCCGAAGGGGATGGCTACCCCCAATAAAAGAAAGATATAACTTAAGTTCAAAGGTCCTTGTAAGTCCTTTGCATCTTGGAAGGGTAACATTAAAGAGTTAATGATATTACCCAATCCGGTAAACTCCGAGGCTCTAATGATTTCAACACCAATTAAAACACAAGAGGAGCCCAATAATGCCAATAAGTGGAATTCTGGATCATTGGTGATACTTGTGGCATCAAAGCCCGTAGCAAATAAGATGGAAAAGAATAAGACGAAATGCCAGGTTTTTCTCTTGATGTTCAAAGGTAAAACAGATGACAAGGGACTAAGCATTGCAGGGATAGAAACCAAGAGAATTGAAGCCCAGACTTTAATCAAATAAATTCTTTGAGGAGTTTCTTGGACGTAAGCCAATAACCAATCAATAGGCTGTTGATCAAGTATTGGGTTCAAGGCAAAATCAGTAACATAATAAAAGACACCACTAAACACAATTGAAGTGCAAATAGCCCACAACAAGGACCGATTATAGCGGTTGTAGGCATAGTAGAAGGGGAAACTGAACACTGAGGCAAACGTCAAGGCCACCAATAATTTAGAGAAGATTTGAATAGGAAGAATTGGAGTGTTTATAATCAGAAGATTACCAAAGATGTTAAACAAAGCCAATGAAACCAATTGAATTTCACCATCAGCAAGAGTTCTCTTTCCATTTCTTTCATTAACGTATTCAATAACCGTTTTTATGAAATAAAACGCCACTACGTATTGGACCATTTGAAATATGGGAACTGAAGTTTCGCTGAAGTCCGAGGCATACATCCAGTAGTATGTGATAGCCGAAAGACCCTTGAATCCTGCGTGCAAGTTCTTATCCAAGATAAAATAGTTTAAAGCCATATTGACCACCAAAAATTCGTCAATACCAAGAATAATACTCAAATAAACCGGGAAGAGCACGGCATAAATCAAGTCAAACGAGGGGGCAACTGGAGGTGCAACAACATCAGGACGTTTCTTATGTTGCTTTGCTTGAGAGTAATAGATCCCAAACAACCCCAAAAACACCCCAAGATAATTGAATCCAATGAAGGGCAACGTTCTAACCAAATCATCATATTTCTCCCTTTGAAACCATAAGATCTCAACAACATAAGCCTGCACCATCAACTGAACAAACTTTATGAACGTCATGTTATCATTGACAAAGTCCTGAACGTAGAAAATGACGTTCATAGGGAAGTTATACTCGGAAGGATCATCATCCCGATCAGTTGCCGGGTTAGTGGATTCCTTTTGCTTCTTCAACTGTTGCAAAGCTTCAATCTTTTCATTTTCCTTCCGTGTGAGTTCTTCAAGTTCCTTTGATCCTTCTTGGAAGATCTGCGCAGTAGATATACTATTTCCCGAGCCAGCTCCGGCACTCTTCTTCTTATTGCCTTTAGGAGCCATGTCTTAGTGGGATGCGGTGATTAAATCCCGTAAATGATTTGGTTGGTGATCATGAAGATTTCTTCAGAGGACGATAATGTGGATATATATATGCAGGAACAAAATATAACATAAAACACTGTTATCTTTACGTAAGCAAATTCACCCAATTACATAAGCTGATTTATATAAGGAAATTTATATGTGCTTGGCTGTCTAAGAGTCAATGAGTAATGACATGCCTCAAAAGAGCCGCTACAAATTAAAGAATTGCGTCCACAAGATTCAAAACGTATAACACACTGTTGGCATTATGAAAGTCCGCCATCAAACTTATCAGAACGACATTCAACTTCCTTTATATATATTTACTTGAACGTACTGCATATAACACCATACGCGTATATAGTACGCGAGTTACAAGTACTAACATTAGTACTGTTCCTACTACTGGCTGTTACTGTTGTTACTACTGCTATTTGTTACTACACCTGTCGCAAGCTACTACTGGCATTACCTGTATTTTTGTTACTGTCACTACTGCTCCTGCCATGCACATCAGACAGATCATCATTCATGGGTTCAAAACTTATAAGAACGTGACTGTGGTGGAAGACATTTCATCTGGTCATAACGTTGTTGTTGGACGAAATGGATCTGGTAAGTCTAATTTCTTTGCTGCTATAAGGTTCGTTCTCTCGGATTCGTATACGCATATGTCAAGGGAAGAACGGATGAGTTTGATTCATGAAGGTACCTCTATGTCCGCCTCGGTGGAGATAATCTTTGATAATTCCGATGGTCGATTCCCCGTGAATAAGTCACAAGTATCAATTTCTAGAACCATTGGACTTACGCGCGATGACTACGCTTTCAATGGGAAGACAGCATCTCATTCAGAGATCATGGGTCATTTGGAATCTGCTGGGTTCTCTAAGGCCAACCCATATTATATGGTACCGCAAGGTAGAATCACGGCATTAACTAATGCAAAAGATCAAGAAAGGTTAGCTCTCTTAAAAGAAGTGAGTGGTGCTACGGTGTTTGAAGTAAGATTGAAGGATTCAATGAAGGAAATTGGTCATGCTGATCTCAAAGTTCAGAGAATAGATGAAAATTTGACTGCAATCAATGATCGTTTATGTGATTTACAAATCGAGTCTGATGATTTAAAAGAGTTTCAACAATTGGAAAAGTCTAAGAAGATCTATGAATTTAATCTTTTAGATAGAGAAGTCGATGATTTAACAACCTCCATTGAAGGTTTGGATCTGGAGTACCAAGATCTCTTGATAAGATCACAGCATGATTTACAAGACTTGGAAAAGAGAGAGAAAATGTGTCAGTCTTTATCAGAGACTATTAACGAGTTAAAGGTATCTCAAAATATTGCCTCTATTGAGAAAGAGCAAACTGATAAGGACAAAACTGAAATTTTAATCAAATTATCGGAGAAACAAGTATCTGTTGATGAATTGACACAGAAAATAAAAGACTTAACGAAAAATAATGAAGAACGTCAGACCTCCTATAAAGAATTACAAGTTCGAATGAAAGAATGTGAATCTAATTTAAATTTGTACAAGCCAGATTTAGAAAAGTTGCAAGAACAAGAAAAGGGACTTAAGGAAAAGTTACAAGCAGCCACAAATATCCAAAGAGCTCTTTACAATAAACAATCGCGTTTCAATCAGTTTGATAGTAAAGATTCAAGAAATGAATGGTTACAAGAGAAAATTGGGCAATTAAGGGCCGATATAACTGAAAAAAATAAAGAATTACAACAGCTACAAGTGGAATTTGATACCCATGCCACTACATTATCTCAACTCACAGAGAGACAGAATGAATTGGAAAAACTATTAGGTTCTGATAATTCCAGTACAATCTCATCTTTACGTTCAAGTATCAATTCTTTAAAGGAAAAGATCTTGGAATTTGCTGATACTAGAAAGCAGCTTTGGAGAGATGAAATAAGATTGAAATCAATTAAAGATTCTTTAACCATCGATTACATGAGTGCTACGGATTCTGTAAATAAAACTATGGATCGGTCCCATGCTCAAGGTCTTTTAGCCGTCAAAAATATCTCTGAGAAGTTAGGGCTCACTGATAAAGTATATGGGCAATTACTGGATTTATTCACTGTTGGTGATAAATACAAAATAGCAGCTGAAGTGGTTGCTGGGAATTCTTTGTTCCACATAGTGGTTGATAGCGATACTACCGCATCCTTATTGATGGAAGAAATGACAAGATTGAAAGCTGGAAGAGCTACATTTGTTCCGTTAAATAGGTTACGGACGAATAACTATGATTATCCGGACAAAGAACATCAGTGCATTCCGTTGATTAGGAAGTTGAAATTCAATGAAAATGTATCAAAAGCCATGGTTCAAGTTTTTGGGAATACTATCGTTGTAGGTGATTTACAAGATGGTTCTGCTCTTGCACGTGCATTCAAGTTGAATGCCATAACTTTGGATGGAGATAGAGCTAGCAATCAAGGTATTTTATCTGGTGGGTTTAGAGACTACAAAAGTTCCAGACTAGATGCCATCAAATCACAACTGAGAAAGAAGAAGGAATTAGACAAAGTGGATTTGGAATTATCCAAATGTGTTGCACTGATTGATAAAACAAACCATGAGTTAAACCACATGCAAAATCAATTACGCCAAAAAATCATAGATTTAGAAAATGGTATAAACTCTCAAGAACCATACAAGGTTGAATTATCACAAATTGAAGCTCAGAAATATGATGCTCAACAGCAATTGGAATCTTTGAAGGTAAGGTTATCCAGTTTAACAGCCATGACCAAAGATATTGAACTGAGTATTTCTTATCATGAAGATGAAATGAAATCTGATTTCAGCAACACTTTGACTGAAGCCGAAACTGCTGAATTGCTTGATATTAACCAGGAAATCGCCAAACAAGAAGCTGAATTGAATAAAGTGTTTTTCAAAATGGCAGACGTGGAAGGTCAAGTATCAACGTATGAAACTCAATTAAAGAATGAAATCATGCCCCGTATATCCGAATTGAAATTAACGGGGTTACAGGAACAATATCCACAAGATTTAAATGAGTACAAAGAAAAGTTACAGGAACTTACCACCGAGTATGAAACTTTACAAATGCAATTTGATACTGTTGAGTCCAGAAACACCAACACTATCAATGAGTTTGAAAATATTGTCAAGGAAATATCAGCCAGTGAGAAGGCTTTAGAAGCAGCCAATCGTCAACAGGGAACTTTGGTTCGTAAGATTGAAACGTTTTCCAAAACCAGTGAAAAGCTTCTTTCTAGAAAGTCAATGCTTTCCTCTAGAAGAGATGAAGTTCAAAAGAAGATTAGAGATTTGGGTGTTTTACCTGAGGAAGCATTTCAAAAGGCCGTTTATGAAAAGTTTCAATCTGAAGAATTGCTAAGGAAATTGAATGATACCAATGATGTACTCTCCAAATATGCCCATATCAATAAGAAGGCTTTAGAACAATACAACAGCTTCACCAAGAAACGGGACGAGTTGGTTGACAGACGGAAAGAATTGGAGCAATCCAAAGATTCTATCGATGAGTTGATCCAAAGCTTAAAGAGGCAAAAGGATTCGGCCATTAAAAAGAGTTTTAAACAAGTGTCCAAGAGTTTCCACGATATCTTTGAGAAATTAGTACCTCAAGGCACAGCCAAACTTTTCATGTTAAAGACGAGGGAAGATAATAGTAATGATTATGATCATAGTGACCCTAATGTTCATGACGACGACGACGGTGATCAGTCAATAACCCAGACTCAGATTGCAAACATCAATGACGGTTCCAGCACCATTGAAGACTACGTAGGGGTTGGTATTAGTGTTTCCTTCAATTCGAAGCATGACGAACAACAGAGAATTGAACAGTTATCTGGAGGACAGAAATCACTCTGTGCCATAGCATTGATTCTTGCTATACAAATGTGTGATCCTGCTCCCTTCTACTTGTTTGACGAAATAGATGCCAATTTAGATCATGCATACCGTCTGGCGGTGGCTTCCATGATCCATTCATTGTCGTCAAAAGCCCAGTTCATCTGTACCACATTTAGACCGGAAATGGTAGAGGTTGCTGACAAGTTCTACGGGGTCATGTTTGCCAACAAAGTGAGTACCATACTGGAAATAAACCAAGAACAGGCATTAGGGTTTGTTGAGAGTCGTTAACAGTAGTCACAATGGCTTACCGTTATGGCTGTGTTGGAACCTCGTTTAGACACTGCCAGGGCGTGTCGTTACCAAATATATGGTGACATGATTTCAGATCGATGGTGTGAAAAACATTACTGACTCCTACTGCTACTGCTACTACTACGTGCTTTATGACTACGACGTATCGGATATTGACTCGGGATGAGATCATTGAGCTCATCTCACAAGGGAAATGCATTGTCCTCTATGAAAAGTCGGTACTCAACTTAACTCATTGGCTCGATAGACACCCCGGAGGAAAGACTGCAGTTTATCATATGGTAGGACGCGACGCTACTGATGAAATGAAGGCATATCATGATGACGAGGCCATCAGTGTGTTTAACAAGTGGAAAATAGGTGAAATCGACTACTACTGGGAAAATCTACTTCCACCAATCCAAGGAGCCATTTATAATGGTCGTAAGGGGATTGGGTATCCTCCCAATGGGGTAGAAATCCAACCGGTGATACCTCAAAATGAATTGATCAATGTTAAGAAACACTTGAGCAAAAAACACGACGATCGTACAACTATCGTTGATCCCAAACTCATTGCCGAAGAATATGATAACGATTTAACAAAACATGATTTGGAAGAGTTCCCCACGTTAGATTATGCTACTCAACAGAAACTTCGAGATGAATATAATTTACTTCATGATGAAATTATAGATCGAGGCTTTTATCAATGTGATTATTGGAATTATATTCGAGAATTGGCAAAGATTCTGGCCCTTTTCTTATATTCATTTTCATTTTTGAAAACTAATCATTTGTTTTGGAGTGCTATTTTCATGGGTATGGCATGGCAACAAATGACTTTTATAGCTCATGATGCTGGCCATATATCTATTACCCATAATTATCAACTTGATAATATCTTTGGAATTGTTATTGCTAATTGGGTTGGTGGTCTTAGTTTGGGTTGGTGGAAACGGAACCATAACGTGCACCACATTATCACCAATGATCCAGTACATGATCCAGATATTCAACATTTACCATTTTTTGCTGTTAGTACTCGATTATTTGGTAATGTGTATTCAACATATTACGACAAATTCTTATGGTTTGATGCCTTAGCTCAAAGGTTAATTCCTATTCAAAATTATATGTATTATCCTTTACTATGTTTTGGAAGGTTCAATTTATATCGATTAGGTTGGACCTATTTATTGGCTGGAGAAGGTCCTAGAAAGGGTAAAGCTGCTTGGTTTAGATACTTTGAGATTGCTGGCTTATCTTTCTTCTTTTATTGGTTTTTCTGGTTATTGGTGTATAAAAGTCTTGATGACTGGAGTTCAAGAATTCAATTTGTCATGGTTAGTCACATTGCCACGATGATAGTGCATGTGCAAATTACGTTATCACATTTTGCCATGTCAACTGCAGATTTAGGAGTTAGTGAAAGTTTCCCTCAAAGACAAATAAGAACCACAATGGATGTTGATTGTCCTGAATGGTTAGACTTTCTCCATGGAGGTTTACAATTCCAAGCTATTCATCATTTATTCCCCAGATTACCTCGGCATAATTTCCGGAGAGCTCAACCATACGTAATAGACTTTTGTCGTCGTATGGGATTGCAATATTCAATCTATGGCTTTGGTAAAGGGAATAAGATTGTAATTGGGAAATTAGAAGAAATAGCCAAACAATGTTCAATTATGCTTGAAGCTACAAAGAAGCTAAAGGATCATGATTCATGAATTCGATGACTTAAAGATGTCGTGATTGATAAGCCTTTGAGTGTCTAAGAATTGAATAAACTCCAAGACGATTTTATTTTCAAATTCTTGCTTATCTTGTTGAACCAAATTGGCAAATAATGAACTGGAATTGTTGGTACCTTTGTATCTTTGGGGGACCAAGACCTTAACTCCGTTTACACCTTTAACAACACAATTCCGTGGAATTTTCATGGTTGGAAACGCTTGAATACTTTTAGGTTGCTCCGATGAGTGACCACCACCGTTAGATGATTCATGTAAATTTCGACATTTGGTTCCATAACGACATTTCTTGTTCTTTTCATAAAACTTACAGATTTGTTTCTTTGAAGGCGTCTTGAAGGAGGAGTCCTGCTGCTCATTTGGCTCTTGCTTTCTCTTCTTGGTGATTGGCTGCTTGCCTTGACTTTGATCTTGATCTTGGTTCGTTCGCTTCTTCAGTATTAATTGTTCATGATGATTTTTCTTTTCTTTTTCTTTTTCTTTTTCTTCTTGCTCTTTCTGTTGTACGTTCTTCTTTGTAGGCCATTTCTTCCTTCTTTCCTCAATCCACTTGGCTATGTCTTCATCTGTCTGCAAGGAGATGGTTGTCCCCGGGATGTACACTACAGAATCAGTTGGTAATTGCTGTTGTTGAACTTCTTCTTCGCCAATCAAAGCCTCCGCCTCCACTGCACTTGGAACTGAAACAGGTAGTACTGTTTCAGGTGCATTTGGAAGATGTGTAGGTAGCCCCAAGAAGTTCATTATATGTGGCTTTGAAGGCTGAAGAGGGCCCTCTTGTGCCAGATGAGATTTAAATAGCATTTTTCTTTCAACCGCGCTACCAAAGAAACACGACTCCAATTACTATTTAAGGAAACGTCATAGATTAAAGTAGATAATTTTGCTTAATATTATTATGAACTTAATCTTTACGGCTAAATGCAATACATACAGGACAAGAACTGAAACGGCCACAGTGCAAAGCGTTCCCATCAATTACGTAGCTGTAAGTAAACTAAACCAAGTAGAAGCAATTTTACGACAAAGAAGTAATAGGTAAGGGTTTCTTCCCACTGCCCCTTGGTGCTTCAACACCTGGAATCATCATGTCAAACCTGCACCCATAACATACAAAGAAGGCAGTGTTCAAGCAGACATTATTTTTGCAAGCTAGGTGACACAAAAACCACACAACTAAAATTATATAAATGATCAATGTCCGCCCACCCTGAGGCTGAAAGAACAACACCTGCTTCCTCTTTACAATAGCTTATAGAAATGGTATGTAAGGTTATAAGGAAGATGAATATATTAAGGACGACTCGGAATGAATGAGTTACGTTGTGCCACGTTAATTATGTCGTAGTATGTCGTGCTATGTCGTGGTATCAACATTAGCATCACCAATCAAATACTAACATTATTGTTCTAGTCTTACGGTTATCAACAACAACAAGGATACCCCCCACCACCTCCTCAAGGTTACTACCAACAACAACCACAGCCAATGTATGTACAGCAACAACCCCAGAAGTCTTCTGGAGGATGTTGTCAAGCCTTCTGTGGTTCATGTTTGGCTCTCTTGTGTTTCGAAGCCTTGTGTGATTAGATGCCGCTGAATGATACACAGGGTCACTCACTATTAGTTCCTTCTTTTTTATTGTTATTATTAGTACATTATATATTTCAATTGAGTTACATTGGAGTTGATGATGCTTGTAGTTGATCTACGCCCCTTTGGAGTTCAAAGTGTAAGTGGTTTCAATTTCACATGTCCCTTAGAACGGAACAATAGTTGACCGCAGTGCAACTACCGAGTGTAGCACGACATACATATACAAACGCATACATTTATACACACAAACATTTCATTTGTAACTCCGTATATACATACGTATATGGCTTCTTCTATATATATATCTATACATGAACATACACAATGTAACTAGAATGCTTGCGACATAGGCCATGTCAATTGCTTACGTAAGCGAACGCGAAAGCCTTTCATCGTAGAATAACTTTTGGTGTAAGGAACCCATTAGAAAAGGGGACAGTAACACCATCTTATCACCAGGCCACCTCACAATGGAGGGATGGATAGAAGTACGTATTAAGTCTCACAATATCAACAATTCATCTCACTGTGGATTTTTTTGACTTCCCATAACATCATACTAACAAACTGTTAGGTCTTAAGAACTCAGGTTGGTGAACCTAGTGATAACATTACCAGTCAATATTTCGATGCTAATCAGAACTTAATATGGATCGGTAGCTCTAGCGGCTACACCAGCTCATTCCTTAGTCATCCATCACCGTTTCAACTTTATCCTTATACTCGGTTTTGCTCTACTACTCAAAATGCTTCTTCTACACCGGTGATCCAATTGCTTAACAATAAGGATGGGATCTTATCGTTGCTGCACAACAATCTTAACTTCAACAATCGAACAGGAATGTGTAGATTAAGTTTGAACTCGTCATATTTTGATTCGTCGTCACTGACTCTTCTGCCTCAGCTATTCAAGACCTTATCATGTATGTCGTTGAACCACACCACCACCAACGAAGTGATAATCGGGTCTTCGCTTTCGCTATTGAAAGTAGATTTGAATAAGCCTCAAATACTATCCCATTTTGATTACCAGGGATCCCTCTCCCATATCAACCATCAGTCCAAATTCCTAACATTGGGTAAGACTCAAGGCACTATAGATTTGTTTGATCCCAAATCAAATGAGATCATCAAGTCCTTTATTGGTCACAATGGTTTTTTGGCTGATTTGGATGTTCTGGGTAACTACATTGCTGCATGCGGGTACTCTACTAGACCCAGACGTCATCAGTACAACAGCAATAACACCACTAGTATCAACATGAACACCACGAACAACAATAATAATATTAATGCCAATAATATTAACAATATTAATAGTGGTAATAACATATACAATGGTACAGATCAAGGCCTTGGAGGATCCATTTATCCCATGAGAGTATCAAGTATTTATCCATCCAAAACTGTCTCTTCTTCAATGCTGGGTCAAATGAGTTATAGTAATAATACTATGGGATTAAACGGAGGGAACTTTGCTGCTAATGATGTTATTATTGATCCTTTAATCAACATTTTTGACGTCAGAATGATGAGATCTTTAGCTCCAATTCCGTTCCCATTTGGTGCCAATTGGGTTAAGTTTCACCCCAAATTACCCAACATCTTGGTGGTTGCTTCCAGTAGTGGTGAAATTGAATTCGTTGATATGTACGATCAGCTGAATATTCATTTGTATCAAGCAGATTTGGGACGGTTAGCAACAACACCATCTTCAACAGTTGAAGAGTTCACTCCGTCTTCATTATCAAATCTACAAATTAGTAGCAATGGAGAATTTATTGCTTTTAATGATTCAAAAGCTACTGTACATTTATGGTCACAGGGGAATAATACAACTACCGATTTTGTCAACTTCCCTTCAGCTGTGATCCAGCCAAATATGGTTATGCCATCATCGTTTAATAGTGTTTCAATAGAGTCTGATGATCCATTGCTGGCAGTGGGGATGCCTTATTATAAAGATTCATTACTATCAAACTTTGCATCTGATTTAACATTCACAAAGGAAATGGCGAAATTACCTGCAGCAATTGATGATGAACTTGTTGAAGAATTTCAAAATCACCAACAGCTATCATTATCATCAGTGGGTCCTTTCATTTCTTACGATAAGTCAATCTATGGTTCACCATATCTAGCTTCGAAATATGAACGAGGACATTTGAAAGATGGTTTAGCTGCACCAAAATTTATCAGTGGAACTTCTGTTGATGGCAAAGGTGGGGCAGGAGCAGGAGCAGGAGCAGTAGGAAGAGGAATAAAGGGTAATTTGGAAGAAGAAGTCTTTCAATATAAACCAGAAGAAACTTCCAAAACATCTCCGACTCCACTTGTAGCACCATCATGCTATAATCGATTGGAGATCAAGTATTCCAAATTTGGGGTAGAGGATTTCGATTTTAATTATTATAATTTAAGTGGATACAATAGGCTTAGTGGATTAGAAAACCATTTGGATAATTCATATATCAATCCCTTGCTTCAATTATATCGGTATTCTCCAGCATTCTATAATTTGGTAACAGGCAGCCTATTATCTGAATGGTTACCGAACAGTAATGATTTTATTACCACCAATAATCCTCAAGGGTCATCTGTTCTCCTGGAAATGGGCTATTTGTTTGACATGATGTATAAAGCTCAAGGGAAGAATGTAAGAGTGACCAATTTCTCCCAGGTACTTCTGGAAAACCATATGTTCACTCAGCAGGGACTTTTGAACGCCAACGAGGGAAAAAACTTATCTTCTTGGCAATTAAGAAACTTGATAATTAATTTTAATAAGTTTTTGTTGCTGCAGTTACAAGAGGATCATCTGAATCAACACCCCGGGCTGAATTTACCCTTAGATATATTTGGTATTCAGTATGAAATTGAGATCAAGGGTTATGGTGGTGATTGTAATGTTTACGATAAGATATACAACACCCAACTTTCACTTGATTTAATGACTCCACCACCTAACAACAATGGGATCCCAAGCAAGAAGTTTATGCCTTTAGGAAATATGCTTCCTAAATATGGCAGCACGGTGTCCACTGCTGCTGTTGCTACTTCTGTTGCCAGTCTGCCAACGTCTAGTGGTTTTACCTTAGCTTCGAGAAAGAACCATAATTTGTTAACTTACTTGGAGTATACATTGAACCAACATCGGTCGATTCCATGTCGAGTACACAACCTGATACACGAGATAGAAATGAAGAGTAGTGTTGCAAAATTACCTCCATTGTTGTGCATTAATTTGGATATGGATAATAAAGAAATGAAGTTGATCCACGGGTTTAAGAAGTGGCTTGTTCCAGAATTTTATGTGAATTACTCAACTACCAATAAGCGTATACATTTGAAGCCAATGGTAACCCAATTCAATCAAGATAATATTAAATATGAGTTGTTGGGATACGTTTGTGAAATCCACCGATCTGATGGGAGTGGTTCGAATCTTGTATCGTTTGTTAAAGTCAATGAAAAATGGTTTCTCTTTAATGACTTTTTGGTGATACCGATTCCTGATGAAGAAGTATTCAATTTAACATATCGTTGGAAAAGACCAACCATTGTGGTTTACCATAATACTGAGAATAATCAAATGTCCAGTCAATTCAATCACTTGACAAGCCAATGCAAGTTTGATGATAGCATTTTATACCGTGATCACTTTGCTGGCACAATAAGGGAATCATACAAGAAAGAATACGAGTTATTGACCCGAAGTGAAGCTCCCACATTTGGATCTCTTGTTGCCATTGATGCAGAGTTTGTTATGCTTAAACCTGAAAAGCTTGAGGTAAAATGCAACGGTAGCAAGCAATTAATCCGACCTAAATTAACTTCCTTAGCAAGAGTTTCTGTTCTACGTGGAGATAATGTTGAGAAACAAGGTGTTCCGTTTATTGATGATTATGTTGTTCACAAAACAAAGATCTACAATTATTTAACCAATTTCTCAGGTATTGAAGAGAATGATTTGGATTTAATTAAATCGCTGAAGAACTTGGTAACCTTGCAAACAGCTTATCGTAGGCTTTGGCTTTTGTTGAACATGGGATGCGTTTTTGTGGGCCATGGGTTGTACAATGATTTCCGAACGATTAATCTTCAAGTTCCTTCGAGTCAGATTAAAGATACAGCTGAATTCTTTTATTTGAGTGAATACAAGAGACGGTTGGGTTTGAAATTTTTGGCTTACGTTTTGCTTCAAGAAAAGGTTCAAACAGGGAACCATGATTCCATTGAAGATGCCCGTACAGCCTTGATGTTATACAAAAAGTATTTGGAGTTGGTTGGGACTGGCACTTTGGAGTCTACGTTGAATAGAATTTACATGGAAGGTCAGCATTTACGATTTAAAGTTCCTGATCAATGATATTAATTCAAAGTTCATGTTGGTGTCGACCAACATGTATGTATAGTACGATACGATTAAATTTAATTAAATAACAGTCTTGATGACAAACTTGTATTAAGATTATTGTTTCAGATTTGTACGAACCATTAACATATGTTTCAGATCTGAAACATTTACAAGATGATTGCGACATTTTTAATAACCTTGATGTATATTATACTTGTGCACTATTAAACACTGAAATGAAAACCCGTACTCTGGCTGCTGATTCCGTGAGTCACCACGCCAGAGTAAAAAAGAACAAATCCCATAAAGGAGAGACTATATAACCGTTTTATTCACACTGCTTACAACAAAACAGCAGCCAAACCAGCGAAACCGGCAACACCAACAGCGAGTTGAGCAGCCTTACCTTCGAAGGTGGAGACTTCTGGAGCAACAGTGGCGTTACCAGCGGAGGAAGCGTAGTAGGAAGTCAAAGTCAATTGCTTGTAAGAGGTAGCTTCAACACTGGAGGAGACAGTGACGACTGGGGTGGTGGTGAGGTCGACGTAGGAGACACCTTCAGAGGTAGAGACTGGAGCGACAGGGGTAGCGGAAGTAGAAGCGACAGTGACTTCAGAAACTGGACACACAGTAGTGTAGACAGTACCTTCAACGGTGGTGGTGATGGTAGTCATTGGGGTGACTTCAGTGACTGGGCAGACGGTGGTGTAGACGGTACCTTCAACGGTGGTGGTGACGGTGGTCATCTCGACTGTGGTAGGAACTGGGGTGGTTTCAGTTTCGGGACAGATGGTGGTGTAGATGGTTTCAACACCGTTGACGGTTTCGGTGACGACGGACAAGGAAGCTGGCAAGGTGGTTTCAGTACACTTGTTGTCTGAACAGGAGGTGATGGTGATATCAGTGGTGGAGTATTCAGTAACGGTGGTGTTAGAGAAGGCAGCAGCACAGGCAATCAAAGTTGCAAAAGACAAGGTGGAGGCAGAGAATTGCATTTTTAAAGTTAATAACGAGAGACTAAGTGAGTAAAACACTAAATGAGATTTGTGATGATGCTTAAAAGCGCTAATAGTTTGATATAACCAAGATCCTTAGGGGTTCTTAAATACTTTTCATGGGTGATACCACCGACAGACATCTTTGAAACTAACGTGAATCGTGGTCCGTACCAAACAATGGATCAGAGGTCGGCAATGGGAGTCGATGACCGACCGTGTGACGGTCTGGTTACATTCTCTTCACAAACACCTATTTAATTCGGTTCCTAGACGCCTGGGTTCTACCGTGGGTGCAAAATACCAGACCTCGTATTTGTGTTCCAAAAAGCGCATTTTCAACATTGGTGTCAGAGGTGCGTATTTTTTTGAATGCCGAAACACGTATTTGGCAGGCGAACGCGAAAGTGCATACACCTGTCAAACCTTTGATTCACTCTTAGTGTTTGTTTGTTTGTTGTTGTTTATAATAATAATAATAATAATAATACAATGAAGAAGTGAATACAAAATCAATTTAACATCAAGTTCATTTCCCAATCTCGGATAACACTGACCCAATCGCTCCGGTCGTCATTAAACCCTTTCCGTCTCCACACTTCAAGCATGATTTGGCGAGCACCCCAATAACTTCCAAGGTAAAGAGCTATGTCTGCACCCCACTTTTTAAAGCTTTGCTGTAATTGGGGAGTGGTAGCTTCACAACCGGCAATGAACCCTTGCCAAAACAACGGGACAATGGCCGCTTCGTTTTTGGCTATGAGTTTTTGAATGGAATTTAAATGGTAGAGCGTCTTTTCCACAGCAACTTGTAGGAGTTCAGGTTGAACGTTGGTAATTAGTCGATCAAAGTAAATCGTAAGCGCATGGTAAAATGAAACAATATGATGATACGTGGCTTCATGAATAGGAGAATAAAATACCTTTTCATCGTCGGCATTTTCAGATAAGTTGATGTCTCGTAAGTTTTCTTGAGGACCTTTATAAAGATCCCAATCCAAATTCCATTGATGAAGTTTTGAATGTAATTTTTTGATTCTTTGTTCCATATTTGCCGGCTTGGTCCCCAACTCTTGTTCATGATAAATCTTGGTCCGGAGTAATTGAACAATTTCAGTGAATAATATGATTAAAGAATTCGGGAGTCCATATAAGGCATCTGTGGCGAAGTTCTCGTCATATTTTTTGGTATTAATCAATTTCTTATTAACAAATAGTGGAGTTGTGTTTTTGGAATTGGATTTGGAATAACTCACAATGAATTCGATTTTATTCTTAGGATTATTAACATATTTGTCTCCATTGACATCATATCCAATCTCATTAATAACCTCATAATCATTTTTAATACTTTCAATATCTAAACAAGTGGAATCCTGGATTAATTTCATTGAGGAGAAAATCCGATGTAAGATACGGGCCTTTGTGGATAATTTCTTCTTGGTAATCATTTTGGTATGAATAACTTTCCCACACCATGTAATATAAAAATTGGTATCTTGCATGGTACCCCAAACAAGATCCACACTAATCATTGACATTACAGCACATAAGATATCCTTATACTTTTCATTGGCCACACAACGATCAACTCCAGCTTGGGCACTGGAACCGGAACCTAAAAGTTTCTTAACAAATAAACTGGCTTGGTTCCGTAACCGAATACCCAAGTTAAGATAATATTTCATTGAGTCTGAGTTCTTAGGAAATTTGGATTGTAAATTGAATGCTGATACTGCAAGCAAGGCATTTAAAAGGGCATTCTTGGCCACAGATGTTTTCCCCAAAGCTCCTAGTTCTCCAATAGCCATCAATGCTCTGGGGAAATATATAGTTTTCCAAGGGTTCTCGGTAAGTGGGATAACTGTCATTAAATCAGCAACTTGAGTGACATAATAGTTGAGTAAGAACCGAGTCAATGGTTCGATTTGTAAAGCAGTTGTGGGGATAGTCACTGAACTAGGAGATGGGACCAATAAGTTGAACCCTGGTTGAAGAGGGTTTTGAACGATAGACATAATGGATGTCGGCATTTGAGTCTTTGAGTTATTCTCTCCAGCTACAATATCAGTTCTAGCTTCATCATGAGGATTAGATGTATTGTTATTAGCATGTAATTGGATCTCCAAGTTTTCATTCAATTTGTATGGATTATTGTAAAAGTAGTTGTTATAGTTGGAATAAAACAGTTGACTACCTGCTGGACTCGGACCCAAATGATTATCAGAAGAAGAGATCTGAGACGGAGGTCTTGTAGTTGGAGAATGAGGAGGTATTGAATGGGAAGTCGTCGTATTTAAGTTCGGGAACCCACTATTGTTATTCCCATGGAACACCAAGTTTAAAAAATCACCCATTTGATTAGACCCATTTGTGTCTGGAAGATCCGATAACAACTGGTTAGAGTTATAGAACGGAGTATTACTTTGGGAATTGAATGTTCCTATGAAATCAAGTAGATGTGAATCTCCATTTAAGGCAGCAGCAGTTAACATTGCATGCTCACGTAATTCATTAGATAGCCAAGGTTGATCATGAGCCCCGTTATTAGTGTTGGTAGTAGAATTAGTAGCAGTAGCTTTAGCAGCATCAACAGTACCATGACTATCAGAGTTGGTACCATGATGCCTCTTTGGTATGGACTCTCCGCTACCATCTTGATCGATTTGTCTCTTTATAGATTCGGTACTCTCAGTCCTGGATCGGTTAACGTCGCCTGAACCGGAAGCGGGACCACCACCTCCAACACCAACACCACCGCCGGTACCGGGACCAGTTGCGACTCCAGAACCACCACCAAACTTCTGACTAGTCACATTTGGTCCTCCTCCTCCTTGCAATAAAGTATTTATGCTTTCGGAATCAGAATTAGATCCTCGGAACACCCCAAATGGTCCCAAGAGCTTCGTCATCCCATCAGCGTTGACCTGCCAATCACACCCGGAGTTATGAAGAATCATTAAATCTTTATCCATGTCATCATACGTTTCATAGGGGTCCTTCCACGTAACAAAACCCACTTGTCTCCGTTGATGAAACTGACCACCAGTGCCGTTACTGGGGTCATCTTCAATGTCTCTATAGCTTTCAAACACAACCTTAGTGGCATTACCTGTTTTAGTATTATAATTGAGTGGGTATGACCATCGAAGCTTAATGCCGTACCCCTCACAAACAATCTTAGATCGTAAACAATTGTTACAGCTTGGTCTTGTCATGTCGCAGCCAAGCTTCCTTGAACGACAACTAAAACATCCCGTGAACGTTTTGGCCCTTCTTTTCCGAGGTAGACTCTGGGAAGCTAAGTCATCAGATGTTTCTAGTGCTTCTGACTTCATTGACTCATTCGATATTGTGATAGACCATATATGGTTTTGGTAACAAGGATAGTTATAAGAAGGATTCAGATTCCTCAGATTGCTAATACTTATATATATTAATTAACCTATAGTTGTAGTAGAAGAAACTATTCTAAAGCCTTACTTATAAAGGTGATGATCTTCAGCTCGGCGTTGGTTGCCGTAAAGGTGTTGCCGTTTTTCAGGAACGGATGAACTAACCGATGAGCCCCGTTGTATAACAAAAATATGCGTTAATGGAGATGGGTGCACTTATATACAGGACACAAAAGATTGTCTAGTGGTTAAGTAAATTCTACTATTGAACATATATAGAAGTCTCTATATAGATTCAAATGTAAGTATGGACTTTTGAGCGTTACAGGATTGTTTTACTTCATTTTTAATGCTTGACTACGTGTTCCATAAGCAATGCTACATCAATTGCGTTTACGTTTAACGTGACCAAATATCGGTAGCGCCATGTATTTGGAAGCGCCGATTGCCCATACGGAGGCTCTTAAGAACATAATTCAAAACGTAATTAATTCTATCACTTCTTCTTTACCTAATCAATCAACTCAATGCCTTCTCATAAACATTGGAAGTACCATCACTCAGAGGACATTGTATTGTCCAATCTCCGAGGTCTAGCCTTAGCTAATCCTCATATCAGTGTCATACCCTCAGAGAAGGTTGTTTTTAACTCCCAGTCTCAAGGTGACAAGAAGGTGACGTTGATCAGTGGTGGGGGAGCGGGCCATGAACCTCTACATGGGGGTTATGTGGGGGAAAACTTGCTTGATGCTGCTGTTAGTGGCCACATATTTGCTTCTCCTAATACCAATCAGATCTTAGCAGCTGTGATCCAGAAGACCAATAAACAAAAGGGTGCAGTAATTGTGGTGAAGAATTATACTGGTGATATTCTTCATTTTGGATTGGTAGTTGAAAGAGCGAAGGCTTTAGGTTACCCCGTTGAAATGGTGATTGTTGCTGACGATGTTGCGGTTGGACGCTCTCAGAATGCTATGGTTGGTCGTAGAGGACTAGCTGGAACTGCCTTGATCCATAAGATATTGGGGTATGCTAGTCATAGTGTTGAATTGGACTCCTTGGCTTCTTTAGGTCGTGATATCAATGAGAATTTAGTAACTATTGGGGCTTCTTTAGACAGAACTTCCATTCCTAATAGTAAAGAGGGCGGAGAAGAAGTAGAAACAACGGCTTTGGACGAATACGAATTGGGTTTAGGGATCCATAATGAACCAGGGGAGAAGTTGAAACTTGATGATATCGACAATATTGTTAAACAAATGTTTGAAAAATTGGTATCACCAAATGATCCAGAAAGACATTATGTTGATTTTAGTTTGGACTCGGATGAAACAGTGCTATTAATTAATAATATTGGTGGAACTTCTTCTTTGGAAATGAACGTATTGGTGGATCATATTGTTTCAAATTATCCCTTTAAAATTGCCCCTAAACGAGTTTTAGTTAGCGACTTTGTCACTTCATTGAACGCTCCAGGGTTTTCCATCACCATAATGAATTTGACTGGTGCTTCGTCTTCATCTTCCAAATTTTCTCAGACCTTCATTCTTGAGGCTTTAGATGCTCCAACAAATGCTCCTGGTTGGAAACCAAAAATAGCTGATTGGCAAATCACCTCTAAAGAAGTGGACTCTCCCATGGAATCACATTCCAACATTGTTTCCTCGGAGCTAAGAGTTGATGACGCTAAACTCCGTGCTAATATTCAACTGGCTCTCAAGAAAGTTATTGAATGGGAACCCAAAATCACTCACTACGACACCTTGGTTGGTGATGGAGATTGCGGTGAAACTTTAGTGGCTGGTGCCAATGGGATATTGAACTCCCTAGCTAATGATAAGGATTGGAATGACCATTTGAATGACCCAGTATATACTCTTTCCCACATCACCGAGATCATCGAGAAGGAAATGGGGGGTACATCTGGAGGGATCTATTCCATCTTCTTCACCAGCTTAGTTTTCCAACTCCAGAAGATCGAAGGAGAATTTTCCACCACTAAGTTGGCTGAAGCATTATATTTGGCTCTACACGAAGGGTTGTTCAAATATACCAAGGCAAGAGTCGGTGGAAGAACATTGATCGATGCTTTACAACCATTTATCGATATATTACACGAATCTGGTGATACCAGTAGGGCATTACAAGCCGCACAAGTTGGTTGTGAAAATACAAAGAAGATGAAAGCGAAATTTGGAAGAGCTAGTTATGTCAGCTCTGAACAATTTGAAAGAGAGGGGGGCATTCCAGATCCTGGTGCCGTTGGTGTCGTTGCACTTCTTACTGGGTTTTTGAAAGATTAAATATGACTAAGTTCTAATATGCTTTTTTAATACGAGACGGTATCCAATTCTTCATCTGTTTCCATAATAATCGGTGTACCATCTGCTCTCTTTTTCCACACAGCTTTCACCCGCTTCAAGGCGTAAATGGCACTGCCAGTGACTGTTGAAGACAACTTGAAGAACAGCTCAACAAATTTATACTCATGGCGATCAACACTATGCAAGCCAGCAGTTCTAATGGGCCATTGTAACATCAATAATGCATATTTGTTCAATCCCACAGGGATTTCGTCCAAATTATTATCAAAGATTGAAACGATATTGGCAATTCTTGAAGACCAGAATTGAATGTGACTCGATTGATCTGGGATCTGCAACGTTTGTGTTAACAACGTTATTATCATGGCAGATGTATAACCTTGGTGACTTGCATCTTGCCAACTTATGGAGAGTTTTTTACCACTCATTTCCACGGTATCTGTTAAGAATGAAGCACTTTTAATGTCGTCTCTGGGGAAGACGCAGTTTACATCAACAAACTCATCCTCTGACGATTTATAAAGAGTACCAAGTAAGGAAAACACTTGTATAGATTCAGAAACATTGGGGGCTTCCTGTTTCCTGTCTCGGATCCGGTTCATGATCTTAATATAATCCCGAAAATAGTTCAAAGTTCGATGGCTATATCCTCCCAAAGTATTGAATCCATTATCCATAAGAATACCCAAATCTTGAAGGACTTTCTGTTCATATGGCGTCCCCACGTTGATCAACGAATCTATGTCTTTATCAGTCTTTAATGTGCCACCTTTCTTTGAACTTATACCTGCCAATATCTCAAGAATGATAAACCAGAACTTGCAGAATATAAACACCTTTGTATTGGGTATATCGGTTGTTGTATGGCGCAAGAGCAAATCTCTTGCACCTCGTAAATGAGGTCTCCAATCTTGCTTAATGTTGGCTGCATTAAACGTTGTCATAAGCAACACAGTTAAAAGAACTGCTTCTATATCAGCAGATAACGAATTCCGTCTTTGATCGTTATATTTGGTAGTAGGGTTAACTACTACTGATTTAGCCAAGTACTTGAGACATTTGGATAGATACGAGCAATACGCTGCTTCATGACTTCGAAGTTTGGTTCTTGAATGAACACATTTTGCACCCATTGCCAATAATGCCGACAAAAGACAGGGCTCATTATTGGCCGAATAAAGTAAGATGTCTCTTACAGGATTGAATTTTGTCTTCAAAGTCTTGTCATAGCTGCAAAACGGTAATACTATTCCACTGAATTCGGCACTAAAAGCTTCTAAATATAATCGCTCCTGGGGAAGACTTAACTTTATGCTTTCGGTATCATAATTCCTGGGAATAATCCTAGGAGGCTCTGCACTTATCTCGAGATCCCATTGGGCACTGTTAAACAGCGATTCGTCTCCTTCCTTGAACTTGTCGTCGAGTTCGTACATTATGTCGCTGACTAAGTTGTTCAAATCGGCAGCAAGTATGTTCAAGTCATTCTGACTATAGAAGCTTTCTGCCAATGTTTCTATGCTATCCGCATCATAAGCCAAAGGTCCCGAAGATGGCTCTGAGCTTTGAGAATCTTGAGTTATAGGAGTTAAATACGAGGCTGCAGGTGTTTGCGTCTGTGTTGTTGCAGTTGTCTCGTATTTTGGCAGCAAATATTGCGAGGTTGCATAACTTGGAAATCTTGAAGGTAAAATACGAGAAGCATCATATACAGCATATGCATTGGCCTGTGGTGTTACCGTAGGTCCAATTCCTGGTGCTACATATCCAGGTGAGGGAACAATCCCTGGTACTGCAGTCGATTGGAAGACTGAAGGATGTGGTTGAGGCTGAGCTTGAGACAGAGGTGGAGGTTGCGCTTGTGGTTGTGCACTTATTGCTGGATATAATGACGGTATTATCGGAACTGAAGACGGAGCAAAAGGGTACTGATTCGAAGTCAACGCCGTGTTCAGAACTAGTGGTGGCTTCTGAGAAGTGCCAAGTGGCTGCAGGAATGTCTGCTGTTGGAGTTGGTATTGGACTGTAGGATCAAACGGTGGTATAACTGGATTATATAATGGTTTTTGTTGAGGAACAATACTATTCGTATTATTATTGGTAGAACTAGGTGCTAACTCCGAAATCGGGGTGGATTCCTTTGAATGTTCCGAAGTAGGTGATTCCTTCTCAACATTTGTACCACCTCCACGTGGATATTGCTGGATTTTTAATGATGATTTTGATTCTTCTTGATTCATGTAGTAAGCTGGATTCTCTCGTAAAAATCGTTTAGAAACTCGTAACACTTTCTCCCCCACGGCAGGATACGAGCATGACTTGTTTAGTCGAGTACATCTCAGACAATGGGGTTTTTCTTCTGTGCATTTGATCTTCCTTCTTTTGCATTCTCGACATCCATTCTTTGAGTATTGTTTCCGTTTGGAAACAGAGTCCAAGTCTTTGGTGCCATTTCCATCGCCCTCAATGTAAGCTCCGTTACTGCCACCCATGGATTTCTGCTCACAGTCGGCTCCCTTTGGATTTCTTACACAAACGATGAGTCTAAACTGACAACAAAACTTGTTATTTTTTACCTTAGTATGATATCACATTGGGACTGCAGATTCTTTCTTGGTCAACCAAGCCACTACCCTTCACAATTTTCAAGTGTCCATCATCATACAGAACACCATGGACAAAGAATAATACTTGAGTCGTAAATGATTTGCAACCTAATCTTAAAGGTTCAAAATCATCTAGACTGCAAGTAAATGTATCATGTAATGTACGTCGTAAATTTGCCTCTTATATTTCTTGAATATCCAGGAAGTATATATTTTGCGCTTACATATTGCGCTGGCGCAAAGTTGCAATTTATTCCGTCTTTTCAATTGAACGTACTTTAATTATACATACATATTAATTAACAACTTCCTCAGTACAATACAACCCAATATATTGATGTCGCCTGTTTCCTATCGTTTAACACGCTTGATGCCATTTGAATCTTCTTCGTTGCGTCTTTTACCGGTTGAAGATATCTCCCCAGGTAAAGTGGTTTCACCTGGTGTAGCAGAATGGTTATCAAGAAATTCATTTACATCGAAATCGTCAAGATCTCGTTCTTCTTCAGGTTGTTCTTCATGGTGTCTCTTTTGTTCCTCGGCCAATTTCAGAATCCATTCATGAACCAGAGATATCGACTTATCCTGTTTCTCAATGTTCTGCTCAACATGGTCGATCAAATCATCCCCCGAATTCGTCTCATGCAGCAAGCTGAAATCATGTGCATGATCAGCTATTGGAGTTGCAACTCTGAATTCACTACCCATCCCAGGACTATTCATATTTAATTCCGGGAAGTAATGTCTGGGTGATGATATCGATCCGGATGCTGCATTGGGATTCTCTCGCATGATCTTCTCAAAGATTTTATGAGCATTGGAATTTTGAGAAATAGAGTTAACAGGATATGGAATGGGGTCATTTTGATCTTGCTGCTCTTGGTGGTGGAGAGGATATTGTTGTTGCTGTTGTTGCTGTTGCTGTTGCTGTTGGAGATATCCATAAGTATTTCGGGGAGTACCTTCATACGATCTCATAATATCCTCTATTGATGAACCTGTGTCAATGGCATTTGTGGTACCTGTTTGATTCATATTTACCAGCTTTGGCGTCTTCGAAGATATATTTCCCATTCCATCGGGAGAATTATTTGTATAGGCTTGATTTGAAATCATTAATTGTGGTTTCTGGAAAGGACTCACATGAACCAGTGTATAAGGATTTGGTGATTGAGGTGGGTTCATTTGAAGATTGCTAGCACCAAGCTCGGCAGCACTTGAATCAAATGGGATTTCCAAGATTTTATTTGCATTATTCCCATAAACAGCAGCCAAAAACTTCAATATCTTATCCAAAGTTTGCGCCTGATGTTGAGATCTTTCTCTAGTTAAAAAGTTTTCTTCCCACAACATCTTGTTATCTTTCCTTATTCGACGGAGATCCTCACTGATTGTCAACTGATTCATTTTAATCTGATCCAATTCATTGAGAACTAATAGAAAATTCACTTGATCATTCTCTGATTCACTGTTCAATGACTTATTCCTGATAATCTTGTCCAATAAATCTTCTCTTCCTCTAATGAAGTATGGGTTTTCAAACTTCCATATTTCATCAATACTTTTATCATCTTTACTCAGATTCAATGACCCACTTGTAACTTCTTGAACTTTATGCCACCCATACATATTCAATTGTCGAACAAAGGAAGCAAAGTTATTATGTTTGAAATATTTCGGTAAAATATTCTTCATGAAATCCTCTCTATGAAACACTTCAAAAGTTTTACCATCATCATTCCATCGTATATACTCTTGATTTTCAGGGTCGTTAACCATAGACCATATTTTCATAACAAATGCTGGCCTTTGTTTAGGACCAGTTGCCTCTTTCTTCCTTTTGGCAGCAAGTGAACGAGCATCATTGGCCGCTTTTGACAGAATTGCCAAGGGTTGAACATTTAATCCAGTAGGTGGCAATACACTTTCGGATAACTGAGGCATTGGAGGGAAACCCACATTAGGGTAATACTTACTTCCAGAATGAACCATAACTTTGCTGGCATTACCAGAATTACCAGAATTACCACTGGACCCTCCTCCTTGATGTAAGGAAGAAGGCTTACCACCACCTGCAAGATACAGATCCACTAAACTATTAATTGTAAATCCTTCTGTGGATAAACCTGAGGAATTTCCATAGACATTGGGGTTACCATTGGACGACATACTATTATTGACGCTATTATTGTTAGGGTGTTTGGACGAATTTAGTCCATTCAACTTTTCAGGGGAGTTATTTGTAGCATTTATGTTGGACCCTGGTATATGATTCTGTTGATCTGAAGGAAATAGTGGCGGTATCGAGCTGAAACCAATTCTGGGGGAATCAATATCTCCAAAGAGAAGCGCATTCTCTCCCGTAATATTGCTAGGAATTGGATATGAAGTTGTATCAAGAGGGGAGCCACTGGTGGTCAATCCATCAAAAATGCTGTCAGTGGGATTATTATCACGAGTAATTTCTTGGATATCGGAATCATTCAATACTCCAGTTCCAGGGTCCGGTCCAGTACTTGCATTGTTTTTATTTGGAAAGGACATGATATAATCATGGAAGAAAGAAACGAAGGGTGAAAGTAAGAAGGGAACGAAGGAACAAAGTATCACTCGACTTATGCACTAAGTCTTAGCTTCTGATCGTTGTAACAGCAACAGTGATACTACCAGTAGTATTGAAGTCAGTATCTTAATGGATGAATACAAATATAGTTCCAATTGTAGCCTTACTAAGTAGTGTTAAGCCAATTGGTCTATTCCAATTCCATAAGATTCACTCAAGTAGTGATATTCACCTCTGTTGTTGTTTTGTAGTGCACACTGTAAAGAAAACACAACTGTCTATCCTTACAAGCTCCACAGTCTTCTTCTGTACACAGTTCAAAAAAATTCTATAAGAAAATACTCCCTCAGCCTCCACGTATATAGCTGGTGATGAGCTTCTAGACTTTAGTTACTATGCTTTCTGTATCTGTTAGCAAATGAGATGGATCCTTGTGGAACCTTCTGGAATGTTCATCGCAATTCTTCTCTCCTTCAGGAAGGAATTGTGAGGAACACGACTTTGGTGATAGTATTCTAGCAAGCAGTTATTCTTGTTGACGTTAATCAGTAGTGACAACTCCAGCAAGTGTCGCAGAATTCAATAAACCATTCTTGACCATATCGCGTAATATTGCCGGCTTCCATTTATTGGTTGTAGAGACTCTTTCCACTCGGATTTTAAATGCCGGAGGATACGCTACCAAGTCTCTCAAGGCAATCATCAAATGGATAACTGCATTGGTCTTACTTTCAAAATCATACCAGTTGAATTGTATACTGAACATGCCCTCTTCTCCACTCTTACCGGAACTATTATCGCTATCAAACTGCACCCGGAACTTCAACCCGATAAGATATAAATCTTCATCAAGTTGTTTCAAATTGTAGTACACTTTAACAAAATTCCGATACACTTCAAACACGTTGGCACTCGGCATGAGCATCCATATTTGCTTGATTCGTTCTTGTAAATTTCCAAAATGAAACCAAGTCCTTGGTGGGAGCTCAAAATTAATGTTATCCAAATTGAGCACGTCATCCAAATTAATGTTGATAATAATATGTTTATCAAGTAAAAACAGCATTTCTTTGTCCTGGAACGACATAATCTGAATATCAAGTAGCTGAACAATAACCTTGAATTCTTGCATTAGTCGAACCACATCCTGCTGTTCAAATTTCTTTCTCTCATTCAGTAAAATAGTATTACGGGTTAGTTCTTGCAGGTATCTCTCTTTCAATTCTTCTAAGGTACGAAGTGACCTTTCCAACAGAACGGCACTCTCTTGTTTGGACTCTAATTCTTGAGAAACCTGACTCAATTGACTAGATAATCCTTCATATTTTTCACGAATTGTATCAAGTTGGTCGGGCGTATATGTGCTTAACTCTTGTTCTCGCTTCTCAAGCATTTGGCAATCGTCCTCCATCCTTTGATATTGATGATTTACGTGGGTGGAAATTTCTTCAATCATGGCCAAATCCTTTAACAATCTTTCTTTGTCTTCCTGTAAATCAATGTACTTTTCCTCTAGCCTTTCCAAAACAGTTTCAATTGTTTGAATTCTCCATTCATACCAAATCTTCTCCAGTTGGTACCTTGCAAATTGCTTCAACATATGAAATTTCAACCTGTAATGGGCTCTATCGCTTTCATCAGCTTGGTAAAACTTGCGGAATATCTGTGGATTGTTCTCTCGAATCACATTATCAAACTCTTTGAATAACTCTGCTGACTCCTTGGAGGTATGTGTAAGTTCCTCGCATGCAAATGCATACAGATTATACAATTGAAGTTTTGCATATGCCTTAACGTAATCTGAGGGTGAATGCTCATGAGTCACCACTTCATTGGACAGTGTGTCCATACGAACATCAACATCTTCATCCTCAAGAAATGCTATGCCGATATCTGCCAAAAAATCGCTTAGCTCTACTGGCAAATAACTGTCAGCATCATCGTAATATTCAGGTTCTTGACTTTCGGTTAAGTTACCTGAAGGTTCTTGCTGTTCATCATTGTGCTCAAAATCTTCATTACCTTCAACCTCTTCACCATCCGCGTCAGTCAGAGCGAGCTTAGTCGTTATCACTAATGGCCTTGCTGAGTGTATAATTGTACGCACACTTTGCTCTGCTTCGTTATGTTTAGAAGGTGACTGTATGCCATCTTGATTTGCCTCATCATCTTGTTTGATAGTGACTCTTGGAGTCACAAGATTGGAGACTACTTGAGTAATTTCCATCTTGGAGCTTTCCTCTTGGACATCTTCGTCCTGTAAGGGTGAAACCAGTGGTGGTATATTTGTATTTGGAGTCACAAGACTTCTACCTACTACCTGAGTCATTTCCATTTCTTGCTCTTCGTTCTCAATTGGAGTTGTTTTGGCTTCATTATCAACGCTATTTTCAATTATTGTACTTAATGTCACAGAACGGTGTTGAGTTAATTCCATTTCTTCCATTTCTTCCTCTTCTTCATTAACATGTACAGACTCATCAATGGTACTCTCAGTGATTGTACTCAATGAAACAGAACGAGGTTGACTGAATTCCATTTCCACCTGCAAGTCGTCCAGTTGGTGAGCAATATTATTCGACAAGGCAACATTGTGAGCTTGTGTGAGTTCCATATCTGACTCTTCCTGCTCGTTTTCGATGTGAGGAAGTTCAGTGCTTGGTGTCAGCAGTTCTGGTGGTGCAACCAAAGGTTTTGGCTTGAATGAAGGAGCACGCATATTCTTTGTAAGTTCCATTTCAGGTTCAGAATCATCATTAGATCCAGATTCGTTTTCAGCCGCACCATCAGATTTATGATTACTATTATTGTGACTGTTCGCTACTGATGCTTGCTTATGTATAAATGAAATTGGATTCACCTGACCTGTTAATTCCATAGTCTCTTCATTGTCATTGTCATTGTCATTGTCATTTCCTGACTCATATCCTACCCTGATAGATTTGGGAATCGCTATTGCCGTTAACTCCATACTTGATTCTGGGTCAGTATCGTGAAGCTTCTTATCATGAGCCGTCTTCATAGTTGATACGTTCATACCACCAGTTTCAGCCGCATCATTTTCGTCGTCTGAACTATCGTGTAAGATTTCTGTTCCAGCAGCATCCATCTCCTCCTGAAGCGTAACAGCCAGTGAATTTTCTTGAGACAAGTTAGGACGACGTGACGCGTTCCAATGGGCTCCCAGAAACGAGATATCAGATGTGTCCATTGTACAACGTCTCTTGGCGCCATTGACTGGGGAAGAAGACGACAGGATCAAATCGATCTTATGGAGCGTTACTTCTGGATTAAAGGAAACTCTTCGTCTGGCTTTTGCGCTGCTTGCTTGTAATAGTTGGTTGTTTCCCGTAGAAAGCCGGCCCGATGCTTCCCGTAGGATGCTCTTACGATTTGCATCCATTTTTGTTGGAGCTTTGAAAGATTCGGGATCGTTACAATTAACTTAAAGGTTGTTTAATTGTTTATGTTTAGATGATATACTGGTGACACAAAAGTAGACATCCGGGTAAATGATTATCCGGTTAGTATCGTTACATGCTTTATTCTGTTTTATTTTATCTTGGGCTCCCTTTCTTGTGGCGCTTCGAATTGACTTTCTTGTGACACAAATCATGTCTAGTTATTATGCGTTAGATATGATGTTGTAGGTTGCTTGTGGCAGAGTATGAGTTTCACAGGTCCCTTTACCCGAAGCGGATAATAAGCCCCGCTGATTGTCAATGCCAGATGTAAAGAAGAAGTAGGCAATGAAAGCAGACATTATAGCGAATAATATAATAGGGTACGTAGCACAATAGTTAGACAAGTCAAGACAGTTTAGTTCAGACTCTCAATTCAGACACTTTCCAAATACAGACACGCACTGCTCAGACAAATGCGTAGAGAGACTCTCGAGATACCGCCATTCCCCTTTGGCTACACTTAGTCAGACACTCCTATTCAGACACTCCTATTCAGATACTTCTATTCAGATTCTATTCCGATACTTTTATTCAGACACGCTCTTTATTCAGATACTTCTATTCAGACACGCTCTTTATTCAGTTACTTTTATTCAGACACGCTCTTTATTCCCATTCTGACACTTTCCATTGACAATAATCCCACGCCAAACTTTTTGCACCTGCCTCTGAAAATCACCACTGGTCCGAGGACCAACACCTCGGGGTTTGCATACAAGCCATGAGTTTTTTCCTACCCCAGAAATTATACCTAACTACTTAAGCAGCAACTTCTCCACAAATTAAGCAGGATACTCAGTACACTACAGTACACTAATAAACCAAACTAAACTAAAGCCTAGCCTCCGAAATATGTCTCTTGTTACTGACCATCCCACTTTCCAAAAGTTTTTACGGTACTTCAATTCCAACTATAGACGAGAAAAGGTGTTTCGTTTATTGGCCTACTTGTCACGTTTCCTTGGTTACTATGCTCAAAGAAAGGGATTCTCTGTTGAGACCATACGCATGTTTTCTGCGTTACAAGGACATTTTGGTATGATCCGTAAAGGTATGCGTTTCTGGAAGCCTTTGAACCATCTTGATTTGGCCGTTAAGGCTTCCCTGAATAAGGTAATGGACCCTGTATTGCAATACACTACCGTTTGGAGAAACTTATTCTATGCTGGGTTCTTTGCATTTGATTCCATCGTTTGGTTCAAAATGTTGGGTGTTGTATCTAAGACCAGTTTCCCCACAGCCGGTAAAAGAGCTTCTCAATTATGGGCTCTTGGGTTGGTTGCTGGGTTACTAAACGGGTTACGTGGATTACAAGTAAACTGTGCCAAATTATCAGCTGCTGAAGAAAAAACAGATGTAGAACAATTAGAGGAGAAATTATATCAAACCAAACGGAAATTGGTATGGGATGCTTTAGATCTCTTTATTGCTTTGAATTTGGTTGGTAAATTACACTTTACTGATGGTGATATTGGTTTAGCAGGTATAATCACTTCCATTATGGGATTAAAAGATTTATGGGCTACCACTTAGTCTAGTTCTAGTACTTTTTATACGTTATTTATTTTCAGTAAACGTTATATGCACTTGTACATATAACTACAGCTTGCCATTAGAATATCCTTTATAAAATCCATTCCAATACATTTCAATAAGCGCATCTTTTAGTTCCTTCTGTAATTCAACAGAATCTTCATGGCTTCCAATTACATCTAATAGTTTACCAAATTTAATGTCAATTCCGGTAAGCTCCCCTCCATGTCTGCTTCCTTTGGACAAGATAGCATTAAGGTCCCCCTGCAGTTTCTTAAACACTGCCATTGCATGTAAACCAACGTCATCTATCGTATCCCCCATTTGCCATTACTTTATGATAATCATAGTATCATATTCCATACTTCTGTTGTTATGGTCACATAAAAAATAATAATATACGTCACGTGATTTTAATCGCATCACGTGATCAAATTGTTAATTTTACATCTCATCGGATCAATATACCGTTTAAAATCAAATGCTAACTTTGTATATAAGCTCGGATTTCGACTACATTTGATATTCTCCAGTCCATCTCAATCTGTTTACTGTGATTGGTTATATATAGGTATCAATTTTAGCATTTAAAAGTCATTGTCATGTCTAAAGATATACGGTTCCATATTGGGAACATCTCAGCAGAATTACATGCCACACCTTCTAGACTAGAGGATAGACTTTCTAAGTTTGGGACTATCAAGGAAGGATTAAGTTTCCATAGTAAACCATTGGGAGATCATTACTTTGCATACATTACGTTGACTGTGAACGAAGCACAAGTGGAAAGACTTAAGAAAGCATTCAATGGTGTGATCTTCATGGGAAGAAAGTTGAGTCTTGACATTGCAAAGAGTTCACCTTATTTAGGATCTAACTTCGTAAAGGAGGAACCTCTTAAAAAGCAAATTGAGAAGGAGGAAGGCATTCAACGGGCCAGACAAGAAAGAATAGATGAGAGTAAGGCCATACAAAGACTTAATAGTATTACAGGATCCATAATTACCCCTCATTATATTTCTTCAAAACAACAAGCTTTGGGTTATACCGTTTCATGTCATACTTATGGAGATATTAGTGGCAACACCCGATCCAGTAAGCCTGGGAAGGTTCTTTATGGGTCTAAGAGTTATGGAGCATGGACAGTTCCCAAACTCAAGCAAACCAATGCTCAGCATTATGCCAATCTTGCTGGAGCAGGGGAGATCATTAAGGGAAGGCTTCGAAAGACTCCCCGTCCTAAGAGTCATTTACTCAAGAGACAGCAGACTCTTCGGATATTAATCAATGGAGAGTTAAAATCCATAAAATCATACAAGACCAAGCTTTGGGGTTTAGAAAAGAATAAAACCGTTCTGGATTTAACCTGGAGATATGCTAACGGCGAATGGAGATCTGGAGATGATCACATTATTGAAAGAAAGAGAGTGAAGGTATTGGAGAGTAGTAGTAGTTGCGGTATCGGTGGTTCAGAAGCTCTAACGTATGGAACAAAAACAAGCAATAATGATGATCATGATAATGAAGTTGAAGATGATCATATGGATGAAGTAGACAGCGATGAAGAAACCAGACGAGAAGCTGAACGAAACAAATCTATTTTGGCATCATTATTCCTGAAAGATACCTTTGAAAGGCCGGTTAAAGTTGATGATAATGACAATGGTATTGATAAGGAGGACATTGTGTACGATTCCAAGGGAAGAAGAAAAGTTATCAGACATGATTTAGAAATGATGGAAATTGTTCAGGAAGAGGGTGGTGACGAAGAAGTTGAAGATACCTCTGCAGCTCAGCAGTTAATTGAAGCGTATAAGAATGAAGCAGTTAGACCGCAAGATGAAGTATATTATGATGAAAGTGATGAAGGCAATGAATTGGATATCAGTGAGTTGACAAAAACCGAAGCCGTTAATAATGAAGAGCAAGAGTTTGAGGTTGCTAAGCAGGTAGTGGACGACGATGAGGAAGAAAAAGACATTGACGTACCACGAAATATCACCAATAAAACAGACACCTTAAGAAGCATCTTCAGTACTGAAAGCAATTCTGGGTTCAAGTTGGCACTTTCAGAAGACGATGAGGATGTTGATGATGATAAGCAACGCATCGATGAAGAACAAGAGAAGCTCTTAGAGGAAATCAAAAAGAAACAGAGACAAGAAGAAGAGAAGATGCTTTTCAATTCAAAATTAGCAAGATACGGACTCTTCTGGTCTCATTCAGATTCACCATTTCTTCTGACCCAATCACAATTGCAAAAGCTTGGTACAACCATAAAATTACCAGGTGAAACCGAGCTCGACCAACAACAACAACAACAATATTTGGGACAAGATGAAACGGAATATGAGAAATGGTTCTGGAGCCAAAGAGGTGATTTGTCAAGAGAATGTAAGCGACAAAAGAGAGATGCCATCAGAAGACGTAAGGGGAGAAGTATAGCATAAATAAATCACTGTAGATTAGTATAGATTTAAACCACGTGATATGTCACGTGACTTGAAACTCTCATAAATTAATCTTGCGTTACTTCACTAGCGATTTATTCTTCACCCCTCTCCTCCCAATGGCTCCAACAATTAATGACAAGGATGACCATCTGGTCTTGGCCAATGAGACGTTGGCATCTCCTGAACTCCCAGAATTTACTTTCAGAAATGTCATGGGTGATATCAAGTACCTGATTCAGGTGTTGATCAATGATCCCTTCTACAAACGGTTAGTGGGTCCAATCATAGTGTTTCTCATGTCTATCCTAAGCAGAATAGTCATCACCATGATCCCCTATACAGAGATCGACTTCTCTACCTACATGCAACAGATCCAATTAGTTAAAGACGGTGAATTGGACTACAGTCTTATTCGAGGAGATACTGGGCCTGTAGTATATCCAGCAGGATTTATTACTGTATACGAATGGATATATGACTTCACTGGACAAGGAACTCAATTGGCTGCTGGACAAAGTTTATTTTCAATGGTTTTAACGGCCACCACGTTGTTGACCGTTGTAGTGTATTGCTTAATTGTTGATATGCCACCATGGCCACTCTTAATGTTGGTGTTATCAAAGAGATTGATCTCCATTTATGTCTTGAGATTATTCAATGATGTGTTCACAACCATCTGTATGATTGGAGTGACTCTTTTACTTCAACTGGCCAGTTATACCTATTCCATCCTGTCTACCTATCTGTTTGTATTGTGTGGGGTGGCAGCAGACTTGTACAGTCTTGCAATCTCTGTTAAGATGAATGCCTTGTTGTATCTACCAGGGTTCATCTTTGTGTGCTACTTCCTTTTGGGTGAAAACTTGATCAAACTATTGTTAGTCCTCTTGATTATACCCTTGATCCAGGTATTGGTGGGGTGGAAATTCCTCATACCACTTTATCATGACGAAGAAGCAAAGTATTTAAGATACCAGTACCTTTCCAATGCCTTTGATTTCTCTAGAACATTCTTATACAAATGGACAGTCAATTGGAGATTTTTGTCGGAACAAGTGTTCCTCTCCAAGACATTTCATAAGAGTCTTTTGTTCCTTCATGGTGTCGTACTACTTTGCTTCGTGGTGTTCAAGTTCACTAAGAAACATATGATCGGAAAGTCCTTTAAGCATTTGATTGGTGACTTTTTTGCAATCCATAAATCAACAGTTAATCCTCAAAATATCTTGATCAACCAACGGTTGGGTCCTAAGTATGTGTTTTTGATATTGGCTATCTCCAATGTCGTTGGCATCCTTTGTTCAAGATCTCTTCACTATCAGTTTCTTAGTTGGTATTATTGGCAGCTCCCTGCCCTTTTATGGTTTGCGGGCTTCAATGTCTATGTGGCCACAGTGGTACTCTTGATCCATGAATACACCTGGAACGTTTACCCGTCTACTGAATTGAGTAGTGCATTGCTAGTGAGTGTTCTTACTTTAGTCTTAACAGGTATTTTCATCAATAGTTTGTTATGGCATCCAGACAAGGAACAAGATGACAGAGACCACAAGAAGAAGAATGAATAGACAATATCTATGAATAGAATAATAGTGTATTAATACATAAGGTATACCAAAAAATGTATATATAAAAAGAATTATAATGAAGCAGTTCTTGCCCTTTCTACATTATTCCCATGAAAATTGGTCATCAATAGGATCACCACCTGCTCCTCCCAAGAAAGGATTGAAGTTGAACAACTCATCAATATTGCCATCTCCAGGATTGAAAACGTCACTGGGGGCAGCAGTTAAGGCTGCATCTAATTCACCAGAAGCATGTCCCAATTCATGATCATCAACAAACTCTAATGAAAGAGATGTTTCTGACATGGTAGTCACTCCATTTTGAACCATGTTCATTCCCAGGTTACTAGTGGCAGGTCCAATAATTGAGTCACTACTACCAACTCCATTCATATTGGTTGAAGATTTCGTCACACTACTATTATTAGTACCACTAGCAGTACCAGTAGTAGGTGGTGGCATGACTTCCTTATTATTGTTACTATTATTATTATTATTGTTGTTGTTGTTGTTGTTGTTGTTCTTAGTAACTTCTTTGGATTGTAGTTGTTGGTCCGCCTGTTGATCTTCCTTCTTGAGCTTAGGTGAACTCTTGATGGTCTTCTTTGGTGATTCCGTCACGGCTGGTGGTACCTTACGCTTACGTTTATTACCTCCAGCTGCTCCAGCTGCATTGCCAGCGGTAGGCGGATTATTGCTTGCTGCAGACCCAAAACTGGACAACGCATGATCTAATTCAGCAGCTGGGGTCATGGGCGTAGAATATTCCTTCTTAATGGTATTCATAGATGGCGTTGAAGATCCAGGTGTATTCCCCATGGTATTGCTCATTCTACGAGCACTAACAGACAGACTTCTCTTCACAGCTGAAGCCAATGTTGGAGTCGATGATTCCTTTTTGGCCTTCTTCATATTAGGTGAAGGTTTATTATGAATAACTGGACTGTTGTTGGAAGATCCCTTTGGTTTTGAGTGGTCGGTCATCTCCATATTGTTCCCACCATTCATCATCCCTGACTTAATAGTATTATCTCCTCCTCCTGTTGCTGCTTGTGAGCTGCTTCCAAAGTTGGAAAGTCCACCACCAGTAACTGGTTCAAGTGATCCGCTACTATTCCTTGCAATATCCAATCGTTTCTTATTCTGCTTCTCTAAAAGCATCAATTGGTTCTGATAATCTTGCAACGCGGTGATATTACGGTTATCTCCCTTAAATCCGTTATTTGTTGGATTTTGTTGCTGTAGTTGTTGCTGAGGTAATTGATCTTGTCCATATGCTGGTTGTGGTTGAGGGCCCCTACCACCTCCAGCGGATCCACCAACCATTCCTGGTTGGTTAAATCCACCTTGGGCTTGACCCTGTTGAAATAATGGTCTATTGATATTGTTATTTCCATTAACAACACCAGCTCCAGTTGCGGCTGCTCCTGTTGCTACTCCTCTGGTGTTATTCTTCATGTCATTTCCCATTGCAAATCTTTGGTTGGGGAATGGTTGAGCACCATTTCCTGATGATCCACCGGGGTACCCTCCAAACTCAGAAGAACCAAGGTTGGATGCTTGTGATGCTTGTTGTAGGGGTTGTTGGCTGGGATCACTTGGATCCTGATTGGGCATTTGACTTCCTCCACTTTGAGTGTACGGATTGAAAGGCAGAGGTCCGTTGCCAGCATTAGGAATATTGTGTGGACCACCTTGTTGAGATCTTCCACCAGCACCTGGAGGTTGTTGCTGTTGCGGTTGTGAGTTGATACGCTCCTGTTGCATTGGCATTTGTTGTCCCATTTGTTGCTGGGGAATGCCTTGGTTCATTTGATGTTGTTGCAGTTGCATTTGCATCTGCATTTGCATCTGCATTTGCATCTGAGAAGGTTGAGTTGGATGTTGTTGCTGTTGTTGTGGGGGAGACGGACCGGGAGGTTGAATGCTACTCCCTGCCTGATTCACAAACATACCTGCTCCTCCCATGTGTTGTCGCATCTGTTGGGGACCCGTGGCCAGGGTAGGCATACCCATTTGTGACTGTTGGTTTTGATTATGAAGCTGCTGTATTGACTGTTGAGGTTGCAGATCAGGATGTTGAGGTTGAGGTTGAGGTGGTTGTTGTTGTTGCTGCCTCTGAAGGAACTGTTGCCCGCCCTGTTGGCCCTGCTGTTGAGGAATTTGTCCTCTGAATGGCTGCTGTTGCTGCTGTGGTTGTTGGTTAAGAAACTGTTGTTGCAATTGCAGTTGGTTTTGAGGGTGCTGTTGTTGATTATCCAGCGGAGGAGGAAGTTGTTGTAGTTGATGAGGTTGTTGTTGATGCTGATGCTGCTGCTGTTGTTGTTGTGTTTGTTGTTGCTGCAAAAAGTGCTGCTGTTGTACAATCTGGTTTTGAAGCTGCTGCTGCTGTTGTTGTTGTCTCTGTTTAAAGATCTGCAATTGATAGTACTGCAATGCCAACGGTGATGGGTTCAGCAGATCCCTGTTGTTCTTAGCCTGGAATATATCCCAAAACACAGACCACCATTCATAAAGAAACCCCTGGGGTGTGTCCATGGTAATAGACATCTTTGGTAAGTCATCCACCTGGGATGACCCTTTACCTATAGAACCAGAGTTTTTGTTATTACCACTATTATTTTTGGAGCTGTTATTGCCGTTGTTATTATTGTTGTTGTTACCACTAGTATTACCATTACTATTGCCACCACTAGTACTGTTCCCGTTATTGGTCCCATTAGAACTATTGGGAGTGTTATTCGTTGTATTGGGATTGGCACAAAAGTTACTCAGCGGAGTCAAAGGTCCGTTAAACTGAGGTATATCCGCCTCATTGAGAAACAACCGGGCAGTTTGCGGTAACCTCGACTTAATAAGAAAGTCATAAACATAAGCATTAAGTAGTTGTTTGGGATTCGTGGCATGTGCATCCGAGATAATAGGGTTTTTGGAAACAGTGGCTGAAGTATTGGTGGGCCCGGTGCCGGACATAGTAGTTAATGGTCCCATAGATGATGACGAGCCAGTACCAGGGCGAGAACTCGATTCACTAGTATTACTATTAGGGTTGTTATTGTTACTGATAGTATTGCCCTTATTGGTCGCTGATGACATATGATGGGCTGTAGATAAAGAAGACGCGTACGGCGTAGCGTGGCTACTCATCAATAGTAACGGCTACTGTTCGTGGTAGTGGTTTGAAGAATGCCTTACGTACAAACTTGTTGATAGTGGATGAGATTTCCTTTTTATTCTGTGGTCTCGGAGATATTTGAATGTTCCCAGACGCAGCTTAACCAAATGTCACAACGCCACAGTTAGTGAGGTTTCCTTTAATGTCGTTGTATTTGGAGACAAGATTTGGTTAAGGGTTTTGGTATTAATGTTTGCAATGGACAAAAAGTATCACCGCACGAACACCAGCAAAAGAAAGAACTGATGTCGGAAAAATTCCCTTTCTTGCGTAATATCTTACGTAATCAGTCAATCTGAGAGTATATTTCTCATGGAAGTTAACTTGTCTTGAATTTTGCCTTGTCTTATCCCATACTCTGGCCAGCACTGCACCTTGGAATTTGCGCCTGTACACGACTCTGTTGTAGATGGACGCTTATACTTAACGTTTAGCGTAAAAAGAATGTATACTCTGATTCTCCTTTCACGCCCCAGCCAGTATAGAATCAAATACACACTCCAGCTAGCGTATTCATCTTTTATCTGTATGTGCTTTAGTGTAGTTTGTCCGAGGTATTCCAACGAGGGTCGTGTCTACGTCGATTTTCCATTGAATAGAATAGGGGCAGTTAGAGATGCTGGCTCAACGTCGTTGCCATAGAGAATTCTGTTTCATTACCCTCAAGTATATTTGTAGTCACTCACAATATCAAAATTGCCGTACTTAATTATTACTATTTCATTGCTAAGTGTGGTGATGGTTGTTAATTAATTATCACTATACGCGTTCTCAGATTTACCCAGTAAATATTCCATCAAAGCTCATTTATGGATTGTATACAGTACCACAATACTTTGGTCTACAATTATTTTACACCGGTTACGGCTATAACTTTAAAACTAAGAGTATCATCATCGTTTGGTTTAAAAAAAATAAATACTTGATATAATATCTCTCTCACTTTTGAATCACCTTGGTTAACGTAATATTAGTCCCGTGTTTACGCCCACACCGTAGAAAACCCTCCATTAGAATTGGAATTCACCGTCCAAATGTTATTGAATAACTTACCTCCACCTCCATTTCCACCCACACTAATCCCATTGTCGATTCCACCAAACCCGAACGTTGTTGACGATCCATTTTCCTGAGATCTGGTTGTCGTTTCGGGTGTTTGAAACCCATTGTAAAATCCGTCATTGCGTGTCCCCGACCCACTATCTGGGTTACCATTATTGAACAAAGAAGGTTGTTGTTGCTGCTCAAACGGATTGAATAAATCCACCAATGGAGCAGGTCCGCCATTTTTATTATTATTAGTATTGTTATTGATATTATTGTTTACTGTAACAGTTGGACTCATCAAAGAATGATCAAAGCGACCTTTCATAGGAGACGGAGCTTGTTGCAGTGGCTGTTGCGCCATATATTGATTGAATTGTTGGTTTTGGTAAGAAAACTGCTTATATTCAATTCTTCCGTTATTATTGTCGTTGATGTTGCTGTTAATAGCACCTGGGTTATGAACATTATTTAACCCATTATGATAATTTTGGTTATAAATTGGTTGGTGATGGTGATGTTGTTGTTGTTGATACCGATACTGTTGTCCTTGAATATTATTAATATTATTATTATTATTATTATTATATCTTCTCTTATTCTGATGATGAAACCGTCTTTTCATCACATAAGGTGAAGGTTGATTCTGAGACTCAATGGTCAATTTTTCAATCACGTCAAATTGATCAATAAACAGCAGTTCAATGATTTGTCTTTTAGGGTACATCATGATATCTATGATAATGATATACTCTCCTTTATAAATATATATGAATGCTTATCAACCCAAACAAATAAAAAAATAGCAAAATAAATTTATCAGTAATAGTCACGAATCTCTAAAACCCCATACAAATATCTCTAACAATACTAGAATATAAAAACTCTTCTTCAAAAGAAAGCAATAAAGTAGTAGCAGTGATAGTAGTAGTAGTCGTATTTGACTAGTATTTTTTTACACCACTAATGAGAAGTGAACCTTTTAAGAAGACAAAACGTTAGGAGAAACCGGGGTCATCAAGTATAATTAACTTTGTTAACTCATGATGATTATTTTTTCTTTAACATTTTTCTTTTTTCCCTCGCCGATTAGATGGTAGCGCCGGTTTGGTGTTTGTCTAACTAAAGTATACGTTATAGTGCTACAAACTAAAATGTGTATATTATATTATTGATAAGTAACTATCGATTGATTGAATGAATGCGTGCATTTTTGTAAATCACCGTTTCTTCTTTTGTTTGATTTCATCATCATTTGTAGGATGTAACTTGATCTGTGTTGGGAAATCCGGTCTGTTGCCCATGTAACCCTGTGCCCAGTCATAACCAAATGCATAAGCAAAAATAGACCCTGTTCTATTAAAGGCTGTGGCAGTAATTGGACCAGGTAATTGAGGGAATACCTTCAACTTCTGCTTGGCATCTTTATCCCAGAAACAGAAAATACCATCAGATCCAGCAGTGGAAAACGTTCCATATATTGGATGGAATGCAATACTATTCACAGCATAAACGTTATTAATATTGTTTTGAGTTTTCCGATGACATCTAAATGAAAATCCAAATTTACTATGTTGATTTTCATCAATAAAATAAATAGAACATCGACCTTCAATTGATCCAATTGCATATCCATCTCCACTTGGATAACAACAAATAGATCTGGTTTGCCATTTTAAAGGTGATTGAACTTGTTTAAACACTTGTTGAGGATTATTTAAATCAATCACACTAATATGCTTTTCAGCACAGGCAGCCACAAGTAATTTCCCACTGGTATCCATAGCATAAACTCTTTCAGGTAATGTGACCGTCAGAATTGGTTGAGGTGATCTCATATCCCAGTATCTTAAAGTCTTATCCCATGATCCACTGACAACCACTGGCATATTAGTAGGTCCACATTCAACAAACCTAACAGATCTAACTGGTGCATCATGTACTCCAATTTGATTGGCTTGTTGTGTTTGTAAATCGAAAAGTTTCACTTGTTTATCAGCTCCTCCAGAGACAACTTTAGTACCATCTTTAGACCATTGTGCCGAAAACACAGGTCCATCGTGTTGATAAAGTGCACGTCCTTGTGTTTGTCCATTGGGACTAATCTCATATATACGAACTTTATGATCCCAACTAGCAGCTGCTAGAAGTTCTTGTTGAGGTGAGAATGAAAGATCGGTAACGGTATCTTCTGGACCATTTTGGACAGTTATATCATTGATCAACTCCTGACCTGTGGCAGCAGACCCTCCACCAGCACCGGAGTTGGGTAATACCAAGGACATTCTTATTATTGTTGTGAATACAATCAATGGATTTAGCAATACGGTACTTTGATGTTTATAACTTGATGAGGTTTACAGTTAAAGTCGTGTGAACACCAATTAATATATATATAACCAACAGACTAGTTTTAGTCTAACATAATTACAATTGATTAATAAAATTATGAATGGTTGTACGTTAAAGTTACTTCTCTAAAATGAGTTTGGTTATAGCTTTGAAATCATATATATATATATGTCTATACCGATACTAAATAGAATCCAATAGTTTAGAGTCGTGTATACCTTACCATGGTAGCCCCGCGCCTCTTTAAGGTTACTATGATCACTATCATAAGCTACTGAATCCCTTGAAGATCAGTACTTTATGGCCACCAGAGATGAGTACTGTTGTAGTTGAAACTGATGAAGATGATATTCTTGTATTGAGATACAACGCGCCTCCTCCTCATCTACGCCACCAATCAGATAAAGAAGAGCATACAGGATATTTGAACAACACATATATAGATTGGAGTACTGAATCTCATAAGCAAAACTCCCCCAAAACAACAGCCACGATATGGATAGTACTTATAGTACTGTCATTTGCCATTGGATACATCACATTATTTGCTGACTTAGTACTGGTTTGGCTTCATGATTTCAAAAAGGGTATATGTGTACTAAAGGCTCTGCGACATGAAGATGCTAACGAACTTGACCATCCTTCAAGACATTGGTCAATATTCCATCCATATCTGACATGTGAAGATACCAATTGGAAAACGTGGTCACAGTTTTTCTTCAATTCCAATATTGCTCCCATGAACTTCTTTTTATATGTCATTGGAGCTTTGTCAATGGCTCTTTTAGGGCTGATATTTGTTAAAAAAGCAAAAGTCCCCATTAGAGAGAGTGGGATTCCAGAGATCAAATTGATAATAAGCGGGTTCAAGTATAATGAAGATTATTTAAGTTTGCATACGTTTGCTATGAAAAGTTTAAGTTTGATTTTGGTCGTGAGTTCTGGACTTTGGTTGGGGAAAGAAGGTCCTTTAATTCATATTTCAAGTTGTATTGTACTGGCTTCTTATTACATCTTTGTGAAAGATACCAATGAAGCAACATTACGTGAATTAATTAGCGCTGCAACTGCAATGGGGATAGCAGTAGCTTTCAATGCTCCAATTGGCGGAGTCCTTTTCATTATTGAATTAATACCAACATATTTTTCACCAGTTAAAGTTATGTGGAAAACTTTCATTAGTTCTACTATATCAGTTTTGATTTTGATCCAATTTAAAATCTTTACTGGCAATTTTTTTGAAGAGGATTTGTTTGATGTTAAGTTTGGGAATGTCAGTTGGTTATTTATGGAAATTATTCCCTTCATCATATTAGGAATTCTTGGTGGATTCTATGGATATGCTTTTGTTTTTTTAAATCGTTATTTTAAAGGAAAGAGGAAGACTCTTTACGCTTATTTAAGGACACGTTTCCCAGCAATTGACCCTTCAATAATGGAAATAGTATTGGTGATCATTATAACCACTATAGTGGCTTACCCTATTCAATTGAGCAAAGTAACACTAGATTCGTTATTCAATATGATGGCAACCAGTTGTACAGAAGATTCACCTTTATTTATTTGTCATCAAAAACTATTAGCACCAAAAGTATTGTACATTAGCATCACAGGGTTCTTATTGTCTAGTTATACCTTTGGTATTGATCTTCCTGGTGGTGTTCTTATGCCTTCATTAGTTATTGGAGCTTGTTCTGGTAGATTAATAGGGATTGCCAGTCAAAGTATTCAATCCAGATTGATTAATGAAACAACTTGTACTGCTAAATCATGTCTTATTTCTCCTTCATCTTATGCGGTTATTGGAGGTGCTGCGTTCTTAACAGGAATTACCAAACTTACCATTAGTGTAGTGGTTATCATGTTTGAGTTAACAGGTGCTGTTTCCTATGTTCTTCCTATTATGTTGGCAGTGATGACTCTGAAGTTTGTCAATGATTGGCTAACCAATGAAAACATCTACAATGCCACTCTCAAATATGATTTCAATAATGGAGAGCAAGTCTCTCAGAATCAAGTGAATGAAGGGAAGGGAAGTGGTCTTGTTCAATTTGATAATGCGGTAACTATGCTTCGAAACAAATTGCCAGATTTACCAATTTTACAAGTAATGATACCAACAGAATTAACCAAATGTATTCATTTGGTTGGAGATTGGAAAACTTGTCAGCAATGGATTGAATTCATACATGATGACAATCATGAAGGGTATCCTGTGATATTCAGCAAAGACAAACCCATTTCCTTAGGGTATGTCAATAAAGTTGAACTTCTTCTTGCACTAAATGATACTTCGGGCAGCATTGTGCAATTCCAATTAAAGAACTCGCTCAAAGTTAAAAAGGAAATTATAATACCAACTCCAAGTATCACTATTCCTATAAGTGTTCAAAAGAGTGAATTGAGTCTTTCGGATCAATGTCCAATGATAACAGTGATTGAGATCTTTGAGAAAATGAATATAAATTATCTTATATTTAATGATTCCCAAGGTTGGATGATAGGATTCATTGACAGGTTTATTTTGGCTAATCTTATTGAGACGGAATTTAGTTCATTACATTATTCTATTCATTCAACTGACTTTGATATCGAGGAAGTAGAAGAAGAATCTGAGAGGGTCAAGCATTTGCTAAGACCTAAGGCTAATCTGCAGTTGATAACATAACATACCGAATAATAGTTTAAATAGTATTTATACTTACACTGATAGACTTTATAAGCGGATAAATATTTAGCCGAATTGGCATCGGAGATAAATTCAAATTATGTCCGATCATAGTTGGTTAGATAACTATAAGATGTGCTCTTTAAAGTATCAATCTCCATGGATCGACCACCTAATGGAACGATTCTATTGGATGACAGCATACCCTGGGACATCAGCAAAGGCGACGTGATAGGAATCGATACCCAATTTGTTAATGTGGGTAATCAACTCTTTAGAGGATTCAAGTTGATCCCCCATGGGCTCCATCTATTCCATTATTCCAGAAACGACATGAGATACGGAACATGGTTTGAATGCAATGAAGGCGACGTTTATTTGGCTCGATGGGATCTGCTGCTTGAGGAGATTAAGTTGGTTGATCTTAAAAATGAACCATTAAACCTCACCAAGGCACTAGATAAGATCGCACAGTACTACGGAACCGTGATGATGGGGTATCCAGAGGACACTACAACATGGCACCAATTGATTGGGTATATGGACAACATAGAGGTGTTACAGATCTTTCTTCCTGAAGACTATGAAGTCACGACATCAACGTCGTCTTTTGAAGAGACCATGATATTAGAAGAGACACTAGCTGGTACCCATCCTAACAGTAGTACAGGCAATAGTTCTTCGCATGACCACATTAAATATACCGTTGTGCAATTCAAAAAGAATAGATCAACGGATATCAACACTATAACCAAGGATTACTTGGATAAGTCGTGGTATATAGAGGAATTGTATGGTCAAGATGTTGAGTTACTATTAGCAGAATTACAATTGGCATTTGTTAACTTCATAGTGCTTGCCAACTTTTGTTCTGGGTATCAATGGATTCAAATCATCAAACTTATACTGATGTCACCTCAATGGATTGGACGACGGCTTTCGTGGTTTGTCAAGTTGCTTCAACTACTAGTGTCCCAATTACGTAAGATTCCGCCGGAATATGTTTTTGGTGAGGATTCCATTATCAATACTCAGTCATACATTGAGGCAATGGAGAACATAGTACAAGACATCATCCCATCATTAGAGGGTTCATGTTGTGGACGGATGAAAATGAAAGGGGCTATCCTTGAAACGTGGAACCAGGTGATTGATATCAATAACGAACGGTTTTCAATCGATCTAACTCGGTTAACTCCATCCATTGATGATAATGATGAAGATGCTCCCCAAATAGTGCACACATAAACATACAGTATTCATGACTACTTTTGTTATTATGTCTATGTACAGTAATTACTATTATTATGATGTATCAGATGTCATAGCTCTCTTGAGCATACGTTTCTTAGACCGTTCTTTAAACACTTTGAATCGTTTCAAATATTTCTCCTTCTCTTCTAATGGGATAGTCTTCCCATTGTATAAACTGACTCCACTCTTTAACATGTCAGATAGTTGTTGTTTGTACTTTTCCTTTTCTAGTAACGACAAGTCTCGCCAAGCTTGTCCTATCGCTCTCCTGGCCTCTGTAGTGCTTAGATGCTTGTATTTAGGAGTGTTTAGTTGTACGTAGTAGTTCCATGCATGAACTGCTTTCAAGCCAGAAGGTTCCAATGAGGTCTTGGATTTGGATGGTTTCTTAGTACTATTACTATTGGTACCACTACTGGAACCACCACTGGAGCCAATACATTCTTCACCAATATCTTGGTCAACTTGTGGGACTTCCTCTGTATTCTCCACCACTTCTCTCATTTGCTCCGTATACAAGTCCTCAATCTCTCGTGCAGCCTTAGCCTTCTTAGTTGCATTCTTAACTTTAGGTATACTACTTTTAGTCAATGATTTCACCCAAACATCAACAATCTCACTCTGTATCCTACTTAGGGGCCATTCTTCAATGTTGGACTCATCAACCTGTTCCTTGATGCACTCATTTAACTTGGTCTCAGTGAAATCATATCCATAATGCGTCTTGGGTATAATAAACCATCCATAATTGGTGTTCACGCCGTAGAAACTAGAGGGCTCCAAATTTATATCTGTTACCTTCTTGTATCCCCTTTGGAACTGAATAAGTGAAGAGTTTGGTCTGGTGCAAAGTGTAGAATGTCGTAAAGTGACTGTGGGTTTGGCTGAGATGACTTTAGGTTGCACTGAGATCACACGACGTAGAAACACCGGCCATCGAGTGTAGGATATCATATTATTGTTGTTGTTGTTGTTGTTATTATTATTGCCCTTAGCGTATAACGTTACTGTATCGGATATGAATCGGTCCCTAATCCTTGCCCGTCATCCAAATAGTCATCGGAACAATAATTACTTAATGTGACTTAACTATACGGTGAAACCAAAATCCGATCCGATCGGGATGTGAATTTAGTTTTGTGTAGTCGCGCTAATCTGAAATTTCCAATTTGCGAACGGCGCTACCATGTCAATAAGATGTGGCCGCATGTCTCAGGTACACGACCCATTCTAGATGCTGATGATAATAACCTCTATGACTTTCTTAATAAGACAAATAAATACTTTCAACTTTTCATTTTAAAAAGGTTTGATACTCTTTAAGGGTACGGTGCTGCAGTCCTTCATACAAAGAAGCGCTACAACAATATCCATACATATTGTAAGAGACGTAACCAAAGGCAAACGATTCAAGTAAGGCGCACAGTCCAAGCAAGAGCCAAACGAAGATCGAACACGGAAGTTCCGAGAAAGAAGATCGAAAGGAAGAAAAAAGGTAAGAAGGAAAGAAGCAGATCTTGAGCAGACTGTGATATATTTTACAGGCGTTATTTGAGCCTGTTGCTTCAGCTATTTATTTCTTTACTAATCAGCACTATAAATATGGAGAACTTAACATCATCACCAATATTTTCTCCTACACAACTTGTGGCATTCCCTGAAGAAATCAATGGCTCAATTCATAACCTGAAAATAAATGATAATGGAGGTATCCTGGCATTTCTACCGCAACTTCCGGAGAAACCCACAGTACAAGCAAGTACTGTGGAAGTTTATATAATACCAACTGAGAAAACATTATTTGTCCAGGGATTTGACGTTAATGAATATGCTGATCGACCTCCAGCTTTACTTAGAGGCTGTCTATATATAAGAGTCCTTAAACCAACAAAGATAAGGTCTATTGAATTGCTGTTTCGAGGAGTTCAAAGAACTGAATGGCCCGAAGGTATACCCCCAAAAAGAATTACCACTACGGAAAATAATGAAATATTGAATCATACTTGGCCCTTCTATCAACCCACAGGTCCTCCACTTCCTAATAATGGAGCTGATATGTTTCAGGAATTGGCTAATCATCATGACGATAGTCATGGGCTGGACCGTGGTGATGGAAGAAGATACTCAGGCTCAGGTTTACGCCCTTCAATGTCTTCAACCTCAATTCTGTCTGAACTTAGTGGAGGAAATTTCCTCACCAGAGCATTATCTCCTGTGGGATTTGTGAAAAGAGCAGCATCACCTTCCTTTGGAAGTTATAACGACCATGAATCTGATCCTGCTATAGGAACTTTTGTACGTGGTGATTATATTTATAATTTTGAACATCCATTACCTCCATCTGTTCCAGAATCATGTAAGGTTGCCTTTGGTGAGGTTTCATATGAACTATTAGTCAACGTTCAACGTCCAGGAGCATTCAAATCCAACCTTCAAGGTCGAATGTCTATTGATGTTGTCCGAACTCCAAGTGACATGAACCAAGAAGAAATAGAACCAATTGTCATCAGTAGAGATTGGGAAGATCAATTAAAATATGAAATAGTTGTTGGAGCAAAATCAATTATTTTGGACACTTATATGCCCATGGCATTCCGGTTCATTCCTCTTTGGGGTAAAGTCCAATTACATCGAATAAGAGTTTATCTAACGGAGAATTTGGAGTATTATTGCAATAATGAAAAAGTCCACAGAATAGAGCCTCAACGGAAATTCCTTTTACTTGAACATAAGGCTGCAAAGGGTAAGTCTATATTGACAAAGAGTGGAGGATTAGTTGAAGAAAATTGTGATGACGATGATGAAGTATTACCAAGGGAATTGGAGTTTCAATTATATGTTCCTAAAGATATTGGTGATAAATCTAAAGTCCCTCTTCATCCAGATACTTCAATTACAAATATCCAATCCCATCATTGGATCAAAATCTGCCTAAGGCTTTCCAAACCTGATCCTGATAATAGTGAAAAACGTAAACATTATGAAATCCTGATTGATCTGCCTATAAGAGTACTTTCTCCATTGGCTGCGCATTCAAATACTATTTTACCAGCATATGATGATTTCATTCCTCCGATATTTGATACTGTTGCTGCTCCTATTTCACCTTTGATGTCACCTGGTGTTACTCCAATTGATGCAACTTTGCTTTCTCAATTATCTCATACATCTTTAGACCAATTGGCTATTGAACGTCGTTCAGGTGGAAGTACTCCTATTTCATTCACCCATATAAAGAATTCTGCCACTGATGAATTTAGAGATCCAGATATGCACTTGAATGCTAATTTGTATCATCCAGCTTCATTACAAAATCTCTCAGAGATGTCTTCACCTCAAGCAACACCTCATCCTGATACATTTGTGTCTCCCGTGTCTTCACCTTTAATACGACCTATTCATTTATTACGACGTCCAAGTTATAGTCCTCCTCCATTTGAAGCTGATACTCAACCTCCTTCCATAGATGAAGTGGAAGCTTTACCTCCTGCTTATGAAGAAAATGAATTGTCTCTTTCACCTTTGAGAATTGATATTGGAAGAGGAAGACCTCGTTCTTCCACTACAGATTCTCTTGAAGTGCCGTCACCATCAAATAACGGTGGTAAGAAGGGTATGTCTGTTAAAGATATGCTTTTCCGTCAATTTGATAATACTTCCAGCAAAAGCCGTGAACGGACCCGCTCTACTGAAAATGGAGGTAATGGTAGAAACAGAAGTGGATCAAATTCAACACTTTTAAGTCGAAAGGAATTGGCTAGTAAGGTTCGTCATAAAACACCGACACATGAAAATAATAATGATAATGATCTTGGTGTACTGCAAACTCAAAATGGTTCATCAACAGCTACAACGAGTTGTAGAACATCTGAAGAAGAAACTACCACCACTACTACTACTGGATCAACTCGAAATTCATTATGTTCTTCAATCAACAATTCTATTGGAGCAACATCTTTAGGTAGTTCAAATAGTGGTCGAGATAGGCCTGCTATTAAGGTGACATCGCCCCAAGGTCATAGTATAAATGAAGAACCAGAAAGATCACTGTATTATCCAACTCCAGGGTCTCCATTAATAACACCACCTGAAGAGGATGATCTCACCGATATACCAAGTGCAATCGTACCCCCACCTAAGATGAGGGCCCTTTCACCAATCAGAGGTCCACAGCAGCAACATCGTTCACCATCTAGAAGGTCTTCTGGATCTTCAATTATTTCTACGGCTACAGATATACCAGTTGAACTCACACTCCCATTATTGGCAATGTCTACTTCCTCATTAGGACAACCATCTGCTTATAATGTCAATGTTGCAGGCATGAACCACATGAACGGGTCGATAACGTCCTTGGGCCCTCTAGATAATCATCGCAGACTATCAGCTCTTGACGACCTTCAACAACCTCAAGATGATAAGACTACCACGCACTTATCACCGTTTGGAAGGTTTAATTTCCTGTATGGAGCAGCAGGGTCAAAGAATAATAATAATAGACATATCCCACCAGAAGCAGACGATAGTGAGGATGCTAGTACCGTAGGTGGTTCTAGTATGATTGTCAGCAACAGTGATGTTGAAGATGGTACAGAATCCACTAATGGTACAATTAAAGAAGCAACCATTGGAAGAGGTAAAAGTACTTGTTTTGGAGTTATTGATAGAAATGCAAAACATTCTAACATTGTTCTAGGAGGTGGTTAAAATAAATAAAATTAATTGGCATAGTTACATAATTATATTATTTCTCAACTAAGTTACCTTCACCATCAACTTCCAAATGACCCAACCATTCATATAAAACTCCCAAATCTCTATTGGCGTATTGAGGTCTATCACAAGCTCTATCATACCAATGACGACCAATATCACCCAAATAAAGAAATCTATTATTGGCTTTAGCACATTCAGTAGCCAATACCAAATCTTTACGAGTTAATTTGGTGACAAATCCACCTTCATAATTATCATCAGCAGGTAGTTTCATTTCTTTAGGGTAAACTCCAGGAATAGGACAATTATCAACACTGGCCCAAGATTTACCTGTCAGAACACTCACAAGTTTAGCGTACTCTTTCAAGTCTAAACCAAAGGAGTTGGCCAATTGGAACGAATCAGCTACAGCCAAATTGGTCACGGCCAAAAGATAGTTATTGGATAATTTGGCAGCTAATCCAACACCATGTTTAGAACCACAGGGGAAGATATTTTTACCCATATACCCCAAAAGTTTCCTTAATGGTTCACTAACAGCTTCTTGGTTGGCTCGGGATAACATAAACGAAAGAGTTGCTCTACGTGCACCGGCTGTACCTCCTGAAACGGGAGCATCAATAAAATCAAAATGAGGAAGTTCGGACCGAACATATCTATGAACATCAACAGATGTTGGGATATCAATTGTAGATGAATCAATGAATGTTATACCTTTCCCCAGTTCCAGTCTTGGAGGGTTTGTCAGCTTATAAGTTTCAACCAAATCACTAATTACTCCCTTGACATGCTTACCTTCGGGGACCATTGTAATGATGAAATCCAATTGTGGTTCCACATCGGTGATAAACTCCGGAATCAGCTTTAAAGCCTTCAATTGATGGTTGGTATCAGCCTTAGTCGATGTCACAGAGTCAACAAATGTATTGGCTGCCTTATCATTGGTATCATAAACATATAATCTATCTGTTGGTTCCAAGTTGTTATATATATGTTTTGCCATATGTTGGCCCATTTGACCTAAACCAATAAACCCATACCGAGTTCTATTGATTGTAGATGTAGTTAAAGTCCGAGAGAATCTAAGCATATTGATAATGACAAAACCATTAATATACTTTAAATCAAGGAAACTCTTGCTATTTATATAATGATCCAATTACTCACAAAGTTGCTCTCTATTAACTAGGTTCATTATTACCTTTCCAACTGGGATTATTCTTCCCCTCTTGTCCCCACAACTTTGTACATTTATTCTGGCAACCTGAACAATAGCTACGGGTAGATCTAAAAAGTTATATACTTTACAACTACCGTTTATTATTATCATTATATTTACTCCATACTATAACGGACATTAATCTCCCATGGTTTAACTGAAGTAAATATTGTACCATCATTCATTTTACCCTAAACATCGTATGGTTTATTCCGCTGCTAAGTTGAAAAATCAGAAGATACTTTACCCCAGATTAAACGTGGCGCTACCGTTATCCGCGAATTACCTATTTGAGCGTTACCGCGGCCCCAGGAAATATATCCGGGGAAGTTAACTAGGTGATGAATATTCCATGGAAAGACCTGGCACCAGAGGAACACAGTTTTGCAGGTCAGGAACAACTATATAACAGTGGAAAAAGAGTGGTGTAGATTGTCTAAACAGGAAATCGATACCCGATTTACAACTAGTGGATATAAACAAAATATGATAGCAAAATTTCGTACATACACTTTTTTTCGTACTAATTACATGAATCCAGTAGCTATAATATACTTACATATGTTTTTTATCCATTGGTCACGTAGGTGCACATGCATGGTTAATATTCAATTAAAGGCTACAAAAGCTATATAATCATCTAGGTTATTTATTCAACGCTTTTCATTTGAATGAAGGCTAAGATCATTTACAATACTTTTAATGGCTTACGTAAACTTCCAGCAAGTATAACTTCAAAGATGCAATATTGAATTTTTATCGTCATTTTGTAGTATTCGTTAAATTACTCTATGATATCTCTTTTAGTTTTCCTTTTATAATAATACTTTCAATAATCGAGTAAGGTCAAAAAATTCAACCCCTATAGCGATGATTACACTATTGGCCAGTACCCACAGAGGCTATTATGTAAAACATTAGTAGATTGCCCAAATAGGCAGTCTGTGATTATATTCAATATAGCCACTTATCGCATCGACTTTCCTTGTTAGGTGTGAAGTACGCAATGGTAGGGCCGACGACAAGGTTTAGTAGCTGTAGTCAACCATTTATCTACGTTGAAAGCCTTCTAAGATAACATAAAATAATAATAATAATAATAATAATAATAATAATAATAATAATAATAATAATAATAATAATAATATACAATGAGGTTATCACTCACTCCTTTTGTCCAGTAATGTAATCCCATGATGACCTGTTTGGGTCACACTAGCACAAATAGTAATACAAAAAACCAACAGCCAACAACATCGAATGAGATGCTGGAGTAAATCTATAATCTTGATATGACATGATATGATATAACCTCTAGGCGATGTTATACTGTTGGACTTCAATTTTAATTTAATTGGTATTTTTCTTATTTTTATCCCTTGTTAACGCATAGCTCATTAGTCGCATACTTTAATGATTCTTGTGCTGTAAGCATCAAAGTATCAAATTCATTCCATCTCCATTTCTCTTTCATCAAACTCTTCATGTTGAACTATACCCAAGTAATGTTCCTGTTCCTGGGAATATCCAAGTTCTCCTGTACCATTGGGTGGTGTTGACATTCTATTATAGCCATTTATGACATACAGTTCTGCTTCTTCGGAAGGACTCAAACGGAACCCGGATGTTCCATATTGGTTCTGTATAATTGCCTGGTTAGCACTGGTTGAACTGTACATCGTCAGAGGTAACATATTATTATTGTTGTTGTTCGCGTTACCATATAAACTTTGAGGAGTAGAGGGCATGGCTGTATCTGAATCAGCTCCGCCATCATTAAGATTGGCTGTTGGAGGAGGACGTGGGGTATCAGTATCATTGTTATCATCGATATATGAGTACTCACTAAATGATGTATCTTCGAACTTAACAACCTCTTCTCCATCATCTTTAAGATATGTACGAAGAGTACCCCATGGAGTAAGCTTTATTGAGCCTCCTTGAGGATGAGCATATACTGGCCATTCATTAGAAGTTGTAATTTTCAGTTTCACTTCGTCCAGTATCTCGGGCCTTGTTTTCTTATTGGTCACTTCCTCGTCATCGAACCTTCTTTTTGATGAATTACTATAAGTTAAATGCATCGTGCCAACAATATATACGATACAACTGTTGCTTCTAGTAATTCCGGCAATAATCTCTCAATCTATTCAGTCAACTAGATTAAGTTACGTGCCAAATCGCGTATTAAATATGTGAAACGCTTGAATATTCTATGTAATTTTCTTCAAGAACTGAACCAAGTTAAATAATCTGATCAGTCTCTCTATTCCCTTGGAGTTATAGTAGTGGTAATGGGGAACTATTGTATTCTCTTGGTAGTATTCCACGTCTAGAGTGAGAAAAAAACTGTATCAAGAGCTATGGTCCGTCCGAAAAAGCGATACTCTTTTCGATGAGCAGTGATAAATATATTATATAACGGGAAAGGAAATGTTTAATCGATAAACGAAAATAGTCACAATGAGCCCTATAGTCAAAGTAAAAAAGTATACTGGAATAATACTACTCGTAGTTATCAAGGAAGAAGAAGAAGAAGAAGAAGAAGAAGAAGAAGAAGGTCTACAAACGAAACTTAAAAACCCACACCAGTGGGGGAAAGGTCCCATCATATAGAAAATTATGGTGGTACTAAAACATTTACTTGAAAAAAATAGCGACGGATGGAATACGGGGTTCGGAATAGACTGTAAACTTGTGTATAACTCCCAACTACAGGTCGAGAAAACCAATGGCATGAACCCAAGCCTGGACCCAATGGATAGACGTAACGGGAAATGACACCAATGGACAATCCACAAACCAAAAGCTAAGGCGAACAAAAAAAAACCACAGACAGACTTGCAACTTTGAAGTGGCTTACGTACAGGTTCGTTCCAAAACCAAAAAATGACCAAGCAGTAAAAAAAAATTACCATCGTCGGTACCCGAGCCAGCCAGCCCTGACCATCACAAAACCGTTTGACTATCTTTCTTTTAGTAACCCATTTACAATAGAGTCTATGTTCTGCATTTTGTTAATAGGGCCTACACGATCGTTTTTACTGTACAGGCTTTGGTGCAGACACGAAGAGTTAATATTTGTACAGGTAAGTGAGCTAATAGCAACTTGCGTTGCACGACCTGTATTGCCTTTTTGGTATATCATGTCGGTTTTTTGTGTGCAGGCTATCCTATATATGGGATTATGTAACAGCTTATGTCATGATTGCTGTAAACAAGGCCACCCATGATAATTCACATAAGCGGGGACAGTACGACTACATTTTACTTAAGCTTGCTTGCCACTTTCCACTTTCTATGACTACCAACTCCTACACAGGACGCGTAAGGATGAATGGAGAAAATTTATACTGATCTAAATGAAATGTGTGGTAATAGCTCACGCTACATTACCTTACATCATGAGTTACTTTGAAAAACAAATTGCGTGTGTCTACCATTTCAGGTGGTAGCCAACACTATTATGGAACAAGTGGTAGCTTAATTGAGTAGTAGATGCTGTGGCATCAATATCTAACTATGAGGGGATTTTTCTAAGAACAAGACATTGAATTAATCACTCTCAAGAGTCTTGATTAGGACATAGACCCGTTAAGAACTTAAATGTCGTCCATTGATAAAAAAAATAAAGTCGTTCACTGGTATCGTAAAGTCGCGGGATGAACAGACATTATAATTTCCCATAACCAGGACTAAGCCTTAAGTACAAAGTTGAAAGCATTCAATATTCTAAGTATAGTATCCTTTATTAAGCCCAAGCTAAATGATGCTTGGATCTAAGTATTATGAAATGGACTTATGGCTTCAGTTTTTTATACACGTAATCCAAAGGTGCTTCTGTAGGCGCCTGTTTAAGTATATACAATTGAAGTGTAATAATGTAGTTATAAATAAAGAAGATCTTCAAATGTAGTAGTAGTAGTAGTATTGTTTAAATACTTCTAAACCCGAATTCTATGTCATTTACCTGGTTAGTTTTTGCAATATAACTATGTATTTTACTAGATTCGTGTAGGTGGACGCTGTATTTTCTCTAGGGAAGCGATATTTTATGAAAAATCACTAATAAGAAATGCTCATTCTTAGAGATAATTTTGTTACAACCATTCATTTTATGGCAAAAAGATGCAGACGATTTGGGTAATTGAATATGTTCACGTCTTCGTCTCGTCATGCCCCTTTTTTGTTGTACAAGTTTTACTCTTCCTACTTAGCACTAATGGTCAATCATTACCCAAAATTTAGTTATGCAAATACTAGATAAGCTTAGTATCTTCCTCAATAGTGACGACGTATACGGCCAGCTTTTCCCAGAGATATATAATTATAGATGATTATATCATAATTATAACTCTTCCACTTAAGCCAGCTCAAAACATACTTTTATTAGAACAATCTACGAGTTTCATCCGAAATAGGAATTAACTGTAAGGAGCGATCTTTTCAAATTTGGAAGCATAATTGAACGATGTATTCAATTAAGAATCTATCAACCAGAATAGAAAGTACATTTAATCTGACATAATCGTCTGCCTGAAACAAGATGATATTTTTTAAAGATAACATTAATACATACCTACGTGGAACTGTATATAATAGACCGTGCTACCATTTTCATATGTATCACCGTTGTATGCAAGCTGTGAGCACTGAAACAAACCCGCCTTTATGAAATCGCTCCCGGTGGCCAAGCTGGTTAAGGCGCGAGACTGTAATGAGTTACCTCAGAGTTATCTTGAGATCGGGCGTTCGACTCGCCCCCGGGAGAAATTCAACACGCCATTTTTTTCTAATCCAAAACAATAGCTGTCACTCTATTTATTTTGACACTTCCAATACTGGCTTACGGCACCATAATTGTCATTCTTTTTATATACGTCAGTTATTCGCTTAGGAAGAAGTTAATGGCGGCATTAGCGGATACGATTTAATTAGTTGAGATGTCAGTTAGTTTTAAACAATAACGAAGTGATTTCGTTTGCCGCAATTAAGTCACCTCCATCTGAAATCAGAGTAAGTCATATACTAAAAAAAATTAAATTAGTGGGTGTCCACACAGTGTGACAAGAGAATCTAGATGATATATGGGTATATGGGTATACACTTACAGCCATATGTATCTGATATTAAGTGTATGATAAGACAGCAAAGAACGGGCCACCCAATTTTAGAACCTTCCGCACAAATGGCTCACTACAAGCTTTAGCACTACTTCTATTAGCAATATCACTACTAACATTATCGCTAGTGTAACAGACACAACAAGTGCGACCTTATTGCTGTAGCTACAAAAATAATACTCAATCAACTTACCTACTGCGAACTCTCGACTATATACAGATACCATCTCCGCAAAAGTAATGTCTTGTTTCTTTTTGATGTCAATGTTTAATCCTGTGTGGAGTTTGGCTGATGTTGTGACACCCCTCTTCCCACTTCTCCCCCACTTGGTATGTGAGCGTAACCTGACCTTCATACTGGGGTAATATACGTCTATAAGGACGAAAAAATAAATTCTATGGTTATAAAGCTCAAGGATATCCGTTGATAAATATTCTAGATTTTCTTTTAATTATTATCAACAGTCTAGTCAACAGTTATTATCAATAGTTTTTTATTCGCATATAACTACTGAAGTTGTTACGTTAAATTTTTGCATGATCTTTTAATCTGATTTCAACATGAGTCAAAGGACGACATCTTCAAGGTATGTGCCTCCAACTCCGCACACCAAACCTCCAGCCTATGGAAATCGCTCGTCTTATAATACGCCAGCATCTCCGCCTTATTCACCCCCATCGGAGCTGCTACCCTCGTATTCTCCTGCAGTGGAGTTGTTTGGTACCTGTCTCTGGAAGAATGAGTATCTTACCCCATTTAACGAAAGCAATAAACGGTCATGGGATTTGGTAGTGTTGGAGGTCAATAGCACCCAAGTTAACGTTTACCAGATTACTTCGATATCTCGTAAATTACGTTCTTGCATTTTTGGACTTTTCTTTGAGCTAAACAAAATTGGGCTACAACAAAATCATCAATATCCCAATTCAGTGCCTACTCAACACCAGCAACAACAAACAAATGCAAGTTGTGATTCAGATGATATTTATGACGAAGAAGATTTATCTTATGATGATGCCTGGGGGAATTCTGGTGAAGATTCCACTAATGGAGATTCCTTAGCTCTGAAATTAAGAGCAAAATTATATAAATATAAACATCATGCCCAGTTAAATAAGTTGGATATGTTTTACAAAAGTGATTTATCTGATAATAAGTTACTTTTGGAACCTACACTGGATAGAAGTCGGTTCGAGAAGTTTCAAAAAGATTACACTCTTAAATTGATTGGTTCATTTACTTTCCATCAAATGGCTTTAGGTATCGCTCCAAATATTCATAGCTGCAAAATGACGGATAATGCCACTCATAATCTTATTGATTCAATAACACATGTCAAATATACCAATACCTTGAGAATAAGGTTGGAAACCCGTCAAGCTTTAATTCAATGCTGGTCTTTCCATGCTTTGGTACAATGGTATCGAGCATTTATTGTGGGTAGAGACTTAGCTTCTCCTATTGAAACCAGAGCTTTATCGAAATTCAAGAGTATTCCTACTCGGAGTAATCTGTTGTTGAATGCCACTATTGTGGAAGCTCACATAGGAAGCCGGTATTCCGAGAAAATAGAACAACCACGGGAACAACCACAAGCCGGTACTACTAGTACTAGTGCTACACCTAATATCAGTTCGGGTCGTGGAAGAGCTGAATCGACTTCAGATGGTAGTATTGCAACGTCGGATGTATCGTCTGTGGCCTCATCAGCCTCAATATTTGATGATGAAGCCACAAGTATGAATACACTCCCCACTAATGTTGATGAAGGCGGCGTATCGTCTTATTGTGTCACCATCAATAAAATGCAATTTGTCAACTACGAAAGTAAGTACACTTGTTTGGAGAAACAATACATTGAATCATGTCTTGGAGAATTAAAGATGTTTGAAAATTGGTCAAAGAAATGTCTTACGATACTGAGTGTCAATCTGTTTTATGAATTCTGTACACCCTTTGCTGATGATGATGCATTACTATTCATTAGTCATAGTGTGTTGGATACAAACGTGACTCTTTTGGAGCGAAGGATGCTTCAAGACCCTAACAAAACAAGAATGTGCCGTTCATTTGTGGTTGATCGTAGTGGGTTAGTTAGTGTGGTACGAACTTTCTAGTTTAATGAAGTTATGATTATAGATATAAAGAATTCGGTATTCTTTATAATACAAAAGTTAAAAAGTAAACTGAATTAAAGCATGTATTACCTGATAAGTATTGTACTTGAAAGGATTATCGTACCTACAAGTTGGAAATTGGCAATACCATCAGTGTTCCATATATAAATGTCGTGTGACATCTAAGATAATAGGGGTCCCCCTAATGTCGTCGTTCACGATCCAATACAATTGTGATTACCGTCAATATCATGAGTTTTTCAAATCAAGTCATTCACCGACTGTTATCCCTTCAAGCGTAGAAGGTGGGGTGTGACAGAGGGGAGAATCACAAACACAACACCTGAATTTGGTGGGGTTCAAGCCAAATTGTAAACGACGTGTCTCAACCGTTCAAAGGGCAAGGGAAGTTGCCATCAGTTGTGCCTACTCATCACATTGCAACCAGTTACTTGTTGTTGTAACATGGATTTTCAATACGTAGTGGCAGGTATTGCCACGGCGGTGGCATTCAAGGTTCAGTACGATTCAACCAGAAGACGTCTTGGCCAAAGATCCACTCCTGCGGAATCTGAGACAACTGGTGCAAAAGAAACGCTGGATAAGGTTCCACTCGATCAATAAATCATCAATACAATACATGAAGAGAATGTGTTCTGCTCAGTGTTGTTCATATGCCACCTTCCAAGTAGTTTGATATAGCATCAATAAATGCTTGTTTTGTCTTCCCATCAACAACGATAGACTTCAGCTTGGCAAATGACTTAAGCATAGCAACGGTACTTTGTTTCCAATCTTGATGTTTGAAGCATGATTGTATAATTTCATCTGGCGAAAGGTTCTCTGTGGAAAATGTCTTTTGCACTTGTAATTTAGACTTTTTCACATTTGAAGGAACCAATGAGGGCATATCATTAAGTTCTTGAACTAGGTGTAGTTTGATATCTTTGATTAAATCAAGGATAGTATCATCATTCATGATTAGTTGTCTATTATTTAGGAGGATTTCTTTGAGCTTATCTTCGACCGTTAGATCACATTCAGTAATGTCCATTTGAAGTAAATTGTACTTCATAATCAAATAAAAATAGTTCAATGCCGGATTTGGGAACTCCTTGGGTTCAATGGCATCCATTGAAAAATGGTTGATAAGCTCTTTGAATTTCCCAACTAGTTCATTATCACTACTGCTATACGCAGTGCCTTGGTCAATATAGTCATTAGGGAGTGATCTAACATCTTCTAACCACGGTAATCTCACCATCAAGAACCCCTCGGGGAATCTCAGATCAGAAGGGAATGTGAGTAGTGATGGGATCATTCCATACAAACATGGCGTAGCATTACGCTTATATGGACCGAAAACTAGTGCGAATTTCTTTAGTTTAAGACACTGTTGGTAAAGCGCAGAAAATGTCTTGAACGAATTGGAATAACCTCCACCTAAAGAGTATGATCTAAGCCCGTTGTCTAAATCAGCAGTAACAAATATAGGAGGTACTAAATTATAATATGGTTGGAAATTGGAGATATCTCTGAATCCAAGAAGCTTTAAATATGGTGCATATGATAATGAAACGTTAGTCTTCATTTCATTGTCATCTTCATCATTATTATCATCCAAACTTTCAGTATTATTCTCCTTCATTCTGTTATCGAAAATAGAACTTTTCATGAACGATACCTGTTCATCGTTGAAGTAGATGACTTTCTCTTTTGGTAATTCCAACCCTTTCATCACACTTGCTTCTTCTTCTCTTTGTCTTTGAGATTTCTTATGGTGTTTAGGAGGTAATTCAAGAGGATCACCCAGTGACTCTTTAATTAGTACCGTATCCAAATAAATGGGCTTTAGATGCTCCAGATGGGGATACACATGTTTTGTACGTCTGATGGATTCATGGTTGTATATGGAATACCCCTTAACTGTACATCCAAGATTGCCACCAGTTTCTTCACCATCACTAAGTATAAGATTGCAATTGAATACAATTCGTTTAATCTCTTTCAATCGGAAAATAGAAGCCCGGATTTGTTTGGTAATAGTAGTACTCTTGAACTTATTAGAATTAGCTGATAAGCCATCATACAACAAGTCTTTGAAACCCCTTGAGTTGCTTGAAAGGTAGTCGTTCCTTTTCTTCTTACCATCACTGTCATCATCGTCATCGACCTGAGCTCTCCGTTTCCTATTATTCAAGTAGTTGGTGTTGATAAAGATGTCTTGATAAATACTCATATCAAAGGGGAGTTTTTCACCCAGACTGGGATCGAACTTGTCCAAGAAAATAGGGTCGATATAGTAATAGTTTTGGGAGTAATCATTTATGATTCTCCACATAGATTCTTTATGTTTCTCATCTCCTAACAATGGATTATCGTTACTTGTGAACCAAACCACTTTTTTCAGATTGTATTTCGATTTCTTATTGAGTTCACCCATTAGCTTAGTTAGCAATTTTGGCAACACCGCAGGATCGAACCCAGACAGTTTCTTACTGGGATCATCAGGAATGAAAGCTTTATTAATATCAATTAGTCCGTTACGATGATCATCTAAGAAATCATTTAGTAATTTCATGTTATGGATATTCAAATCCGCTAATCCAAATAGTTTATAAGCATGGGGTACAGAATTGATTGGTTTAACATTGACTTTATTATCCTTAGCCGTAGTACAATTGTATAAATAGATCCCAATTCCTGTCTTTGGCATTGTTATTATCAATTCGGACATCAAATCATTTATTGCCGCTAAGATCTCATATAATTGAGAAGTGCCTTCATTAACGACCACCACCGAGGGTGTCACATCAACAAGGAATACAATCCCCTCCCTTATCTCATATTGCTTAAACGTGTCTTCCGAGTCTTCATTGGACTCATAAACGTACGACATCGTCACCACACGTATAAACTGACTAGGTGGTAGGTGGCTATTCTTTTGCGGTACAAATAAATTCAACCCCAACTTTAGTGGATTTACCATACATACACTCATACGTATATAAACTATTCTTCACTTTATATACTTTAGTATATTCTTTACTAAAACGGTATATTTATCTATTATGCCTATAAAATTCATACTTGTGCTCAACCGACAAGGGAAGGCCCGATTGATCAAATGGTTTGATAACGGAATAGCCCCTTCAGAGCGTGATCAATTGGTACATGATGTCCACAGATTAGTCCTTCTGAGGAACCTGAAGCATCAACTGAACTTTGTAGAGTTCCGGTCACATAAACTTGTGTATCGACGGTATGCTGGACTCTATTTTGTTAGTGCAGTTGACATGGCTGATAATGAGTTGGCAATGTTGGAGAGTTTGCATTTCTTAGTTGAGTTGTTAGATACGTATTTTGATAGTGTGTGTGAGTTGGATTTGGTATTCAATTTCTACAAGTTGCATGCTATCATGGATGAAGTATTTTTGGGTGGAGAAGTACATGAATGTAGCAGACAACGAATATTAGATAGACTACAGTATTTGGATAAGTTGGATTAGATAGACTATGTGTATAGGTAATGATAAGGCTGATGCTTATAAGTATTATATTAATGTGATATTATTGTTTGTAAGTTGATCGATACCTTTCTCTCTTATATGATTCCATATGAGGTCTGACACCTCGGAGATTGAAAGGCCAGTGACATCCAATTGGAATGTAATATCTGATGGAAGTACCCTTTCAAAGTTACGTTTAACCTTTGATTGGAAGTGGACCTTTTCGTATCTTTCATCTCCATAATCTTTCCGGGTAGCTAACTCTTCCGGCGGAACCGATAGATATATTATTGCATCTGGTCTAGGTAATCCCCTATCAGGTCCCAATAACCAATCGATATCATTCAAATTATCTTTACTCAACAGGTACGCCAATCCAGAATATACGTATCTATCCATTACCACCCATTCCTCACTGTTCAAAAGGCTGATTATCTCTGATGCCAATTCCCATCTGTTGGCCAGGAACAATAGATGCAACGCTTCATCACTCAAGTCATAGTGTTCATTAGTTAAATACTCATTGATTATAGAACCAATGGGTGTGGTACGATCAGGAAATTTGAAGATCTTTGCATCTTTTAATCTAGAAGCAAGAATAGATACTTGAGTGGACTTGCCTGTACGGTCTAAACCTTCTATTAGTACGAGTTGGCCCCTCATTGTGACTATTGGTTGAAGAAGTCCAATACGCGTTGAGAAAGAAATTAGTAGTACACAATAATTATAGATCAACTACTACACCAAGTTACATTATTCAGTCTAACCATGAATCTGACCTTGGTACGATCATTTACTTACTACTGCTCACTTACATATCTTTACACATGTGCGAGGGATTATGACCGAGAGAGTCAAAGCTTAGCTCATCAACCGGAGATACACCCTCAAATAGCAAACTACTCTTCAACACCATCAATAATCTCCATCTACGAAAAGACGTACGGAGCACAATGCACACATAGTCACGAGAGGAGACTCCAGAGGCTTTCGAATCAGTCCACCAAACAGGTCCAATGACGCCTCTGGAACGGGTTGTAGAGAAGAACGTAATATTGCCAAGTTCCGATTTGTCAATGAAAATTTTTTGGAGAATACATAAAGTTCGTGCATGAAACGAGACAAACATAATGGTTCGTACTACAATAATATTAGTACGAGCGAATGGTCTAATGCTACATTTAATACCTGAAGCATATTACGCAATGACATCATCATAACTATTGATGAGAACCCTTCGATGACTCCGCCTTACAACGCTCGGATCTAATGTATCCGACTGGTTAACACCAAAAGCCGAATGATAATGCCACTCATAATTTACCTATTATATATTTAGGATTGCTACCACTCTACAAGGATCGGTAGGCGCAGTAAGCGTGCAATACCCTTAAACCTTTGCTGGCATGCCCCAACATCTATCGTGTAGGATGGAAGGGTTCACTTGTGTATGTAGGGCACAGGTATGTATGTGATCGTTTACAGTGTTCAATTTTATTGTGTAATACCAATTATACTATAGCTGAATCACACTGGCTTTTACTACTGTTTCCTAGTATTGTTCCATATCGTTTCACACCGTTTCATATTACGGATCGACTACTCTACACCCAGTGCACCATACCATAACTATCATTATACACCTCTATACTTCTCTCTATTATCCTCCTCTCTATTGTAGTCTCACTGAACTCCGTATACAGTCAATTACCACTTCAGGACAAATATCCATACCAAACAAGCCGTCAAGTCCCAAAATCGGTGCCGAAAATTTTGTGATAGAAATCAACAAGCATCACCAAAACTAATCCACCTAACAGCAATACTGTTTAGGATTGAGTTCGGAAAAGTACAGATCATTTTGGCTGGTGTTTCCTATTAGCACTTTGATTGTTGTGGGTACTGATCATGTCAAGAGTACAGGTATTAACAGGTATGTAAAGAAGACTATGATTTGATTACGATTTGCTTTGATTCGGTGTTTTGAAGAGTCGATTTGTTGATATGACATGTTGATTTGATGGTATGACACGGCTATCCGATAGCCGTGACTTTGTCATCGTAATAGTGTCATAATTGTATCACCATAATTCTGTGAGACTTGTATGTTCACTTACTAACAGTATTTAGTGGGTGCTAACCCTAATCTTGTGTTCTACGCCTGGCGTTTACATAAAACTTATTCTGTTGATGTCACCATAGTCAGCCGTAACATCCCGGCTTCTACAAAGAACCTTAACTTCATCTCGTCCACTTTGGGAAACGAATCATTTACTCCTTATGGTGTTCACACCTCATTGGCTGAAATCCCAAAGGGGTCATCATCCTTTGATATCATATTTATCAGTGCAAGTACACTTCAAGGATTCCAAAGTCTTATGACAGATTTAGCTTCATTCATCACTCCAAAGGAAACCCTTATCATTGTGGAACTGTCAGGCTTTATCAATTTAGAACAGTTTGTTACTACCAATTTCCCTGATGCAAATACAAAAAATCCAATACATCAAGTGTGTTCTATTATGAATGATTCAGACATTAAACAGCTGGTTCAAGATTATACAACTTTCAGACACCAAAGTTTAAGTCGTGATAATCGTATCTATATTGGTACTTCAACTCCTGATTCTAAATTAGATAACTTTACCAATTTCCATAGAGTTGTCAAGTTGTTTCAAATGGTACAACATGATTCCCAGGATAATATCAGTGTGTTGAAGACATTAAAACCAAAGGAGTTTATGACTTATCAATGGAAATTGGCTTTACCAAGAATCATCTTCAACCCCTTACTGGTTATCTTTGAAATAGAATATCCTGAAGACTTTTCCCAGCAGATCTTGTGCAAACCTTTGATTTCAGGTTTGGTCAATGAATTGTTCAAAGTCATCAAAAAAATGGATTGTAAATTGGTTAAAGGCTTTGAAAATGAAGCTAGTTTATTGAAGAATTGGTCAGAATCATATCCTAAAAAATCGTCTAATCCTGATTATATCCATTGCAATCAAATGTTTTACGATTATTATCATGGCAAAACTGATGAACTTAATATCGATGTTTTACTTTTACAACCCATTCTCTTGGCAGATGACAATCTTATTAGAACTCCATATTTGGAAAACTTATATTCCATGCTTTGCCAACTTGTTAAGGTGAACAGCAGTGGGAGTGCTTCGTCTATCTTTTTTACCAGAAAAGGGGACCCTTCTAATCAACTTCAAACCAAAAATCATAATAATAATGTCGCTCGCTATCAAGCCCAAGAAGAAGAGACTAAAAAGCAACTTAGCCAAATGGATGTTCGTCTCAACATATTAAATACTGATGTTAAGAAATTGGAAGGTTCCAAAAATCAATTGGAACAATATCTTAACAACAAATCAAAGTTTAAACATCAATTGGACACTGAAATCGAAGGTTTAACCAAACAACTATCTACATTACAAGTTCAAATCAGCGAGAGCCAATTGATGTTGAGTAAACAAGAACAACAGCATAATCAGCAAAGGGAGCTGATACAAAAACAAGAAACATATTTGCAACAGATTGAAGAACAAAAAAGACTCGCTCCACAACAACAAGATTCTCACCCTCATTCCACCACCAACAAGGCTGTTCCAAGTAGAGATTCTGTTTTACAGAGAGAGAATTTAGCTGATTTAACAGACATTGCCTTATATGGTGAACAAATCAATAACTCTACAGAAAAGGTTTTGGCAACCCCTAAAGTTATGAGTAATCAAATGCCAAGTAGAGAAGCATATGAAGCAAATGGCAATGCCAGCGAACATACATCATCAAATGATTTACATGAAAGAGAATTGGAATTACAAAGACGTGAAAAGAGCTTAATGAATAGAGAAATGGCATTGCAACAGCAGCAGCAGAATCAACAGCATAATAACCGGATTCCTACACTGTTTAATAACTACAACAATGCTGGTAATGGGAATGGAATGGGTGATCAACTTCCACCACATGGGTTACCAGCCAATGGAATGCCTTCAAATGCATTTCCACCCAATCTTACAACTAATACAGCCTATCCACCTCAACCACAACAACATATGTCTCAACAGCCAATGATACAACAGGGAGGTTCTCAAAGACAAACACATGGAGGATCGCCTAATGAAGTGATTGGTAGAGGATATCCTCCCCAACAAATGCCACCTCAAGGACAACAAATGCCACCTCAAGGACAACAAATGCCACCTCAAGGACAACAAATGCCACCTCAAGGACAACAAATGCCACCTCAAGGACAACAAATGCCACCTCAAGCACAACAAATGCCACCTCAAGGACAACAAATGCCACCTCAAGGACAAATGCCACTTCAAGGGCCTCACAACTACAGTCAATCTGGCTCAAGAATGAACTCTATGACTTCGCAATACTTTGAGTCATATTCTGGTGGTACTGGAAATGGACAAGGAGGGTATTATGGACAACATCCACTGTTTCAAAACGCCGCCCCTATTGATCCACTTGTTGAGCAGAGGTTCAAGCAGAACCCCAAGAAGCTGAATCGTCGGTCGCAATATCCTCAAATTAGCCAAGGTAATATGGATGGTCTTGATATGGGAGGAAGAGGAGGAATGCCCATGCCCATGTCTGGGATGGGAAGCAAGCGTTCAAGTGTTGGAAATGCATTAAATCTACAAGGACAAGGACCATCTAATGGAGGGTCTAATGGGTTTGCACCTTCCGGACCAAGAAGAGTTAGCAGTGCAGGGAACTTACTTCCTGTTCAAGCTAGCTATAGTCAACCAGCACATACTCAGAATAACTTGGTAGTTCCTCAAAGACACGGGCCTGGTCAAAGCCAACCACAGCAACAGCAACCACAGCAACAGCAACAGCAACAGCCACAACAAGAACAACAACAACAACAATTCAAGACTTCACCCAATTTGAACGGAACAGACTATTCTAGTGCGCCGGATGCCAATGCTAAACCATTAGGAGGAATTAGTTCCTCAGCCACATCTCAAGACCAACCAAAGAAGAAGGGATTCTTTGGTAGAAAGAAGTGAGTCAGTAGTAATGGTAGCTAGATAGTAACTAAGTAACTAATATTAGTGTATATCAGTGTCAGCAGTAGTAATAGAAGCGGTAATAGTGGTGCATGTCTGATAGTCGTGTACTGACACAACCCTACTAGAACTAAAATTATAATCACCAACCATTGGACTCATTCATGACCAAGACCAAGAAAGAGTATTGGAAGCAATGGGTAAGAGAAGCTTTTATGAAGACGACAGCGACGTGATTTCCATTCCAGGGCTTGCTACTGCTATTCCTGAAGACTTGAAGGCAAAGGAAGGAGCCCATGGTGAAGTGTCATTTGTTGATGGGATGACAGTGAGAACATCACCTTACTTGGAGAAATACGCCAATGAAGTTCGTTACTACGTACATGATAAATATACCATCATTGCTGCTGAATTGGCTACTCAAAGACTGGCATTAAGACAAGAATGGAATTCTGTCACTTCATTTTTGAACAATGATCTTATCAAAGATCCCTTGTTACCAAATTCCATTTACATTCTTACCATTACCTTATTGGGCTCAATTGCTGCTCGTAACAGAGGTCTCCCACTTCGTTTCTTAACGCCGGCCGTCTTCGGAACTGGTGCGGTGGCTTATTATGCTCCCAATACTTTTAATGCTACTAAAAGTCATTTGTGTCAATTGGAAAGAGAAAACCTTCCTGAATTGTACCAGCAACAACAACAATTGAAATCGCAATGGGATGCATTAAAAGACAAAGGTGATAGACTGAGTGCTCAGTTGGAAGCGGAACTTCAAAACAGTGTACACCAAACCAGAGCTTTTATTAAAGATTTATTCAAGTAAATATGCACATGCATAAAAATTGATACATGTCTATAGATACATAAGAATAATATGTTGCATAAAGCAAGTGAAAGCAATTACCTGCAAGTGAAGAATTCGTATATTTTTGTAAAAGCAAACGCGATAATAATGCTTTCAAAGTCTATAAAAGATTTGTATTGTTGAATTTTGTAAATGCATAAAGATAATGAAAAATAAATGCTAAGAAAAGATATATGGTTCAATTAACACAGTTCATTAAACAGCAAGAATCTCATAGGTAGTATAAACCAATGCAATCGCACCGATAGCAATTAAAAGATAATTAAGTAATGTAAGTTTTTCTCTTTTAGAAACTTCCTGTGCACTCATACCACTCTCAATCTTACAACAACTTCTCAAATGTAATATTGGAGGGTACATGTATACCAATGGGATACAAGCAAAGCACCCCACGAATGAAACAAATCTATCCAAATTTTGACCACCAAACATGGCAACCAACGCCGTGAATATCACGAACGAAGACCTGAACAAATTCTTTAACCATTTAATTGTACCTGATTGTTTTCCTGATTTCAGTTTCGGGAACAATTTCAGTTCTGTCAATCTAATGGCTGGAAATAACTGAATAGGGGTCGATAACAAAATGGCAAAGGCATAAAGCAATTGAACCATAATGATTAATAGGGAATCTTGAGGTAAGTTCAATATAATCACAGTCTTGATATCATTACCATAAGTCAAGTAACCCAATGACCCGATAAAAATAAATATAAGGGAAATAGTAGCCACAACTTTGAAAAGAACAACTGGGAAATGATTTGGTTTGATCATTGATTCTTGAATGGGGATAATCAAGCCAATACCTTCAAATGCGAAGATAGCCACACCAATGAATAAAGAAAACTTTTCTGAGTTGAAGAGGTATTCGATATCATCACCCAAAGAATAGACAACCAAGTCAAGACCCACATAGTAAATGATGGTTAGTAAGCCAAACATAATAAATACATTGGCCAATAATGCTGCCAACAGTAGCTTGGTTATATCCCTTATCAATGAGAGTGGAATCAACACAAGCACTTGAAAAACCACAAACCATTCGATCTTCAAGTCTTCAACTTTATAAGAAGAAACATTACTGACAAAGGCTCTAAAATTCTCTCCGGTGAAAACAATATAAGCAGCCACGAACCCAATTTGGGAAAGAATGATAGATGATAATATAAGTTGTTGAAGCCATCTGCCATATAACTTATAGCCTATTTCAGCAAAACTAGAAACTTTGGTAGCAATCTTGGCATATACCAATATAAGATAGCACCAATAGGATAAGATACCAAAAAAGAATAATGTAAGTGTTGAAAACAAAAGTCCACCATTGGAAAATGCCTTGGGTAAGAACAACACGCCTGTCCCCACGAAAGCCTTAAGCAATAGGAAATAGGCTTTATTATCCGTGGCGGTACCTGCTGGGTTTATATATTCTGGTTCAGCTAGTTCCGCTAAGGTAGGTTTGATTTTATGGGAAAGAAGAAGGGGGGACTCTTCATCATCTATTTTGTCACCAAACGGTTGATAATGACAAGCTATATCGTCTTCATCTTCAAGTTCTTCACCAGCAAAGTGGCCGTAGACCAGTAAGAACTCCACAAAGTTCCGAGTCAAAATTGAAGGCTTTTTCGTTTGGATATTACGTTTATTGAACTTGTTGACAAGGAACTCTCTTCGAAAACCACCAGGAACATTAAGTGAGCTGGCTGTAGACCCTCTTCTTGATGTTTCAAAGTCACTAGACGATAAACTGACAGATCTCTTTAGCTTGAGCTTGCTGTCTTGGCCTAGTTTGTATAGGTCTCGGGTTATGTCGCCTCCGTGCAATGTAATGGGATCAATGTTCTCCGGAAAGTGTTTGCTCAACTGCAGCAACATATTCGGATTATCTAAACCAGAAGCAAAGTCTTTATTGTCATTCGAACCAACATCGTAGTCTTGACTTATATGCAATTGTTGCTGGTTGTTGTTATCGTCGTTGTCATCCTCAAGCACAACTTCTTCACTCAAAGATCGTTCCGGGGAAGCACTATTCTCCCGACTAACAACTCCACTCGTCCGGTTCAATGCTTCCTTGAGTACTACAGAGTTGCCGGCGTTTCTGGTAAGGAACAGTGGGTCTCGGAGAAACAGCGAGTTGCTGTAGGAATTCGAAACTGATCCGGGTGTACTTTTACCAGAGATATTGGGCAGTGTCAGAAGAGCAGGCCGTGTGAGAAGAGCTATAGATCTTCTTCGTTTAGAGTGTTCTGACTCCTGTCCCGCAGGTTCGGAACTGTTCTCCAACATGGTGGTATTGTTTGACAGGAGAAAGAAAGAAGAAGGAACGGCCAGTTTTACTGAGAGCTTGTGTTAAGTATTTTTAGAGCCATGCCGCACGGCTTATCAGTTGCCGTTTTGGGACGACCAATTGTTGAGTAGCATTAGAAGTTTTGTGATGATCCACGCTATTGTGTAGTCGCTGCAAACATGTATGCACATGTATGTTTCTATGCATATATGTACAAAGTATTCGTTTATGTACGCGAATAAGTAAATGTGTAGATGTGTACGTATGTGATTAAATGTGCGTATAATTATATGTCGTATGTAATATGTTCGTTAAATCAGTTCAAATCTTGTCACCAGCTATTTGATGACCTCTTTGATACGCCAATTGATAATATTTAGTTGCATCTTCATGAATAATTCCTTGTTCACAAAGCTCACCCTTCATATAATAAGCATCGGCGTCATCAAACTCTTCTATAGCACGGTCAATCCATGTTATAGCCTTCCCACGGTCCTCATTAGGAATATGTCTCGATATACCGTCTGTTCCAACCATACACCATCTTGCAAGGCCAAGCATAGCCTTAGGGCTGCGACGGAACTTGAGTGATGAACTTGTGGCCTTTATGTACCACTTAACAGATTTACTGGCATTCTTTTTCCGGTCCAATTCTCCATACTCGTAAATATACCCAAGTCTCACTTGAGCAAGTAAACAACCAGATTTAGCGGACTTGTTATAGTATGAGAGTGACTTGGCATAATTAACAGGCGCTATCTTCAAGCAGTCTTTAATGAAATCATCTTCAAGAGTTAAATCTCCAGGATAAATCCCTTCGTAAATGCGTCCCAATTGGAAACAACTAAGCCCAATAATCTCAACTAGTTCTTCCTTGTCATCACCATCTAATCTGATCTCTTCTACCTTGATGTTAGCTAAATCATGGAAATACCTGAAGAATTTTGTCGAACGGATAGCAGGTGCATTCAAGTACAAAAGTGATATTTTGTAAATGGCTCTATTATAGCCAAATTTGGCTGATTGCTTATAATAATCCAATGCCATATCAAAACTTTGGACAGACTTGTCTGTGTTTGATTGTGTACCTTCTAAATTCATACCAGTCGTATCTTCGTATTCAAAGATCTCACCAAGTTTATATAAACTTTTGTAATCATTTGAATACAAATTCAAACATTTTGTATACCATTCAATGGCTTGGGGAATATCTTTTTCAAAACCAAAGTCTTCCCCGAAAGTTTCCACATAGTCTTGGTTGTAAAGCAAAGCATACAAATAATAGCATTCGCTACGGATGGAATCATCCTTTAAATTATCATCCTTCACAAGCTTTACCAAATGATTAATAGAAGACTTTATAAATAACTGCTTGCTCTGCGCAGATTCTTCTGGTCTGATTGAATTACCTTTGATATTAATAAGTTGGTACAATTTGTAGTTTGTTGCAGAAATCAACATCTTGATCCATTTCAATCGATATTCCAACGACTTGTTACCACTAGCAATAACTTGTCTTAACTTGATAAACTCCTCTATCTTATGACTTATTTCCTGATCTTTGGTAACCGGCTGTTTACGTACAGGCGACGTTCCTGGCGAACTTCCACCATTAAATCCACTGTTTAAGCCAATCATGGAAAATCGATGTTCTCGTGCTAGATTAGGCATCAGAGAGCTCATTTGTGGAAACATCAGACGTCTGTTATCCATGTCTCTTTGCATGTTCATATTGTTATACATTAATTGGAGCATTTCTGGGTTCATGGCAGTAGTACCGTTATGACTTTGGTTCTTCATCATTTCATACATCATGGGATTCATCATTTGCATCTGGTTGAACATTGGATTCATCATTTGCATCATTTGCATCATCATTTGCATTTGCATTTGCTGGTTCCCAGTCGTGGAAGCAGAGTCACCAAAAAGCGAGGGAGTAGGAGATCCAAACATATTCTGTCCAAATATTGGTGGTTGCTGCATATGTGGGAGCTCACCTTGAATACTATTCATGTGGGTTGGAACACCATACACCAGCAGTGACATATTCTTCCGCGGATCAAGAGTGTTGTCTGAAGTCAGCTTGGAATTAATTTCAGAGCTCATCTCAGAAGAATCAAGAGAATCAACTTGAGGTGGTGATTTTGGAGGAGACATCTCAGACAATGAAATATTACTACACATTCCAGGTCTTGTATTGCTCATATAAGTCTCAGTTTCCTCGATTGGTTTCTTGACGAAGAGCTTTCTTGAACTATTGGACTGAATTGAACTATCATCAGCTATATCTGGCTGTTGGTCAAATATATCACCTTTATAAGTTTCCGGAGTCATTAATTGTTTTGCTGCATCTTTCTCCTGGGTTGGTCCAGCTTCCACTGTTTCGTCTTCAGATTCTTCATCATCAAAGAGGAATTTGGAATAATCCGAGATCTGCTTTGAAGGCTTACGTATTGGCTGCATATCTAATTCTTCCAATTTCTTAGTAAATTCAGACATATCGTCTTCTTTAGTACTAGCTTCAATAACAGTATTGCCGGCATTCTCTTTCCTGCTGGCAGATCGAGATTGAAGATTGGTATTAACTGCAAAGGTAACTTCCGATTCACTGGAAAAACTATTATTAATATCACCAGTTGTTGCTTCCAAGTCTTCTTGCTTCTCAGTTACTTTAATTTCTTCATGCAACTTTGCTACTGGATCCAAAGGAACTAGAATGTCGTCCTCCTCATCGCTTCCATAGTCCAGCTCCGAGCCAGTGAAGTCGTCTTGTTCTGATGCACCCCTATTTGACGAATGGAAATCAAAATCATCATCTAAATGTTGTGGCTCATACGGACGTGAATCAAAGTTCGTAGGAACATTTCTGTTGCTAGTGTTTGAAGAATATGTACCTCCAAAACTGGAAATACGATTCTGCTTTATGGAGACCAGGTTCCTCAGATGTACAGACATTGGCTCCGATGGATACCGACTAGAACGTAGCACCGATTTACGACTCTTTAAAATAAGCTCATTATCAGTTTCTTCGCCGCCTTGCTTTGCAGAATACGAGGACAAATATGATCTTGTTGAACTTTCTTGGGGTCTTGGCTTTGGAGATGGAGCAAATGAGTATTGGGAATTAGAATGAGGGATCTCTTGTTTTAATGCAAAAGATTGAACAGAAGTATCATTTGTGACAGCTGACGATTTCATAACAAACAGCGGGACTCTTGAGGAAGTAGAAGATGCCATTGAGGCAATTGAGTGACGCTTACGTTGCTTTTGGACGTCCAAAGCCGCAGGGAGTTGCTGTTGGGGGATTGAGGGAGTAGGCTGAAGTAACTCACAACTTAACTCATGTTGTTGTTGCCTGGAGGCCTCTCCCACGTACATTGAATGGCGATTGTTAACTGGAGTAGCTCTTCTTTGTTGCTGTTGCTGCTGTTGTTGCTGTTGTGCATTATTCATTGCTGCAAGTTTTACGTAATACTCCTTCCATTCGTTATAATATGGATGCAGCTTGTTGGCATTAGAAGAACACTCACTGGACTCGTAAGATGCAGAAGCCGCATCGTTTCCTGAATCAGAAGGAGCTACTGAGGAAGTACCTTGATGCTGATATGGAGAAGGTTGCCATTTAGGATCGCTTTGTAATTGTGTTTGGTTACTGTAATGAGCCATTGGTGGCACGTGTTGCTGTCTGTTAGTAGCAATCAAGTTTGGCAGTTGAGCAGACAATGTTGATGTATATTCCAGAGAAGTGTCAGATGGTGGTGGAGGTGGATATGAGCTTGGATAAGTCACATGATGTTGCTGGGGAGTAGCCGGTGGTTGTTGGTGTACCAGCAACTTAGTTCGTAAGTTATTTGCATATCTTTGACTTTGAGAATCCCCGGCGTAAGGATAATCAGTAGGGGGGGGAGAAGTTCGCTGAAAATGAGACCTTGGGTGACGGTTTGCAGTGGTGGTATGTTTTTCGCTTTCGCTTGACGTGTATGAAGATTCTGAAGTTACGTACAGAAAGTCTGAAGAAAGTGATTTGGTTGATTGATGAAAGGGTGTATCAGGAGACACTGGAGGAGGAATTCGACGGACTGGAGCACGTTTAGCCGTAGTAGATTGAATTGGAATAGCAGGTAGTTCATTCTTCTTGTTCAATGCTGCTGCTGCGTTCCTAGCACGAGTTGATTCAACACCGTAGTAGCCCGTATCGATTCTAGCAGTGTCCACAATTGAAGGTTCTGGAGCGACGTAGGATTTCCGTTTACCGAAGAGTCCCATGACGGCAATTCAGTTGTGGTAGTGGGGTGGGTGGGAAACACTAATTATATCACGAGTGCATAAACGTAGAACAAAGTCCAACTAATAGTAACGGTTATAAAGTGTGACTTCTGTAACTAACTGCAGCGTCAAACCAACACCACTGGTAGTTGAGTGAAGAAAGAATGAAATAAGCAGAGAAGAAGAAGAATATATAATTATGGAACTTTCAGCAGTGCGATCCACTAATAAAAAAATGTATAATTAAACTTACTATTATATCATAAGGCACACACCTTGGACCGTTCCGGTACGTCGAGGTGATTGCTAATTATTATTGTGAAATTACTACGTAGGAATTGTGGTAATGTGTGAAACTGATAAGTACATAGTAATTACTAGTTTGCTGCAAACACAATTGCTTTTACGATCTGTTATTGCTGACTTCTGTTAGTCACCTGTTACTACTACTACTGATACGGAAATTGCTGGTATTGTTTCTTGTTACAGCAAAAAATGCTATTTAACACTCACCCATTCACCACATTTATCCGGGCACCTCTTCTCACGGAACTCTCGATTCGCCTCGAAACTGTGCCTTTCATACCTTTATTGAAGCTTATTTATTTGTTTGTTTGCTTGAACCCAAAAATAGCCAGCCTACTGATGGGTTTCCTCTTTGGGTTGAATTGAAAACAGCAGTATTCTGGCCTAATCGGTCGGATCTGTGCGATGACTTAATTTAGCACGTGATAGGCACTGTACTTAAAGACGTAAGTGACTTTTAATATAGGCAATACGCACGTGGTGATTAAAGCCCCAAATCGAGGCTCCTGGGCTAAATATACATTAGGAACAAGAGATCCAAACAACATTTAATACACCCAACAGGGGGGTTCAGTGAAAAAATACTAATTAAAAGGCACCTTACGTATTCCATTGTACTCTTAATTTGCCGTATTATTGGCTATCTTGTTATTCTTGTTAGCATTGACTATGTAAAACATTGATTTAAATTACGTACGTCATTCTTTGCATCGCATTACGACATTGTAAAATATCGAATTATAGTACGACTGCAGGCCAAAATGCATCCTTGGAGCGCATTGCATTACCGAAAGGCATCTTCCTAAATAATACCCTTCAAAACTTGTGATATTCTTATCTAGTCAAAGGGTACGAGCTTCTCTTGTTGTAATCTAATACTCTCGGATGCTGCAATAGCACTTGGAATCTTAATCCCACAACAATCTCCCCAAGTATTGGCAGCCTGATTATGCACGTGACCACATTCATCTTCCAAATGATCACTATGTTCAGGTATTCCCTCAGGACATTCGATTAATGATCCAAACTTAAAGTGTTGAATAATAGGCAACTTATTCAACACTTCGGCTTTATACATCTTAACCATACCTTCTTTAATTTTTGTCCACGATTTAGCAGCCAGTATATCGTCCAACATAGGAGAATGCCATCTTATACTTAGTTTCTCTGTAGATTTGGGTAATGTCTTGATATTGTTGATGAAATAAATACATTCAAAGTACATAAACTGTGAATGAAACTCTTCCATCACCTCAGCATTATGAATCAGTTTGGGCTTGAAATATGGATGGCCCGATAATTGTGAAGCCCCGAAAAGATAAGGCAAAAAGTGATAATCATCTAATCCCCATACCCCATGTGATCCAGCAGGTTCTAACCAATATATTTTCTGTAAACGTCTCATGATTTCAATGTACCTTACAAACACTTTAAGTATGAGATATTGATAATCCGATGGGGTAAGAATCTCCAATTGCTTCAAACAATAAAGGAAACAAATGAAATTCAATTCATGACCCAGACCATAGTCTATTCTTTGTCTATTACCCCAGCTTTCCCCATAATAAGTTTGTAGTTCTTCTATTGCGTCAGTAGTTGGCACTTGGGGTAAATAACGACTCAAATCAAGGGTGGCAACATCATCATAAAACAGTCGGAATTCGATCTTACCAAACCTTGAAACATCCTTCTCGTGCTCAACGGGGTTAGTATCTATCAAAGCATCGGTAGCATCTAAAAGTTTCATCAACAGTATCCCCAAAAGAGTCTCACTTGTTGCCGTTTTATCATTATTCTCTTTGCCTTCCACCAGATTCTGTAGGTCAACTACAAATGTAAGCACATCGTCTAAAGTGGACGACTCTGTCCATTTGGTCAAGTCTTGCTGGGTAACGATCCTGGAAACTGGCTTCATCTTGTAAGGGGAATAACGCTTAGGAGGAAGTTGGTGAAAGTTGATTTTTGTCGTTACACTAAATGAAAATTCACCTTAAAGCAGTCTTTCTAGCAAAGGTAGTAGCTGGGGTGTTACTTATACATAAATAAAGGCTTATATATACGCTTATATATACGCTTATATATACATATACAAGGCTTATATATTGTGGAGTTTATAATACTTCCTTCATGCCATGTTGAACTTCACTAGACTTCCGGTAACTCAAGCCGGACTTAAGCAGTGCACTTCTAAGTCATATGTCCTTCACAGCCTTCTACAAAAGTTGTCCATAGACTACGTCAATGCTCCCACAACCTTCCCTATTGAAACACCGTCTAAGGCAGAAATCATGCTCAAGGGTGAGAAAGAAGGGCTACTGAAACCAAGACAATATTTTGCCTATGCTAAGCTGTTAATGACGTTCTATAAAGCAGGCGTTAAGAACGCATGGAATAACCGACGTGAAAGTTCCCGTATAATGGCAACCCATTTTCTTGAAATGGTAGACAAGAACGGTGATACCATCAAGGCTAAACCTTTGAGTTTCAATCAGTTATCAGATTTCATGTCTCAGATCATATTCATGTCTCGTTTGGAATTGGATGCCGTGAAGAAACTGAATAATGCTTCAGTCTCTGATTCAACACCGAACATGGTAAAACGTCATAAAACTGACGGTAAGGATGGTGATCCTGTGGCTGATGTCAAAAGTCAATTGTTTCGTTTAACAAGAAGTGAGTTCCAGTTATACTATCGAAGTGGAAAGGATATTCAGAAATTAGCATTATTCTTTTTAACTCTTTTGATATTTGAAGAGTTTACTCCATTGATATGCTACTACATTCCTACAATTGCTCCTTCCACGTGCTTGCTACCAAACATTTATCCTAGAATATGGAAACCTGAAGCTCTTGCAGCATTGGAGAGCTACAAGCAACAACAAAACCAACTGGTTGAAGTCTACGCTACAAAAAATGCCTATAGTCTTAACGATGATGAAGTCAGACTTATGTCCAGAGCCTTGAGACTTGTAGGAGGTATTGTGCCTGTTGGATGGTATCCCATGATATATTTACGTAGGAGATTACAGAACCATTTCAACTATTTAACTGTGGACAACTACTATTTATCTGGACTTAACGGGAACGGGAATGTATGGGATCTATCTCGACAGGAATTAATACTTTGTTGTTTGGAACGAGGTCTTTTATCTTGTGTTGGTGATATTCCTTCCAATGAATCTATGCAGTGGTCTTTGATTCGGTTTATATATGAGTTTGAGAACGCTAATGTTGGGTACATTGGATTGAATGCTCAATTAGAACCCTTGGGACAGTTGGAGAAGGAAACAGATAAATTCTTGATTGTAAATAGTTAAACTTATAAAGTTTTCAAAAACTGTAAATATATGTATGTCACGTGACTTACATGGTTACAAGTTACATGCTCTTATAATCTTTCTAAAATTAATAAATAATACTTATAATAATTCTATTATATGAAAAAGACTTCAGATTAAGATTACAGTCTCATTACTACTTTAATTATTTAGATGGACTCTTATCAAGTACTAAGTGAGTGAGAGTTATAGTGGGGATACATTTTTATCGGTAAAGGTACACTACTTTGGTGATACCGTTTAACAAAATAAACTAGCAAACTGAAGGCAACCTTTCACCTTTTAAATCAACAACTAAAACCAGATCAAATGCTGACTCCGTCTTCGCCTGCATCTGATGCGGCTATAAAGATAGAGGCCGAGTCAAACTCCAATGGTGATGAACTGACTGCTCTATACACTGTGGATGACATCTTTATAGGTTGTAAGATATACGCTTCTAAAGATGGAGACTTTCGATTAGCAGAGATTTTACAGATACATACCAAGAAAGGAAAGAAGGTGTTCTATGTCCATTTCCAGGATTATAACAAGAGATTGGATGAATGGATAGGAAGTGATCGTATAAACTTCAGTAAGGCCTTGATACTACCTGAGCTCAAGGTTGAGAAAGAAGAGAAGAAAGAAAAGAAGTCCAAACTGAAGAATTCCAAGAATAATTCTAAGAATGATAAACTGAAACAAGGCAAAGTCAGTGGGACTGCTACACCATCGACTCCGGGTCAAGGGAATACGGAGATGTTAGATTTGGATAATTTAAATGTTCAAGGACTTAAAAGACCGGGTGAAGAGGTTAGTAGAGAAGATGAAATTAAAAAACTTCGGACTAGTGGATCCATGACTCAGAATCATCTGGAAGTTTCAAGAGTTAGAAACTTGGATAGAATCATTTTAGGAGAACACATTATAGAACCATGGTATTTTTCTCCTTATCCAGTTGAATTAACTGAAGAAGATGATATATATATATGTGATTTTACATTATCATATTTTGGGTCTAGAAAGCAATTTGAAAGATTTAGAAAAAAGTGTTCTTTAAGACATCCTCCGGGCAATGAAATATATCGAGATTCCAGAGTGAGTTTCTGGGAAATAGATGGTAGAAAGCAACGTACCTGGTGTCGTAATCTATGCTTGTTATCTAAACTATTTCTTGATCATAAAACATTATATTATGATGTTGATCCGTTTTTGTTTTATGTCATGACTGTTAAATCTTCTGAAGGTCATCACATAGTTGGATATTTTTCAAAGGAAAAGGAAAGTGCAGATGGTTATAATGTTGCTTGTATTTTAACCTTGCCTTGCTATCAGAAGAAAGGTTATGGTAAACTATTGATCCAGTTTTCGTATATGCTTTCATACGTTGAGAATAAAGTGGGTTCACCTGAAAAACCATTATCTGATTTGGGGTTATTGTCATATAGAGCTTTCTGGACAGACACATTGGTCAAACTATTGGTTGAACGGAACAGTCCTCATTTAATGCTAAAGAATAATCCAAAGGGCAATTCCATAGCATCATCATCATCAACTGCTTCAAAAGGGAATAATAATGAGATTACTATAGATGAGATCTCAAGCATGACATGCATGACAACTACAGATATCTTACATACGTTGACGACGCTACAAATGCTAAGGTATTATAAGGGCCAACATATCATTGTATTGACAGAAAAGATCATGGATCTCTATGAAAAGTTGGTAAAGAAGATAAAGGAAAAGAAGAAGCATGAACTTGAACCTTCACGACTTCAATGGACACCTCCATCGTTCACTGCAAGTCAACTTCGGTTTGGGTGGTAAAGAATATAATGGGTATTTTATATGTATGTACATAACAATGCAATGTAATGCACTGCAATGCAATGCAAAGGAAATTTATTCAATTTCTGTATTGACTTATTCAACTTCTTTCCATATCTTTATGCTCTTATCACCTTCACACGTTATAAGTCTTGAGCCAGACATATCAAATGTAGAATCATAGATTGCTGAGTCTCTTGAACCAGGTGATGGTATTGACTTGGTTCTTTGTATGAGTTTCCCAGAGACATAATTGTAGAATTCAAGTGTCCCATCATCAAACCCAGCAAAGAGAACATTGTTGGGGTTTATAGAAACACTGTTGATGATTCGAGACAGTTCATTAGTAGATGTGAACTCGCTCAATAGTTCACCTCCAGGTGATGATAGCCATTGCTTGAAGTTACCGTTGGAGTCTCCACTGCACATGGTAGCTTCCTTAGGGTGCAACTTCATCAGTCGTATACTCTTTGTATGATGAGTGAGAGTTAATAGAGTTGATTGTTTCCTCAAGTCCCAAAGTCTTATAGTCGAGTCCATTGAACTGGATATGATTTGAGGATCACCTATTTGACTTTCAATGGAAGTTATGTCGCTTGAATGTCCAAGTAAGGTCATCACTTCAGTTCTTGATCGTATGTCCCAAACTCTTATGACTTGATCTCTACCACCAGTGAATAATAAGTCTAGTTCTGGATGTAGACTCATGGTATAAATGCCTCCAACATGGCCATGATAGTCTCTTATTTGACAGCCTTCTGGAGCGTGGGTCCTTTCCAAGTCCCAACATCGCACGGTTTTATCTTCTGACCCACTAAAGAGATAGGGGTACCGTGGGGATACGGCCAATGATCTGACACCAAGAATGTGTCCTGATATGACTGCTTTAAGTTTCAGAGTAGTCAAATCCCAGACTTTAATAGCAGCATCTGAGCCTCCGGTGACAAACCAATCGTTGGTAACAGGGTCCATGGCTACTGATCTTACCCAGCCATCGTGAGCAGAGGCCATCACTCGTTGGAGTTCCCATTGAATATCGTTAGATGAAGGTATCATATCTGTATTTATATTAGCCACTTCATCAGCATCTTCATCTATATTGACATCAGCAACAAGAGAAGTAGCAGTATCGATGTCACCGGAAGAACCTTGTGATGAGGGTAGCCGAGTCAAATAATCAAGCCGTACACTTTTATATGTTGCTTCACTGAGCTCATCAGTAGGAGGAAGGAGATCCTTCCTGTGACCAGCTAGTTTCTTTATCATCATGGAACTGGTAAAAGGAAAAGGGGAGACACGACAAAGCAACTGTTTTGTTTCAACAGTTTGAGATTAATCTCAGTTCTCGTTATTAAGAAGACACTTTTTGTTCACAGACAATACAGTGTATGATACTGTATGTATTGACTGAGTTGTACTGTATTGTGTTATAGTCACTTTCTGAGCATACTGTCTGAGTGTACTGTCTGAGTGTACTGTCTGCGTTACTGTCTGTGTTACTGTCGGAGTCACTTCTTGATCATGTTCCCAGTCAACCTACATCAATTCATATGTCTGCAATCACAACCCACCATTCTAGAGATAACCCCTGACCCGAAAGCTCCAGAAATAATGATGGTAAACAACGAGATCATCGTTAGCAAATTGAGTTTATACAAACAATTCAAGACATCCCATGGATACCTTCAACAACGACTAAGAAGCCATGAGGAGGGCTCAGAACTTGAGTCAAACTACTACAACTTACTTGTGTACTTGCTTACTACGAATGAAAACCACACCGTCCTAAAACTTCATGAAGGTGATTTCTGGAACATCTATAACAACATAAATACAGCTGAACGCACTCAATGGTTGCGTCAAGAATTCAGATTTATCCTTGGAATCCTCAACAGTCGTTCCAGTAAGCTTAACAAGAGTTCAAGTCTTTGGTTCTGGATGAAGAAATTATGTATTGCTAATATCTTCAACAATAAGACATCCAGTGTATCCGTTGATGATGATTTCCACATGCTTATAGAGTGTATGGCATTGAGTTGTAAGCTTCATTTTGCCAATTACTATTGTCACGGGTTTATCAAGTGGGTTGCGGTTGTTACATTGGCCATGCGTTCTTCGATGATCGACACTAACGCTGCTGATGCAAGTCTAATGAACATATATCAATCTATTAAACAGCTTGCAATGGCTCATCTCCAAGACGTCTCTCTTTGGACAACTCTTGGACTACTAATACGACTCTTAGCAGGAGACATCGAGACTCGGCTACAATCTTTTGTTTTAGAAGAATATAATATGATTGTGGATCAATGCAACATCTTAGACAAATACCATCAATATGACCGTCTAAATCAGTCAACTGGAATCAATATCAAGCTTATTAAAAAGGAAGTGGAATACAGTGATCTCCGCCACTATTTAGATACAGTACAATGCCATTACAAGACTCCATACACCATATTAAATGGATTGAATGAGTAAATATTGAAGGTACGATCACCGAACCACTGACGATAAGGCTGTAGATGAGATTTTGTTTTTCTGACACAAAAGCCGTTTTAGGAGAAGCATTCAACTCTTCAAGTCCGTCCATATAGATTTGGTGATGGTTGGATTGCCAGTGACCTTGCAAAAGATTACCTCTTCTCTTCTTCACACTCGAATACTTCTTTTGGAGTATATACATGTATATACCTAAGGATAGGAAGCGGTATATGTAAATTGTTTGTTAAACAAAAATGGTATGTTGATACGACATTGTTGCAATAACTCTCATAACACGATTACTAACAGGGAACTAGTTACGTTTGAAACAACTTCAGAAACAGAAAGAGCAACAACAGCAGCAACAAAAACAGAATCTGCTGCTGCCTCAACTTGTTATGAGAACGGGGGAAGGTACTCATAACAGTGCTGCTCAATTGAGACTTCAAAAAGATATAACTGAGCTTGAACTTCCTAAAGGTATCCAAGTTACCTTCCCCAACCCCAAGGATCTCTTCCATTTCACACTTACAATAGTTCCACAGCAAGGATTCTATTCCCATGGAACATTTGCATTTTCTGTTGAAATCAATGATAGTTTCCCTATGGAGCCTCCAAAGATCAAATGCCAGCAACGAATATTTCATCCCAATATCGATTTAGACGGTAATGTTTGTTTGAACATCTTAAGAGAAGACTGGTCACCTGTATTGAACTTGAACAGTGTGTTCATTGGGTTAAACTTTTTATTCTTGGAGCCTAATCCTATGGACCCATTGAACAAAGACGCAGCAAACATGCTAGTGAAGGAGCCACGGAGATTTGAAAGGGAAGTATATCAAAGCATGAGAGGGTACAATGGGTATGAGCGCGTTGTTTAATGTGGCATGAATACATACATACATACATATGAGTGTATACGTACATACAAATGCATGCATACAAGTACATATGAGGACATACGTATATATATACATAAAGTTATACACTAATGAAAGCTATACACTAATGAAAGCTATAGACTAATGAAAGCTATACACTAAGAAAAAGGTTAAGAACAATCAGCATAAAGAATAACCTGGGAATACTATACAAGGTAATAATGCACTAGAACTAGATAGATAAAAGACCATATGATGATGATGTTAAAGAGTGGAAGCTCTTCCTTAATTAGGATCAGGAATAGACAAGTATTTATATTTCTTCTTTGTTATATCGTAACAATCCTTCAAAGCATCATCATCTACAAACCATGAAACTCTACCAGCTGCCCCTTCATTAACAATGGAACTTGGTAAACCCTTTTCTGGCCTTTCCATTATAATTCTCATGATTGGGGCTTTAGTTAACCCTTCAACAACAAATGCGACTCTATGAGCATGACAAATCACTGGCACTGAAAGAGTGATTCTGTTTTCTGGGCCATGAGGAGCCTTTGTAACTGGCATACACCATGCCAACTTCTCTCTCAATTGCTCTCCAAAATTAGGAAATAAGGAAGCAATATGACCATCAGGAGCACACCCTAATAAGAGTAAATCAAACTGAGGTAACTTGACTGAATCTTTCCTGGCAAAATTATCAATTAATAATTTTTCATAATCGTCGGCACATTCTTGAGGATCATTAATTAATGATTCATCTATGTGAAAGATATTTGGAGGTTTACTACTCGATGTTATCTTATCAAAGATTTCCCGTTTGGCTTGTCCATAATTACTATCAGGAGACTCAAACGGTACTAATCTTTCATCAGCAAAGTAAATGTCCCATCTATCCCATTCAATCTCATCCTGTCTCGATAACAAACCTTGTTGTAAGATTTTAATTAATGAGCCACCACTAATAGCAATTTTAAACCGTATATCTTTTTGTTTCTTTTCCTTTTTCTTTCTCCCGTTGGAATGGCTATTATTATTATTATTGTTTATGTTGTGATTAAGACTATTACTAGTACTCATGACTGAGGATGTGGATGCTGAAGGCTGGATAGACAGCAGAGACCCTCCTTGATGTTGTAACGAGGCTAACTTGATATTAGCTATTTCATTGTGGTCTAAAGTATTGTATAACGTCGAGTTTTGTGCAGAGATAACATGATCCGCTACAGCGTCCGCTACACCTAAGAACTCGGGGAATGAGTAAATCAATGGCACGGTAGTAGTCATAACTTTTTCAGTACTTCTGTCACTCTATCACTTTAAATTGTAAAATACCAAAGGACGAACGGATAGACCCAAAGTCTTGAACTTAAAGTCCTTAATGAATGTAAGGAGTGATTTGACCCCCGATCGAAAACTTCGACGGAATCAACAATTTTTGGGAAAAGGCGGATATCGCACAAAAGCACCCCCTTAACTAAAATTGTAAGAACGGAACATCTATATCACAATAGAGATGTTATGACAGCACAAACCATGTACATATACATATATCTTTATGTCAGCTAGTACTATCGACTTGTATCAGTATAAATATATATATGGTGTGCGGTGTGATGCAATGAGGCATTAGCATATCCACTATATATGAATACTAGACATTATAAATTCGTACATGTTCAAAGTTACATTCTCATAGTACACTCATTCAGGCGCTGAAACATACTAAAAATAATCAGAAAACTTACATGTATAGCTGTACATGCACAGATGAAAATAGGTACATACACCTACATGGTACATGCATACATTACATACATAAGCACTCGTACATTTGAGGATAGTTCTTCAAGGCTCATGAAATATACTCTATATATTACTATTATGAGCCTTGAATTATTTCCTGCTACACTTTGCTGGTGTCAATTGCTATGGATTAATCCGACGCCCAAGTCACCATTGTGGATCGAAATTATGCCGGAGCTCCGAGCATATTTAATATGTGTGTAATTATAGTAACTCAGTAATGTACGCTGATATTGGTCATAGAATCCTTCTTTTAATTCATAATTATGTCCTTGTTCAAATGCTATTTTTTAATCGTTAAACCTTTTTATTACTAACTAGCAAACATAAGCATGGTATTTTTATCTCTATTATATTATAGCCTTGTTCTTTTCGATTCTTTCCCCTGTAATTGCCCTCCTGCTACCATCCCTATTCTGAACGCAACCTATTGCAATTTATCAACCCTGTACTGCATATCTGTAATGTACTCCAGTTCTTTCTTACAGTCGTGCGGCCCTCCTTGGAGTGGCTTTATCAGTGTTTCATCTCTGACTACCCAATTAGGAAGTCAACGATAACACAAAAACTCAAACTTTTGCTCTAGAATATTCATTACGGATAAGCTTGTAATTGATTTCAGCCACTCTAATTTCATTACGATTCCTTTAATTCAAGAAAATAATGGCGCTGGAATCATCTTCAGATCTTGTCCAATTCTTATCTGTTATTGAAAGTCACTTCGGCTCTGCTAAAACTTTGATCTCCACAGATCAATTGCTTCAAGCAGAGACCTCAAATAGCCACTACATTATACTCACCAAAATAGCCAATGAGATAGACAAGAGTCAAATAGTGGTGATATCGATTGTATCTCCTCAACATAATATCCGTTCGACAGTTGTTGAAATTCCAGCCACTGAGACACTGGAGTTTTTGGATCAAGTGAAGGGGCAACTTTTATCTTTTTTGAATGCTGAGGTTGTGGCGTTTCCCCGCAAACAAGAAGAGCCTAAGACGTCAACGACTGTGAATGATGCTCCAACATCTTCTGCTTCTTCTCCTTCAATTCAATTACCTTCAGCTATCTCCAAAAGACCAAATGATATGCCAGACTTCGATGATGAATACGAAACCCGTGCAAAAGGATCAGGGGTAAATCCTTCCTTAAGCAATACAATTGAGGACAATAAGGATTTATATCCTGGTGGGGTGAAATATCCCTCTATCAAACCATATCTTGATCCTACTGGTGGGAACCTTCCTAGTCCAAGTAGCGGTGCTTTCATTGGAGGAGGTATGATTCCAACTCCTAATGACAGATTATTCGGTCATCCAAAATCTAGTGGTGTCGGTCAAATTACAGGTGTTCCTCCAGGAGCCCGCTATGATGATCCTTATGGTGAAGAAGGAAGAAGCTTTCCCGGAGCAACTAACTCACTTTATGGTACGGAAGATGTAAATTCCGGATTATCTCAAGAGTTTGGTGGTTTAAGAAGACCGCAAGGAGGGCCGCCTGGATTTTCCGGAGATGGATCGTCGTTACCCGGATTCGGTCCTGGTCCGGGTTCTGGAGCTGGTCGTGGAGGGTTTGGGTTTGGTTCGGGATCAGGAAATACCTTCGGTAACTTTTAGAGAAGTTTTCGACATGGTAAAAAATATATATAATGAAATGCAATGTCATGTAATGTATGAAACTCACGGAAGACAAAACCACCATGCGGTTAGGTTAAATCAGGTTAATGTAGAATACAGTAGGGAGGGGACAAGAGGGGAGATTAGATACGAAGCCCTAAATGAAAGTTCTAGAAAGTATGGGATCTCCTATCGTAGTCATCTAACATCTCTTGCATCATAAACCCTTCTTATTCTAGACAAACTTTCTATTCTTCGGGATTTGAAATGGTTGATCGCACCGTTTAAGGAAAAATATCGTTTGAACCTTAAATGATAATAGGATGTTCCATCGTTTACTCTACAAAATAGCCCAAACTATCTAAAGAAGTGGTGTCCCCCTAGGCTGAATTTGCATAATTCCTAGTAGGCAGGATATAAGGATCTACGGCACCTTAAAGATAATAATAAGCTCCAAAGGAAGATTATTAATCCCCTCTCACAACTTTATTGTATCCCCGCTGTGGGAACAATTCTTTCCTAATGCGGCAATTGTGCAGTAAATGATTTGCACCCAAATGTATAGTTGCATGCAGTACACTTTACTCCTTTAAGTTATCAATGATTGAAGAGCCATGTAGTTTAAGATAGTGGTGTATATGAAGAATAACTAAGTTGGGAAGTACAAGACCAAAAGTAGGATACATTTATATAATAGCATTTTTCATCATTAAAAAGAATCATTAAATATATCATACTAAAGGGGATATCAGCCGAGCTAAGCCTTGAAGACTAAAATATCTCAATAAAGAATACAATCCGGGGAAAGGTATAACTTAAGTGTTGAATTCTTTCATTTTGTTGTATCTTATTCACATTCTTTTTCCAACTCTGACTTGTTCTAGTATCCGATCGTTTTTAATAAGATGACCCATGCCTATGCAAAGTTTAAGAGTAACCATAGGATTATACATACCAATTCCATTGATAGTACACCTTCTAATTCGGATTATTCAAATAATAGTACCTTATCTTTGGAATCAGAGATTCCAATGAGTAAAGGTAATCACACAATAAATGATGAACGAAATGATCATCATCTACGTCTTCATAATCTGTCACACAAACGGTTGGATAGTGACTTGACAGTGACTAATGATGATATTGAACGCCAGGGGATGCCCAACTCCTCTAAAAAGGCAAAACGAATGTTTAGTTGGATGTTCACCAGTAAAATACCTCCAGTAACTCTTCCACAAGATAGGAAACCATATCCTTGGAAGTCCTCAAATTTTTTATGGAGAACCTTCTTTTGGTGGTTCTGGCCCATACTATACAAGGGTTATTTAAGAACTCTTGAACCTGACGATTTGTTTAAATTAACAGAAGATCTTAAGGTTGAGAACATGCATTCCAAGTTTGAGAAGAACTTGAGCAAAAGAATAGAAGCTAAAAGAGCTCAATATATCAAGAACAAGCAACCACATCCAGACATGACTAAGTTTGAATGGTCTAAGATGCTTATACCTTTGGCATTATTTGATACCTTTAGGTTTCAATACACCATGTCTTGTATTTATTTGGTTCTCGCCTATACCACTCAATCTGTGTCACCTTTAATCACCAGAAGACTTATTGACTTTGTTACTTACAGATACTACGGATTAGAGAAAACAGTCAATAATGGTGTTGCCTACTCATTGACTTGTGTGGTATTAATCTCGTTAAATGGATTGTTGTTGAATCATTTCTGGCAAAACTCAATGACTACTGGTGCTCAAGCTAAAGCCGTATTAACCAAATCACTTTTACTTAAATCAATGAGAATGAGTAACAAGGCAAGACAAAAGTTCCCTATTGGTAACATTACATCCTTGATGGCTACTGATTTGTCTAAAGTTGATTTGGCCTTTGGTTTTGCTCCTGTTTTATTTTGTTTCCCAATCCCAGTGATAATTGCTGTAGCTTTACTTTTGACCAATTTGGGAGTTACCTCGTTAGTAGGTATTGGTTTGTTTGTTGTATCATTAGTTATATGCTCTCTGCTATCTAAGGTCCTCTTTGCTATTAGAACAAGAGCGGTCAAGTACACGGATCAACGGATCAGTCTAATGAGAGAAGTGTTGTCTCATTTGAAGGTGATTAAGTTCTATGCCTGGGAAGAAGCTTACAGAGAACGGATCACCAAAATAAGAGACTTGGAAATGAAGGAATTGTTCAAACTTAAAGTTGTTAGAGACATTGTTAGTGCATATGCCTTGACGTTACCATTCACGACTTCCATGATTACATTTGTAGTACTTTGGGCTACAGATTCATTCAAATCTCCAGGTAAAATGTTTGCTTCATTATCGTTGTTTGGGATTTTGGCTCAATCGATTATGTTACTTCCCTTGGCCCTTTCGACTTCTTCAGATGCTATGGTTGGTTTTGAAAGATTAAGAAAGGTTTTCCAGGCACATGAATACGATTCAGAAGACGCCAGACTTGCAAACACCAATAACGCATGGTCAAGACCATTACCTCCAAGTGTCTCCATCTCATGCCGTAGTTGTTGCTTCAATTATGGCAGCTTAGAAGCCGGTGATGATTCCATGCTATCAGAAGCAGGTAGCACTTTGTCCTCTGAGTTAAAGGAAAAGACTGCCAGCTTTGATAACTTTGCTACAGCATCAGAGTCTGGGTCTTTAGGTTCTTCTGCAAGAAACTTTCCTGGTGTTATTGACCTTTCGGTGGATATTCAAAAGGGTAGTTTTGTCATGATCACAGGTATAATTGGTTCTGGGAAAACAACTTTGTTGAACGCCTTGGGTGGTCTTGTTAAGCTTTCCTCTGGCTCCTTGCAAGTTTCGTCCGAACCACTCTTGTGCTCCAATTCATGGATTCAAAATGCTACTTTTAGAGATAACATTACTTTTGGCAGACCTTTTGATCATGACTTGTATAAAAAGGTTTTGTTTGCCTGTGCTTTAGAAGACGACCTTGCATTGCTTCCCTCTGGCGATTTGACAGAAATTGGTGAACGTGGTGTTACGTTATCAGGAGGACAGAAGGCCAGATTAAATTTAGCTAGAGCTGCATACCATGGACTGGAAATTATGTTATTTGATGATATCTTGAGTGCTGTGGATGTACGTGTTGGGAAGCACATTGTTAGACATTTGTTTGGTGACTTGTTGAGAGGCCATACCATTGTTCTAGCTACCCATCAAATATCATTAGTCTCTAACGTTGACCAGATCATCTTTTTAAATGGGGATGGTACGGCTGATGTCGGTAATGTTCAAGAGTTGAAGAGCAGAAACCAGAACTTTAGAAACTTGATTGTGTTCGCCGAGGAGATTGCTGGTAAAGTGAAGAAAACAACTAAGGAAACGAAATTCGAATTGTATGACTCGGGTTCTAATCTGCTGAAATCCTCACAAGCTCTTATCAACGGTAAGATCATTCAGGAAGAAGAGAAAAGTGTTAATGCTATCTCAGCGAGTGTTTATACCAAATATATTACCCTTGGTTCCGGAATCATTGGTAAGCTCATGCCTTATGCCTTTTTGTTTGCGGTGATACTTGCAACCTTCACCCAAATCTTTACCAACACTTGGCTATCTTATTGGGTTGAGAAGAAGTTCAAGGGGAAGTCAGACAAATTTTATGTCAGTATCTATATTGCCCTTACCTTTATTACGGTCTTTTTAACTGCTGTTGAGTTTGTATTCCTTGGCTATGTCAATAACGTTGCTTCGAGAGTCATTAACATCAGCGCCGTCAACAGAATCTTGCATGTTCCCTCCAGCTTTTTAGACACTACACCTATGGGAAGAATTTTGAATAGGTTTAGCAAAGACACTGATGCCTTGGATAACGAGTTGGGTGAACAGTTGAGATTGTTCATATTCCCAATGGCTCTTATCATAGGTATCATTATATTGTGTGGTACTTACTTGCCCTACTTTTTGATATCTGTCCCCTTTTTGGCATTTGCCTTTGTCTTTATTTCCAACTTTTATCAAGGCTCAGGTAGAGAGATCAAGAGATTGGAAGCTATCCAAAGATCAAAAGTGTACAACAACTTCAATGAAACTCTTACAGGAATGGCTACCATTAAGGCTTTCAAGGCAGAAAGTATGTTTCTTAAGAAGAATGACGAATTCTTGAACAGGATGAACGAAGCTTACTTGCTAACCATTGCAAACCAAAGATGGTTGTGTGTGCACTTGGACTTTGTTGCTGCTGCCTTTGCAGCCATTATTAGTTTGTTGTGTGTGACTGGACTGTTCAATATTTCTCCTTCATCCACTGGGTTGTTGATCAACTATGTCATTCAGATTGTTGGGTTTCTTTCATTAACTGTCAGAGCGATGACTCAAGCTGAAAATGAAATGAACTCGGTTGAAAGGTTATACAACTATGCTTTCAACATTGAGCAAGAACCCCCGTACAAGATCCCTGACCATGAACCCGCAAAGGATTGGCCATACTCTGGTTATATCCAATTTGAAAACGTTACCTTACGTTACAGGCCTAACTTACCTGTGGTGTTGAAGAACTTGAACTTTTCCATTTACCCTGGTGAAAAGGTTGGTATTTGTGGTAGAACTGGGGCAGGTAAATCATCTATTATGACTGCATTATACCGATTGGCCAATATAGAAACAGGGACTATTCGGATTGATGGGTTAGATATTACCAAGTTGGGACTATACGACTTGAGATCACGGTTATCCATAATTCCTCAAGATCCTGTATTGTTCCAGGGCACCATAAGAAAGAATTTAGATCCCTTCAACGATTATGATGATGAAGTACTTTGGAGTGCCTTAAGAAGAGCAGGTCTCTTGGACTACTTGACCATTGAACGGTACGGCCATTACAAACTCGATGGTAAACATATTACATCTGAAGATTTGCCTAAATTCCATTTGGATCAAGTTGTTGACGATGAAGGAGTCAACTTTTCCCTTGGAGAACGTCAATTGTTGGCACTTGCCAGAGCATTGGTAAGCGATACAAAGATTTTGATTTTGGATGAAGCCACTTCACTGGTTGATTATGTTACTGATTCCAAGATTCAAAAGACTATTGCTAGAGAGTTTAAGCATTGCACCATCCTTTGCATTGCCCATAGAATGAAAACTATTCTAGATTACGATCGTATTTTGGTGATGGACGGTGGGAAGCTCATCGAGAAGGGTTCCCCTTATAATTTATATAAACAAGAGGGTGTATTTAGACTGATGTGTGATAAGGCTAATGTTAAAGTTGAAGACTTTTAGCATTATGATACCCAAAAATATAACTTAATGATGATTATGAAAAATGAATAGTAAACGTTTGTTTTAAATCCTATGTGTTATGTAATAAAGCAAGTAAGCAGGTGTGTTATCCACTTCCTTTTGAGATACAAGAGTGATGACAGAATCATCAAACTTGAGCCATTGTCCATCTCCTTGCTTAATGAGCACAATATAATGTCCTGTATTGACCGACCCGATGTGTGTAACCAATGCAAATAATTCGTAGATATACTTTTCTCCTATTTCATTCTGTTGGTTGTTCCCAACAATGTACTTTGTTAGATTTAAATATAGTGGTACCTTAACTGGTATGTCTAACTTGTTGGAAGTGTCATTGTGCAAAATATGTTCAAACCGTTTAAGTTGTATACTGAACACTGGCGGTGTCTTGTTCACTTTCAATGACTTGTATGCATTAGTCTTCTCTCCACAATGTTTGCAAGTATACATTGTGTCCAACCGTTCTTCTTGAGTGAATAAATCAAGACAATCATATAGCGATATAGTGTCTTTTGAGTTTTTGGATTTCTTGATCTCTAAACTGACGTCAATCATTGGATCAATGGTAGTGGTGACCGAGTCACATGATGTACACCGAATAGAACTTTGTAATTCTCCATGAAACGTTGTGTGGGTTATACATTTGCAATCTTCACCGGAATGATTCTGTCCAGTCACTCTTTCGTAATCACTATGAAACTCATTTAAAAGAAACTGCCAAAACTCATGGGCATCTTGCTCCTGGAATCCGGCTAATGATTTCTTCTTATACCACGCGGTGGCCAATAAATTGGTCATTCCAAACCCTCCATGTTCTGTTGATGTGTAAAACTCTTTGAAGATATGGTCGATGCTGCACGTGATACACGAGTTGGATTCATTGAGACTTCCAACACCTTCACTATAAAGAAGATTGCTCTCACAGTTTAGGAAATGCACGTCATTATTGAAAAACTGATACTTGATAATAGGATTATGAACCAATGTCTGAAGTATAGCACTCATGAAACATGTAGAGCCCAAGTTAATGAACCCTCTGAGTCCATTCACAGCTACGGCTAATGGTGGTTTGTAGTGCGACGCCACATCTTCAATAGAGTCTTCATTTTCTTCACCTTCTTCATTATCATTATCATCATCATCGCTGTCTATTTTACCTGCTAATCTGTAAAGTTCATTTCGTCTAATGGTTTCTAACTCTGAGTGATTGACATAATCTCCACACTGAAAACAGAAAAGGAGTCCATTGGATGAGTCTATGGCAAATAAGTGATTAATCTTTTGATAATGAAGTTTTGCGTGATTCAGTGAAAGACATCCAACATGAGGACACTGTAGACATATCATACATGTATTCATATTACACATAGAACAATCCGTACATTTCAATGCATTTGTCTTCAATTCAACCAACTTACTGTTAGGGATAACACTGCCGTCACTCTTGTATATATTTATCACATCTTCACTCTTTTTCATTTGAGAGATCTTAACAGCCTGCTTATAAGTCAGGAACACTGTATCTCTAGCTTTAGTTTCCAATACTGATTTTATATGTTTACATATCCCCAAATCTCCGTAGAAACTGAAGGTCTCAACTTCCATTAAAATCTCTCTATTTTTATTATTATCGTTTTCGGCTTTAGGAACAATCTTGTTCCTGGCATTGAGTACACCAGAAGGAGATGGGTGGTCATTCTTAAACCCTCGAGGAACACTTTTCCCTCCGTAACCCAGAATAGCCGCCATTGTATCTTCCACTGGTATACACACAATTTACGACCTCCCTCTTTCCTTCTATGAATTACTGCCAAAAAAAACTTGATTGTTCTTGTTGCAGCTTTACACCATTTCGTTCCTCAGATCAGCCAAAATTTTCAAGCCATAGAAGGCGAGAGCGCTACCAGTATTATCAGTGCGGGTAACCTCTCCATGATAATGATAAGCGATAGTATTGTGACATCATTACATTATCGAGTGGTCAGTATTATTAAACTAAAAAATTGTTAAACTGTAATAATAACTGCTATATAAATCAATATGCATACATATTTGTATGTGCGTGTGTTTCTGTGTGTAATTTATATGTTGATGTAAAAAATCTAGAATTGAATTGATGCACCAGTAGTTGTTTCGATTGCCAGCTTGGAAACAATCGCATTGTCTCTGAGATTTAGTGAATTCAACCGGGCGAATTTGCTCATATCAATGCAGGAAATGTTGTTAGAACTGAGATCAACATACGACAATTGACACCGATCAAAGTTATCAGCAATAAATGAAAGTTTCAGAATGTTGCAATTTTTGAGGTGAAGTTTGACTAGTGATTCTGGAACAAACAAGAATGGTCGAACTATTTGACAACTATTCATCACAACAGTGTGAATTTTGGAATATTCTGATGAACTGAATGGGAAATTTACTAATTCAGTGCGCGATAAATTAACCTTTTCCACACTCTTTGGGAAAGATATGTTTTCCAAATATCTATTTCCATCAAGGTAAAGAATCCTTAAACAAGAAAGCGATGTCAAGTCTAATTCATGTTTCAATTTGTTATCAGTTAAGCTTAAATATTGTAAACTGGGTATCTTGCACAACTGTTTAATGTTGGTTAATAAATTACCTTGTAAATTCAATTTCACCAAGGTAGATGGTAGTGCTGCAGCATCCAAATCGTAAATTCTATTATGGGAAAAATCAAGATGTCTTAACTTTGGTGGGAATTTAATTTTGCTGTCATTGTTGATGTCAGTGACTCCACAAGATTTGATAGCTAAAGTCGTCAAAGAAGATATCTTCAGTAAGAAATCAAGACTCTGAAACACGCACTTCTCCATTTCAATACCTCGTAATTTTAATCCCATCCCAATTAAAGGGTCCTTTTGCTTCCAGAACTTGCAATAGAGAAGCTTCAATCGTTTTGTGCTAGAAGGGATTCTGGTAAGAAGGTTGGGGGAAAGGGTACATCTCTTCAACGTTAAACTCTTAAGTGACTTGGGGAATACAATCGTCTTGAATATGTCAGCTTCTAATCCCACCAACGTCAATGATTTCAAATAACTGAACTTTTCAAAGTCATTGCTTACCACAAAGTTACTAGACAATGCTAAATCAGTAACTGAGTACATTAATTTAGCAGGATAATATCTTCTTTGTTTTAATTTGGGTCCATCATTTCCATCTATTGGATATTGAAGTGGATCGTTTTCATATTCTGGGTCATTTGTAATTGAAACCTTTTTCAAATTCTTTATGTTATTGAACTTGGTCAAGTTGAAGCCTTTAGAATTGTGCAACCCAAAAGTCGAAAGAGTCGCTGGGAACACTATTGCTTCGTCCAAATTGATACTATTAGCAATAATCAATTTCAGCAATTGAGTGGGAAGTTTAGTAAAGCTTAATCCAGTTTGGAGCATATTCTTGAAATCTGCACTATCCATTATATCATTACTCATCATTAAGGCAGGGAAAAGTCCCAACAGGACAATCGAGTTATAAACTTCAAGTCTGCTCAAACGATTCAAGATATATTTCACCACTTGTTCATTTGAGATCAAAAGTTTCAAGTCAATACGGTTGCAACTGTAAATTCTACCCATAAGGTTAAAGAATTGGTTAACTGATTCCAAGTTTACCAAGCAATAATCCAATTGGATGTTGATATTCTTGTCATAGATGGCTCTAGGAGCAATATCTGGTTCTTTGTTACCTCCTTCGTTGTTTGAAAAGTACAAATACTCATCTTTGGTTTCGAATTCAGTGAAGAAATCTGCTTCTTCTTTCTCAAAGTAAGATGGAGTTACTCCGTCCATAATTGTTTCGCTAACAAAATTCAAGTACGATGTTGGTGTATCAGGATATTCCACAACTCCTTGCAAGTTGTTCAAAGAGATATTGACATCATCATCAAGGTTGCCAAAATTTGATCTTCCGTTGGGGATTAGGCTATTGCCAAATGGCAGTCTTACATCCGAGAATGGAGTCTGGGGCAATGGCTTATCGTAGTAATATACGGATAAAGATTTGGAACTTCTCCTGCTTCCAGAGCCTCTAGTGGTATATGATTTATTGCTCATTGATGCTCTTGGGTTCACATGGAATTCGTAACTACTTTCACTGCCGTGGTAACTCTTCCCTCCCATACTAAACATCATATCACTATGTCTTTTTAGATCTGATTTGCAATCAAAAAGATCATACTCTTCATCCTTTTCGATATCAAGTGGTATTTCATTTGCGGTTAAAAAGGTGGTCGATGATGGATCTTTGCTCATTTCCTTTTCAGTAACGGGGACTAGAGGTACTTCACTTCCGTCCAGAACATCAACATCCCATTCAGTCAGAATTGGAGGCTCAAAAAACTCAAAGTAGTCTTCCAAATCAATTGGAATTAAACCATTGCTATCAAAATAGTAACTATAATGTCTGGTGTCATCGTCATGGTCAGAAGAGTCGGAGTTTGTCACTGACAACGTGGAAGTGGGGGGAAAAGGTGGAGTCACAGCGGAAGATACCCTTATTGGGTTTGGTTCTGATCTGGTATACGATTCAAGTTTCTCCATTACTTGGGAATCGTCACAATTTGCAATGATAGGGCTTTCATTTATGGCATCTTTAGATGCATTTGGAGGACGAGTAAGTACGTCATTAATGAACCTCTTTAAATGAGTACTATTCTCGTTCTCTTCAACATAATTGGCTAGGCTTTCCATGAGAGTTTGTATCCTTGAATTAATTGGGGTAGTAACTCTTCCATTCACACCCTCAAGCAATGTCGTTTTGGTGAGCGAGGTATCAAAGTTCTCTTGTTTGGTATATTGGGCAATATCGTGAAGTAATAATTCGAGCTTGGACTGATTTGCAGATTCATCAGCACTTTTAAATGTGGTGTCCATGAACATATCCGAGTCCTCTAATTCTAAGTTAAGATTGTCTACGTCCATTGCTTTAGCAGTAGGATCTGAAATAGGTACTTCTTCTTCGGGCATATTCTCTTTATTGCTGTCCCAAGATTTAGATGTCAGGATGCCTATTGTGTCTATCTCCTTATTACCAGAAGAAATGCAATTGTTTTCTGATTGTGTATTAGGTTCCGCTGCTGATGGTGACGAGCCTATTTCATTGTTAAGTTTGGACCGTCCATGATTTTTTGCACCCATTTTCTTGTCACCTTCCAACTTCTTACTGTCATCAATGTTCTTATGCTCACTATCTGCACTCAACATCATGGATTTCCGTCTAGCTCTTCGTAAGTACTTGAAATCTTGATTGGCATCTTTAGGTGGTAGTGGAGGTGGGAGAGACGCAATACTGGAAGTTTCAGAAGAATCAGACGGACGAATTACTGTTTTGGAAGTTGAAAATTGAAATGGTGTAACAGAAGCTTCATATGACTTTTGCAACACTCTTAAATCCCTTGGAAGTTTTCTTGGGGAAGAATGCAGTATAATTGTTTTGGGTGTAGAGGGTGGTGATGATGGTTCTTTAACAATTTTCGAAATAGGTTTCTCTCTTTTAGAAGAAAACTCGAATAATGGATATGGGGATGCAGGTACTTGAGATGTTCTACTGTCCATAGTGAAATCACCTGAACTAATGTTATGTTCTAGGGGTATATTTGATTCATTCTCATGATTTTCTGGTAATATCTTATCAGAAATTGTTTCCGGAAGGTCCTTGGAAGTATTTACAGTATCATTGTTGGAAAGCGCTGAGCCTTCGGGGGTTGATTTTGTTTCATCTGGACTTTCACACATATCTGTTGTATCCAAGTCAAGATGGGTATCCATATCTTCAGAGTCGGTATCTCCTGCTATTCTTTGATACATGATGACACTTCTAGAATCGGATATGGAATTGTTCTCGCTTTCTGGCGGATTAAGCAGGTACCAAAGTTGTGATTCTAGAGCTGTGGGGATTTTCTGATAGGCTGCTTCGAGGGTTGGATTCAGTTGAACACATTCGTTATATTCATCTTCGTCTTCTTCGTTATCTGCGTAGCTTCTTGCCTCGCGTTCATCTATATCTTCTTCAAAAATAGAGTCTAGGGTGGCATACGCTAAAGATGATTTCTTCTTGAAATGTCGAGATGCATTCTCGTTCTTAACATTCAGAACGTCGCCATTAGATGGTGATATTATAGTAGTATGAGAAGCGGAACGGAGGTTAATGCCATAAAGGGCTTCTAAATTTGATGAGATATGAAGATAAGGATTTTTTTTGGATTCCAACAGTCTGAGGTCTCTTGAAACCCTTCTGATCTCATCAAGAATTCGTTCTTCGTCAAAATCGTCTATATAGTCCATTGCATTTATACTGTAGCAAAGCTAACGTTGCAAACTAAAAGTGGGACTATATAATTAACAGTAGATATGAAGTATATTCTTTTTCCTTCTGGATTATTTCCGAAACTTCAATGATTTGTTGATGATTATAGGTACTTAATGGGTAGTAGTGAATATTGATGGTATGGGAAGACGCACTTGTGTACCACTGAGTAGGAAAGAAATGGTTAACAATGGAAATGCCAATAAGAAAAGTGCTAGTTAAACAGAAATGTTTTAATAAAAGTGCAGACTTAGTCATGAGCTCAATGGTTACAGTTCCCCATTGATAAACTATTAGCCTGAGAAGCGCCCTTCATGGTTTTACAATTAAGACATTAATTCATGCAGTTTCAATGCTTCCAAAAACGGCGCCGACTGCAACAACCAAAGGAAACGAAGCAAGCCCCTTATGCATGTTAACCTCAAACATGTAATCCGTGTTATTTCCACGATGACTATTTTGGGAAGAGTGATGGGGTTAAGAGAATGTCCTCGCTCGCAATCACTCCTGTTAGGAAAATGCGTTTCACTTTGAAGTCCGTTTGAGGAATTGCATTAAATAAAGTCATTTCAAGTCATCAGTGAGATTCCAGTTAAGTATTCTTTAGCAAAACGAATAAAATGGCTTGGGTAAGTTAATTGTATTCCATCCTATTGTTTTCTACAGGGGACAATGTAATACCAGAGCCTTCATCCACAAAAAGGTTATTGAGTTCATTACAGAAACAAATATAAGCGATCTACAGTTCTAGAATAATCAGCATTCCCCTGAAACTAGCAACACACTAAAATAAACGCCAGCCATATCAAACTGTATAAGTAAGGGCTGATGAAATAGAAGCATGCTGCTTACTCTTAAAAGTTGGAGTAACAAGATGTTGCAAACCATTGTCGCATCTATGGTCTGAAATCACGTTGAAGGTTAATTAAAGAACATGACAATTATGCTTGATGTATCGAAAAACAATCACATTGATATAGGTTGTTACACTCGTCACCCTAAAACGGTTAGTGTCCTTAAACAGATGTGTTGCAAGATTTAAAAGAACTGCAAACTGAATTCATGATGCTGCTCCCCCTTTATGTCCCTAGATTAATCGATCGGTGTAACGGAAACTACCAACTGTGTCTATCAACCTTTTTGGGTGTAACCAATTGGTGAGTCAGAGTGTTTTAGATTTTTACTGATGCGGTGTTCGTTTACTTTTACCGTAAACAACTTTTGTGTGTACATGGTGCGTTAACGAGGAACACTAAAAGGGTTCAAACAAAGACCCTCTTTCCGAAACGGGAAAGTAGCACTGGTATTTCTAGGCTGTCAATTTGAAAAAGGTAGTGTAGTTTGGCGCATTTTTCAGGTACTTCAAAAATACGAATTACCTAATTATGCAGTTTATTGTAAATATAATGGAGTGTGATGCACGTTGCATGCACGGTCCTAAATACCTCAACTTTTGTATGATAGTATTAGTACAAATATACATATACGTTACTCTTCGTTGTTCATATGCATTTGATGTTGAGATTCTTCACGAATTTTGAGACTGAAAATGCAGTAAGCAAATGTCATATGTTTACCTAATTAGGGAATTCGGATCTGACATCTTAAAACGAATATTCATCACTTATACGTATTATACATCCTAATCGAAAAAATCATCATCGCTATCGTTGTTATTATTATGAGGAGTTGAGCGGATAGATTTCTTGTTCGCAAATCTGATTTTTCGATCGTCTCCATCACTTTCATCTTCATCGTCTTGATTAATTATCAAACGCTTATCATTGTCAGCAACTGCACCAACTGTAATTAATACCTGTTCAAGATCCTTTTGAGTAGTTCCATTACCACCAAGTTGTGCTAATGTAATAAATTGTTTGGCCACATTGGTATTATGGTATATAATAAGTGTAGGACAGTTGGAATCAGGGTAATTTGGAATACACCGTTGGGCAGGAATCTCACACATCTTGATCTCTGCAAACTTCCGAGCTAATGGAATCATTAAACTACCCAAAAGACGAGATTGAAGATTAGACTGAAGAGAAAGGTGAACTATTACGTATTTACCATCTTTAGAAGCTTGAGTCACTTCGTTTTCATATTCAGCTTTATCAATTGGATATACTTCACCGAATTCCAGCTTTTTGGCTAGTTCTTTTATTTGTGCCATTCTTCTTTGTTTGTACATATTTATAAAATCTTCATCTTCTTCATCTTCCAAAGCATCTAACTCATCAAGATCCTTATCTTCTAATCTGTTATCATGTTTATATTGGAGCACTTCTTCTAATGCTTCTTCAATTTGAGCTGATGGAGACGGAGGTCTTTCAGGGATAATTCCATGCGCTCGTAAAATATCATTCCATTCTGTATCTTCAGTAGGGTCAACTTGGACCTGGAACTTGGCATTATCCATTTTAGCTTTATCAAGTAAAAATAATGCAGAGCATGGAAGCACATAGTGTCAATAAATTTTCTACTCAATTTTCATAAACTTGATTTTGAGTACTGTGACCATTCACGTGACATGTATTGGGAAATTTTTGAAAAGGGTGAATAATCAACGGCTTTCTCGAACCTCTACAGTATGTTATATACACGCCCGGGTGATATTTTTCTTGCTGTTATCACCGAAGTTTAATGATCATAGTTGAACCCAAACGAGGTAAAATGACTATGTCCGAAGAACGGATATTGCTAGAACAGGCACAATTTACATAAATGAATTTTTTAAATGAAAGACTTGACGTTAAAATGTCAGTCAGAATGACTTTACTATATTATCATCATATATAAGGCATGGCATGGCATAAAAAATGAATAAAAAGAATATGTTAACAATATTATGTACAGATGGAACGGAATTGTTGGATTGTTAAGTCGATCATCAACTTGATTATTTAGTAGCCTTAGCCAAATAAGTGACCAAATCGTTTCTGTCCTTTGGCTTCTTCAAACCACCGAAGGCCATCTTGGTACCAGGAATGTACTTCTTTGGATTTTCCAAGTAGTCACTCATGGTTTGTTCAGACCAAATAACACCCTTCTTTTTGTTAGCGTCGGTGTAAGAGAAACCAGCAGCTTCACCGGACTTTCTACCGAAAACACCGTGCAAGTTAGGACCAACCTTGTGTGGTCCACCAGCTTCAACAGTGTGACATTGCAAACATCTAGTCTTAAATAAGGTGGCACCCTTGGCTTCGTTACCGGTTTCGAATGGAGCTGGCATTATTGATTGTCTAATGATCTATTGATAAAATCTTTAAAAGAATTCTTTTAATCCTGTTGTTGTTTTCAATGTGGGCCCTATTCTTCCCTTTATATATCTTGGTCCCAAACACAGCAAATTTCTTTTCCTTATGAACAAACGCGCTCTGATTGGCTGTGGTGTATGTAGGATCCAATTTTTTCCACCCGATGCCGCAAAAAAGTGTGGTGAATTATGCCGATGATAACTAAGCGATATCTATATTTACTTCAGTCTATCAATTAATGGGAGTTATACACCTTACAAAATCTATTAGAAAATTTCTGAACGTTGTTGTCTTGTAGTGTCATGATTGGAACATTTGTTACGGAACTTCCAGCATTTGATCATGACGGATGTTTTCGGGTACCATCAACTCACATAGAAGGAACGTCATGTCACAATGTGTGTTTTGTGTAATTAAGAAGACCGATATCGCCGGCCCGAAGTTTTGATCTCGGTTTTTGACTATGACTATGACTTTGAACCAAATCGATTGAAATGCATTCTGGAACTAGAAGGAGAAGGCGAACGAGAAGAAGGTCTTTCTCGACTAGGTGTCCGAGAATAGCTTTGTTGGCTTCTACTTCTACTTCTGGAGAAACTTCGATCGGAATCATAAGCACTCCCCCGAGAGTTTCTTCGTCCTCTTGACTCTTGTTCTTCCATTTCTTCACTTGAGGGTGGCAGGAGATTATTCAACATATGACGCATTTCATCAGTCAATTGACCGAGACCAATTGCTGTGAAGAAATTGATCAGGAATCTAATTTGATCTGCATCTCTCCAGTCAACATTGACAACTGGTAATATTCCTCTTATTTGTTCCTTCACTTCAATGTCATGTATAAATCTGTCCTTAACCCCTGAAATGCCAATCTCCGTAACCATTTGTTGAAAGATAAACTTAATCATCACCCGCTTAGCTGAATCTGTATGTTCTTCATCAAGTGTGACATTTTCAAAGACATCATCAACTGAAAGCTTATCAGTACTGAGCAAATGGCCATAGAATTTACCGATATTTCTAATCCCACTGGCTTCAAACTTATCTCCGTTGGCATAGAATTCATCAAATTTATCCCGAAAAATATGTCTCCATTTCCCATCTACTCCAAGCAACTTATCGCCTATATCCCCTACGTATTTAGTGAAGTCTCGTTCTTGCGCACACGATCTGATAATCATGTCGACCAAAACTGTATTCAGAATCCCTCGAAGTCGAAGTAATTTATGGACTGCTTCATCAGACGACATTGATGACATCATTGTCAAATAGACTGTCTTTTGGTGTTCCAAGATTTGTGCATTGGTCATATCAACGATATTATTATTATTATCTTGATGTTCTTCTTCCTTTGAGTCAGTTAGTTTAGTTTCGGTGTCGTGATTCAATTCTTGGATATGTTGAAAGTACTTTTCTTCGTTAATCTCGTAGTTTGGATCAAACCTGAAGAAGTTCAACTCGTCCTTCAGTTTTAAAGTATTGTCTTTTTCATCATTATCTTCTTCCCCTTCTTCTTCACTGCTATCATCGTCCTCCTTCCCTGTTAGATCAATTGCATGGGTTATTCTATCGTCCTCACTGATGACATCAAACTCAGAATTCAAGATGGGATACTGTTTGAATTTGGATTGCTTGATTCTAATTAGCCTCTCTATGATATCCGACATTTGTCGTGACCTTGAATTGTACAGCATATCTCTAAGCTTGTCGTACACAATGCCCATAGCCAGCTTAGAAGTCTCGTCTAGTAGTTTCCCATTGATAGTTAAGATGATACTCACTAATTGCATCTTCAGTATGTTTGTATCGGCGTCGGACATCAAAAGCCGTAACAAATGTAGCACTGCCATCTCGTGGATAACTCTTTGATTTACCAAGGCACATGTAAACGTGATATTCTTCTCCACTGTGCTATAGTCGTTCTTCATGTAACTCTTTGTGAATTGAAGCACAACTCTGCAACACAAGAGTTCGCCAATTGACAGAAGCTCGGAATTAATAATGGCAGCTAAGCATGCTAAACTGTTGAATACGTTTGAGTCCTTCAGTGATGTTCGGGTGTATCGTTTCATTATTTCTTTGACTAATATTCCTTGAGCTCTAACTAGGTTGTGATTGGAGATGAGTGACTGAGCTGTTTGCTTGACATTTTGGTTGTTGACATTGGAGATTTGGAATTGGATGTCTTTCTTCAATGCCAACCAGCGATCTCGTTGTTCTGACTGTTTCATATGATACTAAATGATAAGAATCAGTGTCGATAAGATTGTAGTGTCAGTGAAAGAACTGCAGTGTAGTGAACAACAGTATGATAGTATATTTATGACAGTATTAGTCGTACTTGTGATGGTGTCACTATGAAGTAGTTGACAGAATGCTTGTGGCAACTGTATACTGTGTGAGAGCCTCGATGAGATTGAGAACTTTTAGGTGTGAAAAAATATTAGTACCATCTACTTATAAACTTGAAGATAACGAAAACTATTAGTGTGCATGATGTATCGGCGGGCTGTGTCTCTACTGTTGAGTCTTCGATGGATGTCAACTGCAAGAGTTGGCGGCCAATCCAAACTTAAAAGTAAGCTTCAGCACTTTGCTCAAACTGGTAAAGTACTAGATGAACTCCCTGGCGGTAACACCAATAAGCATTTCAATAATAACAAACCACAGCCTTATACTCCTCGGAAACTACTAGTGCTATTGCAAACGCGGTATGAGGATAAGATAGATTTGAAAGATGTTACTGTGGAAGATCTAAGCCCTACACTGACTAGATCATTTGAGATCTTTAAGAAGCTTCTCGAAGTGAGAAAGATCACAGGCAAGCCTATTGATAAACGACTTTTATTGGCATTATTGGGGAGCAGTGAAGATCAAATAAAGGATTCTTTCCTTGTAACGGACGAAGTACAAAAGTTCTTAAATAGAGATGATACCATTATCAGGGCTCAAGAATTAGCAAGATTAGCAGGGGATAATGGGGTTATGGCAATGAATGAGATCATGCAATGGCATTTCCAAAAGGGGGATTATAAAGCAGCTTTAAAGTGTTTTAATAATAGAAAGAAATGGGGGATCCCATCTTCAACTCATACTTATGTTCGATTATTTGATGGTCTTTCTAAGTCATTTGAATGGGGTGAAGCACCAAGAGATGTGGTCCATAATGCTATAGAGATTTTCCAACAATTACGTATAAAACATGCTAAAACCATTAAAGGCTTAACCAAATCACAAGTCCTGGAATTGAAAGAAGGATTGGAATTGGAAGTCCCCACCATTGAACAATTTAATGCTGCTTTAAGTTTAGCAGTTAAAAACTATGATAATGATCAAGACATTGCATGGTCACTTTTTGATATCCTTCTACCCGAACCTAAAACAGGTTTGAAATTAATGAAACCCATGGGTGATTCCTATACCATCTTGTTACAAGGTGTTAGACATCGTTGTGTTCAAGAAGCTGAGAAGGTTCAACGTGATCCAACACTTGGTGATAATGAAAAATATTTCCAGCTATTGGTCATCCAAAAGAAGTTAACTGATACTGCAGAGTCTATTTTAAACAGAGCTCTTGAGGCTGCCACTCCCCCCAAGCCTCCAACTAAATCAGAAGCTGAACGATTTCCTGAAAAGTTGGATAAATATATGAAGAACATGCACAATATGCTTCTCGATATAGATAAGAAGTTTGCTCGAGTGTTTGTTTCTTGTTTTATCAATAAACAACTAGGAACGGGTCAAGATTATAAGTCTTGTCACTATTCATATGTGTATCGGGGTATGAAGTATTTGGAGTATTGGTCACCAGAAGTTGGTGATTTATATGATACCTTAGAAGGGTCCGATAGTACTAAATATTTGATACCTAAAGCTGAGGTTAAGAATATCATCGACAAAAAGGTATCACAAGTTTGTAATGAGTTTGGTGTGAAGGAAAAAGATTTACTTCCAATTGGAGAGATTTTAGAATCCAAGGTGAATCCAGTAGTCCAGTTTCCTCCACCATTTGGACCCAAATCTGTACCAGCAGTGTTTGAGGTTCGAAGAAGACCAGTGGTCGATTTTGCTCGCCCTACTAATAAGGAATCTCGATTGTATTATTTGCATCAAAGATATGTGGATACCAATGGGAAATACGGGAAACAGTTACCCAGTAACAGTTACATTTTGAAACTGGGCTTAAAAAAGAAGAAGCCTCTTAGTCCGTTCTTACTTCAATTGGTTTTTGAAGGTTTCTACCAGCTTGGAAGATACCAAGACCTCAAGTATATATTTTGGCAAGCAATCCATACATATGGCGGGATCAGGGTTCGAACCGGGTTGCGGAAAAAGATCAATGCCGATACCAATGTGATTCCTAAAAGATACAACTACTATCAACATCCTAAAAGATTACTTAAGGATTTCGATAAGGATAGAAGGAATAGAAATTGGGATGGCCGGGCAATTGATGAAGCGCTTCTTGACGACATGCTTTTCAAGTTCTCGAGCATCAAAGGTGACGGTACGACTTCATACCAATCTATAATTGATTTCTGTACTTATGTCACTATGACAGAAAGATTGGACATTGACTACTTCCAAGACCATATTTTGTCGGCAATTATGAGTGAATTGAATTACTGGTGTGAGTACCATCGTCTTCAAGACAAAGATAATAAGGATAATGATAGCATTGAGGAACAAGATGCATTACCATGCAGTAGAATATGGAAGATTATGGATGGGTTTGACTTGATAATGAACTGTTTCTATGCAAACTACAATTTAAGTGTCGGGAATCGGAAATTCTATAACATTGAGAACCCTAACTTGACAAAATTTGTCGACAAGTTTCTTGCCCGACTTTACAATGTTAAAGTCTTGAAAGCCGGTCCTGAAGAATTGCTCAAGACTCATAAATGGTTTCTTAAATGTGGTATAATGTTCTACAAGCCTAAAGAACTTTGTCTGGAAGAGGAAAGCGAGTATTTTAATCAGACAATAGAACCTTCCATTGCATATGTGACTGACTTCTATAAAGATACGCAAAAGAAGCAGCAAGGCTTTAAATTATGCAATGGAATCAAGGCACTTTCCACAGTTACACCAGCACAATACGCCAAATGGAAGACAAAGAAAGACCCTTCAGAAAAGGAGTGGTATATGAGACAGAAATATCTTTATTTAAAGTTGAAGCTTGGAACAGGTCGGTAGTACTTATGATCAATCAGACACTATTATACTTTATAATATGGTTGGTACACGATTTTACAATGCTTGTATATAGATAGGGAGTACTTTTCCTTTTAATGATGTACATAGAAAATACATTTAGTCGGTAACACTATTATTATTTAACAGACATGAATTCTAAACAACTTACACTTGCGGATCCCTTGAAATATGAGTACTCTGGGTATATCCGGGACCAATTGGCGGGCCAAAAGGTTTCTCACGTAACATTAACGATAGGGAAACATATACAACTGGTTGAAGAATTGAACTATATATTGGCCAAGTACTATAGTTACACGCGAACCTTGGTTCCCGATTACCAGGTAGAGATAGATATCTTGTTCCATCGGAAGAGTGCAACGGACAACGGTCATGATCAAGTTCAAGATCTAGGTGAAAAAGTAGACGGCGGTAGTCCGTTGCCTTTGAATAAAGACAGTTTCTTATCGGAGCAGAAGAGTAGTAGCCCGCATACTTACTCTGTGGGGGCCGTGGGGGGCACTTTTGATCATCTTCATGATGGGCATAAAATACTACTTTCCCTGGCAATATATGTTTCATATACATATTTGATAATTGGCATCACCGGAGCCGAGCTCTTGAAGAATAAGAAATATAGTGAAGTATTGGAGTCATTTGAAGTTCGGATGAACCGGGTGATAAACTTCATCGAACGCCTAAAGATTCCCATAAACTATCAAATCTATGAGATAAACGACATTTGTGGACCCACGGGGTTTGTAAAGGATATCAATACCTTGATTGTGAGTGGGGAAAGCATCAAAGGAGGAGATTATGTCAATAAGTATCGTGAGCAAAAGGGGTTCCCCCAACTAGATGTCATTGCTATTAAGGTCATTGGTTCAGAGAACGCAGATGTCTCTAATAGTTGGCAGGGGAAATTGAGTTCAACAGATATTAGGAAAGCAGAATATAAGAAGAAATATGGTAATTGATCATTTTATTTGATGGAAATCCCCCGATCATATTGTGACTGCTTCTTAGGTGTCCTATCAGGATGATCTAAAGCCAAATTCAATCCAGATTCCAGCTTTTCAATTTCATTGAAAAGAACAAAAGTACTTTCAATCTTACTGTCCAAATACTTACCCTTATTCTCGAAATCCAGTAATGCAAATCTAATCTTTTCCATTGCCTGTTGACCCAAACCCAACTTTCTTTGAAGTCTGGCTTTAGTATCTTCAAACTTTTCATCTGGGAAAACAATAAATACAAAGGGAACTCCGTGATGGTAACTGGAAGTTTTGTGGAAATGGAAAACAGGTAATAAATTCATTCTCTCTTTGAAAACTTTACAAGATTCATTTTCTTTGGCTATGACCTCATCTTCAATAGGGTCATTTTCGGCTGCTTCATTTTCAATTTCCTTGTCTGTTTGTCCTTGATATCTGGTGATAAATCCATATTCTTCAAAAGCTTGAACCTCGTTGGGGTAAATACCACAATATAAGTCCAATTTGTCTTCAATTGACTCTAAGGAGCTGTTGAATTTAACAAACCCATAATAATTATGGTTGAGCCCGGCCCAGAGTAGTATATCATGCCATTTATCCTTTGGTATGTTCAATTTACTAACAAGCTTATCAATCAATTGGTTAACAGTTCCCTGTTTAGGAACAAGAAGTTCAAAGACCTGGTAGTTCATAATCGACGTCAACCAATGTATCTTAACCAGCTTTAATGTTTCATACTCCTTAAAGGGAATATTGAGAACCTCGTATTCAAATGTAGTTATTTGACTGATCGGTGCTAGCTTCGAAAAGAAGTATGACAAAGAATGCGTAGATTTAAGTGGATATCTTATGCCTTGATGGTTGACAATAAACAATCGAAGAAACTCAGGATTAAGTTTCAAACGTTCACCTATCACTTGGGCAAATTGAGAATAAGTGTAGGAAATAGAAACCCACATATCAACTGTTTTAGCAACAGCATCTTGTTCCATGTTCTCGTCAATGCCCTCCTCGATTTTAGTTCTTTCGCTATCGTTGTTGTTGTCAATATCCATTATTCTTTTCTCTGTCTGATCATCCACAAAATCACTATCTTCTTCATCAGCTTCGAGGGCATTCAACGGTCTAACCAATACATGCAACCTCGTAAGAAGGAACTTGTAGTGATCCTTTATGTGAACTTTTGCAGATTTAGGGTTCACTTGTATTGATAAAATGTCACCATTAGATAATTCTGTTTTTGCAAACGACATCGACGGATCAATTGAGTTGATCTTTATTGGGGAAAACTCTTCAACCACTTCAAATTCATCCAGTGGTTGTAGCTTCAACAAACCTTTAAGCGGATCAAAAATTGTGGAAATTTGAGCATCAGTAGACACGATAATATGTGTGAGCCCCAGCAATTTATCAACTCCGTCAAATAGTTTGATAAATATGAGAATATTATTCACATCATTGAGTGGAGATTCCAAATTATCATTTGCGTCCTCAGATCTAACAAGGTTTATGCCCTTACCTTTTTCCAAAACGAAAAAGAGAAACTCATCGTATTTGTTGTTGAAAACCGCATCGTAAATCTGGGAAATGGTTTTATTCTCCACTCTCTCATCATGAGGACTTAAAGGTACATTACATCTGTTTGTACGGTTTGACCTGTGAATAATTGGCACCAAAGAAAATTGGTTGTTACCTAATAGCTGTTCAAATTCTTTTAACAACACTTGGAAATTGGCTGCCTTCTTGATCTTAAATTTGTGATAGTTGTCTAAGTCATCATTATCAAAAAAGATTTGGTTCTGAGGTGTGGGATCATTATACAAATCAAAGTTGTTGACATGATTCTTCACATTTTCAAGAGTAATATATTTCCCATAGGTATAGTACAATTGTTCTTGACGCAATTGTTCCTGTCGTTTCAAGTTCTCTGCTTGGAGTTCAATTTGTTGAGGTATATGCTTAGGAGTATATTTAGCCTCGATGTCCAAATCTGGTAATAAGATTTGGTCAAGTTTCAGTTCTCTGTAATAGACCAACATATAAGCCAGGGTGGCTCTTCGGATAACATTCTCGGTTTGCTCTGCTCTGGTCATCCGCATATACTCCTGTTGAGTGATTTCAGGAGAACCAAAATTATCATCAAATACTTCATGGGGTGTTACTTTCCAAACTCTATCATCATCGAACCTAAACCATTCATCCTTATCCTTAGGCTTGATCATTGTGTAGTAATGCCCATTGGTAATACTACCTTGATGAACTAATACGCCATGTAATTTGTACATCCAGTTTTCACTCAAAATCTCTTGAGGTAACTCTTCGTCCAAGTAAGGTTGCAAGTCAATCTTATCGGGGAATTCATAAAAATCATCAATTTTGACCAAATCGTCAATCATAAAGTCAAATCTCTTCAATTGCAAATGCAAAACAGGAGGGAAATGTTCAAACACTACACCCATTTTAGCATCTTGATATCCAAATTCATCACCAGCCTGATATTTGTTTTCTCCCTCAAGCATTTCAGTAGCAATATAATTTTGAAAACTTGCCGCAAGATTAGGAAACCCTCTGACATTAAGTTGAATATCCCAGAAATCTTCTCTACGGGAAGATTCATAGTTGACATTAACACATTTAATATATGATTTCATTTTCCCAACAAATATTGATTGCAATTCTCTCTTTTTACGTGAGTCTCCTTCAAATAACCCACCGTTGTTGTTGTTATCGAGGCCTCCGTTGCTATTCACACCAGTGCCAACCATTGCCATTTCCAATCTATCCATGAGAATACGGTTCAACTCTTGAACATCATGTTGTGTGAAAGCATCTGCTCCGTGCCAGCCAAACGATTTGGTTAATTCCATGGTGCCCACTGGGTCTGGTGATGTTTGTAATAAGTAAAAAATCTTTTGAAGATTAAAAGATGCTGAATCATCATTTGATGAAGTTGGAATCTGATACACCAATTTACGAAACCATCGAGTATGGAAATAAGACTGCAACAATGAATTAAGATAACACGTTGCACCTTGATTGTTTAAACCAACGTATCCCGTTGCCTTTTTGCTATTATAGTTGTTAAAATTATGCCAGAGCATACCTGTTGAAGAGTCATCAATAACTCTAACTATAGTGGAGATATTAATTCGAGATCCATCCGCTAATAATGGGTGAGTGTGTCCCAAACGAGTAATTGGACTATACATATGTTTCACATCAATAAAAGTACTGAAACCCCAGTCAGTTGCACTTTGAGTGAATCTATGATAAGCAGAAAGAGGCATATTCACTTCTGGATGGTCAGGATTCCACATTTGTAATATGAATTGAGCACATACATACCAATCTTCCTTTGGAGGTTCTAATGTTTCACCATTTGACGACTCAATTGGTGGTGTACTTTTAGGGTGGGGTTCCAAATAAACGGCTACGGCATTATACTTATTCCCTGTTGGAAAGACAAGAATATCCCATTCGAAACCAGCCAATTCAAACCGTTCAGAACGGAACAGTTCATTTTCAGAATCTTGCTTCATATCTTGCCAATTTTCAATCAGCCATGTAAACATTTTTTCGGTATATTTTGGGTAATCTCTAACTGGCTTGAGATATTTCTCTGTTAGACCCTTTTGGTCTGTAGCAATTGGGAAATGCTTAATGGATCTTTTGGTATCTGAAGAAACATAAGTAGTCGCATCTGTTGCATTGCTATTGATTGAAGGAAGGGATAAACCCATGTAATCTTTTTCTATTTCCACTTCATCTTCATATTCATCATCTTCTTCTTCTTCTTCTTCCTCTTCTTCTTCTTCTTCGTCATCATCATCTTCTTCATCATCGTCATCATCATCTTCTCCTTCTTCATCATCCTTATGCACTTCAGTCTCCAAAACTACTCCCTCACTAAAAGCATCCCTACCGTCATTTGTCTCGCCTTTATGTTTCTTCACCTCAACTTCAACCGTTTCCTGATGGTGGTCCACATGCATGGTATTATCAAGTGGATCAACCGAGGTCATTAAGCGCCAATTGTTTCAAGGTTCCAACCAAAGTGGTCTGTCAGATTTAGTAGGCGACTACTTGTTACGTCACACAAAAGAAAGATCAATTGATCGATTTTCTTGATAATTGCAGACAGCAGCTAACCTATATCAGATCACAACACCGATTGAGTTGTAGATGATATATATAGTATGGTATTAGTAAACGGTGGACTTATAAAAGGGGGTTAGGTTGATTTGAGAAATCAAACGAAACCGCAAGGGGTATTCTAGGGAGTCGTGTGTGGCTCAGAACAAATCAAGCATCCTGAACTGAGTGGTACTATAAGGTCTGTCCATGTACTTATTAACGAAGTATTTTTGACGAGAATGTAATTGAATCGTACCAAGAATCTAGTTTAATGCTACCGATAGATCATATTGTAAGAGTCATAGTAGTATTCTATGAACTTGAAGTACTACTACCTTAAACACCAATGTATTGTTGCGTATTAATTGTTATACCTTGTGGTATAAACATTATCACTCAAGAGCAGCCATGAATGCCTAAATTTAAGCTTTCGAACCTCTTGTGTTGCTATTGATAGCATAATAGCAATTGCAAGGGCCATATGCATAATAGTTATGGTTTACCTTCTACTAGTGCTGATTACTATATTTTAACCGCAAGCAATTAGCAGCGGTATGAAGAATGATGTACAGTAAAGTGTTCTGTGTTGTTATGTAATTGAAGGTGTAGACATCTCTGAATAATATTGGCCAATTTGTGACGTACTCTAGTCTACCACCAAAGAGTGTAACATCTAATTTGCACCCAAAAGGAAGTGCCATAGACTGAATTAGCCACATTGCTCAAAGAAATATTTCCGTTTAGTTGGACCATTGTTGTTCTATACAATTCAAATCTTTAGCACCTGATGTGTATTTGTAAAGAAGTTGCTGTCTTATAAACAAAATCAGAAAATTACGTATTACTCTGGGTATATTCAAATGTGAATGAATATCCACATATTCAATGTCTGCTTTTTAATAGTTTATATGAATAACCATCTTTTTATTTACTAAGCATATCAAATCTTGTATTAAGATTGACAACTAAGGCTGCTAGGAAGTGATAGTGATAGTGATAGTGAATTAGCTAGCATCATAATAAATGAACCGATTGTAGTGATAAATATCGTGAAGAGCTAAATATTTATAATGATTTTTGGAAACTTCATAGCATTTCAATTTGTATTAAGATATGGTATTTATAGTTGCGTAAATTCAAACAAACTCAAGCAGTAGCAATAATCCATTGATACATTTATCTTCCAGCATGATATAGGACGTTTAAATTCATATAACAAGTATAAGAATAAATGGAGAATTTCTTTCAAGAAAAAAAGATCATATACTACTACTAGAGAAACTGCTAATAACTACTTCCATAGGCATCATATATTACAGCTACTTATCCAATCGCACTTCCATGACGTCCTTATCGTCACACCAAGGAGGAAGCTTATACGATTAGTTAAAATTAAGTTCTTCACCACTACAGTATTTGAGTGAATAACGATACCTGTGAAACATCAACCAGTGGCTTAACATCAGAACTACTAGATTGTATCAACAGTACTCAGCATTGGTATTGATAATGATGTAATCGATGCACGTGTGTTCCCGATACACGACTCCTATCCTCGTTTTACCCTCGCACAAACCCCCGGATTTTCTCATGTGTTCAGACTTTTCTTGGTGTCGTGTCGGACGGCATACAGTACCCCCTTCCCGAAGTCGCAAAAAACGAAAACAAAAAATGAAACGACCCAAATCTCAAACACTTTTGGGTGGTTGCTAACACGATTATATTTTATTATTAAAAGTCCATTGAGATTTTTTAGAAAGCTATTTTTTTATCTCTTTTTCTTTATCCCGATATCATATTACAACACTATCTAATTAGTCGTTCCTTCAATCCTTTATCAAATTGGATAGACGTTGTTTTTTACTCTGGACCTAATTATTACCCATTCCGATCTTTAAGTAGACTTTCCTTTTATTATGTTGTTTAACTCCCTCGTTCAAATCGCCGCTATGGCAGTCGCTGTGGCCGCTTCTCCTCTTCCTCAAGAACACCAACACGACCACCACCAACACCACGAAGCCAAGAGAGCTGTCGTGACTGTCACCAACTGGGTCACTGTCGACGGTAACGTTCAGGCTGCCACCACCACTGCTGAATCTCCAGCCTCCGTCCCAACTACTTTGGCTACCTCTGCAGTTGCTGGTACTTCTGTTGCTGGATCTGCTTCCTCTGCTGCCGCTTCTTCCTCCTCCGGTTCCAGCTACACTGGTGGCTCCTCCGGTGCTGCAGGTGCTAAGGGTATTACTTACTCTCCTTACAACGCCGATGGTACTTGTAAGTCTGCCAGTGAAGTCAAATCTGATGTTTCCCAATTAAGTGGTTTCGATATCATCAGATTGTACGGTGTCGACTGTAACCAAGTTCCTAACGTCTTGGCTGCTAAATCTTCTAGTCAAAAGATTTTCCAAGGTATCTTTGATGTCAGTGACATCTCCGGAGCTGTTTCCACCATCAAATCTGCTGTTGAAGCTACTGACGGTGGTTGGGATAACATCTACACCATTTCTGTCGGTAACGAATTGGTTAACTCTGGTTCTGCTTCCGTTTCTCAAATTGGTCAATATGTTTCCACTGCCAAGTCTGCTTTGACTGCTGCTGGTTACTCTGGTCCAATTGTCTCTGTTGACACTTTTATTGCTGTCATCAACAACCCTGGTTTGTGTGAATTCTCCGATTACATGGCTGTTAATGCTCACGCTTTCTTTGACGGTAACGTTGAAGCTCCAGATGCTGGTGCTTGGGTTCTCTTACAAATTCAAAGAGTCTGGTCCGCTTGTGGAGGTAAAAAGGATGTTTTCATCACTGAAACCGGTTGGCCATCAAGAGGTGATGCCAACAACAAGTGTGTCCCCTCTGAAGCTAACCAATCTGCTGCTATCTCTTCCATCAAGGCTTCTGCCGGTGACTCTTGTATCTTGTTCAACGCTTTCAACGATCTCTGGAAAGCTAATGGCCCTTTCAATGCTGAAAAGTACTGGGGTATCTTGAACTAAATGGATTAATTTATCAATCTACAAAAGTCGTCGATTTGTTTTTTGTCTTGTGGTTTTTTTTTTATTAACCGTGTAGAGCAACAGACCCTTTGGGTTTGGCTTGACTCTATACTATTTTTTTTATGTTCTATCAATATCGTTCTTCTCGAACACTACTGCTACTTTTTCCGTTGTTTTCTTCCCGTTGTCTTCGCATATGGTGATTGCTATCCCCGGAATATATTAGAGGTTGATACCCATTTTTATGTACTTGGTAGCATATCTGAATATACGCTTATTTCACTAGTGAACCTGTAAACTGAAATGTAAGCCATTGAAAATTTGATACCTTTACTTAGCCTGTAAATCTGGGCGTGCTTGGGGCTCAATATTTTTTAGACCCATTTCGGTACACACACGTTCTAGAAAAGGAGTTTGTTGAACATCGATTGTTTTTCTTAGATACGTGGAATAGCATGAGTTTAGGAGAAAAGCTAATCTAAAGTATAACTAAGACTTCTTAGGTGTAACTCTTTTATTGTGTATTTCCGGGGGTATGTAAGATATTCAATTGTCACTTCGAGGCTTACAATTTGAAAGGTAACCTACCTCTTCCATGAAAAGTTACACAAACAAGTTTTTTAACCTTTTTTACATGCCGTACACTTAGAGTACACCCTTGGCATTCTTTCTTCATTGAGTCACGTGTGTTACTACTTAGTGTGGCTAAGAAGAAAAGAAGAAAAAAGCGATTTGAAAATCGTGTTCCATCTTGCCCTAAATAGGAAACAAGTAACCGGTCAGGATCAGACAGACAAAAAATGGTAATATTTTTGGTGTAGTAATAGTATACAAATTATCTTTGACATAATATAAGCCTTGATAAATATAAGACGACGACTCTAGTTGATTCGACTAGACTCTTTATCACCGTTCTCCACCAAGCCATAGCCGTCATCATTGAGAAAATTATTTAATAAAGTTTGCTTTCATAGAAATTAAATATTGCAGACATCTACAAATTATCTTTTTCCATAGATCTCCAAGATCTCGCTGCAATACCGGAAACGAAAGCCCTTCCTGATTTGGTAACACTTTTGTTCAAAAGATCTGGTCTAGACCTTCCGTCCCCCTTCGATTACTTTCAGTGTGTATAAACAAATAGGTTTTAATTGGCTAAATGGTAAACAACATTTAGAGCACATCAACCACTCGTAGTAATTGTTATAGTGTACTATTCTAAGTGGTGCTTGCTGGAAGCGATGAACACTCATCGCATGGTAGTTCGTATTTGTTAGGTTAATTGGCTAGTTTGGTCTACTCAAGTGTCTATCAGACAGCTGCATAACTCAACCTCATCCCTAATGCAGCTCGGCTTTTCGGCATCCAGACTAGGTATGTGTTCTTCCTAAACGACAACAGTGTTGTCATGGTAATAAAATGTCCTAAACAAAGGCCCCAATTTGTCTCAAAAGGTAATATGATACAAAATGCACGTTCTCTGTCTTTCAACTATACCAAAGTAGTAAACTAATAACTCACAGGTGTAGCCAGGGGGGATGTGGTAACAGACAACCCGACTCTTCGGCCAAATGTTGTACAAGAAAACGCAATTCATTGGTCGTAGGTTCCTTATTCTTGGAGAAGGAAATTGTCTGGTAAAGTTTGTCGTCCATAATAGGCATCGAGGAACCGGATCCGATCTACTGTTTGGCCCACAGTAAGTCCTACTGGTAAACCTTCAACTCCTTTGACAAGTTCAACCAATAGTTTCCCTCTAACCGACTTATGATTCTCGTTTCTCGCAGCATCAATTATGGCTTGTGTATTTGCATACACTATGTCGTCATAAGCATGATTCCATAATCCCGGAACCTTCTTCACACGTATTACACTAGAAAATTTTACCCGAGGAAGTGATGTCGCATGTTTAAGCATCCGTTTGACGATAAAAATTGCAGCCTCAACTAATTCTGTTACTGACCCACTTGAAGCCATAAGTAAGTGATGTAATAATTGTTTCTTGAATCCAAGGACCTTTAATGTTTGAATCACTTCATAAGCATCATCTGTATGCTGCCTCAATGCCTCTAACTTGGTAGTAGTTTCATTGGTCAACTCGAAACTCTTCAGAAAAAGTTTACCTCTCAGAATCCACTCCAGTACGTAACCAGCAGCAAGAGGTATGTATTCATCGCTCCCGGCTGATATTCGAACATAGATGATTGGGGTAGCTGTATCCTTTTCTGCCTCAGATTCGAGATTCTCTTTCTTTAGTACAATTTCACCTTCCTCTATATCTGTTCCTGCCACACGGCTCAAGTCGGGTGATTCAGATTTCGATGCTTCAACAGTTCTATTCTCTTCCTCATCATCATCTTCGTCTTCGTTTTTTTGGTTTCCTTCTGCTGGTTCGACCGCTTCACCTTCTTGTGCTTCTTGTGCTTCTTGTGCTTCTTCTTTTCCTTCTTCTTCTCCTTCTTCTCCTTCATCTTGTTCTTCTTCTTCTCCTTCTCCTTCTTTTTCTTCTTCTTCCTCTTCTTCCTCTTCTCCTTCTTCTTCTTTTTCTTCTTCTTCTACTACTTCTTCTTGAGCACCATCTTCAGCGTGCACTTCAACAGGAGGTGACAAAATCTCTTCGGTTAACTTGGTTTCCATAACAGTTTCCGAAGCAACAGCAAGTGAAGGTGGCAAACCGCGTGCTCTCTTAGATCTACGAATCAAATCTGCTGATTGAACTTGAGCACCATGTATTGTCTGATTTCCTAAACCCATCTGAGCTCTTGTTCTTTTCTGCTTTGTTGGAGGTTCCAGCGAGGGTTCAGAATCCTCCATTTCATCAGACATGGATGTGTCCTTGTCTGCAGCGGCTGCAACCACTGCAGCGGCCGCTACACTAGCAGCTGAGGTTGATATAGTGTTTGTCGAAAGTTCCCCACCTTGGAGAGTTTGTTGTTGATGTGCAGCAAAGATGTTGTCATCCACTGATGGTGTTGATTCTTTGCTATCAAATGGTGGAGCAATATGAACTGCCATTGGTGTTTGACCCTTTTCCAAACATCTCTCGTAGTATTGTTTGTAATTGGAAACACCAAATGGATTCAAGTACTTACGATATCTGTCTCTCCAGGAGTTTAATGTATGTCTAGTACCCGAAACCTTACTCAATCTTCTGAATGCTCCAAAACTGGATGTAGTTAGCTTAGCATTTCTTTCAAGGTGAATTTGGGAAGCATTACCAAAAGCCTTCTTTGCTCTGAATTCTTCTTCAAGAATATAATGACAACATAAATAATCATCTTTAGAAGTGAAGGGAATCTTCATTTGATATTCGTCAACAGGAACACGAATGAATTCACCATTTTGGTCTTTCACTGGTTCATTCTTTTCATCCAATTGAAATACATATCCTAATCTTGGTTTTAAAAATCGACGGAAACGAGACCGGATACTCTCACCAGTATGATCGCCCATTTCAGGGGCATTTGCCAACTCTACAAACCACAGATGACTATTCATTTGATGACTTTCCCTTCTTGCTCTTTCCAAAATGTACTCATCTTCATGAGGAGTAAAACGTACAGCGGCCTTATATGAATTTTCGTATTGGCTCAAATCATAGATAGTTTCATTCCGATCAATACAATCTCTTATATATTGCAGCAGAAATGTCTTGAGATAATTGCGGAATGGTTTATCACCACCGTCAACAGGGAAGGGATGTTTGTACACAATTCTTCGTTTGCGATCACTAATTACCACCACGTTATTCTTATTACCGTCATAATCCTCCGAAGGGAGTTTAAGTGTACATTTCCCTCCATGAGCTAAAAGGGGGGGCATCAATTCTTTAGCTTCTTCCGCAGGGATATAGAAGGCAAGCTGTTGATCAAACTGGAATTGGCCTTCCTGTTTGGCCTTGCTGGACGTTGACATCATGCTCGCAAAACGTGTATAAGTTACGTATATCGGTATATGTTTCTTTCACTATGGAGCAATATGTTGTAAGTTAAGTTATGTTTTAATGTGATTTGTTGTGCTATGTTCAATGTTGGGTGTTGACAACTTGGGATGTCTGGGGGTTCTGTTGCAAATGAATTTTTCCTTTTTGTTTTTTATGAATTCGTGATTTGCGCGGTACTGCATGCTAGACCTGCCCGAAACGTGGATCGGTTGCACTACTGTAAGTTCCTAGAACCCGAATAGATGGTTGAGGTAGTGTATCGTTGAAGATTACTTGAAGAATTGTGGCCGTAATTGATCTATGAATCGTATACTCTTGGAAACAGACAATGATAATTACGTACAACGGTGTGGTAGAAGTAGGAACTGAATTCCCATTCGAGTAACCGATGGAACTACTACTGATTTGTAGCATTGGCGATTTCAATACTAGTTAATGTACTCGATTTATGATGATCACTACCCAGAATACCATACCTATATGCATTGTCACACGTTTGCATCAGTCCTAGTATTTGGATTATTTGCACCCAAGTTTCAGAAAACCCAGAGTCCCGTAACTGTTAGGTTGGAAACGCGATAGAAACCCATAGATATTAAAAGGAGCAAAATAGAACTGGTAACTGTCTACCATAGATCTGAATCCCAAGATAAACCTCGAAGTATTACAACCTTGAATGCAAAGTAGCCGCATGAAAATGAAAGAAAAACTGTCAAAAAAGCATGAGGACCATACGTGTTGATATCAACTGATGAGTCACACGGTTATTATTGACTCCTCTAATGTTTGGTGCCGTCAAATCTTTAACAGTGGCTGTTTGAGTATGGGAGTTATTACCATTATCTTCTCCAGTATTTAGCAACGGTGAAACCGAGCAAATAGACTCACGTGATGACATCGGAGTTCGTAATTTAGCGGGTTCCAACTCTAGTCTTCTTTAGGGACAGGATTATTAATTGAACTCATATAATATAACTAACTAAGAATAAAATAGTTCAATGAAAGTAAAGTAGGGTAAGAACATAATAACTTTCCATAACAGCTCTATACAGAAACCAAGGTAACCCCCGAAGTAAATACTGATCATATGCTGAAAATTTTTATATACCCTGCACTTTGTCCTGGATAGTCGTAACTGGTTTATTATCTATGATACTCTTAATCATTAGCTATATCAGCTCAAATAGTTGCTATAGTTTCAGTAAGTTTCTTGTTATGAATAGGTGTAACATTAATAGGTTCAAGTAGATATGGATGAGGTTTCTTCGCCTTTTTCGTTTCTAGTAGTGGCATAGGTTTTATCGCAGAATCTGTCTAGTCTTCGACCTAAGGTCGCAATTAATATTTCTAATTAACTTACGGGTTTCTGTTGAATTTTATGATTAACTTATGAGTTTCTGTTGAATTCTATTACATTGATAGGCTCAATTAGAATCTCATATAAACATTCTATATATAATTTGTTACGTGAAATGGTTCCTACGAAGTAGCAGTTTACTTTACTTGCATTCAATAAACATACACTACTGGAAACTACCTAGAATGATATAGTGATATGGTATAAAGCTATGAATATACTACTTAAACACCATATTGCACCGTCTTCCACCCTATATTAGGGTTGAAAAAGGCCTTTTTCTATTGAAATATTCTGTCTTTTTAGAAAGATACCATATATTAGTGGGAAAACCACTCAGGACTAAATAATAGTACTATAGAGTGCTCTAAATGTAACAACAACTTGTCAATATTGGTTAGGGGAGGTTTTGCTGATGCATTTGGCCTTGAAGTGCCGGACGCGGTTAAATTGGGCTTATCCTGGGCTTTCAGCTTAGCGGAGTCGGCATAAGAGAAAATAGTCAAAGCCTGAGATTTCTGCTTTATAGCAACCAACTTGGAAATAACATAATGAATTTTCTGATTATCTGTGGCATTATCTATTGTTTGATTATCTTCTGTTTTCATGCTCTTTTTGGTGTTTTGGGGTTTCTGATTTTCTTTATCTAAAATATAAATGGATGGTTGAAGAGTAATTAAAGTTGAAGAATCCTCACTCTTATCAATTTACATTGTAGGTAGGATCCAAATTCGATCTGAAGTTGAAATGGTTGGTATAGGTTGGCGCCCATTGATGTGGGGCTGGCGAATGGCATGTCCAGAAGGAGAATAGGAAGGAGATTTACGCTCCTAAGTAGTCAAGCAATACATAGCGCCTACTGGAGCTGGGGTTTTTAGAAGGTAAAATGTTCAAGAAATCATTTGCCAAGGGGGGGGTGCGATTCCCTACAGTGGCTCAAAAGAGCTGTGCAAAAGCTCTGGCGGGTCGGTAGACGGGGGTAGACGGGGTTAGTTGACTCCATAATGGAGCTTTTGGAGTATCAAGTGTATCTTCATTGACTAATGTTACCTTTTAGCATGACCTCTGATTCAATGTGGTCATCATACTTATGTTATAAGTGACTATTTCATTCCTTTTGGCATAGTTGGTGGCACCACGACGTCCCTCGCAGCGAATTCGCATTTACCCGTCTACAAAAAGACATTATAATACGGGTGGGAAATTCGGTGAAACGCTCCGTCCGAACTGTTAATGTTGGACTAGTCCTTCATTAACGTTAGTTCTTGAGAACTTCAACATGCGAAAGCATACGTGCGATGCCATAAGAAATACACAATGGAATTTGATTCTGTTATGGGAATGTGCATCGCTACGGACGGTTGGTGCTTCTGTTATCAGAAGTACTATTGAGTGCAATATGCGAACTTAAATCCTTGTGGTTTAGGCACCCGATACCGATCATCGACTGTGGGAGATGTCTGTGCTTACTTTTTACATTATCATACTTGATGTTATAGTTTTGTCACAGGTTCGATCCGTGCGCGCGCCACTCGTGCATCGGTTTGTAATGATTTGTTTGAACATCAAGTAAAACAGCTTGATCAGCAAGTAATACAGTGGAGCCACCCCACTAAAAAACAATGATCCTTGATAGTATTCGTCGTATCTTTACGTCATTTAGAACGGAGGAGGAAGAACGCTCTTATTCAAGAATGGCATTCTTCAACTTATTGGGCTTCTTAGGTAGTTGTGTTCTCTTTTCTTTCGTGGCTCAAAAGATGTCTCGTCAACCAAGGGAGATTGCTCATATCGCTCGAGCAAATGCTCTTTTGAGGGCTATTCAAAGTTGAGCATTAAAGTCTATATAATACCAGCTACAACATAAGGGTTTATTCGTTATCTACAATAGTACAAGGCCTGATTCTACTAGAGTGAAATTTATCGTTTTCATCAACCAATTGCAAGATGTTTCAGTATCCCACTACGTTTTTAGGATCGATGTGGGTTTAATTACGACCAGAAGTGTTAATTCAAACTCTATAAAAATCTTATGGATGTCTTCAGTCTAGACCACTGCTTTATTAGTGAGCGGGCTTATACTAACTTTGTGGATCGGATATCAAATTTCCTCATTCAGTTAAATATTTGCCGTTCGTATTAACTCTAAAACCTGGTTGTAAACATTCGCACTTTATCTACCGACCAATGCATACAAGTTGATGCGTAAGCCAGCCAATAATATTAAATGTTCTGTTGAACGTTCAGATTCATCTGAGTGGGACTCTTCCGAATGTGCGGACTTTTGTTTAAGGTCGAGAACGGGTAAATCTGCGTTTAAGTATCCGTTCTAGTATGTGTGCATGTGTATCATGGTTAAAATAATGAACTGAATCTATTTATAAGAAGTATCAATGGTGAGAGTCCCAGAGAGAAATAATACATAATGAGTATAAGCAAAATATAACAAGGTAAGATCCAGAATATAATAAAATAAAATGGAAATGTTATCGTATTCTTCATTAATACAAGAATAAACCCTGGCAGCTATTTCGTAGAATACCGTCTTATCATTAACGTCATCAACGATCCAATAATCAGATGTATGTGATGCGTATTATCTTATCTTATTATTACTTCCTTTGGCCATTCCCCCGAATTAAAATCTCCTTGGCCATCTCATAAGCTGTCCAAGAAATAGCTGTGGATGGAACATTGAAGATAATTCTAGGTTTTAACCCTCGAAGGAAAGCCTTATAACCTCCTTGAGCATATATAGCTTTAACAGCAGATTTGAATCCGTTAATATTTCTTAAAGTTTCACTATGCACAATACCTTTTGTTTGCAAGGCTGTCTTTATACAATCCAAGGGAGTAGTCAAGGCAGCAGCAATCCCCCCAGCAATACCACCACTAACACAATGTAAATAAGGATTATATTGATTGGTTGGATTGAGTTTAGCTGAAGAATATTCATAGAAACCAAAGTTCAATGCAGCAAAGGGAATATTGGTTAATAAAGTGGTTGGATAAGATATGTAAAAGGCTTTTAAACCTTCACCTCTATACATATGACCAGCAACCTTCATGATGTTAACACTTTGTATTCTTGAGGATGATTTTTGTAATTCAGGAATTTGCAGAGCTTGCATTCTTTGTTTGATGGTATCAAACGGAGTCATCAACGCATCAGAGGCAGTGGTTGCAGCAATACCGGCACCACTTGCAATTAAAGGATGATTCTCATCGGTTATGATCTTCTTTGAATTAGGAGAATTGGTCATTCTATTAACAAGAAATGTTTTTGTAGCTTCGAAAACAGAAAAATAAACAGCATGTGCTGGACCAGCACCCATAATAACACTAGAAACACCTTTCCATAAAGAATAAGCACCTTCTGTAGAAGCGATCTTAGATATTGATTCAAATACCGACCGAGAAAGATGAACCAGTCCCTTATCAAGTATTTGCATCCGAGTTTTAATCGAGTCAATGGGGAACATCACGGAATGTTCCATGATACCTGCAAGAGCACCTGCGGCCAAATGAGCAGCCAAACTGGCATTCTCAGGCAACGCTTCGTAATCAATTTCAATTGCATCAACACCCGGAATTATTGGAAGTTGATGATGAAGATGAAGATGCTCTTCTTGTTGTTGCTCCTGTTGAAGTTGACTTGTGCCATCTCCATCAACGGGAGGACTAGCTCCTGAACTGGTAAGATTATTTGATACTGAACCTGTCACCATCATAAATATGTATATAATGTACTGTTCAATGTTTAAGTGTGTATCTCTAGCTTTTCAGGATATTAAGTACCAATTCCGTCTATACCCTAAAAAATAAATAGGTCCTTGAATATACGAAACTATACCAAGGTAGAATATGTTCTACTATGTTATGGATCTGATCCGGTTAAACTCCGATCAACTCCGTGTCAACTATGGGTTGTAATAAAAGAAAAGAAGCTGCCAAAGTTGACTTTTTGTTCTCCGGTAAAATATTTCAGATGACGATACCGGTGAAATTTTCACTCTATTATTGCGATTGGCACCGGCCACGGAACACAACGATGGTAGTGTGGGGAGAGGCTGTACTAGATATTGATACTGATTTTAATGAAGATGGACGTCGGTATATGTATATAATAGTAATATAATCTGCTCTACGGTAGTGATGATGACAATTGGAAAAGCATTGGCCGTATGTACTTAGCGTATACTCTATGGGGTACACTGAGTTGAGTCCAGGATGATGAAGGGAACGATGACTCTCAGTTGGTTTATGGACCGTAAAATATTTATTGTAATATCATAAAAGCTGATTGGATTATGATTACTACCACTAGACTAATTCATCTGAAGGCACCTTAGTCAAACAAGTGTGTAGTTGAATACATTAAAGGCATCTCAGTTCTCTACATAAATGACGACTAACTGTGAACTGCCATATTGGTAAGGTCTTTTAACTAAAATATACTATATTGTTCAGGAACAATGGTCTTTACTTTACCTGTTTCCAAATAACTCTCAACATTCTCTACAACAAATTCTTCCATAGTCTGGATTGATTCAATTGCATGTGTACCCATATGCGGTAATGCAACCACATTGGGTAAAGATACCAATTCTTTATTATAATCCGGTTCATTCTCAAACACATCCGAACCATAAGAACCAACTTTACCCAGTTTCAAATGGGCAATCAATTGAGATTCATCAACAACAGCCCCACGAGCCGTATTGATTATTATCACTCCATCTTTCATCTTGTCAATGGCTTCATTGTTGATGAAATGGAAAGTATGGGAATTCAAAGGAATACTAATCAATATGACATCACTGGTGGCAAAGAATTCATCTAATGAACCACAATATTCAGTACCTTTCTCTAAATCTGATGATAACTGATTTCTATTGTAGTATTGTATCTTACCGAATCCAAATGGTTTTAATCGATCACGAATAGCTCTACCAATACCACCCATACCTAAGATCCCCACTGTTTTATTTCTTGGTTCTCTCCCTAATGGTGCACCACCAGCCTTGGTTTGGGGCCACTTAGTAATTTCTCTTTGGCCCCAGGAGTAGTTACGCAAACAATCGAGCAAAAGAAATACGGCTGTATCAGCAGTTGGAGCTTCCACGGGAGTAGTCACGTTAGAAACTTGAATACCTCTGGCACTCAATGGAGCAATATCAACTTGATCATATCCCGCTCCACAATGACTAACAGTCTTAACTGAATCTGGTAACGCTTGGGCAATTTCTTCATCAAATCTACCAGTGTTATTGACACTTTCAAAAGTTCTGGTTATGTTGGTTACATCTTTATATATTGTCTTAAGGTCTTGTAAGAACTCTTGTCTCGTTTTCAGAGTACATTCAATCACTTCAACTCCTTCTTTTGATTCAAGTTGATTCCATTTGGTTTGGGCATAGAACACCTTCCCTATTCTCAAGACCTTTGCTGTGTTAGTTGACATAATTGTTGAACTAAATGCTCGGATCATGAATCTTTACTTACTGTACAGATACCATATTATATATAGACTACTGATACACCTTTTCGATAATCATAATAGAGAGATTGAAAGCCGTTGTGGGGGAGACGTGGGGGAAAATGCACATGTGGAGGATCGTGGGGGCTACGATGGGGGATTGGGGGTTGTGGGGGTAAACTTAAATTAACTAGGATAAAACTACAAGAGTTGTAAAATATATATTTATACGTATGTATGTATTCACGACATTGTATAGTTCAGAATCTTTCATAATGGCCGCAACAAGGGACGCTTTTGTATACGTCCGTGAAATTATTCTGGTGCACTGTATATTGCGATATTATTAACTGTATAAATTGTGGGGTATACCTTGCCACAAGACATAATATTATTGTTAAATCCAATTATAACATTGCTCATTACGCTAAATTACAGACTAACGGTCTCTGGTACTGACGTTTACTTTATTATGAGGTTTCAACTCGGACATAAGACTCCGTTCGAACGGAAGGAATGGCATATTACAGCGCAGTATAAAATCAGTGCTCACGTACATTCTGTAGAACGGAACTAATAGTCATTGTCTTATAGCCATCATCTAATAGTCCTCTTCATGTGCCTTCCATCGCTTTCGATCACTTGAAACCTGGGGATCTGAAGGTTTATATTTTTTACGAGGCACGGTTATAAAGGAGAACAAGCTATGATGACGTGTGGTCTGACATAATCATACTCCCTAAAAATACTGTTTGCTCTCACTCACCCCCTTTAATTCACCACAATATACGAGAAAGGTGATTATATACACCATTATTTAAGTATAGCATATAAATATAAAATAGCATAGCCCATCTAAGAGTATTTATGAAAGATTCGATATACATTGATATTGTGATCATTTTTAATGGACTCAAGACAGTACGTGGGACTGCCACCTACGACTATTAACATAGCCCAGAATCGCGATCACATCTCTAATTCCTTTCATGCCAAAATGCTGAAACATATATCTCGTTCACATAGTGGAGGAGGTTCAGGATTGAGCAGTGGGAGTATCACCAAGTCTACTGTTCACCCTCATACCAGGCGGGGATCGGGTACTCTGGGATCTAAACCCAACATCCAAGACTACGATGAAGATGACGATGATGACGGAGACGGCCATGAGCGGAAGAGACGGGATAACAACAATGAAAAGATTCAAGAATTACTATCATTGATTCCTCAGACTTATTTTGAAGAAGACGAATCCATTAAAAAGGAGGGTAGTAGTATAGATGATTTAAGTGGTGGAGCAAGTGGTGGAGGCGGGTTTGGAGTCACTTCAGGAGTCAAAGCAAGTGGTACTAAAGATGGGAAACCTAATAAGGGTCAAATCTTGACCAAATCTTTAGATTACATGAAAGACCTTCAACAAGCTATTGACCAGAATAACCAAGAGGAAGTTCAATTACTTATGAAGCTAGAGCTACTAAAACGAAAAAAACATATAATTCCATCAAATACACCTATCAAATTAGGGCATACAAGCGGACAATTGGCTTTGGGAAAAATAGGAGTGGGTTCTGGTGAACTTGTGGAAGAGTATTTTAAGACAATTATTATTTCTAGTGCTCATACTAAACGGGGGATTCAATAATAATGGGGAGGGTTGACATTACGTTTAAATTTCAGATTTTGACTCCACAAATTGTAGTTATAAGAGTAACATATGATTGGATTCTAATATATTGTAGGTTATTATAAACTGTTAGTGTCTTACAAATGTTGAATCATACCCAAGCAATTGACTTCTTTTTGAAAGATACCATATAATCGTGAGATAATCATAAGGAATAGTGATAAATCATGTATAGTTATGAATCTGATTCTTCTAAGGCAGGTATAAGTCAGCCCCTTTAGCTTAGTGGTAGAGCGTTGCACTTGTAATGCAAAGGTCGCTAGTTCAATTCTGGCAGGGGGCAATTTTTTTCTCTTTTGAAAGTTTGCTTTCTCACCTAGAAAAAACATATGATTGATCCCCCCTCTATGAAACATATACTAACTCTCCCCCACTTTTTTTGGTAAGACAAGCGAGTGAAAAAGGCTTTGGATCGAATCTAAACGCACGACACGACACAACTGTGTGAAGTAATTAGTGTTAGGGTTTTAACGTTGTCTGCAATGATAAGTTTAGGCTCACGACATTTGAGATCGCCATTGGTGGCAAGAAGCTCAGGATTATGGTTAACAAAATCAACGAATCATCTACTCAATACGAACACTCTAAATATTCTAGAACGGCACTTTGGGACTCTACTCATGAAGCTGCTGCGTCAGAGTATCCCTGTGCGATCAATCACCACACTGAATATGAATCGTAGTATGGTTCCAAGACGCAACATTGGGTTTGGGTTTGTTAAAGTGATGGGTAAAGCTGTTCGGGTCCCCGCTTATATTGGGGGAACCGTTGCTGCTGGTGGTTCATGGCTTGCTTATAAGATGGAACAGGCACAAAGCTTTACTCAAGATAAGTTTGATCAATTCAAAGATATGGCTGATGGTGTAGGTGATTTCTTCAAGTCGTTTGGAGGTAGTGGTGGCAGTGGTGGTGGCAGTGGTGGTGGCGAAGATGGTACCGCTAAGGCCATGGGTGCCACTGCTGCAGCTGCTATTGCTGGTGATGAAGATGATGAAGATGTCAACGATGACAATGACAATGAAGATGAAGACGAAGAAGCTTTGATAGAAGAAGATGAAGATGAAGAATTTGATCCCAATGATATAGAAACAGAAACAGAAATGTTAAACTTGACAAGACAAATGATTGAAATCCGTAACTTGTTAATCAACATCAACCATGATACAATAAAGTTGCCATCCATAGTCGTTATTGGATCTCAATCAAGTGGTAAGTCCTCAGTCTTGGAAAGCATTGTTGGTCAAGAATTTTTACCAAAGGGAAACAATATGGTAACTAGAAGACCAATTGAATTAACATTGGTTAACACACCAGAATCAGCAGCTGATATGGCAGAGTTTCCTGCTTTAAAGATGTTCAACTTGACTGATTTCCAACAAGTTCAGAAGGTATTATACGATTTGAATATGGCAGTATCACCTTCTGAATGTATTTCCAATGATCCTATTCAAATTACAATCAAGTCGCCCAGAGTACCCGATTTATCACTTGTTGATTTACCAGGTTATATTCAAGTGGAAGCCGCCGATCAACCTCCAGAGTTAAAAACAAAAATTAGAGATTTATGTGATCGTTACTTGAGTGAACCCAATATCATCTTGGCTATATCTGCAGCTGATGTTGACTTAGCTAACTCTGCAGCTTTAAGAGCCTCAAGAGCTGCAGATCCTCGTGGTGAAAGAACAATAGGTGTTGTTACAAAGCTTGATCTTGTTGATCCAGAAAGAGCAAGAACTATATTGTTGAATAGAAAGTATCCATTGAAAATGGGATATGTTGGTGTTATTACAAAAGTGCCTTCACCTTCACTGCCCAAGTCTTTAGTTTCAACCTTTGCTTCAAGAAACAAATTAACCGGTTATCAAGCTTACGTTGCTCAACAAAACTTTGAACATAACTATTTCAAAGATAATAAGTCTGAGTTTGTTGGAACAACCACTGGACTGAAGAACTTGAAGAAGAAATTGATGAAGGTTTTGGAAAAGTCTATGGCTAATTCCTTGAGACCTACACATTATGCAGTTCAACAAGAATTGGAAGAAACAAGTTACAAATTCAAGGTTGAATTTAATGATCGTCCATTAACTCCTGAAACTTATTTGGCAAGTAATATTGATATGTTGAAATTGGCAACGAAGGAATTAAGTCATAAATTTTCAAGAAAGGAATTAAAATCATTGTTGAAGAATGAATTGGATCAAAAAGTTCTAGAACTTTTGGCAGAAAGATATTGGAATAAGCCTGTTGGTCTTGGAACTGATTTTACAATAATTGAACCAAATTTAAAAGAATTATCCCAAATTACTAATATTGATGACGATATTTATTGGCATAAGAAATTAGATTTGGCATCCAGTTCTTTAACAAAGTTGGGAGTTGGTAGGTTATCTACAAGTTTAATTACCAATGCTTTACTTCAAGAAGTTGAAAATTTGGTTGATGGAACTCAACTTCGTAATCATCCAATGGCTCGTAAAGCTGTTAAGGAAGCTGCTCAATCGGTGTTAGCAGGTAAATATTATTCTACTGCTGATCAAGTTGAAAACTGTATTAAACCATTCAAATATGAAATTGAAATAGAGGATAGAGAATGGGCAGCCTCAAAAGAGGATACCACATTATTGCTCAAAGAGGAAATCAGACAATGTGATGATGCATTTAACTTGTTGAAGAAACAAATTGGTGGTAAGAAATTAAAACTGGTGATGTCATATTTGGAGAAGTTGAATAAAGTTCAAAATGACCAACAAGCTTTAAGCATGGACTCCAATGAAGCCCTTGGATTTTCATCTAGTTTAATTCACAAGGGTCAATTGGGACTATTTTTAAAGGATAGGGCATCACTTTTGAAGATGCGATACCTGTTTGTTAAGAACTCCAAGAAATGTAAAAAGCAAGAGAATAAGTACCAATGTCCCGAAGTTTTCATGGATGTTGTTACCAATAAGTTGACTAATACTGCCATATTATTTTTAAATGTTGAGTTATTGAGTGATTTTTACTATAATTTCCCAAGAGAATTAGATGTCAAGTTTTTCCAAAACCTTACCAAAGATGAAATTGATGCATTTGCTAAAGAAGATCCCAAAATTAAGAAACATATTGAATTACAAGAGAGAAAGGATTTATTGGAGAATGCGTTAAGCAAGATTGAAAGTATATTGGCGGTTCAAAGAACCAAAGGAGCTTCTCCAAGCCCTGTTACCAAACATCCAACGGGATTATTCTCGTGGAAGTAGGCAACTAATAAATTGGCTGGTTCACCTCTCTATCCCATCACCTCTTGTATATAGTGAAACATTGACGCTTAATGAAGGATTTTAACAATACGGTCAAACAAAGTTTCAAGTTGAACACCTTCAGTGTTTTCAAACACTGGTTGGAAGGTGTGAACGTCAACCAATTTCGATATAGTGTCATTTTCAGCAATATTGTCATCATCATGAGAGCTTATATTTTTCAGTTTCATAGAGACGTTTCTATTATTGATGATATCAGCAGTAGCGTGGGCATTGAGCAACATTGATTTAACTGCACTTGTCAATTCTTGGGGTTGAATATCATCATCGCCTTGATCATCAACACTACTAGTGGTGGACAGGAAGTTCCCAACCCTAGAATCCAAATCAACGAATATGAAGGAAGAGTTATAGCTTCTAACACAAGAGATGCCTGTATGGTAATCACGAACATCAATAGGTTCAAGACTCTTGGGGTCAAACACCACCAATTTCGACTTAATCACCAAAGCTGCATCTTTGGTAGTGTCATAGTAGTTGATTGCCAAACATATTGATTTCGTTAATTGGTTGATGGCTATGTTTTGTTTGGGGGCATTGACAGCAGCTACCAATTCGTTCAATTGGCCAGTCAATAAGTTGAATGATGATATTCTGGATTTCGACAACACTATCAAATTGTTATCTATGATGGAAACTGATTTTATAGGAGACCCGGACACCGACGGAATGGTAAAGTCATTTGGCAGAACCATTTCAAACGTTGAAGTGACAATTGGTATTAATGAATATTCATATCCAAGTACTATCAACGAACCGTCACGTGACCAGCAGATATCTATTGAGTCGCTTGAACTTTGAGCAAAACTGGGTCTAGACTTTCTGATAGTCCAAGCTGTTTGTTGTTGTTGTTTATTGTTAGTGGATGTAGTAGTTGTGACGTCTCTTGGTCTCCATAATCTCAAGCCACCTTTACTGTCGACTGTCAAATATGCTAACCCGTCATAGTAACTGCTTGGTGCGGCGACAATGGACACTATAGGGTTACTGTCACCATGAGGATCTATGATTTTAGTAGACAATTCCCACGACCCAGCCCCATTCTTCTTTGTAGTGGAGTTGGAGGAGGAGGAGTCATTCTTGTTTTCTATGAATCTCCAGAACTTCAAGGCATATTGCTTATCATTCTTTGAGAGCAAGTTGTCAACCTCAGATGTGGAAACCGTATCAAAGGTACACATCCAATCACCGTCGTTGGTGAAGGAAAGCAACGATATGGAAGGATCCAATAACTTGGCTTCGGATCTTACTTTACCTGTGCTGATGATAGGGGCACAGTTTTGAACAAAGAGTTGTTCATTCCTTATAACATCATATGCTTGAATGGAAGATTCGTTAGGGAAATACAAATGGTTGGATTTCCCATTAACTTCAAAGATACTGGTGTAGTCATATTTTAGTTTAGTAAGATCAAATTGTTGTGGTTGTTTAAGGTATTTCTTGGTTGATCTTGCTAATGTTGATGCGATGTCGTTACTAAACTTTGGTTTAATGGAAGTGATTGATAATCTGGAGATCAAATCAATTGCTGAGATCGCCAACAATTCATTTGAATCAAGCATCAAGTTATAGTAATCGATCTTGTTCTTATCGATGGAGATTCTTTCTATGGTACCATTCAACCGTGGTAAAAACTGGGTTTTGGTTGTTTCTAATTGCCAAAACACCAATACCTTTTCCAATCCACCGGAGATCAAATATGTGTTATCGTTAGTGAATTGCAATGCTTTAACTTGGTCAATGTGCCATTTCAATAGCCCTTGAGGTTTGGCTGAATTCAACCCTCCATAGATGATTTGAATGGGTCCTGATATGGTCCCCAATGCTATTGTGGAGTCATTAGACACTGCAACACAAGTTATCTTTGATTTGTATGGGAATGAGATGACTTCTGTTTCAATTCCTTCTTCGGTATCTTCATGCTTGTAATGGTTGGACAAGTCCACGAGTAATATTTGGTTATCAGACGTGACAAAGGCTATTTTCGATGAGTTTAAGGAATAAGAATATCTAAGGACATTCTTAGCTTCATAAATAGGAGATGTTGAAGAAGACGAGGCTTTTCTCACCTTAACTAAGGTTCTTGTATGAGGAGACCCCCCACCCAATTTCTTATCTTTCTTCCCTATAATCATATAGTAATATTCTGGAGTGACGTGAACCACCGATAACAATGATGAGTCCAAAGTTAATTGATGTGACAGGAGAACTGGTTGGGCAAGTCTTTCCTTCCAATTGATAGTGATAATCTCACCGGTACTCTTAAATAAAAGTAAATGAGATGAGGAGGAACTTTCCATCCGCATTTCAATGAGCTCATCCAAGTCAATGTCAATAGTCTTGATACATTGTCGAGTAGATACGAAATAAACTCTTATTTGATGAGTAAGAGCCACAATGGCATGTTTCCCATCCACGGAGTATATCATAGATCCATTTTGCGAATACGGCAACACCTTGGGTGTACCGCCAGTTAAGATGTCCACAGACCACATAATACAGGACTATTGCAACACTATGACAGTCGGTAAAGTGTAGTACAGTGTAGTATAGTAGCAGTACAGTACACAACAGTACAATATATCTCCAGCAGAATAGTAACAGTAGATTAACAGTAGTACATCATCTCATCGAATTTTTTTTCAGCGCAAACCGCTGTTTTGTGTCACGATGCGAACTCTGAAAAAACTTCATCACCAAATTGATTACACCACTATCACAACTACAGTACTACTACACTAATAGTGCTATTCCTATTAGTGCTATATAACAAGATACTGTGTACAACTACAAGACTATAATATACGTACAGTTGTTGACTATAATATATTGTTACCGACTACTACTATTTCTGACTACTACTGTTACTGCGTGCTGCCATAATATACTATACCTTCATAACATGATTATCCCTATTAGATGCTTCTCGTGCGGTAAAGTGGTCGGAGATAAATGGGAAACATATTTAGAATACTTGCAAGACGATTCCATGACTGAAGGTGACGCCTTGGACAAGTTGAAGTTGAAGAGATACTGTTGTAGACGGATGGTGTTGACACATGTGGATTTGATTGAGAAATTTTTACGTTATAATCCTTTGGAAAAGAAGTCGTCATAGGAACAAATAGGAACGATATACTATATAGGTATAATAGGCATACATACTGTTAGTGTAATAGTGTAGTATACTACGGTGCTACTATACTGTACTGTACTGTAGTTTGTACACTCGGTATATACTGTAGTACTATAGTGGTGGAGTATTAGTGTACTACTCTGTACTACTCTGTACTACTCTGTACTAGCCTAGTCTATTGTCAGCTGCTTCGGAATCAACATTCTGAATGTATTGATAAAAGAAGGCTGTCAATTCCAAATGACCATTGAGCCTAATCTTTTCATCAACACTATGAATGTTATTCTCTCCCAACATATCAATAAACATTGGGGAAAACCTAAAGATATGGGAGGTTAAATCCCAATAATGTTTGGTGTCAGTATTAGCAGGCATAATCGCAGGGGCAACTATAATTGGTTCGGTCAAGTTCTTTATAACCAAGTCTTCAAACACATGTCTAGTGGTACCAACAAGATAATCCCAAACCGTATCGTTAAATGGAGATACTGGAGCAGGTTCTAAAGCTTCACCAAATGTTTCAACGATAAATTTAGAATGAGTGGATCCTTGGTAGACAATTTCTCCATAACTTTCCAAGGTAATGTTATGTTTCTTTGCAATTTTCAATACTCGATCACTGAAATGTTGTTTGACTTGTTCAACGCTGGAATCAACAGAAATTCGATGGTTCACCAAGAGTTCAGAATATTCAGGTAACGCATTGGCCTTTTCTCCTCCACGAATAACGTCGCAAGATTGAGAGGTTTTGATTAAATACTTGGAAATTGGGATTCTTTCAAGATATTCAACTAGTTTGGAATTGGCAACTTTATTGAATGAAGATCTTAATATCGTTTTTCGAATAATAGAGGAAAGTCCCGTGGCATGGACTGCAAAGCATTGCATGTAACGATATAATGGATTAGAACTTGTTAATATTGAAGGGTAAGGATCATTCTCAATTTCAAAGGTTAATTCTGAAATAATCCCAATGGTTGTATGATCTGGTGGAACAGATGAATGACCTCCTTGAGCACCCAATTTAACAGTTAAATCTAAGTATCCCTTCTCCCCATTGGCAACAGTTGCCACAATCAGTTTACTGAAGGGAGTATAATAAACTCCAGGTCCTTCGTCAATAATTGCATAAAGAGAATTTTGACCATATTTTTCAACAAGAAATTCATTAATAAACTTTGCTCCTTGATATCCAGAAACTTCTTCATCAAATCCAAATACTGCAAGTAAACTTCTTTGAGGTTTGAAGCCATTAATAATCAATGCTTCAAAAGACTCCATTATAGCAATCAAAACATTCTTACAATCACTGGATCCTCTTCCATAAACAAACGTACCATCATAATGGCCAGCAAGTGGAGGATGAGTCCATGCGTCTAAAGTATCTGATTGAATAGGAACTGTATCTTGATGAGCAGTTAACATTAAAGGTTTCAATTTAGAATTTGACCCTTTCCATGTTAACACGATTCCATAAGTATTGACTAAATCAAGGTCCAAGGTTTCATAAACCAAAGGGAATTCCCGTTCAAGAAATTCATGGAATGCTTTAAATTTAACCCAATATTCTGGATTCGATTCAACTGATGGTGGTTTATCAAATACTTGAGTATCAATTCGAACCGATTCAGATAATCTACCAGCAGATTTAATTCGATATTCGGGGCCATGGATCATTTTCCACGCAACACTAGTATCTGAGGGGACTATTGGTGCAGCTAATGGACACGCAGAGGGATCTATGGTTTGAATTGCAATACCAACATAACTAATCAATGGGGTGTATAAGGCAATTAAAGCCACAACCAATGGGGTTAAAAGAAACCATTTCCATGATTGTACTTTATCAACTTCTTTTGATTCTGCCATGTTCAATTGAAGATTGTCGATTGGGGATTGTCAAAAACAGAGCATAATCTGCGGAGATACCATCCTACTTATATATCCAGGGTAACTTGGCACCGTTGATCATCTTTGTACGACAACGATCCTATAAGATCCAATTTACGAGATTGGAACGTCATTGCGAGAGTGCGGAACCAGTGAGCCTAAGGTAGTGCACCATAGATACAGTATTGACTAGGTACACTATAGGACATTCTATGCTGCTGTAAATTGTTGTATACCATAGAGTGCTGTGTACTGTTGTGTACTGTTGTGTACCGTTGTGTACTGTTGTGTACTGTTGTGTACCGCTGTGGACTATAGACTGCTGTGTACTGTTGTGTGCTATAGGACAGTGTAGTTGTGTATGGCCAATTGTAGTGTGTGTGTACCTTTCTCTTTCTATTATATAAGATCAAACAAAAATGATGTTCAGACACAGGAAATTACCACAAGCATTGTTCTTTAGTTGTAGTACTATTACAAATCTATTGTTCTAAGATGATATCAAGTATTGGACTGTAAGGATTCTATTTGTGCTCTTAACGAGTCGTTTTCAGCTTCTAAAGACGCTAAGACTTTTGACTTTTTATCTCTTGTGGTGACCAGAGTCTCGGCTCTTTCTTCGGCTCCATTAACGTCGACGCCCAAGTCTCCAATATGATCCATCATGTCGAGATTCACACTAGCTTGTGACAAAATTCGGATCCAATACTCAAATAGAATTTGTGTGTGTTCAGCTGATTCATTGGCTTGTTGCAAGTTCAAATTGGTGGATCTCACGGATGATACAATGTTGGTGAGAGCCTTGTTAAGTTTCTCTAATTGCATTAACTCTCTTTCTGACATGTTATGTAAATAGTTAGGGGATTGTAGGGGGTACAGGTGGGTGAGTAGACTTCACTAAGTGGTAAGAGTACAGTTGTTGTATAAATTAAACAATCTCGCGTTTCTCTTGATTTCCACACCCGAACATCCAATGTTGGTAGCGCTCGTTCCCGGTAATTACCACCGGCATTTCTAAATTGCGACATGAACCGGAATGTCCGATATTACCGAGGTTGGTTTCATCAGTGTCTTCCATTCATTTACAGCGATACACAACATAACTTTAAGATAAGCTTCAGTTTGTAATGAGAGTACAGTTCAATTGTTATACTCGAAATTGAATTAAAGTATACTTTTTTTGGTTAATCCAATCATCGAATCTTGTGTGTATACTGAATAAATTTTGGAGGAAACTCCAACTTAAGTGTGGAAATAAAATTATCCATAAAAAAAACATTAAATAAGAATTAAAGTCAATCCTTATAACTTTATCTTCAACGAGCGCTTCCTCATCACTATAAGCCAACTTCATTCACATCTATTTTAAGCTTATGCCTACATTAGTTCAGGACTTAATTTATATACGGCCGAATATACACCTGCATAGATAAAGTCGTGTACAACCAACCGACTTATTGACGACATTACCATCGATAAACAACCGGGTTTAAAAACAAGTCCACCACCGATACTTCTCTTCTTGCTCTCTAAAGTACCACAAATATACACACCTAAACTATGAGTGGCTTCAACTCATTTGGTAACCTGTTAACCTTCCATTCGCAGCCTTCAGGTGCTTCAGTTGATACCAGTCTTAAAACTGATCCTTCAATCTCCAACCGTGGTGGGGTCCTGGTCTCCGTGCCTACTCAATCGGTAGGCGGAGGAGGAGGAGGAGGAGGACTACCCGAACATCAGACTTCTCAAAATGAGGCTACTTCACAGCAACTGGCTACTCAGCAAGTAGCAGCAGCAGCGGCTGCTGCTGCCTCACAGCAACAGCAACAGCAACAGCAGCAACAACAACAACACCATCATCAACAACAGCTGCAACAGCAACAGCAGCAGCAACAACAACAACAACAACAACAGCAGCAGCAGCAGCAACAGCATCAGCAGCTCCAACAACAACAGCAACAACAACAACTGCCAGGTGTTGGTCAAACGTTGCAAAATCACTTACACATAATTCAAATGCAACCTAAAAGGCGTAACAAGCCTGGCCAAAGATTTGGAGCTAAGAAGCGGTCTTGGGTATGGAATTGTTTCACTCAAGATTCTGAAAATGCCAACATTGCCGTTTGCGAATTATGTGGAAGAGTTATTATGAGATTGGCATCAGATAAAGGGTCTCCCAAGAAACTTATAGAACATTTGCGTACTCACAAAGTGAGTAAAGAAGACGTTTTAAGTAATAGACCCATAATTGTGGGTAACTCAGGATATACGTTTATCCCCCGTAACCAACCTTTTGAAGACGGACATCCAGGTGATAGTTTGGTACATGAATCCCAAGCCGTTGATCCAACTGGAAATATCAACAATCCACTGCAACTGGCAGCTGATTCTGTTTCTCAACAAGTTATTCCCTATGGTTCAAATCAACCAGATGATGCTGGTAGTCCTGGTGGTGGTGAAGGTTCAGGAGGATCGCCTGTTCAAACAAGACCAATCTATAATAGTAATAGACGGTTTGTATCAGACAAATTTGATAACAGTCCATACACAACTACCAAATTTCACAAACATTTGCTTACCTTCTTACAAGAAAACGAATTACTGTTTGCTGTTCTTAGGTCTCATTCGTTTTTACAGTTGATCTACGATTTACGGTCCAACTCTGTGTCGGAAGTATTGGAGTTGGGGAAGTTGTATTCCTCAGTAATTGAAGTTTCAAGGTTTGCCAGATCTGAGAATGATACCGAGGAATAAGACACTTATAAATAATCGTATTACTTTGTATAACTGTATAATAACAATAGCTGTATTTTTATAACCGTAAGTCATCAAGATCAACTATATGATCAATGCTATTGTTGTGGGAGATAGTGAAATTACCCACTATAGGAGTCTCTCCAACACCATATAAAACGTGTGGAGTTTGTCTCAACATAGCAGACGTCATAGGACTGAGAGTATTGGGTGCTGGAGATGCAATGGCAGCAATTGAAGTCTCTTGGTAAGTTGGTGGACTTAACGTGCGGACATCTTCATACGTTGGAGGAACTTCATCATCCCAAGCTATTCCTAGACCTGAACGTTCAGTAACAATTAACTTGAATTGCATACGCAATACTCGAGCAGACCCAGTGGGGACTCCATATTGAGTTTGAGTTGAAGCTTGTGTTTGTTGAGGAGAATTGGTGTTTGGTGTGGTTGCAGATACTGCCAGAGCTGATGAATCCACTGGAGTCAAGCCATTATTATTATTGCCAGAACCAGATCGATGTCTTCTTGACTTCAGTTCATTTTGAGTGTGTATTAACTCTTCAGCAACAACAAGTTCCACAACCAACGTGTGGTTCACAAACACTCCCAATGTAGGATCATCTATATCACACGAAACATTTGCTCCATACCTTAACCCTTCTTGGGTTTCATCTGGAGAAGAATCATTGGAAGTCTTGGAACTTGAATATTTACCAACGCCAGTAGAAAATCCCAGAGCATTGATATCTCCAACTAACTCCACTCTCCCTCTACCGCTAAAGTCCGACTTCCATCCTGATCGAAGTTCTCCGTGACTAATGGTTCTTGTCTCTTCTAAATAGACGTCTTCATGGTTTAGTTCTTCCTCAGGAATCACCACTGCCGGAGGCCTAGCAATCGAAGTTGCCTGAGCCCTGGGTATCGATGAAGAAGAAGATGAGGCGTTCATATTTGATTCGGTATTGTTTGCTCGGGGCCGGTTCTGGGGATGTATGAAATCTTCAATAAAACTTTCGTATACTCTGGCAGGTGCACTGGAATTTTCAACTGGTTCTTGTTCAACATCATCATCATTATCTTGAATTTGGGGTGTATTTCTTTGTGGTGGATTTGCTCCTGGAGCTGCTCCTGTGTGAGCCTCAGCCTCTGCCTGTAGATTGAGATAATGTTGTCTTTGTTGGATATATTGTATGGATGGTGATACACCATACAGGGTTCCAGTTAAGATTGTAGAATGATGATAATTTGCATTAGTCTTGGGTCCATCACTACCACCCCCATTATTACTAGTGGATGGTGTCAAAGAGGGAGACCCATCAGAACCAGGTTCATGTTTAGAAGAAAAGGAAAGAGCAGGTTTGCCATTCTTTTCCTTATAACCGTCTTCAATCAGTTTAAGTTTCTTGAGATGTTTCTCACATACCAGAGCTTTCACTTTGGTTTGTTCTTCAATTCGCCAAGTTAACTTTCTCATTCTCCATCGTTTATCCATCTTGGAGCTGACCACATTCTCTAGTCTCAATTCAATGGGAAAGGTGGATTTAGGATATATGACGTTGGGTAACACCGCACTGGCCGTGATCTCCGTAGGAGGAAATACTCTTAGTGAGTTCCGATCGGCGGTTCTTAAGATTGAACGAGATATATTTAAAGGTAGTTTGACACTGATCTCTCGACTTGATGACCCCGGACAAGTGGCCACAGCCACAATGTCGTACTTAATATAAGAACAAGAACTAGCCAGTCCTAATTTGGTTGAAGCTGGCAATGAACCAGGCACTAAATGAGAAAAAGGGTAGGCATGTTCTCCTCGAGGAAACAGAGCTTTACCGGTTAAAACATCCCATCTGGCCAATACGGTTTTCTTAGTGGAGCAATCCTTACAGCTTGTAACTGAACCGCTGGATATCATGAAGGGTTTTGTATATTTCATCGACTGTTCGAGGAAAAGAGTCACTGACTCCAATTCAAACTCTTCAGCGCCTGAAGTTGGTGCCACATCTAACTTCAATAGTCCAGTTAATATGGACCCAGTGGATTCATGTGGTTGTCCATATAAAACTATAGGGGGAGACTCCAACTTGATACTTAGTGTGAAGTCTGGATGACCACCATGAGACGATGATGAATGAAGTAGGGAACTACTACTTCCTTTGGCGGCACTTGTTATCCCTTGGGATAAACTTATAGGTGTTGATGAGCGAGTGTTTCTGGTTGTAGAGTCTCGACTTGATGTAGGGGTCAATGAAGGGGAGGTTCTTTCAGATCCTCCATGGCCATGATGCTTCAATACACGTGAGAATAACAGCATTGTATATATACGTATATATATATAACTGTGTGGGTTGATAAGAAGCTAATAAATACTTTCTTCCTATGATAAACCTGTATGGGTGTAAGCGTACAATCGGTCTCACAGTAGCGTAATTGTATCACAATAAGTGGGGCCAATGTTCAGTAGTTTTGTGTGCATTAAAGTTGCCCCAACGTAAGGTCAGTTATGTGATGTCGACCTGAAGTAGTCAAGCTGAAGTAATCAATGAGATGAGCCACAGTTAAATAAAGTAGCGTATTTTATATTGAAAGCAGAAACACTTTAGTTTAAATAGTCCTGATAAATTGAAATGAATTCAATTGAGGAACACCGTCGTAGTACGTTGCTACGTTATACGTATCAGGGGTTCAAAGCCAGAACGGAACGGATTTATTGTTGGGGGGTTCTATGTTGGTTCGTATTATCAGGATAGTTGTAAAATAAATGTTTCTTCGGAGATCACCGACAGCGCATATATCGATACACGACATCGAAGATGTGATTTACAAACTTCTCCCACATGCATATGGGTCAATTCTGTGTACACCTTACTTTTAGTGTAAGGGGATAAGGTTTCGGAGCTGGCCAAGTGGAGAAGGAAAGAAGCACAGAAGAAGCAATGAGTTGAAGGAGATGAGCTTGAATGAGATGAGCTTGAATTGAGATGAGCTTGAATTGAGATGAGCTTGCGGTGCAGTAACTATACGCACTTCCAGAGACGAATATTGAGATTGAAAGTAGATACCATATCACCTATATCCAGTAGTAGTAGTAGTATTCGATAGAATATTAAAGGCTTACTGTATTATGTATGGGTGGGTGCGGTCACAGAGGAAAGTAGTGGCTACGATCACGTGACTAAATACGTGTGTATACCGAGATAGCCATCAACAGATCTCTACTCAGTGCATATTTACTATGTATGTTAACGACTACAACTATCACAAGTATAGTACGCTTTCTGTACATAGTCATGACATTCTTAGTGATAGACAATGGTTCATATAATATAAAGGCAGGAATAGATAATGTTCAAAAGGTTCAAAACTGCATCTCCAGAGCAAGAGATGGTACCGTATATATTGGGAATGATTATCTCCCCGTACCCAATGCCTATTCAGGATTAATAACCAAGAGACCAATAGATCAAGGTCATTTGACATCATGGGAGATAGAGAAACCTATTTGGGATTATACATTAGAAAAGATAGACCGTCGATTAGATCCACTGCAATTGAGTTTATTGTTAACAGAACAACCTTATCAATTACCACAACTTTCTATGAACACTGATCAAATAGTATTTGAAGAATATGGATTTCAAGAGTATTATCGATGTATACCAGCAGCGTTAGTTCCCTGGGCACAATCGGCGTCAATATCAACTGAAGAAGGATATGTTGATGATTTTGAGTTGGTGATTGATTCAGGGTTTCAAGCTACTTGGATAGTTCCAATGATTTATCAGAATGTTTATTGGAACGGTATAAAGAAGCTCCCCATTGGGGGTAACTTACTTAATGGGTTACTTCGAGAAACAATATCATTTCGTCATTATGACATGACAGAGGAACCCATATTAATTAATACTATAAAGGAAAATGCATTATTCATGGCCAAAGATTTCAACAAGGCGTTAAAGGAGAAAGTAACGTGTGACTTTGTCTTACCTGATTTTAAAACAACCACCACTGGGTATGTTAAAAAACCCAATGAAAAATTACCCAATGATACTCAAGTCTTGAGACTTAGTGATGAAAGATTTGTTATACCTGAAACATTCTATCATCCGGAACGGATTTTTGATAACTCCACTGCATATTCTAAGCTTTCTACAATCCAAGAGGCTAACCTTAAGAACATTACCGATTTAGTTATTGATTCTATTATGGAATGTCCCGAAGTATCCAGACCTTTATTGAGTGCCAATATCTCTTTGGTTGGGGGGAACATCAATATACCCAATTTCAAACATCGACTTGTTGACGAGTTAAAAAAGGAATTACCTTCTGAATATTCAGTCAATGTCAAACAAAGATCTTATAAGCCAGAAGATGTAGCATGGAATGGAGGAGTTAGTTTATCACAAGCTGATGTCATGGACAACTTAAAGGTTACAAAGAAGGAATACTTTGAACATGGAGCTAATTGGTGTCAGAAACAATTTGGATTCAAAAGGTGATTTCCGATGCTGCTTACAATACTTGAATTAAGTTATTATAAGTAAAATAACGACTGAAAAGAATCCATGGATATCTAAAGGATTCCATTTGACTGAAATGACCAAAAGACATGGCACCAAACGATAACCCCAAAGTATTCATATCACCAAAGAACTTTATAGACGATTCTTCTTCATTAGGATTGGAGAAGAAACTAATATCAATCCCGATTTGGAAGATGTTCCGTGCCAATAATCTAGGAAGTTGGATCACAAGATACTCGATATTGGTGAGGATAGTTGAAGTATATTTTTCAAATACATTGAAGGTCTTCAACTTGTATAGCCTATAGTCATTGGATAATGATTTATAGTAAGTATCAAAGAACTTCTTGGTACCTTCATATGTTGCTATATGATTGGGATGGCCAGAAACACCCCCTTCATCAAAAGTAATCAAGGTAAGCGGATTGTGAAGTTGTTGATGATTGGTGCCTATAATTGAAGCCAAATCATTGACTATTGAATCCAATGGCCAAGTTTCGTTCATTCCATCTCTATAATTGAGCACAAACACATCATCCTTATCAATGCCATAGATTCTGGCAGCACTAAGTAATTCTTCCTTTCTTAATGACCCCATCGATGGACTAACATAGTCACCGGGCAGCAAACAAATCAACTTGACACTATTGTTGTGTTTGGGACGCAACACTTCAATCAACGAAGGACTAAAGAACATTGTCTCGTCATCTGGATGACCCATCACATAGTACACGGTAGAGTTTTGTATGGGGAGTTGAGATGGTGATATTAACGAGTGGTAGGGGAAGTATCTGGTTTTATAAGTATTGGAGATCACTTCATCATTGAAGTACTTTGTAAGAGTTTGAGGTATGATAGTAGTTAATATTAGCCATAGAATAAATGACCATAGATATGTTTTAATTACCACTTTAGGAATAGCAGTCAACCACATAATAAACAACTGTACAGATAAGCCAACTATACATAAAAGTATAAAGTATATAAAAGACTTGAACGTTATGGAAGTTGTCTTGATCGTGGATGGTTCGGACTTGAGATTGTTGGTGATGGCTTAAGATGCCAACAGATATCATGGGGTACTCAACAATAGTGAGACGTCCAAGTACAGTACGGCACAGTGCAGTACGGCACATTGCACTACAGCACAGAGCACAACTATATGCCTTACTTTCTTAAGAATGTATAACCTGTCTTCCACAGGATCTTGATGTTAGTAGTAGATCTATCCCAGCCACATTCTCGCTCCAACAGTTCAAGTACCAACTCTATGACATTGTCTGGATCATTCGTGGCCTTTTTATAAGCAGAATAGGCCGAGAAGGTCTTTAGATAGTCGCCAAAGTCATTCAATCCAATCGTCTTTTCCAACACTAAATCTTTACTAGAAGGTACTGATTTGGCCGTTGCTGGTTCAAAGGCTTGAACTGTAGTCCCCGTGAAAAGTTCTCTAGGGATCTTGGAGTCAATTTCACGATATCCATTTTGGACTATAGAACGACCAGGTTGTTCCCAATGAGGACCCATATACTTTGGATCGTCATAGACATATTTGCAATAGATGGCTTTGGCAGCGCTAAAGATCCTTTGGTTTTCTTCTTCCAGTGCCTTGTCACTACCAGTGTAGTCCATGATCAAGGGATCAATGTAATACCAATAAGCCAATAAGCCTCCTGGAGTCAAGAGTTTATAAGTCTCTCGGAAGAAAGACTCATAGTCTGTAAACCAATGCAAACACTCAGCGCACGTAATCAAATCAAATGATTCTGGTTGGTCTCTGAAATCTTCAGCACGTCCCTGAATAAAAGTGATCCTCGAAGCATCGGAAATACCTGCTTTCAACAATCGTTCTTGTTTTAGCTTGTTGGCAGTGTCAATCATACCTTGAGATAAATCTAAGCCAATGACTTCCTTCCCTAGTTCTAAGAGGGGATATGTGGCTACTCCAGTACCACATCCAAGATCAATTACTCGATTGACAGGTATATTCTTGGGTTCAAGGGCTTCAGTCAATATCTTGTAGAATGATTGTGGATACTCTGGTCTGTAGGAAGCATACAGTTTAGTGTTATAGGAAGAATCAGAGAATTGTGCCATTATTAGTTTACCGAATCAATGTCTAAGAAACAGGAATCGATTTTATAAGTTAGAGGTATAGCACCATTTATATTTACTTTATATAACTATGGTATATGACATCTTGTGTGATTACGTAATTTGGTAATAACCACCCCCCCCTCCCCCACAAAGAATGTGTCACGCCAACTTTAGTTCCGAGTGGGCCCCCCAAAGCTGTTGATATGTCAAACCCAAGTACCTGTACTTCACCTTAACGTTTACCATACACATACTTGCACTAAATATGCATGTCTTCACTATTAATAAATATATATTCGTTACCTGAATATACTACAACCAATTAAACAACCCAGAATTTGTCTCTACATCGTTTTCACCAATTTCCCTTGTCAGATCCAAAAATGGCACTAACCCCAATGACCCATCGGCTGCAAATTCGTTTGCATAATTCAAACCATTCAAGTTGACTTTGAATGGATCAAATTCAAGTATACTTTCGAGTGACTCTGCAGTAAACTCCGCATCCCCCGTACCGGACGCGGACCCTGAAATCCCAGTGGCATTACCGGAAGCTCCTCCTGCACGAGGAGGACTCACACTATTATTGGTATCAAAGTTACCGTTAATAGTTGATGATGATGATTGTTGATCTCCTCTATCAAATTCCGCCGCAATCGTATCCTGCATCTGCTGCTGTTCCTTTTGTTGTTGCAAGTGAACTCGTTGTGCGTGTTGTCTTGCCTCGAAGATCGGATCCGAAAAAGGAGATGTCGTAGCAGTTGGAATTGAATGGTTACCAAATACCAGTGCAACCTCATGTAATTGTAAAGGTACTTCTTCTTCTTCTTCTGGCCGTGGGCGGGGAGCGTTTATCAAACACGTTGACGAGGAACTTTCATTGGTGGAGTTTTGTACTGGCTGTGTTGATAATGGAGACCTGAATATAGCTTGATTTGAGCTCATCTTGATTTCATTACCAACAATACTATTGCTATTATTACCCTTTGTTCTTATCGATGGAGGTGCACTTTTAACCAGTGGCTTACGCTTGAGAACGTTCATCTTGTTGATGTTGAGTCCTAAAATACTCAAAATCGTTAGTTCAATCACCTTCATTGAATGTTTAGTGATAGAACTGGGGATACCAAAGCTACTTTCTTCATTCAAAATCGACACCGTATCCAAAAGTAATTGTTTCAGTTGTTGATGCAAAGGTCCCCCCTTGGTGTAGTCCAATGCCCCCTTAGATACCCAAAGAGCGATTCTGGCTTGCTCTCTAGGGATACTAAGAGGAATAGGCAAAAGGAAGGCATTGGAAACAGAACTGTTAGATAAACATTTAAGTACTTCCAATATTTGTATTGATGATTGTTGTATCATACTAATTGCTGTAACAAACCCTGAAACATCACTTTGTCCCTTATTGAGTATTTCCTTTTGAGAAAGCCCAACATCATGATGACTCCCATGCTTTGATATTGTTGGCAAGTAAATTAGAATTTTAGCATGATAGAAAAGGTAGATCAACGTCAATTGTTGTTTGTTATAGTAGTTACCAAAATCACCAGAAATAGTGTTTTGATCCTTATCCTTGAGACTAAACCCATTAACGTCTATTTCAAACTTCAACTCAATGGGTAAGTCTCTCCGCCAACAATCCAACATCCTGTCCTTTTTCAATGCATCACTATGGGTATCTCCTTTCCCAGATCTCGAAAACACAGAGTCAAGTATAACCCCAAGAACCTTGCAGAACATCATGAAACTTAAAGTCATTTGGGAAACTTTACCCAGAATAGATAACCTTGTATTATTAACAATTAATATGTTTTCATTATCTTCATCATTATCCTCTTCATTTCCCGATGTTTTCTTACCCGAGAAAGGCATGGCACACTCTATTTCGAAATCTTTTAATAAGCGAGGAATACCCAAATTAAAAGATGAATATGTATCCAAACAATACACACACCAGAACAAAATACGTCTAGTTCCTTGCATTCTTCTTTGAGCTTCATCATTTTGAGCATTAGAAGTTATACCTAAAACTGCAGCAGGACATCTGTGCAATCTTAATTGTTGAGCCATCGAGATAACTCTACCCCGTAATTCATAGCAAGTAGTAATATCACCGATCACAAGACAATATAAGAGTGATAATGATAAGATTTGTAATGATTGCATCGAACAGTCTCTGGTTAGAACACAATTTGGTTGAATGAATTGGTGGATCAACAAATCATAATAATTCAATAGTATCGAATAATCAAATCCTTGTCCATTCCTTCTCAAATATGTGTATTTACTTGTAAGAAGGGCCAAACTTATAACAATCACCAAATATGCCCCAAACTTACTTATTCTACTTCTAAATTCTGTAGTGTCTTCAGCAATGGGTTGATTCTCAATGACTTTGAGTAAACTAACATAATCTCTCAATAAAGAGTTCTTATCAAGAATTGGAAGAGTAACACCCCAGTCCTGACAATATATGGTAATTAATTGGTCTAAGTCAAGCCTAGAAGTGGGGAAACTAAGAAGATCACATATAAGTGTCTTGACTTCTGAAGACGACAAACAATAACCCAATGGTCTATTTAGAATCAACTCTGAAAGTGAATGTATTTTATTTTTGATTTGGGGATTAGAAATATTGGAATTATAGGTATCCTTCAATAAAGCAAGGGAATTGGCAGTTAAAATTGCAGTCTTTGAAGTATAACCAAACTGTTGACAAATCTTTGCTAATAACGTGGGAATAAATAACGTTTCCTCCGTTGAACGGGGAATGGAAGCAGCCACTAATGACGTTAATGCCTGTTGTTTGTCATTATCATGATGACTTCTCATCTGAGCAAACGCAGTAGCAGCAGCAAACGCACCTGGAGCTGGCAGCTGCTCTCTTTTATTATAGGAAATAGTGTGAGTTGAAAATACAGAAGCAGTCTCATCAGCACTAAGCAACCCTTCATCATCATCGTCAGAAAAATAAGAGTTATTGGAAGAATTAAATACATTTGAATCTGTGAAATTCCCATCGTATAAAGAACCGGCAATGGAAACCGGTCTTTCATGAACGGAATGGGCATTAGAACATCCACAAGGACATGCATCACCGTGCTTGTGAGAGTGGTCTATCATTTCTTGTTCATCATGGAGATACAAATTAGAAGAGGTCAACTTCGTAGGAGTCAGTCCAAAACCAGAAGATGATGGAGCAGGTACCAGAGTTCCCACTGTTGGAGTTGGAGTTTGAGCTAATGTCGTTGTTGTTGACGCTGGAGTTTTTATTGAATGAATTCCTTTCGTTTGCAGCAATGTATGTGAAGACATTCCATCTGATCTCATCTGCAGAGCGGGATCAGAAATCGAATCGCCTACAGAAGTAGAAGTAGGAGCAACAGAATTTGAAGGATTAAGCATACCAAGCTGTTCATCTCTCATATCTAATAACCCCAATAACTTTTCATTTTCCTTCTCCAATTGGCGAATTCTTTCTTCTAAAGTTTCTGTATAGCCCTTGGGGAAAGCACGACGGGATAACTTGTCTGAGACAATGCATTTAAATCCCACTGCTTCACAGTTGGAACAAGCAGGACGTTTCCCGTCACATTTGGTCTTCTTAGCTCGACACCGATCACATGCTTGGGCCACACGCTCCATATTGCTTCCTAGTGTTTTAATAGTACGAGTATTTGTTGTTGCGTTAGAGGTTGATTTCTTTGGTTTAGGTTTAGCTAGATTCATTGGGACATTTTGATCAGTGTACTTATTAGCACCGTCAAACTCAACTTTGATGGCATGAGTGTGTAAGGACATGACTAGCAACTGATATTCAATATAATAAGAGTGTCGTATGCCCTTTATATATATATATATAAATATATGTTTGTATATTAACAAGAATGATGCTATCTTTTAATCTTAAGCCGTATAATACAATATCCTTATCTGTTCCCTAATAGGGACGTTGATCTCCTCGACGTTGATCTCCTCCACTGAATGATTGTCTTCGTATATGAGGACAGTAAGGCACTTGTCACGTCAAGTTCCTGGGCTCAGTTATTGCTGCGGTTTCAAGTTGCAATGAAGAGGACGTAATAATACGGAGTATATAAAAGAGTCCTATGAGTAGGTGCATTATTTTTTTTCTCGGACTTGAGTCATAGCAAATTTTCGCACAGAAAACTGGTGAGCCTCGGTGATAAGTAAGTCATGTTCAACCCAGTAACCATAGAGTCTCGGGGATAAAAAATGAAGCGAGTAAGAGTTAAAGCCGAGAATACAGTGCCTGACATAAAGCGTTCCAGAACTTTAAAAGATATTCACATAGAGGTTGAAATAGATGAGGAGGAAATACCAGTGAATGTGTTTCTGTCAGTCACTGAGAATGATCTCCGAGATCTTGAAAACGTTAAGACCCCATTGAATTGGGATAGGATCTATAATGAAGTGGTGGATATGAGAAGCCAGTTTATGGCACCTGTGGATACTCTTGGATGTGAACGAATGCCCAATACCCTTGTGCCTGGATTAAAGACATCTAACCCCAAAGTGTATCGATTCCAATTATTAATATCACTCATGCTATCGTCCCAAACTAAAGATGAAGTTAATTTCGAAGCTATGAAACAACTACATACTTATTTACAAAGTGCTGGGTTCTCTGATGGGTTGTGTTTGCCAGGAATCCAGCTGTTAACCATTTCAGAGATTGATAAATTAATTTGTAAAGTTGGATTCCATAATCGTAAAGCAAGTTATATCAAACAAGCAACAGACCTAGTGGTAACACAGTTCAATGGTGATATACCAAACACTCTACAGGATCTTGTTTCATTACCTGGAGTAGGACCTAAAATGGCTCATTTAATTTTGCAGGCAGCATGGAATATAACTGATGGTATTGGGATCGATGTTCATCTACATAGGTTAGCCAATCAATGGAAATGGACTGGAACTAAAGCCACCCTCACACCGGAAAAGACACGTCAAGAGCTTGAAAAGTGGTTACCTCGTCGTTTATGGCAAGAAATCAATCCATTACTAGTAGGGTTTGGACAAGCTGTATGTGTTCAACAGAAGCCTAACTGTGATGTATGTCTGTTAGCATACAACGGACTTTGTGCATCCCGGAACAAGAAATTGGTTCCCAAGCAAGACCAGCAAATCTCTCCACAAAGAATAGGGAAAATAACAAACCAAAGGGCAGATCTTTCAAAGTTACTAGCAAGATATCATCGGGAAACGGGTTGATAATACTTATGCAATTCTTTAAAAGAAGAAAAGCTTCGGTGGTATGAGTCCTGGAGTTAGGAACAAGACCAATGGAACCCCAGATTTTTTAGCCTTACACAAAAACACCAAACCCCATTTATGTCCGAGAAATTCATCACAACTTTAACAAAAGGGGCACCTAGACGGTGTTTAGAATTTTTATTGTATAACTTCCATATAGAAGAGTGCTAGCATTGAAGCGTAGACACTAGTTGCATTAAGTACCATACAGTACTTCGACACGTATTAAGGTTGATTTCCATATTATAGAATATTATTATTGATATTGTTATGTTAACACCATTACGTCGGTCAACGGCATTGTACACTAGAGACATACGAAGGTTTCTGGTATCATGTATTGCATCTTTTGGTTCTAACTCGTTGGGAGATAACTCCGGTCTTCCTAGAATAACACCTTCGGTAGACATCAACCCAGTGATCCCCCCTCTTAAATACGATGCCACTCGTTTCAGAAACTGGTTATCTATCACTCCTAATAGTGATCCCATAAACAATATTTCGGTGTTTTCTTACAATTTGCTTTCACGACACTACGTGTGGAGACAAGTATTTGGGTATTTAGATCAACTGTACCTTGACTGGACCAATTATCGGTTTCCACTTCTTAATAACACCATAAGACAACTTCAAAGTGATATCATGTGCTTTCAAGAAATGGAATGTTTTATGTATGAGCATTTTTGGTCGACAAACTTCCCAGGGCCTAATTATAAGTCTTTTTTCATACGTAAACCGAATCCAAAGTATTGGGGGAATAAACCAAGTGAGTTTATGGACGGAGTTGGCATTTTCATTAATACTGATAGATTTGAAATTCTTGATCAGCTGGAAGTAATATTTTCCGAATTCATTAAAGATAATAGAAAACAATTTGATTGGACAGATGATCTTATGTCTCGGGTTATACCTAGAAACACCGTGGCATTACTTGTTAAATTACACGATAAAATAAGTGACAAAATTGTATTTGTTACAAATACTCATTTGTATTGGTCACCTAAATTTAATGATGTTAAGGTTATTCAAACAAAATTACTTTTATCAATCTTGAATGAATTTATTGCCAATAGTAAAGGTCAAAACGTTGATGATCCCTGTGTGATCTTATGTGGGGATTTTAATTCAACACCAACATCAAAAGTATTTGAACTTTTGAGTAATGAAAACCTCCATGTTGATAAATGTGACGAACTTGGACCTTTCGATTATGGGAAGGATAATTATTTGGTTTCAGAAAATGGTTATATTAAAAACCCATTCCGTCTTCAATGCGTGTACCAACATCTGTTAAACGATAATTCGCTTCAGTTTACAAGTTATACAAAAGCCCTCACAGAAGTATTAGATCATATATGGATAAACAATGATCATTTCAATATTGTTGATGTGTTAGGACCCGTGGAAAAGAATTATTCCGATAAAGTTAATGGGTTTCCTAATAACCAATTCCCTTCAGATCATATACCTTTAGTATCAACACTATGCTACATTTAAATTTATCACATACAATCATAACACATACAAACAATCATAGCACTTACAGTTATCTACCAGATGAAGTAAGAGCTACTACTAATGTACTATTAACGTACTGGTAACGTACTATTAATGTACCAGTAAGTAAAACTCAATAATCATAAGAATAGTAGTGCACCTACCAATAAATTGCTCGAAATTTTGCTGCTGCACCAACAAAAATATATCACAATTTGTTAATGGGTACACTCGTTGGACATCAACTATTCAACTTCATAGTGTAATGCAATCAAAGTGATAGGAGCGTATATGGTGACGAGAATCGTGTTATGAACATCAACAAGTATCAGCAAACACAATTTCCAGGTCTGGTCCAGGCCGGTAACCTCCAAGCTCAACAAGTGCTATTACAACAACTACAACAAGGTCAACAACAAGGTCAACAGCAACAAGCTCCTCAAGGGCAGCAACAACAGCCACCTCAAGGTCAACAGCAGCAACAACAACAATTGTTTGCTCAACAGGGACCCCTTCCAGGTTCTTATTCCGATAATCTTGGTCAAAGTGGGTATCAGAATGGCGGCTACCAGAATACTTTCCAGCGATCCATGCAACAACAGCAACAACAGCAACAACAGCAATTTTATGCTCAACAACAATTTCAACAACAACCTAATCAACAAAACCAACCCCAAACTCAGTCCCAAGGAGCCCTTCAACCTGGACAGAACCCTATGCTGTTCCAACCACAGTATCAAGGCAACCAACAAGGTCAAATGCTTCCACCTCCTCAACAACAGCAACAACAACAACAACAACAACAGTTATTTGGACAGTCTATTTTGCCCCATCCTCAACAACAACAGACTCAACAACAACAACCATCTTTGGCTAATGTTGTAAGTGGTCAGAAATTCTCCCTTGCAATCGAGAAACCCAATTCAATTTACTGGCAGCATCAAGTACAGTTATGCCAAATGTCAAGAGGGGCCACCACACCGCACTATTACGCTAGACAATACGCGTCCAATTCTCGGAAGGGCAAGAATCCATATAGCAATGAAGTTAAGGCTGTCACTTTAGTTGATGCTACCAAATCCATGTTGGTAATGTTAGAGGAACAAGAGAAGGCAAATGGTAACGGGAATAACGTCGATACTCCCCCCGTTAACAATGCATTGTTGTTTAATAAGAAATTGGCACTGGAATTAGATGATGAACACCTTCAAGAAGAACAAAGAATGAGACAAAAGACCCAAGGGAAACAATTATGGTGTCAATTGGATTTATGTGGCCAAGGATTGACAAATATCGCTCCTAAGTTGTTTCTGTATGACTTTTTGGAATCGTTATACTTGAACAATAACAAGTTGACCTCTGTTCCTCCAATAATCAGTAAGTTAAGAGGTTTAAGAACACTAGATTTATCTCAGAATAGAATTTCCGAATTGCCTAGTGCTTTGGGTCTTTGTTTCAACTTGAGATACCTCTATTTATTTGATAATAATATCCGTTCATTGCCCAAGGAATTTGGAAATTTAATAGAATTGTTGTTTTTGGGTATTGAAGGTAATCCAATTGATAGTAATATTGCTAATTTGATTGCTGACAAAGGTACAAAGGGTTTGATCAGTTATATCAGAGATTCTAAAATTGATTCTATCCATCCTAATCCAAGATTATGGTATCAAGTTGAAGAAGATGGCGAGATTGTGGAACCGGCTACAGAAGATATTCAAATAGGTGATGTAAAGGGTGAATCATTTACTTTGATGTCTTACAATACATTGTGCCACCACTATGCAACTCCTAAGTTGTATAAATACACACCATCCTGGGCATTAGACTGGGAATATAGGAGAAATAAGTTGAAGGAGGACGTTTTGAAATACAAAACGGATATTGTGTGTATGCAAGAGGTTGAGACTAAGACCTATCATGACTTCTGGGTACCATTGATGCTGCAATTCGGTTATAAGGGTGTTTTTTATAGTAAAACCAGATCTAAGACAATGAGTGAAGTAGATTCCAAGAAAGTTGATGGTTGTGCCACATTTTACAAGAGTGATAAGTTTAGTTTACTTCAAAAGCAAAATTTTGAGTATAATAGCGTTTGCATGGGTTCTGATAAGTATAAAAAGACCGAGGATTTATTCAATAGATTTATGAATAAAGATAATGTTGCCTTGATTACATTCTTACAACACACATCATCTGGTGAGAAGATTATGGTTGTTAATACCCATTTGCACTGGGACCCTGCATTTAATGATGTCAAGACTTTACAAGTTGGTATTCTTTTGGAGGAACTTCATGGAATATTAAAGAAATTTCATCATACTCATGCGGATGATGATGTCAAGGGTCTTTCATTGATTATCTGTGGTGATTTCAATTCTATTCGTGGCAGTGCCGTATACCAATTATTTTCTAGTGGGACTGTTCACAAGCATCAAGATTTGGAGGGTAGAGATTATGGTAGATTTACTGAAACTGGATTTCAACATCCTTTCAAGTTGAAATCTGCATATGATAATATGGAGGAATTACCATTTACCAATTTTTCACCTGGATTTACCGATGTAATCGACTATATTTGGTATAGTACTAATTCTCTACAAGTTCGTGGATTATTAGGTAAAGTTGATATGGATTATGTGAACCATTGTATTGGATTTCCTAATGCTGATTTCCCATCAGATCATATTCCATTGGTTACCAATTTTGCTATCAGACAAAGTACTACCCACAAGAAACCCGACTTCAAGCCCGAATTCAAATCGGGTGGCTCTAGAAAGACTTGAGCAAATTAATGAGTTGATGTTCTTTTTGTTTGTTTGTTTGTTTGTTTGTTCTTTTTCTTTATTCTCTATATATTTCTCACTGTACATTATATTTTGTTTACTGGTGGTGGTTACTAGATTCAAGCCGTATACTTTTAGCTATACATTTTTTATACTAAAACACTTTTATTTAAGCTAGTCAGTAATTATTCAGGACACATATTTCCGTATTGGGAAGATATAGTCTATTATATTTATTCTGTGGTATCCCCCACTTTTTAACCTTAATTTTCCGATATTCGTTAGTAACGTGGACAATACCTCGCAGTACGTTTAGTAATACCGAATACATTTTAATTCACTTCTTTCTTTCATTTTCAAATTAAGCACTATGACCGTGTCTCTTTTGATTTCAAATGAATGCGACTACCTTGATGCGCACGGCGACCAGGATCAAGTATTGCGGTACAAGAAATACCAAGCTGAACGTATGAATGATCCAAAACTTAGTAAAGAATATCCATGGACATTTGAAGTTGTTGATGGGATTTTCCAGCAATCTGATTCTTCCACTGAAGATCGGACTTTTAGCTATGTTGAAAATAACTTTGGTCGATTAAAGTCATGGCAAGAGATCTCCGACACATTGGATTCTCTCAATGCGAACGCTGCTTCCAATGTATCATACAAGTTGATCTTTTGTGCCAGACATGGCCAAGGCTATCATAACTATATTGTTGAGAAATATGGTTTGGAACAATGGCATGCCAAGTGGCATTGTCTTGGTACTGATGGAGAAGTTACCTATGGACCTGATGCTATGCTTACCGAATTAGGTATGAACCAAGCTAAAGAGAATCATCAGGCATGGAAGAAGGAACTTGCATTAGGAGCTCCTATTCCTGATGCCTTTTATGTATCTCCATTACAACGATCATCTTGGACATTACAGATGACTTGGGATGGATTGAGACCTCAAGAGAAGCAGCCAATAGTCACTGAAAATTTACGGGAAACTTTGGGTGTAAATCTTTGTGATAAGAGATCAACTAGACTGGTGATTGAATCTAGATTTAAACCACATGGGTTTGTAATTGAAGAAGGATTTTCAGAAGAAGATAAATTATGGCTTCCTGATTATCGAGAAGAATATTTCGAACAGAGTATCCGAGTTGATCAGTTTTTACAATCGTTATTTAATCGTGAATGGGATGAGAAATCGAACCTGATTATTAAACAGAACCAACATAAGGTAGTTTCAACCACTTCACACGCCGGAACCATTAGAGGATTTATTACTGTACTTGGTCATCGTCCTTTTACAATTTCCACCGGAGGCATGATTCCTATATTTGTGAAAGCCACTAGACACATTTAATAGATATTTGTATGTACAAAACCTAGAACTCATTATACTATAAAGTTACTATAGGTTTATATTGAGCTTATTGCCTTAAGATTTTATCGCGGTAGCGCGGTTTAGAAGGTGATACTTTCGCAGCCAGTATGGATTTAGTAATAACCAGCAAGATTAGAACGTATGTGATAAGAAAAACGACTGTTCAGTGACATACGGCTCTCTGGTAGCATACGTGTATCGAATATGCCAACTATATCTGCAACTATATATACCTTCTTTTCAATATGAACAGTTTTGAGTTTAGAAACTGTTATCTCACGTATGCCTGTACTTCTTTCCGTGTGTCTCGGCAATTGGATACCGAAATGGTTCTGAGGGCCCTTTTTGTGTTATCTTTTGGGGCAACAAATTTCAAACTTGAGTATCGGGACTACAACTTGACTCAACTACATATTGATTAGTACTAATCGATACTGGTGCTTAGGTCGTAGGAGACTTGAATATTCAGTGAGTGTGTGACTGCAGTTGGTCAATTTTATACTAGTTTTTACCCCAAGTATCACATGCACATGTTCAAAAGTGCATTGAGTTCTTTCCCTGGTTCACTTTTATCCCAAACCAGATTAGGATCCCACTTGCTACCCAAAGGAAGACTTTATAGTAGTCAAAACCGACTACTAAAAGAGGCAGCTGGACCAGGAACCTCTTTCAAGTCAGAAGGAAATAAAGATACAAATTCGAAACAAGATAAAATTTCAAACGATGATGATCATATAGAGCAAGATACCAAGGAAACGCGAACTCCAACCACAGAAGAACGATTACAGAAATTAAATAACCATGAACACCGAATTATATTGGATAAAAGTCGAGCAGTATCCAAACATCATCATAAAAATAATAATAATGACAATGATAATCCTGAACATAGTAGCAATGAACATGAAGCAACGGAGCAGGCTCCTTTAGAAGACCATCATAATTGTGAACCATTAATTGACGCATTTAATGATATGGATCCTTACATAGATACTCATGGATGTTTTGTTGAACTTAGAAATGCTGGTTTTACAGTCGAGCAAGCTGATATTATAATTAAACTTCTTTTATGTCTGCTTAATGATAAACTTGGAAAGCTTGCTACGCAATATGCTCAGAATTATGAACTAGAAAATGAACAATACTTATTTGAATCTGCACAAGAAGAATTGAGAGTTGATGTCACCAGATCTCGTGAGCTGCATATCCATGAAATGATAAGTTTGATAAACATTCTTGAAAGAGATTTTAGTATTATAAGTGATGAATTAACAACAGAATTGATTAACATGAAGAATACTATTGAAGTGACAATCAATGACCAAAGACAAGAGAATACTCTACTTAGTAAGATGTTTATTCTTAAAATTCAAGAGGCAAATCATAAGATCACTACTGAGTTGATCTCTTCAATGCGTTCGGAAATTGAAAGTTTACGTTGGAATTTATCTAGATGGGGTTTAATGGCAATTATCACCAGTTTATTCATGGGATGCTCCATAGTTTACTTCAACAGATTTACCAGAACTAACAAACAAGAGAGACATGAATTTACTCCTTTAGTCATTTACGAACCAAGTGAATTAGAAGAAGATGATTATCATGATGATTTAGATAGAAGTGTGGTATGACCAGGTCACGTGACCAAATACCTTTTTCCAGATACCCCCACTTAGAGCTTGCTCAATTGAACACTCATATAGATACATATCATCTTCCTTCTAACATATACATAGTCATATAGAGAGCAATGCCATATGATACTTCACCAGATCCTTGCAAGCCTGAAGCGTGTGCTATTCAGAGTTGTCTTGAGTCACATCAATATAATGAAGCCAAATGCACCAAAGTCATAGATGCGTTGTATCTTTGCTGTAAACAGTATTATGAAAGCAACCACACCAAAGACCCTACAACATGTTGTCCCAAGTTTAATTTGCTTCAGTTGAAGTTGAAACAACGAGAATTGGGCAAAATTGATGCCCAACTTATAGAAACTTCGAGAAGATGAACAAATGGTTTCCCAATACCTTCAGTCAAAACAATCTTAAAAAGATTGAGATCTTACTGACTTCATTAAGTTAGTTACATTCCGAAGTGTATCAAACAATAATTAATCAAAAATTCTGAACCAGGTAGACTTCGGGACTAGTGGACAGGACCAAAAGTGTTTCAGACATACTAGTAATTACACCATTTAATTAAAAATACTATTGCAATCAAAATTCTACAGGTCTTTTCTTTTCATTTAAAATGTCGGTTTAGAACCGCGTAGTCAAACTAAGAGCAGTGAGACACGAGCATTACAGGTTGGACAAAACCATTAAATCTAAGGTCATACCCGAGCACGAAATGCCACCTCACGTGTGACATAGTCCATACGTGGAGGAAATACATATGGACCGTGACTCTAATGGGCGCCTATATTAAAGACATTGTATGAAGAAGAAAAAAAAGAAAGAATGCTTTAACAAAGTAGTTCTCATCCTTAAGGTAATTTATAGTAAAACTTTTCTCCGAATGTGCGGGTAACCTACATTATAATGAAAATGCATATAGATTGTACCATACTTTATGTTACATACTGTAATTTACTCTTTATTAGTTCCCTGTTGATCATACTCATGAATATCTGGAAGGAATTCCTTTAAAGGTGAAGTATCTTCAAGCCAAAGGACTTGTCCCGAGACGTTATGGACGGAGGTATCTATTTTAACTGAATCATCAAATTCTCGTAGTGCAATGTCTATATCTTTTGGTTCAACACCCAATTCCTTTAATTGTTGACGTAGAATGGCAATGTGAAGACTCATTTTAAAATCTCTACGATTGGATTTCTTACGTTCTGCTAGAATCTGAACATCTCGTTGTTGAGTTTGTTGTTTGAATCTGGTTTGAAGCAATTGCTTAGTGCGAGCACTTATAGCTGCTGTTTCTGCTTGAAGTTTCTCTGCTTGGATTCGACCAATGTAGTTATCAAGAGTCAAATAAATTAATGTACACATGGTGGCAAGTAGCACCAAGTCCTTAACAAAATCATTATTATTATTATTATTATTATTATTATTATTATTATTATTATTATTATTATTATTATTATGTTGATGGTTTTGATCTTCGGTACGGATTACTTCATGCGATTGACTTTGAGTCTGGTGTTTAGACTTCAGATTCAAATTCGTCAGAGTCATAGAAATGCTGTCATAATTAGTTCCCTGACCTTGTACGTATCCAAAACTTGAAGTCACAGAATCTTTAGACCGTTGAAGGTCTCCATAGGTTTTTGGAATATTATGAGGATTATTGAAATGAGTAGGTGGAGGATGCATAGGAGTACCGTTCCGTACCGAAACTTCAAATTGACGATCCACTCGTTTCCCCAACTGAGTTAACGATCTCAACCATCTGATCATACTTCTTCTCGGAGAAGCTTATATATATGTAAATTTCTCGTCAGTACATAGGAGTAAAACGAAATTATATAGTGGGTACATAAATTGTATGGTGGTCCAGTTTAAATGGCACAAAATCTATCCACCAATAGGATCATCGCCCTATACTTATACTATCATTAAAGTAAATCAATAAATCGTACTAATTACTACAAAATTGAAACGGATCCTGAAGCTGTGTTATAATTAAATATACATTATGGTAACAGATATTTGAATGAGTTGAACTCAAGGTAAGACAGACAAACCATTTAATGCTTTCTAGATTCAGCAATGACCCTTTGCATTTCTTCAACCTTTTTCAAGGCTCTCTTGTGGGTACCCAATCTCTTCTTAGCCAACTTCTTAGCTCTCTTTTCACCAGCGTTTCTGATCAATTCGATCAATCTTCTTTCATAAGGAGCTAAACCAGCAACTTCACTGACAATAGATCTAACGAAAGCAGTTCTCTTGGACAAAGCACCCTTTCTGTAAGAGATCTTTGGGGCGACTTCCCTGGCGGTGGTCTTGTGACCCTTGTTTAAACCAACAGCAATACCTAAAATTAAATGTTAGTATACGCAATCCATGTATATATACTGTTAGCAGAGACAAAAATTCCAAAAAGACAGACTATATTGCTATCAGGAATACTGGGGAATATAAAAGACTGACGGCATCATCTTATGAAGGGGTATAACTATGTTTTGTAAGAATGAAATAATGCAACCCTATAGGTCATAGCGGATTGCAATGAGCTTACTCATAACTTCATACAATGAAGGAAAGCTCAATAATCCTTAATGTATCAACTCATATCATTTTATGGGGATTCTGATTCTTGCATTACCATTCTAGGGTCTGAGAAGGAGGAGGAGTTAAGAAGGATTATGGGAAGGAAAATAAATGTACTCAAACGATGTCTCGATAGCTGAATGTCTACTTTCTTTTTATTGATTTATGCTCTGGTCCACTCCAACGTCTTTCGTTACCACATACCTGATCTAGCCATTTTATCTATGATTTCGATGTAAATTAAACAGTGAAAGAAGCTAGGTAAAATTTTTCTTTACTACTTGGATCTTTCAATAGTGGTTCGAAGTGGAAAATTTTTTGGAAACACTGGGTTTGTGCGAAGATGAGGTCACGTGTCCAAAAACACAAATGTCGTTTTCAAAGTTGTATGTCGTAAACTATTATGCGATTAGGTATGTCGCGAATGCATTTTACAATTGGTGTGTGCCCCAATGTCAAAAAAGCATTTTTTTAAAGTCACTTAAATGTTTCACGTGATCATAGTAATCAGCACGTGATGAAAACAGGGCTAATGACCTCATTTTATTGTGAGTACTAAATGTTTGGATCAATTAATGTGGTAATTGTTTATGTATATATGTACAAGCAGCCAAGCTGAAGAAAAGACTATTTAAAGTTTATAGGAGCCATACGGGCTATGCAGTAATTGGAGTGAAGTCATACTTGTAATGTTCCAACCTATTAACTAACTCTTCCATAGTTAAAACAGTGTGCTCTCTAAGAAACTTATCCCAAGCAAGTGGGGTGTATGTGTCTCGACTTGCAAAAGAATACAACTCTTTCAACAATCTAGTTCTACCCACGATCACTTGCTTTCCATCAGGATGAATATGGTATACTTGCTTTAATTCACCATCCTTTTCAACCTTTGGTAAGGCATTTAATTCTTGTTGTTTCAAAATTTCATACTTCAACTTCCACCCTTTTAATCCCATGGTCTTTGTTCTAGCAGGCTTATCCTTCGTTAAGTAGTTATCTAACCCACCTTCACGATCTATGGTCTTTAATACTTTAGTACTAACTTTAGTCTTTATCAGTCTACCTAAAGTTTCTGACCATAAGCTAGCTCTAACAATGTTTGGTCTGTGAGCCCTTAAATTCTTGTTGCCACTCTCACTACATGTCTTGGACAGCTTTCTTTCCAATCCACCATATAAACCACGATTTTGATACTTGAAAAACATGGCTTCATACTTGTAATCAGGCACCAACTTCTTCTTCAATGGGATTTTAATACCCTCGGCACTATCTCCAGCCTTGTAGATATTTTCATCAATGGGTTTGGCATACTTGGTTACCTTCCAGTATTTCTCTCTCAACATGGTCTGAGATGTACTTAATTGCCTTTGACTACAAATCCATAGTGAACTAGCAGCAGAACCCAATGAGGGTATAATGGGTCCTCTTGTTAAAGAGTTTAAGATGATCATTACTTCCCAGAGGTGTCCTGGACAAATGTAGAAGCAAAATTGATAGGGCTACCTTCCAAATATTTATGGATCGATGGATCTAATGTCTGTTGGTACGTTATGCGGTTGTGTTAATAGTTTGAAAATTTTCCATTCGCTAAATTTGAATTTGCGAAATTAGCTTCCGCTTTAGGAAATCGAGTTCGCATTAGAGTACACCTATCTCTTTCTCTGATAGTTACTTGATTGATAGTAATATGTCTATTAATATATAGAGATAAGTAAAAGAAAGCTAAATGTAGGTAACCATTGTAAACCCTGAAAGAAACTGAAGATTGCTTATTTGTCAAAAGTTTGCTGTACTACTCTTTGAATACTGTCAGACTTAATGCGACAATCACATGGGGAAGTTATATAATCATCAGCTTAGATGATTGAAAGTACACTGCTTTTACCTGTGAATGCAACTTATCAGTTTTGACGAAAAATGTTTACTTAAAAATAAGAAACTGTACACTTGACAACAGTTTCTATTGAAAAATTCACAGGTTATCAAAAAATGATAAGCTTTTCACGTAACAATATAAAATGTCCATTTCAACCTATTATAGACCATTGTAAAATACAACCCATATTCAAATAATACAAGGTTACAAAGTTCAGACTTAATTATCACCATATGTTTAAAGGTTGGGCTCATAGACAGTGTAAGGTAACGCAGTTGACATATAATAGGTATATACAACCACTCCGAAATAAACGCAAACTTCCTGTCTATAAGATATGAGATAATAGAATCAAGCCAATTACTGAAAATGAGGATATGTGCCCAAAAAAGGCAAGTGGGGATTGGTTTTGGCTAGCCCTAAATCAATACAATCGACAGAAATATGTCCCTAATTAGATAAACCGGTTAACTTGTTGTTATCAAGTAAGTAAACGAGCAATAAAATATTTCAAGGCTTTACTATTGACAAAGACTCAAACTATGGCAGAGCCTAAGTCTTAGGCTATCCAGGAACCATACAGGAACTAAAAGATGCAACTAACTATCGCCAAAAGTAGTTTATGGCACGTTAGCTACCCAAATTGGATGAACATCTATGGGAAATGACTCCTTAAAGCCTCCACTTACGATTTCAACCCATATGATACCATATCATATTTGCATTTTAGGGTACAAGTGCGAAGACGTTACGCCGGAAACGGCTGCAGAGGTACCGGGATTCATGAAAAGTGTATTCACCAAGGCACTACAGTATAATTCTATAGAGGAAATAAACTAGTAATATAAAGTACAGAAAGATGATAATAGTTGTGTAATGTATACAGAACATCCAACCGATTACTGCAAGTTTTTTTTAGTCGACGTACATTTAATAAGCGGTGAATGGGTTATGTTGAATCTTCGTATACCGTACCGTAAAGAGAACTAAGCTTTATAAGTCCGGTAATATTGGATATGCCGCAACATAAGACAATTTAACTTAACATCAAATAAACATAACATAACTTAATATAAACCAGAACATATTATTACCCCAGAATAATAACGATATTGCACACACTCTCTCGTATAGGTAATGCCATGAACAGCTTCTTTATTTCAACTTCTTCTTAATCCTACTATAATATTCTCATAACTTTGTCGGGAGAAGTCGTGCACCACCTCATCGCTTCATCCCTTATCTCCCATAATATCCAAAACCAACAACACCTTATTTGTTAAAGTCTTTTGGAACACCATTGAGTACAACCATTGTTTTAATACCAACATCGATCCTGGTGTAGTATAGCAAATTTGCGTTTCTACCAGTCGTATCGTGATTCCAGTCATCAACCCACCACCAATTGGAAGTTTGGTACTCATTGGCCGTATTTGAGAAAGGGAAGCGACACTCTCTGAAACAGACTCTTAACCTATAGACTGCTGTATTTGGTTAGATTTACTTCTAGCTTTTCATACCTTATTTAATATCATCAAGAATAGGCGCTAAGACGCTGTGAAATGGTTGATTTTGCAAAGACAATATTAAGCGGATTTCATAGAAAACAACCTAATACAACTACTACTAGTTCTTCTACCATTAAGCAACAACTTCCTGACTCATATTCCTCCTCATCAAAAATGGAAGACCATCAAAATCATAATATAGACGGTGGCCAAACAGCCTCCCCACATATCTCTAATAAGTTTGTGCCTAAAGGATTTGCCCCTCATGTTGCTCCCACAACAGCCATTTCAAGCAATTCGGTAGCTTATGGTACTAATTCAATCCATGCTGACTATGATTTGCATCGACAACATTTTGAAAGACAGTTGCACCAACAAAATATCAACTATCAGCAACAACTGTCAGCGACACCTCATCAGGAACAAGAACAGTTAGCTGCTCAACTTCCTCATCATCATCAACAACAACTGCTCCTTCAACAACAACAGCAACAAGAACAAGAACAACAACAACAATGTGCTCCACAAACTTCTCAGCAAACGGCCGCTGCTCCCTTTGGCTATTCTGTAGACCAACCTCTTATTATTACGACAGATGAGACTGGCCAGAACGTTCACACGCAATCTGAAGCTTCTCAACCTAAGGGAAAACTTAAGGTTAAGATTGTTGAAGGGAAAGATATTCAGGCAACGCAACCATATGTTGTATGCACTTTTGAATCATCTGAGTTTGTTACTACTGCTCCAGGTTCCTTTGGTGGTAAGTCACTGTTGAATCATGGGTATGGTCATCATGACTCAGCTCACGGGGCTCAAGGAAGAGCAGGTGTTCCAATGAAAAATAAGCCAAGGCCCATGTATCAAAGACAAACCCTGACTCAACAATTGACAATGATGGATTCAACCAATCCCGTTTGGAATTATGACGCACTGTTTGACGTTGTAGGATCCAAGTCTGAGTTAGATGTGTCAGTGTATGATGCCGCTAGGGATGATGCATTCTTGGGCCATGTCCGTATATTTCCAACCAATAAAAAAGTGAGTGAAGAATGGTTTGAATTGAAGGCTAGAATATTGGGTGAAAGGGTTACAGGTGCTATTAAGATTTCATGGGCCTTTTCCTACGATAATTCTAAGAAGCAAATTGGTCCTGATGACTTTGAAATGTTAAGACTATTAGGTAAAGGTACTTTTGGTCAAGTTTTCCAAGTCAAGAAAGGAGATACTGGCCGTATTTATGCCATGAAGGTACTTTCAAAGAAAGTTATTGTGAAAAAAAAGGAAATTGCTCATACTATTGGTGAGAGGAATATCTTAGTTAGAACTTCAGCTGCTGGTTCTTCATTTATTGTTGGACTCAAATTCTCTTTCCAAACACCAACTGATTTATATTTGGTTACTGATTATATGTCTGGAGGTGAGTTGTTTTGGCATTTGCAAAAAGAGGGTCGTTTCACTGAAGACAGAGCCAAGTTTTACATTGCTGAATTGATTCTTGCATTGGAACATTTACATGATAATGATATTGTTTATAGAGACTTGAAGCCAGAGAACATTTTGTTAGATGCTAATGGTCACATTGCCTTGTGTGACTTTGGTTTGTCAAAAGCCAATTTGAATAATGATGGTACAACAAACACCTTTTGCGGCACAACAGAATATTTGGCTCCTGAGGTATTATTGGATGAATCTGGATACACGAAGATGGTTGATTTTTGGTCTTTAGGGGTTTTGATATTTGAAATGTGTTGCGGTTGGTCTCCATTTTATGCTAACAATACTCAACAAATGTACAAGAATATTGCATTTGGGAAGGTAAGATTCCCCAAGGAAGTTTTAAGTACTGAAGGTAGATCATTTGTCAAAGGCTTATTGAACCGGAATCCAAAACATAGACTTGGTGCTATTAATGATGCAAGGGAATTACGGGCTCATCCATTTTTCAATGACATTGATTGGACATTATTACGTAGCAAGTCAGTTCCACCACCTTTTAAACCTCATTTGACTTCAGAAACAGACACATCCAATTTTGATCCCGAATTTACATCCGAATCAACTTCTGTCATTCGGAAACAATTGGAATTGGCTTCAACTCCATTATCCCCCGGGATCCAAGCCAATTTTAAAGGATTTACATATGTCGATGATTCCACGATTGAAGACCATATGGGGAAGTCTGCACGGTACAACAAGTTCATGGGTCCTGGCTCATTTATACCCGGCAATCCCAACTTGCCTCCAGATGAAGATGTGATTGAAGATCAAATTGACGAAGAAGATGAGATGGAAATCGAAGACCAACATATGGATGATGAAGAGTTTGTGAATGGGAGATTTGAGGTATAGTCCAATTTCCACAGAATATACTAAGTTATATTGATTGCAATCGTGAAGTATTATCATGAGGTATTTTATCTATTCAATCTGTTGCCAATATTTGGTCTAACTTTTTCATTTCTACCGTCAGCTCAAACATGCTATCATATGCGTTTTGTTACTTTGCTTTGAATCCATTTTTAAACCTGCGACACTATTACAAATACAACTACAACTACAACAACACTCCATTTTCGTTTTAAAAACCGTCTAATTCTGCACTTGATTATAATCCATTTTCCGTCCTTCATTAATATAACATACACTTGTTGTATAGGGCCTCTTAGTTTTTATTAATCGTATATATATTCATCAACATACTAAGTAGCACCCAATACACCAGTCTTTTTTTGTGCGAAGTACCTGCATACAACTATCAACATTCTCCGAAAAAAATACCAAACACCAAATGTCTTCTGTTTATACCCTAAGGGTATTTCTGGAGTTAGTTTTAAGCTCAACTTTATATTCCACACTTTTAAGTAGTGTTACCTACCACATATCACAATGTCTCGATACAAGAGGAAGACTAAAGATATAAAAGGTTCTCTACCGCATTCTCAACATTCAGCTGATAGCCATGTCCCTAAACCCCAACAGGCACATCCAAACCGTGATGAACCAGGACAACAAGTCCATGATGAGGCAGATCTTATCCAGTTTCGAAGCGATGCTCTTAACAGGTTCATAAAAAACCAGGAATATATGGAGAAAGTGACCTCTGTTGCTATCAGTTGTCTGAAGATAACTCCTCCATCTATTTTCCCGGTACCTACACCACGACCAGCGAAAGGTGAAATAAATGATCAACAACAACAGCAACAATCTCAAGCTTCTGTTATTCCTGGCGGATTTACTCCTCACCAGATTACCCATTCTACTCTGGCACAAGAATTGGTCAGATCTGAACAGATATATTTTGGTGATCTTGAATGGATGAAACAAGAAAGTAGTCGAATGCTGAAAGAAATGACTCAGTTTATAGAGAGTCTCAAAGAAGTAAAAGTGGTTCTTCATGAAGGATATGAATACCAAAAGGAAGCATCTAACAGACTATATAAACTACACCAAGAACTTGCTGCGAACAGAGACACCCAAAGCTATACTCAATTACAATTAGAAGTGGATAAAGTCATGCGAGAGTATAAAGAACAATTCACCAGTAGTAAGCTTAATGAGCTTCAAGGGTTTAAGAAGTTTTCAGTTAAGATCGATGATGTGGTTGTGAATGAAGCTCCAGCAAACTATAACCCCAAACTGGTCAATACATATATTAATTTCTATGCTAATCCTGGCGATCAAGGCTTAGAAATGAATTCTGGTGTTGGAGATCCTAATGGTGGTGGAAATAGATCTCAAGGACAATTTTTTAATATGAATGGTGGACCGATTGGAGATGGAGCTGGAACTGGAGTTGGATTTAGTCCAGGTGGTGGAGGAGATCATAATGGCCCTAATGGACCATTTATTAGTGATAATAGAAGTGGTGGTGGTAATGGTGGCATTTTTGCGGGTACTCCAAATTCAATGGGATCCATGCAGAGATCACAAATCGGTGGTCCTGGTGGAAATACCGGAAGACTTCAAGAAATCCCCATAACTTCACAAATTACACCAATCAGTGGTGGTCCAGGAGGAGTTAATGTTGATAGCCACCCGCTTAATGGAGATTCTTTACCTGCTACCAATGGGATTAAAGGTAGTGAACCTTCATCGATTTCTGCAGCGTTCCCTGGAGAATTGGACGAAGAAAACAATGCCAAACATTTGGATAATGATCTTCCTACAGTTTACGACAATATGATTCAGGATGACATCAATAACTTATTTGATGCAGATAATGGTCTGGATTTAGGTAATGATGGAGTAAACGATTTAATCAATTTTGAAGACGAAGATAATAATATAATGAACGATGATGCCTTTGACCAAGACTTTCTTAGTCAGATTGATCACAGTATGGAATGATCACACATACATACACACATATATATATAACACTATATATATCAGCAATTTGTTAGTAATAGTAAGCTATTTATATACCCTTACCATAACTACTGTTCTCATTTGAATAAATGCTTAATGACCAAAGTACACGACCACATTCTTACTAAGGAAAATGAGACCGCATTGGGGTGTGCAGATCAATACCTGTCACTTTTAATGTCAGAATCCCCCTTCCACGTATATCAGCTTCAAGTATTTCTTACAGTAACAGGAAGCACCCGTACCGCATCCTGGGACCATACTATAAAGCTGTGTTGTTCACGATTGGACAGAGAGATCCCCAAAGCTCCAATAGACCGACTTTCAAACTTTACACTTCCTTGAACTCCATACAGTATCCAGATAAACCTCAAAGTAATAACCATAAAAAGTTATAACCATCGATAAGCGAAAATTTCCTTCTAATAATTATACAATATTGTTCCTCCATTGACGTACGACATAAACAGCATAATATCCTTTGTCGTTGTCTGACTTTCTTTCCAGTACCTCAGTTCAGTTCCAGTTACCGTTCCAGCTTGTTATTTTTATTTGTATGGATCCTAATCGTACCTCGGTATTGAATGCTGCTAGACAGCGAATACTACAACAGCATCAAAGGGCTAGGCTGCGTATAAGACAACAAAAGTTGAAGATCACTTTCTATGGTTATATCATAGTATTGGTCTTCTTCTTTGTGGTACAACTTACTGGCATAAGTCTTTTTACCCTGGGATTTTTGTTGAGTAGACAAGTACTGCCGATTATCTCCGAATGTGTATTACAAGATAATTCTACTATATGCTTTGAACAACCAAAGTATTCTAAAGTGGTTCTTTTGGTTATAGATGCTCTTCGATTTGATTTTACAATACCAGTGAGTGGATCAGGTGAATATTATCATAACCAGTTTCCTATTCTTCATGAAATGGCCCAAACTGATCATGGGTTGTTGCTTAAGTTTATGGCTGATCCACCTACAACTACCCTTCAAAGACTAAAAGGATTGACCACGGGTTCGCTACCAACCTTCATTGATGCCGGATCTAATTTCAATAGTGATGCTATTGATGAAGACAATTGGTTGTTACAATTGCATAGACAAAATAAAAGCATTGCATTTATGGGCGATGATACTTGGACTGCATTATTCACAGAATATATAAATCCTCAATTATGCTATCCCTATGAGTCTTTGAATGTGTGGGATTTACATACTGTTGATAATGGAGTCATTGAGCATTTGTTCCCTTTACTTGCACAAGAAAATGCCACACAATGGGACTTTTTAATTGGCCACTTTTTAGGTGTTGACCATGCTGGCCATAGATACGGTCCTAATCATTATGCAATGAGAGAAAAATTGCAACAAATGAATGATGTTATTTCTGATGCCATTTCCCAAATAGATGATGATACATTGTTGATTGTTTTTGGAGATCATGGTATGGATTCCACAGGAAATCATGGTGGTGATTCCAAAGATGAATTGGAAGCTGCTTTATTCATGTATTCTAAACAACAAAAGTTTAATAAGAAATCCAATAGCTCATATGATATTTCCAATCAGGGGAATAACTACAGAATGGTTAATCAAATTGATCTTGTTTCAACTATTTCATTATTATTAGGTTTGCCCATCCCTCATAATAACTTGGGGACTCCAATTGATGAGTTATTTACTACTGAAAATGGAGAACTAACTCAGGCATTCGTCAAAACTTTGAACCAACTTCAAACATTCAAAAGCTCAAACCCATCATTACTGGATAATTTAGATGTCAAGTATAATGCTTTAATAAGTCATATTGAACTGGAGAACGTTGAAGATTTTGAAAAGGCATACAAAGGTTATCAAGTAACATTCTTAGAAGAATGCAAATCCTTATGGGCCAAATTCGATATGGGTTTGATTTCCACCGGAATTGGAATTATGTTCCTTTCATTATTATTCATAATTACCTATTCCAGATCTATTCCCTCTATTAGAGTTCTGACAATGTCATTTGAATTCATTGGATCTGTTATTGCTATGTCCTTAGTGGGAATAGTATTAAGTTTCTCTGTTTTCATTGTACTCAGACCAGATGGATTCAACGTGAAGAAATGTCTCGCAACAGGGTTTGCATTGGGTATAATCATTGGTTTTTGGGCACCTATTATGGATCGTTTCAGTCTTGATTGGCTTGTTCATCTGGTTATTGATTTCTTTGTCTATAACTTCAATACCTTTTCTTTCTTGGGAATCGTGTTTTCTATTTTGCATTGTCTTGTATTTGCTTCCAATTCTTTTGTGGTTTGGGAAGACAAAATGATACTGTATTTCATTACCACTTTTGGAATCTGTTGCTTGATTCATTGTTTATTGGATAGACGAATTTCTACAACTCAAAGAGTCCTTGGTTCTCTGCATGCATTAACGTTTCTCATTCTTTCAAGACTTGCTTCCAATATTAATTTATGTCGTGAAGAACAAAGACCTTATTGCACACCTACATTTACAACAAATTGGTGGTCTATTATTTTGCTTCATTTAATGTCCTATTTGCTTCCCTCCACGATCAAATATTTTTACAAATTATCTAATAGCTACCATTCTGCTGGACCATTGTGGATTGGAATTGGACTCAAATTTTTGATGACTTTTAATGCTTCCTATTGGACCATTGAATATATTGAAAACAACCAAGAATCATTTGGAATTAATAAAATTGTTTGGTTGAATAGAATTTTGTTTGAAAGTGGTCTTTCAAAATCAATGAAGTTAGCAATAGCTAGACTTGTTTTATTTGTGTCTCTTATATTAGCCAATTTCAGTTGGTCCCGAGGACCACTCTGTGTTAAATTGGATTTCAAGCAACAATCCCCATCATATGTTGAAGAAACCACTGTTATAAAACATCACATTGCAAAAAATGAGTCACCTGAAGATGAAATTGTTGTCATAGAAGAGATAGAAGAGGAAGATGAAGAAGATGAAGAACAAGAACAAGAACAAGAAGAGAACTCAATTAAAAGGAAAGAAGTAGAAGTTGATGCATTAGCTCCTTCCGAAGTTGAACAATTAGTAAAAGAAGTGGAAGAAGAAGAAGAAAATTCACCTGAAGAATCGTCAGTTCCTGTTCCTTCCACAGTTAATGCTATTTTAGGATATGAAAATGTTTATGGCGCTTCATACTTTTTACTTGTGTTGAATTTTGCAGCTGGGATTCTTTTGGTAACCAAACCAATTGGTGCCATTTCACTTTGTATGCTTCTTATTCAAATTTTGTCATTATTAGAGTTATTTGACATTTTGCAATTGAAGCGTAATTTGATATCACCCATTGTTTTATGTTTATTGGGGTATCAACACTTTTTCAGTACTGGTCATCAAGCTACAATTCCTTCAATTCAATGGGAATTAGGATTTATGACAACAGAAACAATCACTTTCCCATTTACGCATTTGAATATACTTTTAAACACTTTTGGATCATTTATTATTGTTTGTCTTGTTGTTCCATTAATTACGTTGTGGAATATCCCACCCACCAATCGACCAATTACGGCTCTTGCTTACGTTATCACCAATATCACCACAATGATGACTTACCATACGTTAACAAGCATTTCTAGTTTGATTTTTGCGGCATATTTCAGAAGACATTTGATGGTATGGAAGATCTTTGCTCCAAGATTCATGATGAGTGGTCTTTTATTAATTGTTGTGGATATAGTTTTGATCTTGTTTACCCTTTGGTTTGGCACAGGACGTACGATGCTTCAAGTCAACAATATTTTTGGCTGAACTTCAGTTCTCCACTCATTTTAATCATCAAATTTATAGAGGTTTCTTGTACAATAACTCATACCACAGTAAAGGTCAATATGTCATCGTAGATTTATGTGCGCACGACCTTCTCAGATCAATATAGTGAGATCACAATTTAAGACCCAATTCAGAGTCCTATATAACTAAGCAATCATCATCTTATGATCCTAGAGAATGATACTTTTGGTTCTACTATATCTTATAGCGATACTAGTGAGCCCTGGGTATGGCTTGGCGTTTAACTCTTCGTTTACTCCCTCCCATATAAAGTATCTACAGAATGAAACCAAGGCTCTCTTTGTACATGGTTGGAATGGATATATGAAACATGGGTTCCCTCTGGATGAAGTTAGACCTCTACTGTGTGAACCATATGGACCTGATTATGATGATATCTACGACATTATAAGGAATGATGCCATGGGGAACACTACACTGATGATCTTGGATAATATTGATTCACTTATAATCTTTGAGCAATGGGATCATCTTAAATTCGCTTTGCAGTTTCTAAAAGACGAACAGCACACTCTATTTGAGAAAGACACCATAGTTCAGGTATTTGAAACCACTATAAGGGCATTGGGGGGTCTTTTATCGGCGCATTTGCTTCTATCAGATGTTGTTGATAGTCGTGGTGGTAGAGGTAGTATACCGTCAAAGTATATACCCTTAAAAGAAATAGTTGATGATTATGATGGGTTCCTATTAGAAATGGCATATGATTTGGGTCTCAAATTACTTCCAGCTTTTAAAACTCAATCTTCGATTCCTTTACCTCGTATTAATCTTTTACATGGTTTACAAGGTGTCCCCTCAGATCTTCAAGATGAAAATTGTTTAGCAGGTGCTACGTCTCCAGTGCTTGAATTCACATTGCTATCGAAACTAACAGGTGACTCCCAGTTTGAAAAGTTTTCCCAAACAACATTCTGGAAGATATGGAATGGCAAACTGGTTTTGGGTTTACTCCCCATGACAATTAATCCATTAGAAAATACCTGGAAGGATTCTGTAACGGGGATTGGAGCCTCTGGAGATTCCTTCTATGAATATGCTGCTAAGTCAGCTATCATATTCAACGACGATGCAATGTGGGACGTGTTCACGGCTTCATATAGATCATTATTGCATTTTCTGGCTGAAGGAAGATCAGGCACTGTTGGATCAGGAGGAATGATTTTCCCCAACGTTCATGTATCTGAAGGAAGTCGAGCTAATAATTATATTGATCTGTTGAGTGCATTTTGGAGTGGTCTTCAAGTATTAACAGGACAATTAAGCGATGCTATAAATACCCATCTTCTATATTTGAAGATCTGGAACACTTTTGATCTGATACCTGAAAGATGGCAACTAGTTCCAACACAAAACAGCGATGCCGATTCAGAGATCGATAAGTTAATTGCGGCAGTCTCATTAGAATGGTATCCACTTCGACCAGAATTTATTGAGTCAACTTATTACTTGTACAGAGCCACCAGAGATCCCATGTATCTACAAATTGGTGAAAGGGTTCTCAATTTGTTGCGAGATAGATATAAGGCACCATGCGGGTTTCATGGTCTTCAAGACGTCAGAACCGGAGAAAGAAATGACCGGATGGAAACGTTTGTCCTTGGAGAAACATTAAAGTACTTGTATTTATTATTTGATGTTGATAATGAGATATTCCTTCATTCTGATTTGATGAAATCGAAAAATTGGGTATTTTCGACAGAAGCACATCCACTTTGGCTTAGTGAAAGCAGCTTACTTCGATCATTTTCTTCCAGAAATAATTCCAAAACTAAAGGTGATTATCGTGTTCCTTCAAAGAAACGACTTGGTGGTATATTTGCATTTCTCAAAGGGAACTCCAAACAACTACCCTCAGATAATGCTTCGTTGTTTTATAAGAAAACACTGTTACCCAATATATCGTATACTGATATTTTAGATTTAGAGCCTTCCCTTACAAAGAAAGATGCTTTTAAAGATCGATTTTATTATTGTGAGTTAAACCCCTTTGCAAAGTATCAAGAAAATCAACGGTTCATGACTTCAGGATTTTATCATTGGCAAGGGATGTTTGCAGCTGATGCGCAATATAATGAGACGTTAATACGTCCTTCTTATTTACCTAAAGATGATAATCAGATTGAAATTACTAATTCATTTATCAATATTTACGGGTTGATTGGTGGTAATGAATATAACCAAAACTCGCTTGGCCAGTGCCCTCATCCACCCACAACTCAGCTTACAGATATATTTATGGGAGATCGGACTTTAGGACCTCTGTTGGAGATTTCCAAAGTTTCAAAGTTAAGAGATCATCATTATGTTGAAGGTGATCACATGAGACCAAACGATTTATGGGTGCCTGAAATTGGAGGAGTTAGAGCTCTATTAGAGGAACTAAGAGTTGGAACTTATGATTCTATGTTCAATTTCATTTCCAAGCAGTATATGGATGAAATATTTAATTATCCTCGCTTATCAAGACGAAAGGAGAAAGTATTGAGAGTTATACGTATAAATGGGGTTCAAGTTTCTAAAAAAGCAATAATTTGGACTCGTCCATTCAAAACCCCAGTTGTTGATCCTCAGTCTCAAACAGTTCTTTTGGACGTTAATGTTAAGAATCAAATAATTTTGGATGGTGTTGTAATAGAGAACTGGCTTTTTTGGAAGGGTGGTAATACTACTCGCATCAACTTTCCTAATTAAGATGACATTTGCTACCGGTACCGGTACCGGCCATAGCAAGCACGTGACATTTAAAAAAGTCCCCTTCTAATCTCGCACGACATCGGTCTGATTGACTCATGCATGCCAAAAAATTTATAACCGATCAAAAACTTTCAACTATTCATTCCTTCTAATCCCCGAACCAAACCTAACAAAAGAAATAAGGAGATGTTGGGTAAACTTATTTGCCGGTCCAGACTCGCTGCCGGTGTTAGAGCTTTTAGCACCGGAAGCCGTTTCTATTCCAATAAATTGGCTCCGTTGGATGCATCTCGTTTGCAGATTAACAAGACTTCAACACCTAAACACAAATTAGCCAATGACCAATTAGTTTTTGGTAAGACATTTACTGATCACATGTTGGAGATTGAATGGGATGCTCAAAGTGGTTGGGGTGTTCCAAAGATCTCTCCTTATCATAATTTATCATTAGATCCATCATGTGCTGTCTTTCATTATGCCTTTGAGTTATTTGAAGGTATGAAGGCTTACAAGGATGCCAATGGTAATGTCAGAACCTTTAGGGGTGATAAGAACATGGAAAGGATGAACAAATCAGCTGAAAGAATTGCACTTCCAACCTTTGATGGTGAAGAATTAATTAAATTAATTGATAAACTCGTTCTTTTGGATAAAGACTTTGTACCTGAAGGTGCGGGATATTCCTTGTATTTAAGACCTACAATGATTGGTACTCAAGCCTCTTTAGGTGTAGGAATTCCTTCTAAGGCATTACTTTATGTTATTGCATCACCTGTTGGTCCTTACTATCCTACTGGATTCAAGCCTGTTTCCTTGGAAGCTACTGATTATGCTGTTAGAGCTTGGCCCGGAGGTGTTGGTAACAGAAAGTTGGGTGCGAACTATGCTCCATGTATCAAGCCACAATTAGAAGCTGCTTCTAGAGGGTATCACCAAAACTTGTGGTTATTTGGCGAAGAAGGTAATGTTACTGAAGTTGGTACTATGAATGCATTCTTCATTTTCAAAGATCTTATAACTGGTAAGAAGGAATTAGTCACCGCACCTTTGGACGGTACTATTTTGGAAGGTGTGACCAGAGACTCTATATTAGAATTGGCTAGAACCAGATTACCAGCTGAAGAATGGGAAGTTTCTGAAAGATACTGTACCATACATGAAATCATTGAGAAGGCAACTAAAGGTGCACTTGTTGAAGCATTTGGTGCTGGTACTGCAGCAGTTGTGTCACCCATTGGTAACATTGGTTATCAAGGGAAAGATATTGCCATCCCATTGGCTAGAGGTAATTCTGGTGAATACACTGCAAAGTTTGCTGATTGGATTAGAGAAATTCAATATGGTGAAGAGGAATTCCAAGGTTGGTCAAGAGTATGCCAATAATAATTAATAGAGAGAATAGAGGCAGTAGTATAATATAGATAAACAATAATAATGATATTTATTGGATTCTTTCTATATCAGGTAAACCTTTAATTTCCTTTAGAATGTAATCTCTTTCATCGATCATTGTGGGGTCGTTAGTGGAGTCCAATTGGAAGTCATCAAAAAAGGCTATGAAGTTTTCTTTATTTTTAATCAAGATATCCAAAATCCCTTGACATTTCTTTGGTTTAGCAATGAAGAATTTGAAGATATGAAATGCTTCAATCTGTAAATTTTTCAGCTTATCACTCAAAAGGATCATAATTAATTTCAAATTATTTGTATCGTCAAAATATGCATTTAAAAATGTTTGATTGCGTCGTTCAAGGACTAATTCTGATAAAAGTTTAACACTTTGACGTTTGGTAACATAGTTATTTGATTGTACCAATTGATTGATCCGTTTCGTAAATTCACTATAATAAGCACCCAAGAATTCACTGGCTATTTTCTTATGAAGAGTTAAAACATCATGTAATGTGGTAAAGGCATCAGTAGCGATTTCAAACACGGGGATTTGAACATAATCAAAGAATTTCCAGAATAATGGATTGTAAATAACAAAATGCAACATCTGTTCATATTTAATACAATCTCTAAGAATTTGACCACAAATCAAACCAGTCTCTTTGGTTTCTGCTCCTCTCATCAACACTATAAGGATCTCTGGATTGAGCAAAAGATAATCAACAGTGGGAGACTTGCTCCCTATTTGTCGTCGTAACAATGTCAGGAATATAATGGATACGTCCTTCCGAGAATCAAAGTCTAGTTTCCTCAAAACAACAATCAAATGTAAGAGACAATCGGATGAGTATATTTCTTGAGCCAACACACTGATTTGGTCTGGTTGAGGATCGGTCTCGTCATCACCATGTAATACAACTTTCACTTGTTTGATGTATCGAGCACATTCATCTTGGTATTTCTTGGTGCTATCGGAGATAACTGATGCTGCTGGGTTGTAGGAGCCGTCTAATTTTTGGAGCTGTTCATTGAGAGCTCGCACAAGTTCATGCGGATTCTTGGGGTTCCGCTTGAATAGAAAAGTCATTGTAAGGGATCAATAAAACTTGAATGGACACGATATGGATATGATATGATATGATATGGATATGGATATGATATGATATGATATGATATGATATGATATGATATGGACACGAATTGATATGAATTGATATGATACCCTTCTGTGACACTACTGATCCAATACTAATACTCGTTATAAAGACTCTGATGGAAACGTATATGCATACGTATATGAAAACTAAAGTATACGAGTATTATAAAGTGGTGGATGGCGCTGGTAGTGGGCACTTTTCAGTAAGCTGTTTCACTCTGTACACTCAATCAGCGGTTGGACTTAGAGTATTCGAATAGATACACTTTCAGATGCAATTCAAATTTAGTTCAGATGCAATTCTGATTCAAAACAGGTTACAACCCCACTAGATATAAACCCCCGGTGCTTACTAGTTCGAATTCTCGTGGCTTCACTCGTCACCCTTAAGCCTGGTTTGTAGATACCAAGTAGAAAACACAAACGATCAAATGTATCCATCACAAATTGTTTGGTCTGAGTTTTTCGCACTGTTTTGTGTGCGCTGTGCGAATCCAGTCGGTGGGAATTGTAGTCCGCAGTCCGCACTGACCTCAGTACCGAAAGTACTCTTAGTGCCAGAGCCATTACATTCAACATAGAAACATAGACAAATTCCCTTCAAGCTTCTTTGCCAGCCGTATTAATAATAACGCAAATTCCTTTATATTAATATTATGATAAAAATATTGTCCTATTGCGTTAATTGAATTGCTCACTCACTCACTCAATTTATTGCCTTCTTTCATTCCATCGTTCATTTTATCGATATATATGTCTTATATCTCCGTTTGGAAACCCATATCGGTCAACCAAAGCAACAGACCTGTCCTAGAAACCGATGAACACGATATATATGTCCGAGATGGTGTAGGGATATATCAGGGTAAATCCAAGATCTTAGAACGTCAAGATGGTAGGATCTATTTAACCAACAGACGCATAATCTATTTTGATAATAAGGTCAATAGCAACAGTTGCTGTGTTTATCTCACAGAAATATCTCATGGTGAACCTATAGGACGATTTCTTCGATCATCTCCTAAAGTAAAGTTGTATTTGAGAAAGGGCACAATTGAGTCAAGCAATAATAACAATAATAATAATAATATTAGTAATAATATTAATAACGACAATAATAACGTTTCAACATCTTCTCCATCTCCTCCTCCTCCATTATCTTCAACTTCCTCCTTATCTTCACTAACTTTAAAGCCAACTAAAGTCACTTGGACTTGCCAAATATGTTCCTACAATAACGCTGATTATTTCACCGGTAGTCAATTGGATACTGGTGCTGTTAAACTTAAATGTGCTTCCTGTGGTATCCCTCCATCTATTCCTTATATTAGACGGTTCTTGGTTGCTCCTACTCAGACGTCTAATGCTGACCAAGTTACAGATAGACAACCCTCTTTAGAAGTTAACTCCAGTGGTAGTAGTTCTAACCTTAAGTCGTCTAAGAACACCATTGAATGTCCTCGATGTACATTTATTAATCATTCCTCGCTTACCACTTGTGAAATCTGTGGGAGTTATTTACTACAAACTGCGTCTTTGGAATTGAAAACAAATTCCATAGTTGCACCATCGTCATCATCACAAACAGCTAGTGTTGATATTGAACTCGAAGATGGCATTGAAGCGTATACTAATAACAAAGCTTATATTAAGGTTAGTTTCCGTAAAGGTGGAGGGGAAATCGAGTTCAATAACCTTGTTAACACTGCTATTGAGGACATCAAATGGGATGAATTGACTAAAAGAGGTGGTGTGAATGAGAATGCTGTGAAATTGAATCAACAACAGAAACCTCTTGTTAGCACCGGGAAAGCAGTAAGAGCTGGAATCAGTGGATTAGAGGTGAAAAATGAATTGACTAGGAAAACCAATGAAATAGTTTTACAAGATTCACTTTATGATTTGGATTTATTGATGTTCAAGTTTGAAGATATCATGAAGATTTCTGAATCATTTAAACCATTACTTAAACAGAATTCGCTGGTGATTACTAATCGAAGATTTAGTACTAATAGTATTATACCCGAATTGAACACAAGTAAGAAATCGAATATCTTCCATCAAGAACTTTCACGACATTTAAGTGAATATTTAGATAGCTATGAATTGGTTAAACAAACTTCAATGATTACCACCCAAGATTTGTTTGCGAATTACAATAGATATTTAACCATGAGTCAAGGGTTTGGAACAGAGTTGATAAGCGCTTTGGATTTCAATAAGGCTATCTCAATGTTTGATACTCTTCATCTTCCAATCATGGTCAAGAAATATGAACGATCTGGCTTGCTTGTTGTTGTGAGACGGTCCGAGGGCTTACACGATAACTTCATTGCCTTAGTGCGTAAGTTTCTCGCTCTACACCAACAACTGCTAGCATCCAACTTTATCGAGGAGGAGATAGCAGACGAAGAAGAGGAGTTAAGAGGAGGAACATCTGTCATCAAACATGCTCGTGGATGTAATATTAAAGAGATTAGTGAAGAGTTTAGCTGGTCTTACAACATCACTATTGAAGAAATGGAACGATGCATACAAAGTGGAACGGTGATAGTGGATCAACATATTTCCGGGACATTTTATTTTGTTAATGATATATGGTGAAGAGATACCACAATGCGCATGAAACGGCTTACAACCGTCATATTTCACATTGCATAGAATCATTCAGACCTTATATTATGTAAGATTCCGCAAAATGATTGGCCGGCCGGCCGTTGGACGCCGCAATACACGGCGAGAATTGAGAACTGTAGTACGAAAATGCTTTTTTCTTAATTGGGGCCGTGGATGGTGTGTCGCAAAAGTTATCAGTTAAACAGCACCTGGCTCATATCAGATAGCAATTGTGTTATTGAATACGAAGCATGCGTATATTTGTAGTATTGTTGACTGACGATAACAATCCAATACTACCAGGGTTTATAGTAAGGTAAGGTTTTCAATGTAGGGAGCTGGCAGTCCCGTATCCCATACACCATGCGCTTATCAGTGTTATATGCACACGATTTCTAAAGTGACAGGACCGGGTTCTGTGTACTATTTGACGGATAAGGTTCAGGTACAGGATAGGGCCAGAGAATATAAGATGAGGTGTGGTGGGTTTCATAGGCTAATTAATTTTTGCTTCTTTGGGGTTGGTACCGATAAGGAGGGTTTCAGCCATTCATTTGAGGTTACCCATATTTCTCCTTAACCAACTATCTTTGGAGATTGTAGTTTCAAACACCACAAAGTCAGAGTGACCTAGAGCAAGTTTCTTAACCCATAATCTGACATGAACCCTACACAGTAACTATTCTCAGGTCTATTAAATCTCACGGCTAGTTAAACTCAGATATACATTGCTACGTTAACCTTACGTTAATTATCAAGTATATTATTTAGAATCTACGGAAATCAGCCACTAGTTGGGCCCTGTATCGAGTTACAATCCCGAGGTGCACAGGTTTTAGAAGTCCTTGGTGACACAAATCAGTCAGTCTTCTACAGGAAACCGTTTACATGATAAGAATTCCTCACTCTCACAATAAGGCATTTCATGCACATGAGGTTTTCAAAATTCTATTTAGAGAGGTTATTAATTGACGTAAGTAGTTTAATAAAAAGTGGACGGGTTTGCATACGGTACCCCATATCTACTTTGATAAGCTCCTTGACACGAAGATGTAAAACCTGAGAAGAAATGATCTTTACAGAACACAAATATAAATACTCTAGTTTATGCCCACTAAATTGCAATTGGTATATCCTACTTTATTATTATACTCAATTGCAAAGTATATTTCATATAGTATCATATCATGGTTTCAGCAATTAATGTCCCATTACCACAAGGTGCTGGTTACGCTGTGGTTGTTGGGTTAGGTGCTGTCTTCGCGGTGGGGATGGTTTTCACCACCTATGTTTTAAGAAGATATCAAAGAGAAGTTATCACTGCTGAAGAATTCGCTACTGCTGGTAGATCTGTTAAAACTGGGTTGATTTCAGCGGCTGTGGTTTCTTCTTGGACTTGGGCTGCAACTTTATTAACCTCAACTACTCAAACTTATAATAATGGTATTAGTGGGGCATTCTATTATGCAGCAGGTGCCACTTGCCAAATTGTCTTGTTTGCTTGTTTAGCTATTAAGGGTAAAGAACGAGCTCCCGGTGCCCATACTTATCTTGAAATTGTCAAGTGTAGATACGGGAAAACCACTCATATTGTTTATGTTACTTGGGGTTTAATCACCAATATCTTGGTCACGGCTATGCTTTTAACGGGTGGTTCTGCAGTTGTTAGTGATTTAACAGGAATGCACACTGTTGCTGCTTGTTTATTGTTACCTTTGGGTGTTGTTATCTATACCTTATTTGGAGGTATTAAGGCCACATTTTTAACAGATTATGCTCATACTGTGGTCATAATAGTAATCTTGATGATATTTGGATTCTTGACTTGGGCTACAAGTAGTGTATTGGGCTCTCCAGGCCAAGTTTGGGAAATTGTTACTAAGTTGGCTGAAACTCAACCTCGTGAAGGTAATGCTGGTGGTTCTTACTTGACTATGCATTCCAGATCTGGTGGTATTTTCTTTGTCATTAACATTGTTGGTAACTTTGGAACTGTGTTTTTGGATAATGGTTATTTCAATAAGGCATTTGCCGCTGATCCAGCTGCTGCTTTACCTGGTTATGTTCTTGGTGGATTGGCGTGGTTTGCCATTCCTGCTTTCTGCTCCACTACTTTGGGTCTCGCTGCTTTGGCTTTGGAAGGTACTCCTTCTTGGCCAACTTACCCAAACAGATTAAGTGCTCAAGAAGTTTCTGCTGGGTTGGTGTTACCAAATGCTGCAGTGGCTCTTTTGGGTACAGGTGGTGCTGTTTGTTCACTTTTGTTAATCTTCATGGCTGTCACCTCTGCCATGTCGGCTGAATTAATTGCTGTTTCCACTGTCTATACTTACGATATTTATCGTACCTACATCAACCCTAAAGCTTCTGGTAAGAAATTGATTTACATGTCCCACATGTCTGTCATCATTTTTGCCTATGTTATGGCTGGATTTGCTATTGGATTATACTATGCTGGTATTTCCATGGGATATTTATACGAATTAATGGGTATTATTATTGGTGGTGCTGTATTGCCTTCTGCCTTAACTCTTTTGTCTAAGAGACAAAACAACATGGCAGCTAACTTGACTCCACCCATTTCTACTGGGTTGGCAATTATGGGTTGGTTGATTTGTACCAAGAAGAAAGCCGGAGTAATCAATGTTGATACCACTTTCCTTGATGATCCAATGTTAACTGGTAATGTTATTGCCTTATGTACACCATTGATCTTGGTTCCTGTGTTTACCTTTGCTTTTGGTCAACAAAATTTCAATTGGGAAATCTTAAAGTCCATCAAGAGAGTTGACGAAGAAGAAGAACTCGAAATTGCCGAAGAAGCTGAAAATAAAATCGACGTTATTTTATCAGGCGAAAAGCAGCATGAGGACGTTGAGGCCAACTTTATTTCTCCAGTAAAATCTCAAACATCTGCTGCTGCATTTGAAATAGCCCAAACTCAACAAGAAAAGTTGATTGTGGAGGAGGCTCACTTACGTAAATCATTTAAGTTTGCTTGTTATATTTGTGTCGGGTTGACTCTTTGTCTTGTTATCTTATGGCCTATGCCAATGTATGGATCCAAATATGTGTTCTCTAAACAGTTCTTCACTGGTTGGGTCACTGTTTTGTTCATCTGGTTATGGTTTTCTGCATTTATGGTGATTATCTATCCTGTCTATGAAAGTCGTGATGGTATCCGTACTACCTTCAGAGGTATGTATTGGGATTTGACTGGCCAAACTCACAAGTTGAGAGAATGGCAAAACATGCATCCAGAAAAGTTACACAGTGTTGTCTCACAAGTGAACAACCAATTACTCGAGGAAGCCCAAGCTGCTGATGGCAAGTCTGTCTTAGGTGAAAGTGTTGATGAGAAGAAATAATTCGTTTTCATTTTATAAGTGTGATTATCGTGAATATTATTAATGTATGTTAGTTTAGTTTAGTATGGGGTAACTTCAGTAGTAGTGAACGGCTGTGAAAATATCTTGAAAAGAGAGGTGACTCTAAACTCAATTGAATCTGCAAATTAATCTAGACCCACATAACTTTAGTCGATTATTGGACTTATTGTAGTGACAACTATTCTCGGTTGCAACTACACCGAACGGATTTAATGTAAGTACCATTGAGGTGATAACTATACCGCGCTACCACATCAATAACGTTTCTTGCATCGGTTTTTTTTGTATCACTGATAAGCCCGATGGGGATTATCAGGAATATTGAGTTGTGCAGGTTGAAATTGATTATTTTACCTGTGTTATCTGGATTGCGGCACTTCAAAACGAATTGGTACTTGCACGACATCAACGATTATGTCACGTGAAGATTAGGAAAGGCGACGTTTAATCGATGGTGTATTATTGGTACGATTAAATGGATCACCAGTTACGACTCCTTGATGGAGGACAAGAGTTGGACCCGGAGTCTAGAGAGACGAGAAGAAACTGTGGGGCTGGCTGTTTCGCAAATCACGAAATGAAATCTGTATTGATCTACGCCTTTGTTTCACGATGAGATAAGAAGCAACAAATAACAGAGAACAATTAGTGCACGGAATAAGCAATATAAGAGATGCAAATTGAATAGTTAGTATTAGTGATAATATGAAACATAGTTATAGTAACAAAGTAGGAATAATAACACTAGCAGTAATACTATTAACCTTTGATCTAATGAACTTGATGCGTTTACCGTGTACTAACCAGCTACTTTATGTTGATCCTGATAACAAAAGGGTGCAAAGAGTAGTAGTGTATGTATGATTTACCATTAACTTCGGTCTGTTCCTTAAGACCAACGATCGGCTGCCATGAGAGCGGCCCGCGATTGGATTGTGGGGGACCACTTTTTGGTATATTGACGTCAACACTTGGCACAAGAATAATATCTTATCGTTTCCTAAATATGAGAACTGGTTCCATTTCCGTTTGGTTTTGGATTATGTCAGCGACAGGGCAAACATTAATTGCATACTCTCAAGAGTGGCTCACGGATTAATCCTATTTGTTCAATTTTACACTAGAGGAAATTCCGTTATACTTGCACTAGGCGAATTAAAGCGGCGCAAAATATGATGGACTCCGGCGGCCGTTTAACGGCGACAGTATTAGACATATGCATTCCGCTACCGTAAGCAATTCCTACTCACTTACATAGACACATACATACTATAACAGTCTGATTACACTATTGCCGTTTTTGTAATACCATCTCTCGCTCGAACATACCTTTAGCGGATGATAAACAGATAACGTGCACCCACCACATTTACGTTTCGGTCAACTCCATAGGTGAGTTCCTACAAAAGCCGAGTTTGTGATCTCGATAAGGTGGGGCTTGAACTGGATCAAGTCCAATGATATAAAGAGCAAGTTATCCATGAAATAAAATTTCCAAGTTCAATTATATCCAATGAGTATACTTGAATAGTACTAAACACTACTTTAGTATAGATATATTTATTTCTATATCGTTCATCGATATTCATCACATTTCTCTCGCATCATCATGACTATCGGCTGGACAGTCTCTGATTGGAAGAAATTTCACTACGAATCAACTCCAAATGATTCCTACGACGTGATCAAAAACTTATTGCAATCACAACTCAAAGCCCCTCAAGATCCAGCATGGATTTCCCTTTGTACGGTACACGATTTAGAACATCAATGGGCTTATTTGCAATCAAGATCAAATAAATTGGAACTACCACTCTATGGTGTTCCTGTTGCCATCAAAGACAATATTGATGTTAGAGGATTTGTGACTACTGCTGCTTGTCCATCATTTGGCTATGAAGCTGAGGAAGATGCTACCACCGTTAAATTATTAAGAGAAGCTGGGGCTATTATTATGGGTAAAACTAATTTGGATCAATTTGCCACAGGGTTAGTCGGTACCAGATCGCCGTACGGAATTACTCCAAACACTTTTGATTCAGATTACGTTTCAGGTGGCTCTTCTGCTGGGTCTGCATCAGTTGTGGCTAGAGGAATTGTGCCAATTGCTTTGGGTACTGACACTGCTGGTTCAGGAAGAGTCCCTGCCGCTTTAAACAACTTAATTGGATTGAAACCCACAAAGGGGGTTTTCTCCTGTAAAGGGGTGGTACCTGCTTGTAAATCATTGGATTGTGTTTCAATCTTTTCAATGAATTTGCAGGATGCTCAATTGACATTCAATATCATGGCCAAAGAAGATGGTGCCAACGATGAGTTCTCAAGACCTCTACCTTCTAATCCATTGACAAGTTTTGGTTCGAAACCAACTATTGCCGTGCCTACAAACTTGCTTTGGTATGGAGAAGAAGAAAACCCCAAACTTTTCACCCAAGCAGTTGAAGTTTTCAAATCATTAGATGTAAACTTGATCACCATTGATTTGGAACCGTTGTTAGAATTAGCTAAATGCTTATATGACGGTCCTTGGGTTGCTGAAAGATATTCAGCTACCAGAAAGTTTTTAGATTCTGATCCTCCAGAAAAGGATTTGGACCCAACCGTTATGAAGATCATTAAAGGCGGTGAAGCTCCAACTGCTTACACCTACTTTGAATATGAATACAAGAGGCAAAACATTTTACAAAAGGTTAAACCTATTTTGAAATCATTGGATGCAATTATTGTACCTACTTGTCCTTTAAACCCATCCATTGCCCAAGTCAAAGCAGAACCAATTGCTGTCAACTCAAAACAAGGTACTTACACAAACTTTGTTAATTTGGCTGATTTGTCTGGATTAGCTATTCCAGCAGGGTTCCGTGAAGACGGCTTACCATTTGGTATCACTTTGTTGTCGCAAAAGTTTAACGACTATGCTCTTTTAGATTTGGCTAGCAAGTACATTGAGAAACGTGCTGAAACCGAGCCAAGAATCTATGGCTGCTTAATCGATAGAGAAGTCTCAACCTTACAAGATGAATTGTTACCTTTACCTAAGATCAACTTTGATACCCAGATTAAATTGGCCGTAGTAGGTGCTCATTTAAAGGGCCTACCGTTACATTGGCAATTAGAAAAGGTCAAAGCCACTTTTGTTGAAGCTACAACCACTTCCGAGAGTTACAAACTCTACGCCTTACCTAAGACTGGCCCTGTTGCCAAACCCGGGTTGAGAAAGGTATCTGAAGGTGGTTCTAAGATTGCCATTGAAGTGTATGCTGTTCCTAAGGAAACTTTTGGTGATTTCATTGCTATGGTTCCTGAGCCATTGGGAATTGGATCTGTGGAATTGGACAGTGGTGAAGTTGTCAAGTCTTTTATCTGTGAAGAATTTGGTTATAAGGCTTCTGGTTCAGTGGATGTTACATCTTTTGGTGGTTGGAAACCTTATTTGGATCATTTATCCAGAGAAGCTTCTAAAGTGAAGAAACCTTTCGAAAGTGTTTTGGTTGCTAACAGAGGTGAAATTGCTGTTAGAATCATGAAAACCTTAAAAAAAATGGGCATCAAGTCAATTGCTGTCTATTCTGACCCCGATAAACATGCTGAGCATGTTGAAATTGCCGATATCAAGGTTCCTTTACATGGAGTTTCCGCCGCAGAAACCTATATCAACACTGATAAGATCATAGCTGCTGCTAAATCTACAGGAGCTCAAGCCATTATTCCTGGTTATGGTTTCCTTTCTGAAAATGCTGATTTTTCAGACAGATGTGGGAAGGAAGGTATTGTCTTTGTTGGTCCAGCTGGTGAAGCCATTAGAAAGTTGGGTTTGAAGCATTCTGCTAGAGAAATTGCTACCAAAGCTGGAGTTCCATTGGTTCCAGGTTCTGATTTGGTGAAGGATGCTGCTGAGGCCAGAGAAATCGCTGCTAAGTTGACTTACCCTGTCATGGTAAAGTCAACTGCCGGTGGTGGTGGTATTGGTTTGCAGAAAGTTGACTCTGAAGCTGACATTGAACGGGTTTTCCAAACTGTCCAACATCAAGGTAAGTCTTACTTTGGTGATTCTGGTGTATTCTTGGAAAGATTTGTAGAGAATGCCAGACATGTTGAAGTTCAAATGTTAGGAGATGGTAACGGTAAAGCTATTGCAGTTGGTGAAAGAGATTGTTCTTTACAAAGAAGAAACCAAAAGATTATTGAAGAAACTCCTGCTCCTAACTTACCTGAAGCTACCAGAGTTAAAATGAGACAAGCTGCTGAATCTTTAGCTTCTAGTTTGAAATACAAGTGTGCTGGTACTGTGGAGTTTATTTATGATGAAAAGAGGGACGAATTCTACTTTTTGGAAGTCAATGCCAGATTACAAGTTGAACATCCTATTACAGAAATGGTTACCGGTTTGGATTTGGTTGAATGGATGCTTTTGATTGCTGGTGATATGCCTCCAGATTTCTCTCAAAAGATCCCAGTTGTTGGAGCTTCTATGGAAGCTAGATTGTATGCCGAAAACCCAGTTAAAGATTTCATGCCATCTCCCGGTCAATTGACCGAAGTTGTTTTACCATCTTGGGCCAGAATTGACGGTTGGGTCAAGAAAGGTACTGTTATCTCAGCAGAATATGATCCAACTTTAGCCAAGATCATTGTTCATGGTAAGGATAGAAATGAAGCCTTACAATTGTTACGCCGTGCCTTGGATGAAACTGTGGTTTACGGTTGTATTACCAACATTGATTACTTGAGATCAGTGGCTAACTCCGATATGTTTGCTCAAGCTAAAATGCATACCAAGATCTTGGATACTTACGACTACCAACCAACTGCTTTTGAAATCTTGGCTCCCGGAGCTTACACCACTGTTCAAGATTACCCTGGTAGAAAGGGTTACTGGCATATTGGTGTTCCTCCTTCAGGATGTATGGATGAATATGCTTTCAGAATTGCTAACAGAATTGTTGGTAACCACAAGGCTTCACCTGGGCTTGAAATTACCTTGAATGGGCCCAAGATTTTGTTCCATCATGATGCTATTGTTTCCGTTACTGGTGGTGATGCACAAATTGAAGTTAATGGGACGAGAGTACCTCAATGGGTCCCCATTAATATCAAGAGAGGTGACAAATTGTCTATTGGTAAATTGACCAGTGGTTGCAGAGCTTATTTAGCCATTAGAGGTGGTATTGATGTCACAGAATATTTAGGTTCCAGATCCACTTTTGCCTTGGGTAATTTGGGTGGTTATAACGGGAGAGTTTTGAAGTTGGGTGATGTTTTATTCTTGGGTCAACCTGAACTTTCTTCCTGTACTTTGCCAGCCCCAATTTCTGAACCAACACCAGCACCATTGGCTTTAATTCCTGATTATGCTACCACCAAGATCTGGGAGGTTGGTGTGACTTGTGGCCCTCATGGTTCACCAGATTTCTTTAAGCCTGAAGCAGTTGAGGAATTCTTCTCTGAAACATGGAAGGTCCATTATAACTCTAACAGATTTGGTGTTAGATTAATTGGTCCTAAACCTAAATGGGCAAGACCAGATGGTGGTGAAGCTGGGTTACATCCTTCCAATGCCCACGATTATGTCTATTCATTGGGTGCTATCAATTTTACTGGTGATGAACCGGTTATTTTGACATGTGATGGTCCCTCTTTAGGTGGGTTTGTCTGTGAAGCTGTTATTGCTGAAGCCGAAATGTGGAAGATTGGTCAAGTAAAGCCTGGTGAACAAATCAAGTTTATTCCAATTAGTTATGAAAGTGCCAAATCATTAAAGAAGCATCAAGATGACATTGTTGAAGAACTTGATGGTGAATTGCCTTCTTTTGAAGGTAAGATTATAAAGCCAGAAGACCCTGTGTTGTATGTTCTTAAGGCAGGTAGTGCTCCTAGTGTCACATACAGACAAGCTGGTGACAGATATATTTTGGTTGAATATGGCGACAACCAATTAGACTTGAATTTGAGTTACAGAGTTCACAAGTTGATTGAATTGGTTGATGTCAATAAGACCAGAGGTATTGTGGAGATGTCTCAAGGTGTCAGATCTGTGTTGATTGAATTCAATTCCGATATTACCCAACAAGAATTATTGAAGGTTTTGATCTCATACGAAAAGGAAGTTTCTTTCACCAACAAATGGGAAGTTAAGTCCCGAGTCATCAAGTTACCCATGGCATTTGAAGATAAACGAACTTTAGATGCTGTTACCAGATATCAAGAAACCATCAGAAGCGATGCTCCATGGTTGCCTAACAATGTTGATTTTATTGCCAATGTTAATGGTATCACCAGAAAGGATGTTAAGGATATGTTATATGCTGCCAGATTCCTTGTGTTAGGTTTAGGTGATGTGTTTTTGGGAGCACCCTGTGCTGTTCCATTGGATCCAAGACAAAGATTCTTGGGTACCAAATATAACCCATCTAGAACATTCACTCCTAACGGTACAGTTGGTATTGGAGGTAGTTTTATGTGTATTTATACCATGGAATCCCCCGGTGGATATCAATTGGTTGGTAGAACAGTTCCTATTTGGGATAAGTTGACTCTTGGAGCTCATAGTGGTGATAAACCATGGCTATTGAGACCATTTGATCAAGTTTCCTTTTATCCTGTCAGTGAAGAAGAAATCGACAGATTAAGTGATGAAATGCTGGCGGGTAAATTCGAAGTGGACATTGTTGAAACCGTTTTCAACCATGGAGAGTATTTGAAGTGGGTTACGGAAAACATGGACTCCATTGAAGAGTTCCAAAAGAACCAAGGTGGGGAAAAGTTGGCAGAATTCAATAGATTAATTCAAATTGCCAATAGTGAATTGGAAAAGAGCGGTACCAAGATTGTTGAAGAAGAAGATTACGGTGACGATGTTGAATTGGTCTACTCTGAATATTCTGGTAGATTCTGGAAATCATTGGTAGAAGTTGGTGATGAAGTTAAACCTGGTCAAGGTTTGGTGGTAGTGGAAGCCATGAAGACGGAAATGATCGTTTCTTCTCCGAGAGCAGGTAAGGTGAAGAAGGTGTTCCACAAAAACGGTGATATGGTTGATGCAGGTGATTTGGTTGTTGTCATTGAATAATTTTATACACTATTTATTCTTATTCTTATTCTTATTATTATTATTATTATTAGAATTAACTACGCTTACTACTCTTATTTTGTATGGGTTTGGTATACCAAACATTATATTTGATCACACGCACGACCAATCGCGGTTAGAAAAAATGTTCCCAAAAGTATAATAAAACTTGGAGCTCCTCAAACTTAAAGCTCTCGATTTTATTCATTAATCAATCCAAACAATGGCAGATCAATTGAAGGCAGAATTGTGGACAAGCTCATCAAATGAAGCACTTAAACTTTTCATAGCTGATTCCGAAGGAGCAGTTTCGTTCCCCCCCGTTTTCACGTATCCAATCTTTGGAGACAGTGAAACCATATATGGGTATCAAGGTTTAGAAATTTTGCTTTGTTTCAATCATTATACATTCCGGCCATTTCTTAATATTAGATACGATAAGAAATTGGAGATGCCCAATGTTGAAGACCCCAAGTCGAAACTCTTGACGCTATTATCTAAGCAAACGGTTTTCAAAGATGAAGTGAAATGGGTTGATGAAGTGAAGAATGAAATTGCTAATTATCAAATTCCAGGGCAACTTGTTGATGATTTTGAACAAGACAACGAATCATATGAAATATACAAACTTGATTTGACATCAGATTCTGGGTTGGAATTGCATCAACGATTGCAAATCTTGGTGCTTTTGTTCATTGAAGCTGGTAGTTATATTGATTCCAATGATCCATTGTGGAATGTTTATGTACTTTATAAAGTGAGTCCAAACGAGAAGAATCCTCGCTCTATTATAGGATTTACCACCATATATCAATATTGGAAATACCCTGGGGCCAAAGCTTTTGATGAAGGTTTAAGGGAAACAAGATTAAAGATATCTCAATTTATCATTTTACCTCCTTATCAAGGTAAAGGATTAGGTCAACTATTCTATAGTCGATTGTTCGGGAATTGGTTGAAGAACGAAGAAATCGTGGAAATCGTGGTAGAAGACCCTAACGAACAATTTGATGATATGAGAGATCGTGCTGATTTATCATTCTTAAACAAACAACTTGATCTTAATTTAATTAACACCAAATTGACCCCAGGGTGGATCGAACTCACGCGCAAAAAGTTCAAGTTGGAAAAACGTCAGTTCGCACGACTTTTGGAGATGATTCTTCTTTATAAGCTCAAACATAATACTGGCTCGGATTCCGTTAAAGATGTACGGCTTTTCATTAAAAGACGACTTTTTGAAAAGAACATTGAAGCATTAAGTCCACTTGAAGAAGCCGATCGTAGAGACAAACTTCATACCGCTTATCAATCATTGACTGAAGATTATTATAGGATCTTAGACGGTGTCAGGTTACGTATGAAACGTTCTTTAACAGATGACAATGATGATGTCAATGACGACACCAACGACGAGTCAGCCTCACTAGAAAAATCCAAAAAGGTCAGACTTAATAAACAATAAGAATCATCATTATTATCAGAATAATAATCATGATCAATGTTGGATTCCCTATGACGTAATAACTTCGGAATCACGTTTTAGAACTTTGTGGTTTGGAAAATAGAAAAAACTTATAGCGACATTTGTGCACGACATTATGTTCCCATAACGAACTTTAATCTGCTTATGAGCTTATACATACAGCATTCCCAACCAGTGCTGTTTTGTATCGACAATTGACTATTGTAATTGTGTTTTGTCGATGATGGAGCCACTCGAGCCAATGATAAGACCTAGCGTCGAATATCGCTTGTGGAGGCGGTTATATTTTGTCCGGTAGTGTCCAACGCTGATTACTTCACGGGCATTCCGGATGCAGGCAAAATTCTTTAGGTAATGTAGTTCGGAATCCCATTGTGGTGTTATTGAAATGAACAAGATTAGCAAGACTGCATGTACATACCTGTAAGCCAGCGAATTCAGGAGGTACAGAAGGGGAATAATAAGGCTTTGGGTGGACAATTTAAATACCCCGAAGATTGCTGGGGAAATTCCCTTTCGAATAAAAATAGTAAAATTTTAATACATTTCCTCTAGTAGTATTTTCAACATTCATCAAGTAGAAAATGCATAGAACATATTCATTGAGAGAACAACGTGCCCCCACGGCTGCTCAATTGCAAGCTCCACCTCCACCAACTTCTTCTACCAAGAGTAAGTTTTTCGGTAAGGCTGGTATTGCTTCATCTTTCAGAAAGACAGTTGCTGGTGCAACTGGTCCTGAATTAAGTAGAAAGTTGAGTCAATACATCAAGATGGAAAAGAATGTCATGAGAGCCATTGAAATCACTGCCAGAGAAAGAAGAGATGTTGCTAAGCAATTGAGTTTGTGGGGTGAAAGTCAAGATGATGATGTTTCTGATGTCACCGATAAATTGGGAGTTTTAATTTATGAAATTGGTGAATTGGAAGATCAATACATTGATAAGTATGATCAATACAGATTGACTTTGAAGGGTGTCAGAGACATTGAATCTTCAGTTCAACCTTCAAGAGACAGAAAGCAAAAGATCACCGATGAAATTGCTCACTTGAAGTATAAGGACCCAGAATCTCCAAAGATCCACACTTTGGAACAAGAATTGGTCAGAGCTGAAGCTGAATCATTGGTTGCTGAAGCCCAATTGTCAAACATCACCAGAGAACAATTGAAGGCTGCTTTCAACTATTTGTTTGATGCTACCAGAGAATTGGCTGAAAAGTATGCCTTAATTGCTGGTTACGGTAAGGCTGTTTTGGAATTGTTGGACGATTCTTCTGTTACTCCAGGTGAAGTTAGACCTGCTTATGATGGATATGAGGCTTCTAAGCAAATCATTATTGATTGTGAAAATGCCTTGGCTTCTTGGACTTTGGACGGTGCTGCTGTCAAGCCAACTTTATCCTTGCATCACGATTACGAGGATGAAGAGCCTGCTGATGAAAGCGAAATCGCTGATGCTGAAGAAGAGTTTGCTAAGCATGATGAAACCAATGGTCCAACTGCTTGAGCTTAGTATTATACTCTTTTTGTTTAATTTCAATCACCACTTTTGGAAATCAATTTTAACTTCAGTTTCAATTCGAATGCCGCTTTGTTTGGTTTGTATTTTGTACCCTTTGTTATCTTTTATTTTTTGATGTCGTTTCCACACATTACTTTTAACTCTGTTTGATAACCATTTAGTTATTTAATGTTAGTTTTATGTGCTTCAACCGCCAATGTAACAAGACCCATTTTGATTCCAAGGAATATGACATAATCCTAATCATGCAGAATGTTTAAAATAATCAAGGACAGGGTACAACAACGGTAAAGATAGCGGGGTTCCACCAATTACCTGACGTTTCACTTTCTAAGTGGACCAAATCTTTACAAGCAAGAACAAGAAGACTTGCAAACCCATTAGCTGCTGAAGTTCTTGTAACCGGTTGTTCTAATAACAAATTGCTAGAACTCTTAGTTGGAATTAACCTTGTAAACTCAATGTAACCAAATTTGCTTCCTGTGTAGCTAATTATAGTATCATGCGTGTCATCTAATATTTTAAGTGAATATGGACAGGAATAGTTTATTTCTCCAAGTTGATTTGCCCTTTGTATTAAAAATTGAATGAATAATGTAGTGGTATGACCAATACCTGTATTGAAAGAATGTAGATTCTCAATATCTTCATCAATATTAGTAGGTATTCCAAGCCCAAACCCTATATCATGTAATGGATCACCTCGGCTAGAAGAACGACTTTGAGTACTATAATTATGTTGCAAAACTCCAACTTCCAAATCAAAAATATCACTGGAAGCAGCAATCAGTGGTGGATGTTGCAAATAATGAGAATCAAAATCCAAAATACCCAATTCGTCTAAAATGTTCTCTGGCAATTGTGAACGTTTTCCATATTCAATTTCTACATCTTCAGCCAATTGGCATTTTGATCTTTCTTCGAGAGTTCTCAAGATTGAATCGAGTAAAGAAGAATTATTATATTTTGTGAATCCAAGAAACAGAAAATTAATTTCCTTTGTAGCCTTTGAAGTTAATTGGACCAAACGACTTGTCATTGTCTGACTAAGTTGAAATTCTTTCATTTGCAATTCATAAATCCTATGAGACTCAGTTAAAACTGTCGATGGAATTTTCACTATATCTTCATCAACTTGTAAGTTTGTAAATCTAATTTTTGAGAGTGGATTTTGGTTTAAAGTTTCAGCTCTATCTCTATCAAGCGTACGAGCATTTGATACAAGTGCAAAATCTGTATCGTTTGAAATAGAAAGCAATTCTTCTTCACGGATTTCTTGAAATACTTGGGGATTAGGTAAATCAGTATTTGTTCTTAAATCAACATCATCGAGAATACTTTGATCATAGGATTCACCATCTTTCAGAACCAAGAATCCATCATCATTTAATTCAAATACCACGTCTTCAACACCTCCCATTTCTAAAGCTGGTTGGACGTTAAAACCCAGAAGAGTACTTTGACGGCTGGGAGCTCCCATCCCCGACAGAGAAGACACCGGAGTCATTTTCGTTAAACCAGGGAAAATTAACTTATCATACTCTTCGATTTCAATTTTTCTTTTTTTGGCCATAGGGTCTTGAACACTTTTACCAACAAAAGGAGGAATTAAATCTCTCTCAATATTGAACTCTGGATCATCATCAAGATTTCGAAGAGAGGAAGTACCCTTGTATTCTTTCATGATAACATGTTCTTCATACTCATTATCAACACCACTCAGTAAGGGGCTTCTCCTTTGGAATACAGGTAACAATTGTTTCTCCTGTGAATGATTTGTCCCCATAGAAAGTCGAGTCCTCATAAAATTAACTTCGTCCAACACTTTTTCCACTTGTTTACGATACGCAATGGCAACCCCCAACATTATATTGGCACAGAACCGGATACTTGTGTGGTCACTATATTTTATTACACGTACACATAGGTTAGGGATACGAGTATCAAGGATCTCTTTATTAAAGTTCTTTCTACCATTGCTTTTGGATCCAATGGTTGCCAAGAGCCATACGTTCTGGATATCCAATGGATTGTTTGTGTTTGTTACTTCCATGTTGAATGCGTAAAGGAATATGGTATAAGGGTGAAGGAAAAGGGTATGATGATGAAAGCTTTCGCAACATAAATTGGCTGCGAAAATTTGAGGGTATATTCAAGGCGTGATACTGTGACTAGATACAACATACTGTAACATTAGACTATGAACTCATACAGCGTACCACACCATGGAACTATGACTATATACAAAATACTATAATCACATTCGAGACACTAAGTATTACTGTGTAATATTGCAGGTCACTCCAAGCTTATCGTACATGGAACCTATGAGTAAGTTATTGTGTCTGCACTACTTGTAGGCAATTATTATACCACACCCATATTGTATGTGAATATAACGCCTATCTGAGAATCTAAGGAATTATGATAGTCTTAGGACTTCACGATTTCAAGTAATGATTAACACTACGACGTATATTCAAAAAGTATTAAGCAATTCTTATCTAATTTTCCAGTCACGTGACTAGAAGCTCTCGTTCGCCAATACCCTATAACTATGTCTTTTATAGTTATTGTACAACTGTTGATTACAATCCATAACCTGTCTCTTATCCCATTGACAGCCCTATAAACCTAGGCTAATTTTTTATCCAAATAGTGTAACTTCTTATACACTATGACCAACCATTTAACTGTTAATTCAAAATCTCCTTCTTCAATAGAATCAACAATATATGGGAAGCCACACATTTCATTTCTAGTATCAAAATACAGTTGTGGTTTCAGTATATCAAACTTAGGAATCCCATATAAAAGATGATAGTAAAATGGCTTCTTTATACCAATATATTGCCATTCTAAATCAGTTAATTTCATAGAATTCTCCAAATGTAATAGTTTGGTATTTGTAACTTTGAGTTGAGCAAAATGTTGAAGCTTCTTGAAATACTTATACCATGGATAGTCAAACATTAACCCGTCTTCAACACCTTTGTTATAATCATCAAATATTACCAGTTGATTTTTCAAGTGATTGGCTAATACTTCAAATTGTTCAACCAATTGAGAAAAGGTAACTACCTTGAGTTCAGTGTCTGGTGATGTGCCACTCTTTAAATCAGAATAAATATCACTTCCAGAGATTAAATAAGATTTTACCTCCTGATCTCCCCATGATTGTAATGTCTTTGAGGTATGATTAACCACTATATCATACAAATCCATTGCATGATTCAAATAGCTGGAAGTCTTATAATCAACAACGTAATGCTCAGTTAAGGAAAGCATCACTAATCCAATGTATCTAACCAATGATCCATGCAAAAGTAAATTATCATCCATTTGCCTTTGAACAATCCATGAATATGAAAAATAATTGGAATTAGGAATATACGTTGACAGATCTCTCTTTGGATCATTGGAAAAGCCAACCTTAATCACTGGAACATTAACATGGTTTTGAATGACAAATGCATCTGATTTAGAAATACCTTGTCCTAAAAAGTTATTGATGGTATGATTATCTTGAAGTTTCCAATAATGATATAATGTAGTGAAACTTTCTCCACCATCATCATCATCATTTTCTGAATCCAGTTCAGTTTTCAATTCAAGTAAAGATTTAAATTGGAGTGAATTTCGAGGAATTGGAACATACAATGAATCAGACTTCAAAATATGATTGAAAATAGGATTGCTATCAACCTTGAAATGACTTCCAGTTACCGCGTCACCATCAATATCAACATAGCCAATAGTCGGGGTGTTAAACATCGAGGGAGACTTTCCTTTTGCTGTTCCATTGCTTAAAATTTGTGAACCTAAAACGTTATTACATGAAGCATCCCATGAAACAAATTTAATGGTTCTTAAGGGTTTCCAACCCATTTGTTGTAATCTTTTAAAGTTCCTAAGAATTTCGAAAAGAATCACTTGCCCACTTAAAGGATTAGAAGAAGCAAATGAATCTCTTCTGGATCCAATTACAACTTGACCATCATTTAATATTCCTTTCATGGTAGCTACAATATTTGTACCCTTCCCAACCTTTGAATCTGAAGACTCAAAAGTAACACTATTGGCTAGAGTTAAATTAAAGCTTGCTTTCAATTGTAAAGGTGAATAATCCCAATCTTGAAATTTAGAATTCTTCCCACCATAATTAACCAAAGTCTCTAAAATTGGTTGTATGGCATCTAAACTTACTGGAAGACTAATTATTGAAGGCTGAGTTGAACTCCAAATATCTCCTTCTAAAAGAGTGTTTCTTGAAATAGCACCACCAAGTAAACTTTCTGAAGAAGGATTATTGACACTAGTGAAATCATAAAAATTGACAACTCCTTTGGCACCTCTTGATTGTGCTATCAATACCAATTCACTTAGAGTATAATTTGAAGAAAGCAAACTTTTAATAATTACAATCTTCCCTGAAACATCTATTTTAGCATCTTTAAGGGTATCATAATCTTCATTATGGCCATGATGTACATAAACATAAGGCGCATTAATAATACCACTCCCACTAAATGAATTGAATGCTGGTGTTTTGTAATCTCTTTCTAACAAAGGAGACTTATAAACCAGTTTCCCATCCTGTGAATTTATCAATTCAATCCACAGAGAAGTCGGTATTTTTGGATTTGGCATTTCAAAATCAAATTGCTCAGTTTGAAACCCAAACTTTTTGAACTGGGAATATACAAATTGACTAAGTTCTGGATTAGCATTACTGTTAATGCTTGTTGGATGTTTACCATTCAAAGACGTCATATTGTTTAACCAGGCATCCAAATATTCTTCATTGGAATTATTCTTGTACATATTTCCTATTCCTGATACCACCAAATAGCTTCTTCTGACATCTGAGCGAGTTAGATGAAGTCCATGCCATCTTCTAAAATCTCTACTCCAACTTGATCGAGGAAGGAACGTTAAATGTAAGGTTATGATGGCCATTACCCCTAAGGCACAGAACCAATAGAATCTTCTGGAAAATACCCGTTCAGTAACAAAACTCTTGACAGTTGACATATCATCCCATATACTTGAGGTAGTACTTTGAACAGAGTCACTTCGATATCTGCCCGCATTTAATTCACTTTCCACACTCAAATTATGGAGTACATCAGCAGTTGTTCGATGGCGAGATGCCATCAATGGAGTAACTTCTGTTGAGTTCAACAGCTCTGGATTTGATGCGATATTTTGCATAATGTATTAAGGACTTTGACTTGGGTATATAAACTCCCTTCTATTACTGCAAACTTATCAACGGGACCATAGAACAAGTCTAACTAGAACAAGAACAGTTGGTGCAATAAGGCTCAACTACTTTGAAGAGAGTAACGCAAAAAAAGGACTATAGAGTTGACTAATTAAAATCTAGGGAGACTTTGGCTTGGATTTATATGCGGTGAATCTTTCTTATGATTGGTTTGGGAATGGGACTAAGTGTGCTTGCAAAATAGTCCTTTATTAACAATGGATAATAATGTGACGTGTATGATTGAAAACACTAGTGATGTCTCTTTGTTTTATTACTTTAATATACGGTGTATTGGTGAAGCATCTCCTAATTCCCGAGGGAAGGAGGCGGAGAACGTAGTAGTGAGGTCACGTGATAAAAATGGAAATGTGCTATAGATTAAGAACGAAGCACACTATATTAGTTTTAGTATGGAAAGTAGTAAGAGTAACAGTAGTTGCGGCAGCAATATATTCATTGCTAGTGATGCTGATTTTGGAGGGAAAGAAGTTCTAATTAATACGTTGTGACACGTGGGTTAGTATACATAAATGTGAGACTAGTCAAGCTTGGGCCTTTAAAATCCAAACAGGGGGTTTATAGGGGGATACGAGCTACGCTATGGTCTATATATACAAATAAATCTTCATTACAAACAAGCCTTTATGGCCAAGTTGGTAAGGCACCTCACTAGTAATGAGGAGATCCTCAGTTCGAATCTGAGTGAAGGCATTATTTTTTTCTCATTTTAATGATGAAGTAGACTATTATTTTGTATGGTGCATTTTTAATATCTGATTCTTCTTCTCTTCTTTATTTTCTTTATTCAATGCTTATATAACAATGAGTGAAGTCTCAGACACCCCAAAAGTGTCGGAGCTCCAAATAACAAGTGAACAGATTCTTGATGATGCTTATAGTCAACGAGCCGGGAAATTGAATCGACCTCAACAAACCATTCAAGATCTAGATGAGTTAAGATCTTATCAACAAACCAAACGAAGAGAATATGAACAACAATTAAACAAGAATAGATTGAACTTCGGCCAGTGGATGCGATATGCCAAATGGGAAGCTGAATTTAATCATGATTTTGCTCGAGCCAGATCTATCTTTGAAAGAGCTTTACAAGTCAACGTTGAGCATGTACCCTTTTGGGTTCACTATATAAGGTTTGAACTCTCTCATCGTAACGTTAACCATGCTCGAAATATTCTTGACCGTGCTGTTACTATATTACCCCGTGTTGATAAGATATGGTTCATGTATGTTCAAGCCGAGGAAAGCTTGAAGAATTACATTGGAGTGCGCAATGTGTTTGAGCGATGGATGTCATGGAAACCAAACCCTACAGCCTGGGATGCGTATATCGCCTTCGAAACTCGATACGAAGAGTTTGACAATGCAGAGGCAATCTTCCAACGATATGTCACCATCTATCCTGTTTGTTCAACTTGGATAAGCTGGATTGAACTTGAGTTAAGTCGAGTTCCTATAGATCCTGTCAAGATTCGGGGCGTTTTTGAATCTGCGGTTGATACAATTGTTTCTGAGAGCAAGAGGATCAAGAAAGGAGTAGAAGATGCACAATTTACAGACTTAATCGAGAGATGGGCTCTATGGGAATTACAAATAAATGAAGTAGAAAGGGCCAATAGCATATTCCAATTATTTGTAGGTGAGAAATCGCTGCTGGTGGTCAAGTTATCCCAAAAAGTTAAAGATAGTCTTCAACGACAATACATTGAATTCTGTAAAATCAATGGTGTTACAGATAACATTGAAGGGGGGATCACACTTAAGCGGAAATTAAAATATCAACAAGAAATAGAAGCCGATAAAGAAGATTATGATGGTTGGTGGGGTCTTTTAAATATTATGGAGAAGGAGAATAGAAATGATGAACTACGTCAAACCTTTGACTTAGCTATAGCAAATATTCCCAGTGATTCTACCAAAAGTCTTAGATGGAGACGATACATGATGATATACGTGAGATATGCACTTTGGGAGGAACTTACCCAGAATCAACCAGAACTGGCAAAGACTATAATGGAGAAAGCCATTTCAGTTGTCCCTCATTCAAAATTCACATTTGGGAAGTGTTGGATAAATTTAGCTGATTACTTTATTCGTCATAGTGATAAAGCTAACGTTCTAGGTGACGTTCGTAAGCTTTTAGGACGGGCTTTGGGGACCACATGCAAGGCAGGACCTAAACGGAATTTATTCCGCTACTATATTAACTTTGAACAACGACTAGGTGAACTTGATCGTGTGAGGAAGTTATATGAAAAGTGGTTAGAAACGTCATTAGCTTCAGATTTGACTTATTTCTCCAGTGTTGAAGTTCTATTGGAGTATATCAACTTTGAGAAGAGTTTACAAGAGCATGAAAGATGCGAAGCTTTATTTGAATTGGGTTTACAAATATTACAGGATAAAACGTTAGAAAGAAGACTATCTCCAGAAGAAGCCGTTTGGATGTCGTTCATTTCTTACTATAAAGACGATACTATGGAATATGAAAAGGCCCGACAATTGTACCGCCGATTGCTTGATTCAAATGGAGGGAAACCTCAGACTTGGATCTCATTTGCACATTTCGAATCCGCTATCTTGGACGACAAACAACTCGAACAGTTTTTACAATTGGAAACGGAAACCGAATTTGAGTTTGTTGTTACTCAGGAACATATTGAAGCATCACGTAACGTATTCATGGAAGCCAACACAAAGCTTCGCGATCACGGTTCGAACCAGGACAGGTATGTTCTCCTTGAAGCATGGAAATCTTACGAACTTGAGTACGGTGACTCTGAGTCATTGGCTAAAGTGGAGAAGATGTTACCTACGATAGTTAAGAAACGGAAGCTTGTGGGAGAAGTTACCGAGGAATACATTGATTACGTATTTCCAGAAAAGACCGAGGCTAAGCCAAACCTTTCAATGTTTTTGGCCAATGCAAAGAAATGGGCTCTTTCCCAAAAGTAGAGCTACAGAGAATGAATGGATGTATATTAGTATGTATAGTGGTGTATAGTTGTGTATGTATTCGGATACATGGATATATATTCTTAGCATCCACCCCGTAAGGTCAACACTAAATGCAACGATGCACCTGCCTGGATTCCAGACATCTGTACTGTTTGGTTGTCATCTAATTGAGATCCATTGAAAATGAGTCTTTGTTGTGCTGGAGGGATTCCTTCCTTCTCTTCCATCATTTCCTTGATGCGGATCACCTTGTCGAATGGTTCGACCTCAACAGCAATGTCTCTCCCTGTCAATGTCTTGACCTTTATTTGCATTGTGGATGTGTATGTGTATATTTATGTCTTTATGTGTGTGGGTACTCGATGTAGCAATATAGGCGTACTAGTCGCTAGTGTACCTCGCAATTTAGGTAGTCGATTTTTTAAGGTAGTGGGATTTTGTATCACCAAAAAGAAGAAGACCAGTAGTAGGAAGGCAAGAGAACTCAAGTGCAATTGAACTGTGGAGTCATATTTATTGTTCTGTATACTACACTTTACTGCTGTATACTGTGATACCATTCATTTGTACTTTTGTCTAACTTTATCATATATTGTTGCTTAAGCCGTCTTCCCCATCTAGCTGTCACAATAAGCATATCCACTTTGATGCTACCCACTCCTAAGTTTTCGAACCTAGATTTTGATAAAGTCTATGAACCAGCAGAAGATACTTTCCTCTTGCTTGACTGTTTTGAAGGCCAAATCCAATATTTGAATACCCAATTCGGTCCTGGTTCGACTCCAGTAATAACAGAAATAGGTACTGGTTCCGGTGTGGTAACTACATTTGTGTGTCAACATGTATTTCCGTATGGGATAGTCCTAAGCACAGATATTAATCCACACGCTTGTCTGGCCTTCATGGATACGGTTACCGAAAATAGCATCGTCAACCCAACGGTTGATACTTTACAAATGAGCTTAACTTCGGGTATACGACCTAATGCAATCGATGTTCTCATCTTCAACCCCCCGTACGTTCCAGCAGAAGAGGTTCCTCAAATACCGGAATCCCTACAAGACTCGAAATGGCTTGACTTGGCCCTTAGTGGGGGAGAAGACGGGATGGAAGTCACTTGGATTCTACTCCATCAATTGGACCATATACTATCGAAGAAGGTGGGCATTGCATACATTCTTTTCTGCGCTAGAAATAAACCAGAAGAGGTTGCTAACTACATGAGACAACAAGGATGGATAGTGGACGTTGTTATTCATCGTAAGGCTGGTTGGGAAGTATTAAGCATCTTAAGATTTAAGAGGAATGAATCTTAAAAGTAGTTACATACATATGTATACATGTGTATTTGAAGTGCCGGGTAACCCCTGCTCGATAATTTGAGAGTACATACCTATACAAAATTTCACACTTAACTGCGATGATTATGGGCACATACGACGTTTAGCAAAGAAAACTATGTCGTTTTATCAGAGAGATGCCTCTGATCTGCAGACGCATTTTGAAGCAAGAGGAAGAACGGCTGAATATGTCCCACCACTGTCGTCACAAACTCGAACCCCGGACTTTTCCAAAACTAAATGGTCTGGAACGCCCACTCGATTCAAGACTATCGGGAATAAAAAAGTGGACACAATTATCTCCGGTCATTTAACTCAGGAACAACTTGATGCATACCAACAGATTTTCCGTATAGAAGAGATCTCGGATATTTTGAGGACCGCTCATCAGAATCATGGCGAAGTTGTGAGTTTATTACCACTGGGGAATTTGAATAAGAATCCTCAATTAATGAGAGACCCCAGTCCCCCTCCCAAATATGACAAGCTCGGAAATAGAACCAATACCCGAGAACAAAGAACCAAAAATATGCTTGAGAAGGAGAGACATTTTTTGGTGGAAACAGCTGTAAGCAGTATTTCTAACTTTGTAGCCCCCATGGATTACAGGAAACCTATTAAAACATTTGAGAGATTGTATGTACCTGTCAAAGATTATCCGGATATTAATTTTGTGGGGTTATTATTAGGACCGAGAGGTAATACTTTAAAGCAGATCCAAGAAAGAAGCGGTGCTAAATTAGCTATAAGGGGGAAAGGTTCAGTTAAAGATGGGAAATCCACTTCAATTGGAAATGATGATAATGATGATGGTTCTGCAGGTTCTTTGGTTTCATTTTCTCATCCATACTTGGATTTTAATAGTGATGATTTACATGTGGTTATCACTGCAGATTCCCAAAAGAAGATAGCTGAAGCCATTAAGATGACCAATGAAATTATTGAAAAGGCCATAATGTCACCTTTTGGACAGAATGATTTGAAGAGGGATCAGTTGAGAGAATTGGCGGTATTGAATGGTACCTTGAGGGAAACTAAGCCATATGACCCTGATGCATTCAAGAAACGTCAAGAAGATAGACAAAAGAGACAGCAGTTTGATATTTCCAAGATTGTTTGTAACAGATGTGGTCATGTTGGACATTATGCAAGAGATTGTAAAGTCAATGGGTATACAGCAAGCGTTCAAGGATCTCCTGAACCCCATAACTATGGTGGAAATGGTACAAACTTTAAATCAAATCCAAGATACGGGGGATATAGTAATGGACCAGACACTACTACCTCCACTACTTCAGGAGCTTATGGAGAGTCTCAAGGCAGTTACAATGGTGGATATAATAATTATAATGGATCACAACCTAGTTATGGGACTGTTCAAGGTGGAGGATACAATGCTCAACAACAAGTGGGGGGGTATAATGATTTGAGATCTTTTCAAGGTGGTGATAATAATGCGTATAACAGCAACAATCAGCATACTACGGTATCATTTAATAATAATAATAATAATAATAATAATGCCTCCCATTACCGAGGTAATTATAGAAATAATCATGAATCGCAACATGGAGATTTTACATCATATGGTGGTAGTGGATACAAAAGACAAGGAGGAGAGGATGATAGCATGCCACCTTGGAAACGTTCTAGACCTGATAGCTCTTCTCCTAATTGGCAAAATACTAATTACAACCAATCGCCTTCAAGTTCAGATACTTTACATACAAGAAGACCAGCTTACCAGGCATACCAGCAACATCATCAACAACAACAGCAAATGCCTTCATACCAACAACAGTTGCCTCCATATCAACAGCAACAACCTCCACCTCCTCCAACCATCAAAGCTAAACCACCTCCCCCACCACCTGGTATCAAGTCTTCGGCGCCCCCACCTCCTCCACCTGGCGTAAAGACGGGTGTGCCCCCACCTCCTCCACCAGGTGTTAAGACTGGAATCCCCCCACCTCCTCCAGGTATAAAGGCTCCGGCCCCACCACCTCCATCTATAAAACCTCCACCTCCTCCACCATCCTAGACTAGATTGCATTACAAACAAAGATTAACGAATTGTATATTAGCTAAGAAAGTACGAGATATATGTAATAAAAGAAATGAAACGAAAAGAAAAGCCATACCCTGTAACCTGATTTAATATGGACCCAAATGAAATAAAGACAAACCAAAAGAACTGAACTAAAACCCATATAAGTTGGAGAAGTCTAGCCTTTTAGGTTTAATGTGTACTTGTCTTTGACTCAATTTCACTGTAGATTTCTTACCGGTTGTTCCATTTACATATTCCATATGTGATCTTGTTTCATTGTCGATCGTTGTAGGAGCGGCAGGAAGTGCCTGGAATGGATCTTCCAAAAACGGGTTTGAAAGTCTCACTCGTTTAACCTTCTGGAGCTCCTCTACAGTTATAGTAGTCATGGGGTGGTACCATCTTTGTACGGGAGTTGATTCTGAAGGAGTTGACGTCAACTGTTGCTGTGGAGTAACAGGACGAGATGATGATGATGATGATGATGAAGTTGATGATGCTTCTTCGTTTATAGAAGTTGGGGTAATGATATCGATACTTGGTCTTTTTCGAATTGGAGATTCAGGGGTAGCAGCGAGTGTTGATTGTGATTGCTTTGGAGTTAAGTAGCAATCAGTGAATGGATGTTGACGTTGATCAGTGCTATTTGAAGGCGACAGTTTCTCAGGAGATGGGAGGGTAGGAACCCTATAATGATTCAGAAGGACTCTTTTTCTAGGTTTAGGTGTTTGAGGGTGATCCATGTTAGGGAAGAGATACTTGAACTAGCACTTAATCTGGTGATCTGATGAAGAAGAAGAATATCAATAGTCAATAATATCAGCCTCCAGATCAATAGATCAAACACTGATCTTATTCATTGATCTCCAATAATGGCTGGCGGTATGGACAATATTATTACAGATGGAACGTAGCTTGGCTGGTTGGCTGGCTTAATTGATGACGTACCAAAGAAAACAAAGCTTACTGCACACAGATATGCCGACCTTCTTTACTACGAGATCTGGATCTGTTAATTGTGCAAAGTATACATGAAACAGGACCATCTCACGATGAGGATAACAAATGGCTGGCTCGGTTTTTCGCAGCCACAAACACAGAGTTACACAGAACGGTGCAACATTCCTTTAAAGTATGTCACGTGATGCAAAGTTTGTAAACTATCTAATAGTGTATTATTCATCATAGTAAAATATACATAGATGTAATTGCCTGTAAAGTATATACTTATCTATTATAGTATTACTGCTAGTAGCAGCAGCAGTGGTAACTTAAACAAACTCATGGACACTGTTAACATTGAATTTCCGACGGAGAACTCGTTTCCCAATACATAATTCAAGTGCCGTATAAAACTCATCAATCTTAGTACGAATATTCCCATTAGTTGTTCGATTATTTTGTCTAGTGGATTTGAAAAGCACATTCCCTGTCAAATCAAGTTCCATTAGCTGCAGTTTGGAAGCAGTACCGCTTAATGGGAACTTCATGCTTGATATTTTATTCTCATTCAATTTGATGTTTATGAGATTGGTAGGTATATCGAAACAAAAATCAAAGGTAGTAAAATTGTTCCCCTCTAATCCAAGCAGAAGCAACAGTGACGGAAGTTGTAGCTTGCTGCTTATAGATTCAATTTGGTTGTCAGCTGCCAGAATGCGTCTTAAATGAGTCAACCGGGAATAATCTCCTTCAAGACTTGTGAGCATATTGTGAGATATGTCCAAGTACTCCAAATTCGGGGGAAGTACTGTAGGGTCTAGATGCTCTAGCTTATTTGCTACCACCAATAACGATTTAAGGGAGATGAGCTTATTCCAATAAGGATACTTCAAGTCTTTCAATTTGTTTTCGGTGAGTGACAATTTCGTTAGTGATGAAGGTAATATAAACCCATCAAGTGATTCTAAGTTGCATTCTCCTAAATTTAATACTGAAAGATTGGAACTAAACCAAATTGGATATTTCAAATATGATACAGGAACCTTAAAATTAGGACAAAATTCAACGTTTAAGTACGTTAGAGAACTTGGAAACTTAAACACTTTAGGTGGTCCATCTTTATGAAGGAGAATGTCAATACCTTCATTATCATCACCAAATATATTGAAATTACTAATCAGTGTACCTGTGAGATCCATGTATTGTACAGAATCAGGTAGATCTTGTAAGAATGTTAATGATGTCATATGATTGAAGTCAACCCTAATATTCTCAAGTAATGGAGGCCACGCTACCGTCTTTAAGAATTCTAAGCTTGAATCATCAATAGAACTTTGGGATAGGATTAACGATCGTAAGTTTGATGGCCAATGAGGTTTATCCGTTCCTGAATAAACAAACCTCTTATTTCCATTATTGGAAAGATCCAAAGTTCTTAGTGCAGTGGGTAGTTTTGCAATATCAATGGTATTGATTGAATTTGATGTTAACATAAGTGTTTGAACATTCGGTGGGAATTTAATATTCCAAATGTTGTCAAGTAATCCACTTCCATTCCAATAAATATGTTCAATAGTTGGAGGTAAATGCATTGTAAAGGGAGACAGCAGAGTTGTCCATGAAGCATCCAAATGAGTCAAATTCGGTGGGAATTGGATCTTGGACCAATTGGTTATACCATGGCCCAAGAGTACCAATTCGGTAATACATGGATGATTTTGGAAATTGGATGATTTCAGTAATGATGAGCCAATAGGAGAATTTGTTAATTGAAGTTTCCGAATGTTAGGAAACGCTAATAATTCATCAACCAACTCTGGACTCCAAGTAGTAACGTTTTCAATATATAATTCCAAATTTTTCACTTGATTGGTAAACCTGGTGGTATATTTCTTAAGCAATTGAACCAAATCTTCAAGCATATGACGTCCCGTATAAAGTTTTATTGTTTCTGGGTTGATATCTGGATTTTCTAGTAGGAATTGCTCTATTTCCATAATCTGGAATATGTCAATATATTTGGCTAACTTGGGGTTACAAGCATGAGGTCTTCTGGTAGGAGTCAAACGTAGATGGAGTTCTCCGGAGTAAAACGTACCTACAACAATCTTTCTAAGCTCTGAATTCTTCCACGGAAGTATACATTCTGTTACAAACTCAGCATTAGTAAGCTGGTCCAAGATCTGGATGATCACTATGTCTGGTAAACGAGGGAAGTAATCGCGTAGAAATTCACCATCAAAATCTTCATTGGTAGCAGCGTCAGTAGATAAACTTTTGGATTCCATTACTGTCAATGACTTTACATTATCACCATTGTGGTGGGATTGAACTGATATTCGTCGCTTACAAATACTGCAATCAATCAAAAACTCCCTCACGATTGAACTGAAGGGTAACAAAATGATTGCTTATGTAAGTAGTTGCAAGGGAAAAGGCTGTCAATGGATGGACTCAAATTGCTATCTTAAGTGTATAAGCTGAGTTGCACTATATTGCACTCAGTTTGTCATACACTATATCATAGATCAGATTTATCACGTGTCGTATTATTACGTAAGTTTTGACTTTCATTCAAAATACGAAACCACCCAATAACGATATATTACCCGTTAAACATAAGCCGGACAATCACAACCCGGAAAAACAACACTTCGTTATCTTATGGTAGCTCTTATTTGTATCACGTGACACATAATAGTTGTCGTACTTAAAGTATATATTTTGTGTGGTACAAGCATAATTTAGCGGCTAAACTAGAGAACGGCGCGACGCCCGGAATTTGCTCCTTATTGTATGCCGTCCACTACCAGTAATACGAACAATTTCAATGGGAAACCTACAATTAATGATATTTTTGCCGTGGCTATGTAAAACGTATTATGCCTTAATCGTAACTTACTTGATTGTTTACTTTCTTACGCATCCCTGAAGGTTTTATCAAAGAGCGAGAAAATCATTAACTATGGACGTGTGTTAACCAAATAGCACAAAATTTGAAATTGGAGCCTATAAGGTCTGGCTTTGAATCTTTAGTAACTGTTTCGTTTCGATTCGAAATATTCGATTCAATTAAATTAAAACCAAAAATCACATTCATGCAGCCAGTGCATTCTATAGAGGTACTCCACTCAAGCAGCAACAGCACCATCATAGCACGAAATACATACATTCATTCAATAATGTTAGCTGTAGAACTCTTGACTGTTATTATGGTTCATACACGACCTTCTCGTTTCTCAACCTTCAATTCAACAAGTCAATTTTAAACTGTAGGATTAAAACATTACACACAAAAAATTGTTATCATCTCGACCACATAAAACACCGTTTGGCACGGCTGTTTGGTATCAATAGTTGTCAATTTGAGAAGGTGTACGCGTGCATACCACGTTACGGATCCTTTTAATTGCTACTACGTTGTGGGTTCTTTTACCTCGATTTGAATTGTTTGTGCCGCTCCATATTAACCGGACGGGTTTAGCTTGTAGTGGGTTTCCATTGCCCTACGAAGTGGCAGCAACTATTAAAGATAATATTGGGTTGGAATCTTTTATTTGAGAGTTGAATTGTGATATTGTTCCATTTATTCCTGTTGATATCGAGTTAACTGATCGCATTGCCTCTATTTGTTGATTGATTTAATTGCGTGCCCTCAGTTTTACTTCACTCCTTTCCTTATAATTTTTCCGCCTTTCTTGTTCTTGTTCTTGTTCTCTCGTTTTCATCATGGATAAGTTAATAAGCTCGCTTTTGTGTTGCTCTGTTGACTCGAAAGACGACACCAATGATCGTGTTGTCAATCAACAACACCAACAACATAAGAAGCATCCTAACAGTATATCCCCGAAACTGTCGAATGTGGTTTCATCTACTTCTCATTCCAAAACCATTCTGCTGCCTACAAAGTCCACTGTTAAAGTCAATTCCAAGAGTTCTGGAACAGCATCTAAAAGCGATGGAAAGTCTGCTGACCGTGCTGGTTCTGAACGTGTTAGTAATGATCGTTCTGGTGCTGGTGCATCTGTTACTGGTGCTACAACCGGTACGTCTACTACCACTACATCTAATTCGGGTGTAGTGCAAAGGAAATCGGATTCTAAGGAAATCGAAGAAGAGGAAAATAGTGTTAATGAAACCGACACAATTACCAATAACAACGATGAAACTGAAACAAAAACCCCGTCAGCATTAAATGGAGGTATTCATTCCAATGAACAAATATTGGAAGCCGAACAGGAAATACAAAGCAAGGATCTGGAATTATATGAAAATGATATCGATGCTGAACTTGCTAAGAATCTGAAACAGCCAGATCATAATCATAAATACCTGAATGGTTCAGATGCTAATGGCAATAGCTCAGTTAGTAATACCAGCCGTGAAGACAGTCATATTGACGCCATTCTAGAAGATGCAATCGTTGAAGATGAGGATTCCCTTTCAGATCTTTCCAAATTACAAGAGGGCCAATCATTCAATCCCGAAACTGGTGCATTATTAGGTTTTAAAGATGTATCTCGTTTTGGTACCAAGAAATGTCTTGTTTTAGATTTAGATGAAACATTAGTCCATTCATCTTTTAAATTTTTAAGAACTGCGGATTTTGTTATCCCTGTTGAGATTGATGATCAAGTGCATCATGTTTATGTGATTAAAAGACCCGGGGTTGATGAGTTTCTAAGGTTAGTTGGTGAATGGTTTGAAGTTGTTGTTTTCACTGCTAGTGTATCCAAATATGGAGATCCATTACTTGATAAATTGGATATTAATAATGCGGTACATCATCGATTGTTCCGAGATTCATGTTATAATTATCAAGGTAATTATATCAAAAATTTGTCACAAATGGGAAGACCACTTCTGGATTTAATAATTATAGACAACTCACCAGCATCTTATATCTTCCATCCACAACATTCTGTTCCTATATCAAGTTGGTTTAGTGACACCCATGATAATGAATTGCTTGATTTGTTACCATTATTACATGATTTGTCCAAATCAAATGTTGATGATATTAGTTTGGTATTGGATATAACCCTTTAGAGGAATATTATTAATAATATTGTTCGTCTTGTCTTGCCAAATTTGATTGTAACATGAGCTGGACTTGTGTTTTGTTTTTGATAGAATGAATCCTTTCTTTTTTTATCCAACAGCATGGTTCAAGAAGCCAAGTACTTTTGCCATTTTCACAATCAACCTGATTGCATTGAATTTATTAGCAATTTGTTGATTAATAAATTTTTCAAGTTACTTTCTTCCATTATATTTTGTTATTAATATTGTCATAACTTCTGATAGACTTAAATGTGAAGATGAGACTAAGTCTGTTCTCTCTCGGGGACTTGCTCCTTTGTTTTTATTTGATACATTGTTATACTAATTTAATACTATTTTTAATACATATGACCATAATATAGCGTAGTATACTATTCAGACATTATACAGTATACAGTTAACACAGACACTGGGCCCTAATAGGTAAGTATTGTCAGTGTGATTTCTTGATCTTGTGAGGTACTCGAATTTTTCAGTGCGAGAACCAAACCTCATCTCATCTCATTTTGTATAAGAGACATTAACCTTTGGAGACATTAAGACATTACTGCAGTAGTAACTTCTAGTGTGTACTGTGTCGCGTTTACTGATAGTGTGGCTGTTGTTATAATGAAGATCAAAACTATTAGTAGGTCAGGGGATGACTATGTTCCAACATCCAATGAGCAAACATCCAAAACTCCTAGAAACCTCAACCCAGCATTACACCCCTTTGAAAGAGCCAGAGAATATACCAGAGCGCTTACAGCCACCAAACTTGAACGGCTTTTCGCCCAACCGTTTGTGGGCCAATTAGGTTCCGGTCACAGAGATGGGATCTACTCCATCTCCACCAACATGGGGACCACCAATCAGATTGCGACGGCGCTGGGAGACGGGATCATCAAGTATTGGAACTTGACCGATAGAGACAATGAGCTTTTATCTGTCAAGGCCCATTACGGTATGGTTGGAGGGTTGTGTGTTATCCCTGGCAGACAGAACATGTTGAGTTGCGGAGACGATAAGACCATCAAATTGTGGCTGGTGAATGTCAACAAGTTTGGTGAGAATGTGACTGATCATAATGACGAACAGTTGTATAAATCTCAAGGGTTGGAGAAAACGTTTTTGGGTGACCATGCCTTCAAGGGAATCGACCATCATTATACAGAAGGACTCTTTGTTACTGGAGGTGCTCTGATCCAATTGTGGGATATGAACCGGTCCAAACACATCTCTGACTTGAACTGGGGGTACGATAATTTGAACACCGTCAAGTTTAACAAGACAGAAACCAATATAGTGGCCAGTAGTGGAGGCAGTGATAATCTGATTATTCTCTATGATATACGAACCAACTCCGCCGTGCAGAAGGTTGTGACCAACCATCGGACCAACTGTCTTAGTTGGAACCCCATTGAGGCCTTCAATTTCGCCAGTGGTAGTGAAGATCACAATGCGTATCTTTGGGACATGAGAAAGCTTGATAGTCTGTTGAACGTTTACAAAGACCATGTCCTGGGAGTGATGGATGTTGATTTCAGTCCTACTGGTCAAGAGTTGGTTACTGGGTCTTACGATAAAACCATTCGGATCTTTAACTCCCGTTCGGGCCATTCAAGAGAGATCTATCACACGAAAAGAATGCAACACGTGTTTGTGGCCAAGTTCACTATGGACTCCAAATATATCATTAGTGGTAGTGATGATACTAACGTTAGAATATGGCGTGCGCAAGCCCATGATAGAGCATCGGTTAAACTGGCCAAACAAAGAACCAAAATGGAATACGACGATGCCCTAAAGGAGAAGTACAAGCATATGCCTGAAATCAAACGTATCGCAAGACACAGACATGTTCCTAAGGTTGTTAAGAAGGCTCAAGAGATTAAGAGAGTGGAATTGGAAAGTATAAAGAGAAGAGAAGACAACCAAAGACGTCATCGGAAACCTGGGGCCGTACCTTATGTTGCTGAGAGAAAGAAACATGTTAGAGGTATTGCATTGAAAGAAGATAAGTAAATGAGTATAATTATTACGTTGCGTGTCGTATGTGATTGGAATTTGTAGAAGATACACTTGGGAATTAAGAGAGGCATGGTTTACGATATATTTGCAACAACTTTTGTCATATTTTTCAAAAATGTGTAGTACAATTTGTATGTTAATTTATTGAGTAACTGCCTGAAAAATAACCATTGCTTGCATAACATTGATTTCATATACTTATCAGTTAGTTTCTTACAGTGACCTAATCCTAATGCTGAACAGTTGCTTTGTTCTAGGTGTATTGTGCGAGAACTCGTTACCGACATTTCATATATAAGACACGAAATGTCTGCGACATTGATTTTGTTAATTGTGTCAAAGTTGCAGTACATGTACCATCAATCCGAGCCATTTATTCGTAGGGGGTAGCAAATCAGACATTTTGAGGCGCCCCCATTCGTGACTCAACAGAATTGCTTGCCGTGGGAGGGGGTGGGGGCAGCAAAATATTATATGGGTGTCTGATAAAGTCTGGGCGATATTTATACATTAAGTACTTCACATTTATTGTTTAACATATTCAGTACTATACATTAAGTACTTTAATTTAGTAGTACAGTCCATCTGAGTTTCCCTGTCTGTTTGTCTGACAGTTTCCCTTTTTCCTGTCTCTTGTCTGCCTGATACAATCTGAGTACCCGACACGACAAAAGTCAACGGTGAAAATTTCAAAGGGTTATTTTGGTTTAACCAAATACTATTTGAGGGTGTCCTATTGGTCCCCATTCCAATCATACCATCGAGGTGCTAATTGCCAGACAAAATACGTGCTAACTGAACCGGATACAAGCTGTGATAGTTCCATTATTCCATACGTCTCCCGGCATTATCCGAACGTACCCACTATCAACAACCCACCAATAATGCCTGACAAACATAAGTTCAAGTTTCTAAACCATTTCAAGTCAAAGGAAGAAGAACCCCCACTTCTGTTGGGCCTGACATCATCACCTTCTCCTTCGAACGCTCATCATCACCAAAATGCTAATACCTCAACGTCAAGCAACAATAAAAAGATCTTTGGTTTCTTTGGTAAACACGATTCAAGTGACTCGCTTGCTACGACATCACCAACTCAAACTAATTCATCGGATGTTACTAACACACACGTTTCAAGCCAACATCAAATCGCATCACCAAAACCGCTAAGTAGCAGAATCAACGGCACTACTGGTGGGTTACCGCACCAAGGAAATTCCCCAAACTCACCCTTGGCTGTTCCTCCGCCTCCTCCACCCACAATTACAACTCCAACTCCAATGGTTCAGCACGTGGACGCTGCGGTTTCTCCCGCTGCCATTCCCCACAACAAACTGGTCCCATCGTCGTCCGCGATCGACTTGAGAAAGTTCTTTCGAGGCGGGAAAAAGAAGGATCTGCTGCTGCCCCACGGTACTCCCCAGGGAACACTTTCCACCACTTCTTCTATATCTTCCAACACACCTCATAATAATAATAACCAGCAAACTTCGCCCTTACCCATCAGAGGGTCGCTGGTGTCGCTTGCCAACTTGATCAACCAAACAAGCTCTCAATTGGTCCAATCTGCCCAACAACATCATAGCTACTCTCATACAGCCAATGGTGGTGGTACAGGAGGAACTGGACCAGGAGGAATTCTGTTGTTTGGGTCGACAGGGTCGCCTTTGATTTCCAAATATGGGAAAATGGGGAAAGAACTTGGTTCTGGGGCCGGAGGCTCTGTTCGACTCATTACTCGTCCTTCGGATAACAAGACGTTCGCGGTGAAAGAGTTTCGACCCAAACGAGCGGATGAATCGTTGAAAGATTATACCCGGAAATGTACTGTAGAATATTGTATTGGTTCTACGTTGAGACATCCTAACATCATCAGAACCATTGATATTATTCATGAACTGAATCGTTATTTCGAAGTCATGGAGTATGCTCCTATAGATTTTTTTACGGTGGTTATGTCTGGAGAAATGACAAGACAAGAAATCAATTGCTGTCTTAAACAAATCATAGAAGGTGTTAGTTATTTGCATTCATTAGGTTTAGCTCATCGTGATCTTAAATTGGACAATTGTGTGCTAACTACCAGAGGTATACTTAAGATTATAGACTTTGGAAGTGCAGTAATCTTCAAGTATCCCTATGATCAGTATGGGAATTCTACAACCATTCACCCCTGTCATGGTATAGTTGGAAGTGATCCATATTTGGCACCTGAGGTGTTACGGTCGTCTCATTCTTATAATCCTCAACCTGTCGATTTATGGTCAATTGGAATTATTTATTGTTGCATGACACTTAAACGATTCCCCTGGAAGATCCCTGATCCAGCCACAGATAACTCGTTCAAGTTGTATAACATGGTTGATGATAATTGGCATGATTACGAATTGAGTAACGAACTGCACAAATTGTTGTTACAACAACGGAAGTTAAAGAATATGATTGTCCGTCTGAATAAGCGTAAGAAGTTGTTAGAGAAACAGCAACAACAACAGCATCAGACAGAAGATATTTCACCAGCAAAGGAGTTAGATAAAATTAACTCTGAACTTCAAGTTCAAACTTTCCCCACCCCAGCAACCACTCCTTCTGTCGATCCTTCTGCCATGGAAGAGGAACCGGCCAGTTCTAACGCTGATTCAAATTCTAACGTCAGGGAAAACGCACATGAGGGAACCTCAATTGAGGCTCATGGTGGCCATGAAGATGAGACATTGAAGTCAACTAAGGCGAACAGTGAACTTCTTAGTGGTGAACAGGTGGAAGAGATTATGCAACAGTTGAAACAGATTGACGATAAGCTTGAAGAGTTTGAAAAGACCAAACACGAAAAGAAACTCATATGGCAACAAGCAGTGAATAAGATTGACGTTCCAGCACCAGAAGAAGAGTCTCCGGATAAAAAGAAGAAACAGATCCATGGACCTTATCGTTTGATGAGACTTCTTCCTCATGCTTCACGACCAATAATTTCTCGGATGTTGGAGGTAGATCCAAAGAAGAGAGCCACCATTGAAGAGATTTTGAACAATGAGTGGATCAAGGAAATTGAATGCTGTACATTGAAGTTAGCCATCACTGATGACGATGATGATGATGAGCTTCTTCCTGGAAACCCACCACATAAGCATACAATTGTAACCGAAGGACAATGAGGATATTTATATGCGTAGTAATATCAGGAAAGGATATAGTGAGTATATAACGATAGGAATAGTTATTACTTTTATCGACCAATTAATTACGTCGACATTTATCTTCGTTCGAAGCATGGTTATCTTTGTTTTTTTCTCTCGACCAACAAATATGGTAAATATTTATTCTCGACCGAGATCACACATTTCATCATTAATTATCGACCAATCATCTACATACAATCGCAGAATACGTACCGCCTATTTGCTCTACAATGCCTACACCCCCTCCACAGATCAACTCCACCAAGTTTAAAACGTATTTGAAGATGGCGCTTTCAAAGTTGAAGTTCCTCCAAGATAAGAAAACGGCTTTGGTAAAGCAACAACGTCGTCAAATGGCCGACCTATTGGGTCAAGGAAAGGAAACCTCCGCTAAAATACGGGTTGAGAATATCATTCGAGATGATATCTACATTGAGCTATTGGAATACCTTGAGCTTTACTGTGAACTACTTCTTGCTAGAATAACGATGTTGGTGGATCCGGCTCGAACCACCGTGGACAAAAGTTTGAGCGAATCAGTAGCATCTTTAGTGTATTCGGCACCACATACAGAGCTTAAAGAATTGGTACAGATCCGGGATGTACTTGTTCATAAATATGGCTTTGAATATGGTAGGCTGGTATTGGACAATTATGAGACTTTGGTTCCCCGTAAAATTTGGTCGCGGTGCGTGGTGGATCCTCCAAGCGAAGAATTGGTCGACTTATATTTAAGCGAGATTGCCCGTACATATCAGGTGCCGTATTCTGGGCTTAAAGTCGAAGTGACGGCCGATGATGACAATGACGATTATCAGAGTGATGGTGGTGAAGGTGGTGGGTCCAAAGTATTGAACCCTCCATTATCAACAGAAGGGTCTGGACCTGAGGCATCGACTAAATCTACCAAAGTTATTTCGCAAGCGAAGAAGGAGCAAAATGAAGTAGACAATCTTCGAGCACGTTTCGCAGCATTAAAGGGACCATAATTAATTAGAATCGAATATTTGTAGTAGTAAGTGATTAATGAATATAATAACCTATGGAAATATTTCGTTGGTTTATCCAGTAGTACCTAAAACAAGAATGGGGAACAACAGAACTAGCTAGGTCAGAATGAAACTTCGCACTAAAAAGGAATCGTGGTAAATTTCAGTACACCAAAACAAATTCATCCATAAACAAGCCAAAGCAAAACCAACCAAAACTACACTGTTAAAACTTCATTCGTTATTTTAAACCCCCATGGTGTCGTCAATATTGGCAGCCAGACAGGAGGAAGAGCTCCACAAGGCCATTATCCAGTACTTGGAACCCAGACTAAAAGAATCTACCTTGCAACAGATCAAGAATGATTTAGAAGTACATGACTACAATACTCCAGTGATGGCCAACTACCTCGAAAAGAAGTGGTCAGCAGTTCTACGATTACAAAAACGTATAATGGAATTAGAAGTTGAAACCAGTAACTTACGAGCTTTGGTCGATGCCAATGATGGTGGTAGTAGTAATGGACCAATAGGCAAGTCCTTGAAGAATGGCAATTGGTTACCACAAGCACCTTTAAGACTGTTCAAAACTCAAGGGAAACAATTAATTACAGCCTTAGCAATTCATCCAAGACTCTCTCAAGTAGCAATAGGTTGTGCCAATGGGAGCCTTATCATATGGCAGGTGACTAATGATTCCCTCAGCATAGCTGATAAGATAATACCAGCTCATCTTAAAGACATACACCGATTGGTATGGTCTCCAAGATCTGTTACACTTGGGTCGAAGGAAGGATACGTGCTAGCATCGTGTTCCTCCGACCTAACCATTAAATTATGGGACGAAGATACCTACAGCCAATTGCGAGTGTTCTCGGGTCACGAACATACCATATCGGGGTTAGCATTTCTGACCAACTTAGTAGGCGATTTATACTTATATTCTGCCAGCAGAGATAAGACAGTCAAGACCTGGAATATCAGTAGCGGGAATAGTGTTCGATCCTTCATTGGTCATAGTGAATGGGTTAGAGATGTTGATGCTATTAGTGTGGATTCCAAACTACTGCTTATCGATACTTCTAGCAATTCAGTGGACCAACTTGGTGACTTCCTCCTTACATGTTCTAACGATCAAAGTGCAAGATTAACTCATGCCGAATCCGGGGTTGGGCTAGCCATTCTAATAGGGCATACGCATGTGGTTGAAACCGCAAAGTTCCTCCCAATTCACTCCAACATCTACATCGACAAATATCTTGAGGAGAACCCAGAGGTTTATCCGAATATACCACGAGGTGCAAGCTCAGATCCAACTTATATCAACACACTTGGGTTCAAATATTGCATTACTGGTGGAAGAGACAATACTATTAAACTATGGCTTCTTCCCGTGCCTACACTACATCCCCATAGAAGTCCAACCATAGGTAATCCGCAAGCGTATTTGGTTGTGGAACTCTTGGGCCATGTATCTTGGGTCAAGAGCTTGTGTGTACATCCTAACGGGAAGTATATCTTTAGTGCTGGAGATGACAAGACCATTAGAGTATGGGACCTTTCTACGTTGAGTGTGGGTGGTAAAGTACGGAATATCAAGACCTTGAAGGCCCATGAAGGCTTCATAAATGATATTGACTTTGCTTCATGTATGGGACTCGAACAAGAAGTGGCATTGGCTCGCAAGAAGGGTAAAACTTATGCTAATCGTTCAGAAGAACACGAAGAGCTTGAAAAGATCATAGAACTGAAGATGAGACACATGTTTATTAGTGGAGGAGTGGATAATTTGGTTAACTTTTGGGGTTAAGCTAGTTTAAGTTCATTTAAAAGTTGTATTATATTTTGGGTACGTAATATAGAAATTATTGTCATTTATTTCAAGCATCTTTAACAATGTATTCTGATGGAGCTCTTTGGGCCCATTCAGTCCAACTTCCATCATAAACTCTAATAGGAACATCTGCTCCAATAACTCCTTCTATTGCAAAACGGATGATTACAGCAGTAACTCCGGTTCCACACATAACTATAATTCCCTTCTTTCCGTTCAAGTCCGGGGTGACCAAGTCCAAACCATAATCATTAAGAAATAACTCAATTAGCTCTTCCTTCAGTTTGTAAGTACCATCTGGTTGTAGTAACTTATTGAAGGGTAAAGATTTAGCCGAAGGCACGTGACCAGAGCTCAACCCCGGACGAGGTTCCGGAGCTGCACCCGAAAACCGATCAGCCGACCGGGCATCAAAAGTAATATACTCCTTTTCCAATTCACCAGATTCTACTAGAGAAAGCAATTCTTCATATTCAATGACATTTTGAGCGTAGTTGTCATTGAATTGAGCTTCGGAAACCATGTCGTAAGCTTCGGCTTCGGTGTTTAATGGTGTAGAAATCGATTCAACAACATTTGTTTCAATAGGGTAATCAAACCCATCCTTGTACACTTTGTAAGTATCTAAAAGATATACTTTTGGATGGCCAAATAATGCGAAGGTCCATGCAACACGAGGGCCACTGAATATACCTTGTTTATCGTAAACAACGATCTTATCATCTCTAGTTAACTTCAACTGTTCCATAGCTTCTTTAAACCCGGAGTAAGTTGGTAACATATGAGGGTATTTTGAGCCCGGTAAGGCTATCTTATCCAAGTCGAAGAAAGCAGCATTTTCAAGTCTTTCTTCGGTTAAAAATTGAGTCTTACCATTCTTTGGGACATTGGGCATGTACCATGTCCCATCCACAGGAATGATACGACCCTGATGCCCAGAAGTCAAGAGGCATCTGAACGCAAAGGGAGAAACAGTGGAGAGAACACTCTTATTTTTCAAAATAGACATTGTGGTATCTTGGATAGAGGAGGAATGGTTGTTATTAGATGCTGGTTTGCTCATTTGGATCAAACCTCGTGTATTTGTACAACTGTGGCTCAAGTGTGGAAGTTCAATGTCGGATAATTGGGGGGTGGATCTCAGTTACTGATGTGGAAATGGTAGGGCCGTCGCTTCTATACAGACCAAATAAACGAATTGAGTGCACTACGACTATGACTATGACTGGTACTTCCTTCGAATTAAATCATACATAATTTAATCAGCTTGTTCAACGTTCATGCTTGAACCAAGACGAGAAGTATCGACCTTCATAAACTCTCTTAAGGCCATAGTGGCGTACGAGCTAACTCCGAGTTGCATTCGCAACACGACTGCGGTCTTTGTTCCTTCTTCATTATCAATGATTCGATTGAGAGACTCCGGTTGAGCTCTTAATAACTCAAGATCGGTTCTAACCACGGCATCCTCATCGTTGTATTTGACAATTTGGTACGATAAATTTTCTGGCTTGCCCATAATCTTTCTGTATGATCCAGGAAGTGAAAATTCTCTAACTCTACGACCCATTTTGAATGGGTCCAAACCATCCTTCGCCATAACATCAACATATACCGATCTCAATTGTTCATTCGAAGGATAAACAATATCAAACCCAGGTGTAGGTAACACAACATCAAATATCGTGTACTTCCCACTAGAGACCTCTTCCTCAGTTAAAGCTCTGGCACGGACAATATTACTCTCGTAGACATCTTCTTTGAAATCATCATCATTATCTTCTTCAACTGTCGCGGTAGCCTTTTTGTCGTCTAGAACCAAATCTCCAGCTTGCACTTCGGAGCCAAATAATTCGTATCTCTTGGATACAACAGAATTCCACACATACGATTGATAAGCATGAACATACATGACTCTTAAGTTCCTAGGAATAGCCATAATACTATTGAAATATGAGTTGGAACTGAACTCCCCGTCCCCCGAAAATGGTTCAGTGCTTAATTTGGTCAATACAGAATGTTCCGCTTGACATCTTCGTGGCATCTTTTTTAACGCGAACGAAGCGTTCTTGGTTTCTGCCCAGATTCTTCTTGCTTCAATCGAATCTGGAGCGACAACTTCTTGTTCAGCAAGAATTAGTTCGACTGCTTCCTTCCATTTATTGTTTAAAATAAGTACTCCTAATTGGTGCGTAGACACAGAAAACGTTCCAAATCTTTGTAAACCGTAGTAGTTAATATATCCTTTGTCTTTCAACGATTCAAAGCATGTTTTGACGCAATTGTTCAAGTCTTCATTCTCATTCAATGGTGCCACATCTCGAATGGTAATAATAAATTCGTTACCCTTTAAGTCTCCTAAACGTAATCCTGAATCTTCATATGAGAATCCTCCAAGAACAGCATTCTTTAACCCTTTATTTAACGAACTAACTCTAACCACTTTACCCTTGTGTATGGAAAACTTTTGGCAAGTAACACCTCTTCTGTCTTTGGTACCAGCAAAGTTGATCAGTTTATAAGGAATTCGAAGAAATTTGGCAATAGTACCAGCCACCTCCATGGTCTCCCTGTTCTCTTTGTATACATTGAAATGCAAATAGTGCTTGTAAGGACCTAATCCGTAATTAACCACACCATTTTCATCGACATGGTTTACTGATTCTTGAGGGTTTCTTCTACCCCCTTTTCTATCATTCTTAGCTATTTGAATCTTGAATGTGTTCTCTGGAGTTGTAACGGTTTCTAACTTGTTCTGGAATCCTGAGCGGAACAACTGATGCAATGTACCACGAGATTGCTTGTCTTCAATTTTCGTGGTGGTTTCAAAATGATTACCCGTGGTAAATAATTCCTCGATTGCCTTTAGCTCGTCGCTCGTGATTAATTCTAACATCTTACCACGGATTTCTTCGCTTAAATCATATTTGGGCTTCTTTTCCTCTTCTTCCTTTTTCAAGAGTTTGATTTCTTCAACTTCTTCTGGAGTTTTCCCTTGAAGGTCGGCTCTTACTTGTTGTCTTTTCTCTAACCGTTTCTCCTTCTTAGTCTTTCCGATGTCAATTCCTTCGTCAAGTAAATGAACTACCTTGCCATTGCTGTCAATTTCGTTAACTAAAAAGTCAGAATACCGTTGTTTGATCTTACCAAAGAAGCCACCTTTCGTTTGATACAATGTGTTCACATATTGAGTTATTCCCACATCTGTTTCTTGGACAACTTTTTTAGCTCTTTCTTCTTGGTCGAACTTGATTCTTTTCTGGCCCTCGGGCACTTCGAAATCAATTATTCGCTTGGTTGAACCATTTGTTTCAGCCATATTTGTCTTCTTAATCACTTCTACTGCAAACAGTTGTGTCCTCCTGAATAGTTATTGGGCAAATCTAAACATAATACGATTAAGAAGCCGCCAATCAACTCATTTTGAAATCAGTTTTGGAACTAAAATTTTCAGGACGTAGGAAGCTCATCGCAGTGGATTCAAAATAAAATCACTGTACATAAGTTACTTCAGATCGAGAGCGAAACCCACAGTTATGTCGTAATACCAGAACGTCTGCAACGGACGTGTATAACGACAGTCTACAACCAGAGTCTTTATAGCGAGGATTATCAACATATGAAAGCAAACCATTCCACCTCTAGTTAACCTTTAGTATGGGAAAAGGCATATTGAACGCAGGTCGCAAAGAGTTAAAATATGCGACAGTGTACGAGGCCAGTAATGATGAATACACCCAACATAAAGCGTTCAACTTTCAAAACCTTCAGCAATCGAAAAACCATTCCATAACCAAAAATGCTAACGGACAATATGATATCGAACTAGACAAGTATGCAGAGGACTACAATGAAATGTTTCTTCATAAAGGTTCCATAATATCACCAGATGAGATCCTTGAGTATTCACGAAAAACAAGTATGTTGGTGCCAGTTAAACATAGAGACGAGTTCGTGGGTACTACACTTCCGTCTCCCGATATGACACGAGTACTTCACTATTATGCCAGTAAAAAGGTTTCTGGGACTCCCAATAAACGTGGTTTGCGGGCATTCGACGAAACAGCTTTGTTGGCATTGGGCCTTTTTGTTGACCAATTGGTCGATAGCGTGGTCGACGAGGAAGCAGGTCGTTTGTGCTTGGAGGAACCTGATGGGAGCTGCGAGACTGAGTCAGATAGTACAGGAGGAAGTTCTTCAGGAAACGAAAGTGACAGCCGTGATGAAAGTAATGACGACTCCACTTCTGACCTGGAGTAAGTTTAAAGTATCGACTACCGTGGGAAAGCTTGGGATCGTTTGAAATAATCTAGGTCGACAAAATTAGATCGAATTTTGTTGATTACAGGGACCCATAAAAACAATAATAATTATAACATACTAATGTACAAACTCTAAGCAGATTCAGCACTATTTTCTGATTCCTTGGTTTCAGATTCAACTTCTGGAGTCTCACTTTGTTCCTTCTTCTCTTGGATCCGTTTCATGTAAGCTGATTCCTTACCTTCGTCCTTAGCAGATGTTTCAATGCCAAACACTCTGTATAATAATTCATGGGTGTCCTTCTTGTTGACCATCAAGTTCAAATTGGTCTTACCCTTCCATAAAGGCAAGAACAAGTCTTCCAAATCACCTTCCCTTTTAACGGTAAGGAAAACACAACCTTCAGATTTTTGTTCGATTTGTTCAGAGAACTCCGGGTCCAATCTCATGTTCTTAATGGTTTCAACCTTTGGGAAAGCTTCTTGGAATAAGAATTCCAAAAGTTTCAAATTACTGGAAACTTGTCTGTTGGCACCAATGAAAGCTCTAATAGTGACCAAGGACTCATTCTGGATTCTCCATGGGCAATCACCAGCATCATTTCTTTGAGAAACAAACAACTTGATACCAGCATGAATGATCTTTAACTTTTGATCAAAGATTTGCAAGATCTCTTTTATTATGGGAGCAACATAGTAGATGGTTCTTAATGGTTCACCTGTGGCATTTCTAACCAATGTACAAGACTTGTCAAACTTATCATTGAACTCATAGAATGGCCAACACTTGGCCAATTCAGAATTATCAGGTTCTAAGAAGTTAAATGGCTCTTCGTTGGCATTTCTAGGTAACTTTTCTTTTTTAGGCTGTTGCAGTTGTTGTTCTGAAGTGGAATTAGAAGCACCAGTTTCAGTCTTTGTCTTTTTAGAAGACAGTTCTGACGACTCTTCTTGAGCTTGTCTCTTACCAGCAGTTTCAGCCTCAGTATCAATCTTTTCGAATACAGTGATAAAGAACCCACCAGTATTTTGTAAATGAGGATAAACTCTAATACAACGGTCCAAATTGAATTTGGAAGCTTCTTCTTCTGTTGGAGGGAAAGCAGTTTCCACAATGTCTTCACAGCCTCTTTCTCTTTCCTCCATATCCTTTCCAAAAACCTTCCAGTTTGAAAGACCCTTACGTCTTACCAAACCAGGCAATTCATTTTCGCAGTCGACCAATCTAATTTGATCGCCCCATTTTCTTAAGGCAGCAGCCACAACGGCTTCGTTCTCAACTGGAGATAAGGAACAAGTGGAATAAACTAATCTTCCGCCTTTCTTCAACAATTGTAAACCTCTAGTCAAAATATTGATTTGTAATGGGTGTAATCCTAAAGCATTACCAACGGTGAAATCCTTCCAAACGTTAATATTCTTTCTCATGGTGCCATCACCAGAACATGGCACGTCGCACAAGATTCTGTCGAACTTTAAAAACTCAGAAGCATTGTTCAACTTGATACGAGGAAACAATTGAGCGTCGTGGTTGACCACAACGAAATTGGCAGAGTTCATTCTCTTCACTTGATGGACCAACATATGAGATCTCTTGTAATCGGAATCATTAGCCATAACAAACCCAGTGGGTAAAGCTTCTTCGTCGTTCGAATGCAATGCTTCGACCAACTGAGCAGTCTTCGAACCAGGAGCGGCGCACATATCCAATACAGCGTGATGTGGTTGAACGTCCATTAATAACGGAGGAATCATCGACACAGCTTCCTGTCTTGAAATGTTACCCACATCAGTTTCCATAACCAAAAATCTTTGGGTGGCAGCAAATTGAGCATTCTTACGAATAACCGACTTGCCGACATTGATTTGCCATCCCAATTGATTTGGATAGTAGCCAATATTTTTGGGGGTCAATTCTTGGTCCTCAAAGATAACACCTTCTAATTTGGCAACATGATCTTTAAGAAATTTTTCCTTGATTTCATCAGCATGCTTTCTGGAACCAGTTATACGGAAAGTTAATGGTAGGTTCTCTTGACAATGGGTTTTGAATGTATCCCATTCTTCTTCTGGAACAATTTGTAGGGCCTTATAGTAGGTTTCCCATTTGGCGTTCTCTCTGGCCATATCAGTCCATGAATTTTGTCTGGCCTCAGACCGTGGACCAAAACTCTTCTTGGAACCACCTTTGTTCTTTCTAAAGTTTCTCTTACCCATTGCTTGTGGTATGGCTTTAGTCCAATGTTTGGGGATGAAGAACATAGAGTAGGTATCTAAGTCATCGCATCCGTTATACAAAATTTTTTCCTGCAACAAGTGTCGCAGTTTTAGAAACTCTGGCGCAATATCAACTCATTGAGGCATAGTAATCTCATTAAGTCGAACATTTAGATCACTCGTCTCATTCTCATAACGACATAAACCATATTATTCAAATCGTACAATTGGAGGACGTAGGGAGGTATAGGGTGGTTAGCCTAGGAAATGATTTGCTATATATGAACTAGCATAACTTGGCTAAGTAATCATGAAGAATTCCAACTGCACGACTATGCATATCTTAACCTGGAGTAGCTAGATCTACTTAAATAATAGACTAAAACAAAACAGTATTGTAATCTTTTACACACAGTTCTAATAATTGATCTCTAACAAAGGAGTTTAGACTGTTAGAGCCAACTCTTTGATTAACATTAATTGCTACGCCAAGTATTACACACCGATCTTTGTTTGCTATAACAGGCTTTGATCACATGACTTGCGACTGAAACTGACAGATGTCACAAGAGGGGAACAACTATATAATAAGATCTTATCTTATTTAACACATCCTTTAGCATTTAACATAACTGTGGTATTTTTAGTCAATAGTTCTATTTGCCTTCGACATAGTTCCGTGCAGACTTATACCCCGTGGACGTAAATATAAGAACGCATTTTTCACCCCGATACAACAACTTTCCTTGCCACAAATAAATCACCCACTCATCATCGCATCGCCACCATTACATATGGATTCCACTACAAGGCGAAGAATCCGATATAGCGCTGTAGGCGCATGCGTGGGGGTGACCATGTACAACAAGCTTGATTCCAAAAGAGAAAACATACAGCATTCATCGCGTGTGGTTTTACAAGTAGCTCGACTGGTGGTACACTCCATTTTTTCAACAACTGAAGTTAAACTAACCAAGTTTCAAACTGCTAACCTTGGACTACTATGTCTATTGGTAGTGACCAACTGCGTTAAAAGAGCAATCTTTGGCAAGCTATCTAATGGAGAAGTCAAGGTACTACGAGAGAAGATAACGTATACCGTGTGGGAGTTTTGTCTCAGTTCGATGATATTTTACATAATGTTACCAGACATGGCTAACATCACGGAGACGATAGATAATATGATGTACAAGTTTGCTGGACTATTCTTGTGCGTCTTGTTGATCAAGTGCTTCCATTATTTGGCCATGCAAAGGGTTCAAACGGTGTTTCGAAGTACTCACCACAAGGACCATATTCGATTCGGGTTAGGTCTTGTATTGCTTACGGGCATTGATATTAGTTTGATATTTAAGTTCTTTTCCGAAATCACCTACGGACGGAAGCTTCAAGTGATCCCTATAAAAAGTAATATTTTGGTCACTATGTTTGGCTTCGAAATCCTCCATATCTTTCCTTGTATTCTTTTGACATGCTATGAATTTGGAGTGAATTACTATGAATATCTTTTCGCAAGAAAACAGGACGATGTTAAATGGACAGAGAAAAAGTTGAAATTAGGATACATTGTGGAGTTTCTGGTAAACTTGGCAAGATTCTGTATGCTCTGTCTTTTCGCTATTATCTTCTTATATTTCTATACTTTCCCGCTTCACATTCTTCCATCGTCATATTTAAGTCTTAAAGTGTTGGTGTTGAAAGCAAGATGCTTGTTGAATTTCCAAAAGACTCAACTCCAATTGAAAAAGTTAAAGATAGTCGATGGTTCCAGTTCCATTGTGAACGGTGAAACTTGTACCATATGTTTTGATGATTTAAAAATACTGCAACTGAGACAATTGGATCATTGCCCACATATATTTCATTATAATTGCTTGAAACGTTGGGTGAAATATTCCAAATCTTGTCCAATATGTCGTAAAGAATTATAATACATTTGATTTAACAACAATAATATCCCGTTCTACCAATCTCCTCCATTTCCATTGGTGATTTCAGCAGATAAGACATCCATATCTGCTTCCTCATTTGTTAGTTTTGTGAATTCATCTATGTTATGATGCCCTGCTCCCATGAAATCAGTATATTCATATGAGTCTTCATTGCCACCATCATTATTGTTTTCTTGGATTGTTCCTGGTTCGTTATAATCTTGGTTATTGTCAGCTTTTTCATCCACCTCATCGTCATCCTCTTGTTCATGACCTTGATCTTCATCATGATCTTCATCGTCATTTTGTTCATGATCTTGATCTTGTTCCTGTTGCTTCCCAATATGATCGTCCATATGATTCTCTTCTTCATCGTCTGCTTCTTTGGCTTCACTTCTATGGATATAATGGTTGGCTTCGTAATACTCTGGACCAGAACTATGTCGTTGTTGTTGGTCGATATAATGAGATTCCTCCATCAGTTCATGATCAGAATCCTTCGTTATTTTGGACTCAGAGGTCATTCCAACCTCCTCATCTTTATGTAGACCCACTTCTTCTTTTCCATATACTTCTTCCGGCGGAGGAGCAGATAAATGATCGTTTGAAGACGACTCTGAATGACCTTCAAGAGGTGATTCTTCAATTTGTGAATCAATAGTTGTCCCAGTTCCAGTTCCAGGTCCAGTAGTAATCCCAGGTTCAGTCCCATTATGCAATCCATTTTCTATTTCAACAGCATTAGCAGTAGCTGCTGCAACAGCACGTTGTCTTCTAGAAGTTCTTGTTTCTCCTCGTTCTTGTTTCAAAGCTTGTTGTTCTCTGTATTTGGCCAAATAGATCTTTAGCACTTCAGCATAGTTTTCAAACCCTAAATCATGCATAGAATATAAGATATCTTCGCCATTAATGGTCTTTCTCTTCTCTCTGAAACACCTCTCACTGGCTTCACTTGTTATGAAAGATATGAACTCCGAAACACATTCTTGCATACATTCTTTGGCATCTTTTGATACCTTAGCTGAACCAGGTAGTGTTCCCTTCATCAATCGTGCAACATTGGCAATGGGTAACCACCTGTCTTGTTCTCGGAGTTCACATTCATACGCTCCGGGACCAGCTCCACTATTGTGATCCATTTGTAACTAAATATTGTTTTTAATGAGTGAATAAGTTAAAGAGTAGTAGTAGCCGTAGTAGTTATAGTTTCCTTATATGTTTTTGTTTCTCAACGGTCTTTGATCGGACTTAAGAAAGTAAGTATTTCTTTTTCGTTCCCGTAAAAAATTCAGGATGTAAGATTTATTCAGCCCTCCTTTTATCTCCGTGAGATTTGTCTTCAGATAACGCTTGAACTTCTGATGAGCTTTCTAACAAGCAATATTAAAGCCGTAAAATGTAGTAGTAGATTGAATGGAGTTTGGTTTACCTTTCGTTTTGAAAATTTTGTGCGGCTAGTTATGAGTATCGCACGACATCCGGCAAAAGTTAAGTCTGGAGCATGCCGATGTCGGCCAAATCAAACGGGAGTTATCCCGTGGGAAATAAAACTTAAGATATCAACTACTATAGCTTGGTTTCTGTCAGTAATGATGATCCGAGGAAATGATATATTGTGTTATTCAGTACATTAGTTGTAAATCGTGTGATACTAGCCATACACTGGGAAGTCGTAGTTTATTCACGTGATGTTGATCACGTGGCTAAAAGATTTATACAATACCGAAATCAAGCTTACAACTCTTTCATGCTAATATCTGTAAGGTTACTTCTACCAAGATTGAGATGGTTGGTATCAAAGATGGAGCTCGGAAATCTACATCTGGTCTCAGCTTGGCTGCAAAATCTTCCGCTGGGGTTTCATGGCTCATGATGGTTCAAGTGGTATCGAAGTTGCTTACCTTTGTATTGAACCAATTGTTGATCCGATTTATATCTCCTAAAGTGTTTGGTGTTTCTGCGTATTTGGAGTTTATAGTCAATGTGATACTTTTCTTTAGTCGAGAAGCTGTCAGACTAGCGATTCAACGGGTGAAACTTTCTGACAAAAAGAACGATGTCGAAGAAGCAACTACCGCCGCTATTACTGGCTACTCTGATCTGACAGAAACTGGTCTTTTACAAAGTATCATTAACTTTGGTTATGTTCCATTGGCTATTGGAGTGCCATTTTCTTTGGTGGTGGTTTGGTATCAACTGAAAAGTGCTACATTCCTGAACTCTGTTCGTACTTTGCCAAACCATGAATTTTCTATGGCAATGATTTGGATTTCAATAATGCTTGAATTGATAGTCGAACCGGTTTATTTGGTTAACCAATATCAGTTGAATTTGGCAAAGAGATCCAAAGTCGAAGGCATGGCTGTGTTGTTTAGATGTTTGGTAACTTTCTTTATTATCTTTGGTGTGTCTAGATGGACGAACTTATATCAAACCCAATTACAATTTGAAGGTTACACTGTTTTAGCATTTGCAAGTGGACAATTTGCTTATTCCTTTACATTGTTTTTATTATACAATCTTGATTTTCAAAAATCATATCCCAATAACACCAGAATGATTCAACCCATTTCGTCGAAGGGGGGAAATTCAGTTTATTGGTTAAATCCTAGTGTGCTAGCTATATGGAAGAGTTTAGTGGCTCAGATGTTTCTAAAACAAATATTAACTGAAGGTGACAAATTATTGATTAATTACTTGTGTACTGTCGAAGAACAAGGTGTCTATTCAGTTGTATCCAATTATGGATCAATTATTGCTAGATTATTATTCCAACCAGTAGAAGAATACGTTAGACTTTTTTTTACCCGGTTATTGGCAGTTAAACTGAAATCAAACCTAGACGAAGCTTCAAGAACTTTAACCTACATTGGTATATTTTATGCCAATTTATCATCAATAATTCTTCTTGCTGGGGTTCCTAATGGGCCCTATATATTGGGCTTTCTTCTTGGAAGGAAAGGAGGCTGGAGTAATACGAATTTGTTTGAGGTTTTCCAACAATACATTATCTATATCCCATTTATGGCATTCAATGGAGTTTTAGAAGCATTTTTCAGCTGTGTGGCATCCAAATCTGAGCTTGTAAACTTCTCCAAATTCTTAACTGGTCAAACATTAGCGGTATTTGTGACCATGTACGTCTTAATCGGACGAATGGACCTTGGAATTAGTGGGTTTATCCTATCCAATTGTTTCAACATGCTTTTAAGAATTGCTTATTGCTCCAACTTTATAATAAAGTTCTTCAGAGGTTATGGATACAGTATTACGTTATTACTGGCAATTGCAAGATTTAAAAACACATTCCTAATAACAGCAATCGCATTTGCTATTGAATATAAGTTAATAATAGGGGGCCCAACAACTTCAACTTTCCGTCAATTGGCGTCCAATGTTGTGGTATGTTTATTTGCCCTTCTACTGTGTTTAATAGCAGAAAGAAATCTACTTCTAGCTCTTTACCGAGCTAGAATAGGGAAGAGGGTTTAGCGGACTGTATATAAGAGTTCGCTCATCACTTCTCAAAATTGCACCCCATACCCGAGCACAGAACAGAGCGGGCTGTACTCGGAGTCAGCTAGCACGACAATGAACATTCTCGAACTTCTGAAGACCGTGGATGAGTTGGCCAAAGTCATCGTCCAGAAGAATAACGAACTTGAACTGCTTAAAGAGGGGTACGACTCCAAAATCAGGCAGTTAAATGAGTACATTTCCGTGGTTCGAAAAGGATTGGATATAAAAGACTATGACGATAGTAGACAGACTATAACAGGGGAAGAGCTTCTACAGACAGTTTTGAAGGCAAATGTGTGTTCCAATTGTCTGCACAGAATGTGGAACGAGGATGACTTTATACTTGTACCTCTACAGAAAGTCAGACTACTTTCAGGGCCGGAACAGAAGGAGCGGCATGTAGAACGACAACCAGAGCAACAAAAACCAGAGCAACAACAACCAGAGCAACGACAACGACATGTTTATTCACATCCACATTCACAGTCAAAGAAATCCACAAGCAGTAAACGAATATGTTCATACTGCAAACAACTGGGTCACTCAAGAGCAAAGTGTCCAACCAAACTTGGAGTCGTCACTACAGACATATGAAAAATATACTTTCATTTATGACAACTATAGTACAATATATATATATATAATTCATTACCACACACTCATTTGGTTCCCACCATGGCCTCTATAAGAATAGTGTTAGTATCTTCCTCTCTCACTTCGTTCCTCAACCAACTGATTACATACCTCTTCTGGATGCGTCTTGTAACAACGTACAGTCCACAGAGTTGGGGTTCATGTGAACATAACGAACTGTGGATCCTCTTATAAACAAGTTCTTAATAGACTTCAAATGGGGATACTTGTCTTCATTTACACAAGATATGTTGTCCAACTTTAAGTTCAAAAACTGATCCACAGACTTCAAAACTCCTTTGATCTCAATATCGTTCTTCAACTCAACCGTCACTTCTTGGTCGACAAGTGTCTTGAAGAAACTGAAGAACAACATCTTTGTGACTCTATGATTCTTATGATGTTTGGTGGTGATCTTGGAGTTTGATGTCAATTAAGTTGATGATGATGAAAATATATTAATTTGGTACATGCGCACGACTAAATGGTGTTAGGGTCTAATTGGACTATTTACCATATTCACTATTACTGCTACCTCTTGATAATACCAAGTACTCTGATAACAAGTTATCGTCTCGGGAAACTAGTGAACTCATAATATTGTCGTCCCAGAAAACTGCAATGCTACTACTATTATTTTTGTTTGCCTCCATTAAGTTGTGCAGTAAGTAATTACTCGCATACACTGGGTACTCATCTGCATTATTTGAATTACCATAACAGGAAGGATGAATAAAGTCGTCTAACTCCGACGTGGGACATGTGGCTTCCAGAAGCCAATCACTTTCAAGAATATCGTTATCATAGTCACTAGAAGGATAGAACCACAGTGGTCTGGATTTCTTGGACTTTCGGCTTCTACCAAGAACGGATTGCGTTATAGACGGAGACGAATATAGTTTGGAATGGCCCTTGAGTTCAACTGGTAGTAGGTCTTTAGAAGTTGAGATCTTCTTCGGTTTAGAGTTTGGACTTCCAAATTTGGATACTGAATTCTGAAGCAGTGCATCACTCTTATTACTGAAACCTCCTTTCCCTTTGTTTAACCTGTTAATACATTTTTCTTCTACTATAAGTCCAGTTGGCTTGAATTCATTTCCTAGTGGTAATGGCTTTCTGTTGATACCTAAAGTTAGTTTGTGTTCCTTTCTGATTTCTTCATTCTCTGTATTTAGCTCTACTCTGGCTGCCTCTAAGCATAAGGGTTTAAAATCACCCCTCTTGCGATCTTTGTATGTCGAAGGTGAACGTCCTCGAATAACTAGTGGTCCTGTTTCCGATTTCGCTATCAATACGCTATCACCACCTTCAATGGCTGCGAATAACAAGACATTCAAGGCAAACATCCGATTGCTCATAGAGTTCCGCTGGTTCTGACTAGTGGGAGCAGTAGAGAACTGCACCCTCTCATATTTGGCACAAACAAAGATATCCTGGTTCTTAGGGTACGTGCTTAAAGTGGACTGGCTAGAATCATTAATTTGTGTGTGTGTTGGGACGTAGTGAAAAGTATGTTTGAACTCATTGATCTTCAATGAGTTTCTCAAGTTAGCTACCAGCTTTATAACTTCGTGTTGTGGAAGCATTCCAGGAACAACCAAATAAGATTGAGGATACAATTTTGATGTTTTATCTCTTTTTGCAGAATGTTGAATGAGATAAACAGGGTGATTATCCGTAAGACATCGTGCACCAATGTTAATCCAAAAGTACTTCACCAATGATCTTTTCTTAGTGGTACTATCCATCACGTAGAACTGCTCTGTTTCAATTATATTGTGAGGAAGTTTGCTCAATTGGAATGAAGCAGTCAATGTAAAATAGTTCCTCTTGTAGCCCACCCATTGGTTATTAATAGTATTGAAACCTCGGTCAATGCGTGCACTTATAGTTGGTACAATCTCTTGGTTAGTGGAGCACTGGTATGCTCTTTGAAATAATAAGGTCTGGCCAAATGGAGGTCCGATCTTAAATTGCGCTTGAGACCTAGGAGCCATCCTACTAGTAGACGACTGTTGGCATGGATAATGGCAATAAGGATGATTTACACCGGAGTGAAGATCATTCTCAGAATTATTCTCAACGTTATTTTTTTTGCCACTAACTTCCAGTAAACTTATTTTCCCATTCATTGATGTCCGTATACTTCTAAAGATACTTGTAAGTCACAGTCAAGTACCATCAAGTAGTTGCAGCCGCCGCCAATGGCCTTAAACTGGCTGCGAAAATCTCTACAGTCAATAATCTTTTGATCTGTACACGACTCATCGTGATGCTCATCTGAAAATAAATTCACCAAAGAATCCACTATGTCTCACTATTAACCATCAGCAATCTCCTCTTGTCAGCGTCACGCCAGCGGATTCAAGATGGTAAAGAAACAAGTAGATTCCAGGATCCCAGCACTTATCTCCAACGGTGTACAGGAGAAACAACGTAGTTTCTTTTTCATTGTTGGAGACAAGGCCAAATATCAATTACCCAACTTACACTTGTTGATGATGAAGGCCGATTTAAAAATGAATAAGTCTATTTTGTGGGCTTATAAGAAGGACTTGTTGGGGTTCACATCTCACAGAAAGAATAGAGAAATGAAAATCAAAAAGGACGTTAAAAGAGGAATCAGAGAAGCCAATGATCAAGATCCCTTTGAAGCATTTATATCTCAAAAGATTGATTACGTTTACTATAAACATACAGAGAGAGTCTTGGGTAGAACATATGGGATGTGTATATTACAAGACTTTGAAGCCATTACTCCTAACTTATTGGCTAGAACTATTGAAACTGTTCAAGGTGGGGGGATTGTGGTTTTACTCTTGAAATCTATGACTTCCTTGAAACAATTATACACCATGACTATGGATATCCATTCTCGATACAGAACAGAGGCTCATACTGATGTAGTGGCCAGATTCAATGAAAGATTCTTGTTGTCCTTGGGATCTTGTGAAACCTGTTTGGTTGTAGATGATGAGTTGAATGTATTACCTATTTCCGGTGGTAAACATGTTAAGGCATTACCTAGAAATAGAGATGAAGATTTGACTCCTAAGGAAATAGAATTGAGAGAATTGAAGGAAAGTCTTGTTGACGTTCAACCTGCTGGTGATTTGGTTGCCCTTGCAAAGACCATAAATCAAGCACAAGCTATATTAACATTTATTGATGTTATCTCCGAAAAATCCTTAAAGAGTACGGTTACTTTGACGGCTGGTAGAGGTAGAGGTAAATCCGCAGCTTTGGGTATTGCTATTGCTGCCGCCATTTCTCTGGGATATTCCAACATCTTTGTTACATCACCATCTCCAGAAAACTTGAAGACCTTGTTTGAGTTCATCTTCAAAGGGTTCGATGCTCTTGGGTATTCAAATAATCTGGATTACGATATTATTCAATCCACAAACCCTGATTTCAACAAGGCCATTGTTAGAGTTGATGTTAGAAGAGACCATCGTCAAACAATTCAATATATTTCTCCCAATGATCACCATGTTTTGGGTCAAGCAGAATTAGTTATCATTGATGAAGCTGCTGCCATCCCCTTGCCCGTGGTCAAGAAGTTGATGGGCCCATATTTGGTGTTCATGGCCTCCACCATTAATGGGTATGAAGGTACTGGTAGATCATTGTCTTTGAAGCTTATTCAACAATTGAGAGATCAATCCAGAGATAATAGTATTAACTCCAACACTAAAGTTGTTTCCAGAGACTCTTCAAATGATAATGGAGATCATATGGGAGGAAGAACTCTTAGGGAAGTTGTTTTGGACGAGCCAATTAGATATGCTCCTGGTGATCCAGTTGAAAAGTGGTTGAACAAATTATTGTGCTTGGATGCTAAATTAACTAAGAACGCTAAGTTTGCTACCAAGGGTACCCCACATCCTTCCCAGTGTAATTTATTCTACGTTAACAGAGATACTTTATTCTCGTATCATCCAGTTTCTGAAGCATTCTTGCAAAAGATGATGGCCTTATATGTTGCTTCTCATTACAAGAATTCTCCGAACGATTTACAACTTATGAGTGATGCTCCAGCTCATCAGTTATTTGTGTTATTACCACCCATTGAGCCTGGTGATAATAGAATTCCGGACCCCTTATGTGTTGTTCAAGTTGCATTGGAAGGTGAAATCTCCAAGGAAAGCGTACGGAACTCGCTCAGTAGAGGTCAAAGAGCTGGTGGTGATTTGATTCCATGGCTAGTGTCTCAACAATTCCAAGATGAAGACTTTGCTTCCTTATCTGGTGCCAGAGTCGTGAGAATCGCCACAAACCCTGAATACTCGGGTATGGGGTACGGGTCCAGAGCGTTGGAACTTTTGCAAGATTATTACGAGGGTAAGTTCACCGATATTAGTGAGTCTACTTCGGTGGAGGACCATACACTTGCTAGAGTCTCAGATAAGGAATTAAGTAGGGCATCTTTGAAGGACGAAGTCAAGTTGAGAGATGCAAAGAGTTTACCTCCATTGTTATTAAAGTTGAACGAGAAGGCTCCATACTTTTTGCATTACTTGGGTGTCTCCTATGGGTTAACACCTCAATTGCTTAAATTCTGGAAGAGAGCTGGTTATGTTCCTGTTTACTTAAGACAAACCCCTAATGATTTAACTGGTGAGCATACCGCAGTTATGTTGAACGTCTTACCTAATGCTGTTGGCACTTGGTTGCAAGAGTTCTCCAAAGATTTCCACAAAAGGTTCTTATCATTGATGTCATATGAATTCCGGAAGTTCCCTGCTGTGCAAGCTTTGAATATCATCGGAGCTGCTGAATCTGGTGAAGGTGCCAATAATAGCAATTTCAAGACTAAACAATTGACTAAAGCTGGCTTAGATGAAATCTTAACACCCTTTGACTTGAAGAGGTTGGACAAATATGCCAAAAACTTATTGGATTACCACGTTATATTGGATATGATTCCGTTAATTGCAACGTTATACTTCACTAAGGCTACCCGGGAAGAAGTTACTTTATCTTCAGTGCAATCAGCCATTTTATTGGCCATAGGTTTGCAACATAAGGACATGGATCAAATTGCAAAGGAACTTAATTTACAATCAAACCAAGCCATGGCCATGTTCCATAAAATTGTTATAAAGTTCTCCAATTACTTCAATCAAGTGTTGAGTAAGTCCATTGAGGATTCACTACCAGCCATTCAGGATGATAATCTTAAGGAAATGAATGGTGAATACGAACATGTTGATTATGAACATGTTGCTGGAGAATTAGAACAAGATTTGGAACAGGCAGGTAACGAAGCATTGAGCGAAATGAAGGTTAAGCAAAGAGAGTTGATCAACGCTCTTGACTTGGATAAATATGCCATAGCCGATAACGAAGATTGGGAACAGGCAGAAAAGTCTGTAGCCAAAGCAGCAAAGTCTAAAGGAGTTGTTAGTATCAAGAACAAGGGACAAAAGAGGAAGCAAGGAGATTCAGCAACCACTATATTCGAACAAGAAATGAAGAGTGTTTCCAAGAAATCCAAAAAGTCAAAGAAATAATTAGGAGATTAGCTTAATTTTGTTATTATAGTTTGCAACGACCACTGAACCATATCTTCTAAAGATAAACTATCATCATTTTTAAATTCTTGTAGTTGTAAAGTTTCTTTAGCATAGTCAGTAAGTTCTTGATCCACATCTTCATTGATAAAGAGATATTTATGCGTCTTGACATAACCAGGCCACACTAATCTATCAAAATACCCTGGAGGATCAACCCACACCCCAACATCAGTGTTATACCCATGACGATGTTCTCGTCTATACTTTAATGTTTCATATGGAGCATGGAAGAAAAACCGAATGTCGAAAAGTTCCGTTATCTTAGGATCATGGTACAACATAAACCCATCCACAAGCACAAAGATCGTCTCCTCATCATGATTGAAAAGAGTTGGATATTGATTCAATAACGTCTTGAACTTTAATTGACCCTTTAAATCTAATTTGAGTGGCGTGTCGCCTTCTAAAGAGTCTATCTGTATATTTAAGCCTTTACCTGTTCTTAAACCGTCTATATATGTCTTAAACTTATTAAAGTCTATGGCTTCAGGTACATCCCAATTCTGTTCCTTGACTTCTTCGTCATAGGGTATCAAGTCGCTGGGTAGATAGAAATCATCTAAATGAACCAATAATGATTTCGGTAGAATTGTTTGAAGTGCTTTGGCCGCAGTGGTTTTGCCACTTGATGATGGTCCCCCGAATGCAATCAATAGTACCTTCAGTAGTGAAGTCGTCATGGGAATTAGCCGCTGAAGTTGTGTTTAGTAATGTGATCTAAATCTGTCTAAGGATGTTCCCAATTGGGGTGCAGCTATCAAACTTTAACTTTGATTAGAAAGTTTGATTTGTAGTTTATCCCCAAAGGGGCTAAACGACATTTTGCTCCTGCGACATTTTGCCAGACCATGCACACTACCCTGTATAGAGTATACAGTGCCTACACAAATGTTGAATCTTGATGCTGCCGCTAATAAAATTACATACTAAATTTCTTTATTATGTACCTCAATGCATAAGTCTTTTAACAATGGAAAAATCATCTCGCGAGATTGGCTCAATAAAAGACGGGTCTAATTTCATGTTCATCCCCTCTGTAACTATATTCGGTCGGTTTGAGCGGAAATTACTTCGTCAAATGGTATAATCCCCCTTGCATTATAATAGAATCTGATACCGGGTTTCCTTCCGTGGAATTATATATACAGCGTATAGAGGGGATTATATTGCACCTACACGGAAGTTGGAGATAGTTCACAATCGTGGACGGAAGCAAGAGTATGCTACAGTGTACTACTGAAATTTCATACTAATAATAATAATAATAATAATAATAATAATAATAATAATAATAATAATAATAATAATAATAATAATAATAGTAATAATAATAATAGTGATCATAATTGCTAGAGAAGGAACAGCTATTATTTATAACCCTAGAATAAATAACTTAGACATCGTTGCATGAATATGTTTATTATACATTAAAATTCTTGGTTGTGTCATTTCTACCACTACATACTCGTTGTTTCACTTCTTGCTAACACACCCACCAATGATCTAATTTTCAACAATGAAAAAGCTTGAATCATTACTCTACACTTACGGCTTGTACAGTCTCGTGTTTTTTCCCCATTGAAGAAATAACTCGCACAGACAATGCATTCAGTATCCACATTCCCCTTCATCTGTAGTAACCTTAGTCCACAAGTTGCAAAATGCGAAATTCCCAAATTGAGATAAAGATGGGGTTGCAGGCTAGGAACACTTCCTAAAAGGGAAAGTCGTTCAACTATTGGTGAATAATGATCTTCGATACGATGATGAAGGGCCCTCAAACCGTGAAAGGAGATATGCTTCTTGAGTTTGGATGTGGAGGTCATATATAGGGTGGGGGTTCCTGCAATGTTAAAATTTTGGCACAGATGGAGGGGTTTCGTACTATTAGTTTGTATTGGTGTTAAGTTATAGTTATACCTTCAATCATCTTCATCTTCATCTTCATTCAACCAACCAAGTTTTATAAAGCTTCTTATTTAGACTTTTATAACTGTCACCATCACCACTACTGCTTCTGGATGCAGTTTAATGCTTTGGTTGAATGTCAATTATAAGTTCTTATTATTACATTGTTCTTTTGTCTATGATCTGCCGTAGCTCTTGAGAGCCCCGTTAAAGTGTTGTCCCTAGTCAGTCTAATGAGCCCTGAATCCCATGATGGAGCTTCAAATCTACCCCAGGCTCATCCGGAACATTCTCTGGAAGATTCATCTGTTCTCCAAGGGATTCATGTTAACCCGGATACTAAGAAATTGGTGCTTCCTCCGTTAACTGGTTTAACGAAATCAATAAGCTCTTTGGGTTCTTGTTCCATAGATTCTAGAAGTGGTTCAACTTCTCGAGGTGCAACAATAGCTGTACCTGATGATGTTGTTAATGTCGACAAATCTCTAGCTGAATCTCCAAATACAACTTCAACTCTTGCATCGTTACCTAGTGTCACCAATACAAGTGAAACTGTCACTTCAAGTGCAAGTCCTAGAGCCATTACATGTGATACCAAGCAGTTTCCAGATGTTGCGCAGAAACTGACGACGTCTGGGCCTACTCCTCCTGAAAGTTCATCTCCTCGTGATAATAATACAACTCCCCAAACAACAATTGCAAGTACATCTACAACAGCTACCAGTGAACATAATACTGAAGTAAAAAAATGTAGCTTTAATAGCATGGTTTCAAAGGTTTTGGGTATGGAAGCTAATGAACTGCTTCATTGGCCATGTACTTCAGAAACTTTAAATGAACTTCTTCGATTGAAAATAGAACAGGAAAGAACAAAACAAGAACAATTGAGAGGTGAACACAGTAAAGTAACAGTTGACTTTTTAAAGCTTGCACAATCATTAAACTTACCAATGGAATTGATTTCCTATATGATATCTCCTGCCAATGGAGTTGAAGAAAATCGATATCAAGCTACTCATAGTGAACCTCAAGATGTGTTTTCTAAATTGAGATCACGTTTGACTGAGTTGGAAACCTATTATTCGGCTAATGGGAATCGTCTCAAGAGGAAACACGGTGATGGTCATGGTTACCTACATCATGATACCGCTGACACTTTACGAAGTCATTTCATCTCGCCTTTAAGGTCTCCAGATTCTCTGCCCCATACCATGCATCGACGGATATTGTCAGAAAGCAGTGAAAACTCTGCTACCCATGCCTCAGGAAGCAATGATGATAGAGGGTCTCCACAACAGCAAGTCACTAAAGCAATTCCTAGCTCTGGTCTGCCATCTACCCAACCTCCTCAAACAGAGGGGGATTTACAACAGCATCATCATGCTAAAGGTGTGATAATTCTGCATCCTTCGCAACTGCAACAACAGCATGTTCCAGGTTATCCCTATCCGCCATACCCCATGTATTACCAAGGACCTCCACCTCCTCCCATTCATGTTCCACCAGGAACTTCTAATGAAACCATGGGAAGTTCTTCCAAAGATAATTCGTCTAATTATGGACATAATTATCCTGGAGCAGCTCTATACCCTGGAGGTCCCTACGGAATACCCTCAGCTTCCAACCCCAATCCTCATCAGTCACAATATTATCCCCAACAACAACAACAACAACAACAACAACAGCCGTTATCTTACTTTGTTCAAGGGAACCAAGTGGTTTGTGTACCAGATCAACAGGAACCACACATTATTAGACGAAGTTCCAGTTCCCTCCAGCCTTTACCAAAGAAAGTGAAGCATTCCCATAAAAATAACAACATAAACTTTATGATCACAACACCTAAGAACCCTCCGGCAAGGAAGTACAATAATCCAAAGAACTCTTCTACTTGAGGGGTTTGGATTTATTCTTATATTTTTCAGTTCTTATGTCATATTGGTTATAGTTTATTTCACTAAGGTGAACTAGTGAATGGGAATTTTGAGTGCGATTTATTGTATGATTCCACTTCATATATTACTTTCGTTGATTACTGTTTCTACAAGCATTGATATCTTTATACATTATAGAATTACAATCTATATGTATATCTTTCTACATATATATATATTTAACTTTTACTAGTGAATCTTTTGCAACCAAATGATTAAAAAGTACGGATGCACATGAACGCTCATTGGTAGCGCCAATATTATAGAGTAGTTCATTTCAATTTGCATATGTAGAAGAAAGGCATAGGTTATGATTACTAGTTCTATCTAGCTACATATTTCTCTCTCTCTTTAATGGCAATTATCATGTGGGCATTTTCTTCAATCAGAATAAGGATATTCTTATACGATGAACTGGTAGCGTCGCTAGATATCTCCGTATACGATAATTAATTTTCAGAGGGAGGGGAAGGGTAAAAGAGGAGAATTTTTAATTCGATCGCCAATTGTGAAGCTTATTATAGAACCAAAAACTACACAAACACAATCCAACAAGGAGACAAGGAGGAGAAGAGATGTGTGGCGAAGGCTGCGATGCTGTATTTGGACGACGGAAACGAGGTATTTACAATTTGACACGAACTTAATGCTTCCCCTATCTTTCGAAACAACGTACAACAACAATTTCTGTTGGCTTCTGCCATAAGTTTATTGGCGTATCATTAAAATTAGTAAGGTGTTGTTATTTTATGACAGTACTATTTATGATAGTAACTCCGTACAATGCTCCTTATTACTCCATTCACCCTCCATTTAAGCCCACCCTTAATCTTTTAGCAATATAGGGTGACAGTAATCACACGCAAATTGCTTTCCTCTGCTGTCCTAAATTCTATTTAAAAAATAAAAACAGGAGGCAAGTTTTTCCATGGCTGTACGAGGGAGTTTTTCCGAAAGTTCCAGCTCAATCCTATTACTTGTTTTGGTTTGGGAAACGTTTCTATTTCTGTTTGTTGTGTCGTACAAAAGCAACTATTAGAAAAAACCCCTCCCTCGCACCCCTCTGTCTATATACGGCTTATAACAACGGTGCTACCAGTTTGGCTTCTCCTCTTTTACTTCCTGATCCTGTGTGCGTTTAATAATATTTAAACACCCAAAGATCCTCCTGTCACTTCATTCCATTCGCTTATCTTCTTCTTCTTCTTGTTGTTTATCTATATCAAATTTATTTTGATTACGATACTACATTAACCTATTCACTTTTATCTATTCAATGTTCAAACAATTCCTTCGGTCACTTGGCAGATCACCTGCCTTAAAAGCCACTAGCATTGTTCCACTGGGAACCTCAATTCCTGTGGAATCAATTGGTGGCGCCATAAAGTTTTACCATTATCCCAGCTCTCAAGCTTCAGGTCAATTATTGAACAAATTGAAGTCATTAAGTAAATTGCCTATTCGTAACGCTACTAACGATACGGCTACTGATAAGTTTGGTCTTAATGTTGTGACCAATTCTCGTTTATCTTATGAAGATTACAGGTATATCTTTGATGAATGTATTAACGTTCATCCCGGTAATAAACTGATTCTTGCAAAGATTCTTCCACATGGTCCTTGTTCCCGTTCTTATGACTTGGAACCAGCTTTGGATAGACAATTTTTTGATGAACAAAATGTTATCAGGGGACCTTTGGTGATTGATTATCATAATTCTTTAATTGCTAATGATGATGAATCTTTAGACAGAATTATGCAACACTATTTATCATGTGGAATGCAAAGACTGCCTACAGCTCAAGCTGCTCCCGCTTCCCTTGGTGATCATCAATGGGCTGCGGCCTTGCAAGAGTCACTTCGTGATTTGAAAACATCAGGGTCAAAACCCGTGCACCCTCATGTTGCAGAATATGCTGATTTATTTTGAGCAACCACTTTTACATGTGGTTTTGGGATTTAAGGGTTTTCATCAAGTTTGATGATTTTTCCCAGCACAGAACGCTGCTTTATGTTTGCGATTTGTTGCTGTTGTGAGCATTATAGAAGAGATTTAATTTACAGTTTTGGGTTTTATAGAGGTTGAATATTAATAATAGTATAATAATAAGTATAATACACCGTGTTGTAATTGTATCCTTGTCCCACCGGATTAATACGAACTTTATCTTTGTGGCTAAAATCGTTATCATTATCTTATATATAGGATTTAGTTCTAGATTTTCCTCGCCACAAAAAAAGGAGGGACACTAAGACACATTATTGAGCATAACACAAAGTTGAGGGGGGTAATCTTCTTTTCTTATTGAGCTTATCTCTATCACCTAATCTAATTTTTCCCTCGTGGTTCGCCTCAAAGCGAAAAATGGCGCGGATTCAAAAGAATCCTGTTTGGAAGTAAACTTGGGGCAAAATCAGGGTCAAAAAACTACTCCGATACCGGGAATCGAACCCGGAACTGCTCTGTGAGAGAGAACCGTGCTAGCCGTTACACTATATCGGACACAGATAGGCAAATAGAAGCACCTTGTAGTGTAATCTTGTAGTGTAGTACACAAACCACTTTTCACGTGGCAACACTAATGTACTCCTGAAATTCGGTCATATAAAGGGATGCGTATTGTTCCGATATATATGGAAATAAAAAAAGGCTAGCCATTACCATCCAATAGCCAAATGTGAAAATTCTGCTTATTGCTGAATGTAATTGTAATAAGTTTAGTTGTCTTGTTTATGGCAATTGAACACCCGTGAGTCAACTTTGAAATCTCCGGAGTTCTGATTATTGCAACTTCTTTACATGCAATTGTAATACCACTTTCAATACAAATCCAGTCGCCACAGCACACATACTTAACACCTACGGACGAAAATGTGTTAATTAGTAATACGGGGTTCCACAATACAGTACCGGAGATAATACCTTACTCGAACTCAAATTATGTAATTCAGTACAATAGGACCCAAATTCTGAAAAAAAACAACGGTTATTTTCCTGTGTATAATTGATCTCGGCTACTTGACTTCCTATTATGGCAACTGTTATATCCGTGATGAGCTGTATTGGCTACTTCGGGGCTCTAGAAGTCCGGCCTAAGTTTCATCGAACTATAGCAGACAAACTATCCTGCCAATATAAATATCTGACGAAATAAACTTTTAATTACATTTGTTTTAGACCTTATCTATCAGTCTAATATCTAATAACTCAATTACTTCAACTCAATACTAATATTAGAATAATGTCTACTACTGTCTTAGTTTCTGGTGCCAGTGGATTTATCGCCCAACATGTTGTCAAGGCTTTACTTGATAAAAACTATAACGTTGTTGGAACTGTAAGATCTGCTGCCAAAGGTGATAACTTGGTTGAATTGTTTGCGGATAAAAAGTTTTCCTACGAAATTGTTGCTGATATCGGTGCTGAAGGTGCCTTTGACCAAGCATTAAAAAATCATCCAGAAGTTACTGTTTTCTTACACACAGCTTCTCCATTCCACTTTCAGGTCACTGATATTGAAAAAGAGTTATTATTGCCTGCTATTAACGGTACTAAGAATGCCTTATCCTCTATTAAGAAATACGGTCCACAAGTCACAAATGTTGTGGTTACGTCATCTTACGCTGCTATGTTCACTTTCAGCAGAGAGGGAGATAACACTTTGGTGAATTCCGAGGAATCCTGGAACCCAGTTACTTGGGAAGAGAGTCTTGCAAATCCATTGATTGGGTATTGTGCTTCTAAGGCTTTTGCTGAAAAGGCCGCTTGGGAATTCCTTGAAAAGGAAAAGCCTAACTTCAAGTTAACTACTGTTAACCCATCATATGTCTTTGGTCCTCAAGCCTTTGCCTCTTCAATTGGGGATCTGATTAACACTTCTTCCGAAATCCTTTATTCTTTCTTGAAATTGAAGGCCGGTGACGATGTTCCAGAACATATGGGTAAGTTTGCTGATGTTAGAGACGTGGCTGATGCTCATTTGGTTGCCTTTGAAAAGCCTGAAGCCGCTGGTCAAAGGTTATTGTTGAGCAGTGAATCATTTGTCACACAATCAATCTTGAACATTTTGAACGAAGAGTTTCCTTCTCTCCGTGGAAAGATCCCAGTTGGTGCTCCAGAAACCGTTGAGGAACAATTGGTTTCAAGTTCCAAGATTGATAACGAAAAGACCAGAGACTTGATAGGTAAGCCCTTAATCGGCCTTAGAGAATCTGTCGTAGACTCTATTGAGCAAATTCTTTCTGTTAAGAAGAACCTTCATGATTAATGAGATTAGAACTATGGATAATCAATTTAAAGTTTCAATCATTGATATAATTTGTAGATACTTATCTAAAGAGCATGCTTAGTTTGTGCATTTTGCGGTATTAATTTCGGACTTACTGTTTAGGAAACGTTACCCATTTTTTGCAGCATGTTATTGCGACAATCTTACTGTAAAGGGAAGATTGTTGCTAAAACAACAGCAACACATTTGGAGCTTTGAGAACCCCTATGCCCATCACCACTACATTAATGGATAAACTCAAGATCTTACTACGTATCACACAATAATGGCATACAGCAGGTCTTTTAACGGCGTAGTTATGCTCAACTATTGACATACCCTCAATATACCTACAATCTCACCATTTATTTGAAAGAGTTCTCGATCAATAGTGATTGTGTCATGTAAGTGAGCGTACTATTCCCATGTAAATGCATGTGTTTAGTTCCCCACAGAAATGAGTCAATGCATTATTGTTCGAAGTGTGTTTCCTAAATCTGTCAATGTATGGGAAAAGTTTCCTAAAACTGCAGGCTTCCCAGGACTATGGCTCTGATTCTCTATCAAACACCATACTATAAATACCCTTCAAATCAGCGCATCTACATAATGCCATTCAGCTTGTACTCATCACCACTTTCATAATGAAGCAATTCAATATTGAAGAAACGTTGAACCAGTTAACTGATTTGGAAAAAGCTCAACTTTTGGCTGGAAGAGATAGATGGCACACAACTCCCATTCCTAGATTGAACATTCCTTCTGTTCGTTTAACAGATGGACCCAATGGTCTACGTGGTGTTCATTTCTTCCCTGGAATCAAGTCCGCCTGTTTCCCCTGTGGAACTTGCTTGGGATCCACTTGGAACCCTGACTTGATGGAAGATGTGGGTAAGCTCATGGCCGTTGAAGCGTACGATAAAAATGCCCATGTTATTCTTGGACCCACTGTCAATATCCAGAGGGGTCCCAATGGTGGTAGAGGTTTTGAATCATTTTCTGAAGATCCTCTTCTCAGTGGGAACATTGCTCGGGGAGTGATTGAAGGTATTCAATCTGGAGGTGTTGGTGCGTGTCTTAAGCATTTTATTTGTAACGATATGGAAGACGAACGGTTCAAGGTCAATGTAAATGTAAATGAAAGATCATTGAGAGAAATTTATGCTCTCCCCTTTGAAATTCCTATCAAACATGAAAATGAACTTGCAAGACCAATTTCTGTCATGTCATCATATAATAAAGTGAATGGGCAACATGCTTCGTCCAATTATGAACTTTTGACTAAGCTTTTGCGTGAAAATTGGGGGTTTAAGGGAACAGTGATGTCTGATTGGTACGGAACATACGACTTGAAGACTTCTATTGAGGCGGGTTTGGAGCTTGAAATGCCTGGACCTCCAAAAATTAGGAAACCTGAACAAATTGTTATCCAAGCAAACACAAATGAACTACATCAACTGTTTATTGATGACAGAGTTCGGTCAATGTTGAAGTTTATTAATTGGGCCATTGCTTCCGAAATCCCTTTTGAAGGACCGGAGAGTGAAACCAATAATACTCCGGAAACCGCAGCCAAACTCCGGAAATATGCTGAAGAAGGTATTGTACTTTTGAAAAACGATGGAGGATTACTACCCTTGAATAAGGACTCGGGTAAACTGATTGCCGTGATTGGACCAAATGCAAAGAATACAGCTATTCATGGAGGAGGCTCGGCATCTGTTACTGCTTACCATTACGATACCCCATTTCTGGCCATTAGTACCAAACTCGGAAAAGAGCCCACCTTTTCCGTCGGAGTTCACTCGCATAAATTTACCCCAGAAATGTCGCGTTTCCTTCGTATACCTGAGGACAAGTCAAACGGCTTTAAGGCTAAAGTATACTTAGAACCACCCACCGCCAAGTTTAGAACATTGATAGACGAGTTTAAATTAACCTCACCAACATATATTCGGTTGCCCGACTATGCCAATCCGCTGATCCCCGAGAATAATTTGTATTACATTGACTTTGAGGCGGATTTTGTACCTGACGAAACCGGAGATTATGAGTTCGGGGTTACGTGTGTAGGTACGGCTCAACTCTTTGTCAACAACCAGTTAGTAGTAGATAACAAGACTACCCAAAAACAAGGAACATCGTTCTACAATACAGGAACAGAAGAAGTTATTGGGAAAGTGTACTTGGAGAGAGGGAAGTCGTATCCCTTCAAGGTTGAGTTTGGTAGTGGTCCTACATCGCTTTTGGAACGAAGAACCGATTCTCTCAGTGATAAAGGTGGAGCATTAGCCTTTGGAGCCATTAAGGCCATCAGTAACGCCGAAAAAGAGATTGTGGATGCAGTTGAAGTGGCTAGGACTCACGACATAGTCATTGCAGTGGTTGGACTCTCAAAGGAATGGGAATCTGAAGGCTACGATAGAACTACCATGGACTTACCCGGTCTTACTTACAAGTTGATTGAAGAAGTGGCTAAAGTCAATAAGAATTTAATTGTGGTTAATCAGTCAGGTACGCCAGTGAACTTACCTTTCATCAATGACGTCCCAGTGTTTATTCAAAGTTGGTTCAGTGGTAGCGAGGGTGCCAATGCACTTGCTAACATTCTTTTCGGAGATGTTTCCCCTCTGGGAAAGTTGTCCTTGACGTTTCCCAAACGGTTACAAGACAACCCAGCATACTTGAACTTTAAGTCCGACAGAGGTCAAGTCTATTATGGTGAGGGTGTGTTTGTTGGTTACCGGTGGTATGAAGCTACGGAGAAGGACGTGATGTTCCCCTTTGGGTTTGGGTTGTCTTATTCGACATTTGAGTTCTCTGATTTGGCAGTGACTATAACCACAACTGACAAAAAACTTAAGGTATCGTTACAAATTGAAAATAAAGGAGGAATAGATGCTCAAGAGGTGGTTCAAGTGTATGTTTCCCAGAAGAAAACTACAGTTAGTAGACCCCCAAAGGAGTTGAAATCTTTTACAAAGGTTTTTTTGAAACAAGGTGAAACGCAACGTGTTGAATTGCAATTGGATACAGGCAGAGCAACTGCCTTCTGGGATGAATATTATCATCAATGGTGTTCTGAAAAGGGTGAGTACGACATTCTTGTTGGTAACAGTAGTGACAATATCTTGCTCAGTGAAACCATCACTCTTGAACACACAACTCATTTTGATTAAATAATCTTCATAGTACTTAAAAGCCCATTCTCTTGATAACGTATTCTTGTGCCATGACACCGAAAGTTAAACGTAAGCCATCTTTGATCCAATCATTGACCCATTCACGAGGATCAATGCCTTCAAGCTGTTCAAATTCGTTACCAATATTTCCATTAAGCCATTTGAACCATTTATATGGGAAAGCCTGGGTCTTGGACCGAATGGTAATACTATTGGAAATATCTCTCATCATCACAATAAATGAGAACGACTCGTTGTTCAATGCATCGATGATAACTTCATCGTTAGTTTCTTCCTCATCATTTTTCACCGGAGGTTTATCTTCCAATCTTGTGGTCACAGGTTGGATAGCAACAAATATGTCTGATCTGCTGATTTTGAAATCATCTTGTTCACCACCGCCTTCTGTAGATTCTGACTCTGCTGCGTGTGCAGCCTTTTCTTCCTTCAACTTCTTATTCGTTTTGAGAATCTCCTTCATGGAAGACTCCAAATTAGCATTACATAATTTTTCACCGTCAATCAACTTCCCAAAGAACATGGCATCAGCATTGCTCTCCGGATTTCTATTGTGGTTACTACCCACATTCACAGCAATGTCACCTTCAACTTGACTCATTGCCAGAGAGAAACTATCATAGACCAAACTGGTCAAATAGTCCAAATCATCAGTGAAGTCGTACGTGAGATGTATATCCAAGAGCTCATCGTTCTCTTTAATTAACCCATTAGCAAACTTCAGAATCAAGTTGCCGATTTCCACTTTATGGTTTTCCAGTAAATACTGCTGTCTCTTTTGGTTCAATTGGTTGGTTGTTTCTGAAGCCAATTGGAAAGTCGTTTCACCAACCTTTTCAGCTTTAGACGCCATCGTAGTCCAGAACGACAGAATCGTATCTGAGCCTTCTTTGCTCCACCATGAAGAAAGCGAAGCAATAGGATCAATAGCAAGTTCATCATTACCAGACTCTGTTCTCAGCTCTTGTACTTGTGCTTGTGGTGGTGGTGGTGTTACTGGTTCTGCTACTGCTACATTAGACACTCCTTCAGCCTTCTTAATTCTGTTGGTACCACTGGTGCTCCCTCCAAGCTTAGGAGTTCCTAATCGAGGTGTACTGGCAGTAGAACTCATCAGTTTCTTTTCTTCCACATTATTAACACTACCATTGTTCTTCTTGGGCTCAAACTTTGTAGTAGGAGTCTTTGATTGTTGTTCCAATTCTTCTAAGAAATCAAACAACTCTTCATCCTTCTTTCCTCCTTTCTTATCCCCGCCAGTTGTCTTAGCTCCAGCGCTATTTCCGCTTCCACTCACAGGCTTGGTGTCAGGTAACGAGTTGATGAAGTCCAACACGTCATCTGCTTCTGTCTTTTCCAGCATGATTATTTTTGAGTGTTATGTCTAAGTATATATATGTTGACACGCTAGGGTTAAGTTACTCTTTACGGCTGCATACTTTCTCACTAACAGTCGTGTACAACTCAATAAAACCGAGTAGAACTGAACCAAGTGCCTTTGAATGACTGACAGATGTTTTAGCAGTTATAAGCAGTTACTTCTTCTTCTCCACTACGATGCATCCCCAGTTAGATAAGACCAGATTTGAGCCCTGTGAAAAGCTCATGGACGCCCTTGAAGAGTGCCACAACCAAGAGTTTCTCAAACAGAGTCTCGGGCTTTGCAACTTTGAAAAGGACGAATTAGCAAAGTGCTTGCACTACACACGGGTGAATGACTCCAAAGAGAGAATCAAAATAGCCCGGGAACGGAGCAAGCTTAAAGAGGAGACCCAGAAACAAAGACACGAAGAGTTGTATGGTAAAGACGGCTATTTGAAGAAGATGATTGAACAAGAAGCTGCAAAGAAGTTGGCTAAAGAGGGCAAGTAACAGCGAGCATACTCCATGTCCATACATCTACATTAATCCATGTATCTACACATTTATCCCATGTATATAGTAATAGATATATCTAATCTTGACGAGTTCTTAATACTCTCTTGACTACCCTATCTTTAGTAATCACATACACCACGCATCCCCAACCAGATAATGCATCTCTATCAACGGCATTCAACAAGGCCTGTGAAATAGTTTCAAACAAATCTTCGGGCTCCAAATTAGGTTCATAAAGGGATTCACACATCCCATACAATTGATCACTGGCGGTACCACTAACGATGAAATCTTTAGCAAAATCAATACACCCAATCAAATCAAATCCGCATATAAATGGCTTATCGGTCTTAGAATCTAACCCTGCAACAATAGGACCAATGAAATAAGGCCCAAATCTCTTCTCATACAATGTAGAGCTAACCAAGTTGGCAAAAGTTTGGGGTTCAATGGATCTTTCCTCTCTTAACTTATACAAATTCGTCTTTAATCGGAACACTTGCGATAATGTAGTCACATCAGATGCCAATCCAGTCAATCCTAAAAACGTCTTATCTCCAAATTGAAACACCTTTTCAAAATTGTTACTAACCCCTAAACTTTGGTTCCCCAATCTTAAGTCACTGGCAATGGCCACACAATCTTTACCAACCATTGCAACGGCTGCACCTCCATTGATAGAACTGGGATCAGACATTATTATTATTAGTAGAACGTATATGTAATGTATATGTATGAGTATGTATATGTATGTCGACTGCTTTGTGGTGCGGGAATAGGGTACCACTTATATAGTATACCTTGATTGCTTGTTGGTAGTTTGTATGCGACTCAACGCTTGCCACCTTAAAAAAAAGACGACTAATCAACAAAGTCGTGCACTGGATAATAATACAGTAGTCGTTATTCAAAAGTTATCAATAGGGCAACTTAGGGCTACTACTACTACTACTGCTCCTAGTCCTAATACTACCACTGTTAATCTTGTTACAACTTTTTCCCATATTCTGCTTCCCATATACCAATTTTCTGCAAACAGTTATTCAATTAATATTACTATAAACTAAGGTTTTAAACCTTGAGAATCCTATATAATACAATTCCATAATGGAATACTTAATAAAACATAATAATAATCCCAAATTTTAGTTGCTGGATACAGGAGCACTAGTGCCAACATTAACAATGTGCACTGTAGGTGATACCTTGGCCTTAACAATTTCAGAAACCTTTTCAATCTTAGTTTCTGGTGAAGCAACAACTTCTAAATTAGTAGCACTATCGCCGAACGCTTCATGAGCCTCAACGACCAAAACAGTACTAGCAATGCCTTTAGAAGCATTGCTTTGGCTTGTAGTGTTCATCATAGTAGTGTTGTTCATCTCATCATCTTCAGGTTCTTCTTCTTCTTGAATGGTGTTAGTACTGAAACTATGAGTGATGGTCTTGGCTGGTGTGTTGCTATCTCCACCAGCAATACCAGCAGTACCAGCATCACCGCCACCTGCAGAAGCTGGTTCAACTGGTGAGGCACCCCCGGACTTTAAGAGTTGAGAAACGGGACTTTCAATATCTTGAAACTCAGAAAACGCAAACGTTTTAGGCGACTTAACAAGATGGAAGGGAACATCGTCTTCATTGGTTGGTTGGATATCCAAGTTTTCAGGTGGTGGGACCTTAAGTTTAGTCAATTCAACAATGTTCTGTAAAGATTTACTTGACTCATATGATGGGATCTTCTTATCTAAGTCCTTTAAACTAGAGAATAATTGATGAATCTCCTTCTTCACCAATTTGGTCAAGTCATCTTCATCTTCAGCAACTAATGTTGGTGAATTATTGTTTGCAGCCTTGGCTACAGATTTATTATCAGAACCTTCATATCCTTCTGAATTTAATGTCTGATCCAATTCCTGTAACCGGTCCTCTTCTTCCAAGTCAAAACGTAACTGCAAACCGAACCCTAAAATGATTAAATAATGCTTATATTTTTTTAATTCGTTTCGGTACTCAACTATCTTTGCGTTGTAGTTGTTAATGATCTTAGTATAATTAGAACAACTATACTTTTTAATTGGGAAGTTATCATTAAATCGTTCTCTTAAAATAGCAAAGTCATGGTATAGCTTCTTCAAATGGTTGTAATACCTCAAAGTCTTGACAAATTGCTTCATCATACCAAAATGATCTCCCTTGATATCTGGAGATTGTCCACTAACAACATAATTTGAAAGATAAACTCCTTTGATAGTTGGCTCCCATTTCTCAATAGTCTTAATCCTCTTGAATTGTTCGCGAGTCTGAATTAACCGGTCAAGGTCGTTCCAGCCGTATTCAATAGAAGAAACACTCTCTTCCAAGGTAGGAATAGCAGTTATTTTGGATGCCCAGAAGTTACAAGTATTAACAAACTCTAAGGCGATTTCACGAGTTCCAGCCTCGAAAAGAAACTTCTTAGGCTTTTTCTTGGATACCTTGGGGAATGTTAGGGACCAAAGCACCATATTCGAATCAGCTCCTTGAGTGTTTTCCAATTTCTCCACTTGAGAGAAAGTGGAACACAAATTGTAAACACCAATGTTTGCGGCATTCTTTAACCAATTACCATCTCCAACAGCACCTGTACTGTTGTCTGCAATGTTCTCTTCATCAGCCATATTGACATCTTCATCAAGAATGAAATTATCCAACAATTTCCGACCTCCAAGACGACTTTGATGATTGGATTGCACCTTCTTCTTGATCTTCTTCAAGTTCTTTTGATACTTCTTGATGATCTTAGGATCAAAGGAATATAATGAAAGCTGACCTTTCGAAACAACAACAAACTGTTCAGTGAATTTTGTAGGAAGTAGACCCAAGTTTTCAGAAGAAGCATTAATTTCGCCACTTTTGGCTCCACTCTTCTTAAAGAAGGAAAAGAATCGTCCACTGCTTGCTGATGATGAAACACTTCCATTGGTCAGCTCAACAGAAGAACTCAAACCGTCACCCAAACTACTATTATCATCGTGGTCATTGTTGATCACTTTCAACTTCATTAAACCTTCCTTCAAATAAGGTGCACCTTGTAATTCTAATGTCAAGTCATAATAATCTTGATAGTCATCGACATTAAATTCTTCGATGTTTTGTTCAGGTTCAAATTGATTACCTAAATTGATGTCAGCAGTGTCCAATGAGATCATTGATAAAGTATCGTCATTATATGACACCAGTGATTCATTGGAAACTATGCTGGCACGAGAAACACGTTTGTTCAACACACCTTGAACCGAATGAGTAGCAGTTGAAACAACGCCATTAGGTTGCGAGTTTCCATGTGTTCCATGGTTGGAGGATTGAGAGCTTCGACGACGGTGGTGTCCATTACCAGAGTTCAATATGATTTCATTGATGTTGATATTATTCTGTTGGGAGCGATTATCAACCAGACAAGCTCTTGCTGTACGAATAGAGCTGGCCGCAGTGGATACACGGGACCCATTGCCATTACGATAAAGACTGTTCTGGTCTGAGATTAATGCTCTGGTAAACCCAACCCGCTTATTGCGTGGTTTATGAGAAACAGAAGTCATGTGAGAGACCTGTGATTGATTTGAAGCGCATCTATTCATTTGCAATGATGGCCGTCTTGGACCTGATTCACTGGACCACGCCGAAGAGGCGGACATTTGTCTTGAAATGAGGTTGGGTGGAATAGCGTTCGAAGAGTGAAGCGGACCATCATCTTGATACTGCTGTTCTAATTGATCGTCCAATTCTTCTGGTACTGTAGTAGAATCACTTCCTCCGTTACCATTCAGTGAAACCTTTTCGATTTCATGGCTATTTGTGTTGCCAATAGTTTCAGAACTATCATTATTCGGAGAAGCATTCCATGACTCCTTAGGTGGGTCTGGGAAAGTACCAGGGATCACGTGTTGATGAGTTCCATCTGGGGTATCGAGCATCTGCAACTGCAGCTGTTGTTGTTGGTTGTGTGCCTTTCTGGTACTTGCAGGCGTCATTCTGGTGGTAGGTGACGCAGGTAAAGGTGGATGAGGTTTGTTCTTAGTAGTAGAGGTAGAAGTCGTACCGGAAGAAGAGCCTGCACCATTTGAAGATCTATACTCATGACTACTACTGTGGGAAGATATCATTGAGTTTCTGAATTGTTTATTGCGTTTAGATTCTCGTTTCAAATGCAATTCATTCTTGGCCAACGATTCATAGTACTTGGACAACTCACCTTCAATCATGATTCTTTGTTTCAAGTCCAAGGGTTTGGAAGATTTGGAATTCTGTTGTAGAAACGTTGAGAAGGTGTTTCTAATGTAATCTGCTTGACTGATTTTTGACTTCTTGGTGACTTCGGAGTTGTGCAACGTCGTGTTCAATAAGATCAAGCTATAAATGACAATGTAAATCTTTTCAAAGTCTTGAGTTTGAAAGACGTTTTTGGGATGTTGTTTCAAGTACGATTTGGTGAAACTTGAAAGGATTCTATCAATTTCTTGGGACTCCCCTTTTAAATATAACTTGGAACAAAGAGTTCTTGTTGATTTTAACAAGTTCGAATTCCATTTGAAAAGGTCCATGTAATGCATTCTAATGATAGATGATTCTTCATCATTGGCAGCAATGAACTGAGTATATTCTTCCGGTTGGATCGACACAAACTCTTCGTTGAATAACTTTCGGGCGATTTCAGGATACCTAACGGTGGAAGCTTCTGAGTTAGCAGGCGATGGAGCTTCTAAAAAGTATTCCATTAATGAGCTGTTACGGGATCCAGCATGTGAATGTGACGACGAGTTATGGTGAAATGTTTGAATATACTCCTGAGGTGTTGTTGGGGCTTGAGTAGATAAGTTAGTAGTCTTTCTCTTTGGAGGAGTCAGAAATTCTGGAGGGGTTGACTGTTGTTGTTGATCCATTAATGTTGATGAATCACCTTTGTTATTGGTGGGGGTAGGTTCATGAATGGAATTGGCTGTGCCTTCGCTGGTATCTATATCATCCTGAGACGACATAACAGTAGCTTCATTCAGCACCAGATGGAGTGATTCCTGAGGTTCTGATTTGGACCCACCATTTTCTTGTGAAACTAATTGGGAATCTTCAAGGGGGTGGGTCAACACAGAAACAATAATATCATTATTATTTTCATTACCGCCACCACCACCACCAGAGATTACTTCTGTATGGGCCATGATTTCTGGGTACAAGGTAATGATCTTAGTTTCGTTTCAGACACCAGGGAGAACGCGATACGGTTTTATAAATGGAATCAAGTGTAAGCGAATTTGGTACACCAGAGGTGAAGGGCTTTAAATGATTCGAGCTGGGGATTTAGACGAGCGATGCGGAAAAACGTTACCAATTAGGTCGATAGTTGTAAGACGAAGGTGAATAGTTAGTCGTTACTGACTTGGTACTAAAAATTATAAGATTAAATCGTACAACAGTATAGCCGTAGGAAAAGTATTTGTTTTCAATTTATCGATATCAATTTGCAAGGAAGGACAGATAAAGGCAGTTTTATTTTAGTGGTTTTGCTCGGTTCAGTCGACGGGCTTAAAAAAATAATATAATAAGAAAAAAAAAGGTAATAGCCACCCGTAGCAAGTCAGTTTGTTCTCCCATGCAAAAGGATGACAACGATAGAACTGTAGCATAGTGCATTGCATAATTCCACAATGCTCCTCGCCTCAGAGGAAACGCGGTATGGACCCAGTACAAAGCATCACTTTGAATAGGAAACAAATTATTTCGTACAGTACAATTGCCGCTTCGCTGCGTAAATGTCTTCTCCTAACAAGGAAAGTATACAGAATTGGGTGCAACCAAACAGGTGGGCGGTGGATGTGCATTCCAAAAGCGCCCCAGATAAGGTGGAATATTAGTTACATCGCCATAGGCAGTTTGAAAGATCGCATCCTCGGGCTGTAGAGTTGCATAGTGTGTAGGTGACGTCGTCGTGTTAATTATGAGTGCGCTTTAATACAGCTTCAGATGTTGGTTTGTTTGGCTAGAACGCTAGTGCGCTAGTGCGCTAGTGTAAGTATCATGTTTTGACACCGTTGTAGTTTCATTGTTATTAAAGTTATTGTATTCGGTAATCGTTTACTATTGACACCTGCAAGACACCATTTTGCACCAGAGTTTGTAACTTGAGCTAAGTCCCCGAAGCAAAATGCGTTCCATCCATGAAATGTACACTGGCTTTGAATCTGACATTCTAAAGTAAAACAGGTACACATTATCAAAGCGCGAACTGAAAAGTTTACACCCTTTGGGTGACCGACCGATTAACATTGTAGTACCATTCCTTGAACGAACTGTTAAGTATTACAACTCCATTAGCACAAAAGTCTAATTCTACCGTCAAGTTAATACTACAAATAAAATGTTATGAATTCTTTAACGCTGGAATCCGTGCCTGAAACCTACATCATGTACTTACGGATTAGTACCATGTATTTGTTCGATTCTTAAAGCGGAAACCCCAACAAAAGCAACCCAATGAATATCATCATACCGCATATCAGAAGGACTACATCGAAACAAATAAGTGTAAATACAAATATACACTGACGACATGCATTAGTATACTCTCAACTCAAAATACGAACTCTTCTGGCCTAATGGTCGATATAAATCTTTATGATCTTTTGGTGTGTACTGCATTGAACTACGTGCAATTAACCTTTTCGCCAGTTCGGGATTCCATATTCGGTCGTCCCAAAAATAGAAGACCCTTACATTTATTATCATCATTTCAGTTAATTGCTACCATCGATTCTGCCACCTACATGTTCTAGCGAATCGTCTATGAATGAACACGAAAGTCGATAAATCGTACCTTGTATCTCAAATCTCTTTGTCTTTTCTTTTGTTTGTCTCAACCTTTGCTGATGCGCGCTCCGTGCTGCCTTTACTTAAGTATCTGACACTTAGCAATTCAATCATATGCACGTACAGCAACTTGTAAGCTTGCGACTGAACGTATTATAAGAGGAAATCCGTGTCTGGAAAATAATTGATTCTATCTTCTTTTATTGCGCCAGCAAGGGGATCTGTAGATGTGCTAGTGACATAAGTTTTCATGATATAATGATTCTTCCACTCACTGTGACCAACAACAAATAAGGTAAAGATATTAGTGAAGCTCCTTTACGACCCACCTTTCCTAAATAGGGTTATCACGTCGCGCACAAATCATATTTCTAGTCTTAATACATGACTGATGTTTACAGAACATTGACTTCATCTTATAAGCTCCTTGACTCTCAATTACACCATTACATTACTGCAGCTGTTTTGTATCCAATCAACAAGCGTTATATTACCCCATTGGACTTACAAACTTCCCCTGGCCATCCTGATCACTTTTGCACCATATAAATAGTTACAGTTCATGTCTTCGTCAGCAGAAATCATACAGATCTTATCTGATCTGCTCAACAACAAGACGCCTCTTAGCAGTAAGACTTTGATCCCGGAAGCGTTTGCCCGAATCGTCAAAGAAGATGCCAACTTGTTCCCCACCATAGCTCCTATTATCACCAACATCTTACAAGCTCCAGACTACTACTTGATTGATCCCGAGATAGTCATTGTCACTGTATTAGAGGTACTTATCAAGTCTGTTGAATGCGAGCAGTTCTTGCAGTACTATCCTCTTCCATTTATCCTCCAAGCATTAGACTCGCCATTGAGCTCGTTGAATGTGTTGGCAGTGGAGGTGCTTAGCCGGAAAATTGAGTCAGGAGACAACGACTTCTTGGACAATAACCCCCAAGTAATCGACAAGATCTTCCTGCGGTATTTCACGACGTCAGATAACGACAATGATAGCGGGCAATTAGGTGTACTCAGTAAGATTGAAGGCTTACTATCACAAATTGCAAGACTCGATGTTAACACAGTTAAGAGTCAACTTTTGCCTAAAGACAAGTTAGACTTCTTGCAGGCAATTAAGCTGCGAAATGATATATTGAGTATCCGGATGATAAATTTTATACTAGGTTTACTCCCCAAGTACTTCAAAGAAATCCCTAGTGATTTATATACTTGGCCCCTAGAGTTTCTTCAAAGTCACGATGACGTCCTATTGGTAGCTGGCATCCTTGAGTTTAATAAGCAACTTTTGGGCAAAATAGATCTTGATGAAACCGTGCCCTCGAAAGTTCTAAGAACTTTCCAAGATATAATCACGTTGTATTTGGACAATGTGGCCACGGAAAACTTCCAATTCTTCACATCATTGTTGGTTGAGTTGATATGCACCATGGCCAGACAGTGCATGGTACCTCCAATGAACGAAGCCCGACATCAAATTACTTCCTTTGTGAAGGAAATCGAACTCTGTAAGGTTTCAAATATGCGTCTTGAATCAACAGATGATTTTGATTATCAATTGATTTCGTCAATTGATGCAAACTTCTTACAGTTAGTCAATCCTAATTTTGTTGCTGAATTCTATGGTGGTGATTTTGATGATTTCTATCTGAAACTGAAAGTTGGTATAACCTTGAACCTACTACGCAATGAATCTTTCTTCGATCAAATTAAATCGCATTTGACACCAGAAATTATTAAATCGGTACCTTCACTTGATCTTGCATATCGTCTTATCACCGTCCTAAGTGTGTGTCCCCATACATACAAGTTTCTTTTACATTCCCTTCCGTCTATAGTGGTAGGATATCTTATAAATGCTCCTTCGGAGATTAGTGATAAGGAAATATGGAGCTTGAGAGTGTTATCACTTGAAACCTTACTACATGGATTCCCTCCCAGAGAGTTAGATGGTTGGAGAAATGAATTAGAGGAATCATTACTCTTAATGAAATATGGCAGAAATATCAAGAATATTAATCCAAGTGTGGATATTGCTCATGAAACATTATGAACTATAGAGAGGATTATTTCTTCTTCTTCATCTGTTCCTTCACATAATAAGTAAGGGAAATGAGAATGATCAGAAGCAATCCGATATAGCCTAGCAAAACACCAAAGTTCCGGCCCATACTCAGTCTCTCCGTATTGAAGAAGACTATCTTCAACAATTCGCATGCATTATACATTAACAGCAAACCATATCCGTACCTATAAAACCCAGGCAAAAGAACAAATGGATTAAACGTTGGACTAATATTCCAACAGATGGCTAAGATAACATATATGGGAGCCATCCACAACTTTCCACTCATATAAATAACGGAAACAACAATTTCACTTTGCAAAGCACAGGCCCACATGTATATGAACATCACACACCAAAGAACCATAAAACCTGCTCTGCCAAAGGCATATTGGTAATTGACTTGGAAAGCGATTGATATCAACAGGTATACTAAAGAAAGAACAAAGCAATTGGACGCCGTGGCCCCAAGACGATAGATGACAAAATTACTCCATTTGAGTTTAGCAAGAAAGATTTGATGCATTTTAGTAGTAAATGAAAATTGGTAGAATGAAAAGAGGAATGCATAAACAAGGCCCAATTCTGCTGGACCAAGAACTGCAGGAGTTTGAGGAGGAGAAATATCCGTAAAGTTAATGGCTGGTTTGGCCAAAAGCAATGCCATGGTATTGTTATTAGCAAGCAAATCAGACTTTGTTGTAGAGTTTAATTGATCTCGTACCAAGGGTTCATAAACTTGAGGACTAGAATAATCCTGAAGCCACAAATTGTCTATCGTATGAATGTTCCTTACGACATATTGATTTAAAGCTGAAAAGTGTCTTCCAGAAGAATAGACAAAGTCTATTAACAGTCCAACCTCTGCAAGAAATGAGACGTTCTGATGAATTAACGCATCGTACAATTGGAACGTGGCATTTTCACTGATATAAAGCAAACCCCAGTACTTCCCCAGATACACTTCGTGTATAGCTTGTTCTCTGGTGGTTCTATTGGCCATTTTAGCCACAGCCTTAAAATATGGTAAAGAAGCAAGCTCAAACTTACCCAATTGAGTCACGTTAGGATCCCATAACGTCATGTTGGTGATGGCATCGTTTATATAGGCTGGAAGTATCGTCGATGTGGGTGAAAGTGTAACAGGGATATCCTCACTAACCAAGAGATAGTTCATGTTTTTGAATCTGTATTCACGACGATAGTTTGTTCCCCAATAGATTGAAAGCACTCCAAGATAAACCACTATGATCCGCACATACGATATCGCCAATAGCTTCACTGCAGTTAGGAAAGTTGATGATTGTGCAATCTGCTTAAAAGTTTGATGCTTATCATTATCTCCATCATCATCACCCGCTTTAGGTATAGTTTCTGGCTGTGAGGACCGAGAGCCCGCTTGGGATTCGTTGGATAATTCGGTATTATTATTATTATTATTATTATTATTATTATTATTATTATTATTATTATTATTGTTGTTGTTGTTGTTGTTGTTTAACTCGCTAGTGGTACAGTTCTTTTCATCCATAGGAGGATCTAAATGGAATGTCGCTTCTGCCGGTGATTCCATCTCAAGACCTTCATCTTTTTCTGGGTCAGCATAAGCTTTAGACCATTCTATTGGTGCATCTGATTGGTTTGTCATGGTAGCTGTGCTATGGTACAACCAGTAGTTCGTTCACTTGTCTCTAATTAAGTTGAACTATTTGAGTTCTTTGTTCATTACCTTAAAGGTCACTGTGCTTATATGCAAGGCCAGGTTGTTGCCGTATGATACACACTTTATTCCTTTGATTATAGTGCTTCACCCAAAGTAACAATACCTTTCAACTTCAAGTATCTTCAGCGTTATATTTAACTCATTAGAACCTTGTCATCGGTGTACATTGTGCCATTTATCTTGTTCACATATCCGAAATGCTTTGGTACCTTATTCCGTAACATGCCGCTTTATGCATACTTCGTTATTACCACATTTCGATATACCTGCATATAGGCGGTATTGACATCTGGAGAGAACATTTAAATGCATAACAATCATGCTAACTTGTGGATTAAGCGGCTTACGTAATCTATAGATTTATTCTTCGAAGTTAATCCTCAACACTTTTGGGACCTTTGGTGCAATACATGAGCATAATCAAGTTCTGGGTAATAGTCTATTTAATACACTACTATTAGAGAACAGCGTAGGATATTAACTCCATTGAAGATGTCAGAAACCAAGTCTTCCACCGATGAAAAGGGTATTAGCAACCCCTCTGGTCAAGAAAATGATCATGATGATGATGCACCATCGGCATCAGTGGATTCTATTTCCCAAATAACATCCATAGATTCATCTGCGGCAGATACGCAGAGTAGTTTAGAAGTAAAAGCTTTTGTTCCTAATCCCGAAACAAGCAGTGCCACCAGAAGGAAGTCCAGTTGGTTCGGAAGACTCTCAACCCGAACGGATTCTTTCTTCACTACTCATGAAGAAATCCCTCCGTCAATTGCACTGAATCTTATTGATGAGGATATAGCCCGAGACCATGGAGATTGGTTTGGTGGTACTGGGTTCCAAAGGTGTCTTACACGAGATAAAACCGATGTAGAGTCCACACTTGGTCCTCTTGACTTACCACCGGGGGAGCTGAAACCAGACCTTCTGAATGAACAACCAAGCTCCTTGTTACCACCCCCGGTTAGAAGGAAGTCAACCATTGCAACGATGACGCAAGAAACCGCCCGGAAACTTGGATTCTGGGATGAAGAGTTCCAGAAATGGAGAATGGTTATGGTCTTCAGTTTCCTCAAGAATTATGTAATTATCATTTTGGGGTTCACCATAGCATTGTCGATATATTGGGGGTCATTTTATAACCGATCCAATTATTATCACCGACTTAAGTTTGCAGTGATTCTGGGTGAAGATAACAGCAGCAATATTCCTCCGGTACTTTCTAGTACGGTAGAAGCGCTCATTAATAATGTACCTCAGCTTCACCAATACGGTACGTTTTCCATAGTGAATTACACCACAATCAATGCAAAGGCTGCACAGCACAATAGAAACATAACTGAACAAGTGGTTTGGGAAATGCAGCACCATAAGTACTGGGCCATCTTCTATATTAAGCCCAATGCAACTCTCAATTGGTACACGGCTTTGGCATCAGCAACACCCATGGACATTTCAACCTCGTTGATGAGCCTATATATCTCGACTGGGAATGACTATAACGCCTATAATAATGTTGTTCGCTCAATTATTATGGCGTTCTTTAGTATCTGGTACTCCTTTGTCTCCAAGAGTAACTTAACTTTCAACATGGCCAGTATGCTAAACTCTACCCAGACAGAAACTGTCATTGAGAATGCTCCTGGTTTGTTAACCACTGTCCCCAGTTTTGAACTCATTGATTTACACCCAGTCATAAAGCAAGTGTACCAGGGCCCATTGCAGCTCGGGTTAATTTATTTGGTGACCTTCACCTTTTTCCAGTACTTGTTCTCTAAGGAGATCCAAGCATTCACGGCTCAAAGATTAAAGGGAGTTCAATATATGATTGCCAGAGTAGCCATTTCCCAGGCTGCTTACGTCGTCATCGGCTTGTCGTACACCCTTTTGAACAGGGCCTTTGGAATAAATTACAATCATGCCTTTGGTAGAGCAGGCTTCTTGGTTGTTTGGGGTTTAGCTTCGTTAACATGTTCTGCAGTTGGAAGTGTGGTTGAATTATTTGGAGTCATTGCTGTTACTTTCAATCCTGCTTTTGTTGGTTTCGTTTTATTGGGGAATGTGGTAGTTAATCTTACACCCGTGGTTTCTCCTCCTATCATTTGTAATGCATTTTATCGGTATGGCTATGCTATGCCCATTTATGCCTCTTATAAGTTGATGCTGATGGTATACTTCAATACCAATCGTTCAGACATGGGCCTTTATATAGGTATTCTCTGTGCTTGGGTGGCAGTGACAAATTCTTTGGCACCGTTTATCTTACGATATGTTTCCAAAGTAGCTTCCAGAAAACAAGCAGAAGCTAATAAAACCTAAGTTTTGTTTCATATTGGGTCGCCTGAATGAACCCAGACTCCTCCACAAATACACATACGTTGAAAGTGTACTGTCCATAATCCAATTGGATGAGAGAGTTCGTATATCACAGGATCTGTAGCTAAGGAGATGCCTCGACACTTGGAGCACTTTCTTATCTTACTCTTGGACATATCAATGCCCACCTTTCTGAGGGCATCAAAGCATTGTGTAGGTGACTGTTGCAACCGATAAATGGGAAATGAGTTCATTGATGTTGGAACATAAAGAGATGTAGTTGAAACCTTCAGTGAGTCCACGTAGAACTTGTCGTTACAAATTCCAATCCCAAGCCAATCAACATCATAGAAGAATTGTTCAGATACTCTATTGTCTCTATTAACATAAGTGCTGAATCTGTCAAGAACAGCATTGGCAACATTATGAGCTTCAGACGAGAGCTTACCTTTACAAATAAGATCTTGCTCTGCCGTCAATTGGTCTTGAACATTGAACTCTTTTGTTACTAAGGCATCGCATTCTCTTAAGAATTGTTCAAATAGTGAGAATACAATGGGAGGGAAAGTGCAAATGGTAAAGTATCTGTTCAAGGCTTCTTTCATGGGGCTGAAGAGCTTATTTGACTCCATAAGTTCTTGGTGGATCTTCTTAAATTGTTCACAAGTCTTCATCACTGAGTTCAATGCATACATTAATATTAATCGTGGAACCCTGCAAATAAGCATGGGCAAAGCAATACTGTTTTCCATAGTTAACTGACTTTTAGTTTTGCTTTTCCGTTGAATACACAAGTGTACAAGTTCCTGATTAATGTAGATGAAGAAATCAATAAGAAACTTGGCATTACCCATAAGGGACATGATAAATTCCGCCCGATAAGTAGAATCCTCAAGTGTATCATCAGATGGCTTCCGTTTGGTCATTTGCTTATAAATTCCAGACAATAAAAACGCTATTCCAAGACGAGAGCTTCTTAAATTCAATATGGACCATGCAATATCTTTTACTAATCTGTTCTTATCGTCCATTTCTCCAAGTAACAATTGCAACGAAAGTAATCTTTGTAAGGCAGGATTCTGCACAAGTCTATCCACTGATTCTTTATGATAATTTGAAACGTAAAAGTTAATTGCTAAATGTGATGCCTTAAGAACTGAATCTGCAAAGTCTTGAGACTTTTTATATGGTTCTATACTTGTGTCTGTATTATTGTTTCTGATCCGTAAAACCTCACTTTGGATCAAAAGAATCAAATCCTCGCCTGAGGTAGTGGTATAGCAGCAAAAGGAATGGCATGTTGCAAATGCAGCTGCTGTGATAGTAAAGTTTGTGTCTGAAGAATCCAAGAACTTGTTCTTTTCTATCAATGCTAATTCAAGATAATTATTATTGTTGTTCTTCCCTACTTTAACATAGACAATCGACAGGCCTGTGGGAGAAACTCCAAGTATAAGATCACAATTATCTGGATTGTTAATTGCGGGGAATTGGAACCCTGCTTGTTGCAATATGGAAATAGATTTCGGAGGTACATCTCCATTATCGAGCTCAACTAATTTCATGCCATCTCTTTCCACTATATCTATTTTCCCGTTGGTGTATATGACCAAGAAGAAGGTATCAAGAAAATAGGGTTCTATGCGTTGTATCTTCCCCCTTCTCTTCCATTTATGCTGTAAAATGAGTCCATAATCTACCGTTTTAGGCGAGTTTTCGGGTTTAGAAACTCCCTTTCGAATCCCCAAGTCTAGAAAGGAATTAGAAATTATTTCACATTGGTCCTGAAGTCTGTAGTTATAAATAGTGGAGTTGGTTTCAGTGCCATTATGAACTTCATAGGTAATTAATACTTCAAGTCTTGAGTTGGAATCATACGAAGGATTTAATAAGTCAATTGACGTTAAAGTAGTGGTGATTTCGTCATTATCTTCGGTAATCATTATCCGAGAGATACACATGGTTGATTCTATTTTTGACTTCTTTAACGAAGGAGAAGTCTGGTTGGCCAATGGCGTGGAATACAGAGGGTCATGTTTCTGTCTATCAGCAGATTGAACCAAAAAACCCCAGTCGACTTTTATCAAATAAGAATTGATTTTATCTGAGTACAAATCATAGGCACAAACTGCAATCGTATTTTTATCAACAAAGCCAATACCCGCGTGTTCAAAAGCACAAGTTCCCGGTTCTTCTAAGGCAACTGAGAGCTTATGATATTCAACCTTATGTTCTCCTTGGTAATACATGACAAACTCACCGTTTCTTCTCAAGGCAACACACGCTTGCTTGGTACCAATGGGGTGGGCTACACCTTTGGGAGTGTATTGATGGGCACCATAGTTATACGACACTTTTCCGGCGTCACTTTCACTTTGGATCAAGGTGGCCGGTTTACTAGTGGGGTGTGTCTTCTCTGTAGGTAGCCATTTGAATGCAACGAACCCTTCTGAATTAGTTTCATCTTCGGTGTTCGGGTTAAGATCACGGTATATGAGTTCCATATGGCTGAAGGTAGTATATTCGTAAGTCGGTTGATTAATATTCGGTTTGGACTGGTCTGTAGACGATTTACCGTTGGAGGTGACGGTGGTGGAGGTTGAATTGTTTATGGTTGATTTGCCGACGGGTCTTTTAATGTCGCCGTTAAGATGGCCATTGGTACCGGTACCGGTACCGGTAATAGCACCAGAACCATTACCTGTACTTTTGCTAGCAGGAGTTTCACTAATACCTGTACCATTGCCGGATAACAGCAGGTTCTTGGGGTTTAACAAACTGACACCAGACAAAAGTAAAAAGAAATTGCCGTGACTATCGGCTACCGCGAGTTCTGTATTAAGCGTCAGCCATTCCAAATGACTGATATTGGCCAATGATTTGCCACCGTTGCTTGATTCTATCTTTGGTTTGACATTGATTGGTGGCACGAGTCTCCATGATTTTCCATTGATGTTTTCAAGATACGTGATGTAAAGACCCTCCTTTGCGGGCTTTGACTCGGGAATCGTGTACGCTATAAACCCGTTTCGAGACCACGTAATGAGCTTATTCACATTGACATGAGTCGACATGGTGATGATGATGAATGGAAGGAGAAGCCGAGTTTAGTCTATGACTTTTTTAGTGTCGATACTTTTCGCGTTTAGAGAAAGGTAGGGTAACGTTATGGAGATAATAATACATACAGACTGATACTGTGACACAGACAGGCACTGTGACACAGATTAACACGGTGATACCGTGTACGCAACGTGATACCGTAAATGCAGTGTGATACCGTGTTCAGTGTACAGTGTACTGATACTTACAGTGGTACGGTTAATGGTATACTAGTGTACTGTGAGTCTCAGTTATTGTTATATACATTTCACAAGTCACCCGGAACAGGGTACAGACCGGCCCAATCGGAAACTTCCTTATACAAAGCTTTGACTTCTTCATCCTCAGAAACCAACTTCTTGAATGAAGCCAACAACTCCTTAGGAGCCTTACCTTCTTCCTTAGCCTTCAATTTAAGGGATAACTCAACGGCCTTGTCGATAAACTCGGCCACTTTGGTGAATTCTTCAGATCCAAATCCTCTGGTGGTCATGGCTGGAGTACCGACTCTTAATCCAGAGGGGAATAATGCAGAAATATCTCCAGGAATGGTGTTCTTATTGGCAGCAATGTGTGCCTTTTCCAATAAGGATTCGACTCTGGCTCCATCAATACCCTTTGATCTCAAGTCTATCAAAATCAAATGAGTGTCGGTCCCACCAGAAACCAACTTGAATCCTCTCGCAGTCAAAGCTTCAGCAAATTGTTGAGCATTGTCAACGACATTTTGTTGGTACTCCTTATATTCTGGAGTCATAGTTTGTTTCAATGCAACGGCAAGAGCAGAAATAGTATGATTATGGGGACCACCTTGATGGGCTGGGAACACAGAAAAGTTTATCTTTCTTTCCAAGTCATAGGGGATTTCCTTACCCTTCTTGGTGACCTTTCTGATCCCCTTTCTGAAGAAAATCATAGCTCCTCTGGGTCCTCTTAATGACTTATGGGTAGTGGTGGTGACAATGTCGGAATAAGGAAATGGAGAGTCAGTCACTCCTGCGGCAACTAAACCGGAAATATGGGCCATATCAGACAACAAATAAGCTCCAACCTTATCGGCGATTTGCTTCATTCTTTTGTAGTCAACGACTCTGGAATAAGCTGAGGCACCGGCAACAATAACCTTGGGTCTAAATAAAAGAGCATTCTTCTCCAAAGTGTCATAGTCAATGATCCCGGTCTCTTCGTTCAATCTGTATGGCATGGTTTGAAAGTACTTGGAGATATAAGAGATCTTAGTGGTTGGAGTTTGGTATCCATGAGACAAATGTCCTCCATGAGGTAAGTCCAACCCCATAATTCTATCACCAACATCCAAAATAGCAGAATAAGCGTATAAATTGGCTGGTGCTCCAGATAAAGGTTGCACATTGACCCCCCATTCTTCAGGACTTAAACCAAAGGCTTCTAAGGCTCTTCTTTGACATAAACTTTCAGCCTTATCAATGATTTCATTCCCACCATAGTATCTTTCTCCAGGGTAACCCTCAGAGTACTTGTTTTGCATTTCTGATCCTAACAAGTCCATGACGGCCTTGGAAGTGAAGTTTTCAGAGGGAATCAAAGTGATGGAGTATCTTTGTCTGTCCTTTTCTTGCTTTAAAATGTCGGCCATTTCAGGGTCAACTTCTTCAACATGCTTGGAGATCAAACTCTTAGCAGCAGGAGTTAACGCATAGTTTCTGGCAAACACAGCTCTTCTGGCTTGTGCTTTTAATGACTGACGAAGCGAAAGCATAATTGTCTGGTGGTGGTAGAGGTCTGTCACTAACAAAAGTGTCTGAATAACTTGTGCAATTCAAAGGTGTCTTATAGTGATCGGACTAACTTGAAAAAAATTTTCCGCTTGTGTCACTTGGTGGTGAGTCAGTCTGACATTTGGGGTTTTGTTGTCTGTTTGGATCACGTGCATCGCTGAGTTAGGGTTCAGTTAATATACAATTGCTAACATGGTACACAATATGACCCTAAGACTCAGACAGACATTATCTTAGCAGAAAGATAATGGTAATCTATGTGTCAGATTACATTTGACCTGTTGGTGACAGAAAGGGAGCAGACAAACCCATTCGGAGTCAGCAAGTTCTTGTGCAGAAATCCGGGTCACCGGATCCGGGTCAAAAATACGCAAAAGTTCCCTATCGGAGTCAACAGGTACAAGGGGAAGAAGTCGCACAGACGAACAGTCAAGTTTGACTCTGTTGTTTACAGCACCATTTGATTTGACTTCCCTATGATGACTGACATAAGCTTGGAATTGGACATCTGAATGGGTTGCCATCTTCCAAGGGTATTTCCGGACTAGCATGTAGTAGAGAATTGATCCAAGGGACCATATGTCTGCTTTTTTCCCATCATATCGAATTGAAGAAAGTTGTTCTGGTGCCATATAAGCAGGGGAACCCACTGATCCTATAGCTAACTCATTAGTTGGTGAACAGTTAAAGGCCAGTCCAAAATCAATCAACTTCGCTATATGGTTTCTATCGAGAACCACATTTTCAAGCTTTAGATCTCGGTGGCATATGTTTTCGCTATGAAGATATGCCACTGCATTAACTATCTGTCTCCAGTAACAATAGGCACAACCATTAGACATTAAAGCGGGGTGTTTCTGTATCAATCGAAGCAAATTTACTGAGGCACCGGCTTCAAGATATATGACTATTTTCGAAGGTGACATTAAACCACCTTCTTTGACTTTGTATGCCTTGATGATATTCTCATGGTCTAAACCCCGAAGAATATTAAACTCTTTGAGTACTCTTTGTTTGTATTCCTTGACAGATTCATACTTCTCCTTTGCGAAGAATGTTTTGGTGACGAAACAAGTGACTCTTGCCAGCTCATGAGACTCTTTAGTTGAATAATAGAGGTCAGCATAACCAGTGGTTCCTTCTGCTAATCTGACATGGGCAAACCCTTTTTTGGAGACTTTAGGTTCAATCATTTGACTAACCATATAGCATGGTGGTAGCAGCACGAGTACCGTTTATGGACTAAGATGAGATGTGAGCTAGGGTTAACGCTTTAAGAGCATCTGCCAGAATTAATCACGACTGCATCTACCAAGAGTGTCTTGTGCTACCATATGTGACATAACTACTAAGCAGATTGTTGTCCAATCATTTATGGATGATGGTTTTGTATTGTCCTGTGCGTAATTGGTTTCCCCTTTGGGATTCCTTGATACCATCTTCCCCATTGGGATGCTCTATTGCCTATTTTTTTAATGAAGCCACTTCTCCGTACGGTACATGGCTGGATTCACTCAGTAGGAGATCCTTTGTGTGACATCCGTATCGCAAGTCGTACTTTTGGGCCATCCGCTCAGTCGGCAATTCAGGGGATGGATTGGGACTTTGCCTTCGACTTAAATTGTTCTCCAATTCTTCCTCTTCTTATTCTTCTTACTCTTCTTCTTCAACGTCTGTTGTCGTTATCAAGCTGCCTTTACTTCTTTGGCAGAATATACCCTTTTATTATGAAGCTTTCCATCCCCTTTGCTACTCTTGTTAGTGCAGCATCCTTTATGGGAGGCGCTGACGCTTTAAGAGTTCCAGACTTTCAACAAGTCTTTGACCTCGGACATGGCGCCATTGATCAAGCAATTAAGTTTGGTCAAGACGCTCTGTCTGCTTATGGTAGTGGTCCATTGTTACAAACCATTGCTTCTTATTTGAACTTGGACTTGAATACTCTTACCCCGGAAATGCACTCTGTATGGGATGAATTGGTCACTAAGTTCCCACTGACTATCTCTAAGATGCAACTCAAACTGTCTGTTCCAAAGGGTAGAAAGTTCAGAAAGGCCAGCTTTGACTTTCATGTTGCCGACACCAAATTCCCTGATCACAAGTTGAGAGTCAAGTCTACTCCAGCAGATTTAGGTGTTGATACTGTTAAACAATATTCTGGTTATTTGGATGTTGAAGACGAAGATAAGCACTTTTTCTATTGGTTCTTTGAATCCAGAAATGACCCTAAAAATGACCCCATTATCTTGTGGTTGAATGGTGGACCAGGTTGCTCTTCAATGACTGGTTTATTTTTTGAATTGGGTCCAGCTTCTGTTGGTGAGAAGTTGAAGCCAATTAACAATCCTTATTCATGGAACAACAATGCCTCTGTTATCTTTTTGGACCAACCAGTTAATGTCGGTTACTCTTATTCCTCTTCTTCTGTTTCTAACACTGTCGCTGCTGCTAAGGATGTCTATGCCTTTTTGGAATTGTTCTTTAAGCAATTTCCAGAATATAATAAGAAGCAAGATTTCCACATTGCTGGTGAGTCATATGCTGGCCATTATATTCCTCAGTTTGCTTCTGAGATTTTATCTCATAAAGACCGTTCATTCGAATTGTCATCAGTGTTGATTGGTAATGGTTTAACTGATCCATTGGTTCAATATGAATACTACCAACCAATGGCATGTGGTAAGGGAGGTTATCCATCTGTTTTAGATCCTGAAGAATGTGATGCGATGGAAAATCTGTTACCAAGATGTTTGTCGTTAATTGAATCATGTTATGAAAGTGGTTCTATCTGGTCATGTGTTCCTGCTACTATCTATTGTAACAATGGACAACTTCTGCCATACCAAAGAACCGGTAGAAATGTTTATGATATTAGAGGTATGTGTGAAGACTCAAACTTATGCTACAAGGATTTGAAGTACATTGATCAATATTTAAACCAAGATTTTGTTAAGGAAAGATTAGGTGCAGAAGTTGATAGTTTTGAAAGTTGTAACTTTGATGTCAATAAAAACTTTATGTTGGCTGGTGATTGGATGAAACCTTACCAAAAGAATGTTGTTGATTTGTTGGAATCTGGATTACCAGTATTGATCTACGCAGGTGATAAGGACTTTATTTGTAACTGGTTGGGTAACCAAGGTTGGACAGACAGATTACAATGGTCAGGTAGTGATGGGTTTGCTGTTACACCCGTTAAGGATTGGAAATTAGGCAAGAAAACCATTGGTGAAGTTAAGAACTATAAGAATTTGACATTCTTGAGAATCTTTGCTGGAGGACATATGGTTCCAATGGATCAACCTGAAAACTCCTTAGATATGGTGAACAGGTGGATTGCAGGAGATTGTAAGTTTTAATTAAGAGAATTAGCTAGATTGTGTTGAATTTAAACTGATTAAGAGCGTATTGATGTGTAGAAGAAAGGAACTTCGAAAGTTGTATGTGTGGTAGCGCGTCGTGCAACCTTCTGAACAAGCACCTTAAGCAATGGGTAATTGTCAATGAATATAAGTTACCTAGCTCCCTGACTGAGACTATTGGTTCTTAGTAGCTTGTGCATTCAATCTACGCATCTTCAATTTATAAAATGATCAATGAATTCTAATATACTACGTGTCTAAAAAAGGATGAAGTTCTTCTCCATTTTTACTTCATTTTAACCCCAGCCGGTCTTCACACTTGAAATACCTTCTAAGAACCAACCCCTTTATTATCACCGCATGTAGTTGTAGATTAACACATCCCACTCCTTTTACCACAAGTACTTCTTGCCACCCTCTCCATTTTACCACTTCCCCTAAACCTTTTCACCCAAGTGGATTTTGTTTATCAGATTTGCAGCCATTTAGCCACACACTATTAAGGAGCTGGTATTCTTCTACCTCCCCTGTAGATGAAGATCTCCCTTGCCTAGTGGGATGTGTTCTACTAGTTCAGCTGGGCAGATATAAAAGGAAGTCGATATATACCATTTTTTACTGAGGATTTTTCCCACTCTATATCTCAACCGTGTAGATATAATCAACTTACTATGAATGACCACCGAAACAGTCCCTGAGAAGGGCAAGGCTAGCCCTTACTCTGAAGTAAAACTTATGACAACAGCGTTAATCGTTGTTTGTTTGCGTGCTCTTTTTAACACAAGTGGCACCTGAGGATGTTAAAAGCAAAATTATGGAACGTTTGAGAACTGTATTTCTGGTTGCAGGTGGTCTTTTGATTCTTTTTGCATTGAGTGGAAGAAGCTTCATGCCCGAGCACCCATACTATATGGAATCACATCCACAGTTATCAGATTTCCTCAAGTATTTGTTTGATGCCTCGTTCGTTTGTGCTTATATTCAATACCAGACATTTTGAAAAGAGTCTGGTTAATAGGAGGTGGCTAACCGATGGCTTATAGTATTCATTAGATATTATACCTGACTTACAAAAGGGATTCTTGGTCGTCTCAAGTGTTGGTTGCGAATGATGTTTCTACAAAACTTGATGATGTAAAAGGCAGAATGTAGAGTATAATATTATAACTATCAACTTCGTTCAGAAACAAGAACAAAAATGGCTATTAAATATAATACTCCAGAATTTTTGCAAGGATTTGTGGTAAGATGGTAACTGAAAGAAAACCTGGGGCGGTAGCGAATTATATGCGACTTTCTTCATTTCCATCAGGTAATAAAGACGTCTTATTATCACCTGCATATGGTAACTTACCAACTAGTGAAGATACACCAGTACATTCGTGTATCTACCGATACGAGGTACTTGTCTGATATTCATTATCCATATTTTTACGAGTACGACTAAGACTAACGATTACGTGCGATTCATTCCCTTCTCATTGGACATAGAGACGAAAGGCACATGCGTGTTATTAGACGACGAGTTGGAAAACACAGGTCAGTCGTGTGTAACAATGATAACCTCTGTGTATGATCTGGTGATGAGCTCGAGTTTTCGCAGCCAGATCCATGACATCCCAATTAGGTAATACATAAACACGGTTCATTCTTTGATCCCACCAAGCAACTGTAAGGCGTGGTGGAGTGAAAGATCATCAACAAAGTCGTTTACACTTGCTCTTTGGTCACAGCTCTTTGATCACACTTATTATTTAGATATCAGCATATAGATTTGACTTGACTTGACTTGATTCTTCGAGGTGTGTACAGTACTCTTGTCCCCTTGATACTGATATCAATACCATGGCATCCATGCTATCCTATCTTGTGGTAGTATTGATCGCTGGATTTTCTCTTACCAACGGAATCATAGCTGCCACTGCATTTGTACGAGATACTATCTCCGGTCCTCATGTGTTGGCCTTTAGCATAAGTGGAATAGTCCTTGGAGCATCATCACTAGTTATTCTCCTACTACTCCATTGCATAACACTAATACACTGCGTGGTTCATGTGGTGTTAACCTTAATTCATTTGGCTAGTGGTACCGCATTGATAGTCCATTTAATGTCAGTTAGTACTGGTACTGTCCATACTAAAGTAAGTGATATGAAGTACATGTTGGTTGTGTTCCCAGTGGTCCTTATGCTCAATTCTATTGCATCAACCATGTTTTTCACTTTGAAGCTTCTTCAGTTGTATTCTGATTGGCTTGTCCAACATCAAAACTCTGATTTGGAAAATCAAGCTCATGATGTGATTAGCACAAGACATTCCATCAACTCTACCATAAAGAATGATCAATTGGGGCAATCACCAATAGTGACTAAGAAGGTGTCCGAGAAGACTTTGGTTAATGAATACCCAACCAATACTATCTTTCATTACAATACAACATATGCCATTGGGCCGCAGTTTACTTCAGCTCCGGCACTGGAGCCACCACCTCCGCCACCAGTATCAGATCCAAATACGCAGTCAATCAACTTCGACTCCAATAAGTCCACTCTAGTAGGAACAACTTCTTCAAATGGCACTTCCACACAATTGAACCGCATAAGCTACCAATCAGCTAACCTTTTATTTGCTGAAAAGACCCCAGCATCATCAACATCATCTTCATCAGAAAATAATGATACACATGAACCCTTCAAAGGGGACACCCACTATAATTCTAGTCAACTAACAGTGCCTTCATGTCTCCCCAAAGTTAGAAAGAAATCATCAGATATCATAAATACCCCAATTCTGTCTCCTAACAGAGCTCAAATTGTTCATAAGTCAAAGTCAACTTCGGTTATCAGTGAAGCAGATGCTGCTACAGCTAAGGAAAGAAACTTTGTAATTTCCAATGAGAAGGTACTTCTCCTAAATATAAATGAGTCCTTGCTTCCTCCGCTCTTAAGACACGGAGAAAGCCCCATATTAGAAAGACAAAGACAACAGAAAGAATACGAGCTTCTTTCTCAAACTCAAGTAAAAGCAAAAGCTCAAACTCAATCTGAAAGATTACAACAAACACAATCACAGAGACTGGTATCTCGTGATGAACGTCTGAGCAAATACACCCAATCCAAATCGTTCACAGATAAGCAAACAACGATCTCCAAGTCAGAGTTATCGAGGATTCTGGAATCCCATAACCTTTCTGACAGTGAAAACATACCATTACCGTATATAGAAGAGTTTGGTGGATGTAATTCTTCTTTAGATCAGGAGGAAGCCTTTGCAAGTTTTGATGGTTCCTATGCTAGTCAAGATCAGAAAATTGACTGTGAGCAAGGTAGTCCACTTCAGAATAAGTCAAGAAATGTTCTTAGTGGACTTGAAACAGTACAAGGATACTCTCAATGGGATCCTTCAACACTTGCTCATAAGAAGGACAATATCAAGGGAAACGTAAACCATATTTCACTTGGTGATTGGCTTCAAAAATCTGATCAATGGAATCAAAGAAGAGTTGGTTCAGGCGTCAGAATAGCATCTTTCCCCTTACAAGATGCTACAGGAAAACAATTACCTAAAGCATACACTTATGATGATTTAATGCTTGATGATGGACAAAGAAATATTACCAGCTACTTTCAAAGAAGTTCACAAGCTGAAGAATATGTTCCTAATGGAAGCTTTGATAAGATTTTTGATGTTACAATTGGGTTAGATAATGATCAAGATCAAGATTCTGTTAATGATAAGCAACAACGTGAAGTGTTTCCTAATACTGTTCTGGATAGAACAACAAGTGCACCATCTTTACACACATTCAGAAAGCCCAGTAACACCGAAGAAAGTTCAACAAACAGCTATGGTACTAGATACTCAGAAGGTGCAGATGTTGACCGATCTTTAAAGCTAACGGAAATAGATATCCATACTGGGGATGAAGCAGAACAACAGCCCGAAACACCAAAGCCTTCGCCAATAAAACGATTCTTTCAAGAATCACCAAGGAAATTGAGTTCTGTGTTTAAGCGGAATTCCAGGACTAGTTTTGACGGAAGTTTCATGTATCCCAGACACAAACATACTGGATCTACAGTATCCAATCAGTTTTCAATGAATTCAACAGCGTCGTCCAGGTCTTTGCCCAAGAAGTCTCTCAAATCAATGTTAACCCACAAGGCACTGCTGCTACTGCAAAGGCCAGAAGTATCATCCAGACGGAATTCACAATCACAAGCATTTAGAAAACGTGCATTCGATACGCACCAATCCCATAACTCTGTTCCTAATTTCTCTTCGTTTCATCTTGATTCTGGAATGGTGGATCATTACTTTACCAAATTTTCCTCTCCAGGATTCTCTTCAGATCAGTTAGAAGCATGGGATATTAATATGGTTCCCGACTCTGATAATTCCCGTGTTCTGTCTGTTCCAAGTGCCGTGATTGGTCAATATGACCGGGAGAAATGGAGAACGTTGAAAGAATTAGAGACTATCAATCAGCATCGCACTATTTCTAGTAATTTATCTACCTAAATAGTCATTCAATACATTTAAATAAACGAACAAACCAAAAGCCTACTATCACTTTTTGCAGCCAAGTACTACATTTTCAAATAAAGTCTGCAACCCAGATGGGCGACAAAGCAAAGAGAAAGCCCGCACTCAAAATTGAATTCACCAGTAGATGCCGTCCACATATTTATGAGGATAAATTGATAACATAAAAAGATCATTGTTGATGTATAAAAACAGGTTAATGTCGACAAAAGTTCACTTAAGTATCGACTACAACCTGTTTTTGTAGCCATATTTCAAAGACAATTACATTTCTGAGAAAATTTAACTAGCAAACAACTTTCAAGGGCCCTCAATACTCCTTGAAGGCTTCTGCAATAGTGTACTATTGAAAAATCCATAACCAGACATCTCCTTGTGTACCACAAGTTTCTGAGTTAATTTCTGATTAACAATTAAGAGTTAACTATATTTGAAATAGCCAGGAGATTAACACAGTGGAATTGCAATACAATCGTTCAGTTTCCGAAGTTATAGATCACGAACGATCCTGTCCCCAGCTTGTGATCAGTGTTACGGGTGCAAGAATCTGTAATTATTAAACCTTGACGATGGAGGACCATCCAATTTTTGATTTTGTGTCACCAGAGTTTTTCATGTACACAAATTGAAGTAACAAACATCAAGAGATGAGATGTGGTTTTCTTCTACTTATTAACAACCTATTTACCCAAAATGGACGAAGAGGATTTGTTTAGTGTCTTTAACGAGACACCAGTGGATGCGCCCCCACCATTAGTAGAAGTGGAGGGCTCCACAAATAAAAAGAGAAGAGCCGAGGATCAACAGGAAGAAACACAAGTAGAAGCTTCTCAAAAGGACAAGAACAACACCAAGAGGAAGAAGAAGCCGACAACAACCAATCAGGCTCTGGTCCCCACTAAACAAGAGATTAAGGCAGTTGTGTCAGATGCTACTCTTGTAGAAGCTTCCAGAGAAGTTGCTGCCTCAGATGGGTTGATGGCTGCCTCTGTTGCAAGTGAGGGAAAGGGTCAATTACAATTGAGACATCAGGTTAGACATCAAGTGGCCATTCCTCCGGATTATCCATATGTCCCAATTGGAGAACACAAGAGGGAGAATGAAGCTCGGACATATCCGTTCGTGTTAGATCCGTTTCAAGATACAGCTATCTCGTGTATTGATAGAAATGAATCAGTGTTAGTGTCAGCTCATACATCAGCTGGTAAGACAGTGGTTGCTGAATATGCAATTGCTCAATCTCTTAAGGAGAAACAAAGAGTCATTTATACTTCTCCTATCAAGGCTTTGAGTAACCAGAAATATAGAGAGTTATTGGCAGAGTTTAAAGATGTGGGTTTAATGACCGGTGACGTTACCATTAACCCTGATGCTGGGTGTTTGGTCATGACCACTGAAATTCTTAGAAGTATGTTATACCGAGGTTCGGAAGTCATGAGAGAAGTTGCTTGGGTCATCTTTGACGAAGTCCATTACATGAGAGATAAGTCTCGTGGTGTAGTGTGGGAAGAAACCATTATATTATTACCTGATAAGGTTCATTATGTTTTTCTTTCTGCTACTATTCCTAATGCCATGGAGTTTGCAGAATGGATTGTCAAGATTCATAATCAACCTTGTCATGTTGTTTATACCGATTTCCGTCCTACTCCTTTACAACACTATTTGTTCCCTACAGGAGGTGATGGTATTCATTTGGTGGTTGATGAAAAGGGTACTTTCAGAGAAGAGAACTTCCAAAAAGCCATGGCCTCTATAAGTGACAATATTGGAGATGATTCCAGTAGTGCCGATTCTAGAGGTAAGAAGGGTCAAACCTATAAAGGAGGTAATAAAGATGGTAAGGCAGATATCTATAAGATTGTTAAGATGATTTATATGAAGAGATACAATCCGGTTATTGTTTTTTCGTTTTCCAAAAGAGATTGTGAAGCATTGGCTTTGAAAATGTCTAAATTGGATTTCAATACTGACGAAGAGAGAGATGCTTTAACCAAAATCTTTCATAATGCCATTAACCTATTGCCTGAAGCTGATAGAGAGTTACCCCAAATCAAGAATATTTTACCTTTATTAAGAAGAGGTATAGGTATACATCATTCTGGGTTGTTGCCAATATTAAAGGAAATCATTGAAATCTTATTCCAAGAAGGGTTATTGAAGGTATTATTTGCTACAGAAACCTTTTCTATTGGGTTGAATATGCCTGCCAAAACTGTTGTGTTTACCTCTGTTCGTAAATGGGATGGTGTAGGATTCAGATGGGTGTCTGGTGGGGAATATATTCAAATGTCTGGAAGAGCTGGTCGTCGTGGATTAGATGATCGTGGTATCGTTATCATGATGATCGATGAGAAAATGGAACCTCAAGTTGCCAAAGGGATGGTTAAAGGTCAAGCAGATCGTTTGGATTCTGCATTCCATTTGGGTTACAATATGATATTGAATTTGATGAGAGTTGAAGGTATTTCGCCAGAATTTATGTTGGAAAATTCTTTCTTCCAATTTCAAAATGCTTCATCTGTTCCTCAAATGGAGCAAGAATTGAAGAAACTCACTGATTCCAAAGGACTAATTCAAGTGGATGATGAACAAACCGTCAAGGAGTACTACGAGTTAAAGAAACAATTGACCAAATTCCAAGAAGACGTTAGACAAGTGGTTACCCATCCTGGTCATATTCTCCCCTTCCTACAAGCCGGTAGAGTTATTAAAATCAAAATTGGTGAGTTTGATTATGGTTGGGGTATGGTTACAGGTGTTACCAGAAGACATAACAAAAGAAACCCTACTCAAGCATACACAGATCATGAATCTTATGTTATAACTGTGTTTGTCTACACCATGTTTGTAGACTCACCAGTGAATTTGATCAAACAATTTAACCCTGTGTTCCCTGAAGGTATCAGACCAGCCCAAGAGGGCGAAAAGGCCAGAGCTGAGTACATTCCTATCACTTTGAATTCTATAGAAAAGATCAGTAGCGTGAGATTGAAGGTTCCAGATGAATTAAAGAGTTCTTCTGCAAAGAAAACCTTGTTGAAAACCATGAAGGAGTTACCAAAAAGATTACCTGATGGCATCCCCTTAATGGACCCTGTGGAAAGTATGAAGATAGATGACGATGACTTTAAGTTGTTGTTGAGAAAGATCGACATTTTGGAGTCCAAACTTGTGGGCAACCCCTTGCATGGCTCTGTTAGACTTGAAGAGCTTTACAAGAAGTATGAAAGTAAGGTCATGGTTGAAGATAAGATTAAGACATTGAAGGATAAGATTTTGGAAACTCAAGCCGTTATTCAATTGGAAGATTTGAGACATAGAAAGAGGGTTTTAAGAAGATTGGGGTTCGTCACAACCGATGACGTTATTGAGTTGAAGGGAAGAGTAGCTTGTGATATCAGTACTGGGGATGAAGTTTTATTGACAGAATTAATTTTCAACGGTACGTTTAATGATCTTAGTGCTGAACAATGTGCTGCATTATTGTCATGCTTTGTCTTCCAAGAACGTGCTAAGGAAGTACCTCGGTTGAAGCCTGAGTTGGCTGAACCTTTGAAATCTATGCAAGATATGGCATCTAAGATTGCCAAGGTCTACCGTGAGAGCAAGATTGATATTGTGGAAAAGGATTATATTGAATCTTTTAGACCCGAGTTGATGGAAGTTACTTATGCTTGGTGTAAGGGAGCATCTTTCACCCAGATTTGCAAGATGACCGATGTTTATGAAGGGTCATTAATTCGGATGTTCAAGAGACTTGAGGAGATGCTTAGACAAATGATTGTGGCTGCTAAGACTATTGGGAATGCAGCACTTGAAGAGAAGATGGAGAAGGCAACTGAGCTTGTTCACAGAGATATCGTTTCTGCAGGTTCGTTGTATCTTTAAAGAGAGCCGTTAGATTTGTAACATAAAGAGTAATTATTACGACAAAAGTAGTTTTAATAGGAAGAGGAAATACGAATGTATGGTTAAAGTTATTGTTAATGACTTTTAAGATGAAGAGCTTAACCTCGTAATTTTGCAGCAGTGGAAATGCCGCATGGAGCCCTTCCATATTGAGTGACAGCTCTAATTTTATGTATCTCCAAACGCTATTGTTAAATGCTCTGATGTAACAAAGTATGGTATATGATTTGAGTAGACCAATCAAAGAAGCCCTACATTAATTAAATTCCAGATAATACAGTGCCAGATTATACTACATTCGTATACCTGCATTGAGCGCATTGGCTAATTTTCGTATATATGTATGTGGCTATTGGTAGTTCGTAAAACAATACTTGCATTTGTTCCATACATATCACAGTTACCCAAGGCTATGGCGTATAGCCGTCACAGCTTATGATTATAGATATACTACTAGTATTTGTACAATGTCAGTTTAACCATATTAAGAGGTAAAGGCACTGGCTTTATGCCTTTGGTCTAAATATATGAGTTGTTTGATCCGGCAAGGCATTTTACTACATCACTTTCGATAACTTTGAATGAATCTCTGTGTCGTGTATAGCAGTTACAGGTACCCTGAATGTATTGGTGAAGGGCAAGTGTAGCGGTTGACAGCCAATTGTTTGATGCAAATATGAACAGTACTATAACCACAATAAAATACCACTACAACATACGTTCATTATACAAAAGCACTCTAAGTTTTTATAACGCGTACAGGTGTCCCGTGCTATACTACAATATATATATACTAACGTAAACCTGCAAAATGGTAAATTTCATAGTGTATCCATACTACTACTAATGCTATGTATAATACTAATGCCAAATGTAATATCACAAGTGTATTGACACAATGACCCAAAGTTGCTACCTTTAAATTGAAGCACTGCCCCAGATTTGATGACCCTGAAAATCCCATCCCCTTTCGCAATCTCCTTATTGAACCACTATATAAACCTTTTGGTACCCGCAAATATATACTACAGGTACTATTAATACAGGTACTATTATTACAGGTCGTATACATACAGTATGGTTAAGGAAAGACTGCTTCGAGCAGGAGAAGTGGAGCTTCTTTATGTTAAATCCAAAGTGTATTTGCACCCTACGCCATCCAAAAAGGATAACATTTGTGGTTTCCTAAGTCTATCTCGAGGTCCATTGGCAACCAATAACGATATCCTCTTATCGTTCAGTGCCGAGAACCAATTGTCTAAGGAAGAAATCAAGATTTATAACAATGTTGATCTTCATGAATTGGAGGTGGATTTAGAGGCTTTACAAATTAGCGGCAAGAGACTGGCAAATGCTGTTGCTTCAAAGAAAAGAGAGGATCACATTGTTACCAAACCTCCAGTATCTATATTGGTTGGCTATTCGTTTAGTATACCCTTATCATTCGTATTCTCCATTCAAGTTAGAAAGCCATCCTCTGGGTTTTGGCATGGATCGTTAGTTATCAACACTAAAGATGGTGAAAAGCTCCCTATATTATTCTTTCATGATAATGAATCAGCCTCTACATTGAAGGAACAAAAGATCCGTAACCAACGATTTGATCCTTTTAATTCATCTGGTGACTTGTATTGGGGTGGAGACGATTTTATCAAAGTTTTACTGAAGTTTATCAGAGTAGTCAAATCAACTGTTGAGACTTCAGTATTGTTAATTAACCCGGATGAAGATGATTTACGGAATTTCGCCAACAATAGACGTAAATCTTCCATTGGTGGCGACTCCTCATCTGAAGCTGCAACTAAACCAATTGATTTCAAGATGCCTAATATTGGTAAATTTTTAAATAATGCCAAATGGAGGGTCTTGGAAACCGTGGCTACGTTGGGAGCTCAAACTAAGAACCAAGTTGTGGATTTGGTTGATGAACATGCACCTGTTCCATTAAAGCAATTGATGAGTAAGCCAGAAGTTAAAAAAATTGGCGATGACTTTGATAGTGCTCGAATTTATTTAGCAAAATGGGCTCAACAAGTTAAGGAAGAAGCAGAAGAAAGTCTGAAAAAATACATGCTTGAAGATGATATTTATAATCAAATTAATAAGGAATTGGGATCAGATGAATATTTAACTGAAGAAGAAATCAATAAAACTTCTAGAAGAGATCCAATTGGGTTAACTGAATGGAAATCGTTTTTTGACTATTCAGGAAGACTTAATATTACTGCCAATGAGATTAAGAGCAAAATATTCCATGGAGGACTAGAACCTGAAGTTAGAAAGGAGGCTTGGTTATTTTTACTAGGAGTTTATTCTTGGGATACTTCAGCAAAGGAAAGAGAAGAATTATATGCTAGCTATGAAACTGCATATTCTGATTATAAATTAAAATGGGTGGAAGATACTGAAAAGAGATCTACTGAGTTTTGGATGGACCAAAAGCATAGAATTGAAAAAGATATCCATAGAACTGATAGAAATATTGAAATCTTCCAGAATAAGAAGACCAAAAGAACATCAACAACAAGTACAGGTGAAAATGCCAACAATTCGAATGAAAGAGAATCATCACCAGAAACTCCAGATGAAGCAAGTGAACCAGAAGAAAATGAAGAAGATGAATTTAATCTTTCTAATATTAGAAACCCCCATCTTTTCAACGTTCGGGAAATTTTACTTACTTATAATGAATACAATGTGAATTTAGGTTATGTTCAAGGAATGTCTGATTTAATTTCTCCATTATACTTTATTTATCAGGATGAAGTGCTCACATTTTGGACATTTTCCAAATTTATGGAAATAATGGAAAGAAACTTTGTTCGAGATCAATCAGGTATGAAGAAACAAATGCTTACTCTTAATAAGCTTTTACAATTTATGTTGCCAAAATTATACAAGCATTTGGAAAAGTGCCAATCTGTTGACCTCTTTTTCTTTTTCAGAATGTTGTTAGTTTGGTTTAAAAGAGAGTTTGAATGGAATGATGTATTCCATCTTTGGGAAACCCTTTTCACCAATTGTTACTCCAGTCAATTTCATTTATTTGTTGCGTTGGCTGTTCTTAGTGCCAATGAACGGATAATTATTCAAAATTTGCAACAATTTGATGAAGTATTGAAGTATATGAATGATTTATCAATGAAGATGCATTTGGATCCTTTATTAATCAGAAGTGAACTTTTATTCTTGAAGTTTAAAAGAATGATTGATATTATTGATAGAGAAAACTCCATTGCAAGATCATCAGGTAAGTTTGACAATGTGGTTAATGTTGATCATGAACTTAGGCAATTATTGAACAAGGAACCAATTATCCAGAAAGAAGTTGAAAGACCTGAAGGAGTAGGTGGTGGGTGAACGACAAGATAGTTTATATTATTATCATATGATGAATTAATGAACAATGGTGGCTATAATTATGCACCAAGTAAGTTTATACATAGTCATCTGTGCACGGCTGGTAATTGCCATATTTGGAAGTGGGGTTACCCGGACTCCATTTCTTAATATCCCCAAAATGGCAACTACATTACGGAACGTGGAACCCTCAATATACACGATAAATATATTAGTAGTACTTTCTTTTACTCTCTCTTAGAACATAAAACGATGAGTGAGCGGCTATTAAAGGACCAAAATGTCCAGAATAACTATATGGATGAAGAGTATGCGGAGTTTGAAGAGTTCACCTTGAGTAATAAGGTTAAATGGATCATAGGAATTGTAGGTGGCGTTTTCACTATTGGGATACTTTATCTCTTTGTGGTGCTTATTCCAAGTTATTATATTCCTGAAGCATCTGAGTTATCGGATATAGTGAAGGTTGGAGAGCTCAATGCGACTTTATCTCCATTAGAAGATCCTAGAATCAAGCAATTGGGGTTGGATGCACCTTATGACTATGAAGGAGGTGATGACGATCTTGATAATGAAGAATCGGATGAAAAAGGCGACATCGATACCATTGGTACCTCTAGTAAGAAAGTAGTGGAAAGAATCATTTTAATTGGTGATATCCATGGTCATTACCTTGCCTTTAGAAAGTTGCTTAGGAAACTCAAATATAATAGTAAATCAGACCATATTATTATGCTTGGTGATTTCATCAGTAAAGGACCTGATTCTCTTCAAGTTTTAGATTTTGCTATTAATAATAATCTCGGTTGTATTATTGGGAACCATGAATATGCTGTGCTACAAAATTATGCTTTATTCCATCATTTGACAGTACCAAAATTTACTGATAATTCTAGCCATAGTTCTTCCAGATTTACCATCAAGGATAGCTTTAATTCCGATCCAGAGTTCTTATTGGCTAAGAAATTGCAACCTAAACATATACAATATATCAACCATTGCCCACTTATGTTGAAATTAGGTGAAGTTCCTTTACACAAATGGAGTAATTTTGGTGGAATCAAATCTGCACCAGGAATTGCAGTCCATGCTGGTATTAGATGGGACTTATCATTAGAAGATCAAATTCCAGAAGATACTTTAGAAATGAGATCTTATGTTGGTCCATTCTTTAATGAGACAACCAGTGATCCTCATGAAAAGCATTCTATTTCTTGGTCAAAATACTATAATAAGAAAAACTTACCTAATAAGAATGTGGTTTACTATGGCCATGATGCCAGGAGGGGCCTTAACTTAAAGAAATACACCAAAGGAATAGATACAGGTTGTGATCGTGGTGAAAAATTGACTGCCATGATGATTTGGTTACAGAAAACTCCAACTGGGGTTATTCACTATGCCGAGAGACCAGTCCATGTCAATTGTTAGATATATTTTATTATTACCACTTATTTAATACACTCATTATTTATTATACATTCAGTAGAGATTTAAGCTTGAATAAAACAGTTGCAAAAATAAAAACAAATAATTCCGATACCGGGAGTCGAACCCGGGTCTGCTCGGTGAAAGCGAACCGTGCTAGCCGTTACACTATATCGGATTTTATTGTGCTAAAATACTTGCGACTAAAACATAATTATATCAGAACCACGATCTTTGACTAACGTGACCTTAAGATTAGCCTCACATAAATTTTATCAAACATTTACCATTGTTTTATTCTATTAACTATATTGTTTATTATATAATATCACCATATAACCCGTAATCTAATTCCTTTTTCATTTTTTCAATTGCTTGTTGTTTATTTTTATCTAACAGTTTCAAATCTGAGACTGGAATTTCTTTAACTTGTCGAAGCAAACGAACATGTTCTGGTGATAAGTTTCTTAAATCCGGAACTCTATTATTTAAAGTGTAGTTGACGGTATCTGGATCTATTTCTTTTAAAATCACCCCTAATTCCACTAAAGCATGTGAAAGTTGTGGATATCTGTCTAATAAAAGTACCATTAACTGGGGGTTCTCAATGCTCAAATGCTTGGCTTCCTTTAAAATATTCTCAGCACTTGTAGAATCTATTGATGTTACAGATTGAGTTATGGTTTGTAAGGGATTCTGTTGAGGATGTAACTGTATTCCTAATGGAAGAGCAGGTAATCTTTCAGTTGGTTCATTAGCAAAACTCATCTTTGCATCATTTGAAAAGGAGCACTTTAAATTTCGATTCCCAATAACAAAGTTATTCAAATTTCTTACAGCACTAGAAGCTGTTTCGTAATCAACATATCGAACAAATGCATAGCCTTTTGATTTACCGGTGATATTATCGAAAAGTAACTTTAAATCTGCAACTGGGCCAACCGTTTTGGCAATTTCTGCTACTCTTTCTTCAGTGTAGTCAAAGGGTATATTCCCAATGTATACACTTTGATTTTCCTCCATAGTTGGTATTATTCTAAGCAGCAATAACCTCACAAGAACAACCTGATAGCAGTACTTGATAATGCTGAGTATTCTTGATACAAACTTTATTATTGCCTCTTTAATTTTCAATTTTTGATCACGTGACTTGATAAAAATCCAATACAAACTTAAAAACTAAAACATTTTAATCAAAATCTCTGAGGTTTATTTTATTCCCTTACATCATTTACCATGGATGCCAAAGAAATCCTTACTATCATTTCGAATTTGGAGAAGACTTCCGATGACGCCACGATTCTCAAGCTCTTGAACATTTTAAACGATGGAGTTAAGCCTACTGAAAGTTTATTGAGAGAGACCAAAGTTGGTATGGCAGTTAATAAGCTTAATAGCACCAGTAATTTAGAGATTAGATCATTGGTTAAAAAGATGATCAAAGGCTGGAGAGAAGTAGTTCAGAATGAAAGGAATAAGAAGAAGAAAGAGGAAGCAGCAGCATCATCATCTACTGATTCTAAGAAGTCTGGTGCGGGTAACCCCAGTAGTAGTAGTAATAACAATACCAATAATACCAATAATGCTAAAATGGGACCTAGAAACCCTAAAATTGATGGTATAAATACTAGTTTATACGATAATCCTACTAGAAATGCATCTGTGGGTGCATTATACACAGCTTTAGCCATTGAAAGAAGTGACCCATCGGATCTAATTTTGAAGAAGGCAAGAGAAATTGAATCTGAAGTGTTTAAAGGTGAATATTCATCAGTTAATGATAATTATAGAAACAAATTAAGATCATTTACTATGAATTTAAGAAATAAAAAGAATCCAGAATTAAGAGATAGAATTTTAACTGGGAAAATTATGCCTCCAGCTTTTGTTAAAATGACTCCAAATGAAATGGCACCGGAAGCTTTAAAGAAAGAAATTGAAAAATTACATAAACAAAACTTATTTGATGCTCAAGGTGCAACAGAAAAGAGAGCTGTCACTGATAGATTTACTTGTGGCAAATGTAAACATAAGAAGGTTAGTTATTATCAAATGCAAACCAGATCTGCGGATGAACCTTTAACTACTTTTTGTACATGTGAGAACTGTGGTAACAGATGGAAGTTTTCGTAACTGGTGGAAACTGTATATTTGAGTACAGATGCGCGTATATTTCAGCATGCTCCATCAACATATATATATATATTGTACATATATAAGTATATTTGTATTATAATTAAATGGAAGAATTCTTTGCTAAGAAAGAAATTAAATCAACCTTGGTAACAATTTGAATTGGCTTTAAATCTGAATCGGTGATAATAGCATTCGAATGGGTTTCAAAGAATTTATTCAATGATGATAATGAAGTGTTCAAAGTGATTGGTTGATAGTGCTTCTTTGTGAAACCTGACTCCTTTGTAATATCAAACGATTTTTCAAAATCTGCCAACTTTCTAAAGTCAATAATAATTGATCTAATAGAATTGGTTAATTGAACCTTTTTAGTTGATAATGACTTCAAGATAGTTGATAATGTAACTAACCCAATTAAGTTACCAGAATTACTCAAAACTGGCAATTGATCAAACCCATTTGATTGTAATAAATCAAATGTTTTTTCAACAGTATCAGCCAATGAGACAGTAACCACTGGAGGCTTATTTGCTACCAAATCAGCAATAGTTTTAGAGGATAAAAAGTCATCACTTTTACTTGAAGAAGATGCACCAGTTTCTTCGACTTCAAATCCATTAGTCTTCATCCATTCATCATCAGCAAATTTGGATAAGTAAGATCTAATGGAATCAGGGAATACAACAACCACAACATCTTCCTCAGTTAAATCTTTAGCAATTTGTAAAGCTGCTTGTAATGCAGAACCTGAAGAACCGCCTACCAAAATACCTTCGTCACTAATGATTCTTCTAGACAATTTAAACGATTCAGCATCATCAGTTTTAATCCAATCATCAACATATTTTCTATTTAATACATCAGGTATGAAATCGTATCCAATACCTTCAACCAAATAAGGATCAACAGAACTGTTTAAAGATTCAGGTTGAGCCAAAATTGACCCCTTAGGATCAGCACCAGTAACTTTAATGTTAGGGTTCTGTTCCTTTAAATATCTTGAAATACCACTGATGGTACCACCAGTACCAGCACCAGCTACTAAATGAGTGACCTTACCCTTTGTTTGATCCCAAATCTCAAACCCGGTACCATAATAATGAGCATCAGGGTTAGCTTCATTAGAGTATTGATCCAAAATAACAGAGTTGGGAATTTCCTTCTCTAACTTCTTCGCAACACCAATGTGAGATTCAGGTGCATCCCAAGCAGCTTCAGTAGGAGTTCTAATGATCTCTGCACCAAGGGCCTTTAAAACAGATACCTTTTCATTAGACATCTTCTCAGGTAAAGTGATGATAGTTCTATAACCTTTAACGGCACCAACAAGTGCCAACCCAATCCCGGTATTACCCGAGGTTGGTTCAATCAAAGTATAACCTGGCTTGATTCTTCCTTTTTTTTCGGCTTCTAACACCATGTTCTTAGCAATTCTATCTTTGATAGAACCACCGGCATTGAAGAGCTCAACTTTGGCGTAAACAGTAGCCTTGATGCCATATGATTGAGGAATTTTATTCAATCTTATAAGAGGAGTGTTCCCGATGAGTTCCAAGACATCATCTGCAATTGGAGGAGGTGATCTAGTCATGATATAATACAAAAAAAGTATATAGTATCTATAATGTAGCTATACTGTAACTATAATATGATATATATTAGTGATATATTTGTTGATGTCTCAAACGCCACACATCTCATCACACCTTTGAACGGCATGTACACTTTTGCGACTCAATGCCGTGACCTAAATGCAGTATTGGTGTAATCAAATGTCAGTTCTGGGCTAGCGTAAATTACAGAACGTATGCATTTCTTACGGTATATGGATGGTAGACTGTTTGTCGTATAAGGCGTAATATAGTACAGGGAGTATAGTACAAGGAGTATAGTACATGGGGCATAGTATAGTACAAGGAGTGTAGTACAGGGGGCATAGTAGATTGCAAGGAGGACAGTATAGTACAGTATTTTGTAGTATAGTATCGCACAGTACAAGTGATGAAAGGATGATATCACAATAGTGCAATAGCATGTGATCTAAAGTAATAGAAAACGTAAGAGCATATGTCGATGGTATGTCTATAACACAGCTATGCTATGGATCTAGCACTACGGCTGTAAAATCATGTCCGTTACAATCAATATTATGCATTTAAAGGTTTATGATTAGTTTATATACATTCTTATTGCCGCGAATAGCCGATTTTATTCTTTGAATCGTTCCGATAATAACCGGCAATTTATGCATTGATAATCTTACACTTGACAACATCAAGCTCTTGACCAGGAACACCCTTTGTAAAATCGTAAACGTAAAGAATACCTCTACGATCAACAGCATAGACTTTTCCACCATCTGCACTAAATGAAATCGACGCACATTCATCTGCAACATCACTACCAGCAACTTCTCCCAAAAGAACAACAATCTTCTTATTATTGCCTGTAACTGGTACAGAAAGATTAGGAGTAGATACCAAATAAAGGTTCCCATCGTTCCGAAGAAACACAAGCCCATCTCCACGAGGTGATATGGCCAGCTTATGAATGAAAGGACCAACTTCAGGAAATCTAAGTGCCAGTTCAGATGATCGAATATATGAAGTTTCAACCTCATCAAGTCTGCTGGATGTACTTTCTTGTTCTCCAATGACATCAGCTACTGTATGACTACTTCCCTTGCGTTCGGAGTCAAGCGTTGCTCCTTCAAGTCGAACAATTTCTGGGAACGTATTTTTTATTGAGCATGAAGTAATAATAATGGTGTTTGAATGTTTAATTCCAAATTGAATATCTGTTATACCAGCTGTAGTCATCTCCAACCCATTATCATTCTTATCATTGCTTGTTTCCTTTGATCTTTTCCCTGCATAATCTGTCCACACCAAACGAGGTCTTCTATAGTTATCATTAAACTCTCTTATCTTTATGATTAGGTATCTTGATTCCCATGCAGTACAACATAATATATAGCTTGAAGTGGCATTAAAAGAAATGAGTTTAATGGGATCTCGATATGGAACTGTTATAGTTATTGGTTCAACAGTTTTCAAAATCCCTTCAGGTGTGAAATTCATTTTATGCAATATTATAAATGGTTGTTCTCTACCGGAAAGTCGTTCTCTAGCAACAATCCCACAAGCTAATAGTTGTTGATTTGGTGATATTGATATGCATCTTAAGGGGAAATTAGTGACATAAGTATAGATGGGTTGTCCCACCAGATACTTTGAACCTTTACGGAGATTGTAAACTCTTAGCACCCCTTTGCTTCCAGATATAAGTAAATAATCACTAGCCAATTTACAATGGATATGATCCCAAGATTGTAAACGTTTCGATAAACTTGAATCTTCTGCTCCAGGATAATTAAAGTCACTTTTGTTAACGATTCCCTCGGAAGATGAAAGTCTTAAAGATGAAGGAGAAGGCCCATATTCACCAGTCAGTTTCCCACAACAGACCATTTCTGGTTTGCTATCGCCAGATTTGAATTCATAAATCTCCCATCGCTTCTCGGTCAAAAAGACAAACATCATTACTTCTTGACCATTACGGAAGTAACTGATGATGTCACTCGCTATGATTCTATAACTCTTCAGCAGAATAAAATTAAGTTTAAATTTAGATTGCAGGGTGGGATAAGATGTGAACTTCCGATGGAAGGGGAAACACTTGCTAAAATTGTATTCCTTCTCTTCACTTAGTAAATCAAGATCTGTCCCCCAAACTGGATCCACCAGAAGGGGGTGAGGATTTTGTATTTGAAGTTGGTTCATATAATCTTCCACATGAATAGAAGTTGTGGATTTCTGTCTACTAACAGATTCGTCATTGTCATTGGTTGCATTTACTTGTGTGTGCTTCAACTCTTCTTCACCTCCTCCTGGATCACCACCACAACCTTTAGTCTCTTCTTTAGCAATCTTATAGAAAAGCGTCATGAAATCCACTGAATCTTCCTTATCAGTAGTGGTGGCCTTTGTGTTCTCTCTAAAGAGTTCATTCAGAGCATCACCAATCACCAAAGCACCTTTCTCACTTCGTTTAGATGACGACCGCCTTCGGCGTCGACTGGATGCATTGAAATTTAGTTTCTGAACTACCTGATATAATTCTCGTAGTGGTTCTATGCTACTTAAGAGACCAACACCTTTGGCCAAACATGTAGGACATTTCTTGTCTAATAACTGTAGAAAATAACTTTCAGACACCAAACACCCACATGTTAGCACCGAACAATCTTCAACTGGTTTTCCTGAGTCATATGGAAGCCGTAGAAGGTTTTCAAATACCGTTATCTTTACCTTGTCCATCCTTAATGGTTAGGGTGTTGTTAGGATACGCTTACACTTGAATGTGTTTTTACTAAGGCTTCATTTTAATGCTTACGTAAGCATATACCGATAAGTACGTAAGCACAGTATGATGATATCCAGGTGCTTGTTGATTTATATCCAACATGAACCAATCCAGGTAATTGATTACATAATTCCAATTAATAACCAGCATACCTACTATTTTGAAAGATAAAGCTTCATATGGACAATAGAAAACCTGTACTGGTAAATCGGGAAATAATTCATGACTCCGCTAGCGTGGATAGAGGAAATTACGAGGTGGACTTATAGGAAGAGCATAACGAAATAAGGCTATGAAGATAGAGAATATGCTCTATAGAAAGCTAGTTAATGATTCTTATATAGTTGTAATATAAGAATCTAAGTATATTGTATCATTTGCGACAGTTGCCCAACCTAAAACGAGACACCATACAAAATTACTAAGACATACACTACTCTAGATCTTCCAGCCATTACCTAGAATTGGACTATTCATTCCTCATTAAGAATTATGCTGAAGACTTAAACCAAAAGATATAAAACGATGTCGATGTACAGCATTTCTTTTATGGCTTTTTTAACTCAACTGAGAAGAGATTATAAAGGCCAACTTACGATATCATAGAGAAGAAATCGTTAGATAGCAAGATGTTTACTGGAACTATCACTGAAAGAGACATTGCTGCAAAATACTGTCCAACAAAATTACTACTAGCATTAACCGTATTTTCTTTGGGCACCCTAGTTGTGTACACTCTACCTAAAAATGCCAGCATGAGGATATGACCACCTACTGAGATAATAGTTGGGGGTATTACTATTTTTTTTTATCAAAGAAGGTATTGAATTTGATAATGACCTGGATATAATAATACTCAAGTGTTTTATAAATGTGGTTGGAGGAGCAATTCTGGTAATTTTTGCATTGGTTGCAGTGGGATATAGGCCGAAGCACACTTACCACAATGTAGAACGACCCAAAGAAAACATTTTTATATGAGCTTTTTTATTCTGGTGTTTCTGTGGGTGGCCTTTTTTTGTTTGGCGGTGCTTTGAATGGTTCTTGCGTCCAGCGGAAGTAAGAACCACGTCCAGCGGAAGTAACATATCATTGCAGCATGTGGTCTTCTTGTACCTTTTCAATTGGCCTCAACAGATATGAAGTCCCACGGGACTCTCTATGATTAGTCGCACCCAAAGCTATCATTTCAACTTCAGGACTTTTGTTTATTTGTATCTAGCGGCTGCGTTGTCATTGCTATCCCGCAATTCATGAGACTGTCCTCTCGGGGTGTAGCAATTGTTGTTGCAGGTATTATACTGATGGCAGAAAAGGCTGGTTTCCATTTTATGTTCTGGAACGGCGCCTGTTTCTTAGGGGTTTGTTATTTGTTATCGTTGTGTATTGTGTTTCTATTGTTAGCCAGGGCTTCATTTGGAGCTCATTAAAGACGAGAACCAAAATACTAAATGTTATCGAACTGGTAAACTAATCTGACATATACCTCGTGAGTGGTGATCATGAGTTTTCTGTAGTTCGTGAGTATTAATAGGTTTATAGTTCTTTTAATGAAGATGTATGTATTTTTTAAATAAAAATTGAAGGAGCTTGGGTTACCAGAACCATACACTCAGTAATATACATTTTAATTGAATCAAAACTATTTCCCCAGAGAACCTACTTCTTCTTCAGATCCATTTTCATCTTTAAACGAATGCAACCGGTGCAAATTATGAGGACGAACAGGTTCATTCTTAACAGACTCTTTAGGTGTAATTGACGTACTAGTATTAGAATTCTGTCTCCGTAGATTGTAAAGAGAAGACGATGAAGGATGAGATTTGATGGTAATAAATTGGCCTGGAGTACTGGGACGTTCTTCATTATCAGATTTCAAGTCATTTCGATTTTCATCGTTATCACGCTCATTATATTCATGCTCATTATTCCTTGCGTCTTCAACTCCATAATCAAAAAAGGAATATAAGGCATGTCCCAAAAGGGAAAACGACTTCTTAACTGTTTGCAATACGGCCGAACTAGATTGGACTTGTGGAGGACTATTAGGATGACCATAGACTGGCTTTAAAAATAAAGCAGATCTGGGACATAATTCTAAACTCAACAACAGTTCCTTTTCCTGTTCCATTGAAAATGTATGGCCAGATAATGATGGGGCGAAAAAAGTATACAGAATTATTTGCGGAACGGTAGATTTTGCAAAAGATGGCATAAATTCATCTTGAGTCACAATTTCTTCTTGTTCATCTATCCATTTCCGTACAACTTCCAAACTATCAAGCGACCTGAATTCGTTACGTAACGTTGAGCCATCAAGAAGCTTAATAGAAAGGATACACTCATCATAAGATTTACTTGGTCGTCTTCTCTTTCCCAGATTAGTTGTTTGAGATTTGAACTCTTCTCTTTCTCTTTGTAAAGATGCCCGTTCTTTCTGGTCCATTTCAATTTGGCGTCTTATAGCATTTAATCGATCGCGTTCTTGATTTCGAGTCCTGAGAACGTCTTGCTTACGTCTTGCTGCAGTATGGGTATCATTTAACAGATTTGGTTCAGGGGTGGAGCTGGAACTAGTTGAAGCTGAGTTTGAGACAGATCCTGACACTGAGGACGGAGCAGGAACAGGAACAGAAGCAGGAGAAGCAGATATCGACGGTGATGAGGATGATGATGGTGATAATGACGATGTTGTTGGAGTCGACTGGGGTATATCTGCTGCAGCCAGAAAATTCGGGAGTGAGAAAGCAGCTGGCCTATGAATTTTGATAGCTTCTTCAAATCGTTCAACAGACAAATCACCATTAATAACATCCAATAGTGTACCCTCTTTCACGATGACTATACTTGGAACGGTTAAATTGGGGAAGATTTGCTTGAAGGAGTTGAAATCGTTTGTATTTTCTATCAAACTAAGAGTAATATAGTTGAGTTTCACTTCATCAATAAACTTTTCGGTCAACTTTTGATTGCTTTTAACAAAGTGCTTGGATATATAAAGATCACCTGTGGTCCCTTCTTGTCTCAGAAATACTATTAAGGGCTTTTTATCGGTGACAGATGCTTTAACTGCTATATCCGCAGAATCATAGAAGATCTCACCGAACAGCATACTATTCCGTTGAAGGTATGTGGGGGGATGATGAGATGAGGGTTGATCTGACATAAACTATTATTTTCCTAAGAATGAGCTAGCAGTGGTGATAAGACTACAGAAGAGGGGGTAATTGGTGCGGAGAGGGTGCTTTTCTGTGTTGGATGTAAAAGGAGGCGTTTTCATCACAGATTGCTTACGTAAGCTTAAGCATTGGAGGCTGGTGCATGTTCAACAATAAAACAAAACGACGCGGTCGAGGTTCGAAGCTGGAACGTTTGAAGATTTGGTTTCGTTTGTTTACACTTTTAAAGATCAATTAAGCTAATAACAAGAATGCGTATCCATAGCTAATTAATCCGGTCTAAACATCATTGTTAACTTTGCCTAAGATTTATCCGTTTAAACCCACCTTATAATGAATGATCAAACAACAAAGATTAAGGTCCTAGTAAGGGTAAGACCATTACTTCCTAGAGAGGCTTCCGATGGAATTACCGAATCTTTAGTACAAATGCCAGATTCCGACCCTACTTCCGTCTCCTTATTGGTTCCTACAGACTCGCCGTATTACTCCCAACATATTAACACTGTGAAATCCGAATCCATTGACGAATACAAGCACTATGAGTTTGACGAATGTATTTGGTCCTTTAATGCCAATGATCCACACTACGTGAATAACTTACAATTTTACGATAAGTCCGGTCCAGATATCATAGAACACTTTTTCAAAGGGTACAACGTGTGTCTTCTTACTTATGGGCAAACAGGTTCCGGAAAGACTTTCACAATGATGGGAGATGACAGTCAACCGGGATTAATTCCTCTTATTGTTCGAGACATTCTCCGCCAAAAGGAACATCTTATAGGCGAGCGCATCAATTGTCAGGTGAAAGTGTCTTATATGGAAATTTATAATGAACAAGTGAACGATTTGCTAGATACGGCAAGTGGGTCTAGTAAGAAATGTAAAGTACGTGAACATCCTGTTTCTGGACCATACGTTGAAAATCTCAAAGAGATAGAAATTAGTGATTTCAAATCCTTTAGATCTCAGTTGGATAGAGGTAATAAAAATAGATCAACTGCTGCGACATCTATGAATGACAAAAGTTCAAGATCTCATGCCATATTACAACTTACATTAAAACAAACAAGATACAGGAGTGAGTCAGAAGATTTGGGATTTGATGATTCGTCTGACTCCATTGGAGATGCAGAAGAAGAGGTTATTTCCAATATCAAATTGGTTGATTTGGCTGGTTCCGAAAGATTAAATAAAACAAAGAATTTTGGTCAACAGGATAGAATGAAAGAAGGATCTCTTATAAACAAGTCCTTGACAGTATTAGGTCGGTGTATTAATATTCTTGCAACCAATTCAAGTAATTCAGGGATGAAACCAAATCTTGTACCATTTCGAGATTCTATTTTAACTTATATTCTTAAGGAAAACTTATCGGGGAACTCCAAGAGTTTTATGATTTTCAATATTTCACCTGTTGACTTTGAAGAAACGTATCAAACTCTCAATTATGCCAAACAAGTGACCAAGATCAAAACCAGAGCGAAAGCCAACACCAATAAGTTGAACTCCAAGCCAATAGATTGGGAAAGACTTAGAGGTGATGATCAAGATATTATTGACTCTTTAAAAAAGGAGATTAATGATCTTAACTCCAAATTGGCTCAAATCGGCACAGACTCTCCTGTTCAACAACATCATCCAGAGTTTGAAAACATGGTCTTATTTTTAGAGCATGATTTGGATCGAGTTAAGTTTGAAAATAAATATTTGAAACTGAAGATACTGCAAAAATCTTCTCAAGTCAATGAGCTTTTAAGCTACATAAAATACATGGAAGGAGAATTCAAAATACTTTCACAAGAATCTATCCACATGAGACGATCACTTTGGAACTCATTGAACACTAATTGTGATTCTTCTATGGAAGGTTTGAATCAAGCGTTGGACCAATTTGACCCCAAGCGTATACTTTAATGTTAATGTCCTGCAGATAACACAATCTCATCTCAAATACGAAACACCAATTTGTCCACCAATATAATAATATTAGCGTGCTGGTCTTGTGCTGGTATACATTTGACTTTGAAATACGAAATGGCAAAGTTCTTGATTCTTAATCCAGATCCAAAGGCATTGGACAAAGTGCTTCAAAAAGCCAACACCCAGAATCAAAAGAATGGACCATTCGATGCGATCATCTTACTCGGTGATGTTATACCGCCAGTCATAGAGGAACTTCCGAAGACCAAACTTGAAGTACCTACATATTTTACTAGTGGTTCTTCTTCCTTCTCTGATATTGTTACCGAACATAGCAATGAGAGGGAGCCATTTGCGGAAATCATACCTAATTTAATAGCATCAACTGACTGTTATTCATTTCTCAAACTTCAAACTGGAATAACGATTTGTATCGTTAACGGACAATACGAATCCGAAGACAGCGAAATAGTTGCTAGTCTCAAGAAACGAGACACAGTTGATTGTGACATTTTAGTCACGTATAATTGGCCAAACGCCATAGCAGATCATCAACAAAGATTGGGGCTTGGAAGTAGTAAAGTTGACGAGATAGTCAAACTTATTCGGCCGAGGTACCACTTTTGCGTTGGGGATAACGATGGAGAGTTCTTGGAACTTCAACCTTTTGTATGGGAAGATTCAAGTTATACAAGATTCATAAGTCTTGGACAAGAAGGTAGTGGCAAGAAATGGTTTTATGCCTTTAACCTTAGTCCTGAGGTTACAAGCATTGAACCTCTGCAAATCATAGAGAATCCATTCTTTGACAAACCACAATTAGAGTTACAAGGTGAGTTGAAACCTATTTCAACTAAAAGACAACTAGAGCCAAAGGAAAAAACTGAAACGAAGAAGAGAAAAATTGTCACTCCAGATCAATGTTATTTCTGTTTGTCCAATCCTAAGGTCGAAACTCATATGATCATATCCATCGGAGGAAATTGCTATATGACAGTAGCAAAAGGACCTTTGACCAAATCCAGTAACAAATTACCATTTTCAGGGCATGCCTTGATAATCCCAATAGATCATACACCTTCTTTAAAGCAATTGACAGGCCCAGATTCAACAATTGAAGATAACAAAGTGTACCAGGAGATGATCAAGTATGAAACAAGTTTAGTGGAGGCATTCAAAGACAAGTACCCAAATTATAGATTAATATTCTTTGAAATCTCTCGACTGGACAACATCCACCACTGCGTTCAATTCCTTCCAGTACCAGAATCAATAATATCTAGGTTTTCCCAAGTTTTAGAAGAGAAATCAAGGATCAATAATGAAACATACACAAAGAATGAGTCATTGGAATTCAAGGAGTTCGAATCAACGGAAGATGAAGCGTATTCAAAGATCATTAATGAATCCGACTACCTACTGTTCAAAGTCTATTATAATGAAAATGCTACTATTAACAAAAGAATATATATAGCACCACTTTCTTCCCAAGGAGAGTCTACTGTTGATCTTCAATTCCCCAGGCGAGTGTTGGCCTATCTCCTCCTGAAACCAAATAGGGTATATTGGGAGAAATGTCGTCAACCAGTGTATCGAGAGACTCATGAATGTGAAAAGTTCAAGGAATTTTTTCACCCATTCGACTTCACTATGTCTTAGAACTTTTAGGTGCACTCTTCAGTTTGTTCAGTTGTGCAACGAGGACACCCACATTCAAAGAACCACTCACGAAGCAGTAGTTGTCTTGTTTGAACGTTTTCTTCAATGGAATTACCATAGTTGATGCATAGTTCTTCATCGGGATTGAATATTTCCTTAGTGGTAATGAAGTATACTTCTCTCTGAGTTCGGACCCTTTTCAAATTAGGTATACAACTATGGTTGAAGAATGATGCCAGAGGATATACAGCAAAGCCAAAGAACTCGTCAATTCCTTCGTCAGGACACCAGATTCCAAATGCATTGGATAAATGTCTTCCTATGATTGCACCGACAGTTTCAGTGGTGACAAATGGTTGCAATTGGTTGGGAGCATGGATTTTAAGAAACTTAAAGATATTCCCATAAACCGTACTTAAATATGGATACCTTTGTGTCTTTTCCGTGATATTGCTTTGCAACGTTTCAAAGATTCCCAATTCCAATCTCATATGTTCTAGTTCATTCATTTCCAGGATATACTGATGGCTTGTTTGTGGTGATAATATTCCTATTTTTTTTTGATACTTAAATAATGCAAAGATGGTTGTTGCAGTGTACTTTAGATCACTGTATTCATCATTAGTTATAACTGGAGTTTCAGCCAATCTTTTTGATGGCTTCATTCTGGCCAAAGTTTCTGACCATTTGTTAAGTTGACCCCATACTTGTGTCAAATTTGACTTTACTTCAGTAGTCTCGTATTCTCTCGTAGTACTGGAATAATGCCTTTCTATCTCCAACAAGATGCTTGTTAAAAGTCCCAAGTCGTCGTAATTCTGGAACTCTTTAAGACAGGCGGAAGAACAAAAGTACAACGATATCGTTTTGCTTATCAGTGGAACCGTAAGTCTTGTCTTTAAGTTCTTACCGTTTTGGAAAGTGAAACAATGCTGACAAACTTCTTTACGAAACTCTCGCTGAATTGAGCTGCTCAAAGGTCTTGGAACCCTCAACACTATTGTTCCTTCAGGGATTGAGTGCCCGTTTTCAGTATTGGCAAATGCACCTCTGCCTCCGTACTTGGTTTGATCAATTCTGAAATACGGTGATAAGGTATAAGCTGACATGATGGTATTGGATATGCGCACGATTCGGATAACACGGTTGGAGACAAATCTTACTCTCAAACAAATAAACAGACAACTACAAATAGGTACCTGCAATAGCTTTTGTAGCAGCGTTTATGACTGTTTAAGTGACAATTATTGTTAATAGTACCACAAGTAAACCACATGGCCGAAATCTCAGTTTCGTATGTTAGTCTCATCGCGGTGGTATGCAGGTTTGGCATTTTCAGTGATGATTTGAAGATCTCGTAAAAATATCTGTTGGTTACGGAATTTGCAGCCTAAAATGAAATACCATTCGTCCTTGTTCTTTTTACTGAAAGTAGTTACGGAATAAGGTTCTTGATAAGCACACATACGCTTACGTTGTTTATGATTAAGATGTCAATAAAATGAAGGGACATATATATTCATATATATACAGCTTAGCCTTACTTTTCACATGCTTACAGCCATAAAGCTACTCTCCTTGAGAATCAACCGTCTTAGTTGAAATAATTTATAAGTATATATGTTCCATTGTACATATAATTGACACTAACAGATAGCCATACGACGTTCTTCTTTGTTCGATATTTCAACTAGTCGCGAAGGAACTTTGACTTCCTATAAATGTCACCATTCACAAGGAACTCCTTAAACGATGGTTAGATTCTTCTAAGAGTGGATCCGACTTTTCATCAACATCAAGTTTCTTCTTAATGGCAGCCAATTTAACAACATTAACTTTTCCAAAGACAAAATAGGGATGGAAAGGTATAAAGATCAACCCGGCAATCGACATCATTAAAGCCTCTAAAATCAACAAATAAATTTCATGGGTAATCAAATAACCTCTCCACCCTTGAGACAATTCAAGTACTCTATAAATGCACCGAATGTAAACGGCCAAGACACTGACGGTAATTGCCAAAGGGAACCAATAGAACAAGGGCCTTGAGCGAATGTGTTGGAATTTTGAATTATAGAACCCGTCCAAGGAAATTCTTGCATGTCTCCTTGCTGATGGGGTACCCAATAATAATTTGAAAAAATTCTTAATGGACCGTTTTTTATAAGGGTTTGAATTGTCAAGCTTGGCACTATCTTTGAAGAAGATCCGCAACAAGAAATCAATCCATAATCCTACGAAAATTGTCATTGCAATTAATTGAAAGATTATACCTCCTAAAATCATATTCGTACCCGTTTTGGTAGATTTATGGTTGTTATAAGCAATTGAAGTAGCTGCACCTCCACCTGCCTGAATGAAGATAGATAAAATGTCTGTGGTAATAAACAAATAAGAATACCATAAGGGTTTCAATATTGAGTAACTTCTACCATGAATAACCACCGCTTGTGCACATAGGAAATAGAACCCAGCCATAATGAAAGCAGGTGCAATAGTTAACCCGGTATATTGAACTAAATATGCATTTTTAGTTGTAATATCATTTATTGACATGATTCTACCAATAAACCCAATAATTTCAAGTCCAAAACCAATAAAGAAGGTTATATTGTACCACCAATATCTTGATTTGAAGACCATTAAAGTGTTGAAAGCAAATATCAAGCCAAAAACACCAGCAAAAATAAAATTAGCTGGCTTATTCAAATTGTAGTGATATGGGTTGTTGTCGAATTCTAAGGCTTTTAAGTTGAGTGTCGCATTGAAGATAGCTTTGGTAGCTTGCAGTAGAACGATTTGATCTGTTGCTGTAGCCAATACCAGTTCAGCACTCATGATGGTTAAGGATGCTTGAGCACCTCTAATGGATTGTGAAAGATCCATTAAAGGTTGCCAATTAGTTTCGACTGCAATTTGAGCAGCAGCTGAAGAAATTACTGATCTTAAGCTAGAAGGGTCTCCAGTAATTGTCAGTAATGTAGTTTTGGTAGGTATTGTGGATGCGAGCCATTCTGACCAACCAGTAGATAGCAATGGGTTTGTTATGGATACTGACATGATAATTGATGTTGACTGTAATTACTTTAAAAGCTGATAGTGATTAATGTTATATGTGCCGCTATATATATATATATATTAGACATCCTTTTGTTTTGTATTGCCAGAAACTACTTAATACAATACTAAGGCTTAGTCGTATGCACCAATCTCTTAAATGGCGGCGAAGCTGAGGTTTTCTGGTTGGGCGGAACTTTACGAGCCATTATGGCATATGATAGTTGCTAAGGATCTGATAGTGATCAGGAGCGCCTCTTGATACACGTTTGTTTTACCAGTAACTCCGTGTTAGGTATACTACAATGTTATGGCTTCCCTCGTAAGTCCGTATTCTTGCAACCGGGCGAAGCTAATATTCACTATTGTGTTATCAATCGACGGGTTTTAGCCGCAAGGCTAGCGCCTATCTTAATGCCGCCTATACTTCATGGCACAGTTGATAGTAATGGTATATACTAATAGATCTATGGCAGCATATAGTTGACCTAACGTAAAGTGTGATATCCAGGAAGTACTAAAGCAAATAAACTAGACTGTATTTAGAGCGTTTACAGAACTAGCCGCAACTTTGATAACTTGATTCTTAAATACAACGAAAGATACGAGAGCTTGCTACGTCTTGTTTAGAGGCTTATCTTAAGACTGCATTCATGTTACATGGCTGTATTCCACTGATCTAAGGTAGGGTATGGTAAGTGTGCATTACTATAACTGTGTAATTTGTTTGTGCTCCAGTATGATTATGAAATTATGTAATAAAGTGTTTGATGTCAACCACTACGCCCACGCCGTGTACAGGTGCCATGTCATTGCAGCTAATAATAGAACTGTTTACATTGCTGCTTTGCGTATCTTTGTCTGACGGGATATAGGACATCCTTGACAACAAAAGACTACTGTGCAATATTACAATACTACCACAATGACGGAAAACATTGCATTTCACCGATATGAGACTCAATTAAAAAGGTTAAGTCTGCTTTCACCACGGCTGAACGACCACCTCCATATACTAGGCTTTTCAGGTAGCTTTTCTGAGCAATATGGAAGGGGTTGCATCACACCGCTAGGCTAAATATTGCGTAGTGGATATATCCCACTCGGCACCCTCTGTAATCAGTTCCTGAAGCGGATGTTGACACTTAACTATGCTTTCAAGCCACCTGCAATCAATTTATTGGCTTTGTTACCATCTAGCTCCAATGAGGTATCAAATACGATTGCAACTTCATTCTCCAATCTTGCACAAAGTATGATCCAAACAATACGTTGAAGTTATTAATTATGGCATTGCAGCCTTAAAATTTTCAAATAGAGGAGCGCAATTCCCAGCTCTCCCTCAAAATAGAAGATGGTATTCATTTCCACTTCAAATTGGATAGGACCTGATTTGCATTACTCACACGTTCAACAAATCGTATAATACTTAAGTCGAAGAATCAATAGTGTGGTCGGAGAAATTAGAATACAAAGCCTTTTTTTATGTCGACGCTGACAGTAAGAAAGCGCAGACAATATCAGCGTTATCGTATTCAGCTACTGCCAAAAGGAAAGTACCGCTCCAACTCAGTCAGTCCCATAACCTCCAGCCGCAAAAGCTCTCGGAAATACTACGTAAAACAAACCAAAAAAAACCTTGGCCGCAACACAGTTGAGAATCTTATCAAATCGAAAACAATTTATGAAATATACCGATCAATCCGGCCAATACCTCTAAACAGTGTTGGAAACACTTAATTATCATTATATTTCAGTAGCGCATGCTAAACAGGTTGAATTGATCATTGATACGCTTGTGATGAAAATATTTTGGCCTCGTTCTGTAGCGGTGACAGCTTGGCTACAGTCCTCCACTTTTGCTTATTGAGTAAAAATCATCCTAGGGCAGATGTCATCATTCAGCCACAGTGGCAGCCTGAAACCTCGTGCCTCTATTGGCTGGCGAAAACCATTTGAAACTACTCGCCATCTCATCAAATTCATTTGTCCCGACTCAGGGTACTCTTTCTTCTTCCGTGATTGTGACCTTTTTCTATATCTATTGTGGTATTCCGGGGCTGATGGGAGAACAAATTTGAGTAAGCCTCCGTTCCTGTAGATTCTTCCGCTTATTTTGCAACCGTGATAAATTTTGGGTAGAGACGACTATTTCAACGTTGCTTTTAACCTATACTGATCTTGTTGCCATGGCCCTCTGTTTGGAGACTCTCATTATGAAGTTTCTTAAGGGCTAAATGAAGTGGATTTCATCCTATTAGGCTCCTTTTTCTGCTTGTTATCCCTAATTGGGCATGGCAAAATCCCACTTCATCAGGCTTTCATCTGGAACTGAAGGACGACGATTGCGGAGGCACTTCTTGAACAGAGCCTAGCTCCCGAAGTAATGACGGTTTTCGCTGTAGCTCGTATGGAATGTTCCACAGTACATACAAAAATGGCAAATGCCACTTTACGGCTTAATCTATTCGAAGGATAGATTAAGCTTGCTACAATGGAAATTAAATTTATGATATTAATTACATTGGATGGAGTCTAAAATACCAGTACATAATTACCATGTACTAAATGAACATTAAAGTATAAATAAAATCACGCGACATTGAAGTGAAAGGTATAATAATAAGTAGGCTTTTAGAATAGCCAACCAAGGAATTTTTCATAGAACCATTCCTTATCATATCTAATACCTTCAGCGGCTCTGCGAGCTTTTCTTTCAGCTTCTTCAGCAGCAAATTCTTCTTCTTCGGCATCAATGACGTCTCTATAGGTGTCCAAGTCACATTCCGAGGATTTAAGCCAGTGGGTTTTCTTGTAGATCTTCCAGCCAGCAAACATCAAAAGGAAGACTGGAAGAACAATGTAACCAGTGATAAATGATTTGTAAAGGAATGGATGACCGAGGAAAACAGTAAAGTTCTTAAGGAAAATGACAAGAACACAAATGGTCAAGGCAACATAAGTACCATAAGGTTGAAAAGGAGACTTGTAGGCCAAGGAAGACCTTGGGATACCTTGAGCTTTCAAAGCACTCATAAATCTGAGATGAATAATCAAGATACAAGTCCAAGCAAGTAAACCAGTTAAGGAAACCACATTAACAAAGTAGCTAAAAATTTGAGAAGATGATGACGAAACAGTCATGTAAGCCAAAAGGGAGAACAAGAAGGACAAGGCAATACCATAGTATGGAACACCCAACTTGTTGGTTTTAGTGAAAAAGGCAGGAGCATAACCAGCAACTGACAACCCATAAATGGTTCTTGAAGCAATGTACATATCGGAGTTAGCAGCAGATAAGACAAATAACAAGATACAAGCATTAATCACATGGTCCAACCCGTGGATCTTTGCATTCTTAATAGCAATAACGAAAGGGGAAGCAGAAGCAGTGCTACCGGAAGCATCCAACAATAATGGATCCCTTGGAGAAACACACATACCAAGGAAGAAGATAGCCAAAACGTAAAACACCAAGATACGGTAGAAAGTCATTTTAATAGCCTTTGGAATTGCTTTTCTTGGTCTAGCACATTCAGTGAAGGTAATAGCACACAATTCGGAACCCAAATAAGCGAAAACAGCTGTTACCAACACAGAAACAAATGAAACAAATCTCCCCAAGGAACCGCTGATATGCAAATGCTTTTTTGAGTCTGTGTATTCCAAGAAAGCACCTGGATCTTTCCAGTATCTGAACCCAATTCTATCGTGAGTTGGACCACCACCAAGAGCAATTATCCACATCAATAAGATCAAACCAAGACAAGTAAGGACTTTCAATGTGGACAACCAGAACTCAATTTCACCAAAGAATCTGACACCCAACATGTTGACAGTAGTGATAATGGCCAAAAAAATGGTGATCCAAATCCCAGGGTTCATCTTTTCCTTCGACACCCAGTATTGAACAGTAAGGGAACCAGCAACCATTTGATTGGCTGGTAAAATCAAATATTTAAACAAGTAAACGTAACCACAAGCATATCCCAAGGCGTCATCAACGTAACGCTGACAATAGTTACCGAACCCATTCAATGGAATAAAGGTAGCAACTTCACCTAATGCAGACATAACCATAAACACTGTGAACCCGATAAGTGCATAAGCAATCAAGATAGCACCAGGACCAGCAACTCTCAATGCAGAACCAGTACCAATTAACAAACCAGTACCCAAAGCACCACCAATGGCAATCATAGTAACATGTCTAGCATCTAAGGCTCTTCTTAATTGATGTCCATCCTGTTCATTAAGGGCAGCACCGGGGTCGGACTTGGCCACATATAGATCATAATCTTGTGTATGTCTTGAGAGTTGAGACACATTGGAACGCGTCGAAAGGGTCTTCTCGAGATCGTGACCCATTCTTATGTATATTATTTTATGGTATAATGATAAACTTTTAAAATACAGACAAAAATTGTCAGAGGGAGGGATAAAGATGTTTTTATAATCGTATCTCTCTTGAGGTCAAATTTATCGGTTGACCCCGCAAGTGATAGTGAAATGCTGACAGCAAGAGATAGAGCCGTTGCCGTGCAAGGAGACTGATATGCATTTCTGATTGTGAAGTTGTCTGTCGCTTGCATTGACCAAAGGTGTTGCTTAACCAATTATAATTTGTTTTAAGCGCTGACACCAAATAAGTCAACAATGCATCAATGGTTAAACTGAGCCTATTCAGGAATGTCATCTTACATTATCTCTGGAATTAGCCAACGGGGGAAGTGCGTATAAGCCACCAAAACTTTAACAGTTTCAAAGCATTATACTCTCAGCTGAGATTAAACAACATTTTCTTTGCTCAAGTTGTCTGCATTAGTTTTCGCTTACAAGAAGCATGTATGTGCCGGTCATAGATAATTCTGTCTGATTTGTCTGGGTTCACTTTAAAGACGCCTCAACCTTTCGCAGCCAATGTCATAAATAAATGTCATGAATCAAGAGGGGTACATAAACGATAATAAACAATACGCCGCATCATTACTCAACTCTCTTGGTAGCGCCATAGAGAATTTTCTTGTTTTTTGACATAGGTCAAGCATTTTTTACATCCGTACTTTGTTCTTCGTAAGAGAAAGGCCCAAAAATCCGTCATAGTTCTTATCCAATTGCCGTATGCTTGTTGATCATGTCTCAAAGTGAAGACTTCCAGAAAGAGCTTAGTATTCCATGTTTAACGGAACAGTTGGTATTCTCTACCTATCAAAACAATCACCATATTTCTGTTTCTCAATTAAACCTCCAAAAATGCTTAGATTTTTATGACACTCACAATCCCTTCAATTGTCTACTAGTTCGACTTTCCATATTTTAAGACAAAGTTTTCCATGTTTACAGCACTGTAAATTTGTCGTAATAAATTTGGACTGTACGTAAGATACGATACCAAGAAAAAAGCTTCCTTCTGGGCTTTTATGGCTGCATGTTGTTCTTTGACGTGCAAAAAGAGCCTCTATATATTTGTAGCCTGAAAGCAATTTGCTGGGCATAATTTAGAACGCCTTACGCTTAAGATAGCCAAGACTTCTGGCAATGCTCTTTTTCTTCCCAGTTACAGTTACAAGATAAGGTGGAAGGCATTTGCTTTCCGGAAAAAATGGTTACAGTGCCCTCGGACTATTAAATGTGGTTGGCATCGGATAGAATTTATGATACCCATGGATTGTTACTGTTCCCGCTGACGTAAAATATTATGCTTTAGGAAATTCATGACAATTATTTATCGTATCGTGGAAAAAGTACTTTTTACTCAGCAGACATTTTTTTTGGTCCCTCGTAGTTATCATATGTAGGATTGTATGTTGGTACTATTATCTGCTTACCTAAAATGTACCCGAAAGTATCATGAAGGTGGCAGTATCCGTGTCAGCAATCTTGCAAAATTTGCGATGAATCTATTCATAATTCATTATATGATATAACTAATTGAGTTAGGAAATACGGGAAATACGATACGATAATCATGATGAGCATGCAAAGCCAGGAAAGACACTCTTATCTTTCATACCAAAAATAGGCACAAGCCTTAAATAGTCGTGTGTTTGCTGATTTCGAAAATTTTAGAGATAACAATAATAAACAGGAATTCTTCTTTATCTTGTCTACAGTATGGGAAAATAAAAGCCCTGAGGTTTGGTCTAATTTACGGTGCTTGTAGTTGAAGGGGGGTTGTTACTGCGCATTCCTCCTGTTCATACATCAGTTGGCGGATTAGACAATCACCAAGATGTATCTGAGTTTCTTGAATTTATTAGTGTGATTCTTAAGATCAGTGTTCCGTTAATGAGCGGCTTTGGATGTCCGGTATTGAGAGGTATTCCTGATAAAAGGGATCCCGATAATTAAGTGTCCGATATGAGAAAATGCTTAAAGCATTATCTCCACCAGTGAAAATTCATCCGTAATATTCCGTAATGATTCATTTTGTTTGCGTAGGCAGTCATCAATGTGATTGACTATCTTGATTGAACAAATGACATCGGAAACTCTCCGACTGGAGTTATTGCGAAAGGTTGGAAGTGTTTAATTGATATTGTTAATTACGTTTTTATTTTGTGTAAATCAGCCAAACTATCTTACATATGATATGAGGCTGCAAAAGTTTTCACAGTACCCTTCCAGAACAATATATTGAGTGTCAATCCGGGGCCGGGGATTATTTGAACGTATTAAGGTGACATTAGCAGTTTAATTAAATGCTCATCATTTAGAAATTATACTTTGCCCTATTAAGACTATTATCATGTAAATAAGAAATCATAAACCTTGTAACCATATTTCCAACGTTTCCCGAGATTTTCCTTTGCTTTTCTATCTTCTTCAATTTCTAATTCTTCCTGAAAATCAATGGCTGCCTTCCCAGTAGTAATGTCTGCCTCTGTGCTTGACTTGAAGCTGGTACCCCTGATAAACTTCCAGGAAAAGTAGAGCACGACAAAGAGGACAGTAGAGAAGTATGTAGTGAATAAATTCGTTACTGAGAACTGGCCAGGTAAGAATATCCAATACCCATTGAAGAATAGCACAGCAGCATTGAAGAAGCATCCGAAATACGACATAAATGGATGAACAAACCATGGTGCCTTGAAATACGGATAATCAGGACTATCAATGTCTTTTCCTTGAGCTTTCATGGCTGCTCTAAATCTAAAGAAGCAGATCCATATGCACAAGTAAGTGCATAGAATACCCGTTGAGCTTAGATTGATAAACCATTGAAATACGGTGAAAGAGGAGTACCCCACAGCCAAATATGACAAACCTGAGAGGCAAAACACCAAAATCACAGCCGTAATAGGTGTACCATTAGACAAGCATTTGGAGAATATTCGAGGTAAATATCCTGCCAAAGATGCAGAATAAGCTGTTCTCGTGGATCCATAAAAAAAGCCATTCCCACACGACCATGCGGATGACAATATTACAGCATTGATCATGGAATCCAAACCGTGGACACCAACACTTTTAATGCCAATGACCCAAGGAGAGGCTGTTGCACCTTCTGAGGTAGACAATGAAACAAGTAGATCTTTGTTATTTGAAGCACAGAGGGTGTTCATGAAAAAGATACCACCAAAATAGAATAAATAAATTCGAATATAAGTCCTTCTAGCACCTAATGAAATTGTATGGCGAGGTCTTCTGGCTTCACCAGCACAAATTGCTAGTAAATCAGGTCCTCCACAACTTAGTGCTGCGTAGATCATCACCATCCAGAACGCAGATAGTCGGCCCCATGCACCAGTAGCAAGGTATTCCTTCACCAACCCGCCTTTGGGCCAATTGCTAAAACCATAGGCCTCTCCTTTTGGGTTGCCGCCGCACATAGAGATCAATGAGAACAACATTAATCCTATAATTAACAAGACCTTGGCTAAGGAAGAATAGAATTCAATTTCTCCGTACCAGTTGACACCCCATACATTTAATAAAGCATAAGATATGAGACAAAGGGTGATCCATACACTTGAGTTAATATCTGGTTTCCAATAAGCTATGATACCACCAAACGCAACTGCTTCTAAGCAGATATACATTGTGGAAGTGTAAAAGTACATTATGGAAACTGCGAATCCTAATGCTGGATCTACCCAACGAGCTGAAAAGTGAACAAAAGCTCCTCTTAATGGTAAGTAGCAGCACATTTCCCCCACGCATTGCATCAACGGCCAAATCATTAAAACAGCATAAGCTACGAACCCCAAGAAAAGGGCCAACGAACCACCATATACTAAAGGGGCAGCTAATCCTACAAATAATCCTGTTCCAATACATTGACCTAAGATCATCAACGTCATATGTCTTGAAGAAAGTTTACGTTTGACTTCACCATTTTTCAGTGGGTTGAAGTCATCTTGGAAATCTTTGAATCTTGTTCTCTCATCCAATGTCAAAACTTCAGGGTCACAGGTTGAAATCTTATCCTCGTTATAGTGAGTACCATCTGTTGCTGTGGTGGTAGAACCATTGACTATAGCACCAGGATCAAAGATTACGCGTTTAGACTCTCGTAGCCAAAGCATGGCAGAGATTAAGGTTTATATTGAGGTGAGAAAGCCGTAGACTTGGTGAAGAAGAAGAGGAGGAGTACGTGACAACGAGATCAGGAAGGAGATGCATTGAAAAATTTAATGTGGCAATCGACCTTAATACAATCAACTCATTTGAACACAAAAGGCCCAAAGAAGAAACGGCTAAGCATCGAACAATCTATAAAATAATCTATAGCACGTTCCTATATGCATATCATTGCATATGAGCCGCCCTGCATATATATGTGGAGATACATTGTACTTAAGATTTTTCAAACGTCGCTGTCAGTGGACTTCTATGTATCAAGTTTAAAGTACCCGCCAACAGGTCCAGATAGAGTAAATTGTGTTGGTTGTTTGTACACGGCCACAATAGCTATAACTATGGTACACATTATAGTCCTTAACCAACCAAAGGCCAGACTAAATGGGTATGTGTCTTACTAAATTATTCCGAAGTAACACAAACAATAAAGAACACATTAGAATATATATGAAGGCAATAAGTAGAATTGAAATAATAGAGTAGTACTCCCTCTTCTAATTGAAAACGAAGTCAGTGATCTTGCGTAAAACTTTCCAGAAGGTACCTTGTTTATGAGGACGAGCCTCATCTTCTTGAATGTCAATTTCTTCTTGAAGATCAATGGCTTCCTTTCCTGTAGTAAGATCGGCTTCTTCGTTTGTTCTAAAGTGAGTTTTCTTCAAGATCTTCCAGAACATGAACAAGCAAATAAAGAAAACTGGAGCGAAGTAGGAAGTAAATAAGTTTGCAACGGAGAATTGGCCAGGGAAGAAAACCCAGTACCCGTTGAAGAATAACACACTTGCATTGAGGAAAACTGCCAAGTATGTCATGTATGGGTGAACAAATCTTGGAGCCCTAAAGTAGGGATAATCTTTACTCTTCATGTCATGGCCCTGCGCTTTCATGGCTGCCTTAAACTTAAAGTAACACCACCACAAACACAAATACGTACATAAAATACCAGTGGTTGACAAGTTAATAAACCATAAAAGTACTTCACCAGTAGAATTTGTAACGGACAAGAACGACAACAAGGAAATTGCAAACACCAAAAGAACAGCAGCAATTGGAGAACCATTAGGCAAACACTTACAGAGCATACGAGGTAAATATCCAGCCAATGCAGCAGAGTAACAGGTTCTGGTTGCACCATAAAAGAAACCATTACCACAAGACCAAGCAGAAGTCATAACAATAGCATTGACCAAAGAATCCAACCCCTTAACGCCAACATCACGAATACCAATAACCCACGGCGAGGCAGCAACACCAGCAGAGGCAGACTTTTTTGCATCAAGTAAAGTAGGATTATTAGAAGCACAAAGAGAGTTCATGAAGAAGATACCACCAAAATAAAACAAGTAGATACGGATGTAAGATCTCTTTGCACCCAAAGCAATGGTCTTTCTTGGTACTCTAGCTTCACCAGAGCAAACAGCCAATAAGTCAGGGCCACCACAAGAAAAGGCAGCATACAACATGACAGACCAAAAGGCAGATAATCTACCCCATCCACCTTCGGCAAGATATTCCTTTATCAACCCACCCTTAGCCCAGTTGCTAAATCCATAGGCATCTCCCTTTGGATTACCACCACACATAGAGATCAATGAGAACAACATTAATCCGACAATTAACAAGACTTTAAGCATGGAGGAATAAAATTCAATTTCTCCATACCAATTAACACCAAAAACATTAAAGGCTACATAAGATACAATACAAATAGATATCCACACACCAGGGTTGATATCAGGTCTCCAATATGCAATAACACCTGCGAAAGCAGTAGCTTCCAAGCAAACGAACATCGCAGAGGTGTAAAAGTAAATTAACGAAGCCGCAAACCCTAAGGCTGGATCGACCCAACGAGCAGAAAAATGAACAAATGCACCTCTGAGAGGCAAGTAACAACACATTTCACCCACCGCTTGCATTAATGGCCAAATCATAAGCACAGCCCAAGTTAAGAACCCAATGAAAAGCGCTAATGAACCAGCACTGACTAACGGAGTCGACAAACCAATGTATAAACCGGTACCAATGGATTGTCCAATGATCATCAAAGACATGTGTCTTGAAGAAAGCTTGCGCTTTGTTTGACCATATTCATCAGGGTTGAACTTATCATCGAAATCTTTGAAGTCAGTTTCACCTTCAAGATTGGAGATGACATGAGCAATTTTCTCTGGATCTGGGTCGCTGGTGTTGTCCTCAGTGATACTTACCGAATAAGGGCACTTCTTGTCACTCATGATTCAACTGGATGATGCAACATATAAAATTATAGGGGAAGTATGCGTCAAAGATGCAGTTGTAACCCTACTTAAATAGTACATGGCTTTACTGAAATGATTCGGGACCCCAACCGTACACAAAATTGCTATCTATAATGGGAAACGGAATATGGAAGTAGAAACCCAATACAAAAAAGGGCTTAGTTGATAAGAGGAGTATTAATTATTGAACATTAAGCCTACATACATTAAGAAGTATGGCGGAGGTGTGTGAAGCTTGATCCTAGGAAAAGTTGGTTTTGTGTTACGTAGAAGATGCTTTTGTTAGCGGGTTCTTAGCCGTTTCCTATACATAGACGTAATCAGTAGTACAATTTATCATCCTCACAAATCAGTCCTCGGAACCGGGGTCAAGTGCCGTTTTAGTCACCGAGGGAACCATCAAATTGATTTTATGTACTTAATTCTCAAGGCTATTACAAAACTATCGCTTATTCACCCATACCCATGTAGATGATGAACAGTATATATTTTCTTATAAGGGTATTCGTTTTTCTAAGCTTTCCTTCTTCTGTTTATTGCTATAGATGTGCCTTAGTTTTTCACCTCTTAAGCTTTTATCTGGTCATTCATGTTTCTCCACATTTCACTTTGGTGGTGGTGAACACAGTTAAGAAATAGAAATCAAATGTGCACCTGATTGGCCATCAGCATGGCGCGCAAATCTTGGCCCGATCCGGTGTCGACCAAAAAAAAGTTGTTATCCCAGAGATAATTGACTCTAATGATTGGAAACTTTTCGATCGACTTTTGGTATTCGAATGTTAGCGGTTTCCGATTGTACTTGGTAGTAGCAGGTTAATTTTGTTCAGGGAAAGATAACGATTATCTAACATTTGATAACAACGTTAAAGATTCCGGGGCAACTACACAGAATATGCGAACAGAAATCTTGGCACTCGTGGTGACATTGTTCTCACTCTCGGATAAAACTCAATTGGTCCTCGGTTCTACCCTCGTATATCACAAAAGGGATAAAGTGTAAACTTATTTTGCATGAGGGTCGGGTGTTGGTTAGCGGCTCCGAGGCTCATCTTTGAACTAAAACATCTCATAGGTCTTCTGATAACATGTCAATAGATAAATAGTATACCGGTTGGGTGTCAACAACATAGGGATTCGGCTATCCGACTAACTCCATACATAGGTTGGTTTCCTATTAGATCAATATGCGTAACGGAATTTTGAGTCACCGATAAGCATTTGGCAGCTCAAGAACGTCAATGAATTATAGTCAGATAATAAGAGGGGTATTCTTAATTTCTTGCGTCTAATATGATAGTTCTATACGAATTTGATATCATGAATTTTGCGATTCTATTAAGATGATTTCTATAATTGTAGAATTACATAAGCTTCATGCTGTACACTATTCCTTATCTGACACTTCTACCGTTCACGGTTACACCATCAAACGTCTATTACAAGCTGTTGAAAGTTGTATCGGATGGGTTCCTATTTGGTCAAAATTCCGTTGCTATTCCGTCCTGTTTGAAGGGGGTTGAAGAGGCCGTTTTTAATATTACTTATTTCGCAACCACTGCCGGAATCAGGGTCAAGTGGACCATGTAGCTTACGTTGAATGCGCCATTACTTAAACGCAACTAACATTCGCACTAAGGTGAGGCTCGGTCCGGGCTCATATATCTTATCCGATGAAGTTTGCTTATCTTGTATAAAATTCATATCTGGTTGATTCTAAGCCATGTGCAATTGACGTAGGCTTTTGTTAACAAGCGGCTGGATTAGTCCTTAAAAGTCTGATAAATTAAGAATTGGGGTTATTTGGTGATAATCTAGCAATTTCAGATGTATTGAGTTTTCACCTTATGGTGATAACATCTTTTTACTTCATATACTAGCTGTTCGGGAAGTAGGCATTACTCGGTGTCATCAATTAGTTCTATTTGAACTGTAACTATGCACTTTATATATGTTTACTGAGCTTCTAGATGTGAAAATTATGTTTCTCTATTGCTATTGGTCAAAGGCGTTAACATATCGAGATTTGAATCACAGCTTTCTTCATTTGACATTCCATTCAACTCCGTGGAGGAATCATATAGTATGAAGTTAGGCCATCTAATAATGTAATATGCCGTATATTATTAAACCGCAAACATTAGTAGTGAACGTATCTCGATTGAGAGTTAAGCTAATTGAAGCTATAAGTCAATGGAGATTAGTTCGGGTGCATTTAGGAGATTTTCCAACGAAGCTCTTCATTTGAACGCGACCTTAGAAGAGATCATCTTTCATTAACAAATTGCAATGGTTTAAAGTTGTGAAACCGTAAGAAGCAAATACTGGGATGTGTAATTAACTTAAGGTTATTATCAACTTCCAGATACTCCCAACTCAACTCAACATACATATTATAAGGAAGGTCTCAAGGAATAGGAAGAAAACAAGGCTCTACATTAGGAAACCTAAGATCAAAAGATCAGAGAATTTTAGTGTTGGTGACTGGCACAAAGATAACTCCGAGTTGTACACCAAACCCCCTATTAACCGTTAAACACTGGTAAAAAGCACTATTTCTTCTTTTAGTATTGAACAAATCGCGTTGATGAAGTTTCCACATTGTGGAAAGGAGTTCCGATCCGTTAAAAACCAAAGATCATTGGTTCATATTGACGACATTTCTTAGCATATGTCAGTACCCTGGCATAAACGAAATTAACTAGAACTTGGCTGAGTTGAGTACAATCAAGAGTTTAAGAATTCCAACCAAGAAAAGTGCAAGACGAGTTAAGTACAAAGTGGGAAGGAGGAAGAAACAAATGAAGTCGCGTTTATAATGTTCATCTGGCTCAATGATTCAAATAACGCTGGCATAAATATATACCTAAAAAAAAAAAAAGATATACTTACATAAAGAAACTGATTCACTAGTATAAACGCTTACACTCGTAAATATATACGTCCATACATACTTTCATAATTCATGCCTTCCCTCTACTGTGCACAACGTGCTTACATAACCAGGTATTCTCATACATAAGCACTTTATGAACATAAGCATAAAAGAGCCAACCTCTTCCAAATTTCCTGTACACAACCAAAATGTTCGCGAACCACGCACAAAAATTTTAAAATCACAATAGGAGTGACGAACTTCAGTAAACAAATATCAATGAGGCTTACAAGGAGTGGATATAAGGCTTTAGTGTATTGGTTCATAATGAATCTTGGCTTTGGAATGGTCTTGTGCTTGTTTCTATATATTTATGTAGCAGTAAGTTTCTTTAATTAAAATTTAGTTTGAAGAAGTTTAAAAACGTTTACTCTTTCTTTGCTTTCCATTCGTTCCCTTTCGCACATAAACTGTAACAGATCATAGTGCACTACAGACTACTACAGTAAAGTGAACTTATCGAATAACGAGTACTTGAATAAAGAGGGCTTATATAAAGAGTACTTATAAAAAGAGAACTATTGACTATTATGTGGGGTTCGTTGGTTACTCTTTTATTGAGTGTGATGTCCGTCACCTTAGCTCTTGATCCTGTCACGGTCAAGGGTAATGCGTTCTTTGTGGGTGACACTCGTTTCTATATTAAAGGTGTAGCTTACCAACCAGGTGGCTCATCTGATTTAAGCGACCCCTTATCTGATCCTGAAATCTGCAAAAGAGATATCACCTATTTCAAGGAGTTGGGAATCAACACCATTAGAGTTTATTCTGTCGATAATACCGCTGATCATGATGAATGTATGGCAGCCTTAGCTGATGCTGGGATTTATCTTTTATTGGATGTTAATATTCCAGATGCTTCTATCAGTAGATCAGATCCAGAATGTTCTTATAACGGGATGTACTTGGAACAAGTGTTTGCTACAGTGAAGATGTTTGCTGAATACGATAATGTATTGGGATTCTTTGCTGCCAATGAAGTTATCAACACAGCTGGTACTTCTAACACTGCACCTTATGTTAAAGCCGTGGTTAGAGATATGAAGAACTTTTTATACCAAAGAGGGTTAAGACAAATCCCCGTGGGCTATTCCGCTGCTGACATCGATGAAATCAGATTGGACACCGCCAACTTCTTCAACTGTGGCAATGATTCGATGGCCAGAGTCGATATGTTTGGATTCAACGATTACTCCTGGTGTGGCCGGGCTTCCTCCTTCACCATTTCCGGTTACGATAAAAAGGTTGAAGAATTCGGTAACTATTCCATTCCTTTATTCTTTTCTGAATTCGGTTGTAACACCCAAAGACCAAGATTATGGAACGAAGTAGAGTCTCTTTATTCAACGGATATGAGTGCTGTGTTCTCTGGTGGTCTTGCGTACGAATACTCGGAAGAAAAGAACAACTATGGTTTGGTCGAACTTAGTGGTGATAGTGTTGAATTGTTGGAGGATTTCACCAATTTGGCTGCCAAGTTCAACTCCACTGCCGATCCTCTGGGTGACGGTGGATACAAACAAAATGGTGTTTATTCTACTTGTCCTGAACTTGGAGCAGATTGGAACTCAACTAATGTGATTCCTGATACTCCACAATATGGTGAAATGATGATCTATGGGGAAATTGAACCTCAAGGTGGTGGTTATAATGCCAGTACTCAATGGGCTTGTACTATGAATCAATTCCTTGTTTCACAAGCTTCTTCTCTGTTACTGAAGGCCTCTTCTCGTACTTCTGCATCATCCAAGTCTTGGGTTGAAACCACTTCTGCCGGTTCCTCATCTTCTGGCTCCTCTTCAAGTTCATCCTCCTCTTCAAAGAAGAACGATGCTGTTGGTGCCTTTACTTATCCAACTATCATGACTGTTATCGTCAGTGCATTGGTGAATTACTTCGTATTATAAGAATACTATATATATATATATCGATATATTAAGCCTTTTGCTTGATACCGTACATCATTTCCTCCTTGTTGATCAAATGACCAATGCTATCAACTTCATCCAACAACTTATCAATATCGTAACACCAGTCGTTCAACAAATCATTGATATCAGCACCTGTTCTCTTCTTTTCATCTTGAGAAAAGATCACAATTCTCTTTGGTCTATTGATCTTTGCGTAAATCATCCCCTTATTAACTAACTCACTAACATAAGTTTCAGCTTCTAGCTCAGTTGATTGTAATAATGCAGCTAATCTTGATAAGGTAATGCATTGGTAATATTCATTAAATATACGCAAGTTGTACTCGATGATACGCTTTTGCAAATTCTTATAGTTTTGTTCATCTTGAAAAATTGGACACTTATCAAAATAATCAGCTTTATATTGCAGTTCCAAATCAGACCAATGAATTAATTCATTGGTAGTGAAAATAGTTAATAATTTGAAAAGTTTGGAATCAACAGACTTACTGATAACAGGATTAATTTTAATCTTTTCTATCAAATCCTTTTGATAATTATCATAAGGAGCCAAGATTATGTAATAGACAATGTTAACAGCAGCAAGTTTCAATTCTTCAGGTGTAATTATTGGAATATCAATCAAGAATAATGCATTCTTGACGATCTCAATATAATCACATTCATGAGTACTAATTTTAATCAAATAATTCAAATAAGTAGCTTTATATTCATCTGCTTTAGGAAAACTCTTTAAAGTCTTTATCAATATATTTCTACTCAAAATTTTGGCTTGAGCAAAATCTCCTTTATCTAAAGTCAATTCGATCTGTTTCAAAATGTATTCCACTTTAGTAGGGAAATCCATAAGTGAATAACTGGCCACCTGTAATTCGCATAACACTTCAATAGCCTTATCTAAATCATGATCTCTTTCCAAATAAATATCACTCAAAATTCTTGATGCCTTAGCTCTTTCAACTTCAACAAAAATTTTTTTATCAGTAACAGTTCTAATGGTCTCAATGATAGTTTTCTTCCATTGTAATTGTTCAGGATCATTATCATTTAATTGGTCTAATTTATCAATGACTTCACGAATAAATGATTGAATGGCAGTTTTCATCTGTCCATGCTTCTTACTCAATGACACCACAGAATCATTCAAATATTGCCAATCACGATTTTCATAAAGACATTTCACTATTTCACTCAAGACTCTTTTAGATGAAACCAAATCAGAACTTTGTCTTGTTTGTTTCTCCAACACCAAGTACTTGTCCAAAGCTTCTTTATAATCACTTAATTGGGAAATAATGGGAAATTGCTCATCCAAAATCGATGTGAAATCCTTCTCGGACTTAATCGGATCGTCTCTTGACATGACTCTATTGCGGTTAAATTATAAGATGATTTGATTGTATCTCTAATCAATTCGTAGCTGTGTGGCAACTTTACAGTTCCAACATCAACGACGATTTCATTCAACTTGGTGCACAAATCTATGAGAGATCACGTGATTGACGCGTGACTATTCTGTTCAGTTTTTTGTTTGTACACAATACTCCCAAATTAAAACAAGTTCAGGTTGTATAGTGTAGTGGTTATCACTGTCGGTTTTGATCCGACCAACCCCGGTTCGAATCCGGGTACGACCTTTGTTTTTTCAAGTTAATTTTTTGTATTGTACCGCCCATCTTATGTGCAGAAAATGCGCTTAACTACGTTATCCACTTTCAACCGTACTACCATATTAGGAAGGGAACTGCGGGAGAGTGAAACCCAAGCCATACTGGTGTAAAATCATACAAGCTAATTAAAACTTTACAAAACAAAATTGTAGGATTAGACTTTGCCAGAAACTTAGGGCAGGGCTCCCGTTTGAGTGTTCCAAAATGATTTAATGGATTCTTTGTTTCGATCCGCAAAATATTAGTCAACTGTTTCTCTGTTCATCACTTAAAATGATCAAAGTACCAGCAGCCCAATTCACCATAATCCATTTCTGGTTAGTGGTTCCGATAGATTAAGACATACTGATTATTGGAAGCCAGATATTCCTTGTTATGTGTAAGTGAATGGGATTAATATTACAGAGTGTAATGTATAGTTTTTTTTTTGATTGGTTTGTGTACCATTTTAGATCTTCATCTCGTTAAAAGTAACCGCTTCACATTACAGGTGGTCTAATTCCCGGAAGCTCGGGTTCAACACGATTGGACAGTTCGTGCTACCAACACTGAATGATAGGTGAGTTTAAAACCACAGATTTACTCCGATTGCGCTTTAATTGCTGGAGCCGTTTGTGATTATACTGTATTGTGACTTGCCGCGAACCACCTTCCCTTTATGGAACGTTGCCCTTTTATATGGTGGTGATTGATTAATGCCTTTTTGGAGTATGGGGTAAGCGGTAAAGTTAACCATATGATAAGAAGTCAGATGAGGAGTGTGTTGTTTCATATAAATATATAAATCGGAACCATAAAGGCAAATATTATACACATTTTTCTTTTCTTTTTGCCTGTTACTTTCTCCAATAACTAAATCATCATTAGAGCCTTTGGTTCCCTTTTCTTTGAACACCCCAATCAATAGAATCGAACCCTGAGATCCCAAGTTATGTTCATTAAGTTGAGTTATCAATATAAATTTGTTTTGTCATTCTAATTGCAACTTTATTGCATCACTTATTATTTTCATTAATTATGTCTGAATACTATAATTCTATCATTAAAGCTCTGAATAAAAAGAGTTACCCTCGTGTGCGGGAACTTACACTTGCTGACTCCGACAAGGCAGCCAGGACACTTTTGGAATCATTCACTGAAGATTCTTTGGCCCAATTGTTGACCGTCCATATGAAGGATGAGCAGAAGAGGGCTGAATGCGAGTATCTTATGTATAAAGCTTATACTCGTCAACACATCTTGAAGGGTGTTGTCCTCGGTATTGGTGAACTTGAGGACCGCTTTGAAACCGTTGCCATTTGGTCTCATCCTGATTCCATTGAAATTGGATTAGAATCTTTTGCCACTCTCATGGAATCTGGATATGATCAATTGTATAAAGCTTTTGACTCTGAGGGGAGACAAAAGGTTTTCGAAGGGATGATCCCCTTATTACATGATTCAAGTGTGAGAATTATCTCCACAGACTCAAGATTCAACGACAAGGCTTTATTCACCTTGGTTTATGTTGGTTCCACTGCATCTGCTAGAGGTAAAGGTAATGTAAGATCGATGTTTAATTATATGTTTGAAAACTATGTTGATAAGTGGCCCAATTCCATTTCATACTTGGAGAGTTCCAGTACCATTAACATTCCAATCTACAACAAGTTTGGTTTCATCTATAAGGAAGACATTGTGTTGGGTAAACGGTTTGAAGGAGCGGTTGAGGGTGTTGATTTCGCTGATATGAACATTATGATTAGAGGCAATAAGGGTCATGATTGGACTAAGGATGAAAACACCTATAAGCCTTCAAAACTTTAGATTATATAGAAACAATTATCTAAACTTAATATTCATTACTATATACATGTAATATGTTCTTGTTCCCTTTACTCGTCTAAAGACAACACACTCCGTTGACTTGGAGAAGTTTTAATTTCAAACTCCTTCTTGGCTCTCTCTCTCAAAACTTCTTCTTGTGCCTTGGAAATGGGCTTCACAACCTGATTGGGCGAAACAAACTTAAAGTTTCCAAACCCAAACTCACGGTCAGACATCTTATCCAAAACATACAATTGTTGTCTAACATAACCCAACAAGGCTTCCACGTGTCTCATGTCGATGTTGGGGTTCCCATTGAAGATGTTTCTCCATAAAGCGCTGGCAAAAGTGATGTCGTCAGTCATCAATCCTTCGTCATAACTCAAAACAGAACCCAACATTTGTTGATGATATTCCTTTAAGTAGTTTTCAATAAGCCTATTACTGTTGATCTTTAACTCTTCAGCCATTCTTAACTCCATATCACGGAAAATACGATCAACCAACTTTTGTTGATAGTTTCTACCGTATTTGAAGGGCATGGCTCTCATTCTAACATTTAAAATCCAATAATGTAAAATGGTGATTTGGAACCATTGACTAAAAGATTGAGGCAAGTTCAACGTCTTATAAAAGAATGCGGCGGTTTCACTCAACTCTTCATTGGGATAATACATCCCTTGACGTTTACATTCACCAAAATAATATGATCCAGCAACTGGTCCAGCACGAGATCTATCCATATCAATATTAAAAGCTTTAATCACCGTTTGACCAATGGATTGCAATATTCCAGGCATTTCATAGTTGGGGTCATTTTCAATCTTGTGTTCTGATAAGAATGGTCGTTTTGCTTTGGCTTGTTTCGGGTTAATGTTCAAGTCTTGCTTGATATGAGGAAGGGTTGACTCCGTAGCCATCTTATTGGGAGCTTCTATCTTCTCGTCATTGACAAGTATTCTTGATGATTGGTGAATAGTTCTGATCCCAGTTCCTCTTAATAAGGTTCCCGTCCTTATCCTAGCAGAAGAAATCATGTTGAAAAATATGCACAGCTATACTCAAGTGTACTCAAGTGTACTCAAGTAGACTCAAATAGACTTAATCACTGTCTCTGTAAGCATACCAAGGGGGGACCCTTTAGAAAATTTTTAGTCTCCAAATTTACTTGTGTCTCCACCAAAATATTCTCAACAAGCGAAAAAAATTTTAAAGTCAAGGTAGGCCCTGTAGAGTCCATAAAAGATCATTTGAACGCTGTGACCAGTAACATCAGTTGACAGTTGTGACATGTCTAATTCAATTAGTCAGGCGTTCAAGGCTTTACAGCTCAACAAGGCCGAGTCATCTTCAGAACATGAGAACATATTCGAAGTGTCGTATGAATATCTTTCCAAGATCAAGAACTATAACGATGTCAAGGCGTTCCAGAACTGTCTTGTGGCATTGATAAATTTAGATAAGTATAACAAAGCATATGAGTTGATCCAGAAGATCCCTGAAACATCTGTTGAAGCAGAGTTGGTGTTGGAGATAGCATATGTCCTTTATAAGGTTGGTAAATCTGATCAACTCTTGGACCTCGTCAATAAACACCAAGATGCGGTGAGCGATGGCTATTACCTGTTTGGGATCAAGAACATCTTAGCACAGAACTACTATAAAATCGGTAAGTATCAACAAAGTTTACAATTGGTTCAAGAATGTATACGTGAATCGGGTGTGGCTGATAACACGGACTTTGCAGTCAATGAAAGAGCAGTGATTTCCCAAATCAATTTCCAGCACTCTACAGTAGTTAGTAATGCTTCCACTGATTTAGATAGTCAGAATTACGATTTGTTATTCAACGAGTCGTTAATAGAGTTGTCTAAGAACAACAAACAGAAGGCTTTGGAATTGTTGAACAAGGCAGAACAATTATGTTTGGAACAAAATATGGGTGCTGATAAAGAAGACTTTTTAAGTGAATTGCTTCCTATAAGATTGAATATCAATTATATCAAACAAAGACAAGGAGATTTGGTAGGTGCCATTGAAGGCTTAAATGAAGAATACAGTAATATAGGTTCAATTAGTGATGATTTCTTGAAGTTGATTCTCAAGCTTAACTTGTACTCCTGTCAACAAGAACAGCAAGCTGGAGCTGGGAAAAAATTTCAAGAATCAAATCTTGTGTTCCGTGATTTACAATTACAACAAGTGTTGAATAAAATGAACCAAAAATTAACCAAATTCCAGTATCATGTTCTTATGAAGAACAACCTTTTGGCCAAATATTTAGATGGAACTTTGGGGTCCACCTTAACTTCGTCAAGTTTCATCAAAGCATATTTGGAAAGCTTCCCTGAAGATTTGACTGCCATGGTTTACGGACTTTTAAGTGAATTGAATATTACTGCAACTGATTTACAAGATAAATCCAAACGCTTTGAGCTCAAAAGGAAGCTTCAAGCTGCAGCGGCAACAGCAGCAGACACAAAGAAACAATTTGCTTTATATATTCTCAGTGATTATATCTACAAGAACTTAGACACTGATAGTCCCAGTGGCGCTTGGCCATCTAAGCAATTGAGTAAGATTATACAACATGGATTGGAAGATGGTGACAGTAATCAGCTAATCCCTTCAGTCGTTGGGTGTTACATGAGTTTAAAGGAAGGTGATTTAAATTACGAAGAAAAGGAAAAAATAGTGCAATCTTTGAAAGATAGAATTATAACAGCTAATTCACAAGAGTTAGCATCTGATCCCAATCTTTTAATGTTATACAAGGAATTAGGATTTCAACTTATTCAAGGAGTTCATGCCAGGGGAGAAGGTTCGTCCTCTACTACCATTGAATATGGGAAGCAAATTCTTGAAGCGTTGGCTAAAGCTATTCCTGGAGATAAGTTTATTTCAGCCTTTAATTCCAATGATGTTTCCCAGTTAATCGATGTTGACCAATTACAAGCCAATGAAACCATTGAAGAATTGGTAGAGGAAGGTATGCAAGGTTTCCAAAAGTATATCATCCAACGGAAGTCACCCATTCACAAGTTAAGATCAAGAAAGAGAAAGCCAAAGTTTTCAGCAAATAAGATCATCAAGTCACCAGAAGATTTAACTTTAGACCCCGAAAGATGGTTACCTATGAAGGTAAGATCTTACTACAAGCCCACCAAGAAAGACAGACTCAAAGCATCGCATCAAGGTGCAGTTGAGAGACAGTTAACTCCAGCACCTCTTGAGTCTACAACCACCAACACCAACACCAACACCAGTTCCAGTTCCAGTTCTAACAAGAACAAAAAGAAAAAGAAGAAGGGTAAGAAGTAGGAATGTGATGATAATGTCAAATAGAATAAGTAAGCAAGAAACCTGTAAGTATACGTCATTCTTTATCTCATCGGTGTAGTAGGTTACAACTTTCCCGAATAGGGAATTATATACGCGGCTAACAAAAACTGAGCCCTAATGGGCAATTGGAACCCCAGACACTGATAACAGTCAGCAGAAGCCACATGCTTACCAAAGACATTAATGGAGTATAAATGTTAAGATAAGGTTGGCAAAAATAATTTTTCTTCTATTTAAGCTTAACATTAGAGTAACAGTTTCAACAGTTTAACATTACTTTTAAAGCGTAACAGGTTTATATCAACATCGATAATAAAATGACTACTGGTGAAATCCCCAACGAGTTCCAAGGTTACGGCGTGTTGAAGAACGGTGATTGGTTCAAGACACAGTTGATCTCTTATCCTAGAAAGAACATCAACCCTAAAGATGTCGTGATCAAGAACATCTGTTGTGGTATTTGCGGGTCTGATCTCTTGACCTTGAAGCAGCAATGGGGTCCTATGCTCAGAGAAGACGGATGTGTAGTTGGACACGAGATCATTGGTCATGTCATTGCCACAGGAACAGAAGTTACTGAATTCAAAGTGGGCGACAGGGTAGGTGTCGGAGCTCATTGTACGTCTTGTGGAGGTTGTGCCAGATGTAAGTCTGATAACGAACAATATTGTCTTCAAGGTGTCGATACTTATAACGACGTAGACGGCTTGCACGATGATTACATCACTCAGGGGGGATACTCGTCTCATTTCATTGCCAATGAGAAGGAAGTGTTTGCCATTCCTGCTGAGCTCAGCAGTGAAGAGGCTGCACCCTTGATGTGTGCGGGTCTTACTGTGTTTTCACCTTTAGTCAGAGAAGTAGGCTACAATGCTACTGGCAAGACGATGGGGATCATTGGGATTGGAGGGTTAGGTCATTTGGCCGTTCAATTCGGTAAGGCCATTGGAGCCAACGTGGTTGCCTTCTCCAGATCTTCATCAAAGAAGAAACAGGCACTTGAAATGGGTGCGTCTACATTTGTTGCCACTGGTGAGGAAAAGGATTGGACCACAAACTTTAAAGATGGGTTTGATTTGATCTTGAATTGTGCCATTGGGATCGATGGTTTGAATCTTGATGATTACATCTCGGTGTTGAAAGTAGGAGCCAAGTTTGTATCTGTTGGGTTACCTGATGTTAAGGAGAAGTACTCTGTTTCTCCCTTTACATTCCTTCAACACGGTGCTGCCTTTGGGTCTTCTTTATTGGGGTCAAAGAAGGAAGCAAACTACATGTTGAAGTTGGCGGCCGAGAAGGGAGTTCGTCCATGGATTGAAAAGGTCCCGGTCAATGCCAAGAGCTGTAGTGAAGCGTTACAAAGATGTGATGCTGGTGATGTTAGATATAGATTTGTTCTCACTGATTTTGACAAGGCTTTTAGCCAATAGAAGTGTATGAATATGGACAGAATAAGATAGATTTATAATAAATAGTATTATATTTATGGGTATCAACTTTATGTACGGGTATCAACATTCTATTATCTTGAATGCATTCTTCTTTAATAATGTTTTCTTTGATTCATTCTTGCCCACTGAAGATGATCTTCTGTGTGCAGCTCTTTTTATCATCATCACATCATCATTATTTGATCTGACCAAATACTTTGATCTCTGGTCCCGAGGAGGAGTCAAGTAGCAGGGGAAGTCCAGCTTCTTATGTAAACTGTTGAAGTCGTTATTATGCGTTTGAGAGACGTACAAGTCTGTCAATTGGATTTGTCTCCTTGATTGAGGATAATGGATATACCCAGGGAATTTGGCAATGTTCAAGTCACTTAAAGGTGATCGAGTCATTGGGGTGGTGGTGGGGGGGGTATTGGTGGTAGCAGTAACGCTGTCAGCTATTAAACGCATTTTAGGCTGTAAAATATTCTCTTGGTCATTGTGATTAGATTTATTGGAAAGTGATGTTGTAGAGGTGGTGGAGACTCTTTTATAGGGTCTTTTGTCTTCAAAGATTTCAAAGGAGATGGGATGCTTTCTTGTGGGACTGGGAGAGTTTCTTACAGACACATTGGAATATTCTAATTTGACATCAACAAATGGATTATGGTTATTACTAGTGGATGGCTTTGGTCTCTTTGGTGAAGGCGTATTTCTATTAGAGTTATGTTTAGGAGATAACACTGGTCTCCCGTATCTTTCAGGAGAAGAGGGCATATTTAGTATAGTTTATTATGGTAAGTAATATAGTATGTCACACCACAGTTCAGTTCGATCCTAGGTCTTATATATATATAGATTCTTACCCTGGACACAACTTCAATCACGATTGTTTGGAACAAACAGTCAAACAAATCGTTCCGCAACGCGGCTTGGGAATTTTTACTTCTTAGTCGACCGACTGAAATATCGAACGAACTAATGAAATCTACGTATGCAAGTATAAATATATGTATGAATGTCTACAATTATGTGTATAAGATATAGGGATGTAGATATGAACGTACATATGCCTATTCCAGGTACTTTGACGAAGAGGGTAGTAGACGGAGTCGTTGTGCATCGTCGTTAAAGGCACTCCAATTTAACTGAATTCGGTTTCGTGGTAGAGCCATGCAGTCCAGGTCGACGGTACGAAGGGGATACTACGATTTATGGTGGTGTGCATAATTGATGATGCACCACAATGACGTACAAACGTTGTAACATAGCTATTATTATTATTATTATTATACAGACTGTTAACCTATGGTTTATACAAATTGGAGGCCACAAATGGTAATTTGGTTATGGTAGCATCTCTTAACTTGTTTCTAACCTCGAGTTTAACTAGTTCTCCAATCTTGGCTTTCTTATTAATATATGCTTGTGCAACATTGCCTCCAAGAGTAGGAGATGGTGATCCAGAAGTAACGTACCCGATTTCTTCACCATCCACATTGAAGATCTTATTATGATCTCTTGGGGCTGGGCCCTTAGAAGCAAGCCCAATTCTTCTGGTTTTGAGCAAAGTTTTATCCTTTAACTGAGATAAAATGGTGGAGGCACCATTGAATGTAGCCGTTTCAGGTGTTCTTCTTGATTTGGGGATTAGCCATGATAATGATGCTTGCACTGGGGTGATATCTTCTGCGAGTTCATGTCCATAGAGACACATTCCAGCTTCTAATCTTAAGGAATCTCTAGCAGCCAACCCAATTGGTTTGACTAAATCTGGGTTTTCTTCAATCAAGGAATCGAAAAACAGAATAGAAGCCTTTGTTTCAACTTCTGAAGATGATGGAATAGATAATTCAAATCCATCTTCACCAGTATAACCTGATCTGGCTAAATGAATAGGAGAATCTCCAAATGGTGATAATTTTAAGTACTTAGCTTGTCCAAAATATATCTTGGATAAATCTTCATTAGTGAACTTTTGTAACAATTCAGCAGCTTTAGGACCTTGGATTGCTAATAAAGTACTTTCAAAAGTAGAATGGGAAACATCACCAAAATTGGCTGCTTCCTTCTTGATGAATTCAACATCTTTGTCTCTACATCCCGCATTGGTCACTATGTAGTATTCATAGTCCCCATGTTTGGTGATAATACAATCGTCAATAACACCACCTTGTTCATTGAGCAAAACGGATAAGCTGAAAGATCCAATTGGTAAACTATTCAAATCAATGGGGGTGATCTTTTGAAGAAACTCAACAGAATCCTTACCGCTAACGTTATGTTGTAACATGTGGCTAACATCGAAAAGCCCAACTTTAGATCTAACCCAATTATGTGAGTCTATGTGACTTTGATCCTTATATAAAACAGGCATATCAAACCCAGCATAAGGAACCATTTTCCCCCCTAAACGAACATGAGATTCATATAAGGGAGTACGGGCCAATTTAACGGCAGTGGAATACAATCTTTGGGCTGCTCTGCTACTCATAATGTTGTTAATGAAACTATTAGTTATATATTGTTACCACCTTTCCAGGGGTTTATATAGTTGTTGTGTTTCCGAGTTAAAAAGATGACTCGGGATACCCCATACTTTGTCCCGAGTCGATGGACCCCGGAAGAGTCAATGAAAATTTTGTACTACACACTACACTATACAAAATTATAGTACCATTCCCAGGTCAAGCCAACTTAGGTGACGTTTCAAATACATATACCATGAACCCGAGTAAACCATACATCAATGTACTCAATATGCAATATATAGATAACTCTTTCATGGCATCTCTGTACTTCACATGCCCCTGAGCATCTGTAACTGACTTCGGTTTTCGCAGTTTAAAGTGAGAATAAGATGAAAAGTTGTTAGGCACAACATCAGCATCGCCATCCTCATTGTCATCATCATTTCCAAGGGTATACAAACCATAAACAAGAGCCACAAAGAGAAAGATCCATATTATTGGGAAAATAAACCCTATAAAATACATTTTAATAATCTGTGTTTTATATTTACCAAAGAATGAACATCTACTGCATGTGCACCTCTCAATGTAGTTAGTACTTGGCTCCAATTCCAATTCATAAGCAGTAGTCAAGTCCATGATTAATAACTAGTCATAAAGATGATGATGACATTAACGTACCATATTAAAGGTATTCTATATTCTTTTTATACTAACAATTGATGGCTGCAATCATTTCGCAGCCGATGTTCCAGGACATTATACGATTTCCTAATTAGGCATGGTCCATGAATAATCCTACTGACCAGAGTGAAACAAATTGTACACAAGCAACTGTTAACAAAAGGTGGAATAAATCAACAGATATATGACTAAGTTTCCTCTATATATCTCAATTGAATATATATTCTAATTCAATTTCTTCCATCATCATATTCAATGGTATACATCCTTTCTCCATTGCAGCGCTACCATACGATCTTACACTACCTATACGATTTAGAGACAATTAGTTAGTAAAGACTACTAGTTAAGATCTACTTGCCTCCACAACAAGTGGCCTACATCCTCCTCACTATGTGGATAAAATGTCGACTCTTGATATTTCTAAGATAGCCATAGCACTAGGATCGACCAAGATCAAAGACCGCAGCGATGCGTTGAGTTTACTCGAAGAATTGACCAATTCCCAAACCACTATAAATTCCAAATCATTTAAGATCATAGGATCAGCTATATTTGATTCCATAGAGAGAGAATTGGAGGCCATAAACAAAACCACCCGGCAGAAATCGGGTCCTGCTATTACCCGATTGGAGAGAATGACTGTTGTTGTTCGAGGGCTTGTGGAGAAGTCGTTGTTGTCTGAGAATAGAGTTGTCAGGCTAAACTATGGTAATTACCTTGACGTGATTTTAGGATTTATCAAGCACTTTAAATTAGGAGTGGAATCGGGGTTAAATTTAACCATGGAATCTTTTACCCGAATAATTAATTCAATTGTGTCACAAGATGGATTTGTATGTCATATAAGTTACTCTGAATGGTATCAGATATTCAGTTTTATCACCAATGGGATCAATAATGGTATTACGTTGATACAATATGATCAATTCAATAATAGAATTGTTAGTCAGCTATTATTATCACTTTGCAATCTTTTAAATTGCTCCAAGAACATCCCCCTCAATCATTTGCACATTTACACTAATGATAACTACAAACTGTTACTGAAAATATTAAAGAAATCAGCAGAATTGCCTCAATTAAGTCCCAACACCGCAATAACACTTATAAAAATCATAAACAAGTTGATTATAGGCTTTTGCACCGAAGATATCATGTTTGTACATTGCTTGATCTTCATTGGGATCAATTTGGTCTTACGATTCGTCCGTACTAATTTGGACGGTTTGAAGACTCAAATGGGTATTTTTTTGAACTTGGAGCAAATGCATTGCTTTTTAGATCCAACAAGCTTCAAACAGGAACCATATCAAGAGAATGATAATTTTAATTCTTTCACTATTGAATTGGATAAAATAACCTACAAGCTTAAGCTTTTAGTACTGGATTTGCTTTCAGTATTGGAGGAAACTTCATTCACGTTTAAATCCAGCAGTCTTCTTTTGAAATATCCAACACAAATTTCCGCCAGACCAAGCCAGGGCATTCTTCCATCGGTATATCTTAGTACAGGAGGTCTGTTGAATACATTCTTACTTATTAGTGGTGTTGCCAAATTGGTTAATTCCTTCTACCTGCTTAAAATGCTGCATAATTCCATTCTTTATGATGAAGAAGAGTCGTTGTCTTCATCATCATTATCGTTATTGACTTCCAATAAGAGAAGGAAAGTCAGCTCAATTATATCATCATTTCATGCGGCAAGTTCAAGCATACAATTTTTCAAAACATTGATTTCAAATAAGAATGAGCCCAAGTCCATACTATTGGGGCTACAATTGATCCTTATACAATCTGATTTGGGTATGATCAAATATGATGTCAGTGATTCAGGCTCTCCTTCAAACGAATTGATGAAAACATCTTCTGGGAAGAATGATGATGATGAAATCTCTGGGTATGATTTTTCCATTCTTTTATCTGATAGTTTTACAAAGAAATCTCTTTTAGTTGTATTATTGGAACTTATAGAAATACTGGAATATAGAGAATGGAGCTTTCTTTGTTGCAGATCAATACTATTCTGGATTCCAAAGATTACCACCAACACTTTCACTAAGAAAACAGTTTCCACCTTTTGTGACCAGCTTATTTCCAAGTCTATGGCTTATGTTAACGTGTTGGACGTGGCAGCAGATTCCATTTACATTTGTACGAAGCTCTGTGATAATTATTTGAACCAGCAGCATGATTTATCTCCAGATTTAATCAAGTTACTACAAAATATCGACTCCAAGGGCCCAAGAAACCTCTGCACATCTTCGTACCACTTTTGGTACGGCTGCAATATGCTTTTGCTGAAAGGTTCACCCACTTTTAATGTCTTTTCATTAACAGAATCGGCACAAGAATGGTTAATTTCCAGAATGCAACACAGTCAAACCGGGGAATACATTTATTGTCAAGAGTTTGCCTTATTTATAGAATGGCTTATTGGTTTTGAAGTATCAATTCCCTTGAGAATGCTACCACTGAATCCAAATCACGTGGGTATTGGGTTAGAGTGTTTTAATGATAAGTACATGGAACTCTTTCTGTTCATTTCAAAAGCCGAAACTGCAGAGAAAACATATCACGTCAACTTCCCTGATTATTGGCACGAATCAATGTCTATTTCCAGTTCAAATGATCCAAGCAACTTTCTCCTTCGCTTGTTGCATGTTCCCAGAATATCGCTCCAAGATCCAGTTTCGTTACTACGATGGTCGTTTGTGTTGTCCCAAATTGCTACTTGCCTTGGAAACAAAAAAATTAATGAATATGTTGTTGAAACAATTGAAAGTTATACCTTATCTTTAGTCCATGAGGCACACTTACTAAGCATGACTTCAGACCAGTTATTGACATATGCTGATTCCTTCTGTTTCAAAGAATTGAGCGATGTCAACCATAATTACCTAAAGCACTACGTTCCGGACTTTGATAGCATCTTGCCTGCGACAACAGACTCTCAGTCTAAAAATTCATTAGACTTGGCTGTATTTTCGGCTCTTGATAGTGCATTTGATAGCGTTGGACAACTGCAGAGTCCTCCGGCACTGGAGTTATCATCATCAGCGTCATCATCGTCAGATGCTTTAACTGAAGGCCAATTGGCCATTTATCCTCTGGAAACTTTGAAGAAGTTGAAGTTGGTGTGTTCCTTAGTGGGATTGAAAGTTTGGGAGTCTAATAGAATTCTAGACTATATCAAGCCTCTAAAGGGTATAACTTTTGCCAGTTGTGTGCTCTATTTTTTAACCGAACTCGATAAGGGCATTCTTCTGTCTTACGGGGCTCTAGATTTACCATTCCTAACCACTTTAATCCAAGGAATTGGAACCAAACTATTGGCTACTAAGTTTGATAGGTTTGAAGTAACTCAAGTTTTGGTTTGCAGATTTTCGTGTATGATTATGGAGATTATTGATGATTATTCACATGCCAACCAGGAACAGTTTAACAAGTTTAAGCTGAATAGTGAGGATATTACTGAATGGTTAGTATCAAGCTTTAATAAGGGTCATTTTGGAACAGAATCAGCCTTGCGAGAGTATTTTATGTTCTCTGTAAATCATTCCAAATATAATGAAGCCGAACAGTTTATTGGATCTTTCTGCAAAGATCTTGAATCGACTACAAACAACTTAAAGGCCTCAATCAAAGATTCGTTTGTCATATTGTTGAATCATTCCAAATACCCAATGACATACTACAGGGATATCTACAGTCAAATTGGCAATTTTCTGAACTCAATGGAGCAAGCCATATCTTCGTGTTTGATACTAAGTTGGCTAGGAGTTCATGTTAATAGCATTTCTTGTCCCTCACTATTTAATTTGCTAGAGGGGACCAAGAATCTTTGCTTACAACCTTACATTATGGCGCAGTTGAAGAATTACGTTGATTATTACGAAGTTAGTTCAGCTAAAGACCTTTTCAGTCTACAGAAACGGGAGCTATTAACTTATTGGTGCCATTTCAACGACATCCATCTGTTCCCCTTTGGACTATTGGGATTTACATCTATGAATGAGTTCTTATCTACTAATTCCACAGAACTTGTGGCTATAGATGTTTCCACAATCAAGAAGAAGAAAGGGGATGATGAAGCTACTATTAGTATCATTGAGGATCTTGTGGCCATAAAACAATCATCAGAATACAGCATTATTGTTGATAGTATCCCATTAATTATACCTTTTGCATACACCAGAAATGGAATAAGGAATAAAGTATTTGATTATTTAAAGCAGAAGTTGGGTCCAAACTCCAAGAAAGAAATATCAGCAAAGATTACGTTGATAATCTACCAGATTCTTCAATATACAAACATTTCAAAGGAACCATTGACTATAGAAACGGAAGGTGGTAAATCTCAATGTGATTTGAGTTCGAATAATCATATCGTTCTAGAAGATATAAGCTCGCTTTCAATTACCTTAGCTACATCATTAGATCTTATGTCTACATTGATATCAAGGTTTTCTAATGATAATAATAGCAAAACCGAGTATTGGAATTCCCTGGCAGTGGTTCATTTTTTACTAAAAAGAATTACCTGTACACTCCACAAGTCCTTCTCATTGAATGTGAAAGTAGCATTGATCAGAAGAATAAAGCTTGTGCTCTTACTTTCCCATAAATGCAACTTACATTTCAAAACACTTAGAGTGGTGATAAATGAACTTATGCCCTTGATAAGCCATAAGGAATTAGTTGAAGATGTCTTTAAGATTTTAAACTACTTGACAAGGACAAATGTGTTTTCACTGGACCACGACAGGGCACTTGTTTTAGCGATTCAAATTATAGAGGGCTTACTAAAGAACAATAATCTCAACACCAAGGAATATGCTACACTTTTGTTGAATATTGAAACTAATTTGAGCACTTCAAGCCATCATGAACTTATCCACAAGATACTAGAGATTTGTGTTAACCATCTTAAGTTCAAAGAAACCAAATTGCACCCTTCATTGGTGGAGGAGTTCATTGCTAAAGAAATAATGCTTTTTGGTGATGTCAAGATTCAAAAGCTATTGATCCGATTAATTTCTGCTATTTTTGTTGTGGTCAAAAAGGCAGAACTTGACATAGGAATAGGCAAAGAAACAAACCCAGAAGTAGCACGTTTCTTATTAAACTTTGACGAGCAATCGGTTGGTTTATTATCTGATAAGTTTGCCTACTGGAGATCCCAATATCTAGCAAACCACTATTTGAATGGGAATAAAACAGAGAAGCTCATTGTCAAGCGGGAATTTGAAACTGAATTATCCGTCCCCAAGTTTACAGACTACTGTTCAACCTTGAATCCTATTGTTAAGAAGATCTTAGCAATACTGGATAATTTAGCTCGGCCCTCTGACTCAATATGCTCAGAATCTATTCTCTCGGTTCTTGTATGGAAGATCGAACACAACAAGAAGGATTTACGGAAGTGTATTACCGTTGACCTCTTGAATGAAGATTTCATCTTACCCTTGGACTTCCACTCTTGCATGCTAATTAATTCTGAAGAGCAAGATTTGGAGTATTCTATTGATGAGTTTGTTGAGCAGATGCACAATTCCAATTACTTACAAGCTATGGAACCAAGCTCTCTTGCTAAGCAACTATGCCTTTTCATTCTTGAGAAGATTTCTACTGTGACTACCATTGGACCACTTATATCAATTGGTGTGATAAGAGTATCTGAGTTCGGGTTGAGTATCTTCCCCTTCTTATTGCTCTTTTGTATCAAAGCCTTTGGTTATGACGCTGTGAAGGATGTGATGCAGTTTTTTGAAACATATATGGGTTTAAATTCGGGTTCGGGCTCATCACTTATTAAAAAAATGATTTCTGATACAATCATCATGATAAGATATGGAGCTAAGCTTGAGTATCCTCCGTTTGTTGAGATCTACAATAAAGTTAACTTGATACTGGCTATTAGCAATTGCATTGAGACGAAATCCTTTAGAATGGCTTTGATTTTATTGGAAGATGCTTATATAAAAGGTACAGAGATCCCACAAGAGGTTACGCTTGTCATTTACGAGTCCATTGATAATGAAGATATGATTTATGGGTCTTATGAGACCTTGAATAACACAGAGTCTTTACTAAGGTTAATTAATTTAGGTAACCAAAGTTCCTCCACCAAATCGCTTTATGCCAGCGCGCGATACGACGCTTCATTGTATTCTGGTGGGTCAGGGTTGGGATCTGCTGCTTATTCCGATAATTTGGTGAAGACATTGCTATCCAATGGAGCCATGGGGATATCAAGAGCCTTATCAAAATGGGAACCTGGGGTTTCTAGTTCCTTTGAATGGGGCTGGAAACTAAACCGTTGGGAACAGCCTACTACAGCTACCAGTATTCATTCTGAACCAAGATATGACGAATTGATGTACTCCTTGCTCCAACAAGTGTCTGTCGACCACAATGAGGGTCTTAGGTTCATTGAGTCCTTTTCATTACCTTCAACAAAGTGCAGCAGCACAAAACTGAGCTTAAAGGAGATCAGTGATAAGAATGAACTATATCTCCGAAGCTTGGCAGCGATAATGAGTGTGAAAGATATCTTGTGCGTTGAAGATAAAGAAGATGTCTATAAAAGGATCAACCAATTCTCTAGAACAACGTCTTGGTTTCTAGAAGACGAATTTCTGCGTTCTGAAGACATTCTAATAGCCAGAAGGAATGCTCTCCAATTGTTACTGAATAAACAATCGACATTACACTGTGATACTTTTAAATTGGGTGCTTTGACTGAGGTCATTCGATATGGGAACATTGCCAGAAGAAATAGCAGTTCTGACCTTCAGAAAACTATCAACTCCACTATGTTGCTTTTGGAGTTTCTGAATGGACCTGGATCTCCAGTGCCCGGAGTTAATGCTGTGGTGAAGTTTAACACTGCCTTGAGTCTTTGGAAACAAGGAATGTCCGTTGAGGCAGTTAACATCTTGAAGAGTTTACTATTGGAGCTGAATAACAATGGGGTTCTTCTCAGTTTCCCCATTGAGTCCATGTGCCTTTCAAAGGCATTAATCAATGCCACATTGGCCGAATGGCTGGCTATTTCAAGACAAGAATTACCTGCAACAATCATGTCTGATTACATCGAACCGACTCTTGAAGAGCTCGAGTTTAATGGGATTAATGTCCATCACCACTTGGTGACTGTATACCGCAAGTTTGCTCATTTCTGTCACAGTCAATATAACTCTGGCCTGTTACAGGACAAGATTTCCCTACTATACAAACGGTTGGAAGAAAGGAAGAAGGAGATTGACGAACTAAAGGACCATTATGGGAAAACTCTGGTAGGTTCCGAGGAGAAAAGACTGGCCCAAAAATACTATGCACGGTTGAAACAAGAATATCAAGTTGAACACGAAGAATTAAAAAAACTTCGAAGATTAAAGGAAACATTTGCCATTATGGCTACTCCATTATATTTGAAAAGTGTTCATGTGAGTAGTAGTTCAGATAGTCAAAGGAGTGTTAGAGATGATTTTGATAAGTTCTTTTCATTATGGTTTGAAGATAAAAATCGATCTTCTGACAATCTGATCAACAAATTAGCCAGTGAAATCCCGTCCAAGTACTTTTGTGATTGGGCAAGTCAATTGGTTTCAAGATTGGAAGGCATGGATTCCAATGATGAGTTTCAAGATCTTTTACATAAGATTATCATGAATGTATCTCGTGATCTGCCCTACCATATGCTTTATCCTTTAATGTCATTGAGAATCTCAGGACTTTATGAAGGAGATTTATCCTTGAACCGCAAGGCAGTTGCAGCCAATAAGATCTGGCGAACTCTTGTTCAACGGGAATCGGAAGAGTACATTTCTTTAATGAACTATGTTGATTTATTTTGCAATGAATCGGTAAAATTGGCCGAGTTCAAAGGTTCTAAAGGCCGTTCAATAAACTTGGATAAACTAGACGCAAGTATAGGAGATTATTGGCTTCATCAATTACCTTATATTTGTCCTCCAACATTAATTGGAGAATCTTATGGTAGTGTTGACAATGTTCCTAAGATGGTTCTGATCAAACCTAGAGTTATAGTGGCTGCAAGTGGTCTAAGCTTACCTAAAGTTGCAACCTTTGTTCTCTCCGACGGAACGGAACACAAGATGTTATTTAAACATGGATCGGATGATTTACGACAAGATTCCATTATGGAGCAAGTTTTTTCCAAAGTAAACCTGTTTCTCATTGCCAATAAGGAGACCAGGAAACGTAACTTGCGTATAAGAACTTACAATGCCATCCCACTTGGACCCAAATCAGGTATCATTGAGTTTGTCAATAACACCGCTGCTTTGATTGATATTCTTAAACCGTTGCATGATGCTTATGACTCTTACAAGATGGATAAATGCCGAACCTTAATGAGGGATGTTCAAGCTAGAGATAAGGCAGAAAGAGTGTTAACTTATCAACGGATAACTGAGAAATGTACCCCCAAATTGCATTATTTCTTCATGAGCGAGTTTGGTACTCCAGATTCTTGGTTCGAATGTATTCTTAATTATATCCATGGAGTTGCTACGACCTCCTTTGTGGGGTACATGGTTGGACTTGGAGATCGTCATTGCAATAACATTCTCATTGATAAGTTGTCTGGAGAACCAGTACACATTGACTTGGGTGTAGCCTTTGACCTGGGGAAACTGTTAACGGTACCAGAGACTGTACCATTTCGTTTAACGAGGGATATGGTAGCAGGTTTAGGAATCAATGGGACCAAAGGAGCATTCACTCAATCAAGTGAGCATGTATTCCGAGTACTTCTTGATAACAAAGATCACATTATGACGATCTTAGACGTTTTGAAATGGGATCCGTTGTATTCTTGGTCATTGTCCCCATTAAAAAGGAAGAAGTTACAAGATACTAATACCACCAATGATCGTCTAAAGAGAGGTGTGCAAGTCGATGAATATGAGGCTCAAAGAGCTATTAATACGGTGGCTGATAAGCTAACTGGCGGTGGATTGAGTGTAGAAGCAACAGTAAGACAGTTGATTCAAGATGCTACTAATCCAGACAATTTGGCCCTTATATATTGGGGCTGGTCTCCATTTTATTGAGGCCTCCATATAGGTCGTAATGGTCACGCGACTTGCTCAATTCCGACTTGTGGAGATTTATTATCGTATCACAAAATTATTGTGAACAAGATCGAACAAGTTCAAGGGTACTCCTAATCACAATGATACTTGAATCACCTCCTGATGCCAATGACTCTCTTACAGGTCATATACAGTCCTTCCCTCTTATTATAGAGGACCAGAAAACCGGAAAGGACATCAAGAAGACGAGAGTGTATGTGAACAGCAGTCATACAGAGGATAAGGGTCTCATAAAGGGTGAAGATGACATACTTTTTCCTAACATCAGTATAGTGGCTATATGCCAGGAAGGACTATTCATGGGGTTACTTACCAGAAATACGTATTTGACCATACGACATAGACAAGTAGGAGTTAATGAGCTTTCCGATGAGCAATGGAAAGATTCCCTTCTCCAACTCTTCCCCATTGAAGAATCTGATTTAATGGAGAATGGAGATAATCAAATCCAAATTGCGGCGAGATATGTATCACTGTTTGAGAACTATGATGAAGAACTTGGATATAATGATAATTCTGAGGCGTATTGTGCAGATCACATTACCTTACAGTTCCAGACAAAGGCTACGATTCCGGTGACCATCGGTGAGTTGGAATTGAAAAGAGTTTACGATGAAGAAGAATATGAAGCAGATCTAAAGGGTGAAGAAGATCATAAGGATGAAGAAGATCCAAAGGATGAAGACTCTTATGCTAATTATGTCAATGTGTTCAAATGGATGGATTTATTGATAAGCCACAATAAGCAACTCATGGAAAAGTGTAATGTATTGATAGAGGAAAGGTCAAATGCAGAGAATGAAAAGGAAAAGGTGTTTTACAACTACAATATTGCAAAGCAAGAGTTTGAGGAGATCAATAAAGATTTGAAGAACAAATTCTATACTGTTCTTAAGGCCAAGAAAGACCGAATATGGGCATTACAGAATGCTCTTGGACAACCAACAGATACTCTTTTTCAATTGAATGAGAAATACTATGAAGGGGGTGGGTTAGTGAGTAGTAAGTTTGACAAGCTTCAGAAGCCACAAGAAGTTAGCCAACCCCCAGCATTGAAGCGACAAAAGGTTTCTTTCAAGAGTGAACCAGCCGATCCTTTTCAATTCAAGCCAATGGAATCATCGGAACCATCGGAAATAGCGGAACCGCCTATAAAGAAGGAACAGAAGTTGAAACAGACCAGTTTCTACGGCCGACAGAAGAGTGATTCGGAGTTGGTTCACAGTGTATTGGGAGAAACCGACAACGATAGTGATGAAGATGACGGTGATGCACAAGAAGAACAAGCAGAAGACAGTAATACAGAATATGAAGATGAAGAAAATAAGTCTGATTCAATTAATGAAGACGAACCAGACATAATTAAGTCTGAAGACATAATAGAAGATTCACTTGAATCTGTTGCACAAAAGGATGCCGATGATATGGTGAGTGAATCAGGTACAGTATACAGTGAAGAAGATCAAGGGAATAAAGATGACGTGGACACGACCACACGGGATGATTCTATGGACCAAGAAACTGATTATGGTAGTGAATAAACATATGGTAAGAATCATATTAAGACACTGGGTAACAGCAGAAGTATAATTAAGAAAAATTATGGGCTGTAAATATATGGTGCACTATAGAAAGGCAAGTACAGTTAGCGTAGTACGGTTAGCGTAGTACGGTTAGGGTAGTACGGTTGTATGTACCGTAGCACGCACTTCTAACATAGTACAACCAGTTTAGTAACAGTAGTACAGTAGTACAGTAGTATAGCAATGAAGTAGACATGGTATACAGTCAGATTATAGCACAGTTTTTACTACTGTACAGTTAGTCAGTTACAATAGTATCTTTATTCAACAGATTGTACTATTATAGTTGCCACTATATGCATTATGGGCTGTACACGACTATTTGCAACCCATCATCTTTAACTTTTCACCTGGAAAAAAAAATGGTAGTAAAAATCAAAGACTCCTTCCTTCTTCTCTGTGAAACACCATTTAGTCACAAGACCCCCCCCCCTTGAGAACTAGTTAATTCTAGTGGTAGAAACCATCATTGAAATTTGCGTACACGACGACGTGGTAACAGAAATCAACGGTGTGACTACTTTTTCTTCATTTCATTCCATTTAAAGGTTCTTTTTCTTCTCATTATAATTATATTATTATCCCCGATCCGATCCTACTACTTTGTCTGTTTGTCTGTTTGTGTTTATTAAAATTATCTGTTCCTTTATTTCTCCTTGTTAACTATGGGCTACTACAATCCATATCAGTCTATTCCTCAACAATATATGGCTCAGTCATATTATCCCCAGTTCTACTCTTCTACCACATCAGACTCAAATGCTGATCCTCAGCCTGATTCAGACGTGTCGAACGCGAACACCGGTATAGTGAACCACCTTGGTGATGGCGGTAATGGTGCTGGTGGCAATCATGATGGTGGTGATGCCAGTGCCAATAACAGCGGCGGTGATCATGATGGCACTTTTCCTTTTGGTGGTGGTCGCAATTTGAATTACCCTCAATATACTGATCCTCATTATCAGCATCATCAACAACAACATCAACAACCACAACAGCAGCAACATTCTTCTTCAACTGATTCCATCAACCATAATAAAATGTTGCCTAATGCCGGTGTTCTTAGTACTGACCGCTTTAACTCATATACTGATGCCTCCGGTTACTCTGGATCTCATCAGTTCCCTCCTCATCACTCTTCAGTGATGTCTAACGCTGGGAACTCTTACTATGACGATGAAAATTCATATATCAACAGCTCTGTTGGTTACGGATCTGGCTACGGCAATGTGTCTTTGAACGGCAGTACTTCTATGATGGGTCCTGGGCTGTTTGGACGCTCCAACTCTGCCCATGAAGGCGGTGATAACAATATTAACAGATTGAATAACTCTAATGGCAACTCCGAGAGACAAAGCACAAATAGTAACGAAGGTGGAGATAACAACAATAATAGCAATAGACCTAATGATGATTACAACTTACTACTTTCATCTGCTCAATTCCCTCCCCAATTACACAATCCTGCAATCTCTGCACCATATGGTGGTGTGGTTCCTGGTATGATGAACAGTGGTGGTAATAAAGGTCATAGCAGACATCCCTCGAGTTCCAATCCCTTGGGAGTTTCTCATTTGATGAACCCAAATCCAATTGGGTTAACTTCTCAAGTTGGATCTGCTGGTTCAATGGGACCAGGAAACAGTGGTGTTGGAGGTGTTGTACCATCAGCCAATAATTTTCAAAGTGGAGGACAACCTGGAGGAGTTAACTCCAGTGCACCATCCCGTACTGTTTATTTGGGAAACATTCCTAATGATCTTCAACCTAATGAATTATTAGATTACGTCAGAAGTGGAATAATAGAAACGGTGAAAATCTTACCCACCAAGAATTGTGCCTTTATATCATTTGTTGATCCTCAACTGGCATTATTATTCCATAGTGATTGTATTTTGAAAAAGTTGAATATTAAAGGTAATGATATTAGAATTGGATGGGGTAAGAATAATCCAATTTATCCTCTGGTTTTGGAAGCCATTCAAAACCATGGAGCAACCAGAAATGTTTATTTGGGCAATTTGAATAGTCATATTACGGGAAGTATGATTACAGAACAAGAATTACGAGACGATTTGGCAATTTATGGTATTATTGATTGCATTAAAATTATTCCTGAAAAAGGTATTGCATTTGTTCATTTCCTTAGCATTTTATCAGCCATTAGATGTGTTTCTGAATTACCTTTAGTTGAAAAGTATCTGGATAAGAAATGTTATTATGGTAAAGACAGGTGTGCATTTATTACCAAGACTCAACAACACAATGCAGCTCAATACTTAGGTTTAGCACCGGGAATGGAGCACATTGTTACAGCAGCAGATCGTGAATTTATTTCTAGCGCATTGGTACAACAATCAGCCGCAGCAGCTCAAATTGCTACACAAGCTGGAGGTGCCAATAATTTGGGAAACAGAACTGTTTATTTGGGGAATTTACATCAAGATTCATCTGTTGAAGAGATTTGCAATGTTGTTAGAGGAGGATTACTTCAAAGTATTCGTTTCTTAAAGGAACGCCATGTTTGCTTCATTACATTCATTGATCCCATTGCAGCAGCCCAATTCTTTGCCATGTGCCAATTACATGGATTAACTATTCATAATCGTCGGATTAAAGTTGGTTGGGGGAAGCATAGTGGACCGTTACTGAATGCTTTATCATTAGCCGTTTCCAATGGAGCCAGTAGAAACATTTATGTGGGGAATATTTTGGATTTTGAATACTATAACCCAACTAAATTAAGAGATGATTTCTCTAAATTTGGAGAAATAGAACAAATTAATTATTTGGAAGAAAAGAACTGTGCCTTTATTAATTTTGTTAATATTGCCAATGCGATTAAAGCCATTGATGGGATTAAATCATTTGGTGATTATAGAAATTTGAAGATCAATTTTGGTAAAGATAGATGTGGGAACTTACCTCGTCAATTTCAAAATCAGAATAACATGATGATGCCCATGAATAACAACAATAATAATAATAACAATAACAGTCCTTCCAATTATACTGGACAAGACGATGCTGAATTGTTACCGCTTGAAGATTCCCCCGATGGTGGTCTTGGAACCATTAGTGGGTTGGAGATTGGTGGGATGGGTGAAGTAGTGGAACATAATAATGATAACAATGATATTGATGATGAACCTACCACTACTACGATGTCACTATCTGCATTTGATAGTCAAGTGGAAGACAATGATGATGAGAATAATGATCTGCTTGTTGATAAAGCAGCCAATCCTCCAATATAAACAGCACCTTAATGATTTGATTTGATTTGATTCTTTTGTTTTATTTGATATTATTGATTTATTTTATTGCATTTAAGATACCCATTTTATGTTCTTTACTTCGTTTAGTTTTCTTTAGTTATTTTAATGACATCAACATTCACATAGAAGGCAAGAGTTTGGCGATAATCAAGATAAACACAAACACCACAAACAACACTAGGGCGATTTTAATCATCCAGAATAGCGATATTTTTGAGCCCAGTTTATTGGAAACATAATTGTTCAAATTGGATCCCACTCGGTCCATGGTATCGGCATTGGCACTCAATTGGTTTGAGGTGGCGGAGATCATGTCTTTGTCTTCACCCATCAAGGCGTTGGAGAAGTTGAGCGTAGTGGACTTCAACACCAGAGCCAAATCAAGTAATTCATTAAACATATCCTGTTGAATCGATTCATGGTAATCATTGGTCCGAACTGTGGATTTGGGGTCGTCCAAAATGGATTTATCTTTTGACAAGAGTCTTTGCCTCAACGATAGAAGTGTTTCATTGGTGTCGGCCAGAGGGTTAGTGTCAGTGTCATCTTTGATATGACTAATAACGTCATCTGTACTGGTATCATCACCACTAACTTCGTCCTGTTTAGATTCTTCCTGGACACGTTGCCATTGCTTATTGACAACGTATTCCTTCTCTTCTAGGATGTTAAGCAACTTGAGAAGCTGTGGTGTAGGGGTCTTGGTGGAGTTGATGAGCTTGAGAAGATCACTCCTTATAGTCGTAAGTTCTAGCTTGAACACATACGGTGAAAGGGTTAAGGGGTCATTATCGTATAGCGACGGGACCTTGAGGGAATCTATTCGATTCTGGTATTGTGCTATTATAGCTGTCGTCATGGGTGAATAAAACAGTGTACGACTGTGTAAGACTGTGTACGACTGTGTAAGACAGTGTTCGTGGGTGTAGTTGAGTTTTAGCTTGAGGGATACTTTGCCACGTGACTACTTGGCCTGTGTGATCACGTGATGTATCTCCGTTTTTGTATATATATGGGATGTTTTAACTGAATATGTTGTTATTTGGTTACAAAATCAACGTACTCTTCCCAGCTCTTGTCTTTCACTCATTAACAATCGATAGCTAACCCCACGACAACGATAATAATAATAATATCCCTCTATATTTATTTAGTTTATTTTTTGGCGTAGTTTCTGGAACGTGATAGTGACTTGTATACGTTCATGTAGTGAATAATACGTTCATGCAGTGAATAATCCTAATGGTAGCAACTCTCGGTACGTGCATTGGGAGTGCATATGGATTCATTCCATTGCAAAAGTACATCAACGTGAATGAGATCACTATGAACCTTAGAGAATTTCATAAAAGGCGTGGCTTCTCTTTGCCTAAAGTTAGTCCAGAATCTGATTATATCAGAATATGTACGTGAATACGTACTTAATCATTGTAATAACAGAGTCAACTATGCATATATATATATGTATATATAAATGTATATATACTTGTGTATCCACTTATTCGCTTATTTATATTCTCTAATCGTGACTCCTGCATAGTGCACTTCGCGCTACCACCGTGTAGTAATGTAGGTAACTAATTTCAGTTAGCATCATAATGTCTGTTAAGGGAAGGTTCAACCACCAAAATACATTTGAACCGTTTCTTTTCCGTAACTAATAATAATTTCAAGCTATCATAATTTTATATACCCCAGTTGGACCACCAAATCCATTTGAGTCTGAACGTTGACTTTCCTTATTGGCTCTGACTTTGACTTTGACTTGACCCTGACTCTAAAATTGTCTCATTGTGTGTTGATTGTTGATTGTTTAAATTGTCTGTTGAGAGTCTGAACCTCTGTTTTGATCGTTATCAATTTGAGTGATCCTTTTTTAACGTTCGTTTTACATCATGAACGGCTCATTCTTGGCATTATCAATAATAATATTGGGGATTCTTTCCAAGGTGACCCACGGTGAAATGTCGGAGTATGGTTGTTTTGCCAAATCATCAGTACAGTCGCTTTACACCTTTGGCGATTCATATACTTACCAGTCAAGTAGTCATTGTACTGAAAAATGTTCATCTGACGGAGTGGCTGCTCTTATCGACGGGGGTGATTGTTGGTGTGGGTCTGAAGTCCCCCCCAGTTCGTTACAGGTGGACTCATCCTTTTGCGATATTCCTTGTCAAGGTTATAATAAAGAGAATTGTGGTGGACAAGATTATTTTTTGATTTATGCTGATAGTGGGGCTCAAACAGCCGTGTTATCATCATCGTCGTCGTCACGGCTGTCGTCCACAGCTACTTCAAGGTCATCAACTTCATCAAAGCTGTCATCTTCATCTTCATCATCTGCTACCTCCTCATCAGAGACTTCGCCTTCTTCTTCTTCTTCTTCTTCTTCTTCTTTATCAGAAACTTCCTCCTCTTCCTCATCATCATCCTCCTCCTCGTCTTCTTCCAACTCTCGCAGCCCGCTGTACATTACCTACGTTTCTACGGTTACTGCCAGTGCTGGTTCTCAATCTGCCTCTGTTGTGGAAATCACAGAAACAGTACATCCTTCTTCTGCTTCTGATTCGGCAGAGACTTCAAATACAGCCACTTCCAAAGGTCAATCAAAATCAAAGAAATTGTCTGGTGGTGCCATTGCTGGTATAGTCATTGGTGCAGTTCTTGGAGCAGGTCTACTTATTGGTCTTGTACTTTTTTTCCTTTGGTGGAGACGGAAGCATTCTGATGATAATGATTCAGATTTCGATACTGTTCTTTACAATGAAAAAATGGACGGTGCTGCAGGAGGTGCAACAAGATCTACTCATCCTTATAATGCATTTAATGCTCCAAGAAATAATCTCGATAATGATTACCAAATCAACCCCAATCCCTTTTTAAATAACCTGACAGCAGGAGCTACAGCTGCCGCAGGACTTGGAATGGCCGTGGGTCAAAAACTGGATTCCATAGGGAGAAGTGGTACTTCCAATACTAATAGAAGTGCATACCATAATACATCTAAGCATTCACTGTCCAATGGGGGGAATTCATCAATTTTGAATGAAGAATTCCTTTTTGATAGTGCAGGAGTAAGTCCTGGATATTTGGATCCAAGCTTGATGCCTCCAGATGCCGAATATGGTCGGAGAAGATTAAGTAATGGAAGTTTACCTGACCTTGCAACAAATGGAGGCTTGAAAGTTGTCAATTAAATCAAATCATTACAGGATTAACAAACGCATACTCGGAAATTATCATTATCATATCATTGAATAACATTACATTACATTACGCTACGCTGCAACATATCTTGCTGTCGTTTTTATGATTATTAATCTATCATTGTGAAATACTATTATTGTTTCTTCATATTATCATTAGCACGGCCCCTCCTTAAGTATATAAATATATCACTATTTCTACTACTTCATGGGTTATTAGGCACGGGCCTTAGAGGGGACTGACCTTATTAAAGCCCATACGGCCATCTCACTCTTTATTATTATTGCAGTCGTGGTAGTGTATTTACCGTATTCTTAGATTTAGATTCAATCAACGATCAAAGGTCCCACCTCGGAATCTATTTTTGGTACTCCGGCAATAAGGGTGTCATCTATTGGGGACAATAGGGTCTTAAGTAAACAACAACATGATATTGCGACGTGCATAAAGGAACGCGGTTTCGCTAATTTCAAGGAACTTTTACAAAATCTGACGTCAGAGACAAACGAAAACTTATTCTGTTGTTTTCACGTGCCAGTTCAGGGTTGAACCCTAAGCTTGTTGACGTGCGGGTAACGTCATTTAAGGTGTGTACCGACCATATAACTTACTTATTAATTGGTAGCACCGCTATTTGTCTGGGTCTTTTGTGTAACTATATCGCACAGTCTGAAAATTTTTTCAGTACCAAATTCATCATTGAAAAAACCCTATAACGATTTCTTGCTTCTCCTCTCTTTATATCATCAACATCATCATCAATACATAATGTCTGGATCTGGTGCTTCTGGTAACAAGTTCCGTATGTCGTTGGCTTTGCCAACCGGTGCCATCATGAACTGTGCTGACAACTCTGGTGCTAGAAACTTATACATTTTAGCTGTCAAGGGTTTCGGTGCTCGTTTGAACAGATTGCCAGCTGCTTCTGCTGGTGATATGGTCATGGCCACTGTTAAGAAGGGTAAGCCAGAATTGAGAAAGAAGGTTTGGCCTGCTATTGTCATTAGACAATCCAAGCCATGGAGAAGAAAGGATGGTACTTTCTTGTACTTTGAAGACAATGCTGGTGTCATCGTTAACCCTAAGGGTGAAATGAAGGGTTCTGCCATCACTGGTCCAGTTGCTAAGGAATGTGCTGACTTGTGGCCCAGAATTGCTTCTAACTCTGGTGTTGTTGTCTAAGTTTATGTCATAATCATTACTTTTGTATATGCTTAATACTACATATTGAAAGAAGAAATAAGAGTAGAGTAATTGAACAAGTTATAATTGTATTATATTAATCAACGTATTTGGGTGTTGGTAAACTCTCAACATCACTATCTTCATGTTCACCATTAACCATTGGTCGTCCTCCATCAGGTTTTTCTCTTGGTTCATTATGGTACATCACTGATTGGTTCAATACCGGAACTGGATGACTAGACATTGAAGTGGTACGACTTAATGGTAACATGGTATAGTATTTCCCTCCATTAATCTGTCCATTCCCATTGTTGTTATTGTTATTATTGTTGTTGTTGTTGTTAGCATTATTATTATTGGTGGTATTATTCTCAAAGTACCCAACATATTGAGACCCTGGTGATGATGGAACTGCCAAAAATTGCTTCTGTGTACCATCACCTTGTGGTGGAACATTCTGCTGTGGAACAATGGTGAACACTTGTTGGCTAACAGGATCATAAAACTGTTGAGATTGTGGAGGTTGAGGAGATGGGTTATTATTATTGGAAGTATTGTTGACATAATAAGGCCCTTGAGGTGAATAATTCATCATCATCGGTATTCCATAAGGAATTGATGGTTGTGCTTGTTGTGCTTGTGCTTGTGCTTGTGCTTGTGTATGTACTTGTGCTTGTGCGTGTTGAGCTTGTGCTTGTGAATGCTGAGATGCTTGTGACTGAGCAGGTTCTTCAGGTTGTCCTTTCTCTGATAATTGTGGATTCTTGGTCTCAATGGGGGTGATTATAGTCCCATCACTGTTTATCATGTTCCCCAACCTTGGTGATGAAGCAACTCCTGAAGCACTTGCATTAGTACGATGAGATGCAGCAGTTGTTCCATTCTTAAGGAAAACAGCAGAATTTCTATTGATAGTACTGCTGTTTGTGGTAGCTAAATGATTAGGGGATTTGACTCTTCTGGCAGCAATGGAACCGGAATTAATTGATCGGGGACTTGTTGCTGTACCTTGGGAAATAACTGAAGCAGATCTGCTTATCTTAGAATTAGATAAAATTGGATGTAACGATTTATTATCAACGTTATTGTAAATATATTGCGCTCTTGCAGTTGCTGATGTCAAAGAAGTCAATGCTTTCAAATGAGTAAACCAATCTTTCATATCTGCTTGGGTTGAAGCTCTGAAAACCCATTTATGAGCTTTATTTAAAATCCCATTAGCCTTTGTAATTAATGAAAATTGGGAGTCTTTGGAGTTTTCTTGAACAGTACACAGACTTAAAGGTAATGACATTAAAGGAGTTAAATCCCGTTTCCTATCTGGAGTTTTGAATTCATGAAAGAAATTAGCAGTTAGCACATAATATCCACTTGAATAAGATTTTAAATATTTGGATTTACGTTCCAATGTACCTTCTTTAATCAGTAAAGTTTGAGGAGAATTTAAACCTGGAACTTGTAATTCTGAAGCCTTTCTAACTGGGAAAGTTAAATCAATAAATCTACCTTGAGGTCCACTAACAGATGTGGAAGAAGTTGTAGAAGGTGGGATTTCAGAACCTCCAGGTGAATGTCTTGCAATAAATGAATCCCATTCAAAGTTTGGTTCCTTAGAAAGAAAACCATTTGTAATATTTGGTACCAAATACTCATTAAAAATATTCTTTTCGGAACCCACAAGATTTAAAAACATTGATAAGTAATTTTGAATTTCTAAAACCACAATTGATTCTAATTTACTTCCAGCAGTTTGTAAATTAGCATAAGCTTCATATAAATCATTTTCTTCAACAATTTGCTTTTTCAATTGACGTTCTAATTTGATTTTAACCAAAAATGGATCATTTTTACCTTCAGTGGCATTTGATGAATCATCATGACCATGACCATGATGATTGTTATCGGATCTAATAGTAAATTTCCCAGTTAAAGAAGATTCATATAATTGTAATAAATGTTTTGTTTCAACCAATTCTTTACCCAAATTATTTTTAAAATCATTGTGTAAATCTTTAATTTCTTTTATTTTCACCATTAAATCACGACGTAACTCTTCTAATTTAGGAATAATTATCCCATTCAAATCCTTAAGAGTTTTGGAACTAGTATTGAAATTCTTCAGATGATACTTGTTAAGAATCGAACCTAAATCTTGAATAGACCCGTTGCCCACAGGTAAAAAGAACCAATCAATTGGGATACTTTCATAATCTGAGGAATTATTATTGTTTGATTGAGAATGGCGTGATGAAATCCCTAACCCCTTGGAACCAGATCCTCCGGACCCAGACCCTGGATTTACCAGCAAAGTAGGAATGGTAGTATTCGATACGGCTTGTTGAAGTCGTAATTGTTGTCGAACAATCTCCTCTTGAACAGAGGCGTAATCTTTGAAATAGGTAACCAATTCCTTAATGATGGATCTCCAAGCTTGAAACCTATTGGCTAGAACCTCCGTAGGATATTCACTATTACTTGGGAAGGAATAAGGAATCAGTACCACTAATGGATTACCATGATTATTGGTACTAGACATAATACTAGATCTTTAATAGATGGAATAGGACCTGTAAGAATATTACACGTATTATATTTACAGTATGCGATGTGTTTGAAAGGAAGCAATATATTTCTGCTTATATATAAAATGTTTAGTTGTATGTTGACCTCGGTGAAAATGACACAAATGCCTGCGGTTATTGTTTGTTTTTGTGCCAACGAAGTCACGAATCGAACCGGTGCCCCGGAAAATTGTTACCATGATGCATAGGAATTCCATTGGGTCATGGCACAAAGACAATGGAGATGAGATGATGCTAAGATAAGGGCTGAGGTAAGGGGCCCATGTTAATGATATTTATTACTCGTTTCGTCATAGAAGGTGGGGTTAAGATATTTGAAAACGGGCTAAGTATCAGGCGGATATAACAAATCACAGGTTTATGGTTTCAAATTATGTAAGTGTATGTTGCAGCCATTACGTGCCCCACTTATTATTAAGCATTGTACAATACATTGCACTATATAGTAAGCGGAGGCTTCCTGGGTGGCTTCCGACATGTCTGGTAGCGCCGTTTACACCCAAGCAAAGCAACTCAAATAGTAATCCAATGCTCGCTACTATCATTCACAGTAGTCAACTATGGATGCAGAAGTAATAGAACTTTCTTCGTCTTCTGACCTATCAGATATAGAAGATGATGCAGTTGAAGAGGTTATCACTACTTCTTCACTGCCTATAAGAAGAAGACGACTAGTACGTCGGGCTCAGGCTCAATCCCAAAACAGTTCTCCTACAACCCATTCGCATACACCAGTTGAAACGGTTGACTCAGACGTGGAAAATGAGGATGAAGATTATGATGATGACGATGATGACGATTTGGAGATATTGGAGTTTAGAAAGAATACAGAGTCTTTAATCTCCCATAAGCATCAACAGCAAGTTGAAAAACTTAATCAAGTCACTTGTCCTATTTGCTTTGAGTCCCCTAACTTCCCAACAGTGACTTCCTGTGGTCATTTGTTCTGTTTAGAGTGTATCAAACAATCCATCTCATCATCTGCTGCAAGAGGACAAGTTTCCAGTGGGTCCCATGGTGCTGGGCTTTGTCCTCTTTGTCGGAAACGAGTTGTGTTCAGAGACACGGTTGTTTTACGCTTATGTACCAAAGGAGTCTCTGAAGTTCCTCCGGTCCCATCATAGAAAGCCAGTCAGTCAATAATCAAGTCTAGTAATGCATGTTTCTTGAACCTTCCATAATAAGCAATCAAATGGACGGAATGCCTTTGTGGTAGCGCCCTGTGTACAGTGCTTTAAGGGTAGTAAAAATTTGGTGAATGATAAATGCCACTGCCCCCGCTACTTTTAACTAAACTCTATTCATTCCATTGCTATTCAATCTAGCTATACTTGTATTCGCCATTACCTTCCGCTTCCAGTGAAATACTGAATTAACATAACAACAAACTGATTGGCCAGAATGAGTTCAGCAGCAAATGCACCTCCAGCCTATGAGGATGCCGCTCCCCAACAAGGAACGTCATCTGGGGAAAGAATGTTTGGTGACGATTTACCGGATGACTTTAAATATTCAGTTGATGTGGCCAGTTGTGAGCTCCCACTCCGTCAATTGTTCATAAGAAAGGTTTATTCTCTTCTTTCAGTTCAACTTGCCGTTACGGTAATTGTGGGGTTCATTATCAACTCCAACAAGGGAATTCAAACTTGGTGTTTGAACAACATTTGGCTTTACTATTTACTGATTGTGGGTACTTTTGGGTTTTTAATTGCCACCTGGTTCAAATCGAGGTCATATCCAACGAATCTCATTCTTTTAGGGGGGTTCACCCTTTGTGAGAGTTACTCTGTTGGGTTGTGCACCGTTTTATTTGATACTAATATTGTTATACAAGCGGTATTGTTAACATTTGTTATATTTATTGGATTAACGTTATTTGCTTTCCAAACTAAATATGATTTCATTTCTTGGGAAGGAGGACTTTCAATGGCTCTTTGGATGTTAATTTGTTTTGGATTCGTTGCAATGTTTTTACCGGGTAATACATCGACTGTTGAATTGATTTATGCTGGAGTTTCGGCAGTTATCTTTACTATTTATATTGTTATTGATACTCAAAAGATTATGAAAACGGCTCATTTGGATGATGAAGTCATTGCTACAATCTCCTTATATTTGGATATTATCAACTTATTCCTTGCAATCTTAAGAATCCTCAATAACCAAAATAGAGATTAAACTGAAATAAGTATTATAAATATAATCCTTCTAAATTCTCCTCGACTTTGTTTTTCAATACTCTTTCTTTAGCTTGTTTGAAATCATCCATCTTGACTTGCATTCTTCTTTCTCTTAATGCCAATAAACCTGCTTCGGTACACATGGCCTTAATATCAGCACCACTTAAATCATCTTTAGAGGTGACCAATTCATCTAATTTAACATCATCTGCTAAGCTCATTTTGGAAGTATGAATTCCTAAAATCTTTTTCTTTGTATTAGCATCAGGATTTTCAAACAAGATCTTTCTATCAATTCTACCAGGTCTAATCAAAGCAGGATCTAAAGACTCAATCTTATTGGTGGCCATAATAACTTTAATATCACCACGATCATCAAACCCATCCAATTGATTTAATAACTCCAACATGGTTCTTTGTATTTCCTTTTCACCTCCACTGGTAGATTCATATCTCTTGGTACCAATTGCATCGATTTCATCAATAAATACAATGGAAGGGGCATGTTCTGCAGCAATTTGAAAGATTTGTCGACATAATCGTGGACCATCACCAAGATACTTTTGAATCAATTCTGATCCAACAATTCTTAAGAAAGTTGCACTGGTTTGATTGGCAACCGCTTTGGCCAATAAGGTTTTCCCTGTACCTGGAGCACCGTACAATATAACACCCTTAGGAGGTTTAATACCCATTTCTTCATACAATTCAGGATGAGTTAAAGGTAATTCAACAGCTTCTTTGATCTCTTGAATTTGTGATTCCAAACCTCCAATATCAGCATAAGATTCTGTTGGAGATTTATCTAATTTCATAACACTTACCATTGGATCAGCATCATCTTGTAATACCCCAACGATTGCCACTGTTTTTTGATGTAATAATACTGAACATCCAGGTTCTAATAATCCTTTATCAACAAATGACATAATACTAACATAATATTCACTACCTGAAGTTGATGAAACAATTGCATGATCATCATCAACAATTTCTTCTAAAGTCCCAATTGACATGGGGTACCCTCTTAATTCATCTACTTTTTCTCGTTCCTCAGCTTGTCGTTGTTCAGTGGGTTGGAATGCTTCTTGATTGGTCACAAACTCTTCCTCCAACAACAAATGATCCTTGATTCTTTCTAATTTCAACAATTTCAATTTACATCTTGTATTTGGGTAAACAGAAGGTAATTTGACTGCGGTATCGGGTCCCTTTCTCCGTTTCTTACCAAACTTACTTTCCACTGGAGGTTCGTACTTTGGTTTTTCTTTCTTCTTGTCGTTAGGCTTCTTGGAGGGATCATTGCCGTTTCCAGGCATCCCCGATGGTCCTTGTCCCATGATTGTTGATTGATGGTGGTATATTTGGTGGTTAACGTTTAAAGTCGTTGATTTGTTGCCACTTAATTTTCGCCCATCAAAGTCACGTGATGAGTTGAAGTATACTAAACTCACTACAAGTGCGATACACTATATCACCATGTTCATGGCAGAAGCTCATGTTACTTCAGACATTGTATGTTCTTAATACGTTTAATATACGTATAGGTTGCTCAATCTAAGACGGCATTCTATCCGTTTAATCCATGGCTTCATTCTTTGCGTTCGCAATACATTTATGGTCAAGGAAAGCGGTGTACTAGCTCGTTACACCCATACGACTCTCGTTACTCTCATACGACTCACGTTACTCTCATACGACACTCGTTGCTCTCATACGACTCTCTTTGTTCTTACTATTCTCATTACACCCATGCCACTCTCTACAGTACTAAAGCCGTATTCCGTTCTCGCTATATAAATTCTATGATCTAGTGCACTTTTACCTCTAAACTGCATCAAGCTGAGGAAAACTGACCAGAATCAGGTGCTCTAACAACCTAAAACTAATCATCACCATCATCACCATTAATACTGTCTTTGTTTATTCATACTCATCTATACTCATCTCCATACTTGCCGTCTCCATACTCGCCTATACTTATCTACCCTGTACCTGTATCTGACAGTTGTACATCTATCCGCTTTATCACAGTACTACTCCATACTATTTTGGTGGTGACACACATTAAAGCGGTCTAAGAGATCAAACTCATTGGTACCTACAGACGGCATACAATTGGTATAAACAATCGTCTTGAAACAATACCAGTCATAGACTATCACCATCCTTATCCCTGCCTTCACATAGACCATTACACCTAGCACCGTACACATAACAATATCAGTTTATGAGATGCAATGGGAAACCATCGGAAAACACTAAGAGACAAGACGATGTCAAGTCTACGGAAGAAGCAGATCCATTCCTCAAGCAATATAGGCAGTGCTTTCAGAGTCACCAATACGATATACAATTCTGACGACTTCACCACCAACACCAGCAGCTCACCTTCCAGATCAAGGGTTGAATCCCCAACTTCGCTTGGTGAGAAGCTTGAACGAGCCAGTAGAATCAGAAGAAACATAGACTCATTAAATGCTGCTGATGATCATGAAGATGATAAAGTAGGTGATGAAGACATCAAAAGAAGGAAACTGACCCCAGTGTTTCATGTATCACTACTGGGGAACGGAAAGATAGCTTCGTCAACTTCAAAGAAACAACTCATAATAAACTCATCCCCTACACTGCATTCTAAAGTACTGGTGCCATCGCTGCCTGTCAAGTGGATACCGAAGGAAGACAATGCGAATGGTAGTAATATCTTCTACGTCAAAGAGTCATTCCAAAAGTTGGATCCCTCCCAGGGACAACTAAATGAGTTGCATAGACCTCCACGACTTAATGTTAGCATCCTTGCTGTCCGACATTCTCATGACAATGAAGTCATCTATGGTGATGATCTTACGTTGAATGTTAGCGAGAACGACAAGTTCATCTTCTTCAAGAACGATTCAAAAATCATCCATGAATTGGTGGTTAATCGACTACTTAAGCTTGACAGTATGGACTTTGGTGATAGTCTACTTTTGATTAAACCAATCAAACGTACCGATGGAGCCATATTGGTTAATTTCAATGGTTCTAATACTCATCTTCATAGTTATTTCAGAAGGAATAAGCTATGGAGAGCCAATTCTATGAAGCAACTGAATCATGATATCAATTCGCTGTATAATACTTTTGTTGATGAGTTCAAGAAATCAAATGGCACACCAGAACAAAGTAATAGAAGGAATGGCACCAGGAATAGTATCACCCGGAACAGTGCCACCACCATTACTGCTGAGTATCTGACTCCCGAGATGGTTAATCGTTTTGTTTCCCATACCTCTATTGCTGATAGTTCTATTGCTGATAGTTCCATCATTTCACCAGACTTGAGTCATCGAGTCACAAGATCAGGTAACATTGCAGACTTATCATCACCCATTAAAACAAGAGCATACAGAACACCAGTACGGAAACCATCTATAAGTCCAGTTTGGGAGAGTCCAGCACCTTTTGATCCTCCATTGCAATATACTTTCAAAGATAAACATACGTTTCATATCAACAAAAATGACTTCAAAACTCTTTACAATAATGATTGGATTAACGATACTATCATCGACTTTTGCATCAATTATGAAGTGGAACAAGCTGTAGAGAAACGAATGGTGAAACCACATGCAATTTATGCCTTCAATTCCTTTTTCTTTCAAAAGTTGACCCAGGGGAAAACCCTACACAGCGATCCTCCCTACTACGAGAATGTAAAGAGATGGTTGATGAAAGTGGATTTGGGAAGATACACCTATGGTATTATTCCTATTAACGAGCATATGCATTGGTACGGGTGTATTATCAAGGGAGTACTGCAATATGTGTGGAATGCCAAGTTCAAGGTTGATGATGATGATGATGTTGATGACGATGAAGCAATGAAATCATTATCATCATCGACAACGACGACGACAACCACAGAAAGTTCTTCCGAAGGATCAAAGGGGAATATTGGATCGAAAATAGAGGTTTTCATCTTTGATTCTTTGGGCCATAGTCATCCATCTATTAGTAAGGCATTAAAGGGCTTTCTTATTGGATACTGTGAAGACAAGTATTCGATTAAAGTATCCAAAGACGATATCCGATTACTTAATGTTAAAGTCCCCAGACAGAACAACTTCAATGATTGTGGAATCCATGTGATCTACAATATCAAGAGATGGCTTGAAGATACAACTGAATGTGAAAAGCTATGGCATAAGAGTCGGGCTGCAAGGAGTAGAAGAGATGCTGATAAGTTCTTTAATAGTTCCGAACGGAATAGTATGAGACGGGACATCATCAACTTGCTTCTACGATTACACGAAGAAAGCAACAGCAGCAGTACTAACAATAAGAATAATAATAATGATGATAATAGTGAAAGACTCGATGATAAGAGTACAGAATTGGTCGTCAATCCCAAGAAACCGCTTGAACTTGAACATCATGAAGATGATTGTGTGGAGTTCATAGGTGAAGTTAATGGAGAGACATCATCACTGAGAAATGCCAATGACGAATTGAACCTTGTGCTTGACCCTTCAATATTCCTTCTAGAAGATCCCGATTCAGTTACGTTCATCACTCCTGAGTATAAGAATGAAGATTTAGCTAAGAGTATTGGCCCAGTTGCAGTGCCCTTATCGTTTGAAAAGTTCATCAACAGCGTCTTTGCTAAGAAAAACATGCCCGTAGCAAAGAAGACCTTTCAACATTGTATCAAGGTATATGAGAATGCTACGAAAGAAAAAGGTATGTATAAAGCTGTGGCAGATACTATTGAAACTTTGGAGGTTCTTGCACAGCTGTTGCCTAATAAGGGAGCTTTAACGGCTGCAGCCGCTCAACTGTTTTCCATTACCCATAAACACAGCCGATAACACATAGAATATGTTCATAACACATATGCATGCTTTATGCATGCATTATGTATATGGATAAACTTCAAGACTGCCCGGAGTACTAAGCTGGGGATGCCACAATTGTTACACAAAATCCAAATGAAGCTAGACCGTTCCGAGAAATCCAACTGTCAAGGATCAACTCAATGAGGTATACTCAATTCCTTTGCTATTGAGTTGAGTTGAGTTGATCTCGTTTGCCAGTTCGATTAGTTCCGATTTGACTTACACAATGAGCTTAAATAAGGAATTACCCCCAATTCTTCCTCCTAGAGAACCACCCAAATCAAAACACAGTGATGGGCACACCCCTAAAACACATTTACCTTATGCTGCCAGTGACTCTATGGCTGTGATTACGACTCTAAGACAAGCACAGCTTGTGGAGGCACAGGTAATTAGCGGGGCCAGTGATATATTTGCTGCCCAAAAGGGTCATGATACTTTCGCCAATCAATTGACTACAGCTAAAGAAGAACATCAAGATACTTTAAAGGAAGATCAGTTTTGGTATGACTTGATTGATGATACTGATTCTATACTTCTTAAAAATAAGAATGCCGATAAGTTGGAAGCACAAATAGTGGAAGGCATACCTGAGTATTTGAGAGGATTGGTTTATTTGAAGACTCTTAATGTTAGATACAAATTCAATAAGGATCATTATATTGCGTTACTTAAGAAGGCAAATGGGTCAGAATCCGTTAAGAGTCAATCTAAATACTTTGAGACGTTGGACCTTCCAGAAAGGATAATCAATGTATTGAAGGTTTATATTTACTACTCTTGTGAAATAACTAGCACCCGGAATATTCAAATGGAAGCCTTACGCTCCACCACAAATATTTCCAACATCAAGGCTGGATCTTCTTCACCCTCTTCATATGTTATGCACACTTTGAAGAGCATCTCCCACATACCCGGGTTAGAGGATGAAGAAATATTGTTCATTTTAGTCAAGTTAGATAAGCTATATTTGCAATCATTGAAGGATGAGCTCTTCTATAAGATAAATCGAGCTCTTGAAGAGTCAGAGAATGAACTTTTCCTTCATATCAACAAACAGGGGATTTTGTTCAATGCCTTTTACACTCAATTCTTGATGAAACTCTATAATAGTGAAGGGAACAAAAATTGGCATATGAAACTATTGGATTTCATTGTGTTTGAAGGCATTGACTTTTTAATTCGGATGGTGATGTACATTTTTGACTTGAATAAAGAGAAGTTGATGCAATTAAATGGTGATGAATTAGCACTGTTTCTTTATTCCGATGTCTTTCTCAATTATCCAGATATAGATTTTGCCAAGGTGATAACTTTTGATGCGTCGATTATTATATTTGAAAATGAATATAACTTGGCCAAAATCAACTCTATTGGGAACAACAGTAATGAGTTGATCAATTTACGTGAAACAGGCAACGATTTGAGGCTCCAAATAGAGGAAATGCTGTCTAAACTCTCGACATTACAAGCCACTCATTCTGAGATCCAAAGTCTTAATGAGTCTTTAAAAAATGAATTGAAGTCTTCAATGGAACAAAGAGAATCTTTACTGCGAACGAAAGCAAAATTACAAGACAAATATGGTAACTTAACATTGACTGAAAACGTGAGGAATGCAAAGCACGCCAATGAAGTGATAGCCAAAGCCAATCTTGAGCTTGAAGCACAAGTTCAAGCTCTTGAAAAGTCCAATGCCGTTTTAAAGGAGAAAGTAGCTTCATTAACCGTGACGTAAGCGTTATAAAATTTATTACTACTACTAATAATGTAATAATAGTAATAATAAGACCATAATAATACAATGGCATCGTATTAATGTCGTACGGGTATATCACATGATTGGCCCACATCACCAACGACTGCATACAAGCATGATTACGTAAGCGTAAGTTTATATATTTAATCGTAGTCAGATCTTCAAATAAAGTGGTCTATATTCATTCACAGTGGACTATTAACTTTATTATGAGTAGAGGAAGTGTAGGAATAGTGGGTGCAGGTCTAGTTGGCAGTTTGGCTGCTTTAACATTTTTGACTAAAGGATTTGAAGTGACTCTTTATGAGGCTAGACCAGATCCTAGAACCACCAATAAAGATCGGAATTTAAGATCCATTAACCTTGCAGTCAGTAGTCGTGGACTTGAGGCGTTGAAATATGTTGGTGAGGAGTTGGAGAAACGGATTTTGGAAGAAGTGATTCCAATGAAAGGACGGATGATTCATGATGTGAAGGGCAACCAAGAGTCACAGATCTATGGACTTTTCGGTGAAGCCATTAACTCAATTGATAGAGCTTATTTGAATGATTTGTTGTTGGAAGAATTGGTGAAGAAGGGAGTGCAAGTTCACTTCAACCATAAGCTCATTAAAGTTGATACCACTGGTGATAAACAAAAGATAAGTTTTATCAATTCAGATACTGCAGCAGCAGAAGCAACTGAACCAGTTGAAGTAACTGGAAGCTTCGATTATATCATTGGTGCTGATGGTGCACATTCACAATTCCGATACCAACTTCAAAGGTCTATGAGAATGAGTATTTCCCAGAACTACATTGATATGCAATATATCGAATTGTATATCCCACCTAATATTAGTGAAGGCTCCTCGCTGGTAAAGTCCAAGTTCTCAATTGATCCAAACCATTTACATATATGGCCTAGACACAATTTTATGTTGATTGCATTGGCCAATAAAGATGGCTCATTCACATCAACATTTTTTCTGCCTTGGGAAACTATAGAAGCCATTAAATCACCCCAGGAGTTTTTGGAGTTCTTTGAAACGAACTTTCCTGATGCTACGAGTCTTATAGGAGGTGAAAACTTGAAGGAAGCTTATCGTTCACATCCCAGAGGTTCTTTAATGCAAATCAGTGCTTATCCGTATCATCATCCTAATGGGAAGGCCATAATCATTGGGGATGCTGCCCATCTGATGGTTCCCTTTTATGGACAAGGAATGAACTGTGGATTTGAAGACGTTAGGGTTCTTATGCAAATGATTGAAACCAATGATTTCAATGTGGAAAAATCATTTGAACAATATTCTTTGGAAAGAAAGAAAGATTTGGATTGTATTTGTGATTTGGCCATGGCAAACTTTAAGGAAATGTCATCAAAAGTAGTTGATCCCTTCTATTTGCTTAGAAAGAAATTGGACTATGTATTGGGCAAATATTTCAATGGAGTCTTATCCTTCCAATGGATCCCTCTTTATACTATGATTTCATTTAGAGCAGATATTTCTTATTCTAAGGCCATTGCCATAGAAAAAAGGCAGAAAAAAATCTTGAAAAGAGTCGAATATTTGACTATTGGTTCCATTTTAACCATTGGTCTAATCCAAGCTGCCAAAACATATAATAGGCTAAAAAGAGATTAAATGTCGTTATATATGTCTCTTGCTTATGTAATAAACTGTCAATTTGCGGTCACACAAAACCGGTGTAAAAAATACCAGAGTGAAAAATTTTGATCGTGATCAAGACTTAATGCAGAAACTAATTAAAGCGGGTTAACTTTTGCCATCTTGTATTAGAAGCAGTATCAAGGGGATTCCATTGTGTTTGTGGTGGAGCGTTGTAACATATAAGTTCATAGTCACACTCCAGTATACCTTATTCCTTATACCATATACCGTATACCATATACCTTATACCTTATACCTTGTACAATAGCGTATAACAATATCGTATAGTTGCAATATGTTGAGATCTGCTATAATAAAAAGAACTGTGGCTAAGCCAGCTGTTGGTGTTCGTGGTTTGCACATTTCCCAAACCTTATACAACAATAATAATAGCCAAAACACTCAGAATCCTATGAAGGTATTCTTTGATACCTTTAAGAACGAAGTCAAGAAGTCGAATGAATTGAAGGACAACATCAAGGCTTTGCAAGATGAGACCGGAAGATTAGGTGAATCTGATGCGTTCCGTAAGGCCAAAGAAGCTTATGAAAAGGCCCAAGAAGGTAGTACTGCTGCTGGGAAAGTTGCAAAGAAGACCGCAGAAGCTGTTGGTACCGCAGCAGTTAAGGCTTGGGACTCACCAGTCGGTAAAGGTATCAGAACCACTGTTAACGTTACTGCCGATGTCGCTGACAAGGCGTTTGATCCTGTTCGTAAGACCCAGGTTTATAAGGATGTTTCCAACATTATAGATGACGGTTCATCTACGGCATATGGTGGGTTCTTAACCAAGGAACAAAGAGAGGAGTTAAGAAAGAAGGAGTTGGAGCGTAGACAACAAAGTGGCTCTGGATGGAAACCAATCAAGGAGAACGAGGAAGCCGGATCATCTTTGGTGGCAACTGACATCAAACCCACAGGACCAAGTGTTGGAGAAAAATGGGAAGATTTCAAATTGAAATCACCTGTTGGTAAGGGAATTGTTGTGTTAAAGGAGAAATGGGATGAATCTGAAAATGGGTTGATTTCCTTAATCAGAACCGTTGTTGAAAAGGTTACTGGATTCTTTTCGGAAACAGAGCAAGCTAAAGTTATCAAACAATTCAAAATGATGGACCCAAATTTTAAAGTCACTGACTTCACCCGAACCTTAACCAACTACATTGTGCCTGAATTGTTGGATGCCTACATCAAGAATGACGATGCCTCTTTGAAGGAATGGTTAAGTGAAGCACCCTATAATGTTTGGCAAGCCAACAATAAACAATTCATCCAACAAGGAGTGTTTTCCGATGGTAGAATCTTGGATATTCGTGGTGTGGAAATCGTCACTTGTAAGAATTTGCAACCCAATGACATCCCAGTGATTGTTGTCTCGTGTCGTGCTCAAGAGATTCATTTGTACAGAAAGGCAAAGACCGGTGAAATTGCTGCCGGTACCGAGGACCATATACAATTATCAAACTACGCCATGGTGTTCACTCGTAATCCTGAGGAGTTTGACAATAAGACCACCGAAGGCTGGAAGGTACTTGAGTTTGCTCGTGGAGGTACCAGACCTTTCCATTGATCTTATTGCTTTATCATATTGTGTATATAGAAGGCATTCTCGTGGATGTAATAGTAATACTTTGCATGTCATAAAAATAGTACAGTACAGTGGCTAACTACAGAGGTCATTTCGGCAACGAGGTTATACCCAAACAGTCTTATCTAGGTCGTGCATTTACCGAAACATTAGATCTGCCAATCGAAAATTTTGATAACTGAAAAGAACAACAGAAACATACTGCTACTGTTACTGTTATTACTATACCCTGCTAGTGCACTACTACGGCCGCCGCTATATATTATGTCTGACACAGAAGCAACTAAACAAGAGGTGACTCTGGTGTTCAACCGGTTGAAACAAGATTCTGAAAACCAAACATGTTTTGATTGTCCCAATAAAAACCCTACCTGGTCATCTGTGCCCTTTGGGATATTGTTGTGTTTGGAATGTTCAGCAGTGCACAGAAACATGGGTGTTCACGTGTCATTTGTTAAGTCCACCAATTTAGATCATTGGCAAAGAATCCAGTTGAGGCAGTTCAAATTTGGTGGGAATAAGGTAGCTAAAGAGTTCTTTCAAAAGAATGGTGGATCCCAATACTTGCGTAATGATGGTGTTGATCCAAAGGTTAAATATACTTCACCCTGTGCATTGAAATATAAGGATAAATTGAAGAAAAAATCACAGCAAGATGCTTTGAATCATCCTGATATAGTCACATTGGAAGATATGAATGGGTCTTCGGCTGAATTGAGTGACTCTAATGGCTCATCAAGTACAGATGATTTTTTCTCCAATTGGACTAAACCTATTAATGCTACCCCATCTCCATTATCTTCTAGAGGAGCCACTCCCAATGCTTCTACTGAAGATTTAGGAGCAGAAACCACCACCAACGCCACCAATACCACTCCATCATCGAATACAATTAAAAGAGCCCCCTTGAGAACATCTGTTGCTGCTTCAAGATTGAAGAATAGCTCTGCTACACCTGCCAGAAAATCCGTTTTATCTAATGCAAAGGGAAACGGGCCTCGTAGCACAAGATTGGCCAAAAATAGAATAAATAAGGAACCAAGTGAAGAAATTGATTTTGAAGAAATTGAAAGAAAGGCAAAGGAAGAAGCTGAACAAACCAAAAGATTAGGTTATAATCCTAATGATGAAAGTTTTGCTCCATCTTCTACAGCAACAACAACTTTATCCTCTAACACAGTATCTTCTCCGTTAACTGCTTCTAGTGAGTCTAAAAAGAGTGCCAATGGTGGTATTTCTTTGTCATCATCAACTAATGATGAGCCAATTAAAGAAACTGCACAACAATTTCAAAAATTAGGGTTTGGTATGACGATGGGTTCGAATACTGTTCCCAGTGCTCAAGCTAGTAAAAAGAAGTCTGAAGTTAAATACACTGGGGAAGTTGAAAAGAAGTTTGGAATTCAAAAGGGTATCTCATCAGATGAATATTTTGGTAGAGGACCTCAATTTGATGAAACAGCTAAATCTGAAGCCAATGCAAAACTTCAATCATTTAGTGGTGCCCAATCTATTTCGTCCTCTGCTTATTTTGGAGAAGATGAAGAAGCCAATGGTAATGGAGCTGGTGGTTCAGATCCAATGGGTCGTGGCCGTTCTGTTAGTGGAGGTATAAATTTATCCGATTTGGAATCAAGTGCCAGAGAATTTGCCTCAAGATTTTCCGGTAATGCTAATCAAGATTTAGATGTTTTGAAAGACGCTTTGGAAGATGGTGCCAATAAATTGGGTTCATATTTGAGAGACTTCTTACGATGATTCAATGTTACAATGCATTACGCATTATTTTAACTTTTGTAAATAATAAATAATAAAAGTTGTTCTAAGCTCAGTTTCTTTATTACGTAAGAATGAGATCCAGTGTAACCGGGAAGTCACAAGGGGTGGTTCACAAGCCGCAGAGTATTGCATATGGGAAGTGTGATATTATTTAGGTCGTAGGATACGACTTAACCATTTCTTCCGATATTTCCTCCACACAACTTTCATACATAAAAAGCTCGCGCGTTTACGGAAATACGTTTGTAATTAAATGGTCCGGATGTCTCGACAGCAATAGAAATAAACTAAACCACACAACCTCTTGGGATAAATGCCGTGACAAGGTTAATTAATTGTTTTTGGGCGCCTATAACTGAGAAAAAGAGGGGATCCATTGGTGGAGTAAATATATTATTGTTGGTGGATTAATAGTCGGTGTAATCCACTCATGTCTCTTCAGTTAAGACCTATGGGACAATTCTCGGACCCTGCCTTTGATTTCATACTTGTTAGAGGATAAACCTTCTACCCCACATTATTGGCCAGTTAAGCCCTATTGTTTCGATGCAATGCAAATGCAGCCAAAGTGTTAAAACAGAAAGATGATAAGCTATCGAGAACCGGATTAAAAATATAGTACTTTTAGTAACATTAAGGATTTACGAACTAGCTCTTTGAGTAAAATTAGTCTCGCAACATTAAATGACCAAACTGAAAGTATCATGACCTTAATGGAATAGCAAGAGTTAATTTTATTGTGTAGTATATCCGAAGGATTAACTGTTGCAGCCGTATTTTTTTTCATAGTTGCGACTTTTGGAAATAGCAACATCATGCATTACGTCATATTGCGTTTGTACCATTTGATAATTTTCTGTAGTACGATATTCTGAAATAATACCAGCCCTAAAAGATTGTGGGGGAGGGATTTACGGTCAGCTGTAGAGGTCGGCTACTTAGTGGGCCCCATTATGTACAATAAAGGGGGCAGATAATACTATGGGGTGTGGGGTGTAATAGATAAGAGGTGTACACGGAAGAAATAAACTTTACCCCAGGTAATAAGATAATAACGGAGATATCTTATTGTTCCGTACAAAATAAGGCATTCGCATTCGGTGGGGGAACAAGTGTCAATAAGACAAAAAGCAAGCGCAGAAGTGGGGGGAAGAATGACAGAAAAGATGATACGCAACGTTAATAAAAGAAATACTAAAAATAAAATGAAAATGCAAATGAACTATCATACTGACAAAAAACATCTTCTTTACGTAGAAATAATAAGAACCCAAGACAAACTTCTATATCTCTAGTAATCTCGTATCATCAGTAGCACATTGGTTTTACTGTTGCTTCAGAAATAGAAAATAAAAAAAGATTGGTTGGTCGCAAAGAAAAGAAAAAAACCGAGGCCTGCATACAAAGTACGCGTACGTGCAGGTGCGCCTGCATGCGGGAAAAGACGCCATGCTTTCTTATGGGTTCCGTCAGGAGGCAATGGCTGCAACGCCGTGTTTGGAAACTGACAAACTTGGGATGTAGGAGACGACGACGGTATTGTATTATGTCAAGAGACCCACATCATTAGACCGACTACAGTTATACCTTTTTTGGAGTATAAATATGCATGAGATTCCCTATGATTTATTTTCTTTTGTGTTGGTTGCCAAATTGAAACTAACTCTATTTTAAATAATAAGTGAAGATGCTAAAGTCAGATAAGTCTGCGGTTGAAACACTGTCCAACTCTTCAGTAGAAAGGGTCAGCAATGATTTCTTGGAAGACCCTGTAGATGCTGAGATTGGAAACATTTTGGCTGATTACTCTGAAAAGGAAGTGATGAATATGGGAAGACTCTATGCCGGGAAACATGGGTTAGATCCCGAACTCTTTGCCAGAGCTGCTGCAGTTGCTCGTAAACCACGGGATTTTAACTCGATGAGCTTTCTATCCGAAGAGGAAAAGATGGCGTTGCATGAAGAAGAACACCATCCTTATAGAATGGCTCCAAGATTAATTGGAGTCATTGCCTTGGGTTCCATGGCTGCTGCCGTCCAAGGTATGGATGAATCTGTTATTAATGGGGCAACGCTTTTCTATCCTAAAGCATTTGGTGTTGATAAGATGGCCGAGCCTCAATTAATTGAAGGGTTGATTAATGGTGCACCATACTTATGTTGTGGTGTTATTGCTTGTTGGTTATCTGATCCATGTAATAGTCGTTTAGGACGTAAATGGACCATTTTCTGGACTTGTCTTATCTCCGCCTTGACGTGTTTCTGGCAAGGGTTTGTTAACACTTGGTATCACTTATTTATTTCCAGATTTATGCTTGGTTTCGGGGTGGGGATTAAGTCTGCTACAGTTCCTGCGTATGCAGCTGAATGCACCCCTAAAAGAGTAAGAGGCTCGTTAGTTATGTTATGGCAATTTTTCACTGCTGTTGGTATTATGTTTGGTTATGTTGCATCTTTGGCCTTTTACTATGTTCCTGCCAGGGGGATCCAAGGAGGACTTAATTGGAGATTGATGTTAGGGTCTGCGTGTATACCAGCCATTATAGTTTTAGCTCAAATCCCCTTTGTACCTGAATCTCCTCGTTGGTTAATGGGTAAAGAGAGACACACTGATGCTTATAATTCGTTACGTCAATTAAGAAAGAATGACATCACCGCAGCAAGAGATTGCTTCTACCAACATGTGTTGTTATCAGAAGAAGGTTCCTATAAGATCCCAATTCTCAAGAGATTTGCCGAGATGTTCATGAAGAGAAGAAACAGAAATGGGGCCATTGGTGCCTTCATTGTTATGTTTATGCAACAGTTCTGTGGTATTAATGTGATTGCTTATTATTCGTCTTCAGTGTTTGTTCAATCTGGGTTTTCTCAAATTTCTGCCATGTTGGCCTCTTGGGGGTTCGGTATGATCAATTTCACGTTTGCTATCCCGGCCTTGTACACCATTGATACCTTTGGTAGACGGAACTTATTGTTGGTGACGTTCCCTTTAATGGCTATCTTCTTGATGATGACAGCTGGAGGGTTCTGGATCCCTAACGATAGTGCTCATAGGAATGCCAGATTGGGAGTCATTGTGACTGGTATTTATTTGTTTGCTTGTGTTTATTCGTCCGGTGAAGGACCTGTCCCTTTCACGTATTCAGCTGAAGCCTTCCCCTTGTATATAAGAGACTTGGGGATGAGTTTTGCCACTTCTACATGTTGGTTCTTTAACTTCATCTTGGCGTTCACATGGCCCAAGTTAGTAGTGGCTTTCAAGCCTCAAGGTGCCTTTGGCTGGTATGCTGCTTGGAACGTGATTGGGTTCTTTTTGGTGTTGTGGTTCTTACCTGAAACCAAGGGGTTGACCTTGGAAGAATTGGACGATGTGTTTGAGGTTCCAATGAAGGACCATGCTGCTTGGCAGACCCGTCATCTCATCTGGAACTTCCAAACTCGGATCTTGAGACGGAGCGTTCCTCCACAGGAACCTTTATACAAACATCATCGTATTGCTCTTAGAAATAAGGAATGGGAAGAGAATAAGGCTCAAGTTGAGCACGTTGAATAAAATAATGTCGCGTAATGTGTCACGAATGTCGTATATATTTGAATGTATTCTACAATATAATATAATATAGTATAATATCTCTAGTATTATTATTGACTGATTGGACAGTTGCGCAAATACTCTGCCTTGTTCTTCAAGACATTAATAGACTTGAAGAAGATTTCTGCAGGCGACATGGCACCAGTTGATTCGACATTGAAGATAAAGTGGTCTCTTTTTCTCCCCAATTTGACCTTCCCATTGAACTCTTCGTGTCTCAACACTTCTCTAGACACCGTATCCTTTCTGGCATCCTTTACGTAAGCCTCACCATCTTCATTGATGCCAATGACACCGGATGGGAAACAACGAGCAAATCTTTCAGCAGAGTCGCCCTTGATGGGCTTTTGAATATCAATAACGGGCATGAGCCTATAAGAAGCAGTGGAAACAGGTGAAAATTTGGCATGATCAGATCCAAGTCCGACTATACAATGAGCTCTTAAAGAAATCTCTTGACCAACTCTTAACTTGGCTATTAAAATATCAGGATCACATGCTACCACAGGGTTGGTTCTAAACTTATCAACTTGACATCCTTGTGGTTCAAATTTCAAATCTCTGGCATAAATATTGGTGTTCTTAAGAATCTCCTTCTGTTCACTACTGCCGGTGGAATTCTTTGGCAGCAGTTGGGTCACTTTGCTACAGGTCACATCCAAAGTCAACACAATGGTATTCTCATCATTATAAGGCTCTTCCGCATTAGGATCAATGCATGTCAACATATCGGGGTTAACCTTTAATGGAATCAACCCTATTCTATGAGCCAACACTTCATCTTGAATAACAGATGTGTTGTTGTATATGTAAACCGTCTCAGCTGCTACTGAAGGAACCTCGGCAATCATTATCCGACGCAACGCATTGGCAATGGATGTATCTATATGAATCAAGTCAAAATTAGCGGTTCTCTCAGAGATGTACGAGATGTTGATTTCAAATTGGTCCTTGAACTTCTCAATGTCCCATGCATAATCTCCGTTGGAAGTGTACCCGGGGAAATCCGTAGAGCTGGTGTGTGTCACCCGGTTGTACTCAATACCGACTATGTTATCAGTCATACTTTGGGAATCGATGCTTAGTTAAGGGCCAGTATGATTGGTGATGATGGTGAAGGGCATCGCCAAATTTTAAATGGCATCTCAAATTTTGAGAACACCGGCGCTACCAAAACATAATCGGAACCGTGCTACCATTGACAAATGAGGTAGTAATAGTATAAAGTGTAAATTTGAGTACAGGCGTAAATTACAGCATTGGACATTACCATAACCCACAATAAAATTCATTCATTTCTATTATCAAACAAAGAACCCACCTGACGGAAGATTATGTTCAGACTGTGCACTATTACTACTATTATTATTGCTGGTTGTCGTTGTAGTTCCAGGCTCTAATCCTCCCATTCTAACATTAAGACTATGCTCCATCATGTTTGAAAACGTAACAGTTTCCTTCAATTCCAAACTGGTAACCATGCTCTTCATCACATCCAAAGTCACAAGATCAACATTCCCCGTGTATCCGTCTCCCTCTAGCTGACTCTTATTCAAACCATCTACTCCCAACTCCGGAGCCTGGGTGGCTAATACCTCAGAATCATCTATTCCACATTGCAAGCAATGGTACACCAATTGCATACTAAAAATAGCCATATCATATACCAATAGTATAAACCTGTTGATAGGAGGTCTTTCGCCGACAAACTGAAATAGTAACTGGCCATGTAGATACCCGTCTTCAGTCGACTCTATGGAGTACGCTCCAAATATAACATGCACTAGCATGATACTAATGTTGGAGAAGATCACTAGTTGTATTAGCGCTTTGGATGAATGGTCTTTGATACTCTGCGTAAGCATCAGAAGATCAGATACAGGATACCGCCTGCTAAGACTATACTGAATAAAAAGTCGTATCATGAGTCGGAGAAACGATCGATCTTTAAGGTACAATAGTATGATTAAGATATACCCTATGGTTTTGATCATGTGACGTACATCCTTTAGAAAGAACTTCTTCCGCTTATAAAGAACTCGGTTGTTGTTGACAATCACCTCCTCCACTCCAGCATATTGCCCTTCCAGGAACTCTTGTAGTTGTGCTTCGACATTTAACATTTTGTTGTGGGGTTGACGGTGAGAGGTGTTCGTTGTTACTGAGATCATTTTGAGGTGGGTCCTCTTTTCAGCTGAAGTAAAGGTACTGCATACAACACATACAGTAGGGCCGTTTAATAGGGTACGTTATAGTAGTAAAATATGGCTATAATGGGTCATTATTGATTCTGAACGCAAAAAGCAACACTATTAGTTACCATAAGCTTTTAATATAGGTTGGAAGTTTTAAAATATGTCTAATACTTGAAATAGAAGCTATGTCAGATAGATGTGTACTGCATATAAGCAATATAGTACTCAGAGATACTATACTATATATGTGCCGCCAATTTGATGTAGGATAAGTACTACACTGCTATACCAAGTCACAGAGATGTAGATGTAACTATAATGGTACTATGATAGTTTAATCCATATATTATGGTAATAGTATTATACGCGTACTGCATATAACGCTATACAAAACTACTATAACCTCCATGATGTACACATAGGTATAACGTTTATTAATAAATATTAACTAGCCTATTATTTCTTTTCCTTTATGGTCCTTACCAAGTCTCCACCAAGTAAAGAGATCTGAGAAAAGATAGAGCTTTTATTAACCACAACTTCATCTTTTGAGCCATCCAAAGGTTTTATATCCATACCTAAAGTCACTTTAAACTTCTTCTTAGCCAAAGATACAGGGATAAATAACCCACAAATCACATTAGAACCTTCACTTGCCAAGGCTGAGAACTTTTGCGTAGAAAAGATCAAGATGTTACCAAACTTGGCATTCAAATGATGGAAAAAGGCATCATTTAAATCATATTTAGAGGTCAAATCTTCAGGGAACGAAGTCTCTGTGCCTACCAAGTTCTTAAAGGAATTGGGAGGAAGAACTCCTGATGAGACAACCAAATTACTTGGCTTGGTGTATATGACAAAATCGTAATCATTCAATGATGGAGTAAAGATTAAGTCTATGGTAGATTCACTTAATGCATGCTCTTTAATCAACAGCATTGCAGCTCTAGCAAGAACAGTTAATCTGGTAGCAATGGGGAGGTTCCCTTCATTAGACCATAAAATACCCGAAGGATCATCCTTTGAGGCAATAAAGAATTGAGTCTTAATGGCAGAGGGATCATTTTGACGGATCTTAGTGAAGTTCAGTTCAATCACACGGTATGCTTGAATACTTAACTTGTCACTCAAATTAGCCACCTTGTAGTCATCTTCTAAATGAGTTGGAGTACCTCTAATTAAGTCCAAGATCAATGCATTTTCCTTCCAGTTCCAAGAGGACAAATAATTCAATACCTGAAGGAACCCATTCTCAATAGAGTTCGGGGTGGTGTAGGGAGCTGGATCAACAAATGGTTTGATGGCTATTAATTCAAGTAACTCTTCTGGAAAGTGAGTTAACATCAATTGAGAATCAAGCCATCTCTTGAACAACCGAACAGTACCAGAATAGTAAGGGAAATGATGGGCCATGGAAGTAATGGTTCGGGTGTGCTTAACAACACCTAAATACTTTCTGTTGAATTGTAAATAGATGTCTTGAGCCAATGCCTTTTGTTTATCAGCGTTAGCCACTGCTCTTAAGTATAAATATTCATCTCTTTCAGATAAGGCTCTAATTCTGAACCCATAACCCTCTGGTGTTAAAATATTCAACAAGCAAATATGGTCATTGAATGTAATTGAATCATCCTTGGTAATAAATGCCTTATAGGCGGTTTCCTTGTTCAAGGATTCACTTATTTTGAGTAGGAAGGCAGTTTTAGTATTTTCAAGAGCACTGATTTCATCAGGCCATTTGGACGATGATTCAAGTTGTAATACCAAATCATTCCAGAAATCAGGGTTGGAAGTAGCGAATGGAACTGGTTGAAGAACAGAAGTATATCTTAAACCAGATGATGCTGGCAACAAGTGCTTAATACCAACCGGTATATTAGAGATAACCTTCTGCAATTCTTCAAATGAATTCTTGAGATTATTGAAGCTGACCAATGAGGTCACCACCTGGTTAGAAGTTGCTGGTAAGAGCGGAGTTGGTAATTTGGAGGAGAACGAGGCAGCTTCATGTCCCAAATTATGTGAGATTTCCTTTTCAATATGTAAATCAAGAACATATCTGGCAATAGAGAGTACAATAGATTCATTTTCCTTGGGTTGCCAGACAACACAATATTGGATAGTACCATCTTTGAATCTTCTTAAAGAGGCTCTTGAACCCCAGAATGCTTTAAACTTCAAAGCAGCCTTTTCATCTTCATTGTTGGGACCCTTTGTCACCAATTTCTCTGCTTCTTCCGGGTTCAACCGTAACCCAATCTTGAAAGTTTGAGGAGAACTTGAAGTCAAAGGTTTCAGTTTATTGATGGGGAATTGATTGGACAAACGTTCATTGAAAATGGAAATGTTGGTCACTCTATCTTTCAATGCATTTTTCAACACCACATAAAGCTTATTCTTAAAGTAATTCTCAAAAGTAATAAAGGAGATCTTTTCCAAAGGTGAAAAGGATGCATAAATTGAATCGGGGACTGTCAAGCTCATCAACACATCATACTGGAGATAATCCACATTGGATTTCTGTAAGAGAATGGGGTCAAATCTGTCTCTAACCACATCATTCAATAATTCCATTGTTTCTATTGCACTAGATTGTAATAAACTATAAGAAGAATTGGTCATCTTCCATAGTATATTCAATTTGACATTCTTATCAAAAACTGTAGGAACATTAAAACCTTCTGGATTATATTTAGATGTAATTGATTCCCCCACAAGACTTGAAAAGGAAAGATAGCCTGAACTTAAGTCAATGGTAGCCAAATATTTAATGGTACCTTTGAATAACTGATAAGAAGAAAACCCATGCAATAAGATCTTATTACCGTTCAAACCACCACCATTTAATAAGGCTGCCATTAACATAGCAAACTCAAAGTGGCCAAAACCTCCTTTAGTAAATGAAGATCCAAACCCACGTTGTTGTAACCAAAGTCTTCCTAAAACACAGGCATGCTTGAATTCTTCTGTAGATTTCTTAGTGGTGTATAGGTATTTGAGGTAGTAGTCATAAGCTGTCAGAGAAAGAACAGAAGCGTTGTAGATTGGTGTTGGAGGTAAGTGGCCCTCACCACCATCATCTTCCATTGTTCTTTGAACCCTTATACAGTTTTTATCTGGTAATAACTTCTTTTGATCAAAGACCCCAAATGGGAAGCCAACAAGAATGTTAATGGAGAATTTAGTGTTAATAAAATGTAAATCCTCTTCATTATCAGTTTTAATGCTTTCCAACTTAAGTGTAGGACACAACACATCATCATTAAGGAATTGATAGGAGATTTTAATGGGTAAATGATGCTTCTTGCTTAAAGGAATTAAGTGTTCCACCAAATATGCCAAATAAAAGGCCCTCTTATATAATGCTCTATAATTCAAGAAATCCTTGGGTTGGAAAAGACTTTTAGGCATGGTCAATGCAATATCAATGGAAGGAGAAGAGCCATGTGACTGGGAAATGCCTGTTTTCAACCCAAACGATCCAACAAGACTAACATCTTCAGGAGGAGAATAGGCAAATGTGTAATTAGCTTTGGTGGGTTTAGGATTGGGGAATGGAATTGCAACCTTTCTATGATTGAACAATTGTTCGGCCTGGCTTAAAGATAACGTTTCTGAAGCCGGAACTTGCGATATCAAATGATGTAATCGGTGTAACACCTTTTCTATTTTCTGGATATGGGAGTCCTTAATTTTCATTTCCTTAATCAACTCATCGATCTGGAGCTTAAAGATATTTGACTTGAACAACTCAGCTGTTTCACGGGCTATTTGAACTTCTTGTGCGGATAATTGTTTTCTTTGTTTCTTAGTAGGACGTTCATTATGAGCTGGAGAAGCTGACTCTGGATCAGAATCAGAGTCATCATCGTCACTACGGTCTTCCTCATCTTCATTACGGTCCTCCTCATTAGGCTCCACTATAACCACATGTTTCTTCTCACCCCCTTCTTTCCTTGATCCTAAAGCGGACTCCAATGGTCTCTTGGCCATCGTTAACTATAATACAGAATGGAGCTGAATATCAAGCACTTAAGCCCTTCAGCAACTTATTTATATGTCCAGTAAACCACAACAACTTCTGTCCAATAAAATCGTCAGAACAGATGCAGTAGGATTACTTTCTTACCTTCCTCAAACTTAGTATTAAAGGTAGACTTTGTTAGGGTTTATCTTTTTGTATGTCAAATTTTTTTCTCTTCCTCTTCTCCATCACCGGCACCCTAACACCAATCAGTGTACTGTAACCGGTACTGCTGGGGCTATATACAGAAGGGACCATGATATATGCAGGAAGTTGATTATTCTTGCGATGAGTAAGAATGATATATACAGTAGGAAGAAAATTGTCGTTTCGTGTCGCTTCATGAAAATGGTTGATTTTTTCGCACGTGATACCACGCTGTCGTGCCCCTTCCAACTAATGGATCTCGTATAGATTGCAAAATCATATGAACAAATGCTATTTGAACAAAATGTCGTTAAAAATATAGCGTACTTCCATCATCCACTCAGATCGATTCGTATTACTATAACCGGACTAATTATACCAAACTATTATCCTATAAAGTGGAGTTGTGTCAGTTGTCTCCCATGTATTATTCCGAGACTTTAAAGTTACCGAAAACAGATCCCACAAGATGGAGGTTAAACACCGATAAATATGGACGTGAATCATGGCAATATCTTTCTACTGACGAAGAAGTTAAATCCAAGCCGCAGGCTACTAGTTATGTCAAGTACTTGTTGCAATTGGAGGACTTTGAAGGACCTACACCTGAGGATATCAATACTCCCTATGAAGCATGTGTTAAGGGAGCCGAATTCTACCTGTTGTTACAAGATGAGAATAGCGGGATGTTCCCATGTCAATACAAAGGTCCGATGTTTATGACCATTGGATTTGTGGTGGCGCATTATGTTTCTAAGACGCCAATTCCCGAGCCTCAAAGAATAGAAATGATTCGATACATTGTTAACACTGCTCATCCAGTAGATGGAGGTTGGGGTTTACACTCGGTAGACAAATCAACGTGTTACGGAACAACCATGAACTATATTGCGTTAAGACTATTGGGAATGCTGCCAGATCATGAGGTGCTTGTTAAAGCCAGAAAGACGTTACATCGTTTAGGCGGTGCCATAAAGAATCCTCATTGGGGTAAAGCATGGCTCTCGATATTGAATTTATATGATTGGGAGGGAGTAAATCCTGCACCACCTGAACTCTGGTTAATGCCTTATAGTGTTCCATTGCATCCAGCAAGATGGTGGGTTCACACTAGAGCTATTTATTTACCCTTGGGGTATTTGGCAGCTAACAAATTCCAATGTAAATTGGACGATCTATTACTGAGTATAAGAGATGAAATATATTTATCTCATCAATTGCCTTACGATACCATAGACTTTTCCAAACACAGAAACAACGTATGTGGAGTTGATTTATATTATCCCCATTCTAAAGTATTAGACACTGCCAATTGGTTTTTGGTGAAATATGAAAAGTACTTGCGTCCCACCAGTTTCCTTAAGAACACTTTGAATCCTCGGATATACGATTTGATCAAAAAGGAATGTTTGAATACAGATTATTTAACAATTGCACCTGTTAGCTATGCATTTGATATGATTGTGTGTTTCATAGAAGAAGGCAAAGATTCAGAAGCTTTTCAAAAGTTTTCCGACAGACTGAAAGATGTGCTCTTCCATGGCCCTCAGGGGATGACGGTTATGGGAACAAACGGGACCCAAGTTTGGGATACGGCGTTTATGATTCAATATTATTACCTTAGTGGTTTGAACAAGTTGTCTAAATTCCATAAGACGATTGAGAGAGCATTTAGATTCCTTGTTAACTCTCAGTTTACCGAAGATTGTGTTGATGGATCTTTCAGAGATAAGAGGAAGGGAGCATGGCCGTTTTCAACAAAGATTCAAGGTTATACCGTGAGTGATTGTACAGCTGAGGCTTTAAAGGCAGTCATTATGGTTAGAGATGATCCACAATTTGCTCACATACGGAATTTAATCTCCGATAAAAGCTTATTCGACGGTATTAATGTTTTATTAGGACTTCAAAACCTCGGGCGTCATGAATTTGGTTCCTTTTCAACTTACGAGAACATTAGAGCACCTCTTTTATTAGAGGCTTTAAACCCGGCAGAAGTTTTCAGCAATATTATGGTTGAATACCCATATGTGGAATGTACCGATTCCTGCGTCTTAGGTTTGACATACTTCCATGAGTCATATCCCGAACACCGATCAGAAGAGATTCGTTATAGTATTGATAACGCTATTAAGTACATTAAGTCAGTCCAAAATAAGAATGATGGTTCATGGTATGGTTGCTGGGGAGTTTGCTTTACTTACGCACTGATGTTTGCCTTAGAAGCTTTAAGCACCGTAGGTCTTTCATATACCAATTCTGAAAGTGTCCGTCGTGGTTGCGATTTCCTTATTTCAAAGCAAAGACCAGATGGGGGTTGGTCCGAAACCATGAAGGCTTGTGAAACCCATACATATGTCAATGGGCCAGATTCATATGTGGTACAAACAGCATGGGCCTTAATTGGTCTTATTCTTGCAGATTATCCTAATAAAAACCCAATTAAAAAGGGGATCCAATTACTAATGAAACGACAGTTTCCCACCGGGGAATGGAAATACGAAAGTATTGAAGGGGTGTTTAATCACAGTTGTGCCATTGAGTATCCTTCTTACAAATTTTTATTTCCCATTAAGGCATTGGGATTATACGCTAGCAAATATGGGAATGATACTGTCTATTGAAAAGAATGTTAGATAGTATTTCCTTTCGATTCTGCCTTTTTTGCATACATGGTTAGTCCTGTAGGTTTAATTCGGCTTTTAATATTATGCAACCAAATTCCACAAACCACACTGAAGCACTCATAATCCGTATTGCAAGATACGCAGTTGTCATTGGGGCCTAAAAGCTCACATGATCACTGCTGATATTCCCAGGTTCCATTCATGATGAAATAGATTACACCATAAAACAAGATTGACGTTATTGAACAAGGCTTCCAAACTGAGACTCAACATGATATTTATGTTGTCTAATGTGCGCTTGTGTCTCCCTGATGTTTGTTTGGTGTCTGTTCGGTTTCGGTACATGAACGTTAAGAGTCAGCTCAATGTCAGTTCAGTGTCAGCTCAGTGTCAGCTCAGTGTTAGTTTAGTGTCAGTCCAGTGTCAGTCCTGTGTCTGCTCAGCGTTATTCAAATTCTGTTTGGAAGGGTGTATATGTAGAAAATTCAAAAGGTTAACGCAAGAAGAACTCAGCTAATGTGTACAAAAATGGCCAGTGACATCAATAAGTGTGATATTAAATTGGCCTTGGTGAAATTGTAGTACTGAGGGGTTAGTTGCTAAAAAGTGCACAAGCAAGTCAATTCCAGGCTGAGTATCCATGTGGATAAGGAGGCTAAATTAAAAGGTAACAAGATGAAAAGGATAAGCCGAATATGGGTAGTGCAGGTATTATTTAGCATTTAAATATAGCCAATGACTGTACAAAGGGAGCTAAAGACAGGCATTTCAGTGTTCAAATGAAGGTGTATTTCAATTACTTTAAACCCTTTCACCTAAATGCAAGATGCGTATAAAGCTGTCAATAATAAATTTAAACTAATCCTTAGTGGTGTTTTCTCAGACTTACAGGGTTTTCCTTTGAGTGTAAGTGGTGCGAGTTATTTCCCGCAGTGTCAAATAATAATCTAATTTATCACCGAAGTATATGCCGAACAATGAACTTCATGATCAAGGCTCCGTTATAAAATGGGCAGTGTCAATCTAAACTCGTATTTATATCCTTAGAGCATAGCCTCTTAAATCTAGTGAAATATAAAAACAAGGGATGTGGTCGTATTTCTAGAAAGAAGTTGTAATCTTTTTGATCACTAGAAGTATTTTCACTTTTTTGTTTTAGTTTCATTAACTTAGCTTGATCATGTATCCTTATCAATCAGGATATGCCGCAGTCCCCGAAGACTTGGAATCCCAACTGGAAAAGGGTGAATCAAGAAATGACACTCCTAATGATGGAAAGGGGTTTGAACAGTATGCGCCACCACATTACCCACCACCTCATCTTTGTCAACGCCCATTTCTTCCACTTTTTAATCCTCCTCATGCAGTTCATTTCTACCCATCTCCGTATGTCTTTGAAGGTTACATGAACACTTACCATTCACCACCTTCACCTCGGAGATCCAAAATTTTATCCGTCTTGTTAACCTTAGCCACCATTGGTGGAATATTCCTTGCCGGTTTCAACTATGGCCGGTACTATGAGAGTGAAATATTTGACGATGATTTCTATGGAGACGATGACTATAATGATCATGGAATTAAGTATTACGACCACCCGCAATTTCGGGAAATTGAGGAAATTGATCACCCTCCCCATGGCCATCCATATTACCCATTGGAACCCGATCATGATAATCGTCCACCAGGCAGACCCTCGGCCTTTTATTGGGTGATTCCCTCTGAGGAACACCATGGCGAGGAAGACCCATCAGATGGTGGAGAGAGCCCAGATCATGAAGATGACTCTGAATATGACCAGGAACAAGATGATACGTTTGATTTACGTCAAATATCCAAAGGTTTAGTTTAACTTTAGTTAGGTTTATTTTTATATGATTTATGTTACACGTCTAAATAGTTCTAGGCTCTAAGATCAACCTACCTAAAGCCTTTTTGGAATGACCATTCTTGAAAGTAAACACCGAATTGCCTCTAACTATGGTTTCCATCACTCTACCTTTAAACTCCTTACCGTCGTATGCAGTCAACTTATTCTTAAAGAATGTCTGATCGTTTTGAACAATGTACTTGGCATCCAAATCAAATAGTAAAATATCTGCATCATAACCAACGGCAATACGCCCCTTAACATGTGATAACCCAACTTGTTTTGCTGTGTTGATCAGACACCATTTGTTGATCTCTTGTATTGACACAGGTGGCGAGAGCTTTTGACCTTCAGTATACAAAATAGGTAACCCGAACCCTACGGAAGATATCCCACCCCAAGCAGAGAAAAAATCACCCTTTTCCAACCCCTTAAGATCAGGAGTACAAGGTGAATGGTCTGAAACAACGGTGGTGATGATATCATTCCGTAACGCCTTCCAGAGGAGTTTCCTATTATTATCGGTTCTGATTGGTGGACAGCATTTAAAATGGGTTTGACAATTGGAGATCAGTTCAGCATAAAGACTAAGATAATGGAAACATGTTTCTGCAGTTATGGGTAAGTTTCTATTCTTAGCCGCTCTGATCAATGGTACTGCTTCGTGTGTTGCCAAATGCACAATGTGTAAAGGTACAGTAGGGATTTGAGTGGAACAGTAAATGATCTCTGCTATGGCTGTAGTCTCGAAATTATCAGGTCTAGAAGCCAAGAAGGAAGCATAAGCTGTGGCATCAATGTTAGCCAAATTAGGATCTTCTCTTTGAGCTAACAAAAGGGGTGAGGATGGTTCTTCCTCGGTATAATCAAACATCTTAGCTTTGACTCTGGGTGAAGCCACGACGGGTCTTCTATTATGATTAGCAAGTAAAGTATAAGTACCCAAAAGTGGCTCAGAAGAAGCCAAATATGGCAGTTTGGCTAATGCTTTAGCTTGTTGATCAGTTAAAACTTGTTGATTCATAGATCCAGCATGATTATGAGGTAAAGAACAATTTTCATGCTCTTCGCCTTCAATATGTTTATGATCATGAGCATCCTCCTTCAACAACTTCACCACTGCCTTTGGAGTACGATGAATAAATGAAGCCGACATACCCAAATCAAGATCCTGAATATCATCGGCAATGGCGGCGATTCTATCACTTGAACCAGAAGCAGAACCTGCTGGAGTCCCCAATGAAGAATTGGATTCATCAACATCCAAGCTGAAACTGGCACCAGGTGATCTCAAGGCCTTGAACCCATTGGTTAATGCTGCACCATTGGAATTGGAAGAAACTTTGCCGTTCATGAGCTTCTTCTCAATAGATGGTTTTTTAGAAAAGTCTCCATTGGTATGGAACCCCATTTCATTCATAATGGCATGTTGGTTTTCAGCTTCATCAGGTTGCATTTCTGCATGGAACATCAATAAAGTGTTCAACCCATCTACCTCCTTCATGGCTTCTAATATATAGGGAGGATCAATCGCCGGGAATTCATCAACACCAGATTCAATAAGAAACCCTTTGAAACCCCTAACACCCATGCTAATCAAAGGTCTCAAATGATCAATATTATCAGGAATTAACCCACCCCAAAAACCAACATCAACCCAGGTTTGGTTCTGAGCCGCAGCTATCTTCAACAAAAAGTTCTCAACAGTAGTTGTTGGAGGAATAGCATTCAATGGCATATCAACCACAGTAGTAACCCCCCCAGAAGCAGCTGCTTTGGTCCCGGTAGCAAAACCTTCCCATTCCGTTCTACCAGGTTCGTTCAAATGTACATGAGCATCAACTATACCAGGCATCACAAGTAATGGGGAAACATCACGATATTCTTCAACATGAAACAACTTTAAATATGCGTCCAGAGGATCTACAATTTCATCTATGATTTCCAAAATCTTCCCTGTGGTCGAAGAATAAACAATAGTGGCAGGAATCACTTCATCATCCACAAGTACCTTACTGGAAGCCAATGCTTTAGACATTATTATATTTTTTTCAGTACAAACAAATTGAGATTAGACTAACAAATTCAGATCAAATTGATCTGATGAGGTATCTATGGTTCTTTTATGGAAAATGATTCAGATGACACAAATCTATTGGCTCCTCCTTCCTTTAACAAAAGTATAAAACCTCTCTTGTTAGGTTACTAAGGTTTTCCGGCTGGATGTGTTTACAAGGGACCACGATGGGGGGGCCCAAAGCCAGTTAAGCTCAGCCATTGATAAGAGACGGATAACGATTCCGATAATGAATCGGATGGGACACGACCCCGGAGAACACCGACCGGTAACGGCATTAAAAATTATAAACTGTAATACACTTTTCACTTTAGGTAACATGTTAAAAATGTCCGGGGTATGACACTTCGTGCATCTCAGTAATCAGGAATAGACATATCTTACAATGGGAAGGAAAAAATAGTATCAATTATTACTACTGCAGGTACAGCTTCAGTTACTACTTTCCTAGTACACAACTAATTGCTTACCATTCTTTGAGTTCAATACTGCTTCTTGATAAACCTCATGCAAAGGCTTTGAACCATCAAAAGAAGACTCAATCGAAGGTGAATCTACCAATTGGCCGTCTTCATACCATTCAATGATTTGATTGAAAGATTTCTGCTTTAAGTCAAAGTTGCTACTCAATAATTCAGTAACCCAAAACCCTGCACTGGTAATGTTCTTGAAGATGTGCAAGCTTGTTGGAATGATAACTGGTTGAAATGACATACCACCATATGTCAACATAATACCGTTTTTAGCCAACTTACGAGCAATTCCGGTAGCATTCTTACCACCAACACAATTCAAAGCTAATTTGATTTCACCATCTTTTGTCCAGTCTTTGATGGTGGCACCAAACTCCTTTGACAGGTTTTCTTCTTCGGTGATGACTTTGGTGGCACCCAACAGAGTCAATTGATCTTTCAATTTGTCCAAATCTGGTCTATCACGAATGACTGAAAGGGAGTTGAACCCTAAGATCCTAGCCACTTGAATAGCATATTTCCCAACGGCTGAGTTCCCACCGTTTTGGATAAACCAATCATTAGGCCCTAATTTGACGTAATGAGTTAACATTAATAAGGCAGTAGGAGGATTGACACAAAGGGTAGCTCCTTGATTAATGGATAAACCATTACGTTTACCATTAGCTTTGGATTGTTCAGGATTAGGGATCTTGAAGAAATCTTCAGCGGTACCTAAGGCATGGGTTCTCCAGGTACCAAAGTTGACGTTACGAGGAACACACCAATCACCTGGTTGTAAATCAGATACTCCAGAGCCAACATGTAACACTTGGAAAAGACCTTCGTTACCACAAGGAGCCAGGGGTTCCGTGGTTCCTAAATCAGTTGTCTTCTCAGGCTTTGATGGATAAACACCTTGGATCTGATTAATATCAGAAGGATTAACAGGAGATGCCAATGTTTTGGCGACTATTTGATTGGATTCTAATTTGGTTTCATCAATTTCATAAGTGTGGGTGGTCAACACATCTTTAGGTTCACCATGTTGTGAGTACACAACTGCTTGGGCTGTAATCATTGTACGTCTGGTTGTTAAGTACTTAGTGGATGTTCTTAATAAACCAGCTTTAGTAGAAGAGATCATGTTCCTATACTTGGACTATTAATCAATCGATAATCAACTCAATTATTAATAATCCCCACTCTTGGAAAGAGAGAAGGTGTACTAAACGAGAATCCCCGACTTTATATAGGGACTCCTTTATTGGATGTTGTCGTTTGCCCCGAGACCCGAAATATTACACAAAAGGCACTATTTCGTAATTTAATGAAGGAGTGAGAAAGAATTTATACTACTGATTCTACTGATTCTAATTAAGGAGTCATACAGAATATATAGACATTTATAGATACAGTATACGAATGTTCTAGATACGGTACCAAATCTAATCAGTTTTCTTCTCCTTGAGACGCATTTTCAACTTGTAATTCTGGAACGTCCCTAAGATAAAGTACACTATGGTGAACCACACTACCCACAAGTCTGGAGCTATAAAGTTTTGAGCAATAGATAAGGTGAAAAGTGAAGTAACGATTGACAGTTTCAATAATTGAGGATAAGTTCTTTTCATGCCTAATTTAACTGCTTCAAAAGCTCTGGAGATTTCTTGACTCAAGGTGTTACCCGCAACTGGTCTGTACCCATTAATAAGTGATAACCAAGTCGTATAAACAGCCACCAATGAAGGTGTGATTGTTGATAAACTGGTTAACAATTGAACTATTTTCATCTTTGGCGTCAATTTGGTCCCAAACACACGATTAAGTACTCCGTACATTTTATGTGAGATCGGAGTAACAATAAATGCTCCATAGAATATCATAGTAAATAATTTAGACAGTATGGCATGAGGAATTGGTATTCCAAGAACATTTGAAGTCTTTGACTCGCCCGCTAAAAACGTAGCCACAGTCTCATTGAGTCCGCAAAATACTGCTGAGGTAAGTGACTTGGTAAGAAGTGGATACTTATTCAAGTACCCAAGATATTGTTTGTTGTATCTTGATAAAGACATTGATAATAGTAGCAGTAGAGCACAAAAAGAGTTATTTGATGTATAGTTGGTAGCCAACCACTATTAAATATAAACTGTTAGGTCCTCGGCAACTTTGGGAAAGATCTAATTCGGCTTTCGGCAATCTCCACACTGTGCTAACGCTACCAGTAAAGTGTTATATACCTCCACTGATCTCCGCGTTTTCAATGGGTTCTCCACTTGAATAAAGAATAGCTTTGTGGGGAGGAAACTAATTGAATCGAGGAAAAGATTAAATCAAAGGAAGAAACTAAACCATAAGTTAAAAAGTTAGAGGTTATGGTATTGTTTGGGTAATGTAGATCAGGTAAACATACGCATACCTTGCTGATAAGAAAAGTGTATGGTTACCCGGACATACTTGGGTTTAACTTGCGGGAGTTCCGACGGATGAATTAAGATAAGAAGAACTTCAAACGATATAACAATAGTTGGCTAAGAATATAAGTAAATAAACAGAATCGTAACTCAACCAGTATATGACTTTCCTACTTGCAGGGAAACTTCATAAAGTATGTTTTCTACTTACGAATTTATCTCCATTAGTTAATGCGGTAAAACTACACTACTGTTAGATAATCAGCTTCAAACCATTTCATATTTCGTCTTAGTTTGCAATGGTGAAGCATTAAGGAGAGCCACAAGTTTTGAAGTTTGCCTTTTTCTACGCTCAAATTTGTACTAACGAATCGAACTACTAACAACATTCGATCACTTTTCTTTTCGTCTTCTTCAGAAGCACTGTATCCATGTTTTTTGGACTTTGGCAATCACATATATAAATTGTAATGTCAACAAGTGTGGATAATTGTTGCAATTCGTTAAAAAGTCATTGTAAGTCCCAGTAGTTACACACTCCCCAATAGATCATCATTCTTTAATCATGTGGTGGAGGCTCACGATGAATTAAAGAAACATCTACGATTTCTATACAGTCTGGCTTAACGTTGGGGCAGTTGCTGATGCCACAATTAATTTAGATCAATGACCGATGGCTCGCTTGTTTCGTTATGGGAATAATTCTCTCCTTGGTCGATGATCCATTACCGTCCAAGAAAAGCTTTATCTCGCAGAATGTCGAGTTATCAACAATAAAGCTAGCAAATTATACCTCGCTCGATATTGACTTTACGTAACACGAAGTATTGGGGTAGTCGTGCGTGGTTTGGTTTTAAATCTTTTGTATTGTCTCCATTAGTGCTTATGGTAGAAGGTGTTACTTTCACTATAGTCTTCCGTATACTATTGAGTAATACACTACTTTAGAAAAGGAGATATGGTCCTAGTCTTTGTTATATGGACAGTATTATGTTAGTACACGACTTTTGAATCAATCTCCTAGCTTATAGCAATAGTACAATTCATTACACCAATCGTACTATGAAAATTACCTCTAAGATACTACTGCAATGCTTCCTGGATACTACCAACATGATATATCACTATAAAACAATATTATTTCTGTAAATTATATTAATCATATACTTATTACTTCACTTGTAAATAGTTATCACCGATAGGATGTGGTTCCGTTTTGTGTCACCTCTTTAGAGCCGTGTTGTTTATACACTCTGGATTAAAATGATACCGTTAATGAAATCAAAATCATCCCTTATGACCATAAACGGTACACGGGTCCCTTTATCATGGCATCTCCATTTGATCTAAGTTCAAGTGAACCTTCTGCCAGTTCATCTCCTCAGTTGTTTGCGCTGTCATTGAATGGTCTGGTAATGCACCAGAAAGTTATGGTTCACCATTCAAAGCATCATCGCTCGCTGAATCATAGTCATAATCATAATCATAGTCATAGTCATAATCATAACAATAGTCACACTCTGACCCTGACACTGACCATGGGTCTGGCTCTGACTCTGGATCATACTGTTGCTAACATACGGTCTCTGCAGAGTCCCTTCCCATCATCATCATCATCATCATCATCATCATCATCTGCGAATCCAACTACATCATCCACACCTGGTCCTATACTGAATCTTACTACTGAGGCAGCTGGCACTGCTCTGAGTATGCAAGCGGATTTTTCAGCATCTTCAACGTTGACGTTGGTGGATGCAATGACTCAAATTCCGCCACTGCTGTCTGCACGCAATAGTACTGCGACTTCTACAACACCTACAGCTAACAACAGCAATAATAATAATATTACAACGTCAACATCATCAAACATAAGAACAGCTAATATCAATGCTGATCCTAATAACAATTCTGCATTATCTTCATTGCTACATTCACCATTACATCAACCATTACCTCCATTGCAACTTACTCAACCACTGGGTACGTTTCCAAAGCAACGACTGTCGTCCATAAACTCTATTACCTCAAACCAATCCTTTACTTTGGGACAATCAACTGTCTCAGGACCAGGACCTTTGCATCATCTGAATACTACACACAACATACCGTCCTCTGCAACATCTCAGCAACCAAGGTCAATGAGTATTATCTCGCTTAATAGTCCGCGAGAGTCGCTTATTTCGGCTGACGATTTGAAGAACTTGCCTGGAACAAGGAACAATAGTTATAATTCTCTTGTGAGTTTACTGGACTTGGCTCTAAGGAAACAAAAACAAAGCAACAACAGCAATAAACGTGGAGATACTTCTTTGGTTTCAGATGATGAAGATCTTGGATTACATCTTAATAATACTAATATGCTATTATCTTCCCTCAAACCTTCTATGGGTCATGGAAAACTTCAATTACCAGCCAGTATGGTTTTCACAGAATTTAAACGATTGAGTTCAGGTTCAAACCCATTACAGCCAACTTCAGGTGGAGGTGGAGGTTCAAATCCAAATTATATTTCACCGGGTTCTTCTCATCTTAAGATGCACGATTTGACTCCTTCACCATTATCTTTGGCTGAGAACCCCTTCAATGACTATAACTTTGCACAAGCACAAGCTCGTCATCACCATCGTCAATGTTCGTCCTTGAGCTCTCACAAAATAGACCCTATCCAATCACATCAACCAGTTAGTGATGCAGAAAGTGACATTTCATTGATGGATCATCATATCAGTGGTGCTCCTGATGGAGATCGTGATATGACAACTGTGGAGTCGCCCATTATTCTTCCATCTGTGTCACCAACTTCATCATCAATATCAAATGCTTCGATGTCCTCTACGAATCTGGGGCCTTCTTCAACTGCACCATTACCTCCTTCTCATCAACGAACACCTTCTATTTCAAATGAGAATTCTTCAGCTACTAATCCAGCTAAGAAATTAAAGAGTATTCGACAGGTCCTTCTGGTATCCAAATCATCATCCAAGAAACCTTCAATCACCTCATCTCAACCAAGCACAAGCTCCCAAGCTTTACTCTTAAAAAAGAAGTATATATTCTCCAAAGATATTCAATTCGAACTTTTACAGAAAAAGACCTCTGCAGTCAATGAGATGATTACTACCAAGTTTGTTCGTCTGTCATCACTTCCACAATCCAAATCCAAATTCAGCACTGGGGAAAGAGAAAGCTCCAACGATGATACGGTGACTCAATCCAAATCCTTTGATGAAAAGTCTACTGGGACTCAAACCCAATGGAAACAGCAACAGAAGCTCATTCAGCAATTGAACCGGAAATGGAATAAGAATGACTTGGAATTGAGTGACACAAACACTAGCTCCTCAGCATCAGCAACTACTGCTAACAGTAGAAAGAGATCTAGGGGAAAAGATGATGACGATGACGATAATGTTGAATGAGATGATTTGGATTGAACTCAACTTGTATACTATTTATAATGCATCCTTGTTGTTGTACTATAATATGATTTCATCATCATCTAAATTTGCCAATTCACTAAAGAATGGAAACTTCAATGCTTGTTTAGCAGTAAGACGTTTGCGATGGTCCATATGAAGGCATGCATTCAACAACTCAACCAAATACTTATGATCCTTGTAGTTATCAATTTTCCTATTGAGTTCATCATTATCAAGGGCCGCTTCTCCCAAAGGCTTAATGAATTTATCACCTCTGTCGCTCAACAACTCCAAAGTATCCCACAGAACACTATCTGAAGGTATAGACTCGTTTTCAGCTTCGTGACGAAGGAAATCACTCATTAATTGTACTAAATTACCATTCCCCATTCGTTCAGGTTGAGTGGTTAATTGTAGTTCTAAACCACATCCATGTAATTCAGCACATTTAGTCATTTTCTCCATACCAAAAATCAATACTAATTCCATAATAGCATCAACATCATCGGGTGAATTGAATAATGGGAACTTCCGAAGTATAATCGAAAGTGCAATTACTCCTGCTGACCAAACATCCAATTTAGTCAGTTGATTTGTACATTTAAAAAGAACTTCTGGAGCTCTGAATCCTCTTGTTCCAGCTCTGTTGGCTCTACGAGGAGGTCTCAAGTCTTGTTTCGGGTAAGCAGCTTTAAATATTCTCTTTTTAAGTCTTAAAGAGTTGTCCTTAGCAATACAAGGACAACTATTATATGAATGGGAAGTCGATAAAGGAGGTTGTTTCTCAGCTAAACCAAAATCAACTAGAACTCCTCTGCCCTTGAAGGGATCATAAAGAAAGTTAGTGGGTTTAAGATCTCTATGAATAATAGCCTTTTCATGGACAAAAGATAATGCTTTGAATAGTTCCCACATATACTTCTTAATACCTTTAATGGGGAGATCTCGATAAAAGTCACGGAAATCTGCATGCTTATAATATGGTAGAATGGCCACTACTTGGTCTTGATGTCGAAGAACATCTAATAATGCTGCAACATGGGAATTCCCACTTAACATGTAAAGTAAATTCAATTCATTGTGAATACGATTGGGTGAAGATGTCACATAAATTTGTTTCAATGCAACTATAGGATTCTTTTTACGTTGAACCAATGTTGATGATGATCTGGCCTTCTTCAATGGTGGAGATTTCCAAAGTTCAGATCCCATTTTAACACTCCCATTCAATGCTTCGGCTCTGAAAACAGTAGAAAAAGTCCCTTCTCCAATCTTATCAAGTAATCTATAGTTAGTAGAAAGTACTGGGAAGCATTCTTCGAGTTTATTCATTTCTTCAAGTACTTCAAGAGGTGTTTCATCGTCTTCATCTTCTTCCTCTTCATCTTCATTCTCTTTGTCTCCCAGTCGAACAGGCTCACTTGCACTTTGAGTGGATTCCTTAGCGTCTTGAAAATCTGTATTTTTTGTCTCTGCTTCATCATCATCAGTTGATGCTATCAGGATCTTATCATCTGTATCAAACTCCTCTTCTTCATCATCCTCATCTTCTTCGTCGACACGTTGCTCAAACTGTGACTTCTCACGCATCCGACGTATCACAATTCTACTGCTTCCCTCACTGGTATTACCACTATTGCCTCCACTGATCTTCTGTAACGTGAGCTTGGAGATATTAGATTTGCTGATAAACAGCGTATCGGACCCCATACTCCCGATCTGCTGCATCTTGCTCGGAGTCTCTCGAAACGGGTTGTCTTCCGACAGTTGATGCTTCCTCTTCAAATTCATGGTGTTGGCGATGACTATTGCTGTGATGATGATAGTTAGAAACGCGGTTCAACTGTATGTACGCGTGAATGCAAAAGTTGATCTAAACCTCGGCTCAAAAAAGGGGGTTGCTAGGCGTGCTGTCAGGATCCCTATGTGACTTCCCTTTGATTCTATAAGCTTAGTAACTGGAAAGGAGCCAACAGGATTCTGTATTCACCATCTACAGTTGATCCATGTAAACAAAAACATTGTATGTGAGTCGTGTAACGTTCACTTTTGTTGGGGTGTGTTACATAATCTATTACATAACGTTGGTGATAGTTGGAGTAAGTGAAAAAAAAAAATTTTCGAGTAGTAAGACTCTAAGACTTCAATAGATGTTATCAACAGTTTAGGTAGTACCAGGTGATAGTCTTGATGATTAGAACTTCTAAGCCTTTAGTTAAGTGTCCTGCTAATGCAGGCATGTCGTTAACGCAAGTTCGGTATCGTCGTATGCCTGCTTTGCCCCTGAGATATAGACCAGTGGTTCCAGAATCAGACAAAAAAGATCACTCTACTGTTTTACAAAAGCAAATGAAGCAATGGCTTGGACCTCGTAACATTCGAGGCGAATACTATAGAAACAAATATTACTACCCCCCACGTGAACATAGACCCAATTATGTTGTTCCAGATGGAAAATCATTGGTTGGAATTGAAGAAGAAAATGGTAATGAATTCAGAACATCGCTATCTTCAAGAGATCAATTACAACCATTTCCTCAAAATCCCTTTTGTAAAACTGCTTATATCGTTTCTCATGAAACCAAAGATGCCATTTATCAAGAGATTGAAGCTAAAGGTACTCATGTACAAGAAACGTCTGTTAAATACGGATTAAAAATTAATCGTGTTGAAGCCATTGCTAAATTACAAGCCATTGAAAAATCATGGGCAGCAGAAGGTAAAATTAACTCTGAAATATCTTCATTTGCAAAAACAATGTATGAAATGTTCCCATTGTACAATGCAGCACATCAACCAGAGAATTTGACTGAAATTCCTATCCCTTCCAAAACTTTACAACAAAGATTTATTTCCATTGCCGAATCCGAACCCTTTGGGCCCATTGAAGCAGCTGCTACATTTGAGTTAGAACCAGCCTCAGAAACTTTGGAGAAATTAGCTGCAATTAAAAAGGGTAAAACTGCTTCTCGAGAAGTTATCATAGGTCAACAGAACCAAGGAGAGCGTACTGCTTTCAAATTCATTAAGGCTAAATCTGGTGATGTTGGTTTCCGTTATGGTGCTTCAAGAAGAGATAGAAAGAAGGACAGAGCTGTTGGGTTCGATAAGGCTGGTAAGATGGTTTACGTGCAATAACAGAACCAAATCACAACGTCATTATACTGTAAATAGCATTCTATGTACATATAAATACATAAAGATAACATTAAATACGTATTGATAGAATTACTACTAAACTGCGTTGATCTATAGCACATCTCTATTCTGCGCTACCATTCTCGGTTTGGTTATTGCACGCCTGTCAACACGTCTTTTAAAGTTAGAGAAAAATTTGAGTGGAAACATAACACACACTGTGTATACCCCATACAAGTATTACCTTACTAAGTCAATAACGATGAAGTACTCTGTGTTTGGAATTCTTTGTGTGTTGTTCCTGGTAGTATACGGGTCTGCGTTGACCTTCACATTACCTGCAGAAGAAGAAGCCTGTTTTTACATCTTCACTGAAAAGCCCAACTCTCAGATCAGTTTTTACTTTGCTGTTCAAAGTGGAGGTGCCTTTGACGTTGATTACACTATCAAAAATCCTAGAAATGAGATTATTGTGTCTGAGAATAAGGAAAGACAAGGAGATTTTGTTTTAACTGGAGATGATGTTGGTGAGTATGGCTTTTGTTTCTTCAATAAGATGTCTACATATGCTGAGAAGGTGATTGATTTTGAAATCAAATACGATAATGCTGAAGATGCAAAGAAGTATCAAGCACAATTGCCTGATCAACCTCAAAACAAGCCAATTGCTCATGTTGAACTGATGGAGAATACTGCCAATCAAATTGATCAAAAGTTGGATGGGTTGATGAGAACATTACAATATTACAAAACAAGAAATAACCGTAATCAAGCCACTGTCAGATCCACAGAATCCAGAATTTATTACTTTTCAATTTTTGAAGTTGCTTTAATGGTTGGAATGGCTATTTTACAGATTGCCATTGTGCAGTTATTCTTCAAAGGTTCGAGAAAGCAATTGGTCTGAGACTTGTTCCCAAAAAAGATATGGTGTATTATTTGAATAAGCCATCATATGTATATATATAGTCGAGTTAATTAGTTACTACTTGAAGTAGTACTAGAGACTGGAAATAAATACAATTGAAGATATTTCAGCATATGAGTATGAATGTTTAATGTATAATTTTAATATGTGCAAATGGAATATTAAACGGTAGCGCCGATCTACTTCTCTCGTTCTCACGTGATCACACTTAAAGGAGATATAACCTACTTCAACAATAAAGTAATAGAAGAAAAATAACAAGAATAAATAAATATTAACAATAAGAATACATAACAATACGATCGGAAATCTGGTGTGATGCCATAAATATTCCAGAACGCCCCATAATCATAAAATTGTTATAATTATTTCATTTGAGCTTGATCAAACTTCTTATCGGTGAAAAAAAGCAGTTAACGCCGAGCCAAAAGTGCAATTGACTTCCTTTCAGTTATCAAATGATACACAATAGCTCATACCTGTATCATTAGTTAGGGTTGTAGCTATAACGACGGCTTCTACAAAATATTCATTACATTGTAAAAATTTTCATCTTTGTACAGTGCTGTTAATATAAGTCATTGTACACATTTTGACTCCTGTTCGGTACGAATGTATACGTGGGAGTTCCTATTGTTCTGGCAAGCGAAGTACTGTATTGATAGGGTGTAAATATACATGTACGTCTATACCTATACATATATATGTATGCTAGTTATATACATTTACGTATATATGTAAGTATATGTACCTATGGTAGTAATTAGTTTATGTCGTGGTAATTCTCAGTATAGAGGTAGTAAATTTCAGACCTGTGATTTATTAAATCTAGTATAAATATTTATTATCTGACAATTGCTCTTGACTTCGTCCATTCATCCGTGATAACTGCATGAGTCTTCCTCAAAGCCAGTTCGATGGCCATAATAGGCGCAAACCTTCAATGTCTGAAGCGTTTGTTAGTTCCTTTAAAGAATCTGGTGGGTTTGAATTCGGTGGTAGAAGTTATATATCTGCTTCGTTAAATCGTCAAAGTATCTCTGCTGCCAGTCATTCGCCTCAAGTGTTCTCCGGTTACGATGTTCATCAAGAATCTGCCAATTTGGCTCGCATAGGTCTTACGGATCCCGACAGCGAAGGAGCGTATGATACAGTTCTGGATAAAGATACTCCAGATGTGGCTGAAGTAAATGAAGATGATGGTGACGATTCTTCAACTTATTTGGGATCTTCTCCTCCAATAGCAATCATGGGTTCAGGTAATAATGAACTGCTGCTGTCTGTTATGAGGAAAGCATCTAGAAAGAACTCACCTAGTAGTGGCAAACAGTACATTCGGTACACTGATGACACCGATATCAATAAACGGCCCTCTCAAGTAGATGAGGAATCGGCTATTGACACTTCTACGACTCCCTTGTTAACTGTGGCTGATGGTAGATATTTAGCACCTCCAATTCATGAACCAATGGCGGCCTCGGGTGGTGGTTCTATTGGTATTCTTGGTAAAGCCATGAAACCTTTGAAATATATCCCTGCGGTATTCCTAGGAACTTTACTTAATATCTTAGATGGGTTGTCTTATGGTATGATCATGTTCCCAATAAGTGAAGCTGTGTTTTCAGGTTTAGCTCCAGTTGGACTTTCAATGTTTTATCTCTCAACTATTGTGTCTCAATTGGTTTATTCCTTGGGGTTATCAGCATTTAATTCCGCCATTGGGTCTGAAATGATTGAAGTCACACCTTTTTTCCATACTATGGCCTTATCTATTGCTGCTGATTTCAATTATCAGAATAAAGAAGGCATTTTAGCTACTACCATTGTGGCATATGCTCTTTCATCAATAGTTACAGGTTTGACGTTCTTCCTTTTGGGTAAATTGAAATTGGGAGTCCTTGTGGGTTTTTTCCCTCGTCATATCTTGGTAGGCTGTATTGGTGGTGTGGGGTATTTCCTTATAGCCACTGGGGTGGAAGTAAGTTCTCGTTTAGAAGGAGGATTACAGTATAATTTGCCCACATTGCAATATCTTTTCCAAAATGCAATCATCATATCTGAATGGACTATTCCTTTAATCTTGACTATTATTTTGGTGGTTTTACAACATCGAATTAGTAACTCACTTTTGGTCCCACTTTATTTCATTGCTGTGTTCGTCTTAGCTCATTTGATCATCATTATAGTTCCCTCTTGGTCTCTTGAATCTGCTAGAGACTTGGGTTTCGTGTTCCCAGCAGTGGAAAGTGGTCTTCCATGGTACGCATTCTATGAACTCTACAAATTCGGTAGTGTTGATTGGTGGAGTATATTTAAACAAATCCCAACTATGCTTGCATTAACTTTTTTTGGTGTTTTACATGTCCCTATCAACGTTCCAGCCTTAGCAGTGACTGTGGGTATGGACCAATTTGATGTGGATCGTGAATTGGTGGCCCATGGGTACTCCAATGTCTTGTCAGGTTTAATGGGTTCAATTCAAAATTATTTGGTGTACACCAACTCAGTGCTTTTCATTCGTGCTGGTGCTGACGATAGCATTGCTGGTGTCATGTTAGCCATTGCAACTGGTCTTGTCATGGTAGCTGGTCCTGTGGTGATAGGATACATTCCAGTTTGTGTGGTGGGGTCATTGATCTATTTATTAGGTTATGAATTACTCAAAGAGTCCCTTTGGGATACTCGTGGTAGATTGAAGAAAATCGAATATACTACAGTGGTGATCATTGTTGTGACCATGGGTGCATTAGACTTTGTGTTGGGGATTATTGTGGGTATCCTTTTGGCATGTCTTTCATTTGTTGTTGAAGCTGCTAGGACTCCAGTTGTCAGTGGGATTTATCGTGGTTCCGTGGTTCGTTCAACGGTTTTAAGACACGTGAAACAACAAGATTTCTTAAAGGATGTTGGAGATCAAATATGTATTATTAAATTACAAGGAACCATTTTCTTTGGCTCAATTGGTGGAGTCGAAGATACCATTCGGAAGAAATTCGAAGATCAAAGTTTCCAAAGACACCCTATTAAATATCTTATAGTTGATATGAAGAATGTCCAAAGTATTGATTTCTCTGCTGCAGAAGGGTTTAGAAGAATCATGAACTTACTTAATGAGTTTAATACTCAATTGATATTCTCATCTGTATTTGAAGATGATGATATTATTGTTGCTTTACGAGATGCTGGGCTATGGGACGGAGATAATGATATTAAATTGTTTAATTCCTTGAACTATGCATTGGAATGGTGTGAAAATGCATTTTTACAAACCTATAAATCAGTTCAAAGTATTAGAAGAATTCCTGTGGGTGGTGGTGGTAGATCATCATCAATGTCAAGACATAATAGTCATTCTTCTAATTCTCCATCTTCCGGTATCAATGTAGGAGTCTCAAGTTCAAGCTCTGGACTTCCAGCATTCAACAGTAACACTGGTTCACCATCTTCAGGTCCACAAGCAGCCAGAAATCTTCAGAATGCATTTACAGTGGGTACTCCGAGAACCAATCAAGTTTTCCAGGCAGCTGCTAGAACCGTTAGAGATGAACAAAAGATTCATAATCGATATTTACCCAGTGGGAATGCAATTACTCCAGATAATTCCTTCAAAAAGCAACCATTACCACTTTTAATGATTATTTTCCTGGGGGTTAGTAAGAGAGATGAAGAGTTTTGGTCAAGAGCCACCAAATTCTTTGTGAAGGAGAAAGTCCCCGTTGATCTTGAATTTTATAATACTGCAAGAGATTCACCAGCTATTTTCTTAGTTGAAAGTGGATTTATTCGTCAAGTAGTTGAATTTGAAAATAGTGAAGGGAACACGATTCATAGTTCTATCTTACCCATGACTGCATTTGGAAATTTGTTCCCTGACAGTGAACATATGAATGTTTCTTATACTACAGTCCAAGATTCGGTTGTATGGAAGTTATCACTGGAAAGATTAACGGAACTTATTAAGGTCCCTGGTGGAGCCGAATTATTCCAAGAGTTGTGTCTTATTCAAAACCATATTCTAAGTGAACGCTTTGATGCCTTGTCGTCCAATATTCTTATCACGGGATAATTATACTACATAGAACAATGTCATCCAATTATATAAATATTATCGGTATACCGACTACTGCACGTAGTAAATGTCAATGAATCACGTGACTGCGCTCCAAGTTTCAGCCGCAATCCTTCCTCTCTTATCTCTGGTGACACGAGGAGTTCGCCGACTTCATCCTTCTCTTCTTCTTGAGCTCCATACCACTAATCTCTCTAGACGTCATCACATCAATCGTTGCATCACCAACAACATGGTCACATTAAAGAAGGCAGTCCAATGTGCTGTTATATCATCACTCATTGCCCCCGCATTGGGTCTCTCATTTGTACCACTGGTTAACAAACTTGCTTCTAAGGTGGTCAAAGTATTCGAAATCGACGAACCAAAAGTCCATGAATGGACCGCTGCTGCCTTCCCTGGGAACGATAAGGATGAAAAGCCAGTTCCCGGTGGATCTCCTATCATGAATTGTGATGCTAGTGTGTCTCAATTGTTATCTTTACATAGTGTAGTTATTTCCCCCAACCCACCAGAAAGAGGTCAAAACTTGACTTTTATTGCTAAGGGGTACTTGGATAAACCCATTTTGGATGGTGCCTATGTTGAGGTCGACGTTAAGTATGGGTTCATCAAGTTGATCCATCAAACGTTCGACTTGTGTGAAGAGATCACCAAGGTAGACTTGAGTTGTCCTGTGGCTGATGGCGAACAGGTGATTGTCAAGGAAGTTGAGGTTCCACAGGAGGTTCCTCCAGGTCAATATATTGTTAATGCTAGAGCTTATACTAAGGATGATGAATTCATTACTTGTTTGAGTGCTGTTGTTGATTTCCCAGCTGCGTAAACATGACAATGTTTTGATACTTGATACACTTCTCTTCTATTAGATATGCTTTTGATGTTTTAAATACATTAATTATTGTTTAAACCAGTCGTTGTATTTGCTCTTTCTGGCTCTGTTACTTGTTCGTTTCTTAAGTCAATCTTCCCCCCAAGCTTCTTCCACTGAACCAACTTAAGCACCATTTCTACAGGACAAGGGATTGATTATTCACCCCATCAAACAACTTTGGTCTGCTACATATGCAATTTTAGTTTACTCTGGTAAGATTCTGTCTTCTTAGCGGCTTTACCGCTTGATAATACAAAGTAGCTACCACCATTGAAGATGTTCTCCAACGTTAGCTCTTGGTGAAGTACATTTGCCAGATGTGTTTCTTCATATCAACAGTTGAAAGCGTCGATCCGAATCAATGCATTTCTTTGGTCGATGATCTTATGACCATCTACGTGATAAGCTTTTGAATAGACATTGGTAAACTTCTTGCCAGTTTCAAATAAAGTGCTACTGTATGTAGCTGTCCGTCCTCGCAATACCGAGAGCCATGGCCCGAACCCATTGTCAACAGAATGGCGTTCACTGCCGTATTATTACACTTATTTTATCTTCTGTATTTGCATAGAAGAATGAGCAGAGATCAAGCCGAAAGTTAAGTACTCATTTCCGTTCTTCAGTCAGCTATTAACTGTACCATCTAACACCATGAGTAACTGTTCAAACGTGTTCTGCGCTACCATATGGCGAAGAGGAAAAATAAATCTGGGGAAGAAGGAGACCAAAAAAGACATTTAACAGTAACTTATAGATTCGTTAAGAAGTCACCAAGTAATTGGCCGCCCTTCTATCTAAGATGGGACTTCGAGATACGTTCTCTGTACAGGTGTTCTTTATAATTCTCCGGGAAACCCTTGAAACTGCGATTATCATTAGTGTACTTTTACTGTTTATCAAACAAGGTCAGCAACAATTGGGACAAGCTGATTCCGAAGTTCGGGGTTTGAAATTACAAGTATGGCTAGGAGCATTAGCTGGTCTCTTAGTGTGTTTCTTTATTGGGTTGGGGTTCATTGCTGTGTTTTATATCGTAGGAAAGGACTTGTGGTTCTACGCTGAACGGTTGTGGGAGGGAGTTTTTTGTCTATTGAGTAGCGTAATCATTACAGTCATGGGTATTGGCTTATTGCGGATTAATAAAGTGATGAAAGTCAAATGGTTTATGAAGTTGGGAAATGCTTATGAAGTTGATAGCCTGCCATCCAGCACATTAGAGACTGCGGCTACTGTTGCTGCTACTAGCGGTGCTCCTGATGACGGTGCTGTTGCTGCTCCACAGGTCACCAGTAGCACTGATGAGCTCATAGACTCACTTACTGAATCTGGTGATTTAGATACAGGAGTTGTTGCCAACACCTTGGGTACTACTACTACTGATGCTTTATCCACTCCCGTGGACTCTTATAAGTCAAATGGTAACAAGAAACTGTTTGCGAAGAAATACTATTTGGCCATCTTACCATTAATGACTACGCTTCGTGAAGGGTTAGAAGCAGTGGTGTTTGTTGGAGGTGCGGGGATGACTCAAAGCGGTATTTCTATAGTCAACTCCATTGTGGCAGGTGTTGTTTGTGGAAGTATCATTGGCTATTCGTTGTATCGGGGTGGGAATAAATTATCATTGCAATATTTCTTAATATTATCTACTTGTTTCTTATACATTGTTAGTGCAGGGTTGATGAGTCGTGGGGTTTGGTTCTTAGAATTGGAGAGATTTGTTCAAAAATGTGGAGGTGTTGATGTTAGTGAAAGTGGTAATGGACCAGGTTCTTATGATATTGGCAACACCATATGGCATGTGAATTGTTGTAATGGGTTACGTGATGGATGGTGGATGGTTTTAAATGCTTTAGTTGGTTGGTCAAATACGGCTACTTATGGAAGCATCATTAGTTATTGCGCTTATTGGATCTTTGTGATTGTGTGGTTGGAATTGAAATTGTATCAAGAAAGGAATGGGTACTTACCTTTGGTTCCTATAAAGTGGCAATTAAAGCTGATTTCAAAAAGACATAAGATTCTTACTGCACGCAGAAACATTGCCCTTACCAATCAAACTACAAATTATCTTAGTAGTCAAGAGAGACAATCTGTGGAGAATGTCAGGTAGAGAGAACCATGTGAAATGGTAGCACCGTCTGTTTCAAGTCGCGATGAGCACCAAAACCAGTACAATAGGTACGGTACCTTTAGTAGTGTGTGGTGTGGAAGTAGTCGTGCAATAGTGTCATAAGCAGTGTTAATAATAACACTTGTGGTAGTATCATAGAAACAGTTACATCACCACGATAGAAAACAACGATATGATTGATTAACGAACTCTTGACGAATTAAACGATGAGTTTTCTTTTTAAAAGGGGACCTGAACTGAAATGTACCGCGGTCGTGGTATATTACAGAACGCCATACATAGAGATACTCACGTAAGTATGTAGATGGCACATATAATTGCAGGACTTAGATTTACATAACTAGATACATATGTAGATCATGTATATATGTACAAGTTCTCATTGTTACATATACTAGACGTAATGTAATGTCATGAAGGATTCTTTTCACTTATTCGCTATTCTGAGTAATTCCAACCTGCAGTTCAATGGTCCCCCCTTTGGGAAATTGGAGTTCCCACACCTTTTCAAACATTCAAAAGGTTGATTCAAACCATTCCCCTTCTAGCCAAACCTTCCCACCAGTGATTCCTCCCCATTTCAACATCGTTGTCCATTGAGCACGTCTTAAGAAATGGACAGCGAAGCAGACGGTGGGAAAGACTCCGTTGATTCAGCTGGTGTCAAGGTATCAGCTACTGCTGGATCGTCACAAACGGCTGAACCCAAACAAATGTCAATGCTGAGTGATGACTTAACTCAAAATAATCTTAGTCATCAAGATGATGATGATGATGTTGGTGATCATAATGATGATGGTGATTATCTGATACCACCATCTACCCCAAAGAGCGATTCAGTTATCAACTCTTCGATCCAGCCTTCATCCTCTTGGGAACTGACCAATGAAAGTACCCTACAATCAACAAATAAAGCTATCCATGATTTAGAACGGAAACTATCGATAGGCTCAACCTCATCAAATGTCACTCACGTTTCTCAAGCAAGTTCGGTAGTCATTGATCCAAGTAAAGCTGGTGTAGGGAAGTCACTAATCCAATCAACCGTACTTGATTATTTAAAGGATACATCCTTTGATCCGAATAATCTTTTTGATGAACGACATCATAAGTTTGTTACTAAATTCAATAAGGAATATTCCTCATCGCCATCGTCATCTCCGGTTCCAGCTCCGGTTCCAGCTCCGGTTCCAGCTCCGGTTCCAGCTCCGGTTCCAGCTCCCTCGTTAGCATCTCCTATAAATGGCACTACTCTGCCACTTCCAGGTATCGTTGTGACTAATGATGATGATGAGGAGGATACGTTATCATTGAACTCCGAGTCATTAACCACTAAGTCCTTCATTCAATCTCCAACCTCGACTCCAACTAGTTCACCAAGAAAAGGTACGGATTCCAAGCAAGCATTAAGATCATCACCGAATAAGCCACCAACAAGAACTTCTCCTAATAGATCGCCTCGCTCTCCACAACGAAGGAAAGTCCAGAACATTGACGGCACAAATTATCTTAATAAAGATGATATGCAATTAAAACCATTGACGGCAAACGACTCCGTTGCTACGGACATGGACGTTGAGTTCATGCATCCTAGTGTAGATGAGAGCTTTGACGATTTGGACGACGACGATGACTTCTACGATCACGAAGGAGATATGATCGAAACTACAGATGATATGTTGATTCCTCCATCACCTCCTAGAAGTCCACCAAAGGAAATTGATCCTGATATGCTTTATGGACTTTATGATTTCAATGGTCCAGATCCTTCTCATTGCACTTTGGCCAGAAATGAGCCTGTTATCTTGGTTAATGATCAAGATAATTACTGGTGGCTTATACGAAAGCTAACCAAAGCTGAACGGATAGCCCATAGACTTAAGCATAAACGAGTAAGTAGCGGGTGTCTTATAAACAGCGTCATCAATTCTGATGGACCATCTTCATCCATAGACCGGACTTCGCAGTACACAGAACTGGAAGATGAAGAAGGCAATATAATGTCCGATGAAGAAGACGGGAAGACAGGTTTTGTACCTGCAGAATGTTTGGAGACTTTTGGGGAAAGACTTGCAAGATTAAACTGTTATAAGAATGAAGAGTTAGAGAAGAGTGGAGTTAGTATGGATACACTTAAGCCACAAATACAAAAAACACCTTCTAATAAAACAGTGATGTTCCATGTTGAAGAAGCACCTAATAGTTTGGCACATGATGATGAAGATAATGAGAGTGATCAAGAATTCCCTACTGAGTTTTATGATCGCAAACATATAACAGATTCTCTTTTGAAACCACCAAATAAATCTGTTGGTGAAGATGATGATGATAAGGATTCAGAAGTTTTTAGTGATTTGTATCCTGCCAATGTTGAATTAGTGGTTAAGAAGAAGAAGGGAAACAGTTTTGCTACAGATGTACCATTGACATCTATCAAATCCAGATTAGTGGATAACTCTTCTAACTTGCTTACTCCCTTACGTGGAGTGCAATCAGAAGAAAGCTTACCACATCAGTTGGAGTCACTTAGTCGCCTACAGAACCTGGATGAATGGCAAGCACTTGAGCGACCTTCAGTCCACCAGAACTACGATGATGTTTCAATAGGTTCTTTCTCTCCTGATACACCTGTATCTGAATTTACTAGAAATAGATCTCCTCAAGATCACGAGTTAGAAAGTACCCCTCCAGTTGAGAGCCATCTCCCACTTGATTCCAAAGATAATGAAGAGAGCAATAGTCCAGCTTCAATCATAAGACGATCTTTGATTTTAGATCGTCTAAACCAAGTTACTTCTGATATTCAACAGCTTCAATTGAATGATTATGAAGCCTTCAACGAACAAGGTGAAAATGTTTTAGTAAAGTGGAACAAGGAAGAAAGGAACGAAGTCACAAGAGAAACGGATGATGATGATAAAGAAGTTAAGCTCTCCAGTTTTAATCCTTATGCTCAAGCTGGGGGGGATGTAATTGAAAGTCCAGAGGAATCACCGTTAATGAACCAATCATCACCTCTGTTTTCCAAGTCTTGCACAGTTAAACAGACCATTGCAAATGAAGAGGACCACGATGAGGATGATTATGATGTCTGTGATATTAATGGTATTCGCAGCGAATCCCGGATTTCCAACGAAGTGATAACCCCATTGACCCTGACCAATAGTCTAACGAGTGGAGTGAAGGCCACCGGGGGAAAAGAAAGTGTGAGCTCACAATCAGCTCGTGGGAATTACAAGACAGATTCAATTAGCAGTAGATCAGGGAGTGCACTGAGTTTAGAACTAAAATATTCCAGTCGTGATGAAATCCAAGGGGAGGATTTTGTTCAAACACCAACAAATACAATTATGGAGCGGAAGGAACTGACTCCCGGAAGTCAAACGACAACTACTGTTATTGATGAAAGTAATGATGGACTTGCTAATACTCTGGAAAATACTTCTAGGTATAGTCCTGAGCTAACGGTTGAGTCTTCAAAGATGGCCGCCGTTGAAGGAGATTCGGTGGTAGAAACGAGTATTGATTCCCTGATGATTGCGGATACCGGAGAAGAAGATGAAGAAGTAGGATCAGGTTATAATCCGGTTGCATTTGGGATGCTACTTCCCGAACAAGACGAGGTAGCCAAATCTGCATTTGCCGATAGACGGAAGTCTAAACCAGTTCATGATATGTTTGCACCGGTTTTAAATAAGTTTGATGATTTGGCGAAGAAACTTGCTGAATTAGAAGATCTTTTATAGTTGTCGGCATTATTACGTAATAGTAATTATTATAGTATATCATCATCAATTATTGGTAGTAATTATCAGAACAAGTGTATTATTTCTGTGGTATTTATCAGAATAGGCTAGTAAGTTTTTCGTGGTAAAAATAAGGGCCATCATCATATTCGTGGTAATTACCAGAACAGTCAGTTTTCTCGTGGTAAATTTCAGTACGATTCAAAATAGCAACAGATTCTCGCGGTGGAAAGCCCACGATGGTTACACAAAATCGGCGAAGATGAGCTGAAAAAAATACCATAGAAAATTTTAAGCAAACACCCACCAAAACACTCCTTAACTAAAAGCTTCTATCACCAGAAGGCGGAGATTAATTGGAGGGACCTCGGGTAGACGGATCGTGGTTCACTTAAAGCGTGATAAAAGCAACAATAAAAGGTATACTGGAGAATATACATTGGAGATTATATGATACAAACATTCCCCTCTCCTAAACACAAACACAACTGAGTATGTCACAGTGGACTCCCAATGTTGAATCGCTACTGGTTTTAAAAACTATCTTTGAAGGTATTCTTACCAACGTGAACCAGGAACAGAACTTCCAAGCACTCCAGCACGCACGTGAGCAGCCTGAGTTTGAAAACTACTTGATCTATTTGTTAGTATTGGATCGCAGTGCAAGAACTGATGTTAGAGCAGCAGCAGGTACCAACTTAAAGAATTGTATATTGAAAAGTAAACGAAGTTATGGCCAGAAATTGTACCAGCGAGTGTTTGTGTTGGAGCACATCCTTGATGGGTTGTATGATCCAGATAAGTTGATTAGGAACATCACGGGTAACGTGATCACGTCGTTGTTTTCCCTTTATGGGATTGAAGGCTGGCCCCAAGCCTTGCCTAAGCTATTGGAAATGGCCGATGCCAGTCAGCAGCAGTCTAATGGACATAGCCATGAGCAGAGTCATCATCATAGTCATAGTCCAAATGGACAGCCATCTAATTCTTCCCACACTCATGAGGCGGCTATAAGCGCGTTGGCAAAGATATGCGAAGACAGTGTGGTGTATTTGGATCACGAATATAACGGTGAAAGACCCCTTAACTTTATGATTGTTAAGTTCCTCTACTTGACCAAAAACCCCTCTAGTTCGACCAAAGTCAAGGCATTGGCAATCCATTGCATCAACCAGTTCATTCCTTTGAAGACCCAATCGTTCTTGGTTCATCTAGACGACTTCTTACAGACGTTGTTCACGTTGGCCAATAGTCAAGACGCTACCATTTGCAAGAACATCTGTGTGTCGTTCTGTAATATACTTGAAACCAGACCTGATAAGTTGATGCCCCATTTGGACGGCGTCATTGACTACTGTGTGCATTTGATGACCAACGCTGCTTCGCATGAAGAAGTCTCCTTACAGGCATGCGAGTTTCTTCTAACCTTGGCCTCCATTGCGGACTCCAACCATTACACTACAATCATACAACCCAAGTTACCGGCTCTACTTCCGATTTTGTTACAGAATATGGTGTATTCTCACGACGAGATCGCCACCATTCAAATGATCGACGAACGAGATGATGCCACCGTGGAAGACAGAGAAGAGGACATCAGACCTCAGAATGCAAAGGCAAAGGAAACTCATAAGCTAGGGAAGAAATCCAGTAAGAACGGAAGAACTGCTAACGGTTCGAATCGACTGGGATATGATTCTGATGATGATGATGGTGATGATGGTGATGATGATGAAGACGAAGACTCGGATTATGAAGATGATGATGATATGGAATTGGAGCAATGGAGTTTAAGGAAATGTTCAGCAAGCACTCTTGATGTCTTGTCTATTAGTTTACCGTCTGCCGTATTAGAAGTTACTTTACCCATATTGCAAGATAGAATAGTGTCCAATGAATGGACTGTTCGAGAGGCGGCCATCTTGGCGTTTGGAGCCATTAGTGCCGGTTGCATTGAGTTGTGTCGTGATAAGTTGCCCAGTTTGGTGCCGTTTCTTGTGGATCGATTACAAGATCAAGAAACTAGAGTCAGGCTCATAACGTGTTGGACCTTATCACGATATGCCAGTTGGGTATGTGAAGAAGCGTTTGAAGGAGGTCAATATGCCAGTTATTTCCAACCCACATTCCAGTCGATCATCACCTGTGTTTTAGACAACAAGAAAGTTGTTCAAGAGTCAGCATGTTCGGCGTTAACCAGTTTCATTGAAGAGGCATCAACCAATCTTTTCCAATCGTATAATGGGCTTTTAATGGAGCAATATTCCAAGTGTCTTCAAACATACCAAAAGAAGAACTTGCACGTCTTGTACGATAGCATAGTTACATTTGTGGATAAGATTGGCTACAAGGGTATATCAGCTAATCAGGAAGCAATGAACGTCTTGTTACCTCAATTGTTTCATAAATGGGAAGTCTCTGGAGATGAAGATGAAGCTCTTTGGCCATTGTTCAAATGTATGGCTTCGATAGCTGCAGCCATGAAGGAATTGTTCCTTCCATATGCTTTACCTGTGTTCCAAAGAGCGATTAAGATCTTAGCCAATACCATTGACTTGGACCAACGAAGTCAGGTGGACCCAATGATAGAAGCTCCCGACAAAGACTTTATAGTTGCTTCTCTTGACTTGATCGACGGATTGGTACAAGGGTTTGAGTTTGATTCGTCGGAACTACTTGGTCACAATAATTTTAACTTGATGCAATGGGTCCTTCAATGTTTGGAAGACACCAGTTGTGATGTAAGACAATCAGCATATGCCTTAATTGGAGATTTGGCTATCTATGCCTTGGATTCGGTACTTAAACCCGACATTCAACTGATAATTATTTCTATTGGCAATGAGATCCACAACAAGTCCTTTGGAGCATATCCCGTGTATAATAATGCTATTTGGGCCTTGGGAGAAATCATCATGAGATTGCCAATTGAAGAAGCTAAACCTTATATGAATAACTTGGTAAACCTTTTAATTCCCGTGCTTAACAGTACTGATTCTCAACAAGTAGTGTTGGAGAACGCAGTTATTTGTATCGGACGAATGGGACTTAATGGAGGAGCAGAATTAATTGCTCCAAGGTTGCCTGAATTCATTGTATCTTGGTGTTCCCACATGCTTTATTTGGAAGAGACTGAAGAGAAAGAGAATGGGTTTCAAGGTATGATCAACATCTTACAAGCCAATCCTGACCATGGATTGGGAGGCTTATCCACTCAACAAGGAAAGAGCAATTTGTCCATCATTTTAGTTTGCATTGGAAATTATCAAGAACCAGCTGAACATTTAAAGGCCTTGTTTCACCAGTTAATGATCAGCTATAAGGGGGTGTTGGGTGACGATGTTTGGAACACACAGATTATGGGTAATTTGGATGGGAACTTGAGACAACACCTACAGACCGTCTACGGAGTTTAAATAGATTATTATATAGTGTATATACATTATAGTGTATATGTATATGTATGTATATGCATATGTATGTATATGTATGTGTATTATATCCTTTCGTCCGAATAAAGTACCTCATTAACAACCAGTATAGGCAAGTCCCATACACCACTCGGGGCCTTATCAATATATTCCAATGTCTTGCTCAATCGTAGTTCATCTGTAGCTTCCTCTGATCCGACAAGATATGCATATTCATCTACAAAATTGGTTATACATCCAATAGGCGGCGTTAACACCTCCGTATTGTATAGTGCTAGCATTAAGTATGTGAATAACATCGCCATAAGAATCCACGACGGTACAGCCTTAGACCAATACCGATCAGGATAATAATATAAGCCCAATTGATCCTGAAGTATACTATCGGGGAAAAGAGCCCAGCACACATATACAAACAATACTACTCCACTAAGAACATATATAAAGAACCCCTTGTACTCGGCATACAGTGTTCTATTGGTGAATACCGTGACGTCTGATTGAAGGGCCAAGGAGTCGTCTTGCGTCGGTCCGGAAAACGGTCTTCCAAACGACTGAGTCGATCTGTTGAGTGAAGAGAATAGTCGTAGGTTTAGCGATGACATTAAAGCATGCTATCAATATATAGTTCACATGTATGGAATTTGTATATGTGTGTAGTAATTGAAGTAGTTGGGATAGCGTCATGTCTATGGTAGCGCTGCTTTGATCCGGGTAACAGTGCGTAAAAATTTTCATCCCAAAACGGTAATGAGTCAGAGCTTAAAATTGCTAACCGCGATGTGCAATCAGTGAACTTCCAATAAAATATAACCGTTGGAAAATTTTCCACCACTAATTTTTTTTTTCCACTTTTCTTCATCTTCTTTTAGAACTCTAAAACTGTTCTTTGCATAATGATGCAGACTCGTATATTAAGAGGGTCATTGAGTCTCGGACTAAAGGCTCGTTTACATTGTCGTAAACAATTACCATTGATTAGAACGTTTACTGTGGCTACTCAATTGCGTAATAAGGAACCAATATACGAAGGTGCAGGGTTATTACTGGCGTTCAAAGATGAACACAGTGCCAACCAATTGGTCGATGTGAGTAAAGTGTTAGTCATTGGATCTGGTGGGTTGTCCATTGGACAAGCTGGGGAATTTGACTACTCTGGATCTCAAGCTATTAAGGCCTTAAAAGAAGCCAATAAGCAATCTATATTAATCAACCCTAACATTGCCACGAACCAAACGTCCCACGCCTTGGCCGACGAAATCTACTACTTGCCTGTGACTCCTGAATACATCACTTACATCATTGAAAGAGAAAGACCCGACGGAATCTTGTTGACTTTCGGAGGTCAAACCGGTTTAAATGTCGGTGTCAAATTGGAGAAAATGGGTGTCTTTGAGAGATATGGTGTTCGGGTGTTGGGTACACCAATTTCCACTTTGGAAACTTCAGAAGATCGTGATCTTTTCGCTAAGGCCTTAAAGGAAATCAACATTCCCATTGCCGAATCCATTGCTGTTGAAACCGTTGATGATGCTCTTGCTGCTGCTAGGGAAGTCGGGTACCCCATTATTGTCAGATCTGCTTATTCCTTGGGTGGATTGGGATCCGGTTTTGCTGCTGATGAAACCGAATTGAGAAACTTGGCTGCTACTTCCTTGTCTCTTGCACCACAAATCTTGGTTGAAAAGTCCTTGAAAGGTTGGAAGGAAGTCGAATACGAAGTCGTTCGTGATAGAGTCGGTAACTGTATCACTGTGTGTAACATGGAGAACTTTGACCCCTTGGGTGTCCACACTGGTGACTCCATTGTTGTTGCTCCCTCTCAAACACTTTCTGACGAGGAATATCACATGTTAAGAAGTGCTGCCATCAAGATCATTAGACATTTGGGTGTTGTGGGTGAATGTAACGTTCAATACGCCTTACAACCCGATGGATTGGATTACAGAGTCATTGAAGTCAATGCTCGTTTGTCCCGTTCCTCCGCTTTGGCCTCTAAAGCCACTGGCTACCCATTGGCTTACACTGCTGCTAAGATCGCCTTGGGTTACACGTTACCTGAATTGCCCAACCCAGTCACCAAGACAACTTCTGCTAATTTCGAACCCTCATTGGATTACATGGTCACCAAGATTCCCAGATGGGACTTGTCCAAGTTCCAGCACGTCAAGAGAGACATTGGGTCCGCCATGAAGTCCGTGGGTGAGGTCATGGCTATCGGTAGAAACTTTGAAGAATCCTTCCAAAAGGCCATCAGACAAGTTGACCCTTCATACATTGGATTCCAGGGCGACAAGTTTGAAGACTTGGACGAGGTCTTGAAGAACCCAACCGACAGAAGATGGTTGGCTGTAGGCCAAGCCTTGTTGCACGAAGGTTACACTGTTGATCAGGTCCACGAGTTGTCCAAGATCGACAAGTGGTTCTTGCACAAGTTGATGAACATCGTCAACATGTACAGAGAGTTGGAAGACGTTGGTTCCTTACCGGGAATCAACAGTGATTTGATGAGACGTGCTAAGAAGTTGGGTTTCTCCGATAAGCAAATTGGATTATCTGTTGGAGCCAAGGAATTGGAAGTCAGAGAAGTTAGAAAGTCCTTTGGCATCACTCCTTTCGTCAAGAAGATCGATACTTTGGCTGCTGAATTCCCCGCTAACACAAACTATTTGTACACCACCTACAACGCTACTTCTCATGACTTGGACTTCAACGATAAGGGTACTTTGGTTCTTGGATCTGGTGTCTACCGTATTGGTTCCTCAGTGGAATTTGATTGGTGTGCCGTCTCTACTGCTCGTGCCTTGCGTGAATCCGGTCACAAGACTATCATGATTAACTACAACCCTGAAACCGTGTCTACTGATTTCGATGAAGTTGACCGTTTGTACTTTGAAGAGTTGTCGTTGGAAAGAGTCTTGGATATCTACGAGTTGGAACACTCCAGTGGTGTGGTTGTCTCAGTTGGTGGTCAATTACCTCAAAACATTGCTTTGCAATTACAAGAACAAAACTGTAACGTCCTCGGTACAAACCCTGAAGATATCGACAAGGCTGAAGACCGTCACAAGTTCTCTCAAATCTTGGACTCCATCAACGTGGATCAACCCCAATGGAAGGAATTGACTTCCATTGAAGAAGCTGAAAAGTTTGCTAATGAAGTTGGGTATCCAGTTTTGGTTCGTCCATCTTATGTTTTATCTGGTGCTGCTATGTCTGTCATTAACAGTAAGGTAGAATTGGACTCTAAGTTGTCCAATGCTGCTAAGGTCTCACAAGATCATCCAGTGGTGATCTCCAAGTTCATCCAAGGAGCTCAAGAAATTGACATTGATGGTGTTGCTTCTCAAGGTACCGTTTTGGTTCATGCTGTTTCTGAACACATTGAAAACGCTGGTGTTCATTCTGGTGATGCCACTTTGGTTCTTCCACCTCAAAATTTGTCACCTGTTATCATGGCTAGATTGAAGGAAATAGCTGATAAGGTTGCAGCTGCTTGGAAGATCACTGGACCTTTCAATATGCAAATCATTAAGAACGACAAAAACGGTGAATTAGATGACGCTAACTGTGAATTAAAGGTTATTGAATGTAACATCCGTGCTTCTCGTTCATTCCCATTTGTTTCTAAGGTCTTGGGAGTTAACTTTATTGATGTGGCCTCTAAGGCTTTATTACAAGAAAATGTCCCTGCTCCAGTGGATTTGATGGCTAAATCTTATAAAAGAGTTGCTACTAAGGTTCCACAATTCTCTTTTACCAGATTGGCTGGTGCTGATCCATTCTTGGGTGTTGAAATGGCTTCTACTGGTGAAGTCGCCTGTTTCGGTAAGGATGTTGTTGAAGCTTACTGGACTTCCATTCAATCTACTATGAACTTCAATGTTCCTAAACCTGGATCAGGTATCTTACTTGGTGGTGATCTTTCTAATGCTAAATTGGGTCAAGTTGCTGCCACTCTTTCCGGATTAGGATACCACTTTTACGTCGCTTCTTCAAGCGTTGCAAGCTACTTGAAACAATATGTCTCCGAACCAATTGATATAATTGACTTCCCAAAGACTGATAAGAGAGCTTTGAGAGAAATCTTCCAAAATAAGAAGATCTCTTGTGTCATCAATTTGGCTCGTGCAAGAGCTGAAGATTTATTGGATGAAGATTACGTCATGAGAAGAAATGCTATTGATTTTGCCATTCCTTTGTTTAACGAACCTAATACTTCGGCCTTATTTGCACAATGTTTGAAGGAGAACATAGGTGCTAAGCAAGATTTCAGCCAATTGCCTTCCAACTTTACCATTCCTGCTGAAGTCAAGAGATGGAGTGAATTTATTGGTGGTAAGCCCGTTTAGGCCAGCCAATTGAATTACTTTTATCTTTTTATACTTTGAACAATGGGGAATGCTTTTTAATGATTGAACTATTTAAATAAATAATCTTTAATAAAACTATTATTATATTGCTTAGGCGTAGTAGTATGTGTTTAAAACATTCATGTCAAAAAATTATTTGTGGGACTATAGTGCAATGCGCATGCGCATGTATATGCAAGTAACTTGTTATGAAAATTTTATTCTTATCAGATTTATCAGATAAAAACTTTAGAAAATATTACTTTTTCAAGGTAAATTTGCATAGCTTGGCATATATTCCATTTAAACTGTTCATAGACGTGTGTGTGAATAACCTTCGCATTTTGCGGCAGTTTCATTGTTGCAAAATCCAAAGCCAAATTAATAAGCATACTTTACTTGAATTAAATCAATTTTACGGAGAACAGTGTCCAATGCCGTTCGTCTACAAAGTGGAGCCAATGCGTTGTATTCTTCGTGTACTCATTTGCTTCTAGCAGCTCCCCCCTGGCTATGGCCAAGTTTTTTTTTCCCACATCATGCATGCATGAAGCCGGACCTAGACATATACCGAATTTCGGCTTTCCTCTAGGAAAGACAATGCTTTTAATTAGTATTCACTGACAGCTCCTTCTGTTTGATAATTCCGAAATGGACCATCAGTATAATACGCCATTAAAGAAAACAAAGAGCATTGGTGGGTGTGTGCAAAGTGCCAAGGGTTGCAAAATAGTGACGTCGTTGCTAAACGACGAGCATATTTAAGGTTATCAAGATGCTGCTTTTCTATTTGGAAGAAAGTCGTATTTCTTCACTACAGTTATGTCAAAGGAGCAATACGTAACTGACTCTAGCACCAACAGTGTTGGAGTTTCCAATGCTCCTCCATTCATCAATGAAAATAATGTTGGTGGAGAGCCAATTGAAAGAACCAGAAGTTATATTCGATCCACTACGCGTTCATATGGGATTCGTAAAAGTGAGCTTCTTGTTGAACAATATTCATCTCCACCATTAAAGATTTTATTATTGGTATCTGTTTTCTTTGTCTCGTACGTCTATGGATTAGATGGTATGATTAGATCTCAATTACAAGCTTATGCTACCAATTCTTATTCTGAACACTCATTGTTAACAACGGTCAATGTCATAAAGGCTGTGGTGGCTGCAGCTGCACAACCCACATATGCACGGTTATCTGATCGTTTTGGACGTTTAGAATTAATTGTTGTGTCAATTATTTTCTATTCTATAGGTACGCTTATTTCCTCGCAGGCTCATGACATACAGCGTTATGCAGGGGGTCAAGTATTATACCAAGTTGGATATACTGGTGTTATTATTATGCTTCAAATTCTCATTGCAGATTTATCAACACTAAATTGGAGATTGGTATGTTCTTTTATTCCTGCACTCCCATTCATCATTAACACATGGATCAGTGGTGATGTATTGGACTCACTCTATCCCTCAAGATCTTGGAGTTATGGTATTGCCATATGGGCATTTATCTTCCCTTTGGCATGTGTTCCTTTGTTATGCTGCTTGGTGCATATGGAGATTAAGGTTAGACGCACCGAAGAGTGGAAGATCTTACAGGAAGAACGCACCCGTTTTTCTTTATGGACTTCTTGGAAAAACAACATCTTTGTACAATTAGTCGTTGAACTTGATTTAATAGGGATCCTCTTGATGGTCATTGTGTTTGGTTTGATCTTAACTCCTTTGACTTTAGGTGGTGGTGTTTCATCAAACTGGAAGACTGCAAAAGTGTTAGCTCCATTAGTGGTTGGAATAGTTTTTACACCCATTTTCCTCGTTTGGGAAAGAAACTACGCTACTTATCCAATAGCTCCATTCAAACTATTAACTGATAGAGGAGTTTGGTCTGCTATTCTTATTGGTATGTCAGTCAATTGGGTTTGGTATATGCCTAATTCATTCATGTACACTGTATTAATTGTGGGGATGAGAGCGTCAATTAAAGCCGCATCAAGAATCACTTCCTTATACTCCTTTGTCTCGGTTATAACCGGTCCTTTATTGGGGTTGGTCGTCGTACGATTCAGAAGATTGAAGCCCTTCATTATGTTTGGTACAGTCATGTGGATCATTGCCTTGGCCCTTCTTTATGTGTACCGAGGATCCAACAACGGTATTGACTCGGAGAAGTATCTCAATGGAGTCATAGGTGGGTTGTGTTTGATGGGTTTCGGTGCAGGCTTCTTTACATATTCCACGCAGGTTTCCATCAGTACATGCACGAACCACGAATACATGTCAATCTTACTCTCACTCTACTTAGCTTCCTATAACATTGGCAGTGGTATTGGATCAGCCATTTCCGGGTGTGTTTGGACTAACAGGATGTATGGAGAGATTGTAAAAGAGATGGAAAAGTTGGGTGTTGATACTACATTGGCAGTTGATGCTTACAGAGCTCCATTCACATTTATAGTTACTCATGTTTGGGGTACTCCAGAAAGAAAAGCTGTTGTATTGGCATATGCTAATATTCAAAGAATCTTGAGTTTGATTGGACTTATTTTATGTTTTCCACTATTCGTTTATACATTATTCTTGAGAGATCACCGATTAGATTCAGTGCAATCTTTGGGATTGACTCTGGACAAGGAAAAGGGTGACGTTGACAGTAAACATCCTGAGGTTGTATTGAACAATTATGATGATGATTGGATTTATAATAAGTTGAGATCTTTATTCAAATCCAAAAAATAGTAACACTAAATTGTTTATAGTAAATCTTCATCATCTTTATCAACGGTATCTTTAATCTTTAAAAGTAATTGAGTCTTCAATTTATCCAATTTTGAAAATTGATCAAATTCGAAGACTTTATCTTGGAACCCATCTATATCACCTTGATCTATGGATTCAAGGATTTCATTAACCAATTTATATTCCCTAGTAGATTCCCAAGTTGGTTCATCGCCTAAAAAGGTATCATTTCTCTTTCTTGCCTCGATAATATCATCCATTGCCAACACACACAAAATAACCTTAAAGAAATAATCCTTCATACTAAATCGAGTCAAATTATTACCCAACAGTTGCTTAATTACAGTATCATATAATTCCACAGCCTTCTTATAATCTCCCTGCAAGGCACACAAATCAGCACTCTTTAAATACGCTTTGTTACTCAAAGCCTCAGCACGATCAGTTTGGAAATAATCACCAGCTTGTTCATAACTGCTAATGGCATTCTCTGTGTCACCTACGCTCTCATATAACTCACCTAAATCACCCATAAAATTGGCAGCCCTACGGAACTGTCCATTCTGAGTTAAAAAAATGTGCACGGCCTTCTTCAAACTGGTGATCCCATCTTGAGGACTAACGCCTTTAAAACATTTATAAGCCTCAACCAAATGATTGGCTACATCATTATGATTACCCAACTTATCCTGAATCTCACTGGCCTTAACATACAGCTTCCCGGCGGAGTTAAAGTCCTTCTTCAAACGATACATGTTGGCAGCCTGCACGTACAAGTCTGTGGCTTCCTCCAATCTATATGAGTTGGAGGATCCGGTGAACAACAGCATGAATCCAGATTGAGGCTTCTGCAAGCTTTCTGCCTGTGCTATCAATTGTTTAGGGTCAGACATGTGGAAATGTTTTTTGTGAGTATTATAACGGTGAGCGGTAGTACCTTCTTATCGGAATGTGACCTGTATTATTTTTCTATCGACGTTTCTACGTCTTGTGCAAAGGTAGAAGCCAAAGGGTTATTAGAAGCCAAGGGTTTGGTTCTGTAGTTCGACTCTGACTTTTGACCTTAAAATCCCTGTTGAGGTCGTGTGCGGGAGAAAGTCGCGCGCAAGGAAAATCAAAACAAACACGCACTCATGGCAGTACAACTGCCACTCCAGCTATTAGTACAGCTGATGCTATTACTATTAGTAAAGCTGGTTCCATTATGAGTGTTGAGCGGGTGAGGTACCCTCGAATGCGAGCCCTTTGTGGCAAAGCGCTAATGCAAGTCATAGGTAAAGGGTTGTCTATGGATAAGTTTATCAGTTGTTTCCCAGTACTAGCAGAGTCGCCTGAAGGCATGGAAGCATTAAGAAATGCCCGTCAACAAGTGATTGGGTTCTGGACCAAAGCTGCCGAAAGCGAGTTTGAAACCATCTTCAAGGAAAGGGACTTGGAGACCAAACTTGATCAACTAGATGAGATTGTTCAAGCAGCAAGATTGAATCGACAGAGAGGATTGGACCAAACTCTTGAAGTAGATAAGTTAGGGCCATCGGACATAATAGAAGGAACCGTGGTGACCAAGAAGAAAGAAGCCATTGCCAATCTTGAGATCATGAAGCAACAATTGGTGCAGGACAACGATGAGCTATACAGAGAGTTGGCTTCCATAGTGAAGGAAGGAGAAGATACACACCAAGACATTGATACTATGATCAAAGACTTACAACAACAAGTAGAGGGACTACGAGATAACAGTGCCATTGATTTTAGTATTGATGATCTAGCAGAGATTTACAAAAGTACAGCTTAACGTTGTTTGTATTTATATGTACAAGAAGATGTATAACTAACTGTGTGGTATATTACTGGTTTTCATCTGATAACTGTGCAATCTTTTCATAATTTTGTTTGGCCAAAACGTTATATTCGGCAACCCTCTTCGATAAGGCAACCAAAGCTTCCTTCTTCTTTCTTTGCTTCTCCGATAACTTGACCAATTCCTTATCACCAAACACCTTATAGTCTTGCAAGTATTGGTAACTAATACTGAATTCATGCATAATCACATCATCGGTTAATCCAAGTCTGGAGATCACATGATAGTATCTTTCTGGGTCATCTTTCTTCAAGTATTTCAAGGTCAGTTGTCTTTGTTGTACCAATTGATTTAATCTTGCCAAATGACTCTTATCTTTGAATGCTTGCTTTAAATGGTCCATCCCCAAATGAATCTTGGCAGTCATAATAGCTGCTTGGACTTCAGATGATCCAGTATCTCCATCAAATCTTTGGAAATTCTCTTTAGCATATTTAATAGCCAATGTCTTTTTATCGGCCTTATTGGTGTTTCTACTGTGTAAGATAGTTAACACGGCTCTCTTCTTTTTTTCTTCCAATGCACGAGTGCTCTCATATAATGCATTATTGGTACCGATCTTCTCTAATGAGGCCTTTTCAGCTCCATAGAGTAACTTTTCAACTTCTTCTCTGGTGAAACCTTGGGCCAAATTGGTGGTGTCCTTCAAGTATTGTCTCATTCCTTGAATGAAAACACATTTTTCATTACCCAAAACAGGGTCAACACTCAAACTTAAGTTTGTTTCTTGATGTTGTTTGAGAGTATTGACATCCTTAATGATTTGTTTCTTTAATTTCTTTTCCTTTCTCTTAAGGGCTCTGAGTCTTGATCTAGTGGAATTGGATGCTGGAAATTGCCTGGCAGCTAATTTTGGTGTTAACATAACCGCCGAGTTCATTAACGGCGTCATGGTGGAGAACCCACGGATCCCAAATCCGGCCTTAAACATGGTTTTAATGGTATATGACGGTACAATTTGCTACACAAGGTGGACTTAGCATTGAAAAATTTTCGATACCATTTTATTCAAAAATGCGACATATCAAATAATGTCGCACGTAGTCGATGCGACATACTTGGCCCTAATATAAACTACTATACTACACTAAACTACATTCATAGTCTTCCTTTATCTCTTTATCTTATACGCTCGGATGAATGGCCCGCTTATCTCCGAGCAACTTTCAAAGCTAATTGCAAGATGGTGGCCACATCGAAATAATAACAATAAGAAGTTGTCTCTGATCAATGACGTTCACGACCTAATCACCAGAGCATCGCTGCTGGATGATCGTGAGTATATTATGAACGTTCTTTGTCGTACCAATTACTTTCAGCACGTGCTCTACGATTCTGACTTGTTCGACGCTGACATCACCAATACGCATTTGGATTTGATTTTGATGCTAGCAGTTCATGACTATAAGATTATGGATGAGGTTGTTGTTATTGAAAGGCAGTTTTCGTTATTGGTGGAACGTATACTTTCAATGACCCTCCTGTTTGATCCAGAGGGGAGTAACTATGTTGTGATGAGTCACATTTTCCAGTTCTTAAGAGTTATAGCCTCTGCTAAGCTCCATAGTGATCCATGTAGATCTCTTGTGAAGCAGATGGTGGTTACCCGCAACTTGCCCCTGCTGTCAGACGACTCAATTACATCCCAATGGCTACAGAAAGTCGCCGATAATGTTATTACGGGGTTATTACTGTTTGATACTGAAGATTCCCAAGTTAGTTGTTTTCTAGCCGAAGTCGTCAAATTCTTTGTGGTGCTTGACTGTCAGCTTCCCTTGAGACAATATATACATGACTTCATAATGGAGCACAATATCCTTGAATCCTGTAAAGGGGTGAGTAGGGATAATGATAGCGAATTATACAGTGCAACTGAGTCACTCAGATACTCCCTTTATTATCCCATTGATATTGACAGTGGGAAACAAATACCTACAAAAGAAGATACCTTTGAGAAAGTCCAAGTTGTGCTCTTTGACCTTTATCCTTCCCAAGCTGCAGGGATAATAGATATACCGTCAAGGTACGATACAGATAGAGAGACTCTTTCCAGTCAATTGAACTCTTTGTTGACCAAAGAAGAACTATTAAAGCTAGTTGAAGCCTTGAAGTTGAAAAGCACAGTCACTACTTCATGTTCAACAGTAATACTATCCAATTACATTGCCAATTATGCCTTACCACCCAATTACGCCATTACCCAGCATATCAAACAACTTTGGGATCCGTTGTCTCTTTCCCCACAGAAGAAGTCGTTGTTCCCTACAGCACAGTATATGACACTAGATGACTATGTGAGTCGGGGGCTTGAGAATGGTATTGCAATGATTATGAATGGAATTACCAGACATTTGACTCAAGTATTTGATCGACTTGGAGCAGGTTTCAAAGGCAAGTCAAAGTATTTTATTCCTGTCAAACAGTGTAACGAAGGGTTTGAAACAGGCAAGTCATCGACATCATCGTCAGCATTAATTGAAGGATCATGGGTTGTGATATTAGCTTGGGGGAAAGCCAATAAGTTCTCTGAATACTTGTGGACCTCTAGGTATGGAGTATTGAGCTTACAGTTGGCGCAAATATCATCAGTCAATAAGAAGATAGTGTCTGTTGATTACCATAATAATTTTACATTTCCAGATGATCAATTCAAGCACCAACAAGGACTCATTGTGTTGTCTTCCGCCCTTCAAACCAAGCTCCAATTCTATCTGCAATTCGAACACGGTTTAACGGAACCATTGCTGGTACCAGATTACTTTCATGATACCTTCTTGGGCTATGAAAGAGAGGTCCAAAAGATACAGTACAAGAATATAGACTACAGGCTTGATAAGGTTTATCTTATTGGATGCTCATTGCAACCAAAAAAGAAGAGAAAGGATAACGATGGTCAGGCACAAAGCATTAACCATTCTATTGAGTATAGCACTGAAGGAGGAGAAAGAATTGTTAAAGAGATCCAAATTCCTGGGATCACTACTACCAATTCGTCCTCGTTCGACGATGAGCTACTTGAGTCATGTGTTAACCCTGGAGTTACTGTAATTAAGTCTTCAATTTCATGGGATAATGTACCCCAACTAATCAGTACATTGCATGTCAACTATAGGGTTAATTTCCCGGAGGAACGTCAAGTTATTGTTGTACCCGATGGAACACCATTATTGATGTCCGAAGCCGATGTTTATCAGGATGTTACAGGGTACTCTGATTGGATCCGAGGTCAATTAAAGGAAATCGTCGATAAGCACATGCAGAGTGTGGGTTGCTGTTTACCTGAACATATGACATTTGACAATGGCATTGACCAAGTACTTGCAGCATTCGATGCATATGTGGAACCAAAATGGGAATCCTACATGGCTGCTGCTTCTGCTGCAAAAGACCATGCGTATCCGTTTAAAAGTACAATAACCAATACGAAAGAAGCCAAGGCTCATTATTTGGGATTAAAGGGGGCCTTCCAAGAGTTGACAAGGTTACGGATGTATGGAAAATTAAATGCACAGCAATTAAACCGGTATCTTAGAGATTCCTATTGTCGCAGTGTGGTAATAGAAGAAAGCAAACTTGTGGAATTGAAGCATACTGATTTTGATAGTGTGATAATTTGGGGCTCACGACTGGATTCCTTTCTTATGAATTATCAATTGATATTAACCAATAAATTACTCAAAAGAATCATTTTAATTGACAATGACGGTTCAACGGATGATGGGATGTACCTGAGATTGATTTCCATGGGAGTTAAGCCGTTTATCATTGGTGCTGGACAAGTGAAGGAGCCTCTTTCCGCTGGAGTCATTCAAGAGATAATCCACCTGGATGCCCTGTATAACATTAAAGAGGTACAAATGTGTGCCGCATTGTATCGGTACATGGCCGGAGACTATGATACGCTTGTGATAATCTGTTCTTCACCAATCCATGTTCAGTTGATAGAGCAAAACTACCGTGACGTAAAGGTGCTTTTATATGGTGATAACTTGAGCCAATTTGATTATGTTATATGGAGTTCGTTCGGTGCTTACATACCGATAGAATTGGCTACAAAGGATGTTGCAGCCAAAGCTAAGAAGGGGTTTTACGTTGTTAGTACTTCAAAGGGTACGTACAACAACTTACCCAAATTGGAAGTATATCCCGGAGCTAAAGGTGAGCCAGTTAAGACCATGGACCAGTTTATTGAAACCCATTTGTGATCGGGAATTATTTCCCCTTTGAGATTTATACTGCATATACTTTTTTTTGATTGCAACGGTTTTAAGTTTAATGGGTCGGGTAGATAGTAATACACCTGGGTGATTGTCTACGATAAGATGACAAATGTATCCAACTAATAGGATAGGCTATATTAGTAGGAACAGTAGTAAAGAAAGTATGAACTAAAACTCGTTACTGCATATATCGGATCCGGGTAACCCCTTGAGGTGGCCAATGATTACAGTGATGTTATTACTATATTGGTATATGCACGACTGTTCAAAGTGCCGTGGCTTATCTTTTTTATGTTATCAGATAGTAAAACCAACCCATAGATAAACATATATTCTTGATTATAGCGATCATCAATATTAGTAGTTACTAGACTACTGAGAGTGATAGTGGTTACATTATCCTATCAAAAGTGTGTATAAATGAACGCCTGCTATTATATTAGATGAGTCACATAATATTAACAAGATAAGAAGTATAGCAGTGACATCATAGAACTATACCCAGTAATATACTAAAGACCACTATAGTCACTTAGTACACTAATAGGTCACTGATAGGTCACTAATAGTACTAGATTAACACAATCACTCAGTACTACACTACCTGTACTACACTACCCGTATAACACTAACCTTACTACACTTCCCGCACTACACTTCCGTACGACTACCAGTACTACTACTCACAATACTACACTAACAGAGTATAGCCGTACTACAGTATAACCTACTACTACTATCACTATAGTACAGTCATATAGTACAGCCTATAGCCCACCACTATAATAGTACTGACCCTGTCATAGTTCTGTTATCCTGTTTATCTGACCAGTCACTTATCGCTACACCCTAACACCACCCCTTTATCATTATCAACGGCGCGACCAAATTTTGTGTCTTGAAAAGTGAGATTTTTTCATCTCTTTTATCAACCCATATACATTTTTCTTTCCACTTCAAACAGACTCTGTTGATGAGTTTCCTTTGTATCTCCTGCTGTTAACACTACTGGTCCTTACACTACTGTTTATACTGCTGTTTCGTATTACTACTGTTGGTGCTACTTTTTATACTACTACCGTTACTCCTACTGTTATCTCTGACACTGTTCCTGTTGTATCATGAGTGAGATTGAACAGAGGTTACCGCCTGTTACCGGTACTGCATTATCACCATCACCTTCAAATACCACTTTGAATTCTGTTCCGTCACCCATTCCTTCTCCGGTTCCGAATAATGTGAATCAAGGTAGTCCACAATCTAATCCTGTTCACCCAAATGCAAGATCAACTACTCATGTTGCCAATGGGATCACCACAACCAAATCAAATATTACTTCACCAGTTTGTCGCAATTGTAAGACTCAAACCACGCCTCTTTGGCGAAGAGATGAAACTGGCCAAGTCTTGTGTAATGCTTGTGGATTGTTTCTAAAGTTACATGGTAGGCCAAGACCTATTAGTTTGAAAACTGATACTATCAAATCCAGAAATAGAATGAAGAATCCACAATCAAATAAAGGTTCAAATGCAAATACTCCAGAATTGAAAGCTAAAGATTCTAAAATTAATATATCTTCAACCAATGGAGTAAGTAAAAAGAATTCTCCTAAACTGTCAACCGCCAACACCAAAAAGAAATCTTCAAATACTTCAACTCCAACTTCAAAGCCTCTTGATACTCCAATGATGCCTGCTACTTCGTCAACCTCTTCTTCGAATGGATTTCTTCAACCTCAGTTACCCAATTCAGCTCCATTCTATACCCCTCAAGTACCTCCTACAGGAGGAGCTCAGTTGCCTACTATTAACATTGGGCCTATAACAAGAGTCCCATTGCCTCATCATCTACCAAACCATTTGATCCACCAAGTACAACCTTTACATTATCCTCTGTCAACACCTACTCAATTTGCTCCCGGATTACAACGGATCACTTCTCCTTTATTATTATCTACTTCATCTTCAATTTCTCATGCTCGGTCTCTGCTGAGTAGTCAATTTGATTCCAATAATGATTTGGGTCCTTCAGCAACGTTTAAACCTTCCTCTTCAGTCAATTCAACTTCAGATAACTCCATAACAGGCATCTCCCTAATGAATCAATCAAAAAAGACAATCACAACGTCAGTCACTCCTCCAACACTATCTACACCATCTTCTGCACTTGCTCCTCCTCCTCCACCACAGCCAACCACTACGCTTGCTGCTGTTGCTGCTGTTGCATCATCTGCAGCAAGCATTACTCCTGCTGCTTCGTCTGCACCTTCTACCAATGAGGGCATGAAACTCGCTGAGATCTCATCGATACCCACCACCAGACAAACCATCTCATCACCATCCTTTGGTCCCCAGTTTCATTTATCCGGAACCAATTCTACCATCACAAGTCCAAAACAACTGTTCAATACTGCAACTTTGTTACCTCCTCTACACAAGATATCACTGCAGGGCACCGGTGCTAATAGTAATAGTTCTTCCTCGGAGAATGGAGATCGAAATCAATACTCGGCTCATGATAAGGGTCTGAATGGTAATACCAACAGCAGCAACAACAATACAAACAATAATAACAACAATAATAACAACAACAATAATAATAACAATAATAACAATGGTGATAATGGCGGTGATAATCATAACACTTCTGCAGCTGCTGAAATCAGTCTGTTGAAGACTCGGATCAGTGAGTTGGAGCTTGTGAACGATTTATTCCGGACACAAATCATGGAACTTGAAGCCATGGAACAGGCTGCTAGAATGAGAGAACAATCTATGAAGAAACGGCTAGATGAGATGATAGCACTACAACATCAATATGGAGTGTCTACTGGAACAGTACCCCCAAGTACTGTACCTGGAACAGGGCCTACTACTGCTACTACTGCTACTGCTACTACTGCTACTACCACTGGTGCTACCCCTGTGCCAACTGGCTCTACAGCTGCTGCTCCTGGCACTGATGCTCCAATCTTACCACCCATTAACGTTGTTCAATACTCCACCCCAACATTGAAACGGGAATTGGAAGATGGAACTGGAGGCTCGGCTTTCAAAGTATCCAGACACAACTAATTAGATATATTTAATCACCAATAATAATGTACTAAGCTAATGTAGTTCACGTCTTAACATCAGGTTCGTCACGATCCAAGAATTGTTTAAACTTCAACAAGTTTAAAACGTATTTAATGTCGTTGCTTAAGTAATCGTCAGCCTTTTCAGTGTATGTCAGTTTATCATCAGTCCATTTTTCCAAATATAACCGAACAGTTGCCCCACTTGATCCGGTACCGGATAAACGCACCACGAATCTTAAGCCATCGGAAAATTTAATGAATAATCCTTGATTGGCGGAAACACTTCCATCCAAATCGGTATAACTGAAATTTGCAGCTTCTTTAACTTGACGTCCATCTAAATCTTCACCAGGTTTAACTTTGGTAACAATGTCAGCCAATAAATCAACCAATTCTCCAGCACCTTCACTTGAAACATTCTCAAAATCATAACGAGTGAAAAATGTCCGGCCATATTTATTCCAAAATTGTGTTTGGATTTCATTGATTGTAGCTGGTCTATCTGGATGCTCTTTAGCATAATAAGCCAATACATTTAACCAAGCAATGATGGCCCAAAGACCATCCTTTTCTCTAACATGGTTTGAACCCGTACCGAAGGATTCTTCACCACAAATACTCATTTTATTGGAATCAAATAAAGCACAAAAGAATTTCCAACCAGTGGGGACTTCATAACATTCCAATCCTTTATCTTTGGCCACAAGATCAATTGCTGCAGAAGTGGGCATGGAACGTGCTAAGCCATAAACGCCTTGCTTTTGGAAATAGGGAATGGCTTCCTTTGCGTATTCAGCAATGATTGCAACAGAATCTCCGGGAGAAACAAATGTTCCAGCTCCGTAAATCATATTCCGATCTCCATCACCATCAGATGCTGCACCAAATGCAATGTTTTCCTTATCCACCCGTTCAACCAATGTATGAGCATATGTTAAGTTAGGATCGGGATGTAACCCACCAAAATCAGGTAATGCTTGTTGGTTTTGAATAGAGGTTTGAGGTAATCCCAATTCTTCAATGAATATCTTTTCACCATAAGGACCCGTGACACCATGAAGAGAATCAAAAAGTAGTTTAAAATCAGAGTTACTGGAAATAAAAGATTTAATCAAATCAAAATCAAAAATTTCCTTTAACATAGTCACATAATCAGCAGTTGAATCAATGACTTCAATTTCCAAAGGGCCGTGTTTGAAATCACCAACTTTGGTAATATCAAATTTTGGTAACCCCTTAGCCACCTTGTAATTGGTTAATTGTTTCAGAACTTCAAAGATCTTATTGGTTACCAGTTCAGGAGCAGGACCTCCATTGGCCAAATTATACTTAATACCTAAATCATTCTTGGGTCCACCAGGATTATGAGATGCAGTTAAAATGATTCCTCCGGTAGCCTCTTTGATACGAATCACATGGGAAGTAGCAGGGGTTGATAAAATCCCATCCTTACCAATAATTAACTTTCTAACTCCATTGCCAGCAGCAATATCTATAATCTTACCAATCACAACATCATTGTAATAACGACCATCTCCTCCAATTACCAACGTAGACCCTTCAACACCTTCTGGAATGGCTTCGAGAATAGCTTGGATGAAGTTCTCTGTATAGTGTTGTTGTTGGAATACAGTAACCTTCTTACGAAGTCCTGAGGTCCCTGGTTTCTGATCAGAAAAGGGTGTAGTGGTTACCAGTTCGATGCTTACAGACATTATGATTAAGTGATGTATCAAATGTGATGTATCAAATGCGATGTATCAAATGTGATGTATCAGATTTTAAAAGGGGATTGAAATCTGGGGAAGAATCGTCCGCTTTTATATACCTTTTTAGCCCCAACCCAACAATTGAATCACAAAACCCCAGACTTGGTGGGGATGTGTGAAGTTACCCGGACGTCTTCGAATAAGTGGGGCACTTGGTTTGAAATGTGGTTAATTTTGTAGATGCATGATTGTAAGTGTGCTTAGTTTCTGACTTAAGTATTCCGAAATTTGTTGGTACGCTTCAAATATTCTTCCGTTGAGATTAAATCCATTTCTCTTAATACAATGGTACCAAATTAGATTCAACTGTTTGTATTTTAGAGTTGCTTAACTGTATTTCATGGGTCATAATCTTTGCTTCTAATATGTATCCCCCAAATATTACTCTTTGGTTAGTTCCAGTACCCCCCCTTAAATTTTTGTTCATGGGTGGGGTAGTTGTAAAGGTTCCTTCTCCATGCGTCCGTGTAACCGCATATTGGATCAATTGACAACACAATGTGCATATATGCAGCAACACATGTAAACGAACAAATATTTGGCCGATGCGAAGACTTGCATTCTATTATATGCAGTACCACCTTGATTATAAGTCCTAAGTATGTTCACGCATAGAAGAACGCTTAGATATACCAAAATTACCATAATTACGACTTCATTTTCCTACACCTTTTTAAAGCTATTATTAATATTAGTGACATCGTACCGTGTATCGTGACATTAGACATAAACAATATATTCTTTTTATTTGAAGTCTCTTACAACTTCATTGATGGCATTAGCCAAGTAGTCGACATTACTATCATTAATACCAGAAATGGAGAAACGACCATCTTCAGTGGCATAAACAGAATACTTTTCTCTCAAAGCAATCATCTGTTCCTTGGACAAACCAGTGTAGACAAACATACCTCTTTGTTTGGTCAAATGATCCCAGTTGTAGTTGGTCTTGTCCAACTTTTGGTACAACTTGTCTCTGACAGTGTTCAAACGACCAACAACTTGGTCCAAGTCACCTAACCATGATTCAAGTAATTCAGGGTTGCTAAAGATAGTTTCCACAATTTTGGAACCGTGAATTGGAGGAGATGAATACATTGGTCTAATCAATTTCTTCAATTGAGAGTCAATGGCTTTGCTTTGTTCAGGGGATTCAGTAACAATGGAAATAGAACCAGTTCTTTCACCGTAAAGACCCATGTTCTTGGCAAAGGATTGGCACAAAGAGTAAGAAGGAATCTTACCTTCAACAACCAATTGGTTGATTCTACGGATTAATCCAATATCCTTGTATGGGTTACCAGATGCAAACCCTTGGTAAGCCATATCAATCAATGGGTACAACTTCTTTTGTTGGATGATTTCCAAAACAACTTCCCATTGTTCTGGAGTCAAGTCCATACCAGTTGGGTTATGACAACAAGCATGCAAAAGAACAACTGATTCAGGATCAGCATCCTCTAAAGATTTGGTCAAGTTAGCAAAGTCCAAATCATTGGCGTTATTATCGTAGTAAGCATAGAATTCAGCATCCAAACCGGCATCGGTGAAAACAGCAATATGGTTAGCCCAAGTTGGTTTAGGAACATAAATCTTCTTAGCAGAGTTGAAACGAACAAGGAAATCAGCAATAACTCTAAGAGAACCAGTACCAGAAATGGTCTGAGCGGTGACAATACGATTACCGCCAATCAATTTGGCACCAGCAGCATCCTTGTTGGAATTGTTAAAGATAAAGTTTTGAACAATAGATTGGAAAGGCTTAGAACCATTAATCCCAGTGTATTCCTTTTCGACTTCAGTTTCCAAGAGAGAACGTTCAGCATTCTTAACACTTGGGAAAATAATGGGCTTACCTTCGTTGTTTCTGTAAGCACCAACACCCAAGTTGATCTTTTTAGGATTAGAATCTTCCTTGAAAGCTTCAGCAATGCCTAAAATCTTGTCTGGAGGAGCAAGAGGAATTTCATTCCAACGAGCGACGCGAGCACTGGCGGATAAACCTCTAACACCCATGCGGGGTTGCATCTTAAAGCTGGAGAGCATCTCTGGAATAAATATCTGCAATTGACTCAACTGCGGGTACTGCAAGGAAACAACCTGAAAAAAAATTTTCAGATCCCAACGAACTTGCCAGTCTTTATATACCCTGGAACAGCCGATGACTCGGAATGATTCATCGCCTGCATACGGTATGAGGGGAAATGACACGATCAACAATAATAATATAATAAGAGGATTTATACTGTGAGTAGTTTAGCGGATTTGCCCAATCGGGTATATCGGTAGATGCACGTTGCGGATTTTTTCACTAATACCGAAGACGGTTGGAGTTGTTGAAAGACTGGGATGATAAGATGTAGTTGAGGTAAATCAGCTAGCTTAACCTATTTGGTTGCAGAAATTAATCCGTTCTCTCTGGGGTTATTCCGTGTTGACTCATTTGTGCACTTATACAGTCAACGCTTGCTGAGCATGTGGTCGTAGGTTGATCCGACGCTCAAGCTTATAAGGTGTGAGTCAAACTTATATGTTGACGAACTTATTAATAACTAGTGTTCACGAATACAGTATTATTATGAATCAAGGTAAACATATGGGCCGACAGCGGTCTTCGCCCCGAATTCATCCGTGGTGGGTGCTAAACACCGGTATCATGTGATTAACAGTTCCTTTTCTCCGGAGATGACTGTTGCTTATGTAACAAAATGTCACGAGTATCAATTTACGTTATTCCTCGTGCACTTAAACAAATTCGGAGTAAACATAATAAACTACATTTTATTATCAATTTCAAATTGGCATTATAAAACATTATGTCTATCAAAAACTTCTATATATTCATCGTAATTTTAATTCATTAAAAAACTTCCGTATATCGGAAATAAGGGTGTAGTGTATCTGGTTAAACAGATGGTTCTTGTTTGATGAAGGCAACATCAACATTTTGTTCTTCAGGAACCCAATTGTGGGAGTTCCATGGCTTAGCATCGGAAGCGTACAACATGTCAACTTCTTCCAAGGTCAAACCCTTGGTTTCATAGACAAAGAAGTAGACATAGAAGAAAGAGAAGATAAGACATCCAGCAAAGACGAAACCATAGTAGAAATGGATGGCAGATGTGATGAAAGGAGTGAAAAAGGCAATCAAGAAACCCCACAACCAGTTGGCAGCAATGGCAACAGACATAGCCTTAGCTCTGATTCTCAATGGATAAGATTCAGAAACAACGGCATAACAACCACCAGCCCAGGTAGAAGCAAAGAACAAAATGTAGACACAAGTAACAAAAATCATAGCGTCACCAACAGGCTTTCTGGTGTTTGAGTTGTCACCTTGAACACCAATGTATAATCTGACGGAACCCAAGATGGAGTAGACAAGCATGGCAAGGAACATACAAGCGGAACCCATCATCAACACCTTTCTTCTTCCCCATCTATCGATAAGATAGATACCGAGGAAGGTGGAACCAAAGTTAACAGCAGACAAGATGATAGAGGTTTGGAAGGAATCAGACAAACCGACAGCCTTGAAAATGGTGGTACCGTAATAGAAGAAATAGTTATCACCAGTTAATTGTTGAAGACTTTGTAACATAATACCCATGATGACTCTGTATAAGATCTTTGGCTTACCAGTGATCAATTCTAACCAGTTAGCACTACCAGCCAACTTTTCCTGGTCGATACCGTTTTGGATCAATTGGATTTCTTCATAGACAAGAGCGTCTTCAGGAGAAAGCTTGTTAGACTTGGCGATGGACTTCTTGGCTTCTTCAATCATGTTCTTTTCAATCAAGTATCTGGGGGATTCAGGCATCAAGGACATACCAAACAACAAAAACAAGGCCCAGGCAAAACATAACCCAAGAGGAACTCTCCAAGAGACAGAGTCACTGTAAGACTTGGTACCATAACCAACAATGTTACCGATAAGGATACCGAGGGTGATGAACAATTGGAAACAAACAACCAAGGTACCTCTGATGGCTTTTGGAGAGGTTTCGGAAATGAACAAAGGACAAAGAACAGAAACCATACCAATGGCAAAACCAGTGATCAAACGACCAATCATAATTTGATACCAAGCGTGCTGAGAAGCAATTTGAACAATGATACCAACAATGTAAATGGACATGGCTGTGGAGATACCAAATCTTCTACCTTTCATATCACCAACTTTGGATAAAACAATACCACCGACGGCACAACCAATGTTCAAAATGGCAATCATTAAACCGACACGAGTATCGGAGAATTTGTAGGTACCATCGGCATGGTGAGTAGCAAACCGTTTCTTGAAATCATCCATGTTAACGAAACCGGAAACGGTACCGGTGTCGTAACCGAAAACGAACCCACCGAAGGCCACCAATAAACAAAAGATGGCTGTGGTAAGATGTTCAGACCAACCAGATTTTTTGGTGGTGATTGGTTGAGCTAAGGATTCGGTTTCCTTTTCTTCCTTGAGAAGCGACCCATTATCAATGGGTGTGGCTGTCCCAGACATATTTGTAGGTTCTTGCGACATTTCTGTCAAGAGTGGAAAGAGCTTTTTTTTATTTAGTGTGGATAGTAAACTAATAAAGTAAACTGATGGATAAGAAATGATTAAAACTCTTCCACTGAAATGTAGACCTTCACTTCTATTTATACAAATTTTTAACTTCGGCATAACGTTTTCCTTTTTGGAATGCTGGATGAAAACATCATACTACCATATACTAATGGCATGACTTAGTATACCGAACCTAAATCATCATAACGGAAAAATAGAGTTAAGCCGATCATAATCGGATTGTTAAAAAAAGTAATACCTGCGTAAAAGCCGGCATAATTCTCCGTGCACAAATAAGACAATTATTCCATACAATCACTCCTGTACCTTATTGCAGGAGTACAGTTGTTCCGGAGACAAATGATGCCAAATGACATCCAATGTTCATTTGTACTACTTATCCCCCACTGATCAGTAATTTTCCGGTAAACTTTGCTCCGCAAAACAATGTGAGTAAGGAAAAACCCTAAGCGAATACAACCACTGATCATCAGCAAATACTGCATCCAATTATTCTTTCTCCGACTTTTGTCTGGAGTGGTATCATCGCCCCACTCTTTCCTAGACGCATGCTCCAACATGGACCTAAGACCCCCATGGGCGGATTTTCTACTTCCCCGTGGGATTAACTTTGCCGTGTCGGATGTATGTTTCAAACGGTGGGGTGGACCAATTGAATCCAATTGGTTACTAAGTGTTTCTGAATAGTTGGCATTTTACTTGCCGACACCTTGATGTTCCGAGATTACGGATTATCCTTAACATGTTAATTTACAATTTAGGATTATTAAATGGGTTTGATTAGTTAATAGTTTGCTTTCAAGGACGCATCTTAGCAACCAATGGTTAAAAAGTAAGTTGTAGCATTCTCAGTATAGTGGGTTTTACGGTTAATACCTTGGCTTTCGTGTACCTCATCAGATTATCTTTCTTGTAGTAAAAAATGGAGTAGTTTTCTGCTACGTATTTTCTAATGCGGGTAGTATTTCGGAAAAATTTTCACTCTTATGCTATTGTTAATGATAGATATTTTTTCGTATTCAGATTTGCAACCACTGTGATATCAAGCAACATCGCACCATTTTAGGCATCTCTGAGATGGTGTCAAATTAATGGTAGTTAGTATCTGATACATTTATCCGAAGCTCCCTTCCTTCTTCCCCTCCATACCAGGTTTTTCAATCACTGACAAAAATCAGTCTGGACGTACGTGCAACTTATGCAGGTTGCATCTTGTGTCGGGTGACAAAGAAAAGTTTTTCCGTGACAGTAATTGTGTCATGTTAAGAAAAAAGTCTTCCCTAGTTAATCCGATGCTCTTACCAGCACAATCGTAATTAGGCATAATCAAGAAAACTCATTATAGCAATCATTCCACCAACTTCAAAAGTCTTCTCAGCAATAGATTGCTGAATGGGCAAGCGTTAGCTTGGACATATTTAGTCTCCAGACACTAGTACCTGGTACTAGAGTTCGTATCTTTCTTATTGAATTGTTTTCCTACAGTTGCAAAGAATTTCCGAATTAAGAACTTTAATATACTCTATAATAGAGCCGGAGTCAATATTAGATTTACTGAATCTACATTACCATTCGGATTAATTATCTGCTGTCTAATTGTGTCTTGCCACATTTGAACTCCATAGAACAACCAGGAGACTCAATATGGAACCATCTTTCTGACTCAGTTAGCTGTAAGACATTTTTAAGAGCCGCCTGTATCTTGAATGTCATTTTCGTAATCAACAATAAAGTGCACTTGAATTTTAGTCTTTAAAACACGCTTTTCTCCTCATTTCTTCTCTCCTGGTCTGTCGAAATCTACGGGATAGACTTACGTAGCAAACGAGTTTCTGGCACAAGTACATAAGGTGCTACTGTCAGTTCAAAATTATAGAACTGGCAGGTACTTAGAAATTAATTTTTTTTACCTGTATATTACTAAATAATGCAATATTTTTTCCGTGTCTTGGAATGCTGTTCTGCTTTGAGGGTGCGTCCGATTTATGCCGCATACCTTATGATGCTGTCATCGAACCACAACTGACACTCGTCCCCAAGAGTGATTTTCGGAATAATCCAAATTCGTTTCCCCAGAATGACTATACTTTCTATGGGGTAATATGGAGAATATGGGGTCTTGCTTGGGGTAGCAGAAAGGTAATATCAAGGTGAACTTTTCGTTGTCGTTTTAATAATTTAGTTCAAGTCAACCGCCATAATAATATAATAGCTATTGTTGAGATTTTCCGGACCATAAGCCAGTAATCAAAACGTTAACTCCGAAACCTCAAATGGAATAAAGACACGGGTCGAAGTTACATATTGGGGGCACAACCTACTGCCGTCCACAATCATGTTGAAGTAATTTTTCCGTATGTTCAAATCTAACTTTATAAAGTGATGCAAAAATTATTCCGTGATAGACCACTATTGATTTCTGTCTTTTTGAAGGCACATTCAGCTACTTTCTTCATTGATTTAGAACCCTTCCAGGAGAAAAGCCAATATGCCACTTTCTTAGCTTCATAATATTCTTCTTCACAGAACCCCAAATGTGTCATAATGTCTATAAACCTTGCGTTATTAAAGTACCTTGAATTGGTGACACACGGCAACGGAAGAACTATAAATACCTTGGAATAAAACCCGTTCTTGGGTTCATTCAAAAACTGAGTAAACCTCCATAACATTTGTCCCCTAACATTATGATCTGGAACGTAATTTAACACCAAGGAACAACTTATCATGTCAAACTTCTCTTTAGAACTGGTGGGTAGCGGTCTGTCCATGAAATCTTGCTGAAGGATCAACCTTTCATTTTGAGAGTTCAAATCTATTCGAGTGACCTCGAACATTCCACATGTACTAATGCAATTATTGGCACTAAGACATCCTATCTCTAAAGCCGACATTATGGTATCTTTCTTCTGCCATTGGGTGTTACTCTCTAACCATTGGATTAGTCTCTTCGAAGAATCACCTCCTCTTGTGGAGTCTTGACCATCGGTCAGGGCTACTTGATAAGCCTCGATTCCTCCTCGACATTTAATTTCTCCGTCTATTTTTCCGAGCATGGCTACCATCTCGTTGGTATCTTGAAGTACATCTTTATTCATGGGTTCATTGGCTTGTTTCCCGGTCCAGGACTCTATAAACAGTTTGAGTTCGGAATTGTACTTCCAAAATAGCAGGGGTTGGGTTTCTCGTAAGCATTCCACATAGTTTTTGTTGTCAAGCCCTTCTACCAAGGGCTTCAATTGTTTCAAAATAATCTCTTTATCTTTAAGAAGCGTATGGTATCTTCTGATCAAAGATCTTGCTTTCTGGGGTTTCAAGCTCTTTGGTTTTCGGATGCCGTTTCCCGTAATACTCCGGTTTCCTTTTAAAAGTCCTCGACTCTTCCTAGCCATTGTACAGAGTACAGTCTATTAGTGTCTCATAAGCAGAGGTACGCTCTATTGCAGAGACATAAGTGTATTCTTTGGTACTGTGTAGCCCCATCATCATCTCGCCATCTGTCTTGATTTTCCGGGTCGTGCGCAGGCGTATTTCGCGAAGAAGTGCGAGATGAGCATCGACTTAAATGCATTTGTTAACGTCTGCTTAATTGTATACCAACTAGTCACGTAACTATGGCCAGCAAAACAAAGAAGACAGGTGTGGGGAAGAAGGTCAAGAAGACCCCCGTCAAGCGGACGCCCAAGTTGAAGGAAAAACTTGCTAAAGAAAGCAAGGTGGTCCGTTTGGACAATTTGGCTTGGAAACCAGTGGAGATACCAGACAATTTAGGTGACTATGAAGGGTTCTATGGACTAGAAGAAATAGATGGAGTAGACTTTGAGATTGTTGATGGCAAGCCTCGTTTCACAGTGAAGGATGATCTGAAGATAGCAAAGAAGGAAAAGAAAGTGAAGAAAGCAGAGCCAGAAGCAGAAGAAGAAGAAGAAGTTGAAGATGGTGAAGGTGATGATGATGATGAAGAGTTCACAGGGTTTGATGATAAAAATGATATTAAAGTTGATGATGAAGAAGATAAGGACGATGGAAACGTTGATGAAATTCCTACTGTTTCTCAATTAGACTCTGATAAATTATTATCAAATACATTCCTGAGCCTTGACCTCCCGTTGCCGGATGATGATCAAATAGATCTTCCACAGTGGGAAGACGATTCCTACTCCTTAAGTCCGTATACATTGTCGGGATTGAAGGCGTTGGGCTTCACGTCGCCTACCTTGATCCAGAAGAAGGCTATCCCCGTGGCCTTGCAAGAAAAGGACCTTGTGGGTAAAGCCACCACCGGTTCAGGTAAGACATTAGCATTTGGTATACCTATATTGGAGAAGTACTTGACCAATTTGAACACCATCAAGGAGAACAACAAGGAAAGCATCATCAACCAACCCACGGGAATTATCTTTACTCCCACCAGAGAATTGGCCCATCAAGTGGTTGATCATTTGAACAAGTTGGCCAAATACTCGCCATTATCCACCCTGGGAATCGTCAGTATCACTGGGGGGCTTTCCATTCAAAAACAAGAGCGTCTTTTAGCCCGAGGACCAGGCATTTTGGTGGCTACCCCCGGTAGATTTTTAGAGATCATTGAAAAGGATATGGAAGTGTGTAAACGGTTGGCAGCCACAGATATTCTTGTTCTTGATGAAGCCGATAGACTTTTGCAAGACGGTCATTTCGATGAGTTTGAAAGAATATTGGATCTTTTCAAGAAACACAGACCAAAGCAAAAGAATAAGCCTTGGAAATGGCAGACCATGGTGTTTTCTGCCACCTTTTCCAAAGAGTTATTTGGTAAGTTAGACAAAAAGAATAAGGGGAATAAGAACGGCAATAGCAACGGAAGCTCGTTGTATGATAATGAAGAGATCTTAAAGCTATTGAACGATAAGTTGAAGTTTAAAGATACCAAGCCAACCTTAGTTGATGCCAACCCTAAAGAGATTGTTAGTGGTAAGGTTACGGAAGCCTTGGTTGAATGTGGAGCTACAGAGAGAGATTTGTATCTCTACTATTTTCTTCTCATGTACCCTGGTTCAACGTTAGTGTTTGCCAATTCTATCGACTCTGTCAAGAGATTGGTTCCCTTCTTGAGGAACTTGAACATCCCCTGTTTCTCCATTCACTCCAACATGATCCAAAAACAAAGATTAAGAGCCTTGGAACAATTCACGGCAGCTACGTCCAAGAACGAGACTGTGGTTCTCGTGGCTTCCGATGTGGCAGCTAGAGGATTGGATATTCCCAACATTGATCACGTTGCCCATTACCATTTGCCCAAATCTGCAGACATATACATCCATAGATCCGGGAGAACCGCCAGAGCCGGGAACGAAGGTGTTTCTGTGATGTTTTGTTCCCCCCAGGAAGCTTCTGGACCTTTAAGGAAATTAAGAAAGTTGGTGGCATCGTCTGCTGGTGCTGGTACGGCTGCAAAAATGGATTTGCATGGTGATGTTAAGCTCCTTCCCGTAGAGATGGATCTTGTTGGTCAATTGAGAGAAAGAGCCAGTCTTTCAGCCAAACTCGCAGACTCACAAATCAGTACCAGCTCAACAAGCAAAGAAGATTCATGGATGAAACAAGCAGCAGAAGATTTGGGTATAGAAGATTTATCCGACATCGATAGCTATGCAGATGACATCATCAAGAAACAAAGGAAGAGAAAGGAAACCAAGCTGTTGTCCAAAGACGAGACCAGGGTGTTGAGAGCAACTCTTAGAGACATACTTAGCCAGCCAATCAGAAAGAACTCCAGAAGATCGTATCTTACCAGTGGACTTCAGAACTTGGCCCATGAGATTGTCAGTGGGAAAACACATAAGGAAGTTCTTGGACATTCGCAAGTCAATGCTTTACAAGATTTGAAGAGCTCCAAGGGCATCAGATCAACTGACAAGAAGATTGTAAAGAGTGGAGACTTGCTTAAACAAAAGAAGAAGGCGGACAAGCAAGCTAGAAAGGACAGTAAGAAGGATAAGAAGGAGCAGATGAGAAACAAGTCATTTAAAGGAGAAGAAGACGAGGAATAAGTAAACATGAGCTACATTATGGAAAGTAATTAGCTGTCTGTTATGTGCATTGTATATGTAGCGAAGTATTACTGTAATGTTCACTTGCATAATGTTTACCACATTGAAAAGTAATAGAGTGCAAGTGAACAAAAATAATTGTGTATTTCAATTTCCTATTATAGTAATTGGTGACATTTATGTGCTTCTGCCGAAGAATAATAATAAAAATGATAATAATAATTATATATATATAAACCTTTTATCCCACTTAGATGAAATCATCACTATCATCAGAATAATATTCATCATCATCAGATTCATCAGCCAATTGTTCAAAGTTAACCTTGTATCTTAACAAGGCACCAATACCACCAAACCCTTGACAAAATTGAGCACCTTCTTGGGACTTATCGGTGACAAACTCTAATGTAGCACCAAATTCTTTATAATGTTCAGCCAACCATTCCAAAAACACTTCTTCCTTAACGATTTCCATTTCCATTCCTGTCTTTTTGTCCAATTGCCATGACTTATCTGGTAAATCTGGGTTTGCATGGGCCACGACTTCGTTCCCTTCAATGTCCTTTAAGGTGTAACGAATGGTAGACAAATTTTCATAGACAATAACGATTTCACAAGCACCTAAATCCAATGCTTTAAGAGTATCTTCAATACCATAACAGAATCTTCCAGTGTCTTGAGCAATCTCATCGAAATATTGATCCAATAACTTCTTTTCTTGAACAAACTTAACATTCAGTAAAGTTTCAGTAGATAATTCGATGGCTTGATTGAACCCATTTTCTCCACCATAGGAAATATCTACAATACTTAAGATTTTGGCTTGTAATCTTCCATCAAACAAATCAGACTTGTTCAATTCATTCTTGAAATCAGCAGAACCAGCAAGAATTATCCCCTTAACGTTAACCTTATCTTGAGTGACAAAACATTGAACTGCTGTTTCGGCAACTTTACGAACATAATTGTGTCTCTTCTCTTCTCTTAAACGGGAGAAACGAACCGCAGATTGACCACCTCTACCATGTTTCTTGGGCAAATCAACAGTAAACTTATGAAGAACCTCTCTTGTGTTACCACTAACTGCACCAAATAATGCTCCATTACCATCCATGATAATGAACCCAAATCTATCGTCATTCTCCAATAACTCGGTCAATGCTTCGACATGAAACTTGTTGTCACACAAATATAAAGTGGTGTTTATAGGCTTGAAAGGTTCGAAATCAATGTTTAACTTCTTTTCCTTCCCTTCGGGTGTAATCACATCACCACAGTAAATCACCAACCCATTTCTAGGAACATTGTTATACAACTTAAGCTTCTGTTGAGTAGATGTAATAGCGGACAACACAGACAATCTATTAACACGGGATTTGATGTTGGAAGCAGTACCGTATTCTTCTGTCAACTTCTTTTGGAATAATGAAACTTGTGATCCTGGTGGCATCACCAACGAGATCATAGAGGTACCATTTCCTCGAGCTTGTTCTAACCCTTTGATCAACTTCTTAACCTTCCAGATCTCAATGTTCTTCTCGGCGTCGGTATCCATTCTTGTCACTGTTGTCCGGGTGTACTGTACTTTCGTAGAAGGGTTGCTAACTCGTTGAAGGTTGTTGCAATGGCATGAAAAATTTTTAGGTTAAGCGAAAGCGTGCACAAATTGATTTGGTGTCCGGGTGTGTTCTTAAAAAGATTCTAATAGTAAGTAACAGCATGAATATACATGTATGAATGTACGTATGTACATTGAGTAAACAGGTAGGTATAGGCCCAAATGAGGTTTTGTCCATATCCTTACCTTGATCCTTGTTAAAGATATCTTTTGCACTCATACAGTAATCAATTCGCCTAGAGGCTATTCTGCTAAAGTAAGAATAATATGAGTGGTAGTAAATTGGCAGTTGTTGTTGTTCCGAACATGTAACTAATTGTACAGTTTATCCGATATTTTTGTTGTATATCTATATGACATGCATCAGTTTAAAATATACGGAATATTCTCTTGCATTTTGCAGCGATATAATCAGAAACACACCCTACTGGTATTATTTGAAGCAGTACGTACGAGAACGTACATGAATCTTTTACATGATTATACGTACATTTGGTGAAACTTATAACATATCCACATGCAACAGGTATGCTATTGCAATAAATGGAGTACGAACTATACTAGTGTTTAATCCATACGTGTATCATCATCTTATCTTCTTTCAGTTTTGTGTAACCGGGACATCATGGAAAAGTATCAGTACAGTGATTTATACACGGAATATTTATCATAAATAATCATTGCTGCTTCTGCCACGCCCAAACCCTTGTACATGGAATAACCTCCGTAAGTAGCACTCTGGATATGTCACTGCAACAACACGCTGCCAGAGAACGGCAACAAGTGGAAGACACTTCTTCCGATATCCCCGGAGGTACAGTTGAAGAACAAGACTATGAATCCGATTCTTCTGATGAATCAAGTATATTAGAAGAGAAACCCAAGTCTCGGAAGCCTGGAGACAATGCCTTCAGACAACAACGGTTGAGGGCATATAATCCGGTGTTTACAGCCAGAACAGTTATTCCTACGCTTTTCATCATAGCCATTATATTTGTTCCGTTAGGAGTGGCTATGTGGTACGGAGCAAACAGAGTCCAAGAAGTTATGATTGATTATACCCAATGTGAAAACCTTGCTAGTAGAGATTACTACTCTGAGATTCCGAAGAAATACCTTAAGATCCATTTTAACGGAGTCAAGACCTCAGACATTGCTAGACCTCAATGGAAGTTGGATACCAACAACACTGAGCAATTTGAAGATGAAAGGAACGTTTGTCGTATTCAATTCGAAATCCCCCATGATATAAAGCCTCCTATTTTATTCTTTTATCGGTTGAAGAAGTTCTATGCTAATCACCGGAGATATGTGAAGTCCTTCAGTGAAGACCAATTGAATGGTAAAGCGGCTGATTATGATACTATTAACAATAATATTGGTCAAAACTGTCAACCTATGTCTCGGAATTCGCAAGGACAGATTTACTATCCATGTGGGTTGATTGCTAATTCTTTGTTTAATGATACCTATGGTTCCGGTTTACAAGCTGTCAATGGGTCCAGCACAGACTTCTCATTGACCAATAAGGGTATCGCATGGAGCACTGAAAAGAATAGATTCAAAAAGACAAAATACAACTACACTCAAGTGGTTCCTCCTCCAAATTGGTTCAAACGCTATCCAAACGGATATAATGAGACCAATATGCCAGATCTTTCCACTTGGTATGAATTACAAAACTGGATGAAACCTGCTGCCTTACCTGATTTTGTCAAGTTAGCTCTCAAGAATAAAGAGGATACACTTAAGAAGGGTAAATATGAAGTTGCCGTGGGTTTACACTTTCCTGTTATACCTTACAGGGGCAGCAAATACCTTTATCTTTCCACCAGATCTGTAATTGGAGGTAAGAACTACTTCCTCGGCATCAGTTGGATCGTTGCAGGGGGTTTATGTTTGCTTCTTGCTTCAGCCTTGTTAATTGTGAACTTAGTTAAGCCACGGAAGAATGGTGATCCCAAGTACTTAAGTTGGAATAAAGTCGAAGATGAACACAATACGGAAAAATAATATTTCAATCTTGTCTCTGTGTATTTCACTTTGAATCTATTGTTAATAAAACGTTATTTTTTAAGTATAGGCAGCCGTAGGTGCCAGTGACAGCGTTAGCCAGATGATGAGATGACCACCACGGAGTTAACCCCAATTAGGCAATATCCCCCTTGGTGAGGCATTAACATTTTAACCGATAGTAGCCACCCTTTAAAAAAAATACTAAGCCGTACCAACCGTCGTCCCGAGTTGTTGTGATCTATGCATTTTCATACAACCTCAAACATACCATACACTTGATTAGACTATTACAGTACCATTCAAACACGCCATAAATGTTTTAGGACGGAGTTAACCCAGAACAGAACACTTTTATCTCCGTGCGTCAACTATTTGATTCTCCGTGGAACCCCACGTTTGATTTGATGGGTTCGGCATCTCGGCTCGATGCACCGAAATGCGAATTGTTTTTCCTGTTCAATTACATATTAATAGCAACTCCTATGCTTCTACCATGTTCTATGTACGCCTCTGTTTCATTACCATTACTAATAGCCAACATGTACCCTTAACGTATACAGGTCTAAGATGTCCACTGGATTCCGCTATAGTTCGATTTCACATATACTGCATATAACCTTACCACATCGTCGGCCACTTCTCGGAGTATAAGTAGGTAAGGGAGTCAACTGCAAAATGAAATTTCAATCTCCCTAATTATCTTCTGTCAATTAAATAATATTACCTATCACATAAAATGTCTGCCCCAAGCGAATTAACTCAAGTTATCCTTCAGAACCAAGCTGAACGTGACGTCATTACCGAATTGGGTACTGATCAATCCACATTCAAGATTGTTAAGAAGGAATTTGATGAGTCCACCTTGAAGGACGGTGACGTGCTTGTTAAGCTTTTGATTTTGTCCAATGACCCTACTCAGAGAGCTTGGATCCAAAAGGGTGTTGATCCAAAGAGAATGTACGTCCCACCAGTCAAGGTTGGTGAAGCTATGGGTTCTTTAGGTATTGCTCAGGTTGTGTCATCCAAGTCCTCTAAATGGAACGTTGGTGACATTGTCTCTGGTAAGTTTGGTTGGGGTGATTATTATGTTGCTAATGAAAACTTCATTTTCAACAAGGTTGACCCTAATGCTGGTTTACCATTACCTTTATATTTGGGTCCAGTAGGTATGACTGGGTTGACTGCCTACTTTGGTTTGACTGAGATCCTCGACTTCAAGGAAGGTCAAACTCTTATTGTTTCTGCTGCTTCCGGTGCCACTGGTTCTATGGTTGTCCAATTGGCCAAGAACGTGTTCAAGGCTAAGAAGGTGATTGCCATTTGTGGTTCTGATGACAAATGTAAGTGGGTTAAGAGTTTGGGTGCTGACATTGGTCTTAACTACAAGTCCCCTAACTTCAAACAAGAGTTAATTGATGCTGTTGGAGATGAATTTGTTGATGCTTACTTTGATGCCGTTGGAGGTAGCATTTTATCTCAATGTATGTCATTGATCAAGCCATTCGGTAAGGTAGCTGCCTGCGGTGCCATTTCTGGTTACAATGATCAATCCAAATATGCTGTGACCACATGGTACGAAATTATCACCAACAGGTTGACCGTTAGAGGTTTCATTGTTGGTGACTTTAAGGAAAAGTTTGCTCAAGCTATTGGTGCCATTGTTGGTGCTATCAAACAAGGTCAAGTTTCTGTTACCCAAGGTATTGAATTGAAAGATCTCTCTGGTGACTCCAATAAGTTGGAAAAGGTTCCCGCTATTTGGAACACTTTATTCACTGGTAAGGGTGAGGGTAAGTTATTGACCAAGCTTGCTTAAGAGAAGAAAGCAAACACTTTAGCACAGTAAATAGCAAATTAAAATGATACGAATTTAACGGAACAATATATAGAAATAGATTTGCAATAGCCCCATGATGTGTTGGTGTCGTACATTAACACACGTATGCACAAATGTGTAGATAAATTTACGAGTGGGAACTTTATTTTCGGAAAAACTATGCAAATGACACAAATACACAAAATAGGAAATGAATTACAATTATGGTAGCGCTCGGAAAATCACGATTGTTTATGTATTCATGTTTACAAAACTAAGACATACATTACATGTATATTCCATTTTACCAAGGAATAATGCAAGTTTAACGTTATGACTATTATGGAAACGCAGTGCGAGAAGGTGTCTTCTTCCTTCTTTCCGGACGATCCTAGACTCAACAAGTTCCGAGAAACAAGTGAACAGAATGTGTATACTGGAGACTTCCAATTAGATGACAGTGCAGAAGGCGTACCACTAGGCAAATTAAGTGCCTTTGCTCCCGGGTCGGTTGTGGTTCAGAAGGGACGGATGAAGCAGTCACATGACGGGAGCAAGTCTCCGTTTCTCAGACGTATTGAAAACCAGATACAAGGGGCGAGTTATTCCTGTGAACCCTCAACAGTCATCAACACCACCACGCTGGCTGATCGCATGAGTCCTATTGAGGAAGTTTCAGGCGACGATGATCGGATGGTAAATCCTTTTGTCTCCAGTAGCAATAATAATAATAAAGGCATAGCGTATGCAAAGATACGACCGGAGAAGAGAAGTAAAAATACGGCTGCAGCGGTGACCACTGCAACCGGCACTGTACAAATGCAGCTACAAGCATCATCGTTAACGAATCAGATAACGTCAACGCCTTCAAACCCTCGAAGGAAGCAACGAGATCCTTCGGTCAAAATCTCTCTTACCCCGGCCCAACGGTTCCAGAAACAACCCGGTACAAGACTGAACAATGCGTTAGAGAATTTTAGATTCTGTGAAATGGTCGGTAGGGGGGCGTACGCTCAAGTATATAAAGGGATTAATCTCAAGACCAATCAAGTGGTTGCCATTAAGCAAATATGGCTTCAAAGAGATCAAAATGTGGCAGCTTTAATGGGCGAAATCGATCTATTAAAAGTGTTGCGACACCCTAACATCGTCAAGTATCATGGATTTGTAAAGACAAGTACTTCATTAAATATTCTATTAGAATTCTGTGGAGGTGGGTCTTTAAGACAACTATATCTTTCATTGGGCCACGGATTACTGGAGTTCGATATTATAGGATACATTGGCCCGGTATTGGAAGGGCTAAGCTATTTACATGAACAAGGAGTTGTTCATCGAGACGTTAAGGCTGCTAACGTGCTTTTAACAGAGGACGGGGAGGTGAAATTGGCAGACTTTGGAGTGGCAGCAAAGATCACCAACCAACATGCCACGGTTATAGGGACACCAAATTGGATGGCCCCAGAGACAGTTCTTGGTGGAGAAGGTCTCTGTACTGCTTCTGATATTTGGTCATTAGGAGCAACCATTATTGAATTATTTACAACTCATCCACCATATCATGAGTTGAATCAAATGGCTGTATTACATGCTATAGGAGTTGATGAACGACCACCATTACCCAAGAACATATCGACTATTCTTAAGGATTTCCTTCTTGAATGTTTCCAGAAGCAAGCAAGCTTGAGAATAAGCGCAAAATTATTATTGAAACATAAATGGTTAACGTCTGCGAATAAGGAAGCGAGTAAAGGAAATTCTATGAAACAACAGCAAGAACCTTTCTTGAATGTTGAAGAAAATGATGCCAATTGGCTCATCAACTCTGTGAGAGAGGAAGAAGAAAAGCAACAGCAGCAGCATTTGCCTTTGCCCAAAGCTTTACCTCAACGAGAAATCGAATTAACAATAAGCCAAGAAGTTTCGAAATCGGCTGCTGCTTATACGGCATTGAACAAGCGAGATCTTCTTCATAAATTTGCAGAAGATGAAGATGAAATCAAAGGGTTTGAAGCAGATTTCATCGGTGATGAAGTTAATCCACTTTCCAAGAGTTCAAATTCAAATAAAGAAATATTATCAAACATGCTACCAGAACAAGACCCTTTTCTTGAAGTTGATATTGAGAACTTCGATACCAATGAAATAGAAATCCAAAGCAAAATGGAATATTTAATAGGTAAATTGGCCCAGAAAGTCGATCAATGCCATTCAGGTTCAGAGAATCTTATGTTATCACTTGTGAAAATAACTGGAAGAATCCTTCACATTGCAAAGAAGTACCCAATTCTGCATGAGGTCTTCATTAGAGACCATGGGGTATTAACAATACTTGAATTGCTTGATTTTGCTTCCGAATACCCCAAACAAAATAGGCTTTGGTATCAGACATTGGCGATTTTAAACAAGGTATTTGAAAGGAACGTCATACAATTTGAAAACTTTTGTTTATTGGGTGGGATCCCAGCAGTAACATATTTTAGAAAATCAACGTTTGAGTTTCCTGTCAGGCTACAGGTTATCAAGTTTATCACGTACTTCCACAACTCCACCAAGGCTTTAAGTATGTTTGTATCTTCTGGAGGATTGAAAGTCTTGTCAGTATTGGTTGAAGAAGACTTTGACAGTGCACCCGAGTTCCCCATTACGTCCATTGAATGCATACATCGTGTGCTTTCCGATGACTTCTCAAGATCAAAGTCAGACATGTGTCGGATGTTATCTAAATTTGGAGTGATCTTCTGGTTCGTTGTCCTTTTAAACAGATTATCCAAGATAAGACCCACGGATCACTATAAATCCATTTCTGCAGACAGAATTCAATGCTGTATCGATAGCATTATGACCATCATCAAATATTTCAGTGATTCAGAGGCAAGAGTAAGATCTAATATTGCCAGCGTTGACTTGTTTAAGCTATTGATCAAAGTATACCCCAGTTTGATCTTGAAACACCAATTGGTGATTCTCAAGTTCTTCAAGTCAATGGCCGAAGTGTCCAATGTCCTCCAAAGCTTATATTCGGCAGATATACTTGAATTTCTACTGGGCATAATCAAAGAATATGATCCTCCCACTAAGCAAAACTATAAAGCAGTGTTCAACATTGTCAGTCCCCTTCTTTACAGTTGTTGCAACTTAAACCAATCAAGAGAAAAGGATATAGTGAAATTAGGACTAGTTCCTTATCTCCGGAAACTATCAAAAATTAATCTACCATTCAGGCAATTTATCTTGCCCATTATATGTGAATTGGCTTACATTGAAGACACTCAAGTCCAAATTATACTTGAACGAAACGACATCATTACCGTCTACTTCAATTTACTATTAGATCCCTTCTGGCAATCTACAGCATTAGACTCAATCATCGTCTACTACCAAAGAAATTCGGCCGAGATCCAATCCTCTAAAGCTATAGACTGTTTGGCTAGTGGGTTTATGCTTCCTAAAGTATCAAACTTAGAGTCGGCTTTGGACAGCTACTTGTATCTTGTTTCCGATAACCAGATCCTCCGTACCGCACTCTTCAAAGATACAGTGATCCAGAATATCTTCTTCAGGTTAAAGATTAATGCCAATAATCCAGTTATCCAATTAAACCTCTTGAAGATCCTACGAGAACTAGTTCTCCATGCCGAACAGACTAGTGAATCGTTGTCACTTTCAGTGGCCCATGTTAGCTCGTTGAAAGGTTTACAAAACTCCAATGCTTCTGTATTAGTGGAAGGACTTGCCCATGAGATTCTCCAATTAATGGATCAATGATTCATTATACAGTATTGCATATAACCAAATACGGCGAAGGATTACGTAATCGATTACTCAATCATACCTCGGTCTCAACTACCCAAATGAAATGTAATTCGTGGAGAAAACATTACAACCTTCTTCCTTCTATCACCACCTTAATCATGATTCCTATACTGTACCCTTCTCCCCGAGTATCACAGCTAGATGCTACTATCCTAGACACTGAGCTTTCCGGGTTACTCAAGCAACATCTTCAGAGCATCTTCCGACTTCAAACGAACCGATGGTGGGGTTACGATAGGCATCCTGATCTTTATGACTTACTATTGAACGTACTGGTGTTCTATTTGACAGTGGTAAGGAATGGGTCTTCGTACGGGCTTAGTCTTCAAAACTTGAAGTTGGCAGACTTTGCTACTGGGAAGATCATTCTGGCCAAGAAGAGATGGCTTTTGTTGGGGGTTCTTGTGGGGGAGTATTTATTCCGAAGACTTCAATCTTATTTGTATTCTGTTGATGAAGGTCGGGGTAATTCTGAGATCGGACCTGTTAGATCATCAATCTTAACGAATATACATTCTACCGCTTACAACTTCCTAATACGTCATAAGAGTATACTACTTTCTAAAGCCAATGATTTATTCAAAATACTAAACCTTATAAACTTTCTTCTTTTTTTGGTTAATGGAAGATATCCTACAATTGTCCACCGGTTACTTAAAATATGCTTAACTCCGATTTCTGGAGATTTACTTCGATTCAATGGAGATAGTGTTAATTATGAGTTTCAAAATAGACAATTAGTATGGAATGTAATGACTGAATTCTTAGTCTTTATATTGCCATTACTTCAATTGAGCAAATTGAAACGTATGGCGTCAAGATTAATCAAGTTGAATTCATTAAAGTCATCTTCCATCAATCAAGAACAATCAAAGCCAACATCAACTGCTTATACGCAATTACCTTTATCTCAATGTGCCATTTGTCATGAACAAGAAGACTATTTAACAAGAATGAGTGGATCAAAGACCAAAGCTCCTACTTATAACATCACCAATCCTTATATCACCAATTGTAATCATATTTATTGCTATGTTTGTCTTGCTGGAAGGTTCAATGCTATTGAAAATGGTAATGAAGATGCTGAAAGTTGTCCCCGATGTCGTTTGAAGTTGCAGTGGTTCAAGGAATATGGCAATGACGAAGCAGACATTGACGAAAATGCTATAATGGTTGACTTGGAAGATGTTGAGTATCATATGGAGGTTCGTAGGAAAGAGGTTCTCAAGGAATTGGTTGACCCATCTTCAATTGAACATACAGATGTTGATGAAGAAGAAAATGGGTTTAGTGAAGGTGAAGACATTCAAGAAGATTTAGGTGAATTTGATGGCGATGAATTTGAAGAAGATGAGTTTGAAGAAGATGAATTTGAAGATGATGAAGATGAATTAGATGAATTGGATGAAATTCTTGAATGAATTTATAAGCCCTTCAACAATAATTGGGATCCTTTATCGTCCTTATTCTTTGATAAGGTCTTCTTTTCCTTAGCTAATGCTTTGATCAACTTTTGATATGTCTTTTGTTCTTCCAGTGCTTGCAAGACTTCAACAGTAAATACAACAACAAAAGCAGGTTGTCCTTGTAACCAATTTGAAACTTGATTCTCCAAAATATGATTGGCTACTTTAACTGCAAAGTCAGTACCAATACTTGGGATCTTACCCTCAGGTATTCTATTCAATCTCTTTGATTCAGAATCGAATTTATATTCATTGCCTTGTAGTAAGGCTTTAATGGATCTTGTAATAAATGGAACCTTATTAAGGAAATGATAATCTTCAAGAACATCTCCTTCAATTGAATTTTCGAAGATAAGTTGAACCAACTGAGGTCTTAAATCTTCATTAACTTCTTTATCATCATCACTTGGAGTAATTATTAACTCAGTTAAAAATTGTGCACCAATATTACTGGATAACATATTCAAAATGTTAGGTTTATCAGCAGCAGATTCCAAAATACTCTTATAAATTATTGGTAAAGCTTTAGAAACCAATTCTTTTCTTCTTTGATCTTGAGGTTTCTTTGTGGTTTTGGAATAAGCCAATTTCTCATATTTAAGATAATCTTTCTTCAATAATGGTGAAAAATATTTACCATCTAATCCCTTTAATATATAAAGTAATGGTCTTCTAGAAAACTTTTCTTGAATAAGATTTGGAAGTGAATCTGCTGTAAAGAGTTCAACACAGAATGATTTGTGCAATAAAACAGTATCATCAATGGTCATAAATAAGGTAATCAAAACGGTATTACCATTTTCATTTTTAATTAACTCTGCACCATGTTGTTTCAATGATTTAACAATTTGTTTTCTTTCCTTTGCATTTGCAAGTGCAATTAATGTTGAAGCAACTTCAGCACCTTCTGTAGTATGAACCAATTCTGCAAATTGTGGAGCTAATAATTCAATAAATTCTCTAATTTGCTTATCATTCCTTTCAATATCATCAGCTAAAACAGTGGTGTATTCTCTCATTGCTGCATGTAAAATTTGAAACCCCGTAGATCCCTTTTCAACTGAAGCATTAATAGTACCATACAAGTTGGACATTACCAATTGTCTCTTCTCAGACAGTTCATTAACAATATCCAATACGGTTTTACCCTTACCAGAATCCTTGAAAACTGCATATTCAGCACCCCAAAACTCTCTAATCATTTGTTGTCTTTGATCAGCAGTAGAATATAATACATATAAATCTTCCACGACATGTGCACCTTCTCTATGCCTCATCAACTTACGTAATTTACCATGAAGCTCATTCAAAATCAATGCTTTGGAATCCTTACTTCCATAATGTAAAAGTTTAATCAAAAGATATTTCCCATATGAAGAAGTGGCCAAAACATAAAATTGTCCCTTCATAGAGTTAGTGATGGCTTCTCTTCTTTCCTTTGATGAAAATTTAACCAATGTTTGAACCACACGAGATGCATCGTGCTTCATAACAAGATCACTAACAACATCTTTAGATAATTCCCAAATTTCAGCACATAATTTCTCCCTTACATCAGCAGTTGGTTTAGGAGTTGTGCTTCTAAGTCTTTCCCATAAGGATTTGATCTGTTGAACTTGAACACCAGATTTTCTCTTCAACTTACGTTCTTCAAGTGATTTCCGTTGTTCAATGTGTTGTTCTTTAGATGTTTTCTTGTTAGGATCAACTATTGATGATTTTTCATCATCGTCATCATCGTCATCATTTTCATCTTGCTCATCTAATTCGTCAAGTTCGTCTTCATCATCATCGTCATCCAATTCATCCTTTTCAGAATCAGAAGCGGAATCAGAACTAGCACTTAATTCAACACTATCATCAGACACAAGGTCTTGTTCCAGTTCACTTTCACTTTCAGGTTCAGGTTCTGCTTTCTTAGAACTCTTGGTCTTTTTAGGTACAGGTTCTCCAACAGACTTCGAGTTGTTGGTACGTTTAGTACCCTTTGCAACTGGAGCCATTTTATACTGTAATATGGGTCCTAAATAATACAGAAAATTAGTAGTGCTGTTTAAGCTCATCTCAAATCCAATCTTGCGATGAGTTTTTCGCGGACTGTATAGAATAGTGACCAGTTCGCAGTATTACGTAATACTGCGACCTTTCCTCGGAAGGCCTTTTACTCATTTGTCAGAAGAACAAACAAAATTGTGACCAGTCTATTACCTATCTGCTTTTCCCCTATCAATATAAATACAGCTAATATGATTCGTACATTAAAACCCCGAGCATTTGGGCCTCAAACCAGAACAATCTTCAAGAGATATGCTTCTGGAGGGAAAGTCGAAGAGCTTGTTAACTTGAAGCAATTCAACCAATACATTGGATCCAAAGACAAGGTTTCAGTGATTGACTTCTATGCTACATGGTGTGGACCATGTAAGATGTTGGAGCCTATATTTGCCACTTTGGCCGACAAGATCCCCGAGGTTCAGTTCGGAAGAGTTGATGTTGACAAAGCTCAAGATGTGGCCATGGAATTTGGTGTTAGTGCAATGCCTACCTGTATCTTCTTCAAAAGCGGGGAGAAAGTTGATACCATTGTTGGAGTGAATCCGCCCAAGTTACTTGAGTTGATCCAGAAGCATGGAGAAGTTGATCTTAATGGCAGATAAGTATCTATATCGTTAATGATAAGAAGAGAGACGTAGAGACGAAAGTAGAGGTATCATATATCTGGTTAACTGTGATTAATAGGTATAGTTAGGTCGTGTACTTACCGATACTTTGAAGGAGAGTCAAAGAAATCAAACGGGGTAAGAAACGGTGTATGCATATTGTATGTATACTCTGTAATATGCTTCGACTGATCACAAGAATAGGTTCACCATTAGCCGCCTTAACGGTTGGATATTTGGTGTTCCCCAAAGAGTGGAACAAATCTCATCATCTACAAGGCCATGTGGTTCATGTCAATGAAGCAGTTGTAGGACAACTAGAAGATACCAATGAGTTCAAAGACTTGCAAAAGAATGCCAATTATCGATACTATAGATTTGGAGATGCGATGCCTCTTCAACATCGGAAGAATCATATTGGTCATGGGCTTCTCTCAGGACCTGACATGTTTGAGATCGAGCCAATAGCATTCTTAGATGAGCAAAATGGTCAATTGGTTAGTTTCTATCATTTGGGCAAACTACTTACCAGTCAAGACAACCAAATACATAATGGAGTGATTTCAACTATTTTAGATGAAGGTTTATGTATCTGTGGATTCCCCCAATTGGCCTCTCAGAAGGGTGTTACTGCTCAATTGGCTATAGACTTTAAAAATCAAGCACCTCCAGATACAACTGTTCGATTAACTGCCAGGGTTGTTGAGGCGAAGGGGCGTAAAGTTGTGATTGATGGATTCTTGGACACGTTCCCATTAGATGGTCTGGACTCTACTCGAATTGCCGAAGCTCAATGTGTATTGGTTGAACCCAAATGGTTCAGGTATTTTCTGTGGTTTAAGCTTGTATAGGGTATATGTTTGAGGTATATGCAGGACAAACATGGTCCATATACAACTTATGTTCGTGCTTCACATATTGTAGTAGCCTTATATACACTATTTTGTATGGTTAAGAATACTTCACAAATATATATGACTACTTTTCTATGTACAACATGTTATACTATGTACAACACACTATGATGGGGTGCCATTCTGCAGTCTTCAATCTTCATATGCATCATTTTGCCTTGGCTTTGAGCAGTTAATGATCTAGTCCTCACCCTGCAACGGAATTGCGGAGAAGCGTCCATTGAAGACACAGAACATTAAAGTAAAGTAAACTACGGTAAGGTACAGTAAGGTACGGAAAAGTACAGTAAGGTACGGTACTATCTGTCAGACTTGACAGGATATATCTTTAACATTTGACCCTCCAATTAACTCCGGTTATCGCTATACAACTCTGCACTCCCCACTTGTGTCATGTCACTTCATATCATGTCATGATATCTGAGACTAGTGCATAATTCAAAGCAACATTCCTCGCTTTAACGCCACTGTGATGTCACTACTAAGCAACATTATTCGTATACTCCATTAGGAATACCAACCAATAGCAACCATGCTGCAGCCAGCCAAGCAACACTACCTTGATCCGGAAATCCATGCATCAATCGCCCACAACTTTAAAAAAAAAAACTATAAGTAAAGGTGATATTCCTTCCTAAAAACCCAAATGTTTCTTACCTTGTTATCTATCATTAGCTGCTCATCCACTAACTGATATTTACACTCCCCTTACAACTTTAAACTAACAACTACCATTATGTCTGACGCTGGAAGAAAGGACCTCTCCGACAAGATCGGCTCTGCTATTAAGCCAGACTCTCAAAAGACTACCACTGAAAAGTACTCTGACAAGGCTTCCGACAAGCTCGACAATGCTGCTGGTCATAGTCAACCTGAATCTGAAAAAGGTCCAATCCAAAAGGTTGCTGATGCTGTTTTCGGTGATTCCAACAAGAAGGCTTAATTCTTAGTTGTGACGAATCTTTTATAGCTTTTGAAGTCCCTTATGAACGCAATAAATGAATACTTTAACTAATTTTAACTTGTAGTTCTCGCATTGATTGCTATTTCTCTAAACCCCTCAAAATGTTTCCTCATATGGAAATTCGTGACTCGTGTGGTAGCGCGTGTTTTCCTTTGACGCGTCGCGTTCTCGACTCTTAAGCGTAAAGTTAGAGTAAAGTTAATCCGTTTCATCATCTTCTTCTTACTGATCCCATATACAATGACCGCGTCTTCAAACTCAGAAGAACAGGCATACCTTGATTTATGTTCTAGAATCATCGCACAGGGTGAGCATCGTCCTGATAGAACAGGAACAGGTACCAAGTCACTCTTTGCCCCTCCTCAATTGAGATTTGATTTATCCAATGACACCTTCCCATTATTAACCACTAAAAGAGTATTTAGCAAAGGAGTCATCCATGAACTTCTTTGGTTCGTCAAGGGCTCAACAGACGCGTCTCTCTTGAGTGAGAAAGGTGTCAAAATTTGGGAAGGTAATGGGTCAAGACAATTCCTCGATTCCTTAGGACTTCATGATCGTCGGGAAGGAGACTTGGGTCCTGTTTATGGTTTCCAATGGAGACATTTTGGAGCAGAATACAAAGATTGTGATACTGATTATAGTGGGAAAGGTGTCGATCAATTAGCAGATGTTATTAAGAAATTGAAAACCAATCCTCATGATAGAAGAATCATTATGTCTGCATGGAATCCACCAGATTTCCCCAAAATGGCTTTACCTCCATGTCATGTCTTTTGTCAATTCTATGTCAATTTCCCCAATGATTTACCTGATTCCAATACCGGGAAGCAAGCTAAAACGACTTTGAAACCAAAACTATCATGCTTATTGTATCAGAGATCCTGTGATATGGGTTTAGGAGTACCCTTTAATATTGCATCCTATGCCTTATTAACAAAGATGATTGCACATGTGGTTGATATGGATTGTGGAGAATTCATCCACACTTTAGGTGATACTCATGTATATTTGGACCACATTGAAGCATTGCAAGAACAAATCAATAGAACTCCTAGACAATTCCCAAAGTTAACCATAAAGGAAGAAAGGAAAGATCAAATCAAATCAATAGATGATTTCAAGTATGAGGATTTCGAAATATCGGATTATAATCCTTATCCACCTATCAAGATGAAAATGAGTGTATAATCAGATCGGAAGAAAAGTGAACTTAAATCGTGAAATAAATAATTAATGATGATACCTTAAATTGTAGCTATTTATACTTCCAGTACTGACCCTATGATTTTATTCTTGTTCTTTCGATTACTTAGGGTTAAACTACCCTTTGGTATATCAAAGACTTCATCATCACGTATTCTCCGTCGTCTTTTGTTATTTGCATTTGTAACGTTGGCCAACGCAGCTCGTTTCTTAGGTTCTGGATTCTTATCATCGTTAGAAGTCTTCTGTGGCTCTTCCTTTTCATCAGAATATGGCACCATTAATCTCTTTGAAGATTCTCCGGAAGACAGCAGTGGTGTCGGTTCATTTCGTAGTTTATACTCCACTTGTTTCTTGGATCTCTTAGATCTTCTTAATGATGATGAAGTACTTTCTTCTTTGCTAGGTTCCCTTTCCAGATTAAAAGATCGATGTGCACCACCAGATTCTTCGGTTGAAGGGGGTAGTAAAGGACCATCATTTAAAGTATCTAACTGCACCAGTGGAGTAGAGTTAGATGTTTCGTGCGAATCTTCAAGGATGGGAGAACACGCGTAATTAGGTATTGAAGGTTCATCATTCTCAGCAAAGGATATATCAGCTGCAGAAACAGGGGTATCTTCCTTCTCAAAGTATTCCATTGGGTCTTTAGACACTCTCAATGGTGCAGGAGCGACTATTGGAATAGGAGTAGGATCTCCAAAAGATGGGAACAGAACATTCAACGCCAACTCTTGACTTAAAGGTGTAGAGGTAACCGGATGGGAATATGGCGCAAGCACGTCCAACATCGAGTTGTCACTTAATTTGTAGTCTTTTCTAAGTTGTTTTATAGTTTGAAAAACTTGATCGAATTGTGTTAACAAGGTGGATTCTATGCCCTTTATATGCTTTTCAAGCGACCCAGTATTAATATTATGACTACTATTGGTTTCAACAGCGTTGGCTGCAATGGCTTTGAGACGTGCATTTTCACTAACAAGTTCACTCATATTCAACTCAAGCTGTTGGATCCGCACAGCCATAGCGGCATTGGTTCTGGCTAATTGACGGTTCTGATTCTGTAAAGAAGATGATGAAGTTGACGATAATGACGTGGTAGCCTCGATGGGGCTTTTCTCTTTCTCTGGTTCTTTCCGATGATTCTGGAACCGTTCAAGGGACAGCGTGAAGTCTACAGACTTACGAGCCATCGTTTACGATTCGGAGTTAACGTATATGTTGATACTAAGAAGAGAAAGAAGAGAATGTTTAAGATTATACTGGTACTTTAACTTTAAGGAGGAGTAAATCGCGCTTTTATTACGTTACACAAAGCTGATACGCGTCTGTTTATTACGTAATAGCACGACATTGTGTGTTTATAATATTGTTATTCTCATTTCATAATCAGACAGTAAATGAATGCTTTTCTACTACTTCTCCTACTGTTTCCTGTCATCCGATCATGCTGACATTAGAAGCTTACCAACTCCAGATCGCCGAACGTCAGGCCGAACTCAAAAAGCTACTTGAATTCAGAGATATGGCTCAGAGTATGGGCGATGAACTAGCAGCACTCCAACATAAACTAGACACTATGGAAGATGGAGCCAAAGGTGTAGCACTTGTGCTTAGCAATTGGCACAACGTCACTAGAGCCATCTCACTTGCTTCTTTAAGCTTATCGCGATATTCAGAAAAGGACTATGTCGAGGGTCATCCTGTGCCCGAACGGTTGGTTAGAATCCGCTTAGACAAAGACTCAGACGAAACAACAACATAGTCATATACTATGACTACAGGTATACTATTGGCTATATGATGATGATTCATTAGTCATCGTTACGAACTTGATCCAATATAGATCTGGTCCACTTACTGGCATCGGCTTTAATGGTGTGCAATTTATGCACTAGCTCCGGTAGAAGACCATCCTTTGTCTGGAGAAGTGACTCTATGTCTTCAAGAATCTCAAGGGCCTTGACGTTATCCTTTAAAAGGGCTGCGGTCTTAAACAAGAGAGATCCTTCCAATGACCTCCATTCATTGGCCAATACCAAAAGTCGAACCCATATAACGTGCAACAATGCGTCCACGTGCAACTCATTGGATAACGAAGCTATTTCAGCAGCATCAGCAAACACTTGAGCATCCTTAATAGTTAGTGTGAGCAAATCAATTAGCTCCACAGTGCTAAGTTTCTTATCTTGAGTCAACTTGGTGAAAGCCTCTTTAAGTTTATCCAATGCTTTTTCTGGTAATGAAACCTTGTCATTCAATAAATATGTTTCGAAGTATTGAGGTGTAAGAAGCTCTTTGGCTGAAACAAAAGAAATATATTTCTCTAATAATTCTCTCTGTTTGCGGACAACAAGTAACTCGCTGTTGATTGGCTCTAATGATTCCTGGCTCTCTCCCATGGCAACGGCGCTCAATTTGGCAATAGACAAACTGAGTTCTGTCTTGTTAACATTGGTGGTGGTATCAAACTCAATTGACTCGACAAGACTAGCCTTAGCTTTCAAAAACTTATTATCTAATAAGTATTGGATCCAGGCTATATCTGCAGTTTCTTTTGGGTGCTGAGCAAAATAAGCCTCTAAGAAATCATAGTATTCGTTAACTGTGGGGAACCCTTGGAAGATTTGGTTGATCTTTCCATTCTGCAAGCAATACCTAAAGTAACAGAATGCAAAAGGTTGACCATATTTATGGAAATATGATGATAACGATTTAATAACCTGAGACACTTCCATTGAATTTGGACCGTATTTGGTAGTTAAACTCTCTTTCTTTGATTCAAGAATTAATACTAAAGAACTCAAATCTCCATAAGCTTCAACAATTATTTCTGCATCTTCTTCTAAGGAAGCATTTATTAATGCTTGTATCCATATGGGTTTGTTCATTTGATACCATTGGCTATAATTCTCTAATTTGTCTCCTAGGGGATCAGTGCTTCTTAAATATTCAATGGCACTATTAGTCATGTAATATAATACTTGACAGAAATGTATTAGTTTGAGCTTGGTTTGAGTTGAAGTTGCATTGCCATTTCCAGCTCCAGTTTCAGTTCCACATTCCTTTGTAAAATATTTATTCAATTCAAACAAAAGATTGGTATCAAGCGTCCATAAATTCGCCTTCAGGAAAGATCTCAACTGACTATACTTCTTTTCATTCTGATACGTTCCTTCATAAAGCGATGTTACAAGGAGAGAACTGATGATGTCTTCGCTCACATTATTGGTCTCCAATTTAAGAACAAATGAGCTTAAAACAGTATCAATGGATTGAAGATGTGTGGTGAAAAAATCCTTTACAATATCATTATCATTCTGGTTCACAATACCACCACATTCTATAATCACTTCCTTTAGCCAATTCTTGTAAGAGCCATTTGCACTAACAGATTGCCAGAATTGGAAAGAAGTATCTGCCTTCTCTATCATGTCAATAATTTGATACACAGCTAATTCTGTTCCATTTGGATAATTAGTACTTACCAAGTTAACCAACTGACCAAGAAGACTGGATTTTAATTGAAGAGACTCGGAAATAATTGCATTATCTTGAGGGAAGTAAATTGAATTGGAAGTGAATACTTCATTGGCCACCATAATGATAGCTTCGTTTAATATTGTGGATTCAATGGTGTTTTCCTTCAAATTGAAATCAATGCTTGAAGATTTGGCATAAAATATCGCTTGCTCCAAATGGGATTTCACAATGTCAACGGGGGAAACCTTGGATTGAGTAGTAGGATCATCGTCTGGGAATCTTTCAATTCTTAAAGCTCCAGAATTACCTGTTAATAGTAAAATAGACGAATTGGAATCTTCAGATTTATCTTCATAACCTTGTCCAATTATTTGAACATCTGATTTAAGACTAATGATATCTTCCCATCTTGGTTTGTAGTAATAACCTGTACTTCTTGAGTGGATGTAAGATATGTCGATGTCTGTAAGAATAATGGAGTTATCAATTAAAACAAAAGCAGTTGTTTCTGGACTGGGAAGAAATAATCTTGGTTTTGAATCCAGATAAATAATGGATTTTTGGTTATATTTCAGTAACTTATGAGTACCATAAACCAATACACCGGTTTGGTTGATTTTCATAGTAACCAATATTAACAGGTTCTGATTTCCATCATCATTGTGATGATGATAAGATGAATCCAAATAACATAGGGTTAAATATAACCCACTTTCAGATACTTGCTTTAAGGGCCATAAATCTAACACCTTTATCAGAACACTGGAACCAGGAATAAACCCATCAAGAGAGTTTTCTAAAGCTACTCCCATACGTTGTTTAAATGACCGTTTAGAGTCAACATAGGGGGATCCATCAGTTGAAGAGAATTGATAAGTCAAGAGATGAAACCCTCCTTTGGAATCTGTAATGATGATTTCTTCTGTTAAACCATTATTACTTATTTTGCCCACTTTTATACTAACGATTTCATCGCCAATTTCATTATTATTCCGAGTACCAAATATCCCACTCAACATATTGGATACAAACCCAACCCCAAGGTACAGAGTAAGGTCAGTGTAGCCTAATTTGGGTTTGCCCTTCAAGTCCCGTAATGTTATTAAGATACATCTCTTTCTGGAAGTTGCAACCGCTATTCCTGCTGGTTCAATGTTCTCTGCAAGAGTAATGTACTCACCGTTCTCCACAGCTAAGTGGAGTGTGATCTCTGATAACTTATCGTTGACCAACCCAATGGTAGGTGCATTCTGGACACTTGAATAGAACTTGACTTTCCCGGTACCGGGACTTATTATAGCGATTCCAGGATCTTCGTTGGTACCACTAGCTGGACTGGTTATAATCCCAAAAGGTAAGAGATCACTGCCACTATCATCATCAATGGGGAACTGAATAGAAAGCGGTGTCGAATCCAACGACTTGTAATTCCATACATGGATAGCATTAGGCGTAGTCACCATCGCATGGCTAGTTTTACCGTCGGAATACCCATTCAATACGGAATATGCTTGAGTGTTTTGTAATGCTGTAGGCAAGGCAGGCAATCGAGAAACACAGTACTTATGGTTCTTAGTCAATTCTGTCACGGCTGATCGATGTCCAGGGAGAGCAGTCAACTCGCCACTGGATGGAGGATCTCTATTGTTGCCAGTGACACTTCTAGCCTTGAAAAGTGACATGTTTAATCCACAGCAGTTGTATTAGTTGCTGATATTTGCAGGTGGTTGTATGTTTATATGGTGGCTATTTTTTTCGCTGTTGATGTCTTTTGGTAACAGTGCACGACCGTCATCGCGAATAATAAAGTCCCACTACTACTATTGCTACTACTAAGGCTACTATTCTTTTTCATACCTTTATCGCTATAATACAATTAGTGTTATGTTATACCTTTCTCTTCTTTGAAGAAGGCTGGTCTTCTTCATAATCTGAAATCACATCAGCTTCATTCTCCTCATCAAAGTCACTGTCTTGATCATATTTGGCCTTCAAACCCTTCATCTTTCTTGTTTGCATCTTACTCAAATCTTGCTTACCAACATGAATTTGTGCAACCTTGTCACCCATAAAGTCAGTAGAAACATTCTTCTTTTCCTTTGCTTGCAATTGCTTAGGTTTCTTCAAGGCTTCCTTTTCAATTTCGGGTGATGGAATTGTACGTCTACCGATTTTAAAGTCAAAACGAGGTCCTATTTCATCAAGTTCAATTCTAGGAAGCTTTTGGCCGGATTTAAAGGATTTTATCTTGTAAACTCTAAAATGAACAAGTGGAAGTTGTTGTGTTGTAGAATTTGAATCTTCAATTTCTCCAACAGAAATAGAAATCACATATTGTAATCCAGCAACATCTTGTAAGGGGGTTTCTTCTCCTCTAAAGAAATCAAGGAAATAAGATTTCACTTGTTGATAAACTGGATGAGAATCAAATGCTGGTCCATTGAAAGAAAACATGGGTTTCAATCCTAAAGAGAATGTAGTCTTTTTGAAATCTTGAATTAATTTGGGGGTTCCTAAAATAGACATCTCTAACATGTCATACACCTTATGATTGAAGAAACGAGCAAATGTCAATGTGTTTGGTCTTTTCTTATTGTGAGAAGAAAATACCATTAATGAAGTATCATTCTTTTCAGAAAAGAACTCCAAATCTGAAGCATCTTCAAATGGTCTAATCTCATTCTTTCTGGTAAACTTTTGAGCTAAAGGTTTCTTCAATGCCATCAAATCACACATAGCATCATGTAAAAACTTATTACCAGTGGATCCAGGTACAAATAATGCAGATTTGGGATTCTCCACAAGTTTAGCTTCTTTCTTTGCTAAAGCTCTCTTAGAACGAGCATTCTTTGGTTTACTATAGCGAGTTAGTACTACGTCAGTAAAATTTGAATAATTCTTAACCATTCGTATACATACATCGTTCTAATCATTTTGACTATATGTGTAAATCTTTATCAAAGGCTTAAGTTAAGCTCTTCTCTATTATATAGAAAACTTTTTGAATCTATCTTGCGCACACATCCATCTCATCCCATGTTATGATCACGTGACTAGATTTTTCAACAGAAAAAATACAAGCAAAAAGAGAAGGTCGTACCCGGATTCGAACCGGGGTTGGTCGGATCAAAACCGACAGTGATAACCACTACACTATACAACCTTTGGATGTATGAATGTTGCACCTTGATTTTCACATCTTCAAATATTTATACCCCCTAACACCAAAACGATCTTCAGATTGTTGCTGACAGCTTCGTTAAATGGTCGTTACATATTTTATAATTATTGCTATGCGTAAACTGATGAGAAAACGTCTGAAACCACCTATAAAGATAGTATTCAGCGACAAAGTTGAGGTGATGTTTTCAATTGTAATTGTCTACCCAATTAAGAAGGTATTCATAACACAGCAACATTCTCATGCATACTTATATTTCCTACACCTACATACTATTCTTTAGGAAAAACTTAAACGGAATGATAATAGAATATTCTTATGAAAATATTAATCAAAAATTGACAGTATGACTATTTAATTCATAATACAATCACTAATCATCTGGTATTGTTCCTTTCCGTTAAGGAGGGTTTGTTTTTTAGTGAATCGATGAAGTGTGTACCCTAAAAAGTAATCATTTTTATGTACTTTTATGCACAGAAATTGCAACAAAGAACAATCCCACGTTTAGTGGAGAAAAACCATGCATAGAATTATTACAACCATCCACTAATTTGGTAATGAAATAATATTGGACTGATTACGAATTAAAAATATACCACAAAAATAACTAAAACTGGGACTTGCTCAGAAGCTCGTCAACAAAAAAGCTTACAATAAGAGCACAGCAGCAATGGCACCCAAGACACCAGAATAAGCGAAAGGTTGAATATTAGCAGCACCTCCTAATGCTGAAGAGGATCCAGATTCAGAACCAGTAGCACTAACAGATTCAGAACCAGAAGCACTAGCAGTATCAGAAGATTCTTCAGTCGAGGAGCTTCCAGAAGCATCTGAGCTACTTTCAGTAGAACTTCCAGTAGAGTCACTGGCAGTACCAGATCCAGATTCAGAAGCACCAGATTCAGCAGAAGTTGACTCAGAAGCACCAGATTCAGAAGAACCAGATCCAGAAGATTTAGTAACAGTAACAGTAGCAGAACCAGATTCAGAGGAACCAGAACCAGATTCAGAGGCCGTGGCACTAGTACCAGATTTTGAATTGGAACCAGACGCTTCTGAACCAGAGGTAGAAGCATCAGAAGCAGCAGAAGCATCAGAAGAAGCAGAAGCATCAGAAGAAGCAGAAGCATCAGAAGCAACAGAAGCGTCGGAACCAGAAGCTGAAGCATCAGTAGCTGTAGAATCAGTAGCGACACCAGAGGAACCATCTGTAGCACCAGAAGCAGCCGAGTCAGTAGCAGCAGCCATGCCGGTAGCGGCAGCTGAGTCAGTAGCAGCAGCCGAGTCAGTAGCGGCAGCAGCATCTGTAGTTGCAGCAGAGTCTGTGTTAGCATTAGAATCTGTATTAGTGTCACTATTAGCAGCATCAGTGGTTGGAGAAGTGGTATCTTCTTGAGTAGGTGAAGTTGACTCTACTGGAGCAGGTGCAACTACAGTGTTTGAAGCAGGAGCCAGTCCTAAAAGAGCATTGGAAATAACAGCAGCCAAAGAGGAAACAGCACCACCATCTGTTGTACTACCTCTAGTGATAGTAATAACGGTAACAACATCAGCAGCATTAACTACACCACCAGCAACAGCAGCAGCAGCAGCAACGTTAGTAAACTTCATTCTTTTTTCTCTAATATTTAAATTTTAAGTATCTATAGGTGATATCACGCCTAATTTTATCTTCCAAGATTGTGAATTCTCGGTCATTCTTATATAAATCCAATCTGTCACATTCCAGATATACCCCACGAATATTTAAGTAGGCTGGAAACTATGCTATAAAACTCAATTTCACTCAGCATTCCTTTAGTACGCATCTTTGTGCAACCGTCTAATGTTCGCTAAGGGGTATTTTTTCTGTGTGCACGCCAAACAACGTCAAATGCTACCACAACAATAAGCCCTTTACGCATTGCCGCATCTCAAAAAGAAACTGGAACTCGTGTCAAATAATTAGCACCTAAACACCCGAAAGATGCACCCATACTTAATACTTTAGGTGTAGTATTAGCATGGACGGTTTATCCAGCCATTTCGAAAAGCTTCCCTAATACACTGAAAGCCCTTACCCTTATCTTTAGCATCGTAGGGTATTCTTCAACCACGTTTCGTTAATGTGAAATCAATGATAATCACTAAAACATGTCTAACATTATTTCCTAGGTTGGTAGAGAGACGACGAAACAAGGTGCAAATTTCATTGGCATCACATATTCCACTAACCAGTGGCTATGGGATCAATTACAACCCCCTCACGATGTTTAGAATCCGAATCTTAACACCATGCCAGTACTTTCACATTTCCCCTAATATGTCGTACTGAATTCCACCAGGCTGTACTTCCGCTTGCTGATTCCGGGTTTACGATTTTGGGTGCTGTATTTGTGGCTTCAACCTGTGTTTAATGGTTTAGTGCATCATGTATTGCTTTTTAAATGATTTCCAAAACATCCATGGCATTTTTAGGACAAATTCGCCATAGCGTGCACGTTTGTAGATGAAGATGCTTGCCTTCATGAGGGTCAACGGCATTCAAATGCATTTGCTTAAGTCGACTTGATTTGCGCAAGTTACTTTTCGGAGTTTAAAGTTTACTGCTGACGTAAGCCGAGACTTGATTCGCATCGACTGACAAATGTCACGAGGTATAGAAAAATAAGCATGGAGCGGTCTAGAATGGATGAGATTTCTCCACATATAGGCAGACAGACTCCAATGAAACAACATGCACATTCAGTAAACACACTGTAAACAAAAATAGTTGACATTTTTTATCACCAGCAATTATGTCTCTTCAATCGTCACATCTTAAGACCGAGTATGTGGCCTTGGAAGAAATTCGCAGACCCATACCTCCAGTGTTAGACACACAAAAGATCGATGCGATGGTGTCTACCTTAAAGGGAACACCTCAGGCTTCAGCTACATGTGCATTGGAAGACATAGAATCTGGTCAATTGCCTCCTATAGATGTGTTTAAAGTACGGGAACAAGGGAAATCGTACTACTTTGCCTTTGGTGGTTGTCATAGATTCCAAGCATACGATAGATTAGCTGTGGAAAATAATAATAGGAATGAACCTACTATGGTGAAATGTCGCATTCTTCCTGCAACTAGAGACTCGCTCAAAGTCTATTTGGGATCATCTGTTGATACCATGTTCCCTAGTGGTTCTAGTGCTTAGGTTTACGTAAAATATCGACAACGCTTCCAAATAGAGAAGAAATGGCTCAATTTTTATATATATATATGTGTATATGTATAGAATGAATAAATAAAAGATGTAATGTAATAGATTAAGCATTCATGCATATGTAAACTTAACCTTTGAATAGATATCATAATCATCTTATGCCCAAACTTGGAGTTCATCAAAATAGTCAACTCTTTTCCCTGTTTCTAAGCTGGTTTGGATACTCTTCCTTAACAAATCGCTCATTCCATGGTTCGAACATGAAACAAACGCAACGGCTTTGTTGCATTGGGTTATTTCTCGGCGAACAATGGCTCCGATGTCCGGTCTATCGTACATGATAGCGTAACTTGAATTCATTGAAAACTCCAGCGATATTTCTGAGTCATCCTTGTCATCATTGACTTTCTCATTGATAGCCTTGGAACGACCACTAGTAACATACACGGTAATAGAAACGTTAGAGAATTCCTTCAACTTATCGAGCTCTTCATTAAGAGCTTGAATATAGCCAGTGTTGTTAATAATCCAGTAAAGATTAAGCTTACGGTCAGCGAACCTGGACTTGCAAGCAGCATCGTACAATTCTGCATAGATTCCAGGAATCCCAACACCACTAGCAATAAAAGCGACAGTATCATGCATAGCAATGGATGCTCCATGACCATAAGGACCTTCTAACGTAACTCTCATTACCATGGAGTTTCCATTGTTCAAAAGCTTCTTGTAGATAGTCTTTGTAAGACCAGATTTGACCTTAACATACATGACGATATTGGAAGGGTCATGTGGTGAAACCATTGTTGAAAGCGGATGAGATTGCATAAACGCAACAGGAGTTAAAAAGTAGATAAATGCATGTGAGCCAGCAGAAGCAGTAGCTCTCCACCAACATGGAGCTTTGACTTCCACTTTGATCAAATCATCGGCAACAATAGACATTTTGGCCTTGGGGAACCCAAACCCAATGCATCTGACAATACGAACGACCCAATCGCAACCCCAAATAGCCACGCAAGGATATGCAAACGCACCATAACCGGGGTAATCGATATGGATCCATGCTCCCATAATGAAAACCACAGCTAACACGATGTGAATGAAATGGAACCATTCATAAGCGTTCCTTCTAAGATAAAGCATACCTTGCAACAAGAGTAAGCCTCCAGCAACAGTGGAAACAGCACCCCAAATCATGTAGTTTTCTTCCATATTCATAGCGTATCTGTTGTCAAAGAAGTACGAGTAAGCACCAGCATGAGCCACAATCAATAAGAATGCCACTCTGGAAATCCAACGATGGAACATTATAAAGGTGTCGTAATGCCATCCGGTCATCCATTGCAAAAAGTTATTTCTACCAGCAAACAAGATCATCAAAGGTACCAAATACATCAGAATAGTGCCGGTTCTGTCGGCAACATAGTGAGAGATAGCAAACTCTTTTGAGAACAAAGGATCATTCTTTATAGCATGAACACCAGCACCAGAGAAACCAGCAGTTAATATTACAAATACCAAAAGAACAAGCGATTCCCATCTTAATGGAACCAATCCAGATGCAAACTTAACATTCATAAATGAATAAGCGGTAGAATTTCTCTGCCCAAATGTTGATGCCAATACAAAATGACGTCTAAACCAATTTGAGATTGAACCGTTAAAGCCTTTAAACATTCTGGGAAAGATAATGTAACTCCAGTTAACCAATGTAGCTAACATTAGTATAGCGGCCCAATATCCAAGTAACCCAGCCCCATACCAAAGAGAATCATCATACATACTCCCGAGTTTAGTAGCTCCTTGATCATAAAACTTGGCTGCAGTCACGTTCACTTTGAGAGGTATTTTAGTGATTACCAGCTTATTATAGCCAGGTATTTCACTGGGGAATTTGGCGTTTTCTAAATAGTAGTCGTATGACTTGACAAATTGATCATAAGTCAAAGTTGTGTTTACTCCTCCCCACAGTCTGCACAAGAAATCAAGTTTCGTTACTGCTTCTGGGGTCATTCTGTCGAATAAGTTGAAGCATCCAGCCATTGATGCCATTGCAACTTCATTCGAACACCAACATGAGTAAGTGCTTATACCTTTACAAAACTTACCTGCCTTCTTGAGTTGGGTGTTGCATGCGTAGGTGGTGGCATAACCTTTACCCTTAACAATGTCGTTAGCACTACCACTTGCAAAAACGGTTGTAGAGGCCATGAGCATCATCATTGAAGCCCATAATGGTACCGACACTTTCATTATTTGTAGTAGTTATTATTGTTGTAAATGCTGCAAAATAATAATAAGATCCAGGTCAGTCAAGTCTACAGTACAACCTGAGAATAGTACGATTGGTGTTGGAGTTTCTCTACATTATATACGGCAGGTATAGGTTTTGCCAAGTGCTCATGTTGTCGCTGTCGATGAGTAGTTACTATGAAGACTTGGATCAGTCTGAGCAAATTATCCTGTACACACAAGGTGAAAACTGCTCAAATAAATGAAATCTTACTCAACTACTTTTTCAATAGAGTCAATGGCTACTCAAGTTGGAGATTGTACAACACCATGTGACTCCTTCAGCAGTACATATTTCAAGTAAATGTATATATAATTACGTGATAGGGGTCCCTCGTTGCTAGAAATCCCAGGATTAAGCTTATTGGTGTTTATTGCTTTTAGCACGGCTTTAATGTATTTACTCTTCAAAACATGATACAATTAAAGTATCTTATTGTTAATGTAGGCCGTAACCCGCAGAGAACACGAGCTATAAGCAGAAACAGAAGGTAAAGCACTTTTCTTTTTTGTGAGCTGAGCGTCGTGGATCATATCCTGCATCGGTATGATTTCAGTAGAACCAGAGTCCCTTAGACGAGCACCCAATTACTGTAAAGTAGGACCTCGTTTCAGATACATGGATCTGATACAAGCAGAGAGGAAAAAATACCAACAGAATATACTACATTTGTGCGCTTGCATCCTAACCATTCCTGTGGCATTCAGGGGTAAAAAAAGCAATAATAATGTATTTATAATTATAAATAATTATGTAACGGATATATAAGATGGTTGCACTCCTATGCCCAAATCTGTAACTGATCAATAAGGTCGATTCTCTTTCCGGCAACCAAATTACCTCTTACGGCTGAACGGATCTCATCGTTCATCGCTGGACTTGCGCATGTCACGAATGCAACCGCACGGTTGGAACGCTCAATACCACCGCGTACTATTGTGTGCACGTCTGGACGACGATCTATCCAATTAATGCGACTATTGGTTTGAAGGGTACTTGCTGAGACATCGAATTCCAGAGTTTCAGGGCTCAGATTCTTTTCGTCATATTTCTCGGCTTTAGTAGGTGTAGCAAAGGGATTTAAAGACAGACCAGTACAATAGATAGTTATGTCAATATTATGTTTGCCTAAGACTGCAAGTTCCTTCTCAAATATTCCAACATGAGAACGGTTGCGCACAACCCAATGTAATTCCGCTTTCTTAGCTGACAGATCACGGGTACGTTTGGCCAAGTCAAGAGTCTCGGAAATAATACCTGGGATACCATTACCTGCAGCAATAAATACAACAGTATCATGAGCAGCCACAGGTGCTTGGAATCCATAGGGCCCTTCAAGGGTTACTCTCATGGTCATCGACAGAGATTTCGCAGCTAATTTGCGATGGATGGAATGAGTGACACCACCTTTGATCCGGCAAAAGACAGTGATAACATTCTTGGAGTCAACAGAGTCAACAATAGTGAATGGATGTGATTGGAAGAATGTAGAGGGAGTTAAAAAGTGAATAAACCCGTATCCACCTGGGGTACTCTTCCACCAAGACCTCTTGGGGATAGCAACCTTAATGATGTTGTCTGGCATTAAAGTCAAGGTTGCCTCTGGGAACCCAAAAGAGATGATTCTAATGAGTCTAACACAACGATCAAAAACCCAAACTGCAATGGCAACATATGCGAAGGCTGAGAACCCTTCAAAATGATCCAAATGTTTCACTGCACCAATAGCAAAGAATAAAGCAAGCACAATGTGCACCACCAAGAAGATTTCGTAAGCTAATCTTCTAAGGGAAAGCATTCCCTGGAACAACATAACCCCACAGCCACAAGTAGCAACAGTACCCCAAATAACCCAGTCAGCAGACATGGCCACAGAATAAGCAACCTGACCTTTCCAAGAATAAGTGATTGCGCCTACATGGCCCATAAGAAGCATGAACACGGCTCTGGCAATCCATCTGTGGAAGGTTAAAAACGTAGAAAAGTTCCATCTCGTAACGAATTGTAAGAAATTATTACGACCGGCGAAAATGAACAATAAGGGGATTAATACTGTGGCATATACACCAAAACGCATACCAATAAGATCAGCCACGGCAGCTGAACCACCACCAGCTTTGATGGCAGTGTTGACTTCCGTACCCATAAAGATGATACCTAAAGCGTAGAATCCAAACAACACACCAGACTCCCATCTTGATGGGATCACACCAATGTCCATGTTAAACCATCTAAGAGCACGAGATTTAGTTTTAGAAAATGTTGGTGCCAAAGTGATACACTTTCGCACCCAAGTAGAGAAGGGACTATTCATTTTTCTATAGAAGGTGGGAATGATCACGAACGACCAGTTAACAATTGATCCGATAAGCATTATGGCGAACCAATACCACATCATTACCAAAGGCAAGGCGACGTCCGGAGGTCCATCGTCTCCCTCATCATCTCTTATGTGTAATTGAGTTTTGTAAGTCATAGTTGCAAGTACAACCAGTGAAATAGAAAAATAGAAAGGTATAGAATATATTAGAAAATAATTGCCTTGAAGTCATGGATGTCTCACTACTTATATGTACAATTCTGACCTTGCTCATCCCCCTTGACATCTGTTACAGTAGACGGGAGTACCTGTCAATGTCTGACAGTAAAACGAGCACATTAGTCTCTTCAAACTTGTACACTTATTGTTCTTGCATACCGCAGAGGCTCATTTGATTCGACAGATATACAATTACGGCAGTTGACCTCCTCTAGTTGGGTTGCAACCATGCGCCGGCGTTAATGTTGAAACACGTGCAAACAATACACACAACACGAATCTTAGATTTTAGCCCCAATGCACAAGTGCCTGTAGTCGACGGACTGGTTATTTTTTCATTTTGTGGCATGTTCCTCTGCCTTACCAACCACACACGACGCCGTACAACAATAGAAGGTTTTATTTCACAGCCTTATCATCCACTCAGCCTTACCATCTACTCAGCCTTTACCAGGAAAACTCGGGGTTTGCAATAATAAGGAGCGGGTGGGGGAAGGAAAGAGAGAGTCCAATTGTACCAGATCAGGTATATTAGACTAATGACAGGGCTGAATACTAATTATATGCATGTATGTAATTAGCTTTTGCATCAACAATCATGGCTGACATGTTAGTAAACATTACTAATCCCAATGCGGACCTAGACCTCAGGTGTTAAGGTAACAGAACACAACGCTGCTGAACCTAAGCCCAGAAGTTATCAATTGAAATCTACTTAGCTTTGCCCTTGGAGCATTGGGACATTGGAATCCACTGAACGCCTAGAATCACTACTACTTCTTAGCGGTGTAGAAGCTGGTGTTGATTCCAATTCCAGGCGGTTCTCATTCTCAGAATCTAAAGGTTCATACCTTTGGGTATTAGTAATACTCTTCCAAGGAAATACTCCATGCGTATCCTTGTACATAAGACATTGAAATATTGTAACAATTACCGCCCAATACAATATGTAGCTGATGACACTGCCATATGTAGCGGAGTTTGTCCACCCAAAGATGGCTGTGAATAACATCCACCATACCCCATCTGATTTAAGTTCTCCATTACAACAATTAACGTGCCACACACTAACACTGATATCGTATGATCCGGGACCATGACCAGTTTCCGTAACGTCAAAGCCATCACATTTATCAATAAATCGCTGTAACTCAAAATTCCAAACTCCTTTGGAAAACAAGCCAGCTGCTACCAAATACAAAAAGCAGGTAGAGGCCACAAGAAATACACTCAAAGACATCGAACTTCCACTACGATACAAAATAATACCCACAACTATCCCACAGATCAATGCCGCTATGGAAGCATTGATCATCCCTAAGGGAGTGTTGTTCTCATTGGCACCGATTCCTCCCAAGAATACAACGGCTTCCATTCCCTCTCTTAAGGTCGTTATGAAGGGTAAGAAGAACATGGCATATTTGTCATTCAACTTTTCAAATGTTTGAGTGAACCAATTGCCTTTAGGTTTCAGTTGGTTAACTTGCAAACTACCATATAAGCTATTAGCATCCCTAGATGCTACCCGACGACGGGAAATTAGTAATGCCAATTTATGTTTCCACTTACGTTGCATCTTATTGATGCGACACAACTTAATGCCCATTATGGAGATGATAACACTGGCAACTATGGAGAACACTCCCTCCCAATACTTCTCGGCCAGGCTCCAGAAGTCGCGTCCAAGAACATAAAATACAGTCAAGACTATACCTCCTATGGCAAAGCATGAAACGAGTCCAAGTAAGCCTCCCAACCAGATCTGAATGATAAGGTGTCTTTTGGAATAATCTGTGAATGCTAGGGAATCAGATGGTTCAGGTGATTCAGGTGACAGTTCCAGACCATTATTACTGCCGGTTCCGGTTCCCGTTCCATCAGGAATAACCTCTAGTCCTTCCTCCTGTAAGATAAAGTTTGAAGCTATTTTATCACCGTCATCCTTGTTGCTTTCCGAGTCAAATGTCTGATGCACAAAGGCTAACAAGACACTTATAATAATCGCCAGCTCGATCGTCTCCCGAAGCACAACGATGAATGCCTCCAAAGAAAAGTACCGTGTGAACCCGTCAACCATTGATACCAATTGTTCTTACAACAAGACGAAAAAGAATCATTGCTTTGCTCTGATTTCACAAGTGGAGTTGCTTAAAAGGATCACTCAAACTAGATTGAGGCCCGATGTTCGGAGTCACTACATGCACACCATTTTGCACCCATCAAAACTATATATATAGCAAAAGTACACTACTATTAGACAGAGGAGAATATGGCTATACATTGAGTACCAATAGTTCCCTTAAACTAAAAAGTTCAGTAGTCTTTCTTGATCAACATCATCTTCAAAATCAGTCAAATCGCTTTCATTCAGCATATCGTGTGCTCGTTTGACTCGGTTCACCTCAAGCGGTGACTCCGATCTGGGTCTCTTGACTCCGGGAAGAGAAGCATTAGGTTTAAGTGTACTCACATATGCCGTGGATGAAGATTTGGGTCTCGCTGTCTTCAAGCCTGAAGGTGGCCTTCTATCTCTGGAGCTGAAAAGAAACGAAGCAGCCTTGCTACTATTTGTAGCAGCACTACTTCTTGATTTATCTTTGTCATTGCTGGGTCTTCCCCAACTCATATTATTGCTCTTTTCACTACCATCATTAGTAGGTGCTCGACCCGATCTATACCCACTTGATATTGGCAGGTTACTCTGTGACTTCCCTCGGGGACCAGTGGGCAAGGAGCTCCTTATTCCTTGTGCTCCGTCCTTGGCATCCTTGTGGTTATGGGAAATAGATTTTGAGGGTATATCAGCTCTATTATCTCTCGATAAGAATGATGCACCTGAGCTATTATGATTGTTATAATTGTTAATAGTATTATTATTTGGTTGGCCAATATTGGATGGCCCCAGTTCTTTCATCTTTTTAAACTTTTCCCTATCGATTTCATGGCACTCTTCAAACTTGGGTAATTCCGAAGGTTTGAGGGGTAAAGGCAGTTCAGTGAAGAACAGATGTTTCATGGCATCTTGCGCATTCAATCTTTTATAAGGATCCAATGTCAATAACCCACTAAGTAGATCTAAACCATCTTGTGATAAATATTCCATAAATCTCTGTTCTAATGTTCTTTTGCATGTCAACCCAATACTATAATCTTGTTTGTTGGGTAAATTCACAGCAGATGTCCATTTATCATTATTAGGAGGTCCCACAAGGGAAAACACCAATTGTGCTTGATGAGCATCAGATTGACCAGGTAAAATAGGTTTCCTGATAAAGAATTCACCAAATACACATCCAACCCCCCACATGTCTACAGCAGTGGTATATTGTCTTTCACCTAAAAGTAATTCTGGTGGTCGATACCATCGTGTAACCACAAGTCCAGTATAATTTCTTTCTCCACCACCAGGACCTTTACCCAATTTAGGAGTTGAACCATGGTATACTCTGGCCAAACCAAAATCAGCTATCTTCAACACCCCTTGATCATCTATAAGAATATTTGCCGCCTTAACATCACGATGTAGAAATCGCTGTGAATGAATATAATCCATCCCGCTCAATAATTGAAGCATAAGACATTTGATCTGTGGGATGTTTAAATGTATACGAGGATTCTCAAATATTCCCACCAAGTCACATGACATATAGGGACTAACAGTATAGAAACAACCTCTTTGATGAATCAAATCCTTAGGGTTATCAACTTTGGGTTCTTCATAAATCATATCCACAATAGTAAGGATATTCTTATTATGTAGTCTTCTTAATATGGTGATTTCTCTCATTGCAGTTACTGGGAACCCCTCTTTAGCCAGATGATTCAACAATTGCTTGAGGGCTACTTTGTTTCGAGTCTTCTTATTCACCGCCATTTGAACCATACCAAACGTTCCCTGTCCTAATTTCCGTTGAATTTCATAGTTTTTTAAGGTATTCATAGTCGGTATTTGACTTATAGAAGTAATGAGTGATCCATGATCGGTTCCAGACTCTGGCATTCTTACTGTGTTGAGTGGAGGATGCTTTGAACACGATAAATGGATGGAAAGGATATTTCCATACGCCACTAGTTGTTTGTCTCTTTCTTCGTTATACGTAGAGTGAAATCTTAACCTTTCTTTTTTGACAACTATCATATCACGTGACAATATATATGTCACGTGAAACTACAGGATTATCTTTCCTTTGGGTATAACTCTTATTAATTAAATTAGTTTTCGTATTTAATGACAAAGCCAGTTGTCAAAATTATTTATCCGATTATGATTATGCTTCATTTTCTCCAAGTTGTAATTTGGCTTGTCTTTTGCGTTCTTTTGAAAGCTTTGAAGCTGCCTTAACATTAAACCCATCAGCCAATAAACTAGAAGTTTCTTCTAATTTCAAACCTGCCACTTCAGGTAACAAGAAGTAAACGAAAAGGAATGAAACAGCACATAATGCAGCAAAGAATGAAAATGTTCCCACTGGAGTAATTCTTTGTAACATGGTTAAAAATGTTGAAGCAATAGTTAAAGATCCAGACCAATTGGTAGCAGCAGCATACATCGAACCCACAGATCTAACATTAACATCAGAAAATAATTCAACACCAACCCAAGCACTGTTACCAATACCAATAGCATAGCTGGCCACAAACAAAACCATTCCAATGATAACAATAATCCCCCAACCAGTGATACCTTGTTCTTTGACGATAACATTTGAACCTGAACCAAATTTAACACCCAAGAAATGGAATGCAATGGCACAAAGGATTAATGATCCACACATACAGGGAATAGAAATCAATAAGATTCTTCTTCTACCAACATGATCAATTATCAATAAGGCAACCAAGGTGAAAACAAAATTAGTAGCAGAAACAATGATTGAAACAGCAGTTGGATTTTTGAACCCAATAGTTTCGAAAATAGTAGCACTGAAATACATCAATGAATTGAACCCAGTGAATTGTTGAATACCTTGTAAACCACAAGCTAAGATCAAGGCCCTGAAATTAGCTCCCTTGGTATGGATAAGCTTAATAGATGTCCAAGTCTTTTGTAAAGGTGTAGAACCATAAACCATTGAATTTGATTCAACCATTTCTTCGATTCTCTCATCAACAAATTCTTTAGGAGGATTTCTATAGATCTTTGCAAACACTTCCTTAGCTCTTTCGATCTGATTATTCATGACATAGAATCTTGGCGTATCAGGTAAGAAGAAAAAGAGAACTGTTTGAATAACTGGTGGAACCATACACAAACCAACAGATACTCTCCATCCATGGCTGACATTGGTTAACCCCCAGTTAATCAAATAAGCAATCAACTGACCACCAGTGATAAACATAACATTAGTAACAATCAAACGACCTCTATACTTTGGAGGAGCCAATTCACTCAACATTAATGGAGCTATCATGGATGCAATCCCAACACCCCAACCCAAAACAAAACGACCAGCAATCATAGTCCAGACTGTTTTAGCTGCTAATTGAATAATAGTACCAATAACGAAAAACACATTGGAAGACATCAAAACCTTCTTACGACCAATGATATTAGCAGCAATACCACTTAGTATAGCACCAAACAAAGCCCCTAAGGAGGTTGCGGAGGTAATAAATTCTTTTTCTCCATTAGTCAAAACTTTATTAGACAAATCTGTTCCTACTTGAACCAAGGCTGAAGAAATATAACCGGTGTCATAACCAAACATGAACCCAGAGATAGAAGAGGCTAAGGTGACGAGTATCACTAACTTTGAAGGTTCAGCTTCCAAAAAATGATGTCCATGACTATACGACTCTGTATCACGTGAGTCCTTTGAACTAACGTTGATGTCAGCATCAAACTTATTTGAGCTTCCAGCTAATTTACTTGTATTGGGATCATTTGCGAGTAAGTCTTGAGTAGAAGAGGCACCAGAGGATAAGTTCTCTTGGTACTGATTAGGCTGAACCATGGCGACTGAACTAAAAGTGTGGTGGAACAAACAAAGGCAGAAGAAAAAGAAAGAAAGAAAACAAGAGAACAAGACGAAGAAGATAGGTGTACGTTTATATTTATTTATTTAATCCGGTAGGTGGGGTGAATGTAGAATATTTGCTTCCCTAAGATCCCCACTAGGCGCCTGCATAGGAAAAGTTTTCGCCGAACACAATTGTTGAGACGACGCGCATCCCGGCGAAAAATCCGAAAGGACCAATCAGCGTACGTGACTGGTTCTAGATTCGCCGGAATAATCAAGTGGATAATTTTTCCTATTATATGGTGTGGCATTGCTTCCAAATTAGGCAATTGGTCTTCCCTTGCACTTGAGATCGTGAAGTGACATGGTCTAGGGTTTTCCATTTGCAAGAAGGGAGAATACGTAAGTACGTGAGTACGACACAGCTGAAATTAGATGCGTTTTAGAATATTATCTTTACGCTGTGTTGGTCGCAGTAATAACTGTGTTTAGCAGTAAATAGTGCACTATTATCTTGTAACTCAAGAATGATAATTTTTCATTGCGTATATATGCAATTGAATATGATTATGTAATATATTATAAAAAATGAATATGAATATGTGTAAGTAGCCAAAATGGGTAATGGATGTAGAAGACATGAGAGTTCAAACGAGATAACGTATTCTAAAGAATTTTAAATTCCTTTAGAGTATAAGAAAGACAACAGCTTAGTGTATATATAAGTCTCCGTTATCTCATGAGCTCAAATTTGAATATATAGTGATGGTTTCATTTTAATTTGCTTTTCCACATATCCGTTTTAGCGTTTGTTGGATGAAAAGTGAAGGGATGAGAAAGCCCAATTCTTCATTTAGTTCTTCTTTGGAGGGTCAAATCTGAACTTTCTAGCCTTAACAGCAGCCCACTTGTATCTCTTGACCCAGATGGAAACCAAATATAAGGAGGAAACAACAATCAAAGCCTTAAGACCCCATCTCTTTCTTTCATCGTGTTCCGGTTCAGCAGTCCAGTTCAAGAAAGTTGTGACATCTTTAGCCATTTGGGAAGTAGTAGCAGGAGTACCATCTTCATATTCAACTAAATCATCAAATAAGACTCTACCCATGGCAATAGCTCCACCGGGGAAGTATGGGTTATAGTTAGTACCAGGTGGTAAGACAACACCTGCTGGTGGTTCTTCTGGGTAACCAGTCAACAAGGAGAAGATATAATCACAACCACCATGTCTTGCCTTAACAATTAAAGACAAATCTGGAGGTAAAGCACCTTGATTACCAGCTCTAGCAGCTTCTTCATTTTCGTAAGGACCTGGAATGTAATCAGCCAATTTACCTGGTCTCTTTCTTGGAAGACCTTCATCATCAGGTTCATCATCATATTCCAATTCTTCACACATTTCTTTTGCTTCAGAAGCAGTGTGAGAAACACCAACTAAATTTCTCCAAGCAATACGATCCAATGAATGACATGAAGCACAAACTTCTCTGTAAACTTGGAATCCTCTTCTGATGGATGCATGGTCAAATGTTTCAAACATACCATTGTGTGACCAGCCATAAGCTGGAGGATGCAAACCATGTTCAGCAGCAGTCATAGCTTGAGCTGAAAGTGAATCCTTATACAACAAGTATGATGCAGTCAACCCAGTGACTGCAGCTGAACCTGCAACAACCTTTTGCACAAATGGGGTGGCAGCTCTAGAAAACATGGCTCCTCAATGATTGGCGTTTAGTTAATGTCTAATCAGGGATAAGTTAACAAAAATTACACCACTTGTTCCAAAGTAAGTTTTTTTTTCTCTAGGTTTTTTTGCTTGTTGATTGGCAAGTAGTAATTTTTTTTCTCTCGCTTTTGAATGGCTCGTTTTCGCACCGACTGAGAATTTGTTACCACACATTATTCACTACTATACAAAAGTAATTGCTAAGGTTTAAAGCTGGTGCGTGTATTGTTGGAAGCCATTACGGTTTAGAAGATATTATAAAAGCATAATTGAGTAGCGTGCGTAATCTGAAGCCATTTAGTTAATTAGATTGTATCAATTGACGGGGAGTAGTCAAGTAGAGGTGAATAAAGAACGAATGATGATTGGCCCGTGGTTCGTGATACAAAACCGGTATTAGCTGCGCAAAGTGGGTATGCGCACGACTATCTTTTGTTAGCGTCCTAAATGAATGGTAACCATCCAAGTTAGATTAGAAGTAGGTTGTACTAGCTAACAGGGTGCAGCGTTGAGCTTATTGTAAGAAGGAATTGAGTTGTAACTAAAAAAAAAATGGCAATACTTAATGTATAAAAAATAATGAATTGTGATGAAATGGAAGCCCTATGCGGGACTCGAACCCGCAGCCTTGTGATTAAAAGTCACACGCTCTAGCCGATTGAGCTAACAGGGCATTTCATGGAAGTCACAAATACTTCTGGATACAGAAGATAACAACAATCATTCTTTCCTACATATACGCGGGTTCATGGTTTTGTACGATATGGTACCATTTGTATGGGTCCTCCAACAATTTCGAACAAAAGTAACCAATTGAAAGCTTTATTCTTGGAGAACATAATTATATCTTACGGTATAAAAACTAACTTCTGGTTTCTTCTCAATTACTCCGTTCTCCAACTAAGTATACATCAATGCGTCAACTGAATCTCTAAGTCAGCGTACTAGACGACTTATAGATTTAAAGCTGATCAACAGACACCAACATTCATACATCAGTACAGAACGACTGATATTGGTTCATTAGTACATCTAAATGTAGAATAAATCTCAAGTATATTTTCAATGGGATTTAATTCTCTTCCACTCTTTATCTCCATAATGGTTTTATTCAAGTATCAAAGCATTTATTTAATCCCATGTGATGATTCTCCCAACACCACTTACTTGGAAGTAACCGAAACCAACCCCACGACTCGACTGGGGTGTGTGCGAATATTAATGGTAGCGCACAATCCAACCCTCTCCCCCAGATAATTAGTTTATATTAGAACGAACGAGTCCAATCATGATAGCAGGAGACGACTAAAGGACTGGACTATTACCACAAATGTCAGTTCTAGAGAATCCATTGTACCGGCCACTTCTTGAGGTGCTTCGGCTGTCAAGAAATGGGATTGTTTATGGGGGGAAGATCCGGTTTTCTCATGCGTTAGTTATCAATCTACTTTATAGAAAGGGACCCCTTTTACCTCGTTTAAAATCAGTATTATCAGCAACTCATGACCATGCCAAAGTATTAGCTAGTTTTGCCATAGTATACAAGATAGTTCAAAAATTATTATTAAGAGAAGAGTTTCTTGGATCTAATAGCCAGTCACAAGCTTCACTACTTGCTGGAGCTATTGGAGGATGGATGGTTTATTCTAATCGGTATCCTCAACTATTTTCACTGGGGATCACTCATCAGATTACTTTATACTGTTTCAGCAGAGTGGTAATAGCATTAGGGAAAGTTATAGTAGATTATTATTTACACTGTCGACAACCACAATTCCATCTGGCTCGAACAGGGTCACCCATATCATATAGTGATTTATCCATGGTACAGAAGAAGAGAGTTAAGAATAGTATTTATAATAGACTGTGGAAATATTTTGCTGTGTTAGTATGGGCACTGGTGATGTTTCTTAATGATTATTCACCTGAATACTTACAGAGTTCTTTGAGACATTCAATGACTTATATTTATGATGTGGAGCAGGATTCATGGCCAACTTGGAGGCTGTTCCTTGGTGTATAATGAATAGATGATATAGTTATGTTACTGTGCTGTAGTATACGCGTGCGTAGTAAAATAGGTAATGGAAAATACCATACAGCCAACACTGTCACCACTGCTACATAAACAATACTACATCACTAACAATACTCCATCAATACCCGTCACCACTGCTACTCCCGCTCCACCTCTATCTATCTGCTTACAAACATCCTGTATCAAATCAACCAGCGCTACCCTCCGCCACCGGCATAAAGAAAACACGGTGTTCAAACTGAAAATTACCGTCGTCGCCACTACCACTACTTATAAAACGTCCATTAAACTCCTTTAGTTTATTATTTCTATAGTCAACAAACTAATCAACCATATAAATAGTAATGAAGTTCTGGAATTTCTCTACCTCTGCGTTGGCAATCTTATTGGCTTCTGTTTCATTGGCCAATGCCAGCGGACCAAGCGACGGTGAAGCTGCTGCTGACCCCAATTCTGCCGTGGTAAAGTTGAGTGCTGAAAACTTTAAAGCCTTTATCGATGAAAACCCTTTGGTTCTTGCTGAGTTCTTTGCTCCATGGTGTGGCTACTGTAAGGTTTTGGGACCTGAGTTCTCCAAGGCCAGTAACATCTTGAATGAAACACACCCTAACATCAAGTTGGCCCAAATTGATTGTACTGAAAATGAACAATTGTGCCAGCAACATCAAATTAGAGGTTACCCTTCATTAAAGGTTTTCCGTTCCAAGGATAAGGTTGTTGATGACTATGAAGGCCCAAGAGAAGCTAACGGTATTGTTGACTTTATGATTAAGGAATCCTTGCCTGCCATTCAAGAACCAAGCACGATTGAAGAGTTTGCTGCCATGGTTAAGGGTCAATTGAAGCCTTATCTTGTTCACATCAATGGTGCTGGTAGTGCTAAGGAAGCCTTTGAATCTGTTTCTCAAAAGTTGAGAAAGTCCAACTCCTTTATTAGCATTAAGGACAAGTCTATCATCGATGACTTGAAATCCAAAATCGATGAAGCCAAGGGTGAAATCGTGGAATTGGTTGATAACGGAGTTTATTTGATCTACCCTGATTTGTACGATGATGTTAGAACTTTTGTTAGCAACGTCACTGATGCTGCCAACTTGGAAAAGTTTATCAACGTTGAAGGAATCCCATACTTTGGTGACATTGGTAGAGATACTTACCAAATGTACATGAACTCAGATTTACCTTTGGCTTACTACTTTTATGATTCCATCGACAGAAGAGCTGAATACGAACCCTTGTTCACTGAATTGGCTAAGAAATACAAGGGTAAGCTTAATTTCGTTGGGTTGGATGCTAACTTGTATGGTAGACACGCAGAGATCTTGTCTATGGACCCAGCTGTCGTTCCATTATTTGCCATCCATAACACCAAGTCTAACTTGAAGTATGGTATCAACCAAACTGAACATCCAGAGGGTCCTTCTAAGGAAACCATCACTGAATTCTTGGAAAAGTACTTTGCTGAAGAATTGGAACCAGTTTTCAAGAGTGAAGAAATTCCAACTGCTGAAGAAAAGAATGCTTCTCCTGTTGTCAAGATTGTTGGTAAGAATCACGCTGATATTGTTGGTGATATTGAAAAGGATGTCTTTGTTAAGTACTATGCTCCATGGTGTGGTCACTGTAAGAAGTTGGCTCCTATCTGGGAAGAACTTGCTGAAATCTATGGCTCCAATAAGGACAATGCTAAGGTTATCATTTCTAACATGGACCACACTGCCAATGATGCCATTATTCCATACGAAATCGAAGGTTACCCAACCTTATTGTTATATCCAGCTAACGGTGAAATTGATGAGAAGACCGGTGTCAGAAAGCCTATCATCTTTGAACAACCAAGAGACTTGGAACACTTGGTAAGCTTCCTTAAGGAACACGGTACTCACAAGGATGCTCATCCAGTTGCTGAAAAAGATGAAGAAGAAGTCGAGGAAAAGGAAGAAGAAGCTGTAGCTCCCGAAGACATCATCGACGATGTGAACGAAGCTATTCACGATGAGTTATAATCGATGATCATCATCAACAACTTATAAAAAAATCTACATAAACAAAAAAAAAATTTTGTATCGTTATTTTTATTATCGTCATTGTAAGGTACTATTATCATGATCATCATCCCCATATCTTAACCAACTTGTCATCACCAACACTGCACCAGAACCTTCCGCTATCAGTGCTCTCGTCCAAAACATCACCGTAAAGATTCCAATCAACACTATTGCACAACCCACAATGAGCCTTGACTCGAGATATCAATTCACCAGTCTTGATCTTCCAAATGTAAACGTTCCCATGTTCGCTTCCACTGAGAACCAATTGCTCTTGTGGACCCTGGCCTTCGTCAGACAAATATCCAAACAGAGATCTAACAATATTCATGTCTTGAGAATGACCCACTAGTCTTCTCACCAACACTGGCTTCTCTGGAAGCTTCAGGATATCCCACACATACAACTCCTTCAGATTCACTAGCAAGTACTTCCCACTATGAGAAATAGAACACAGGGTAAGTCTGTCTGTTAATGTTAAGGAAAATAACTTTCTAGTGGTTTGAGTGGCATCTTCCATATCTTGTGGAAGCGTGAAAAAGTCAATCTGCTTATTGGCAGTGATAGTAACAAGAAACGTTCCACATGGTGTAATTGATAAATCATTAACTCGATTAAATTGTGACAGTAACCCATTGGAATCTCCAGATTCTCCATCTTTAAACTTGATACCTTCAGATGATGAATTTGGCTGACTTGAGCCCCCACTATTGTTGGTTCTGTTGGGAGATGAAATACGATTTGTTACCTTGACATGCGAGTTTGCACTTTCTGTTGGTGGCAGATTTCCACCATTACTGCCTCTTCCAGAGTTATTGTAATCGTGAGAACTCATTGAATCTCCCTCTTCAAGTATTGCCAGATCTGAATTTTCATCTGTATCAACATAAAAGTCAAATATTAATTTACCATTCACGTCAAAGGCACGTAGTGCTTTATCAGGAGATCCAACAATAAACTCAGGAACCGTGGCTTGAGAGGAAGCAGGAAGAAATTCAGCAGTCCAAACTCTTATATTTGGTCCAAGAATAAAGCAACTTGCAAGCCTGGGATTGACTGTTTCGGTGCTAAGAGTGGATGAACGGGTAATCCTTTTGGGAGTGTCATTCAAATGCTTCTTCAATCCCACGTACCAAACTCGAACCAACGTATTTAATCCAACGGTGACAATAAACTCTTCAGTTGGATCCCAACAACAATATAGAATATGAGAAGGAGTCGACGATAGTTGAAACACTTCACTGTTAGGAATATCATTGGACACAAACCTAGATTGATCAAGCTTAGAATTTGATTCTAAAACAGCCAATTGTTTGAATTCATTCCGAACATTATAAAGAATAACTCTTCCATCTGCTGATGCAGTTGCAAGATACCTTCCACTAGGAGAAAACTTTGTGAACCATACTTCATTTGTATGAAGGTCAAGAGTATGGATTAACTTATCGGGGAATGATCTCTTTAATGAATCACTATTAGCTGGATCCAATATTGGAGGAGGAATTAACAAAGGGTATTCGATGTTTAACTTCTGTCTTGGAGGAAGGTAATATGGGTTTTTGTAATGCTGATATTTAACAGCTTGGTCTATTATTTGAGACATGAAACCTTCAGGAATGGAAAATTGACTATAATGTTTATTAAAAGTGAAGATTTGGTGAAGACATTTACTCCTTAGGATTGTTCTCAATTGGTCAAAGATATTGACAGTATTGTTATAAGTAGTATTAGTCAATAAAAGATAATCTTGATTGAAGATGAGGTCCACCACTTCCAGAAGTGAGCTTGATTCACATCTAAGTATCAAAGAACTTAACTTCACATATTCGCTTTCACTTTTAGCCAAAGTGCTTAAAAGTTCATGCGGAAACAAACTCTTACATTTTGAAAGTAAGTTGCCCTTTGTAGGTGGATGAAACACTTCAAGTTGACTTAAAAGGTTGTCCTTAATATAACTTACAAGGAACTGTGCATCTAAGGGTCCTTCCTCTTGTAAGAAGGGACCTGAATATTCAATAGAACGTTGTGGGAAGTCTGACGTTGATTTGGACTGCACAACGTATAGTAGAACCAACTCAAGGAAATATGTCCGTTTAAGTAAATACTGGATCAATTTAATGGCTACTTCAGGATGGGAACATGATTTAATCAATGGAAGATAAACACGTTTACTTCCACTGTCGCCCGCTTCATCAATAGCCATCAACAACAGCAGTTCCAGTGGACGATGAATGATGTCAGAAGCTAATTCTTTATCCAATTCATTGGCCAATTCCAAATACTCTCCCCTGGAAATGTACTCGTAGAATTGATTGATCCCGTCCACATCTCGTTGTGTGACTGGATGGTTCAGCGGCGTGGTATACTTGTAGTTGAGTAGCAGGTTCTGGGTATCATTCAACTCCTGGGCCAACTTATCGAATCCAAACTCTCTCAAAGTTGAACCAATTAACTGGATTACAAATTGGTTGTAGGGGGTATTGAGGCTGTTGCTCATTGAGATTGGGATTGGAACGGGGGGTGTCTCACTGTTTATAGGGCAGTAGTAGCAGTAACTTTGACGCCGGACTCCAAGTGTTATAAGTCAAATATACTTGAAGATTTCTGGCAGTCGTGGTAATGGCGGTCAGTTAACTTCTATTGTTCTGCTGTAGTTGGGTTGACCATTTAGGGAAGGGTAATGAGACCCAGGGGGAGGTTTGAGCTTTGGGGTAGCCAATCGGTAAATGCACTACTGTGGAGCACAAGACGGCGCGACAGGTCATACTTAAGGGGGTTCAGGCTGCAAACAAATGCACGTTAATGCATGGCATTCGTCTGTCCATTACAAGGGTTTGGGGTCTCTCGGGTCAATGGATGCATTCCATAAGTGAATTAGGTTTGGGTTGAATGGGTAAAAGGGGTGCAAACTGATAGTTGACGAAAGTTAACGGTTAGGAAGAAAGCGTGACTTAACGGTAGGAAGAAGTCGGATCAGATTAAAGAATGGATTTTAAAGTTCAGTCCAATTATTGGTGTGCGGGTGTACAAATGCAACAGAAGGTCACCGCATTTCGACTGGTATGCGAGGACACAAAAATGAACTAAAGTCTGCCGACATGGGAGGAAAAATAATAAATCATAAATCATAAAAGTGATGAGAAATCTATTTGTGTCTGATCCAGTCTAAAACGTTTCTTGCATGATGGTGGCAAAAAAAATACATCTTAAAATAATATCTGTCTGAGATTAAGTAGATAATTTTTGTTGTTAAAAATTATTGAACACATGCGATGCAGACAATCAGATGAGGTTGTGGGATACGTTGAAATATAATATTAATATTAGCCACAAAAAGACATTGTTCTATCGGAAAATAGCCCTGTCATTCCTTTAATTCAATAACGACTATTAAAATAGAAGTCATAATCAACTTTAAAGTATAAAGTTGCCAGCATTTTGATATGCCGGCCAAACAACGTAAATGCTCAAGCCTCGTGAGCCAATTAAATCCCGGAAGATTCTATTATAATGGAGGAACAAAAATTAATTCACATTATTCATGCGATCATACAGAAATTAAGAAACTTACCTGTAGGCGCGACTGCGATTTCAAGCAGACATTAAATGCTAATAAATTATATTGACACAATTAATTAGGAATGGCTGTTAACAATTAGGTGGCAAAACTTAAACGGCAATCAACTATCACAACGTCTGAGTGGGGGACCTAAAGTGGCATACAGGAGCGCAATGCCCAAAATTGCGCGCGACATTTTCAGTCCGATTTTGGAATATCAATAACATCTTGATATGCAATATACGCATAGCCTCTCAATTACGGGGCGAAGCTATATCGTATTCTCCTGAAACAAAAGCCGCCCACTTGTTTAGACTACGAAGGAACTAAAACCTACAAGTTTTCTTGACAATTGTCGGCCGCTGTGCTTTAAAAGCTTGGATGTAACTCTTATTGTTGACCCATTTGAAAAAACCTACGGAAATGAGTCACACATATAGAATCAGAGACACTTTCCCAATAATAAGCAAAAAGATAAAAAAGAAGTTACAAACCATCAAATGCATATGTAAACATTTTCTCGTTATTTACGACTGGCGCATATGCGGAACTATTCCAGTGTCATCCCTTAAATGGTACATATTTGGCAAACAATACGACGGGAGTCATTAACCGTCAATTTACTGAACAAAACCATAGAACTTTTCGTTGCGATTTGCAGCTACAAGTATCTAACCGTCAGTAATCATGGTATATAATTAGTAGTTAGAGTGTTATATAGTTTGCTTTAGAGCATCAGGATGAATGTGGCAAACAAAAATTGTCAGATCCTCCAACATTATCATTGCACGGTTGAAAAAGCAAGCGGAGTAAAGAGTTTCCCAGCCGCGCAAAAGTGACGGGTTTAAAGGTTCTGTGTCATTGGGAGCAGACGCGCGACAGGTGGCGAAAATATCCTTGTCGAAGCCTCCTCACTATTTACGAGTGAAGAATTCCGACAGTGGGTGAGACAGGTGAAGAAGCCGGGTCCACCCGTACCCGATCATAGCATAAACACAAGAATACTTGACTGTCAAGATAAACCAATCAGATAGAAGATACATCGTAGATTATACTATTAAAATATTCACTGGAAGGACATTTGACTCAAAGTAGTAAGAACCATTTTTGCATGATTATTAATAGGATGGCAACAGAATGTACTATGTGTTTTATTTGTGTATCTATGTTTGTGTGTTATTCTAGAATATCAAGTGGATCAAAAGTAGTTCGCCTTGTACAGTCATCGTATATTGACTGTTCAAGTCCATTTTGCAATTCATACGACATGACATGGCAATGACTTCGTATTTCCTGGTGGTCCCGTATACTCGGGTATCAACCCTTAAAATAAAACACAAACCATGAACCTGGGACCTTGGTTGTAGATAGTAATGAGCACAATCTAAAAAGAGTGACAGCTGTAGACGTGGAATAAAAAGTCTGGAACCACTAGTGTGCGCTTGCAGCCAAAGCAAAAGCTATGATGTAATTGGCACCAAAGAAGGAAGAAACAGGGTGAAAATTAGATAGCCCTTTAACGCCCGGATTGTAGTCGTCTTTGGTCACTAAAATCTTGAGAACTAGGTCCTGTAAAAATGACGCCGTTGCTGTTATTTCTTACAAATTGAGTCTTTGATATGTGGGAAGGCACAATGCATTCCGAGACAATAACACAGCAAACTTAGCTTTTTTTGGCTATTTATCCAAAGCCAATGGATAGACTGGGAAGTAAAGCATGCTCATGTCATGATTGGCGTGTGTTACATTTTCACTATAAGTATAACCCCTTTTGCACTTGACTTTAATGGGATCCATTGGGTTGGGTCGGTCGCGATTTGATTGTCCCATGTTGCATTGCATTTGATTGCAGACCTTAATAGAACTATACTCATACTATAAAAACCAATTACTCGGTGGTATCAATCTTGTAATTCATAATTGATCAATTGAACTCAACAAAGTAAACATAGCAAACTGTTTTATTTGCATAGACCAGTAATTAATTTGACTATCAAGGTTGGTGTGCCCTTTTTTGTCTGAAAAAGAAGAAACAAAAGGTCAGTCGCATAAAAACTCGGCTTAACAGGAGTACGCATTATTTTTCAAATTGTCGGACTTCAATCAGTTTTTGAACTCTTTGGCACTCAGTGATGAAGAAAAATCAGACAAAAACGACTCTTTGACATCACTAATTGACACTTCTTCGTTTACTATGGGTTCTGCGAGTCAGGAAATATTAAGGACACCATCATTTAAAAGTCTGTCTTTTCAAATCTCCAATTCAACTATTCTTCCAACAGTCGAGGAATCCCCCATTGCCAGTGGTACTATTTCCGAACATAACAACATCGAAGCCGACCCCCATTTGTCACTGTCTGGAAGTGTATCTCCAGAGTCGCTAGTCCACATCCCCTCAACCAATATGATGGCACTTCCCAAGCGAAGAAGAAGGGCCACAAGAGTCTGTGATTTTTGTAAACGACGTAAGATCAAGTGTGATCGAGGACTGCCCTGTTCTCTGTGTGTTAAGTATGGGAAGAAAGGGTGTTCATATTCCGATCTGTTTGGCATTACTGAAGAGACGGAGATAACGTCAACATATAGCAACATCGAGCACGAAAATACCACTAACATGGATCAACTTCCTCCGTTAATAACGGATCGTCCTCTGCCATCCCATAGGTCCTCCGTGACGAGTAACTCTATCTCGAGTGCTTCTTCCAGTTCATCGTCCAACGCATCCCTTAACTCCTCATCCTCGTTATCATCGTATGGGTCATCATACTTAGCTCCGTCCAATACCAGTAATAATAATACTAATGCTGGGTCCAAGAAACAACTACCAACGACTTATACTACCAACACCTTCTCCGTTATCAATAAGCCCTCGTTGTCGGATCCAAGTCCGGTGCTGGGTCTCAAATTAGCAAAGCGGAAACTGAGAGAAGAGCAGACTGAAGATGATGTTTTACGGACGGAATTGGAATCTTTAAAGAATAAACTAAGAAGGATTGAAAGCAAGCTACATATCGATCCTCCTCCTACTCCATCAACAACCGGTGCTGGTGCTATTGTTGGTGTTGTTCCAACTTCTACTACTACTAACACTTCTTCAACTACTTCATCGGTCCCAGGTCCTCTCCACTCTACTACATCATTGTCACCAGTCGACATTAAATGTATTCAACGCTATGAACCCTTCCAAACTACAGGGTTCCCCGCTCCACTGATACCCAGCATGTATTCTCCTACCCAAAAGCAGCAACAAAGACAGTCCAGTGTACGGAATTTACCACTCCCCAACCCTCAAGCATCTTCTTCCATAATATCTATGATGGGCAGCAATGTCACCGCCTCCACATCACATACGTCTCCGGATATCCAAACGGGAGACCACGAAGTGTTGACAGAAGTAAATAAATTCTTTCTGCTTGTCGGTAATAACCCTTACGAGTCTCCGTTAGATATTATAGATTTCATATCGGGTTACTCTTCTCTCCTAAGGTCTGTGCCAACGTTGAAAATCAGTGCGGGTCCCTTATCATGGATGGGTCTCTTGGGGAGTGATAAAGCACTTCGTGCAGTGTGTCAGTTTGTTCAGGCCTCTAAAGCTATTCTTGCTGAAAAGCATCAAGCTCTCTCAGAAGTACAAGAGCTGGAACAACAGTTTGCTCAAAAGGCTAAGGAAGAGGCTGGCCTCTGTGTTGATCCATTATTTGTTAAAGAAAATAGCAAGGAACCCAAAGTAGTTGGTGGTGTAATTGGTGATGTAAGAAACCACCATAATCCTGTTCCTTTGGCAATGACTTCAGTCAGCAAATCCAATATCAATAGAAAAGCACGGGAAATGGGTTTAACATTCTATGAAGGTGAATTGGATGAAGAAATGAAATTAGTAGAGAAGATTCAACTTGTGTTACCAAGAAAGGACGTTATCTGGAGATTAATCAAAAGATACTTTAAGCATTTGTATCCGTATATGCCTTTTATTGATGAGATTTCATTCAGAGGTCAATGTGAAAGCTTTATAGGTAAAGAAGACCTCAATGATAAGCTGGAAGTCACAAACTTACTAATTGAAAGGAAATCTGATTTTGCCTTTCTAGGACTATTGCTTATTGTATTAAGATTTAGTTATTTGACTGTGTTTACAAGTTCTTCTTGTATCAATCCAGCTCATTTGAAATCGGATGATTTAAGTCCCGAAGCAGAAGAGAAGATGATATTTTTAAGTAATCCAATCAACATTGAAGTCATTGATGTGGCTCAACTTTGTTTAAATCAATTCAATTTGATGAGGAATGGTTACTTCCCAGTATTACAGTTGGCTCTTTTTACTCGACTTTATCATGAATACGCCCCTGAAGATGGAGATGCAGCACAGGTTTTCACGGCCATGTTGATTCAAATGGCATTTGGTTTAGGCTTACATCGTGAGCCCCATCCAAGTACTGTTAAAAACTCAGTAAGTGAAAGGTATAATAATCTTCGTCGAAAGATATGGCATCATTTACTTATGGATGATTTAGTTGGAGCCATGAATTCTGGTACTCCAATGACAACTAACCCAAATAGTTTTGATACTAAATTGCCTGCTTTTTCTCCCGAAGCTTCTAATTGTTTAGATTTGGAATTGGAAAAGGTAACTTTGAGTGGTTTACGACATTGTCATGAAACATATGTTCCTACTGTTGAGTTGGTTGGATTGTTGAGTAATATTCGTGGAGGTGTTAGTGTTAAGGCATTGACTGAGAACTTGAATTACTTGGAAAGAGAAGTTATTTCAAAGTATGGACGGTTAGGAGGATTCTTTGAAGAAGCAAATGCTGAAGAATTGTCTTACAGTACCATTAAAATGACAATTTATTTCACATCCACCATTTTCCTTGTATCAGTGTTTGTTTATATCTTCAACTTTTATGAATCCAAATCCAGAGCTGATCTTGTCTACTTTTACTCCAGAAAGATCTTTATTATTGTCTATCAAGACTTTTTACCTCATTTCAAATACTTCATTGACAACAGTGCACGAATCTTTAAGGATTCTACTGATATTATTGTCACTCCTGGCTTTGAACTGGCTGCTCATAAATCACTTATGGTGAACTATATGTTTCTCATAAGAATTTCTCTTCGTCGTACTAAGATTAGAAATGCCATTCAAGATGGTATAATCTCTTCAGACAAGCACATTGAGAAGCATTTGAACTCACTCGGAAAATTGCTGGACTTGTTGGAACAAGCTCTTGATATTCTTATTGAATCGTTGGCCATGATTTCTCATCGTTATTATTATGCCTGGAAGGTTAGTAAAGTTCAGAAGGTTCTTCGGAAGTTATGTGTGAACCAAGAGTTCATTGACCAATTTTCTGAGACCAATAAGGAAACAGATGCCTTGTTGTTTTCCAATTCACAAATTGAAGAGTTAACTGGAATAGTTGAACGATCTCTTGAAAAGATTTCCAAGCAGAAACGGCCTCGTCGGCAACAACATCAACATCAACAACTGCAACAACTGCAACAAAAGCAAAAGCAACAACTGCACAATCATCATGCCAATAGCATGGCCAAAGTTGAAGAGAATGGATCAATGAATTCAGATATACCTCCTATTTCCGCCGATTATCCCTCTTCTCATTCAATGGGTTCGACAGACAGCTGCAGCGATATCAACACTGTTCAAGGACTTTCTGCGGAGCAAATTGATCTGATGTGGTATCAAGTGTTGGCCTTAAAGAACGATAAAGACGGCGGTGCACCCAACATCAACGAAAGCTATAATATTGGGGGAATCTTAGCAGGCAACAGGCCCGCGTACAAGAGCACAAATCCCATGTCACCGGAGTATAATAACATGGATCCAAGCTCCAATATGAATGGACTCAAAGGTGTTCAAGAACCAGGTAATAATTCTTCTAATCCATTTTTGACTCTGAATCAATTCTATGATGTGAATTTCGAAGAGTTACTTGAGTTCTTTGATGATTCAGTTATGCAAAATAATGTCCTTGATGAAACAACGTTTACTCCTGTTCAAAATTGATACTATTATGTTACTATTATTGTTACTGTTAGCTTTGGTTACTGTTAACTATTGTTACTACTATATTATGACTATTTATTATAAGGTTTACGAACCACTAAGACCCAAAAAAAAAAAATCTTTGAACTGTACATACATTTATATATATATGCTCTATATTAATGTTTTATTATTATGACTATTATTTTTTTACTTTGTAGTCATTTCACTCTTGGATTCCCATAGTATAACGGTTCCGGTTACGGACTTGAACATGAGCCACCGGTGATGGAACCCATAGGGCCGGAACAGGAGCACCGACAAATCAGAGTGCGCTAGTATCTCCGGTAAACGTTTCGATAATAAATATTCAATGTACGTTATTTTGTCATTAGTGGTAGTATCTGTGACAAACAGAGGCACACTATACTGTGAGAAGTAGCTGTCAACAGGGTTCGTTATTTGTGTCTGATTCGAACCAGCACAGACAAGACACAAGTACTCGTAAAGCTCATGGTATTGGTCAGGGTCCATCTTAGTGTCTGGTATTAACGGAAAGGACACTTCTCTGGTGACTATTTTGGACTGTTGCAGCTTAGAATCGTCTTCTTCATGGTAGACCTTGTTGAAGTTGGGGAAGGTCACGGGATCACTAAACGGATGGGCTTCTAATTGTAATATGGCCCTAGTTCCTACACTGGAAAGATCGTTAAGGTTATGACGATACTCAACTCCCCTTTGGAGCTTGTACTCGTGTACTATTGGTGATGTGGCACACGTGAGCTTCAAGTCATTCTCATCTTGCTTAGTGAACCGAGGGTATACTCGGTTCAATTGACGATTGTCACTATTGTAGATCTCATGAGTGTTCGATATGGCCACGAATGATCCTTGTGGGGTTTGGCTGTGGTGTTGGGGAGTGGGTGTGGTTGTTTCAAGCTTGGTTCTAGGAACCAATTGGTCTATCTCATCTCCGGTTTTATGGACTATGGCTATGTCAAATAGAAGAGGATTGGAGGCAATGATTGAATTGATCACTGGCTTCAATGACTCCGAGTCGCCTGTTCTGACTCGGAACGACATGAGTATAAGTCTTAAAAGTAGTCAAAAAAGAAAATAATTGATTCAATTACACTGTGGCTCATTGAATCTGGAATAGTAAGTGAGTGTGATCTGAAAAAAATAATGAAGGGTGCGAGGTTCGAACTCGCGCGGACACCGTCCAACAGAACTTAAGTCTGCCGCCTTAGACCACTCGGCCAACCCTCCAATTGAATGGCATTGATTCCACGATTTCGACCCGATTGGATTGAACAATTCAATGTTGGTACTTTTTTAATCACGTGACGAGATCTTTGCTACGACTTTTGGAAGTTCTCAGGATACATGAAATACTTGGAAAAAAAACTAACGTGGATCCTAGTAGTTTAATTACTGTTGCCATGGGATACAAATGTCTTTGAAGCAATATACAGGGTTAGAATTGACAAATAGAGCTCTAGAGCGAGTTCTAATCATCTAAACGTCATAAAAAAATTCAAAAAACAATGAAGGGTGCGAGGTTCGAACTCGCGCGGACACCGTCCAACAGAACTTAAGTCTGCCGCCTTAGACCACTCGGCCAACCCTCCTATGTTGTATAGTATCTTTTCCCGCTGCATTTATTTAGCGTTACTCAAACATGGACCTGAGAGGTGCTTTTTTGGGAAAAGAGATTAAATGCAGCTGCAGACAATTTTCAACAAATGAAACTCCATTTCAGTTGTTGGAATTCCAGACATACATATAACCCCATCTCTGATATTAACCAATAGTGTATCAAGGTCGTCTTATGAATTAAGTAAATTGAAATGGGTCAATCCTAGTCCATCTTCAGAAAACGCGAGGTTTTCAGTCGTCGCTCGTGTTTTCAGTTGTTACCTTATAAGAGATGCGCCAAGGGTAATTATAAGAACCCGCACGTAGATCAAGGAATAACACGCTTTGGAGAGTCAATATCGCGTCGGATGTTGTGTCTCTCGTATAATTTGAAAGACATTAGAAGACATTAGAAGCATTACAAGACATTAAAGGATACTCCCAATGAACAAATAGTATAAGGGAAAAGGGGCCTGTTAATAGTCGTGATGAGAAAAGGAGGTAGGTCAAAGAAAAACGTACTGTTAAGCTTTTTGTTTACTTTTAATATGTCGTCATACTACACCGTAAATGGACTTATACTCGCTTAAAGTCGTCAAACATGGGGTATTGACACAGATCAAATTAGTAAGGGTGTGCTTTTCAACATAAGAAAGTGATTAGCCAGCCAACAGGGGCGCGGAAACAAAGAGGTGGGTTTTAGGGGAAAGATAAAACAATGACATCATATGATCATGATCAGGATTTGATTCCTTTCATTACTACAACATAAAAACTATGGAGCCATTCCATAGAAACTATTGATGCACTATATTTGGTATAATATCTAAAAATAAGCTAAAGCTTATGATATGATCATCGGTGAGGTTTTTTGTCATCTCCCTGACGATATGCGTATGCAGACTTACCACCGAAGCGAGTGTGATTTGCACATTTTTTATTAGGATGAATGCAGTTAAATTACTATATCCAACTCACGAATTACGTCATGTGCGTTATATCTATCTTTAGAACTTCTTGAGATATTCCTTGCGCATAGATACGAGCACTGGACTACGTCCATCTGTCTGTTGTCATGTCATACATATTCAGATTGTCTGCCGGTGGCGTCGCATCTGAAGGTCGCCAAAGGTAAGTAATCAACTGCTTCCCTTTGTTTTATATGTTTTCATGTGCTCTTTTGGGTAGTGTTTCCCCTTCGTATTTCAGTATGTCTGCGTTCCAAAAGAAAAAATTGAACTACTGTTGTGATCCCCCACACGCAGGACAATGCAAATACTGCAGAAAGGCTGGAATGTGTATTTTTATTAGGCGATAATTGCTGGTCCTCAAGAATGTGAGTGTCGACTATATATTAAGATGCACAGATCCCTTTTTACTAGTATTACAACTGTTGTTATTATTATTATTAATATTCTCTGACCAAACATCAATAATCTGACACGTCATATTAGAGCATTTATATTTGTATAAGTATATACATATACATATACATTTACAGTGTTCCATCCTATTTATTATTATTATTACTATAGAGCTTACCTAATACATCATGGGTTTACCTCATCCTCAAGCTGATTCGAAATTACTTCGAGAACACAACTTTTATAATGATCCTTCAGATTCCGTTTCTTCTACGGGATCGACCCACGGAATGGCTCACCATTGCAATCTGAGTGCTCTCCACCTTGCGATCCTTTTCCTTGCAATGATCTTGATAGTTAAAATGCATTATGTCATTAAAAGATTCTACAGTGGTTACCTTAATAGATCCCATACTCTGCTGGTGTTAGGGTCTCCCAAAATACCTTCCAAGAAAAGTATGAATGAAAAGGCACAAGTTGATGAACTTGTATAAATATCTTCATCATAAATCATCATCATCAAAAGGTTTTTCTAAGGGCATGACGTGGATTTCTAGAACGTCTATTTTAAAGGTTTATATTCTTTCGTTTTATATTATTTTCTTTTCAGTGAGTTAAGTTAACACAATGCTTAACTCCGTTTCGTTCCTTTGGTTTTAATACAAGTTCTCACGTAGATAACTTAGTTACCTTGTAGGGAATCATTACTTGATCTTGTTGAGTACTTTAAGCATTTCAACATTCCATACAATCCAATCATACCAAATGAAATTGGGGAATATGGTGATCAAATGCCAGCATGAATGAGCATCCACCAATCTTCCTAAGGGATGCCAATCGAATACTTCCAACAGAACTCCTCCAAGAACAATAAGATTACAGACTAAGGGGATCCAAGGAATCAGACGACTTCTGATCTTATTGTGGGCCAAGGTGAGGACTTTAGTTTCATAAGGAAGTAACTCAATCAGATTATTCAATACGGGATAGTGTTTGGTAAAGATTCTATTTGTTTGGATAGTATGCCACGTCCATAATAGAGATGAAGTTATCCCCACCGTTAAACCAAATTTCATGTTGTATTGGTAATCCCACTGCTTAAGTAAGCTTGCGACATGGAAGACGTAAGCCAAAACACACACAAATTGACATAATCTAGTCCATTTTAAAGAACGATAATATTTCAACAGGAGAATAGCAATAGCGTTGAAGTTCGCTAGTAAGATCCCATTGGCACCGAAATAATCCAAAGTTTCTGTGACTGCATTATCTCTCATATGAAATATAGTTGAACATAACCAACCTAGTATACTTATAACAAGAGCAATTGTGAATTGTGAATAGATCCTACCAACCCAATCCAATTGTTGTGGATGTGAAGATACTTGGGCTCTTTTTTGGTTATGTCTTATCAACTTTAAATTGTCATAGTTAACTAATAAGTTCCCCATTGAAAACGCCGCCAGAAAGAACTCTTGGATCCCAAAGACCCTTCGGAATGGCCATTTCCCATAAAATTGATACATGTGATTATCATTTTTCATAGTTTCATCTGTTATAAGTTGTTGACAACGATAATGACAATCTTGAGGGCATGTCCATTGGAAGATATTCCGAGATACTACATTAAGGGTGTCATATCGATTGAAATCCTCTTGACTGAACATCGATGATGATGATGATGATGATGATGATGATGATGATGATTTGTCCCCACAGATAAGGGAAGTACATAATTGAACACAATTGGTGTATTCTTGTAGACGATCTCCAGGAGATGCCACCACATTGGTAGCCAAAAGTAGAAGAATTGGTAGACTGAATAGAAGCATGGTCTAGAATATGATACAGTCTGTAAGGAATAAGTGTCTGTATAAAAGCATTGGTTGTAGTCTTTACTGTTTGCTGTAAACTTCTTTATCCTTTCGCGTAAAGACGTTGTAGTTTGTGTCACGTGATTAATCAGAGAAATCTTTGATTGTTCACGTGATGTGGTAATTTCGTGTAAGGCACGTGACGCGTAGTTTTGATATACCTTGCCTCAAGGAACCCATATTGATCATATCATTACATAAGGACTTGCACATTGCTAGTACATTCCGAACTTGGCACTTACAGATAAAGCCTAGCCATGTGGCATAAATAGAAGATAAGACGGTGGGTGTTGTTCTTCATTGTGGTTGGTCACTATTAGATACGAGTCGGTCGTGTAAATAAGGTTATTGGTTGAGACAGATTGGAACTACGAATTCACCCTTGAAACGAATGAGCCCCTCCATGTTCTGGAATGAATGCGGAGGTTGAAGATCCATTCCCTAAAAAGCTAATGCATTCCAGATTCAGCATTTCCAGATAAGCCTTAGTGCATTCACACCAATAAAGAAGAATTGAGGACCAAACCAGCCAAGACAAAAGCTCACAGTGACCAACCACAATTGACCCCCCTCCACTCCCCACCCTTAATAGTAGTAATATTAGTGATCATAATAGTTTGTGTGTGGTGTTGACCGGTGTAACTTAACTACATAGAAGTAAAGTTTACATAGTTAACACAAACAATGCCAACGTGATCCAATAATAAAAAAGGATACAATGTATAGAAGAGAGAAGTAAAAGAAAAACAAGGTGCATTATTTCAAGGAATATTCTTGCACGTTGACCTCTATCTCTTTGTCACCATCACGGATAAATGAAGTACCATAATTATGGTGATAAGATATGGCTCGGTATCACCAATACCGGAGATTGATCGTGACCCAAACCAAGAGGGGAATAGAAAACAGCCGCTTGTGATAGAAAAGTGTAATTGCTATCGGGGTAGATGAAACTCTTGTTCTGTAGGTTGTTTATCAGAGTTGTTTGCCGATACGTAGGGGAGTTTAACCTAATCTTGAGCTTGTTGTTGTGCTTGTTGTATGTAATCTTGCGTAAGCAAATATCAAACAAAGGGGTAATTATTCCTTAAGCACATTAAAAGCCTTCTATCAGTTGTCGTGGCAAACCCACTTGTGCAAATGTCTTTAGGTTGAATGTTAACCCCCGAAACGATCATACTTTCAATTTTCTATAATCATTAATAGTGTCGTATCATAACATTGTTGATGGTCTCTAGAAAATTTGTCGCTGTCTGGGAGGGCTAATACTTTGTCAATTAGGTCCCTGTTGATTTTAAGCTCTCTTTCGTACAATTAAATTCAATCCATACACACCCCAAATGCATCTTTTTATGTCCTGAAATTGAGCTTTAGTGTCCGCGCTTGGCCCCTTTAGGATGCTAACAATATATATTCATTATAAACTTATTCTCTGTAATTGTGTTCATCTGCTCTTAACTCCTCAATTATGTGTAGAATATATGTATGTATGATTTTATGCACGTATATGTGAATAAATTTGCATATATGTTTGCATTTGTAATGTACATCTATATGTTTCGTTAACTTAATCCTATACCACGCAACCTCTGTTCTTTTGGTTCCGTATATGCTAAACTACTTTTCATCCTTTGAAAGTACATACATCCGTCAATTCAATACAATGTATTTTGGCTATTGTCATGCACTCCGAGTCGTGTGTGCCAGATTCCCCTACTAGCAATACGGTACTCACCCAGTGGTACAAACCCAAAAGGATAAAGCCGCCTGTTACAAAAACAACTTTTTAACTTAAAATTTTTCACTCCTCTAATCCTGCAGATACAAAACCGCACCAATCTCCACTTACATATATATATGTAAGATTTTACCTAAACTTAAAGTTATTTGTCTACTGCCAATTTCCACCTATATATAAACCTACATATATATATATATATATATACCAACAACAAATTATTTGATATCCTTCTGTACATTTAATAGCATTATCACCATCACAATCCAGTCCTTGTACTCCCCTGTATGCTCGTACACCAATGACATCTAAAAGAAGAAGATTATCTAATACCAGGGCTCCCATTGCCACTGCCACACCGACTCCCACAGCCAATACCAGGGTGGACTCTATAGTTGATTCTCCAGGGTCGACTATTGATCCTGTTGAAAAATTGTTACATCTTCCGTGTTTCTCCAACGACATTTTGGAATCAAACAACAACACAGTTACAGTCAATAACATCACATATTCCCATATTCCTAGTAATAACCATCATAATAACAGTCATCAAACTCGTATACGGCAATTGATCCTTGATCGAATGCGGAGTGGCAAAGGTAATTTTTTTGATAACCTGTCATTTGCCATTCTTACGAAACCACAACAGTCTACATTGGAAGACGAGGAGATCCAAAGGGCCAATAAGAAGGCAAAACCAAGTCGTGAGACTCCCTTTTTCCGGAATGTTAACTTCAACAGTCGTAGTACCACTTTTGACGAGTACTTCAGCTATGATTTGTTTGAAGAAAATGAGGATGGCAAAATCGATACATCATTGCCAATGACTCCTTCTAGAAGTAGCAATGGAGATGAAGATGAAGACCCCATTTCTTCGCCACCGATCTCTTATTCTCCTCCTTCCTCAGCACAAGACGATGATGTCAAAAAAGAGGACTTGTTTACTTCCAACTTCAACAATAATGATAATAATAATAACGGGGTATCACCCTTTTCTATGGCCCCAAAGATGAGATTTGACTACCGACAAAAGATTGATGAACTGTTGAACTTATCGCTGTCTGCATCTACTACTACAAACAATTCAATTGCCACTGCCCATGCACGGAATAGTGGTGCAGGAGTTGATGTATGGAAGTGTTTAAACAACACATGTCTTTTGTCTGGTAAAGCCAGTGAAATGTTAGGCTCTGGCAACATAGTTCTTACGGATTTCTTACTTTAACTTTTAAAGGAGAATGCATATCCTCCCACTCCTTTACACATAATTCTATTCTTGATTCGGACTTTTTATGTCTGCATTTTTTATTAATTTTTTTTTCTGCTTTAGTTCCTTTTGCATGTTTGATACTATCTATTAATTCTTTTGTCTAGTTTATACGGGTTTATTTTGTTTTAGTATATGAGTTTTTAATAATGGTTTATAGTTTGAATTGAGTTTTGTTGATTATTGATTTTTGTAGTGCATTGTTAAGGGGTGGATTAGAGTTTTACATAAGGAATAATTCCAGATTCTCTATTGGCTGTCGTTGAAGAATAAAAACCCCTTAACCGAAAAAAATAATCATAATAGCGATATCACAAACACACGCATCCAAGAACAACAAGGCTAAGTCCAGAAAAAGAAACGGATGAGAATTGTTCCCAAAAAAAACACCGACTACAATAAAAAAAGGCCAATTTCTCGTCGCTATATGCAGTCTGTTGATTGTTTGCCCCTCCTTTCCGTTTTTGAGCCTTAAGGGGTGGAACAAGTGCCTGCCGGTGTTACTTAAAATGTTACGGCACTATAGCCGGTAAAAAATAGCTTGCAAAGATTTCCCTTTTGCCGTACAAATGGAGGAGATAATAATGCTGGATTTGACATACCAGAAAAGCCTACAAAGATCAAAATTTAAAAAAGCATGCACAAAGTGTAGTATAATATTCAAGATTGTATTCAAATTCCGAAAGTCGTAGAGACAGACAATAATTCAAGTCCAACACTGAATGTACGAATTTGATAGGGATTACAACTTTTTTCACAAAAGTGTATACTTTGGTAATGTGTCGATTACACCACCACAGACATCAATTAATGTAATTACTTGTAGGAATAAATGAAAACTGACATTTTCAATAAAATTATCCCATTTATGTATAGAAAAGTACGGGGAGTTTTTATTTACCTTGTCTCTTTTGACACTAAATATTATTACCTATCACACATATACCGTGAAACATTGCATTACATGACATTACCCAACGTGAATTAGACAACATAACATTACATAACATTACATAACACAACATACAACGCACTCCGTAACTTGCATTGAATTGCACTAACATATTATTTTCATTTTGGTTATATTGCATTAACAGACAACCCCGTACACCAAGTAATCACGTGACAGCCCAATTGAAACCTCCCCCACAATCGCAAACTTTCTCAAACAGGAAAGCAACAATAGTAGAACAGTTTGCAACTTATATCTTTCCTTACCACCAACGTTCACTTACTTCATTGCCTCCCATAATAATCATCCCTATCACCAGACGCCCCTTGATACAAACATAGTATCCAATCAGCGTCGCTTCCCGTATTGAATTGACCAATCATACGCCGTTGTTGCCACACAAAGATGTCCTTCAGCCAGTTCCTCATTGCTTACTTCCTCGGTGGCCTTACCTTAATACCGATAGTGATCATTTGCTTCATCTACTTACATCCGAGGGACGAGCGCACTCAAACCGACCGGTTGATAGCCGACCAGGAAGAAGGACTAAAAGCCGGCGCCATTGAAGAAGATAAGTCCACAGGCATTGAAGCGTTCCATAGTGGGTGGATCTTTGTCACCCAAACGTATTTGGAGTCCCAAGATGAAATCAATAGCTCAACTATAAGCATTGAAAGCGACTCCAAATCGGCGTATTCCAGTCTTTATAAGTTGCAACAGAAGCAACAGAAACAGGAAGAAGATTTGAACGAAGAGTTCGAGGATAATAGCAACGCCATACCTCCATCATGTAATGCTTCAAATCTGGAATTAAATGGTTCATCTAACAATTTTGCCAATGCAGGTTCATCTGGTAAAAGTACAGGCTTGTCAGCATCATCAACATCTGCATCCATTGCACCTGTTAATGCTTCTTCCTCGGCTTCGTCTATTTCCTCTGCTTCTACAACACCATATGCGGCAGCAGCAGGTGCAACATCTTCTCCTTCTTCTTCCAGCTCATCACGAACTAACGGAAGTTCATCTAATCTCCGACCAAGCCAGCGAAAACATCGGTATTATGCTGTATTGAAACATGGAAACCTCTTTCTTTATAAAGATGAAAAATTAAAGGAAGTGAAACATGTGATAGTGTTAAGTTCTTATTTGGTGACTTTATGGCCTCGGAATTTAACAGATGCTCAACTTTTCACCAAAAGAACGGCCATTTGTCTTATGAAACGTGATTGGATAAGACCTCGTCGACTTTCAGATAACTTTGAAACGTTTGATAAAGATAAAATCTCCGTTATGGATGTTTTATATCCTAATTCAACCTTATCCCCCCCCAAAGGGTCATTTTTTATTTATGATGATCTTAATATCGATAAAGAAGATTGGTATTTTGAATTAATTAAAGCCACTAAAATATCATCCAAATTCAACATGGATCTTTTAAATCCTTTAGTTCATGCAAATACAATGCATTTTGAAACAAGAAACATGATTAATTTGATTCAAACATTATACTCTTCTGAAGGTCATTTGCAAACTAAATGGTTGAATGCAATGATTGGAAGATTATTCTTAGCATTTCAAAAGACAGATGTTTTAAAAGAATTTTTAATCCAAAGAATTTATAAGAAATTGAATAAGATCAAAGTCCCTGGGTTTCTTGATAAATTCCAAATTGTTAAAGTTTTCCCAGGAAATTCAGCCCCATTCTTCACTCATCCTCATTTGAAAGAAATTAGTCCTGATGGTTCAATTTTAATGAGTACTTTTGTTTCTTATAGTGGTCAATTATCTTTGCAAATTGCAACTAAATTGACCATTAATCTTGGATTTAAACCTCGGGAGGTCGATGTTCTTTTATCAATAACTTTGGAGTTATTGGAAGGTACTGTTCTTTTCAAAATAAAACCTCCTCCAAGTGAAAGAATTTGGTATTCATTTGAAGTCGAACCTGTTCTTCAACTTAAAATTGAACCAATTATAAGCTCAAGACAATTAACTTATAATATTATCACCAATCAAATCGATAAAAAATTCAAAGAAGCAATCCGGGAATCTTTGGTGTTACCTCATTGGGATGACTTAGTATTCTTTGACACTAAAGATTACATTTATCGTGGTGGGATTTGGGAAAACCCAAAACCTTTTGAAGAAAGAGAATCTGATAAGGAAAATGATTCCAATTCAGTCCATCGATCTTCTACTTCAATTGGTGAAGCTTTAGATGAAGATGCCATTGATTCTTCACCTCCAGAATCTGTTAGACTGATTCAAACAAATTCAAGTCAAATGACAACTAAAATGAAATTAAGTGCCACTTTATCAGACTTTTCCAAACGATTAAAGAAAACAAAATCAACTCATACACTTTCTGTTAATGAGGAGAATTATCTTAATGATGGTTCAACGTTAAACTCTCCTGATTCAAATAAACAGAACAATCCAACAATGAGTACTTTGAAGAAAATTGGCCAATGGTATTTCAAAGACAATAACAAGAATAATAACGAAACTGATAGTCAAGGTAGTTTCCATTTTAAAAAGGCTTCCACAGATAGTAGTAGTTTAGGAGAAGGAATTGAAGATTCTTGTTCAATTACAGGAGTAGCTAGTTCTACATCATCTGGAGCAGCTTCCAAAGATTATAATCCTCCAGAAATGATATCATCAAGAAGAAAGAAGTCTGATCGGAAACCTTCAATATCTCAAGTAGCCACCACACCATCAGTTTCTGCATCTTTACCTCACTCGTATGAATTTGCAAAGTCTCCAGAGCAAACTCATACAGTGTTGAAAACTTTATCAATACTGTCAGGCAACCCTTACGAATTTGATGATAATATCAATATTCCTGAAATGGAGTATTCAGACGGACAAGCAACGGTTGGTGTTACGCAAGCAACAACCACTTCATTCAACCAATCAGTCAGTCTTCATTCTTCAAAACCAGCACCACCAAGTTACTCACTGGAAGATTTTCCATTCATTTCAAAACCTGACCAGAGACCAGTACTGTCTCCACGAGCTCCTACGGACAATCTTATAGGAACACCAACCAAACCTTATAGGAAACCTCCTCCACCCTCATCACCAAGAATTCTTGAGAATAGTTTTGATTAAGCTTTTGAAGTATTTAAACGTATGGAGACCAACCTCCATACATTTGACATAAAGTTTCTTCAGCAGATGCTTCTTGGATTAAGACATCAACTTGTCCATGGATATTCATAGGTAAACCTTCCTTCTCATTGATTAACCCTCTAATCTTTCGGGTAACCATGGTCAAACTTTCTCGAGGATTAGCAGATTCCCATTCCAATAAAGGATCATAAAGAATGGTTTCTAAGATATTCATCAAGGAGGCTTCATTGTCTCTCAAGATCTTCCCAGTTACCTCACATGCGATTCTAAAGGAACCTTCAACCCCGGTTATCCCCATAGCATTAACCAAATTAGGAGTCAAACGGAAGGGGACAAGCTCAGGGACCGGTAAGAGTTTTCCTTTTTCAAATAGACACTCAAAATCAATATGCAACACCAGACCAGATTTTTTAAAGAATAATATGTTTTCACAGTGTCGATCTCCCAACCCAATGATATATCCAACCATAGACATTACAGCAGCAGAACGAGTGAAAGATGATCTAGCAAGATACCAAGAAGCAGGATCGGAAAATTGATCAATTAGCCATCGATGTAATACCGGTGGAAATTCCCGACATGATCTCTTATAGAACTCAAATAATTCTGTAAACTCAGATTTTGACTTATCTACGAGTTTCGGTTGATATCCTGGCTTGGAACTTGGTCTTTGTTTAAGGAACGCTTGGAGTTGAATCAATTTATGAAATATTTTCCTATCATCAGCTTTCAAGCCCAATCTCTTTCTCTGTTCAACAACAATACTCTTCATAGTAGCCACGTCAGTAACAAATTCAATTACTCCCATTCGATCTGCTAAAGGAATGACTGAATAGTTGGCTATCACCAAATTCCGTCTTCTGGCCTCGTTACTAGCCTTTAGTAACCGGTTAATTGTAGTAGTAAACTCCACAACTTTGGCATCTTTACTTGTGTCATCATTCTTAACCATGAGCCGATACACTTTCATGTCCGAACCTCTGATTGTGACTTGCTTAGGTTTTTGAAGAGAGTGAAACACAACAATGTTATCGTCAAACCCATCAAAGGTTATTGACGATGATTTGGAAAAGGCAACAAACTGTTTCAGCACTTGACCAGAAGATGGTAAGCGGATCTCCAAGTTAGACCTTACGGGGATCACCAAACATGTATTTGGTGAATTAAGTGAGGTGATTTGAAGATCATTGTTCAAACTTAGTCTTTTAGCTCTTGAGTTTTTGGGTACTTGGTAGCTGATGATGTTAATGAAATCCTCAAACAACGACCGAGCAGCAGTGATGTGGTCACTGAGTTTCGGAAGCTTCTGCAAAATGTGCATCACGTTATTCTTTCTTACCACATCCTTTGAGTTCAAATGGGATAAGATAAACCATAGTCCATGTTTAGGATACATTTCAATCACCAGAGAAATATACTCTGCAAGCAAGTTGTAAGAAGTTTCATGGATGTGCACAATTCGGGATAACAATTGAGTGATTGAAGTATACCAAACGTATTTGGGAATAGACTTGCCGATCTTTCTCACATCCTCAACCATCAAATCCAAACAACGCAACTTGTCCTTGTTCATCTTCTTATGGCCCTGAGCAAAGTCCAACCACACAGTAATGAGCTTGGGCAAAGCTTGAAAGATGTATGAATGTCCAATGGCCAACGAAGTTAAGAAGTTACGAACAAGTTGTAGCTCATGGAACCCGTTCAGATCTTCTGTCGAATCAAGTAATCTGCTATAGAACTTGCCTAGATCGTAGTATGGTCGATCCCACCTATCAATATCCAATGCTTTGATGTACTCCTCAATAATGGTACTTGAAGAGCTATGGTTTGATTCATCCAACCATTCAGCATATTGTAACTGTACTTCGGCTTGTTGACGTTTGTTTTTGGAAAAGATGTTATCGTTAATTATGTCATAATAACTTTTGATGGCTTCGGCTTGTCGTCCTTGAGCCCACAAGAGTTGTGCGTACTCTGTGCTTGCCTCAGGGTTATTCAAAGCCATTGCACGTGTGATGCATTTAGTAGCAATATCAAGTCGATTATGGTCCCGAGCTATTCTGGAACAATCAATAAATAAGTCTCCTACAGGCTCTTTTAGCACAGTGCTCGTTGAAATTAAGCCCCCCATAAGTAACTCAAACTGGGTACTGAAACCTTGGTCAACATTAGACATTCTTAATTTCTGGAGTTCTCTTCTTTCCATAGTTAACCTTTCAAATATGCCATCTTCCAAAGGTCGAACAGATAAATCCATATCAAACATAATATGAAGCACATTCATGAACGATGAGTTTCTGGCAAAACTATAGGATAGTGACGGTGCCAACGAGTTCCCCACGAGTTCTTGGACTTTATTCATGGAGTCATAGAACCCAGACTTGTCATGTTCATAAAGACTTAAAAAAGACTTTGCTAATTCGTAGTGAACCAATGTTTCTACATCAGCAGGCTTTCCAACAAGATCAGCAACATGTTTCCATTTTCTGATAGACGGAACATCTCCTACTCCAGAGGCTGCTTCTAAACCAACCATGGCCCATTCAAATGGAAGACTTTTCAAGGTGAACGAAGTATCGGAGTCAACTAGAACACTCAAGCTATCCAAAGCTTCTTCGTAATGACCATGCTCTGAAAGTGACTTTAACAATTTGGTTTTATTGGCAATCTTGGTATTGTAGTCCGTCGTGTCCCCTAGTGCATGGAAGGATTCTTGGGCTAGAGACCAATTTTCATTGTATTGAAAAGTCTCAAGTTTCTCCTTCAAATTATTGGTTGAAAACACCTTTAAAACTCCATTAAGAGCATCGTAGTCGTTGATGTTAGTGTACATATTCTGTAAAGTTGACACAATGTTTTGGCCACCAACTACATGATCCTGCTGCAAATGATCCAGCGACAATCCTCGTTCCAAATAAAGAATACTTCTCTCGTATGAATCACATTGAACAGCCTTTTCTGCCAATAATTTGGTGGGGATGGACTCAAGGAAATTAATAGCAGCTTGGATGTTCTTTGTCATCTTTTTCTCGTTCTCTGTCTTCAAATCCATTTCGTTCATGTACTGACGAGCAGACGCAATATACTCCAGAATATAATCTAGGACTTCAAAAATAGACTCACAACAATTCTTGAACAGCTCTCTTTGGTCTGGTGATAGACAATCAACATTAGTTTGTAGTATTTGAAGAAACTCTTGCAAAATGTCCTTCTCATCATTGCAAATTATGTGACTCAAGCAAACAAACTTTAACACATGAGAGGATATAAATACATCTTCGTCACGAATCAACATGGAGCAAGTCTTGAATATCTGGGCTTTGTTTGCTTCTGTCTTGTTTCCGTTCATAGATTCTAAATTTTTCTTTAGTAAATACGAAGTGAACCGAACCAACCAACTCAGGTATCTCATACTCACATTGTGATAAGGGATCGGGATCTTTTCAAACTTGGGTTCAGGTGCAACGTATTTTGAAGACAAGAGTGGGATAAGCGTTGATTTGGAAACATCACTGAACTTTTGCCAAGTCACCACAAGAAAGTCTTGACTTTTGGGGTTTAAAACTCGAGCATCCAATCGCATAATTTGTAAGAACACTTGCATGGAATAAGCAGAGAACAACTGCTTAATAGGATCATTTGAAGCCCAAAAGATTTTGAGAAGCTTATTCTCAATGAAGTCAATTAAGAATTCAGCAGTTTCTTTGTAGTCTGTAAAATCAAATAACAAAATTATGTTCTTTTTTATTGACTTGAATTGAAATCTATTCACATCCAATGAACCCATAGCACTCAATACCTTGGCACAACTACAAGCAATCTCTGTGTTTTTGAAGCTGTTTGAAGTGTCCAAAATTTCCCGCACAAGACAACTAATGCTATCCTCCAGTGAAGGGTCCTTAAATATCAGATCTTGACATTGTTGTTGATACTTTGTTAAGTAATTGAATAAATCGTCCAAAGCCTGCTGAACAACATACTTATTTTTGGATTGCAATCTTCTGGTGAACTCAAAGAAATAATTAACTCGTTTAGCTGGTTTCACCAAGGAAAACTCTCTTATTGGTTGGAAATTCTGAATGCTAGTGACAAAGGGAACTGAAAGATAATAAAGAGAATATCCATAATCAGCATAATTTGTTCTAATAATGGCAAACAACTTTCTCAAGATTCCAATAGCCAACTTTTTGGTTTCACTATGAAAGCTTTCAAACTTTTGAAAGATTAATGAGATAATAATATCAAAAAGTGAAAGAAAGCTTTGAGGATTCAAATTATTTACCAAATTACTCCAACATTCCATAGCCAAATATTCAAACTCGGGAGTTTCCAATGTTGCCTGTAAGCAAGTTGATATTTGACCAAGTGCAGTTGTAGCAGATTCCATACTTTTCTCAATCAAATAGTTTATGGCCCGCAATGCTCCTATTCTTTCTAAGTATGGTTTGGCACCTTTAATGTTGTGAACACTCTCACTGAACCTTTGGACAAGTTCTAATACATGCTCATCCAAAAGATACTTAATACGGTTGAAATCTTTCTGAGAAGATCTTGAGTTTCCGGCTGATTGCTTCATGTGAATACTAGAAACAAACTCTAAAGCATTTTCAATTTGCTTCTTGTTGATAAATGAATTACTTTCTTCATCAATTTGAATCTTCAACAAAATATACCAAGTAACTTCACCTGTATTTGTTATCAACTCTTTCATTTTAAGTGATCGAAATTCTGGAGATGCATTGGCTAATAATTGAATGATATACTGCTCATTGATTTCATCCCGAACCAAATAATACGCACATATTCGAGATAAATTCTTTGCCAACAATCGCCATTTTGTTATCTTGCAAGCTTCGGCAATCTCTTGGATATAATCTCTTTTATAGTACTCCAAAAGACTGGGGAGAGTATACTCTTTGGTTCTCGCTAAAAAGTATTCTGGAGTCCAATTTAGTAACTCAATGACCTTGGTGAACATCCGAGGTCTTTTTATGACTAGCTCTGCAATGGTAGGCATGTATGGTGATAAAAGCTTATAAGGAGTCATGGATTTCGCATTTGCAACACTAAGAAACCCCAGGTAAACATAATTGACATGTTGATCGTTCAGTTCCCCTAACAAATCAATCAACTTGATTAAAAGCACATACAAGTGTTCACCTTCACTAACAATTGCCATTTCAACATAACATCTAATAGTTGATTCAGCTAAATGCTTTTGGTTTCTAAAATCAATCTTAGACATTTGAGCAAATAGAGAATTGAATGTACTTTCAAGCTGCTCTCCCTTATCTATAATAAGAAATAAAGGAGTCAATCTTGAAGCTAGAAATCGTACATCTCTATTTCTGTGGGTTAAGAATAAGTGTAAAGATGGACCAAAAGATGAGGGTGAGCTGCTGTTTAACTGTGGTGGAGAGTACGACGCAAATAACTTGTAAAGTGTCAATAAAATATTAGATAGGAGTAAATCCTCATCAACACACCTCATAGACAACCTTATAAGGGTTGAATACAAATTGGAGAACTCCTTAACGTCTTTAATTGGTCTTCTTGTTTTGGAAATCTCCATATACTTATTCTTCTGAAGTGGATTAGGTTCACAAACTGTACAACATTGAGTTTTAAAGTCAAATGTATTCCCATGAATACAAATAAAGTACCCCAATGCTGAAATTAGAGTATAGAATTGAGGCATCAACTCTTTAATCGCATCTGAAGTACATAAAGATCTTTCAAGATTCTCCAACTTCGCCATAATCTTCAGAAGATTGTATCTTCCATTCTTGTCTTTGTAATCAACAAGGGAAGAGACTCTATCCCCTTCCAAGTACCTCAACATAGCAAACGTTTGGTCCAGCTCAATTTCATTATCAGTCTGAATCAATTGTGATTGAATAACTGCCAACAGAGTGTCTTTGAAAGGCACAACCACGTATTGGCTATTTTCTGAAGTTCGCAACCTGTTAACAAGTGAAGTGTTCTTTGATTCCACACTATGACAATACACTATAATATTGATAGTTTTCTTTATTGATGGAGGAAATTCAGATATGGTCTTTGACAATCGACCAGAAGACGTGATAAAGTCGTTTATAATCAATTTTAGCTTTGGCAATTCCATAAAACTGTTTGAAACCCCCGTATCTCGACATAATTTGTAGAGTTTAAGTAGAGAATAACTTATTGAGTTGACCAATGGTTTGGAAGTTGAATGGTTGCAATCCAACATCAATTCACCTTGCCAAGTGAGGACGGCACTGATTTGATTCCATGTTCTATTTGAGTCAATAACCAATCGGTCTGTGATACTCTGTAAGAGGATAACTTTTAGATCATCCAAAAGATGATGAGAGTTTAACTCCAAAAGTATGAAGCACGCTCTTCGGACAAGATTATCGAATTGTAATTGCCACTGGGGTAGAAGTAAATACAAATTGTCTGCAAGGTCGTATTCAATGAAGATCGAACATAAATGAGTCACTTGAAACAAAGTAATGTAGAAATCGCCATTAAGATTGCTTGTTGAAGACGATAGTCGTTTCAAGTTGACATCAATAGTTTGAATAGCAATCTGGGCAAGCTCAACAAAGTGCTTCTTTTCTCGTGCACGGAGATTAAGCACATGGGCCAATCGAATGATGAACAGTCGTAAGATTGGAATTGCTGTAGGCATTGAAGAGCATTTACGGATCAAATGAATCACGTAATGAATAGTCCAAACTATTAAAGTAGTTGATGACGAAGACGACGCCTCATCTGGCCAATAACCAAAATGTACATCTGATTGGACCAATAGAGTCTCCATAAGTTGAGGACATCCTCGGAAGACCGTTTCCACTGTTTCAAATAAGCTGGTCAAGATATGTGACCTATCACATTTTAGGACATTTGCATCCACGAAGGCAAAGATATGAATGGTGGCTCTTTTCAAGTTTGACAAGTCTTTATCACCAGAGAATGAGGCCACTGCTTTGGAAACGTCCTCTAGGAACATATGGATCTCAGATACAGCCAATGACTTCATATCATAGTGGGTGAGCGAACAGATAAATAGGCAAACAGGTAGTCAGACAACCAGAAAGACAAGCAGGCAGACAGAAAGGTTAGCAGACAAACAGACAGACAGGCAGTAACCAGCTTTCAACAGATCTTACAATTATATATGGCTATATTTGAGTATATGTTTAAAGCAAGAGAATTAGTATCAATGTCGCGATGGAACGCGACACCATAACATATGGTACCAGACAATACGAAAGTACAGAGACAGTATGACAGTACAGACTGGAGTATACAAACAACTATAAGCAGTAAAGAACGTAAGGCATTATAATAATATATACCCTAAATACAAGTAAATGAAATGAAGAAATGCTATAGACCTTATTATTATTGTCCGGTAGGATTAATAGGTCTTCTAAAAAGTAAGATATGAGGTTCTGGGGCATGACATTCGTAATGAACCCATCCCAATGATTGGGTGATCCCAAGTCCTCTCCATTCATCCTCCAATAATATTCTCAACGTACCTGTTTCAGGGTTAAAGTAATCTTGAGGAATCACTTTCAACATATTCTTAGGTAGCATAACGTGTCTATACTCATTGTGGTCGTCGGAATATCTAGGACTATAATGAATCATATCTTGAAACTCCAAGATCTTAGACCGTTCTCCTTCATTGAGATATCTAGGCTTGCCACTCATGATACAGATTTACTTGTGTTATATAATTGGTAGTGGCAGGCAACGGTATATGATACTGGTTGATGTTATTGGTTAATGTTATTGGTTCGGTTATCTCCGTTTACTCCTTACTATAATTCCCTTGATTCGGGTTACTGACAATTATTTGGGCCTCCCCCGTTGCACGTCTTTATTATAACAAAATATTGGGTTTCACGATGGCTGTGGTACTTTGTTGTATGGATTGTTACTCTGTTAACTTTTTCTCCCTCCATTTGAAAAAAATACAAACTAATATCAACTTTTGGCCAAAACCACACGACCATATGAACTGATTTACCCAATAGAATCCTAATTGTAGGCGGTGTATTGCGCTATACAATTTGGTCAATCTTGGTTATATAAACCAGAATATAAGTTCCAAATTGGGATAATCTCCGCTTATAGTTTAATCTCAATACTGTTCGGACACCCATTTCTTCTTTGGGTCATTGTGGTTCTGTTTCGGTCTATGTGAATGCAGATGTACATGGTCCGGGTAGGGTTCCCTTCGTTCTTTATCGGTGTATTTTGGACGTTGTTGTTCATGTCGCTTTCTTGAAGTTGGATGATGTTTATCTATTCTGCTTCTTTTGTCATGTGATTTCTTTGCTTCTCTTTTCATTCCTTGTTTGATCATAGCAAGTGGATCATCGCTATAAAGATTCTTTGATGTTGTTGCTGCTGTGGTGGTTCTAGTAACATCGGTTCCTAGAATCTTATTTAATCGGCTATTACGTTCAACATCAAACTTTTTCTTCCCCAGTAGTAATTGCTCAACTTCTTTCTTTCCCACATCAAAATCCCCTTCAACTTCATGAAACCCGTCTTCATTAACAACCCCTTGTGATGATTTGACAGTAGGATCATCATACATCCAATCGAGTTTATTCAACTTCAACCTCTCTGTAGCTGGAAGCTTCAGAAGATCATCTCCATATTGTAACTTGAGTAATTCTAATTTGGTTCTTTCTTCAGCAAGTTCTTGTTGACGTTTCTGAACCTTTTGATGCTCTTTTAATCTATCTTGTTCCTCTTCCCATACCTTTTTCTGGTTCTTGAGTAAACCAGGGTGCCACGACTTCTTGAGATTAAGGTCACTGGGCATCGTAAACAGTAATCAAAGTATGGTATAGTATTGTGGGGAAGTAATGGCCATCCGTCCTTCATTTGAGATGATCATTATTATAATAAGGGATACTCATTTTGTGTCACATTATTGAAATTTCAACAATAACATAATCAAATGAAAGATAAATGAGTTCTACGTAGATTAAAAGAGAGCTCAAAAGTTCAATTGCAATAAGAATTACCAAAGTAACATTAGTATCACCGTTGATGAGAGTGGTGTAAGATAAAATGATGAAACAAATGAATAAACTTATATGCGGCTAGTCAGGTGAGTAGACACATGATAAGATTTGATTGAGTATTTTTCTTTTACCCTTCAGCCACTTTCAAGAAAGGTCCCTTGGCCCAGTTGGTTAAGGCGTGGTGCTAATAACGCCAAGATCGGCGGTTCGATCCCGCCAGGGACCATTCTTCCCCAATAGGGCGTGTGGCGTAGTTGGTAGCGCGTTCGCTTAGCATGCGAAAGGTCTCCGGTTCGACTCCGGACTCGTCCATTATTTTTATTAACATAATCGTAATTAATAGTTACTACATTTGTTTTTTTTTTTTGCACAGCGTATTCATTGGTATTACTTCGTATTACCTTAAGTCATAGTCATGGCCAAGAAGGATAAGAAGTCTAAGGAAGCCAAGAAGGCGCGTACGGCCGAGAAAGCCAAAAAGAACCAACTGAAAGCCGAAGTGAAGAACAAGAAATTGGCTAAGAAACAAGGCGATGAGGAAGAAGAAGATGAAGACATTGATGCCCTTTTAGAAAGAATAGCCAAAGAACAAGAGGAATTTGAGGCCATAAAGATTGAGACATGTTCACATCCAACCAAAAGATTGAACCCTACGATGGTCTCAAGTCCAACTCATGGCAAGAGAGAGATGATCTTATTTGGAGGTGAAGTTAACGATGGGACCAAATCAACTTTCTATAATGATTTGTATACTTATACAATTGATAATGATATTTGGAGGAAGTATACGTCTAAGAATTCTCCTTTACCTCGGTCTTCCCATGCCATGTGTTCTCACCCTTCGGGGATAGTGGTTATGTTTGGAGGTGAGTTCTCATCGCCCAAACAGTCTACCTTTTACCATTACGGTGATACTTGGATTTTAGATGCGGACACTAAGGAATGGACTAAAGTGGACCAGAGGAAGGGCACTCCTTCTGCTCGGTCGGGTCATAGAATGTGTGTCTGGAAGAACTATATACTTTTACATGGTGGGTTTAGAGACACTGGGTCAATGACTACTTATTTAAATGATTTATGGTTATTTGATATTACCAGCTATAAATGGATCCAAGTTGAGTTTCCTCCCACGCTTTCGCTTCCAGATGCCAGATCAGGCCATTCCTTAGTGCCCTGTGCTGATGGGGCTGTCATCTATGGTGGCTACTGTAAGGTCAAAGCTAAGAAGGGCCTACAGAAGGGTAAGGTTCTTAACGATTGTTGGTTGATTAAGATGAAATCTGATCCTAAGGCTATACGGGTCGAGAGAAGAAGAAAGCAAGGGTTTGTTCCGTCTCCCAGAGTTGGATGTTCTATGGTGTACCATAAGAATAGAGGAATTATGTTTGGTGGAGTCTACGATTATGAAGAGAGTGAAGAGCAATTGGACTCCATCTTTTATAATAGTTTACATGCCTATCAAATTGAGACCAACAGATGGCATAATTTGTCCTTGAAACCTCCAAGAAGAAAGAATTTGCTGCAGGCTCAACCAAAGCAGAAGACCAGAGACGAAGATTTGGAAGATATCTTAAACAATATTTTGAAGAATGCTCATTTGGAAGACACTGATGAAGCTGCAGACGTGGAGATGTCCCAGATTGAAAGGTTAAGGAAGTTGGAAGAAGAGGAAGAACAATTGAGAGAAAAGAAAGAGTTTGTGGTAATGAACCAGTTGCCTCACCCAAGATTCAATGCTACCACGTGTATTGTTGATGATACATTGTATATATTTGGAGGTATATTTGAACGTGGAGAACAAGAGTTTAATTTGGATTCTCTTTATGCCATTGATATGGGTAAATTGGATGGTGTAAAGGTCCTTTGGGAAGACTTGAGTGAACTTGATAAAGAAACTGTTATCTCCGATGACGAAGAAGGCGACGACGATGAGGAAGACGAAGAAGAGGAAGAAGTACAAGACGACGACGAAGATCAAGAAGACGATGACAATGACGATGAAGAAGACGATGACGATGACGAGGAAGACGAAGAAGAAGATGCATTCCCTGATGATAGACCATGGCTTCCACATCCTAAAGCATTTGAAACGTTGAGAGCCTTCTATGTACGTACAGGTGCTCAATTCTTGGAATGGTCCATCTCAAGTAACCGTGATGCCAGAGGAAAGGACTTAAAGAAGGCAGCCTTCGATATCTGTGAAGATAGATTTTGGGAAAGAAGAGATGCTGTTGCTGTTGCTGAAGAGAACTTAGAAGAGTTGGGTGGTGTAGGTGAAGTTATAGAGAAGGACACCACCAAGATTACCAAAAGAAGATGATAGAATTAGATGTAAATATATATTTTAAGCAAAGTGAATGCCAACTTGGTGAAATGCGTACAATAACTTTAAGAAGTCTGTTTGGTCCATTTTGGAAGCTCTTTGTTCAGCAAACCCGGTCTCTGTCAACACCTGTGCTACCTTTTCCTTTATAAGTGGAAGATAATCTTGTTTGTTATCAAGCATCATTGAATCGTTGTTGCTGTCAGCACTTTGAGTAGATAAATAAGTTTTATAATTCTTTTCTAACATTTCCATGATGTTAGCAGCTTTGAACCCAGCAGAAATGGTTCTATTCTTTCTACCAAAACATATCCTTAATAAACCATCCCATTCTTCGAAATCAATATTAGGCTTAGGAGATTTGATTTCGATTCTCACCACAGATGATTCAACATCCGGTGGAGGACGGAAGTTGTTCTTTCCTACCTTCATAATGTGAGTAACGTTAGCCCACATTTGTACGTTGGCAGAAAGTCTACCGTATAATGCATCTCCAGGTCTTGCCAATAGTCTCAAGGCAAATTCTCTTTGAAACATAAGAATGGAAACTCTTGGAGGATTGGGTTGATTTAATAATTTGAATACCAATGGTGATGAGATTTGATAAGGAGTATTCGATATACAAACATCAAAATATGGTAATTCTGTCTTCATAAAATCCCCCAATAAGATTTCTAATTTCTTTTCTTGTGGTGTTCCATGAACACGTTTAGATAATTCTGCAGCCATACGAGGATCCATTTCCACAGCAATAACTTTACGGGCTTGCTCAAGTATACGAACAGTCAAATTCCCTGTACCAGGTCCAACTTCGAGTACTGTCTCGCTGGGACGAATGCCGGCTTTATCAACAATTCCTTGGGCCACTAAAGGGTTCTTTAAGATATGTTGACCCAAGTTCGTGTTGAACTTGAAAACTGTATTGGCATGTTTTTCCGCACTGACAGTTTGTGCTGAGCCGCTAGTCAGCGTAGAGAACTTCTTCTTGGGTGCCTTCGCCATAATGAGAAATGTATGTGTATATAACGGTAAACATATACTTAAACCATCTCATCTCATCTCATCTCATCTCATCGCACCTCTGGGTTGATCTCCAATTATCACCAAAGTCGTGCACCGACCAAAGGAAAAACTGAGGACGCGACACTTGAAACAACAAACAAACAAACAACAAACGGTTAATTGACTATCGGTTTTCCTTCTTTCTCTCACTTTCATTAAGCCGACCTTCAACAAACGATAGCAGCAGAAATGTGGTGATGGTCCCGACACAAACGGAATTGCAGGCAATAGCGGCTGTTCCCGAGCTACAGGTGTATCCTGATTGGGTGGCATCAGATCATGGCGTATTACAGGTTCGCACAGTCAACGGGATGTTGGATGAAGTTGGCCAATTTTTAGATGCAGTTGCTGGCAACGTGAAATTTAGTGGTGGACAATTGGATGACGCATTGTGGATGCAAGGAGCTTCGAAAGCCCTTTCCCAAGTCATTAGAGATGTAGAGGTTGCTGATGCAGTGATAGGATCGGTGTTGAAATGGATTGAAACTAGTGACGGTTCAGAAGATGTGAAGATGTTGGGTGAAAAGGCTGATACTATGGCTATCAGGCAATTTGAGGTGAAGAAAAGAACACATCCTATTAAACGACGATTAGATGTGTTGGCTAACTTTGACGATGTCAATAATATAGTGATTGGAAGTCTTGGTAAAGAGGTTGATAATTTTATGGAAGAGTTATCGAGTATCCTGGCATCTTCAGTACGATTGTTTAGACTGGAGGAGGATAAAGTTGATTTTGAATGGGAATCATTACTTTCCAAAATAAAGAGGGAATCACTGTCGACCGCTTTACATTTACATCTTCCGACGTTTAATGAAGAGGATCAGAAAATGTATGAAGCTTATATTCAATTAGAAATGCGGATGAATCCTTTGAAAATTGCCTTGGATGTTATTCCCATGAGGGTAGACCAATTTGCAATGATTTCAGGTTCATTATACCCTGAAGCGTTAGCTGAATTATCCGCCAATCATAGCGTTTTAACCAAAAAATGGAATTACTTACAGCATGAAATGAATCTTTTCCGCAGGTCATATGTGGATTCTAAGTGGTGTCAAATCTTTGGGTTTCTTACCGAATCACTTTTGAATAAATGTAATGAATTAAGTGAACATTTAAAGATCCTGGTGGAAGTATCCAATGAAATTGCATCTTCATACAAACTATGTTCTCAAAGTGTCAATATTTTGGCTCAAATTCTAAGTGATAAACTTATTACTGATACAAGACTTATTCGGAAATATAACAATAAAGTTCTTGTTAAATGGGAGAAGTTGAATGAAATAATGTCATATATAAAGCCACCTGAACTGGCAGAACGGTTAATTCCAACAGAAAGGAATGGGTTTAGCCTAGGTTTGGGGATTGAATCACCAGCTATCCCATTTAGTATTGAAAAGAAAGATCGTATTAGAGATATCTTTTTGGAAGATATAGATGGTTCATTTGAAGTTGAACCTGATAATGATAATTTGAAACGTTCATTGAAATCAGGACTTCTACAGGAGTTCATAGCCACCACAAACGGTAAGCTTTTAGAACTTATTAAACAGCTTAGTGTACCTCGATTTCCAACCCGAATTCCCATTATAACTCAGGACTTTGTTCAACAAGGTTATCCCAGAGTTAAAAAAAAACGACTTGGAGAAGCTCCTAAATCTCGAATACCAGCAATAAGTCCTACACATTCTGTTTTTGTTTCTCCACTTCGAAGCCCATTAGTCAATGTAAATGAGTCGTCCATTGATACAAAGAGAATACTTGAAGTGACTACACCCAAGTTATCACATCCAGATAACGCATACAATACTCCATCACCAGCCATAATATCTTCATCACCAGAGAGACCAGAATCAGCCATAGGCCATCGTTTCAATGATAAGCATCTTGTACCCCCATTTCGACATAAACACCTGTGGAAATAAACCATAAGCATCAACATATAGCATTAAATAAATAATTGTAAGTATATACAAGTTTACTCTTAGTTGTTTAGTTCTTCAGTGGAGAAGAACTACTACTCTCAACATCCTTTGGTTTAGGCATGGTATCACTAGTGAACCCATCAAGAAAATAATCTCTGCCAAAGAGCTTATAGTACCAACTATTCCTTTCAGTTTGCCATATTTTCTCTTCATCCCAAGGTATAACTTGTCTGTCATCCGTGAGTTCACCTCTTTGGACTCTCTTGACGGACTTACCCTCTAATCGTCTCCAAAGTTCGTACCCCGTGACTATTACTAATGGCAACGCCCCGAATATCATAAGAACACCTCTGGCTCGGGTCTTCAACAGTTGGGGCATGTGTTTCCAATTGATCTTGCCAGTTTCTCTGAACTTCCTGTAGTATTCTGCTTCCTCATCTCTAATTGGCTTTGGTTTGTTCATTGGCTTGGGCTTGGGTTTTGGCTTGGGAATGGAGCCCGCAAACTTGTTGATGCTTCGTATGGAGATCCTGTTCATTGCTAATGGGGTTCAAAAGGAGTTTGAGGGAAGTAATTAAGTGGTACAGATGGTTAATACGCTGGTGATTTATTTCATGGATTGCTTACATAAGCCATTACATAACCACTAAGTTTAAGTTTTATGACTATACTTTTGAATGATGTTAAGAATGAACAGAAGACAAGTATCATACCGTAGTACTGATATCAAACTGTCTTAATACAATAAACTGCATCACAGTTTATTTTAGACCTTAGTTGAAGTATTAAAGGCACAACACGGTACATCGCATTGTAGTAATGAAACAAAGCATGATAACTAGACACATCGTAGTGTGACATAGCACGCTACAGCAACAAAGGACAGACTGTGCTACCACAGCAGTTAACACTGCAGTTTATAGCATTATAATACCAGTACAGTATGAAGAGGAGCAGTGTAAAAGAGTATAGTAAAATTACAGAGACTGCATATTAGAAGATCGAACCAACTAGAGTTACCAAGAACAAGGTAGACTGTAGAATGTGTGGAATTATATCACAGCATTGCAAAGTATAGCATTATAACATTACAGTGATATATCTCAGTGATATAATACAGTATAACAGTATATGATATAACTGAGTATACCCTAAATCACCGTCACGTGCACACAACCCGCGCTACCAATACACAATATGTATACCCAAAAACAATCTCTATGTTTATATTATGGAAACCTTGTGCTTCTGTCTTCTATCTCTTTCCCCACATAAACTATGATTAACACTCGTTTGGTCCAGAAGTACCCCAAAGGAACATCTCCGGTAGTTTACGGGACCGCCGGGTTCCGGATGAAGGCCGATCTTTTAGATTATGTCACCTTCACTGTCGGAATCATTGCCAGTTTAAGATCCAAGAAGTGTGGAGGTCAAGCTATCGGAGTTATGGTCACTGCGTCTCACAATCCTCCGCAAGATAACGGAGTTAAGGTGGTAGATCCATATGGTGACATGCTACAAGCTTCATGGGAAACCTATGCTACTCAATTGGCCAATGCTGATCACGAACTGTTGTCTTCTGTGGTTGCATCTATTGTTAGCAAGGAGAACATTTCGCTAGGTGTTGAAGCCAATGTTATCATTGGTAAGGATTCTCGAGAATCAAGTGATCGTTTGGCACAAGCTGTTGCCGATGGAGTTTCGGTGATTGAGAATGGTTTATCCAAAGACTATGGGTTACTTACCACTCCCCAATTACACTATTTGACCAGATGTATTAATGACTCACAATTTGGAGTCCCTACAGAGGAAGGGTATTATAAGAAGATGGCCGATTCCTTTATGGAGATCTTCAAGTTAAACCACGATAATGAAGGCACTAAGATTTCTATAACCATTGATAATGCTAATGGGGTTGGAGCACCTAAAGTCAGTGAATTATTGGGGACTTATTTGAACAGCGTTATTCAAGCAGAAACTGTTAATACCAGTTACGATATTCCTTCGAAATTGAATGTGGAATGTGGTGCTGATTTTGTTAAAACCAATCAAATTTTACCTGGAGGAGTTAAACCTATTACCAATCAACTTTATGCTTCATTTGATGGTGATGCCGATAGATTAATTTGTTATTATCAAAATTTCAAGGGTCAATTTAGACTTTTAGATGGCGATAAGTTATCCACTTTAATTGCATCATTTTTCCAGAAAGTTCTTTTAGATTTACCTGAATTGAAATTGGATATTGGGGTTATTCAAACAGCTTATGCCAATGGATCTTCCACACAGTATATACAAGATGTCTTAAAGATCCCTGTTAGATGCACACCTACTGGGGTTAAACATTTACATCATGAAGCTTTAAATTTTGAAGTGGGGATTTATTTTGAAGCTAATGGTCATGGAACAGTTGTATTTTCTAAAGAAGGCGAGGCCAAATTATTTGATTATAAACCACAAAATGAAGTTGAACTGAAGGCTTTAATAGCTTTACAACAATTTTCCAAACTTATTAATCAAACCGTTGGAGATGCCATTAGTGATTTATTGGTGGTATTAATGATTTTGAATTATCTTAAATTATCACCAGATCAATGGGATAATTCTTATGAAGATTTACCCAACAAATTAATCAAAGTAATTGTTCCTGATAGATATTTGTTCAAAACAACCAACGCAGAACGTACTCTTGTTGAACCTGTGGGGTTACAAGAAAAGATTGATGAATTGGTCAAGAAATACCCTGATGGTCGTTCATTTGTTAGAGCTTCGGGTACTGAAGATGCCGTTAGAGTTTATGCTGAAGCCAGTACAAGAGAGGGAGTCAACGAATTAGTTCAATTAGTTGGACAATTAGTTGAGAATAATTAATTGGTTAGGCTTTATCAATGCTCTATTTTGTTTCTCTCTTATATTCACCTGGGGTTACCAACTTATTTCCTAAAGACCATAACCCCTTCCCTTGACGTTTGGCTTTAGCTTCTAACGTTCTATATTTCAACTCACTATCTCCAAATTCAGCTGTGGCCTTACTTTCATAAACCACTGCCATGCCATTTCTAACCATTTCTGCACTAACATCTCTTAAGCCTGTCCAAGTCCACACTTGACATCTGGCCACTACTCTTTTATATTGATCTATGGAATATGGAGTGATTCGAACGTTCCGTTGGAGTATGTAGTTCTTCAACCAGTTCAATGCTTCTTCACTATAAGGTTGAGCTTTATTACCGAAATGAGCTCTTTCCGGTGCATCTATACCACATAGTCTAATCAGCAAAGTCTGGTCTTTAAGTTCTTTAGGCAAGGCAGGTACCTTACGTAGCCAACCCCAACCACCTTTAATGCCTCCTGGAGTATGAAAGAATCTGAAGTTATCTCCATCTCCAACTCGAGTAACCCGTCCATACATCTTGTGACCATTCTGAAGCATTCGGGGCGTAAGTTCAAGATACGTGGACACTCGCTTAATGTACCGGTGGTACACTCTCAAGCCAAGAAGCACACATGACACCAGACCTCCAGAAAGAAGAAGTACTTGTGGGTGTAAAAGTCCTATAGAGTCATCCATAGCCGTAGGTCAGCCAGTGCAGTAATATAGTAGTAGTCCTAACTGTGTTGGTGGTAAGTGCACTTTATTGATGAGATTGAATCGTCTATATTCAGTCTTGAAATGCAACGTATGTGGGGTATGGAAAACGAATGAACTTTTCTAGTACAGCGTAATAGACATACATATACGTATGCATATGGCTGCAAATGTATGTATGCAAATGTATGTATGTATGTAGGTATATGTACCTACTGTTAGACTATAAGCTATCAATCTTGGGTATGGTTCTCGCATGCATTGATGTTCGAACCTGAACAAGGTTAATTCAGATGCGCTGTCTAGCACAGTGCGACTGGTGCTACCACTATCGCAAATCTCTACTATCTTATATACAAAACCCAAATAAACGGTATTGTGACTAAAGATTATACTACCATACTAATTACCTATTAATAACTCCAAGCCCAATTAGAAACCACTTTAGCAACGGATGTTAGAAGACGGGGAATACGATATTGATCTTCTGGCACTCTGGGTTCCGTCGGAAGCGACCGGACCCGTCAACAACAGCAATAATGCCGGCCACGGCCAGGGCCAAAGACTATGGAACAATACAGGTTCAGGCCCTAGCAGCACCACCACTAATACTACTACTGGATCTGTGGCTATAAGATATGGATTCATACCTGAAGGGATGGATTCCAAGGGACCACTCACTATGTACTTTAGCGAACAAGAATGGCTTCTACAAGCAAGCTCAACCGACAAGAAGCCGATCATATTTGAAGGTTTAGAACAACATCTGAGTAGTTTGGGAGGAGATGAAAATGACTCGTATTATTTTGTCTATGATCCAAAAAACACTCCCAATCAGATCCAATTGAAGCCACTCAGCACGGCTATAAGGTTCAACAAGTCAAGGAACGCCCAACGACTACAGAAACGGATCCAGAAGTGGCATGACGACAACGAAGGTAATACCACTGTGGGTGGTGATGGCAATAGACAATCAACTACGCTGATCAAGAGTCCACCCAAGATACAGAGAGAGCAACCACGTCAACACTCCTCGTTAAAAAGGCCTCCTGTAAAGAAGACAGACTCCAATATCATTAGTGAATCTGATTTTGAAGATCTAGACGAAGAAGAAGAAGGAGAAGATGTTTCATTCCCAGTGTTTGAGATCAAAGATGATGATGATACTAAAGAACCCCCGGCCAAGCCTAAGGCGTCTAGAAAGCCTATGGCGAACAAGCAGCTATTCAAAACTAGAAAAAAAGATTCTCTTGAAGACGATTTTAAGGATCTAGAAGACCAACTAGCTGAAGTTTTAGAGGACGAAGAGATTGGAGACGACGAACAAGAACAAGAACCAGAAAAAGATTCCGATCAAGAAAAGGCAACTGAAAAGGAGCCTGAAAAGGAAGCAGAGCATGTAATACAAGACCAGTTTAATTCCAGTAATGGCCTTAGCCACGAATTTGATTCGGACTCTGACGAAGATGGTGATTCAGATAATAACAATAATTCAGCTAGCAACACTATGCCTGTGGCATCTTCAGTATTGTTAATTAATGATGGAGAGGACGATGAGAAACCAGTTACCAAGACCCCAAGCGCCTTTGAAGGAGCATTTGATTCCGCAAAGAAACCGATGAGCTTGAGACAATTGATAGGTGGTGGGTCTAACGACGAGGAAGATAATCTTAGTATGAGTGAAGAAGAGTAAAATTGTATTAAACTATTTTAGTGGAAAGAATATAAATTGGGTCAATTGGTTTATCATCACCATCTGTTGGAGCTTCCTCTATCTTCTTTACCACGTCAAATCCTTGTACAACTTCACCAAACACAGAATGTTGATTGTCAAGCCAAGGGGCTTTTCCGGTTGTTATAAAGAATTGTGAGCCATTTGTATTTGGTCCAGCATTAGCCATACTAACCATAAACGGCTTACAATGAGTTAATTCACCAGAAAACTCATCCTCAAAATAGTCTCCCCAAATAGATTCACCTCCAGTTCCGTCACCCAACGGATCGCCTGTTTGAATCATAAACCCTTTAATTATTCGATGGAAGATGACATTATCATAATATTTCTTTTGGCAAAGTTTGATAAAGTTTTCACAAGTTTTAGGGACTTGATATACAAAGAGTTTAATTGTGAGTTGCCCCAACGAAGTATTCATTATAATGGTTTTGTTCTGAGAATTGTTGGGTGAAGCTTTGCTCTCTGTCTTCTTCTCTGTTTGACCATAAACCACAATATTTTGACTACCACTAGTTCTTAATAAGATCAGAAAATCTCTGTTATCAAACAGCCTTGCTTCCGATTTGTTTATGAATACAATAAACTGATCAATTGGTTGATTCAATTGAAATTCAATTATTTGCAACTCAAGTCCAGTATCAGCGTCATACACAACAAGTTGATCATTTCGACTATAGAAAAGTTGATTCAGTTTAAAGGTCATCGTCGTGCCTACCTTCAAGGGCCCTGCTATGGTATGAAGAACCTTCCCACTAGGAACATGGAATATTCTTATGATGTTATCGGAAGATAATGTGGCCAATAACAGTCCTTCAGAGTTGATAGTCATGGATATACAGTTGGTTTTCAATCGTGCATGAATTACAAGATCGGTTTGACCTTTATACTGGAATTCTACTCCTAAAAGCAGACTGTTATCATCACCGTTTAAATTCCAGTACTCTATTAGACCCTTGATATCGGAAGAAATTACATATTGGGATTTAGTATTATATACCAAACACAAGATATCAGATTTGTGAATTGAAGGGCCCTCTTTAAGTTCCAGAGTCTCGGTGTTAAGAGTATAGATGTGAGTCTTATTAGAGATAATCACACTCTCGTTGTTAATGAAGATACAATTAAGCAGATCAGGTTTGAAAGAGAGTTCGACCACATGACTTACGTCCAACAAACGTAAGTCAACCACTACGGCTTTTTGCATAGTACTGGAAAAGCATATTGCTGTGTATCCACTGGGTGAGACAGAGACGGATGTCACGGGCTTGTTTGCAAACACTGCGAGCGATTTCTTTAAGGTGGGTAAAAGGTTTGAGCCTTTGTTTTCGGAATTTCTGTTCCATAATTGAAGCGTTCCATCAGCAGTACCGACAAACACCTTTTCTTGAGTGGACGCAATGAATGATACAGACGTTGTGCTCAACTCATGCTGGGGATAGAAGGAACTGATTTTAGTTGATTTTGGTTTCTTCAGGGGCACATAACTGGTATCCTCTTGATGATCTCGTTTAGACATTAAGTGAACTGTGATTAATGATTAAACGATGATGATTGGTGTTGCTAGTAATAAAGTTGAGAGGCACACCTCGGAATTGCTGATTTCCGAGGATCAATAAGGTGAGTGTTATATTTGCTTTCTTACTAGAGGATAGTATAGAAGTTTAACCTGGGGTATGTAGAGAAGCATGCAATATGATGCATGGAAGTATAATACATTGCAGCAGAAGTGTGTGAAGCAGAAAAGAGCGTCGATTTGTCACATGCAACGGGACTGTTCTGCATATGAAGGGAAAAGTGTTGTTACCAATATGGAAATGATAACAGAATTAGGTTTCTAATCTAACTGTAGAACATTAGGCTCATATGTGGTAAAGCCTAATTAAGACATTATGGACTCACATACCTACGATCTGCTCAACAGTCGCATAGAAAGTGCCCACATATACGTTGGAGAATCCAAAACAAATTCTATCTACAGGGACCTAACGGTGCTAGCCAAAGAAATCGAGAAGATATATAATGAACATCCACAGTATCAGACACTTTATGATACTATCACCAAGCTCGACATCTGGGATAAGTTTAACCCAGACAACATAAATAGTGAAGAAAATGATAACGACGACCAACAGCAACTACAAATGCTTGGTATAAAGTATCCCTCAGTAATCCAAGCGTTAAACACATTGGCTCAACTAAGCACAATGGATATCAACAAGATTTTAAACTGTGTGTCAGTGGCTGGATCAAAGACGCAACCGAACATGAATCAAGTAACTGCAGACGCACTACAGCACGAGGAGCGCGTCAAGCAAGTGACACATTTTTTTCACAAACTAGTAGTGAAAAGTCTTATTGTACTCGAGCGTTATGCACAAGTGATAGATAACGAGAACAGGTTCTGGATTCAAGTGGAAGAAAAATTATCAGCTTCTTTAAATAGAGACAACACTAAACTCTACAACAAGTACTAACAAAGTAACAGCATCAAATATTAATAGCATAAAAAAGCGAACGGTATTAAGCGAAAGTAGAAAAAGGGATTGTTAAGAATGTTCATACAAACATCAAGGCCATGAATATCATGGAGATAAACGACAAACTTGGAGAAGGAGATTCTCCTACACCTTCATAAGTCACGATGCTGGGGCTGCTTACCACGGCTGACGATGTCACTTCGCACGGCACCACTGTGGTGATTGTGATAGGCAACTCAGTGCACTGGTTCCCGTTGCATTCAGTGACAACCGTAGTGGTGACAACTTCAGTCAAGGACCCTGGTGCAGTGGTGATAGCGGTATCGGACCCAAGCCCAGTGCTAACGGATACGTCAGGCACAGTAGTGCTAACGGATACAGTGACCCATTCACCAGTGCTTGACTCAATGGCGCACTCACCAGTAGTGCAAGCAATAGTCTCAGTAGTGTGTTGGGTGATTGTAAGAGTGCTTACAGTATCAGCAGGACCAGATGGGGCAGGACCAGTAGGGGTAGTGGTGTCAGCTGAACCGGAAGGGGAAGCGGACCCATTTGGTGCAGCGGTGTCTTGGGTATTTGTAGGTGATCCTTTCTCTGGAGCGGATTCAGTTGGGGTGGTGGTATCAACTGTAGAAGCATTAGTTGGTTGTTCAGGAGTTGTTTCTTCACAAGAGGTATCTGCTGGAGTAGGATTGGCTGCAGTATCAACTGACGCCGAAGATTCTACTGGAGCTAAAGTAGATTCTACTGGGATTGTTTCGTCTGGTTCAGTAATGGTAAGAGTGACAGTGCTGGTAATAAAAGTAGTTGATCCAGATACTGAAGTTGAAGTGGTAAAAGTTGTGATGATATGAGCAGTGGAAGCTTCATCATCATAAGTATTCTCATCTTGATCCCAGTGCTTTCCACCAAACAACTTCTTGTGTTTAAATCTCTTTTCCAAGGCATCATTCCAACCACAATCAGCCGAGGTTGAGGTCTCTGGCCCCTTCATCATCGACTTGATCATACCAAAGTTTCTCTTGTCAAGCTCAGGACAATCGGTAGTAGCAGAAGCTGTGGTCATGGTAAAAGTGTCGCAGTCTGCAGTAGAGGTTGTAGAAGTAGTACAATCCGAAGAGGTGGTCGAGGTACCCTTCTTCTTCATCATCTTTGATTTGATCATGTTAAAGTTTCTCTTTTCAACTTCAGGACAGTCAGTGGTAACTGGGGCGACAGTCAAAGTGGTGCAGTCATCAGTGGTGGTAGTAGTAGGAGTGGTACAGTCATCACTGGAGGGTGTCGTAGTAGTACAGTCTTCAGAGGTTATTGAAGTGGTGTTCTTCTTCATCATCATCTTGGACTTCATTTTGCCAATCATATTAAAGTTCCTCTTCTTAAGTTCGGGACAATCGGTGGTGGTAGGATCTGGTGTCTCGGTAGAAGTATCACAGTCATCTGTAGAGGTTGTAGAAGTGATAGTGGTAGTACAGTCGTCAGTTGATGTAGTAGAAGTGGTCTTCTTCTTCATCAACTTTGACTTGATCATGTTAAAGTTTCTCTTTTCAACTTCTGGACAGTCGGTGGTAACTGGAGCGACAGTCAAGGTGGTACAGTCATCACTGGTGGGTGTCGTAGTAGTACAGTCTTCAGAGGTTATTGAAGTGGTCTTCTTCTTCATCATCATCTTGGACTTCATTTTGCCAATCATATTAAAGTTCCTCTTCTTAAGTTCGGGACAATCGGTGGTGGTAGGATCTGGTGTCTCGGTGGAAGTATCACAGTCATCTGTAGAGGTTGTAGAAGTGATAGTGGTAGTGCAGTCGTCAGTTGATGTAGTAGAAGTGGTCTTCTTCTTCATCAACTTTGACTTGATAATGTTAAAGTTTCTCTTATCAACTTCTGGACAGTCGGTGGTGCCTGGGACGACAGTCGAAGTGGTGCAGTCTTCAGAGGATGTTGCAGTTGTCTTCTTCATCATCTTGGACTTCATTTTGCCAATCATATTAAAGTTCCTCTTCTTAAGTTCGGGACAGTCGGTGGTGGTAGGATCTGGTGTCTCGGTGGAAGTATCACAGTCATCTGTAAAGGTTGTAGAAGTGATAGTGGTAGTGCAGTCGTCAGTTGATGTAGTAGAAGTGGTCTTCTTCTTCATCAACTTTGACTTGATCATGTTAAAGTTTCTCTTTTCAACTTCTGGACAGTCAGTTGTAGTAGGAACTGGAGTCATAATTGAAGTCTCACAATCATAAGTTGAACTGGAAGCAGCAGTAGTAGTGACGGAAGTAGTACAATCAAAAGTAGACGTGACAGAAGTATTACAATCTGTGGTAGATGTTGTCTTCTTTTTCATCAACTTAGACTTCATCTTACCAAAGTTTCTCTTTTCAAACCCAACCCCTTTATCTGCAATATAGGCTCCATTTGCTCCAGCAACAAAGAAAATACATGCACCTACAGCAGATGCCAAGTTAAATTCAACAGATGCAAGCACCTGGACAGCGCACATGACGGATGTAATAGCAGCTAATCTCATGTTCAAGTGTTAATTGTGATGATACGTAAAATGTCGACATACGAAATGGTAATACATTGTACGGATATTTATATGTCTTCGGTTGAAGATAATAATCGTAAGAAGTTTGATGGTGGGTGCACTTTTTTGCAGCCATCAAGCTACGAGCCGCAGCAACTAACATTTACACACGCAATATTTTTTAGTCTCTATATTTTTCTCCATATATACGACGTAGCCACATGCAGCAACAAGCATACATAATGTGCCATGCTGTACACACAGTATGCAAGGGTTTTTTGGGAGCCATAAGCAGAATATCACATAACAAAGCCTTCCCCATTAGACGGAAATAGTCTTCCATACATTCAATCCTTCTCCACCAGTTGAAACCAAGCAACCAGGGATCTGTTTATGCCATCTTACATCCTTAACGTCCTTTTGCCAATGAACAAATAAAAGTTGAGGGGGGATATCGTTCAATTCCTTAATTTCTTTTCTTTGGTTTGCAATTTCTTCATCATCGGCTTCAACTGCCAAATCCCATAAGGTAACCGTATTGTCTTCCGAAGAAACGGCAATAATAGACTCATCCAAGGGATTAAATGAAATGGAAGTAATAGGAGATTTATGGAATTCATAATGAGCAACTGGAGAAGGTGCTTGACCTTGACCAAAACTCCGTAAATCCCAAACTCCCCAAGTACCATCATCATGACCACTTGCTAATAAATGGTTAATTCTAGAACACCACGAAATAACGTTGACGTCAGATTTTGAGGCTACTACCGAAATAGCAGGCTTATGTTTCTTGGAACGAGTATCCCAGATGCGAACATAACCATCAGTACCACCAGTAGCAAAAACAGTAGCTTCACCAGTTGACCATTGAATGTCTTCAATTGATGCTTGGGAAGCAGAGAAGGGTGTTTTGTCTGTAACCCAACTAGATGTAGTTCTAGAAGTCAAATGGATTCTACCAGAGCAATCCCCTGATAATAAGGCACCTGTTTGTGTAATGGGTGACCAGTCTAGTCCATATCCTTCAACGTTCCCGTGGTTTCTAATTGTATGGATGGGTCTTTTAGAGGTTTTGGGGATTACGTAACCTGGAGTATCAAAAGCCTTAACTTGAGGACCCAAATCATAAATAAACACTTCACCGCTTTCGGACATTGTGGCTGTTAGGTATTCACCAGTTTCCTGAGAGTGTGGAGATACTCTAATTCTGTTGGTTGTATGTTTCAAGGGGATGGTTTCACTATCCATGATTGGATCTGAATCATCACCATCTTCTTCTTCGTCTTCATCTTCATCTTCGTCGTCATCTTTGACCAAAGTTTTGGCAAGAGATGAAAGCTTCATTGTGATTAACTCATTATCTTTATTCTTGGAGGCTTGAGTAGCTGTGGTCAAGTATACGGAAGCAGGATAGGTTCTACGTTCACTACCCAATGAATCTGGCAACACATCCACGGTCAAACATGGCCACGGCAAGTTGACATTGTGCAACATCTCGTAGACGGTTGGATCGGCTTCTAACACTTCATCTGGTCCTAAAGGTTTAGAGCGATGTGGCAAGTAAATGGTGGACTCATCCAATTGTTCTTGTTGAGCATCTTGAGCCAAAATAGCTTGTGCCTTGTTTTGCTGAGTCTCTTCGTCGACCTCAATGCCGTCATCATCTTCATCATCGTCTCCGTCCAACTCAATGATTTCACCGTCACTTTCAAACTCATCTCCGTAAGGGTCTTCAAACTCTCCCATTTCGGTGTCGTTCGCTTCGCCGTCAACCACACTTCCACTCACAGGAGGAACTGTTCCGTTTTGATGCTTAGCCGCACCCAGGCCAGACCCATGGTCCAAGTCCTCGGATGCACTTCTCTTAGACATTGTTACTGATAGTGTTAACGTATAGTGATGAGTTTAGAGTTTGTCTTGTCTCATCTCATCTCATCTCATTTCGTATGTGAAAAGAAAATCATCACCAAAACCTGCACATGGAAGAGCGCGCGCTCCCGAAAAAATTAAACCATCTTCATATTAGGTTTACCAAACCAGCCATTGCTAAACCTCCTAGTTCAACTTTTTCATATAGTTTGTTGCTTATTTGTTGTTTTGTTCCTTTCATCCGCTCCCATACGTTAGATCGGACACATGGAACGTAAAGCGTTTCTAGACCAAGAACCCCCTCCAGGGTACGTGGCTGGTGTTGGTAGAGGTGCAGTTGGGTTTACAACCAGTGCCACCAGCTCAGGAATACTATCTACCCTGGGGAACGATTACAACAATGGAAATGGCTCCATAGAAATCAATTCTAGCGATAAAGAAGACGATCCCGAAACTCACTGGACTCTAGCAACGTCAACAAGTAAAGATGATGATGATCAAATGGCCGATAGAATCTATGAACTGATAGATTCAAAAATGGGCGTGTTCAAACACAGTGGTAGCACCAATGAAGATAATTACATTACAGTGGATAGGCTTTCTATGGTCTCAGGAGGGCTTACGGCTGATTTTGCAAATTTAAAGCGCGGATTAGCAGGTGTCACTGTTGAGCAATGGGCACTGCTACCTGAAGCAGGTGATATGACCCGACGTAATAAGCGTACAAGATTGCTTGAGAAACTGCAACAAAGATTTTACGCCGCACCCGATGTACTTCTTGCCTCCGATCGGCCAAAAGAGGACACCAGCGCTACCAATTTTGAGCTGATCTCATCGGCCAAGGATGCACTTTTGAGCCGACATCTTGATAGTTTGGTTCCTACTGCCACTACACCTAATACTACTGTTCAAGATTATAATGATGCAATCAGAGAAGTGGAATCTGAAAGTAGAATTGCCATTGCGGATTTGGAGAAGTCTCGACTGGCACTTGCTTCACTTCGAAGAGTTGAGCCCTATAAAGCTGAATCATGGATCGCTTCAGCACGATTGGAATTAGAGATGAAAGAATATAAAAGAGCTAAAAGCTTAATCATTGAAGGATGTGAGAGAGTACCACGAAGTGAAGACGTATGGTTGGAAAGTATTAGAATCCATCAGAATTCTTTCGAAACCAATAAACTTTGTAAACGTATAGTTGCAACTGCATTATCTATTCTTCCTACTTCATCCAAACTTTGGTTAAAGAGTGTTGATTTGGAGAACTCATCAGATATATTTGCTAAGAAACGGGTAGTTCAAAAGGCCTTGTTATCGTTGCCTCACAATGGATCTCTTTGGAAACGATTAATTGAGCTTGAAGATGACACCACAACGGTCCGAATGCTTTTGAAGAAAGCCATAGAGATGGTTCCTCAAGAATGGGATTTCAGACAACGTTTGATCGAACTAAGCGACTATGAAGATGCACGGAAAGTACTCAATTCAGCTTTAAAGACAATGAAAGATGACTATAGAGTCTGGATCACTGCAATCAAAATAGAGGAAAGTGAGAAAGGTACTTCCGTAAATGTCAACAAGCTAGAGAAAATGATTCTAAAGGGTATAACTCAACAATCACTAGCTCACTTGGACTTAAGATTCTGGTTGAATGAAGCAGCAAAGTTATCGCACGAAGAAGGGTATCATGAGTCAACGAAAGCTATAGTGTTTAGTGCTCTTGAATCAAAGGGTGATCTAGTTGAATGGTTATCGGAAGCAGAAGAATTTTCCAACTTAAATGAAACTCAAGTAGTTCAATTGGTATATGAATTCATATCAGGAAAGCAACCAGATAATGAAGAAGGTTGGATCAGATTATTGAATATTCTCAAGAATGGATCTCAACAGAATCGTCTATTCGAATACTACCATAAGGCCCTTAAAGCTTTACCACAGAATGAATCACTTGTTATAATGTTTGCCATGGACACTTGGAAGATTAATGATGATGTTGAAGGTGCAAAGAAGATCTTACAAGATGCCAATTCTAAATTTGAAAGCCAGAGGATTCAATTACAAAGAATTGAATTGGAATCAAGTATTAGAAATTATGATGGTCTTCAAAGTGTGTTTGAAGAGTTGGTAACTCTGTCCAATGCCACAGCCAATATTTGGGATAAATATATTCAGTTTGCACGGTTCTATTGGCGTAACAACACCAATTATGAGATGGAAATCGTTGGTCTTATTGACCGTGGGTTGAAGGCATTCCCTAAATATCATCAACTATACTTGCAAAAGGGGACTATGTTCTTGCAAGAAATAAAAGACATCTCCAAAGCTCGAGATGCCTATACCATTGGGACGAAAGAGTGTCCTGAATCCAGTGAGCTTTGGATTTCACTTGCAGAATTAGAGATACACCAAAAGGCAATTATTAGAGCTCGTTCGATCTTAGATTTAGCAATGGTGAAGAATCCAAATAGTCCTGAGCTATGGACAGAGAAAATAAGACTTGAACGCTCTCTTAACGATGTGGTTTCAGCAAGATCTTTGGCTAATAAGGCCCTCCAGCTTTTCAATCTGTCACCTATAGTTTGGAAGGAATACGTTGAGTTAATACCGAAGAAATCTCATCAAAAAAACGTCTTGAATGATGCTTTGAAGGCAACAAAGAATAGTAGTATCATTTTGGTAATGATAGGGAAACTCTTGTGGACCACAAATAAACTTGATAACGCAAAAGTGTGGTTTGAAAGAGCCGTTAAAAGTGATCAGCTGAATGGAGATGGTTGGGGATGGTTGTATGCATATTATGAAAAATCAGGTGGTGCTGATAGACAACAATTCCTTTCAGATTTTGATGATATCAAAGAATCTATCGATAAAGGGGAACATTGGCTTCAAGTTAAAAGCAGTATTAATAACTTTGAATTGGACCAATTGGAGATACTCAAACTTGTTTCTCAACTGGTACTCAATACAATTCAAAGTTGAACTTTTTATTTCGTTTTATATTTCTCATGGACCTTTAAGGTAATCGCAGATAATAAACAGGGTATTTGCTTTGTAGGATCACCGTCAATCTCTTGGTCAATCTCATCAAATAGTTGTTTGAACACATGATTACCGTAAGCTTTCAAATTCTTGCATTCTAAATCAATAATCACATAGGATGATTTATCGATTGCTTGTATAGATTTAGGAGTAAGCTTCAATCTTGAAGTCAAATCATGAGGATTCAATGGAGATGGAAGAAATTCAATCACATATCCAAAATATTTTGATACTATACTCAAAATATCCTTGCTCTTTTGTGCATAAGTATCCCTTAATCTTGTTAAACGTTTCGATAATTGATCAATTTTGGACTGAAGGATTTGCTTATCGATTTCTTGTCTTTCAAATATTGATTTAGGTATTAAGTCATTGACTGTAATCGCTTTGTTTATGTACATCGAAATTAACTCTTCATTTTCTTTCCGCAAAGCGGACAATACTTGTTGCTTAACAAACTGATCTTTGCTTATAGGATTTAATTTCAATTGTAAGACATTTAATTCCTTCTTTTTCTTTTGACTATCTTCAAAATGTTTTACTTTCTTCTTATATTGATTGACTTGTGTTTTCAAGTTTTCAACGGTGATGGAAAGTTCAATGTTATCCTTTTGAAGTTTTTTGATAGAACTCTCGCTTGTGGTACTATTGCTATCCGATCTAGCACGTTTCATTCCGGAAATAGGAGAAGACAATTGTTGCTGTGATTGTTTCCTGAGGTTATTATTTTCGCTTCGAAGCTTGTCCACAGATTTCTCCAATTTAGAAAGATATTCATCTATTGCAGGGTTAGTATTATTATTGCTCGTCACCAGCAGCAAATTATAATGCTGATCATCATGAAGAGATTTCCTCAAGAATTGTATTTCCTTTAGGTTCAATTGACATTGATTTTCTAATTGTGTGATTGTTTCATCTTTCTTCTTTAGGATCATGTCAATTTCTGTATATTCTGATTTAAAATGGTCTAAATCTTGCATTAATGATGCCAATTCATGTCTTCTTTCTTGTCCTTCTGTGAGTTGAATATTCAATTTATCTTGTAGAACGAGATTCTCGTTCTTCAAGTGAGTGAATTGGGTTAAGAAATCATAAACCAATGAAGCACTTGATTTTTTTTCAAAATTTTCAACAGTTTCTGTTATAACTTGGAAAACATCATCGAACTTTTGGTTTAGTTCGATGTTCTCAATCTCTAATTTACAACACTTTTCTTCTAACATTTCGGCTGCTTGTAATTTCTCAGTCAAGGTGATATTCTTTTGCTTGAGGACTTCAATAGAAGTCCTTTCTTGAAGCAATTTTGAATTTTCTAGTTTCAACTGGTTGTTTTCCTTTTGCAATGACTCAATGGTTGAATGTAAGTTATCTATGATACTCATTGAATTGGCATTGGTATTAGCCTGAGTTAAAAGCTGTTGATTTGTCTCATATAACCGTTCAATTTCTTCATTTAAAGTCTTATTCCTGCCTTTTAACTCAAGACCCAAATTCCTCTCCACATTGACATCTGATTCCACCAGTGCAAGCTTTGTGGATAGGTGAGAAATTGTACTCTCGTGTTGACGAACAGTCTGTTTCAACTCCTTGGATTCAGACTCCAATTCCACAATCAACTTATCTGTTGACTCTGCCTTTTTGGAACTGATCTGGAGTTGGTTGTCACACTTTGACTCTAGTTCCTTCTTCTGGTCCAACACGTAATCAAAGTTGGCTTGGAGTGACGCCAATCGGTCGTTCTTGGCCTTGATGGTCTGTTCGTAACGTTCAGCCATGGATAGTCTATTCTGTTCTAGGAGTTGTTTCTCTGTTTGGAGACTGTTGATTTGGAACTGGAGTCTGGATGTGGTCATCTCTAGATCCTGTGGATGATCCACAAACGGAGACGAGGTACTCATAGTCACGGGCAGCTGATGTTAAGGTATGCTGGAGTTTGCCCTATACCTGGCTGTGTTATGAATTGATGTTCGATGTTGATATTTGGTGTTGATGTCCCGTGCTGTTGTTTACGCTGTGGCTGTCTTTTGTTTACGCACCTGTAGATTATTTCTCTGATGATCTTTTTGTGTAGTCATGAGAGGATCAAATTAACTTTGTATGGTGATCTTATTCTTCACTGTAATACAATAATAATATTAATAATGTCCAAGATGTAAGTATACTAATATCGCGACGACATCATGACCAGTACTATTGTAACCAGTAACTAACTCCTTTAGTCCAAGAAACTTTAAACTATTAGAAGAACTAGAAAAAGGGGAAAAGGGTTTAGGTGCTGAATCCATTTCTTATGGGTTAGCAAGCTCAGATGATATCACTATGACTTATTGGAATGGTACCATTTTAGGACCTCCTCATTCTACTCATGAAAATAGAATCTACTCCTTACACATTGTATGTGACGATACTTATCCTGAGAAGCCACCCCTGGTACGGTTCATCTCAAAGATCAACTTGCCCTGTGTTGATACCGAGGGTAAAGTCACTAATGGCTTTGATATCTTGAAGAACTGGAAGAGATCTTACACTATGGAAACTGTGTTACTTGAGTTACGGAAAACTATGGCTTCTCCTTCAAACAAGAAGTTGAAACAACCTGCAGAAGGTACGACTTATTGATATATATATATATTACTACTTATGTATATATATTACTACTTATGTATATATATTACTACTTATGTATATATATTACTACTTATGTATATATATTACTACTTACATTTATATATATATAACTACTTATATATAATTACATTCATTATTATTTCTATAGTACTTCTTCCTCCATGAGCCGTTTAAGATCTTGTTCTGCGCCTTTGAATTCAGCTACTTGATCTCGATACTCTTCATTCTTGAAAAGCTCTTCATTGGTGGTTTCATCGGTTACTTCTATGTTGATCCACTTCTTTGTCTGAACTTTATGTCCGTCTACCTTTTCCATCACTGTAATCTGACATCGTTGGAATAACCTTTTGAATGGCATGCAAAGTATCTTTGGGGCTTGACGTCGTTCACTGTCGATTTTAAATGTACACTCGTATTGTGTTAACAGCATAAGAGTGCATTCATGCTCCTCGGGGGTTTCTAGTATTTTGGCATATCTCTTTGCTATCTCCGCTTTAGAGTATACTGGGGTTGGAGGAGCCATAGTAGAGGTAAGCATATGTGCTTGACTTATTACTATAAGACATTTCATTTTGTTATACATGCGAATATTCGGTAAGTACACGATTATATAGCTACCCCAGATTATAAAAGTATAACCTAAGCTATTATAGACTGTGTACATCAACACTTGACGTTAACTCCACGACGATGTTCCGAGTTCCGAGTCTCAAACATAACTTGAGAACCCACAAATAACGCCCCCAGTGACAAGAAGAAGTATAACGCACCAAACGGTGTGGAATACATTTGTTTGAGCCATAAAAGCACACCTTCTTGACCCAAACAAAAGCCAGATAAATTGGCTATCATCATCATCCAAATGTTAAATACGGCTCCAATAGAACATGCGTACCGGTACCACCATTGACCTTTGTATTGGTTGAATATAGCCGTGGCCGCAATCTCCGGAATCAAGAATATAACCACTAGCCAACCCCACATCAAGAGTTTAAGTTCAATGTCATGCCAAATAGCAACAAAGGTAAACACTAGAAGACTATTGATTATACGGAATCTTCCTCCGCCTCCCATGGGAATATAAATGTACCTAATAACCCACCGATTGTAAGACCTATGCCATGCTCTCCAGAATGCCAATGCTGAATAATTATTACTCATGCATCTAATCATATTCTCCGGAGGATCAATGCCATCTAATAAACTCCAAAACCTGAACAATCTCCAGGGAATCAAAAGCTTAAGCCAAATGATATTCAAATTGAAATATCCAATCATACTAATTTCAAATACTGAATCCCCTTCCCAAGCCTTTGTCTTAGAGACTGCAACCACATACATGAAATGTAGAAGAAATTCCATCACCAACACACAGAATAAGAAACGACCGAAATATATAGCAGTTCTCTTATAGTTCAGTACACTTGCTAAGGGTTGATAATTGGATTGGAAAATGTAATCGTTGAAGGTAATTATTGGACCAGCAATAAATAATGGCAAGTAGAAAAGGTATGCAATATAATTCACAAAGTTATAATCATTTAAGGCTAAAGGAGCAGTTAATCTTTCTCTATCATCCAATTGACGAGTTACTGTACCACCGCCCAACTTTTTCTCCATAGCAATGGTTTCTGGATCTTGGACCTTTTCCTTCCGTTCCAAATAATCTAAATTGAACGAAAGCATTCTTAACATAGTAAAGTTGAAAAATACGTCCCAACGAGCTACTATACCTTTGAAACCTGAGTCAATAAAGTCAATCCCAATAGGAGTATTTCTGAACCAATGATTAAGGAAAAGTGTTAAGATTCCATAGCCCCATGTCAATCCAATAGCAACCTTCTTATGGCTGACATATTGTCCAATGATCCAATTGACTAGGATATGGATAATGATTCTGAGACTGTTGAACCCATGAGCACCAAAGAGGAACACAATTCCACAGAGGAAATCAAACGTTGTTCTCTTTCTTATTATAGACGTTGTAGCCTTTCTAAGACCAAAATGAATAGCCACAAGGCCCATCAACAAAAAGAAGTTGCTTCGAAAGAATCGGTACTGAGCATCGGAATTATCAACCTTACGGCCAAACATCCACCCGTCCAGCAAAAGATGTTGAAATCGACTGTAATTGGCATTTGTCTCGTTGGAGGCATCCATGGCAGTTTTAAACATCCAAGGCACCGCGATAGCAAATATTACGCCATATACTTTGAACTCAGTCGTGTTCCACTTTGATACTGGAGGTGCTTGTTCTTGGATCCGACTTTTCTTTTTGGTTTCTGTTGGAGCCTCCAATCGAGTGTCAAGAGTCTCCAACGAGAAGAACTCATACATCTCGTCCCAAGCCATATGATCAGTAAACAGTGAAGAACATCACGGTCTATACTTAGATTTGCGGACGGAGATAATATTTCCCTTAGTGGATCATAGGTCTGGTGTTAGGGGCTTTCTCTCATTCTCAAGGTTTGAAAATTTACTTACAACTCACACAATTAATTACTACTCTCTAGTTTGTATCTACCCACACAATGGACTTTGAAAGAAGGCCGAATCCAAAGGGTTGGACTCCCCCAAAGGCTCCTTATAATCCCTATGATCCAACAGATTTAAGACCCCCAGAAGGGTACCCCTCGGAGTTTAAGATCCCCGGCAACCAACCATCAGGGTTCTCATCTGTACCTAGAAACCCTACACAATACAAGAAGGTTAATGAGACCATGAAAAGATTGAACTACACCCCTCGTCCTGCTTCGGAGTTGTATCCTGGTCAGTATAAGGTTTTAAGAAGAGTTGACACCAACCAAAGATTAAACACTGGTACTCGGTGGTTTGGTATGTTTGTTGTGGGTACCATTATAGTTTATGGGTCATTTTTCATTCGTTGGAATGATGGTAGTGAAAATGTTATGTCCAGCTTTTATAGAGCTCGATTAAAATTGGAAGAGAAGATGGGTAAGAAGCTTTCTGATCAAGATTATGAAGATTTGTATTATCCTAAAGAGTCCAAGATGATCATTAAACCGGTAAAGGATTCAGAATATATTCCTGATGAACTTAGACGAACCACAGAAAGTGCTTTTGCCTTGAATACCCCTTCGGAAAGACACGTTTTGGAAGCCACTAGACGTTTACAAGACCAAGAAGAAGCCATGTTAAGAGAATTGGATGACCACGAGAAGTTTGCCAAAACTTTAGTTTTCCACGAAGAAGAGCAAAATGATGTGAAGCCTGTTTCTTCCAAAAGTAGTTGGTGGAAATGGAGTTAGTTATAATACGTAAGAACCCAATAATGTACATAGAAACACTTGCGTATTGTTTCCGAACTGGTAGTGTTAAGTTCCGATAATCGCATTTGATAGACACTTGTTATTTAGTAGTGTAAGTAAGGCGCTGGGTCTCCAATAGCTGTTGATGGGACTTATTGGAACCGTGGCGTTCGTGGTTCGAACGTGTGCAATCCTTTCGCTCCATTGTATATCCAGTTGGCTATGGCCACAAGCTAAAGACCCGTACGGGAAACGCGATAACAATGATCAACCGATGGGAACCAGTGAACTCGCATCAAAATTCGGGTACACAGTAGCAGAACATGTTGTTACCACTGAAGACGGGTATTTATTAGTGCTCCATAAGTTGGAGAAGAAGAAAAAGGTAGTCTCCGTTGACAAGCGGATCGTCTACTTTCATCATGGATTAATGACATGCTCGGAACTATGGCTTTGTGGTTCATACAAGAACAAGAACTTACCGTTCCTTCTAGCAGATCTAGGCCATGAAGTTTGGCTAGGCAATAACAGAGGAAATAAATATAGTCGGAAACATTTAAAGTTATCCAGCTCTCTGAAGGAGTTCTGGGACTTCTCATTGGATGAGTTTGCCATGTATGATATCTGTGACACTCTAAAATATATCTATGGTTTCTATGGATGTACCAAACGAATCACATATGTTGGATTCTCCCAAGGGTGTTCTCAGTTGTTTGCTTGTTTGAGTTTGAAGCCATATTTGAATGAATACTTAGACCTTTTCGTTGCGCTTTCTCCAGCCATTGTGCCTCGAGAGCTACACCACCCCTTATTCAAAGTAATGGTGAAACTAGCAGCTCAAGATGAATCTTTCTTATACACATTGCTTGGTAAAAGAGCCCTCTTTCTGTCTGTATCATTCTGGTGTCATTTCTTAGGCTCGAAATGGTACGAAACAATAGTGGATATATGTTTAAAGTATCTCTTTGGTTGGAGTGGTACGAACATTTCAAAGGATCAAAAAGTCTTGGGGTATCCTTATATGTTTCTGAACTCTTCAGTTAAATGCTTAGTCCATTGGTTTCAAATTATCCACAGCAAACGATTCCAAATGTATAATGAAACATGTTCAATTGGTAGAACCACCCTTTCGAACTACTACGAGAATCGAAGCCATAGTGCTGTGCCGTTCCCTATATCTTTTCATCTCAATGTACCCATGCTAGTCTTCTATGGTGACGCGGATTTATTAGTTGATATCAAGAGTTTCAAAAGTTTGGTTCTAGGTCTGAACCCCCAAATGAGAGAAAAGTTGATCGATATCATAAGATGTCCAACCTATGAACATATGGATACTATTTGGGGTGATAAGGTTTATGAAGATGTGTTTGAGAAGATCATACAAGTACTTGAAACGTAGAAGGAGGGATGTACTTAATTTTACCCGTTGCAGCAGTTATCAATAGAAATATACTATTACCTTTATAGTGTTAGATTGACTCTTAAGCCAATAGAAACTAGCCACGTCTAATGCACTAGTAAATAGTAACTGTTGTATAGTTTGCAGCTAACCTTACTCCTGTATATATCTCACAGCTCTGTTACCCGGACAGAAAAATTTGCAGCTCTTCGCAAAAGTATAAATAGAGGAGGAAATCCACTGTTGAAAATGCCATTACTATTTTGCTCCTTAACGCAAAATTCACAGCCATTTGCAACGTTATAGCATTCCGTTGAGGTTGAACCCAATACGGCGTTCTTGGCCCATGACCACCGGAATATTGTTGTGGATACGCTCCTTTGGATGGACTGGAGAATAAAGCGGTTGATCTTGGGTGCAGCAAACCATGTGTAAATACTTTGTTATTTCTAAGGGTATGCCTTCGTGCTCCCGTATGGGGTTTGGTGCAATGATCAGCTCGACATTTGTATTTGATTTTGATTTTTTGATTTGTAGTTTGTAACTAAATCAGTATTATATTGTACTAGATGGCAGAACTGCAGTGATGATATATTTCTCCCTTAATGTGGTCCGTGCAAAAGTGCCAATGTTATACATCACTTTTATGATAGGTATCGTTTACGTCATATGCATCGTATCTTGATACTCTTTATCGTCATTCAAACGAAGCAACATCGACAAAACCGTGTGCCAACCATTTACACCTCAACTAAGATGTAAATACGCAAGTTCGGACAGGAACCTCCTGTATCCAGTGTGACGTATCCAACTTAGTTACAATAGGGCTAATTCATTAATTCTTGTTCTTGAACTTGGATAGAAGAAATATACTCCATTACTGTTCATACAAGTCTTTCCATATGGTATGCGATTAGTGGTGCTAGGTTTGACGTCTGGCGTGATGCTCTGCGTTGGAGCACAAGCTTCAATGGTTCACAATGTAACCACGTCCACCAACCCGATGTGTTCCGACGTTCATTCCCAACCAAAAGAAGACCAATGTGCTTTCGTCAGAAACCACTGTGATCCCGAGGAATACAACGTTGGTATGCTTCACCATTTATCCATGCACTACTGTTGGTCAAATCTGTGGAAACGTATTGGAACCATGTTATCAGCCATTGTATTGGGTTTACTGTTCTTAGGTCTAGGTTCTACTGCGTCGGACTACTTATGTCCAAACTTGTACTCCATTTCCAAGTTGCTCAATATGTCTGATAATTTGGCTGGGTTGACCCTTCTTGCATTGGGTAATAGTGCACCTGATGTTCTCAGCACCTATAGAGCAATGAGCTTAGGGTCTGCAAGTCTTGCATTGTCAGAGCTATTGGGAGCAGCCTTCTTCATCAATTCAGTGATCATTGGGTCTGTGGCTGTCATAAGCCCTACAGAAGTCAAACGGAATCTTTTTGTAAGAGATTCAACCATGTTCCTCTTGGTGTCAGTTGTGATGTTCTACATTGTATTTCGTTCTAAAATCACGATTTCCAATTGCATATTATTACTTTCATTATACATGGCTTATGTGTTTGTTGTTATCTTGTCTCATTCCGTGATTAGAAAGAGAGTAAGAAAGCACTTGCAGCAAGTACGTTCTCGAAGCAGATTCTCCAGAGAAGAGTCTTATGAAAGAACAATCCAAAGCATTGACCAGGTTTACCTAGATGATTTCGTTCATCTTCCCACTATTGATTCAATGGTGGTGGTTAACCCTCCTCCATCTGAGCAAAGGTTGGAACATGAAGATGAGGAAGACGAAGACGAGGCTGAGGCTGAAGAAAACCAGCTCAGTCTGATTCTTAGCTCAGACTCCAATACCTTGAAAAGACCGTTATTGCCTAAAACAAGATCTTCCGAGCCTTCTTCTCATGGGTCTATCCGATTAGAAGACCCAGGTTTGAGTTCGGGACTGGACCCACATGCTCATGTTAACGGAGATATTAATTATGAGAACAGTGATGACTTTGTTGCGCAATTTGTGGGATATGAAACAAGAAGAAGACTTTCAGTTTCAAGCTTGAATAAGACCCATGCTCGTCTTCTTCTACCTGAAGCCACAGGATTTAACAATTTGGATATCCTAAGTAAAGTCTTGTTCATTGCTTCATATCCCATCTCCATCTTTCTCCGTCTTTCGACACCATCAAGAGACTATACTCTCACAGAATTCTTAATTCAACAATATAAGAAGAGTCGTCGTATGGCTGAGTTTCCTAATGAAAGCCAAACCACGTTCGAACTCGATGACTTTGATTTTGATTTTGCATTCGATAAGAAATTGTTGACTATACAGACATTTTTTGGGACAGCAAGTGCATATGGACTTTTAGTAGGACATGATACTTATAAATCATATCCTATACTGCTACTTCTTTCAGCAGCTACAGCATATGTGGTTTCCTTCTATTATCCAACTGTATTGAATGACTATAGGGCCATTTCAAAGCTAATCAGGATTAACAAATTTTGTACTGGGTTGGGGTTCATAGTGTCCATAAGTTGGATCTCGTCGTTTGCTACCGAGGTCATAGCCATTTTGAAAACGGTTTCATTGGTCTATGGACTTAGTGATGAAGTCTTGGGAGTAACAGTTTTTGCATTGGGAAACTCGATTGGAGATTTCGTATCAAATATAACTATTGCCAAAGGTGGTTCACCATTAATGGCATTTGGTGCGTGTTTTGGAGGTCCTCTTATTTCCATGTGTTCCTTAGGGGTTAGTGCGTTGATTGTTTTATCTTCAAGTGGGAAATCAGTCTATGAAGTGGAGATCTCATCTTCGTTACTCTTATTCTGTGGGTTTCTTGTCATTAACGTTGCCCTCACAATTGCGGGCATACTATTTAATAATTGGATGTTAGATAAAAAAATTGGTACTGTGTTGATTCTAAATTGGGTAATAGCTTCAGCAATCTGTATTCTACGGAGATGATAATAATCAAAATACTTTTATTCAATAAAAAACTTAAAGCTAAAAAAGAGAAAGGTATGTTATAACCTAGAAATAAAAAAATCCAAACATATATTCCTTAAGGGATTATCCACCACCGTTTGTTATAGTTTAATCAAGTTCCTCAACTGTTGGACCAGAGTCGCTTCCTGAAGCACCACCTGTGGCACCACCAGGGAATCCTCCGGCACCACCAGGGAACCCGCCAGCACCACCAGCACCTGGAGCTCCTCCAGCACCACCGTAGGCAGAACTAATGATAGGGTTGGCAATGTGTTCCAATTCCTTCTTTCTGTCTTCATATTCATCAGTGGTGGCAGCTTGGGCACCGTCTAACCAGCTAGTGGTCTCATTGATAGCAGCCAATAACTTCTCCTTGTCTTCAGGCTTGATCTTATCCTTCATTTCACCATCCTCGATGGTGTTCTTCAAGTTGTAAGCATAAGATTCCAATCCATTCTTGGCTTGGACTCTTTCAGCTTCCTTTTCATCTTCAGCCTTGAACTTTTCTGCTTCAGAAACCATCTTTTCAATTTCCTCCTTTGACAATCTACCCTTGTCATTAGTAATGGTAATCTTTTGAGTCTTACCGGTACCCTTTTCAAGAGCAGATACATTCAAAATACCATTCGCATCAATATCAAAAGTGACTTCAATTTGAGGAACACCTCTTGGAGCAGGTGGAATACCAGACAATTCAAACTTACCTAACAAGTTGTTGTCCTTAGTCCTGGTTCTTTCACCTTCAAAGACTTGGATTAACACACCGGGTTGGTTGTCTGAATAAGTAGAAAAAGTCTCTGACTTCTTAGCAGGAATAGTAGAGTTTCTAGGAATTAACTTGGTCATGATACCACCTGCGGTTTCAATACCAAGAGATAATGGAGCAACATCTAACAACAACAAATCTTGAGTCTTGGATGAAGTATCACCAGTCAAAATAGCAGCTTGAACAGCAGCACCATAAGCAACGGCTTCATCTGGATTAATAGATTTGTTAAGTTCCTTACCGTTGAAGAAATCAGAAACTAACTTTTGAATCTTGGGAATTCTAGTAGAACCACCAACCAAAACGATGTCATTGACCTGAGACTTGTCCAACTTGGCATCCTTCAAAACCTTTTCAACGGGTTCCAATGTGGATCTGAACAAATCAGCACACAATTCATCGAATCTCGCTCTGGTGATGGTAGTATAGAAATCAATACCTTCATACAAGGAATCGATTTCAATGGAAGTTTGAGCCGAAGATGATAAAGTTCTCTTTGCTCTTTCACAGGCAGTTCTTAATCTTCTCAAGGCCCTTTGGTTGCCGGTAAGATCTTTCTTGTATTTTCTTTTAAATTCGGTTGCAAAATGATTAACCAATCTGTTATCAAAGTCTTCACCACCCAAGTGTGTGTCACCTGCAGTGGCCTTGACTTCGAAAATACCTTCATCAATTGCTAATAAGGAAACATCAAAAGTACCACCACCCAAGTCGAAAATCAACACAAATTTCTCACCGGTACTTTGGCTCTTTTTATCCAAACCATAAGCAATTGCAGCAGCTGTTGGTTCGTTAATGATTCTCAAAACATTCAAACCAGCAATCAAACCAGCATCCTTAGTTGCTTGTCTTTGAGAGTCATTAAAGTAAGCTGGCACGGTGATAACTGCATCGTTGATCTTTGTACCCATGAAATTCTCAGCAATTTCCTTCATTTTGACTAAGATCATTGAGGAGATTTCTTCTGGAGTAAACACCTTAGCTTCACCTTTGAATTCCACTTGAATCTTGGGCTTCCCATCAGAATCGATGACTTTAAATGGGAAATGTTTAACATCACTTTGAACTTCAGGATCATTAAACTTCCGACCAATTAACCGCTTGGCATCAAAAACCGTATTAGCGGGATTCATAGCTGCTTGGTTCTTTGCGGCATCACCAATTAATCTTTCAGTATCAGTGAAAGCCACATAAGAAGGAGTTGTTCTATTACCTTGATCATTGGCAATAATCTCAACTCTGTCGTTTGCAAAATGTGCAACACAAGAGTAGGTTGTACCTAAGTCAATACCAATTGCTTTACTAGACATTCTGTTGATGTTGTAGTTTTGGGTATTCTTATCAATTTAATGATTAGAAAGTGTAGAACGTTATGTAAAATTGGCTTCTAAAGGGGGAAGATTACCTCCCCTTATATAGTGCCAAAGTTCCCCCACATTTTTTCCACTGCGTCTTTGTGTTACTAGAAGGTTCCACAAGCAACTAGTATTATCCAGAAGGTTCTACTTTAATATGGGCAGTTATATGTACAAGTATGCACATAAACATGTATGTACTTATGTACGTAGATTAATTCTTCCATACATATACACATATGCAATCAAATGTATACTTTCTTTACATCGCGAACGAATTGCGTTAATGCTTAAAATTAAGCTTTACATCGTACGGGCTATCTCGTAGATACAACCAATATTATCCAACATCTGTAATAATTATTCTGTTTTAGTGTTACGGTATTACGGAGTAAAGAACGTTTGGTGTATATAATACAGGGTAATAGTCTAGAAAGATCTACACAACAGATACAGAGGTCATTGCTGTGTGTGTCACGTGATCGGAGCAACCATTAATTCCACTAGCGACAACACTTTCTATCTGCATCATGACTATCAGCAGCAGCAACATTCTGGCCACAATAAACAAGTGGCTCATTATAAGTGAACAAGAGTCTTCCAACCATTGTACCCAATATGCAACAAATGATAATGTACCCGTTGTAGTACATGAATAAAAGCATGATAAAGTACGAAAGGCCCCATTCAACAGTGAAAAGTAACGTTCTCACCAAGTGCTCATAAGCATTAGCAAACGTGGCGTCCGTCAACCACGTGAACAACCATTTGTGAGAAAGGGTATACACCAAAGGATCTTTAGCCAAGGTTGGACTAGAGCCGGCATTGACCAATTTCTTTTCATCATAGGAAGAATTGGAACCTTCTTCAGATACACCGTTCATAAGAGAAGTTCTTGCGACATATTTATTACCGATGGCTATGTCGTATTCCCGACAGAAGCGATGAAGCCATTGAGCAGCAATACAAAGAAAGAAGACTCCAATACATGAACCAGCAAATGAACCCTTGGAAGATACTTTCCATGATTTAGCAATAAAACAAGAGTCTACCGTATTCCAGTTCCAAAGCATGGAAATTTTGCACCCACCTTTCTTCATACCCATACTCATAGAAGATGAAGCAGTTGCAGAAGCCATGGACATAGTTGCACTAGCCATGGACATAGTTGCACTAGACATAGACATGCTTGATGTACTAGGAGCCATATTCATGATGATAACTATAGAGATGTGATCATTTGCATACGTTTAATAGTGGCAGATACGCTTTATATATTTGTGCATATATATAGCCAGGGGATAGAAGCTGATCGATATGAGCAAATAAACTGAGTCATTTCTCCTATCTTATGAGAAGGTATGCATTGCATAAAGTTGAAATCGGCATTTATATCCGCAGCCTTTCACCTTCGGACATTGACATGAGCAAATTTATGAATGTATGTGAACCTCTGCGAAAAAGGTGGTTAGGGTTATCGAAGGAGAAAAATATCATACAAGAAAGTATAGAACATAGATATAGAACAAAGTTATAGTACATTGTTATATTATGGGACATTACTATTATATTATGGGACATTACTATTATAGTATATCACAGTATATAACCGTAAAAGTGCTATTGAGGTAGCTATAACGGTAATTAGCATACCGCTATTATAGTATACTGATTTAGATTAATTTTCTCGCCAAGTTTAACACGCCCTAACTACATGAGCAGTTTCTGTTGCATGATTAAGTACAAATGTGTTAATTTAAGCTGCGGGATAGGGAAGTGTAACTAATGTACGTTATAGTGCAGGTTTATACTTGTTTTATCTACTCTCTATGTGCAGTATATTCTACAGAGAACTACTTCCGTACTTTACTTTTGTTCAGGTCACATGATTACATAATAATTAAGTATTCTTAGTTTAGTCGTGTGCTGATATAGTCTTATGATATGTTGTGTATTGGTAGCGCCGTGTCCTCCCCCCTCTTAAAGGGCCCCCAAGGATTAAAGGCAAAATGACTAACACACTCCTACATTAACTATACTTCTTCTACTTGCTGCATAGAAACCCAAATTACTTATACTTGATATTACGCAAGCATATGCATGAGAACTTTGAGATTAATATAATAACAATAGTGCTCAGTAATAACAATAATCTTAGTGTACTCCGTGTGATCCTTCCTTCATTATGAGTAGTCCTAAAAGAAGAATAGAAAAGGACGTCATGGATTTGATGATGAGTGATCTTGATGTGACTCTCATTGATGACTCCATACAACAATTTATCGTTGTTTTCAACGGTCCAAAAGATACTCCGTATTCCGGAGGACTGTGGAAGATTCGAGTAGAATTGCCAGATCAATATCCCATTAAACTGCCATCTATTGGCTTCATGAATAAAATATTCCATCCTAACATTGACGAGAGCTCCGGTTCCGTGTGTCTTGATGTCATCAACCAAACCTGGTCTCCTATGTTTGGGTTGTTAAACATCTTTGATAAGTTTCTCCCTCATTTACTTCGGTATGCTAACCCTAGTGATCCGTTGAACACAGATGCCTCGAATCTAATGACCAAAGACGAGCAGAAATACAACGATACTGTTAAAGAATACGTACGGAAATATGCCTTATCTTCAACTGCCAACGGAGATATTGAAGGTGAGAACGTGGTGGACTCTGACGAAGATAATGAATTGAGTGATGTGGGTAGCTTATCAAGTGATGATGAAGATATGGAAGTACCTGGAAATATTGAGTTATAAGTTTATGTTTATGCATTTTGTTTTTTCATTGGGTACCTGGTTTGACGATTATGACACTTGACCAACGAAGATTTTGATAGTCTTTAGGGTTTAATTCCTTTTTTATCTGAATAGATTAATATATACTACGTCATTATAATTATATTATATTATGATTATATTATATTATTATATTATTATATTATTATATTATTATATTATTATATTATTATATTATTATATTATTATATTATTATATTATTATATTATTATATTATTATATTATTATATTATTATATTATTATATTATTATATTATATTATTATATTATATTATTATATTATATTATTATATTATATTATTATATTATATTATTATCATTACATACATTATACCGTAATCCCTATTAGCATAAGTAACCCCGCTACTTTATATCCATTCTTTTGATCACGTGATCTTGACCGGAATTTCCCTTTTCATATATGCTGGATCCTTGCCCTGTCTGACTTGCACCAAAAACGACTCGTGACTTCCAAACCTGGGAACGATAGTCGTCACATTGCGTTGGCCCTTTAGTCGTTTCAGACTTTCAGTCAAGTTATCGTCAGTACAATAACCAGATTGTACATCGCGTATAGTGTTAGGCTTAATCGTTGATAGTTGTAACATTTTTGGTCTCAGTTTTTCGCAGTATTTGTTAAACCAAAGGCTGAAGATTAATGGTGTCTAAGTTAAAGCCAACACCTTATAGATGTCTTCTCTCTGTATATTTATATTTATGACGTTCAAACGATGAATCATCGGCTTATCTCATATCGTGTAATATCGCATCTTCGCATAATGAGGGGTGTTCTTCTCTAGGATTCTGTGGTGTCGCTGTTCACAGAACCTTCTAGAAAAATGTTAGTAATTAATGCGAAACCACCACATCCAACAGGATTTGATTTATTGCGTAGTATTAAATAATGTCGTTGCCTACATAGATGAGGGGTTGGAAACTGTCTGACAAAAATATACGGTTGTTGTATTGCTTCAAGTGTAGTACTTGTTGGCATTAGTCATAATCTGAGACAAGCTTTCACTATAAATGAGCTCATGATAATATGCTCCTAAATAAGATTAAGATATGTATTTTACTGAAATATATTAAATAACTTCCTTTCTCATTTGTTCCCCAAGACGTTGTTTAAGAATCTCTATCAATGGAGTAGGACTAAATATTGATCACGTGACATGTTTGGATACTCGTAAATCCTAATTTGCGCTTTATAAAATGGTCACTCTCGTATTATTAGATCTTTATTTTTAGTGCTATGGTTCTGAACGATAGCGTGTAAAGTTGTTTTTCAGATTTGGATCTTCATTTACGCTTCGTTCCAATTTCTCTTACCCAATATAAACAAGTGGAGGTTTTCGAGCGGTGTCAAGAATATAGTCTTGTAAGATGCTACGCTTATTAAGAAAGATCAAACTTTTTGTTAAGATTTGTCATTGAGTTGACAGTGATATTTAAGTAGCTAGTAGTATAATTGTTGCTCCATGTAAATATTAAAAGCAGTTTCTCTTATTAGCAAATCCTATTACGCTTTAAAACCAGCTCCATGTCCCAGTTTTACCTAACAAATTGTATAATTTTCCTTTTTGGGCGTATTTGCGCTAACGGGTAGTTGCTCGATTTGGTGGAGATGATTGAACTTTATATATGGTTGCAAGCAATTCCTTTCCAACATTAAGATTATCCCCTAAAAGCAATACAAGATGCTCAGATCTTTTAGGTTCAACTCTACGTTCTCCTCCGCTAAAGTATTGGCAGCTCTTAGTAACCCCAATTTAGTCAAAACTGAAGGACACATTAATGGTGAATGGGTTAGTACACATGATAAGTTTGCAGTGAAAAATCCAGGTGTAGATGGTGACTTTGTTGCCCAAGTATCATCGTTATCTTTAGAAGATGCTGAAAGAGCAATTGGAATTGCTAAGAGAGAATTCAACAAGTTCAAGAAGACCACTCCCAGGTACAGATCGCTGTTGCTTTCTAACTTGAATAAACTCATGCTTGACAACCAACAAGATTTGGCGAAGTTAATTGTTCTTGAAAACGGTAAACCATACGCTGATGCTCTTGGAGAAGTCAAATATGCTGCTTCTTTCTTTCAATGGTTTGCTGAAGAAGCACCTAGAGTTTATGGTGATATTATTAGTTCTGCCAATCCAGCAAACAAGATTTTAACATTGAAACAACCAGTTGGAGTATGTGGGATTCTTACACCTTGGAATTTCCCATCTGCTATGATTACCCGAAAATTGGGTGCTGCCATAGCTGCTGGGTGTACCACAGTGATAAAGCCTGCTAGTGAAACTCCACTATCAGCCCTTGCATTGGCTCATTTGGCTCAAGAAGCAGGTTTCCCTGATGGGGTGGTCAACGTGATACCTTCCAACCACACAGCTGAAATGGGTCAATTGATCACCACCCATCCCCTGATCTCCAAAGTGTCCTTCACGGGGTCTACACGTGTTGGATCACTATTGATGGGACAACTGGCACCAACATTGAAGAAACTTTCAATGGAGTTGGGTGGGAATGCTCCATTCATCGTCTTTGAGGATGCAGACATAGATAAGGCAGTAGATGGTGCTATTGTCTCCAAATTCAGAAGTAGTGGCCAGACATGTGTTTGTGCCAATAGATTATATGTTCATGAGTCTATATATCCTGAATTCACCACCAAATTAACCCAAAGGCTTGTTGATACTGTGAGATTGGGACATGGTTTGGACGAGGCAGTGACCCATGGACCTCTTATTCATGAGAACTCCATGAAGAAAGTAACCAGTCACATTGAAGATGCCGTAAGCAAGGGGGCCCAAGTGCTCATGGGAGGTGGTCCTCGTCCAGATCTTGGAGCCAACTATCATGAGTTAACCATATTGGGTAACGTCACCTCTGATATGGAAATCGTTCATGAAGAGACATTTGGACCTGTTGCTCCTATCATCAAGTTCTCCACTGAGGAAGAGGTGGTAGCTGCTGCAAACGACACTGAGTTTGGATTGGCTGGCTATTTCTTCAGTAAGGACATATCGCGTGTCTTCAGAGTAGCACAAGAATTGAACACCGGTATGATTGGAGTCAATACCGGTGCTATTTCTGAAGCAGCATTACCCTTTGGGGGAGTCAAGTTATCTGGTTTTGGAAGAGAAGGTTCTAAATACGGTATTGAAGATTACATGATCACCAAGAGTGTTGTACTTGGTGAAGTCAACTAAAAAGACATATGATACGTATATGATATGTATTATATATATATGTATATATATATATTATGATAAGTATTAAGATGAGTAATACTACTCTAGTTCTGTTGTCACTATTTCTGTTTTCGCTATTTCTGTTGGCTGTAGTTTTACTTCTGTAGGCTCCATCGTTGACTCTATTTCATCGACTATAATATCTTCTGGAATTAACTCCGTTACCCGTTGGTATGGTCCAAGATCTATGTCCTTGACATCCTCAAATTTTTCCACAGATATGCCTTCATTTATAGTACTCTCAAAATACCCTTTGCCTCCCGTTGTGATATATTTTTCCGCTAAGATTTTCTCTGTCTTGTTGGTGATATCTAGTCCTATTTCATTACTACTCTTTGCTTCTCGCATCTGAGCGAGCTCTGCTTGGAGCTTGGCTATCCTCGCACTATAATCAATATCATCATCTCTTATACGGGTATCACGAGTTAGTCCTGGAACTAACGCGCTTTTCATCACATCGAGATTCTCAACCAAATCAGCACATGTGACTGATTTGAAGGTCAATGAAACAAGTCCTCCTTCACTTGTCACTCCATTCATAACTGATACGGGGAAGTTCACTAGTGTCTTTTCTGAATCTTCATATCCAACCCCTGAAACGTTGTACATCGCAGGCTGGCTTCTACTAGCGGCAAATGTGCTGCAGACGACCATTATTCCAATAGGTTTGGTATAGGTATTCTGTTAGATGTCCGAATTAATATACTTCAGTATCATGATTATTATTTTTTTAACAATTTGGTGCTTTGTTTCGCGCTAAATTTGTGAATAGAGTGTTGATACTTAACTGTGTTTGTTGTCAAATGCTGCCGTAAGCATTTTGCCAACCTTTTCCCAAAAAAGATAGCGCACAAGAAGTACCTTGAAAGAAATTTTGGAGTGCGTCACTCAAGAGGTTTCCACTTGCACAAAATAAACCCATCTATATTGGTTTATAACTTTCAAGTAAAAGAAACTAAGAAAAGAAGAAATGAATAATAAACTCGCATTCTCAAGTTTCGTATACACCTTCCTGAAAACTTTTACGAAACTCTGTTAATTTTTACTACGATAAATTATATCTTTGAAACGAATTAATATAACTAATATTATAAATAATTTGATACATTTTGTTTGAACATCTCCACGCACTGGTAGGAAATTTTCTGTTAACTGATGGGTGTACTCAGGTCGTGTAATATTCAATATTTGAGTGGTAGTAATTGAATGGACCTTGAGTATGCCTGGCTCGGGTGGTAGTTGTTTTAGTTAGAATGAATTACCGTGGTACTTTCCTAAGTGCGACTTGTTATTAATACACTTGTATATTCAGATTATGTATCCTTATATACTTAAGATCTCGGTTGATCC